CTTCGTTGTTGTCATTGTGCATGACCAACACAACAATAAATGTGAGATAACGGACTGGCCCGGCTGGATTACCATCTTGACTCTACTCCGTACGTCTCAGCCTGGAGCAGCAAAGGCGAGATGCAGACGAGGGGTTTGAGGTTGCATCTCGGCGCATTCTGATGGAAAGCCGGAGACTAAACCAAGCATCTAGATTAAGAATTGGAATGCTGTGAGGGGATCGATCGTACTACGTAGCTCAGATAATCGAGCCGAAATAAGCTTGTCAGATGGATTGCACGTATGTACTCTCCATACTTGGGTATGTACGCAGTCAAAACAATAAAATTAGATTTTATCAGATGTCGATCTGCTTGATCGTCCTGCTGTGTGTGAATATTTGTGTCACCGTCACATTCCATATGGATCTAATCAAGTTGGTTTGACATGATCTACACGGGCTGGAAATTCAATACATGCCTTTTGTACAGATCCCGGTACGGAGTTTCAAGATATCCATCTTGAAATAGGTTCCTATGCCTGCCTCATTTCAACCACGAATGGATGCCTCGATATTACCATAATACCGATTACATTTTAATGTCCGGTACGTTTCAAGAATGTAGAAGGCTCCGTCATAGTTCTTGTATCAAACTCCTTGCAACAACAAGGGTTACCTACACCCATGATCCCTGCGGGTATGCTTATGTATGCATGTGCAAAAAACAGCGAGTGGAGGAACAAAGATTGGGACCCTACATGCATAATCACTGCTTAGTTACCTGCTTACTGAGCTTAGTAATTCGAATGGTCCCACGGAAATACTGGTCAGGCCGTTTCGATATCCATAAGAATTAGGTAGACCGACCGTATGAAGAGGAACCCAAAAAAAAGTAAAAATTATAAAAGACCCACAATACGCACTGCTCAGTTCTAACGTCTTCTAGTACAACCCGTGATTTTATAATCGACATAGTAATCAAACCATTTGAACTCTGAAGGGCCAAGTGTATGATATATCGCAACGATGACTACGAACTGATTACCGAATGCAGCAAGCCAGATTCTCTAGGGAGCCAATAATGATGGCTCACGCTTATTCTTGCCACTGTATTCCTCCAAGGCTGTGCTGTGCCGGCTATTGAATACTTCCGGGATTGATTAGGGTTTGTCTGATCGCATGTGACTTGACGCTCAACCCACAAATGCCAGACGCAAATCAAAATAAGTTTATTTCCATGTCCAACCGCGCCATATGATCCTTGTTTTGAATATTTCAAGTGTTCTGGGACGTTGGCGTTTCAATGCGTTACTCAGGGTTTATGTAAAATTGAAAAAAAAAAAAAAAAGGTTGGCACTGATCCACACTGGGTCCTTATATACCTTACACGAAAGCACACAAAAGCGAGCATTACGTACCATCGTCCAGGGCATAAATTAACATTGACAAACGTTGTCCACCGGATGGGTCAGGTAGTATTTTGTCTCGGATATCGCTACTTGCTTCCACTCACAGCCTTGTTACAGTAGTAGGTATCGAGTTTAGCTTCCACGCGCGCTGAATCGATCCACAACTTTAATCGTGCAAAAAACAAGAAAGCTTAAAACAGTGAACAAGTCAGTATGTGGTACTCCGTATTAAGTACGGAGTTACGGAGTATGATATACGCATACGTACATACTCCGCGCCGCAGTTGATGAAATCGTTTCAAGTAGGTTAATCCAGCCGAATACGAATTTGCGACTGCATTTTTTGGAATAGTGTACGGCGTACGTGTACTGCTAATACGTCGACAGGAAACGTAAGGATAAGGATAATCAAGCGGGTAGCGGAAAGAAAAAAAAAAATGAAAAGCGTAAATCCATCCAATAGCGGCAGATCTTAGGCGAGTCGCGCCAGAATCGTCGGGATCAAGAACAAGCCCAGGTAAGAAGTTGTAACCAAGCAGAAGGTTAGGATTTGTGTCATTTCAACCGCTCAATGTCAGGCGACAGAGTGCCAAGGGCCAAGGCGTCTATGCCACTCTACCATGTATGGTTGCGACCGTGACCCCGAGACCTTGGCTTGGGATACACACGGACAACTTTAATTAATTCTGGATACGGAGTACTGGTCATCCATGGTTCTGCATCGGCATCGATGAGAACTCGAATTTGAATCGCAGGCCTGTTATGGAGTGCAATCATTACATACGTAGTATAATCTGACTGGATCATGGGGGGGCCGGCTGCTTATGGATCTCTTAGGGTTAACTCCGTTACGTGTTTCGTACAGGGTACACATAAGCATACGCACTTATAGTATGTATTGTCGGTGTCAGGGTTCAGGACCTCGTAACCCGGTGGAGCGCACCAAGACTTGTCTATGCCGTTAGCGTGAGCTTTGGCCACGGCCCTAACGCCTTGACAAGCTAATTATTTCCCCAGTAGGACTAGGGGCTAGTACTAGTAGATACTTAATCAAGTAAATTAACAAGCATAGCCAGCCACAGGCTAAGTGGGCTAAACTAGCGTCTAATGCCTCGTGTTGGATTAAGCTTAAGCTTCGCAAGTCGCGCCAAGCACTGGTGTCAATCTTATTGACTGGTCAGTATTACGACGGTAATTAATAAGTCCTGTATTATATGTAGCGACCATTTAGGTTGCGAGCGTGACCGTCCGTACCATTCCTCGGTCCGTATTCCCTCGTTTGATCGATTGGTCAGGCCGCTTATTTGTGCTCGTTCTATTTCGGGTGCTTGTTGGAAGGTGTCATCACTTGACTATGAGAGACACCGGTATTGAGTCAGTTGCGCACTAACTAAGTTGCCTACACATCTATGTACGTGCTACGTATGTTCGATCAGGCTGTCGTACTTTGTCTCTGGTAGCACAAGACCCGCGTAAAATTCCGATTCTCAAAGCCAAGCCAAGCCAGCCAAGCCTTGTCCTCTGGACTGATCCAGAATCATGATTCATGTTGGCTTTTGCCTGAGATAAATGCAAGAATGCAGGGTGGCACACCTTGCTTTGAGTAAGACAAGATTCTATCATCGACATATGTACCAGTCGGCCAGATATGGAGAAAACGCATCTATGCTTGTTCGTCGATTCGACCCTCACATTCTTTATTTTTCTACTCCACTCCACAAAAGGCTAACGCAGAGGGCAGCAAGTCTTGGATTCTTGGCCAATCTTAGGACCAAAAAGGCAATTTTTTCAGAATGTTGCAATCTTAACATTCATGCCATTACTCGCGCTGTCCAATCAGATATCCTGTCTACAACCAAAAACGGATGAACGGAAAGGTGTCTCAAATTGTGAATATCGGACGGAGTACGACTACGTTGCCCTGACCAACACTTGTCCCGTTTTGACCCTTTCATTAAATTCATTTGTTTTCCATTCTGGATTGCCCTCTGTTTGAATGATTGTGGCGGAGCGCCACACGTCCCAGGAGCCAGAATAATGTATTATGGGGCACGTCGAGAACTCGAACAGTCACTCAGAGGTCGAACAAAGCGAGCCTCGTTCTTTCCTCCCTTTGCAAAATCAGCCCCAACTCAATTTGAATCCCGAGATCACAGATGTGGTTCGTCAAATTTGTCTATATTTCTAATTTTCCACGCCTTTGGCTCCAGCCCCTCCGTTGAAGACTGACACTTGCATGTTGTTCTGATAATCTGATTGAGCAGTCAGCCATTTACCAACCAACACACAAAGCCCTCTTTCTTGCTGCCTGCTCATTAATCACTAATTACCGATCGTCCAGTCGCTGGCGAATGCAGAGTCCATGATCCATCTGTGCGTGTGGACTCGGGTGGAGATTAGGGTTTCCCGACATTCCCACTTAATCGCCAAGTCTAATGCTAGCTTTGTGTCAGTCCGTACGTACGTAGGACGTTCATTGTTTATGCAATCTGTCCTGAAACATGCGTAGGAGTAAGGTGTGCTATCTATACCTGCAATAGGAAGCTTGTTCATGCTTTACCCCATACAGTAACTATGTCATAAATTCAGCGAAAAAGAAAAAGCTACACAAATAAAGTCAAAACGCTGCCTACCGTGCTCTCCTCTACTCTTCGATCTTTGTCGCTCCTGCTCTTGCTTCTTTTTCTCGCGTCTTTCTAAACGTGATTGTAACTGCAGTGAAAGAGGCAAAAGACGAAAATAGTGTGTGGTCATTGTAGCAAATAAGAAGCGATACTATTCGTATCAGCTTGTCTTGGATTGCGCAGACCCACCATGTCTTTCTTCAATTTTCTAGTTCTCCATACATAGAGTCTATTTGATTGCTCTACTCAATGTACTGCGCCGCACTTATCCTGCGCCATTAGTCAGGACTTGTTGGTACCGACATCACTAGTAGGTAGTAAGTCACTGCGTACGTATACGCATCTCCAGATGGAGTTACTCCGTAGGCGACTAACTAAGCTTAAATTCCTTATTCAATATTACCGACCGCCGTAATACGGCGTAAGGTAAGCAAGTAGCCAACCGAGTGGGGCGCTGCTCAGGGCTGTTTACGCATGTACTATGTATTAACATTTGTGGGTCCCCCGGAGGACTCCGTCTGCATTTTCACACTTTAAACGGTACGGATACGACGTAATTTACGTATCCACGGGTTTCGCTATCTTGGCCCCGTTGGGTGACGTTGGGTAAAATTAAAGCTACCGCCCGGTCGCTCTTTGCCCACATGGATGGATGGATGGAGGGATGGATGGATGCATCGCGCCGCGATCTGATATCCGAGAGCCCCTGCCTGTTTGTTCAGTGGTCTTTTTTTATATTATTGTCGCTCCTCCCTTCTGGGCCAAGCTTTACTCCCTCTCTTCCTCCTTCCTTGTTCGCTTCTCTCTTTCATGCTCCATTGAATCTCCTCACCCACTCTCCCTTCCTTCCGTCGACTACATAACTAACTCGACATACAAGCTTGTCCTTCAAGTCAACCGCCCATTCACAGCTCTACATCAGTCCGAGAGATCATCGTGCACGACAGTCGGCAACCGGGAGCAGAGGCTCTCCCAAATCAACTACCAATGGAAACATATCACGGTCTCGTCCGCACTCCGGCGGACGCCATCATCCTATTCGAAGCCTGCAGACTAGGACTCCTTCCTCGCGTACAACGTCGCCTGTCGGAAAAGGAACGACAAGCTATCAAATCAGGCTCTGTGTTTGTGTGGGATGAACGGGAAGCAGGCATGCGCCGATGGACAGATGGCAAATCGTGGAGCGCTAGTCGGGTTTCCGGCAGCTTTTTGACATATCGTGAGATGGAGGGCAAGCGTGGAGGCGGCGTTTCAACATCTCGCAGTGAAAAGACCCCCGACAGCCGGGGAAACAGTGACGACGACAGGGATGGATCGGAAGATGGCCCGGATGGATACCGATACAAGCCAGATGGTCTCATGAAACAGTCGTTCAGCATCACCACCTCCGCAGGACAGCACCTACACCTCATCAGTTACTACGCCCGATCACATCCTACCGCCCCCAACTTCAACCAACCTTCCACTGATCCGGCTCTACGACATATTCGCCCACAAAAGGGTCTCTATCCAGAGTCAACAGTCAATGATCAACAGAACCTGCCGGTTGTCACTCGAGGTCCAATGCCAGGTACCATGACATTGTCTCCCCACATGCACATGGCTGGCTTTCCTCGAAATGGTGCCACTCACCCGCAGTCATATGCTCCTCTCTACAGTTGGCCCCCGACCCCTTCGGCGACTCCTCCCACTGCAACTGTGCCATATCATCCTGGACAAAGCTACCTCCCACCTCTTGGGGGCCCTTCACCTTACGGACAACTACCACCACATCCTCAAGCAGTCGCGGGTCCTCCTCATCCTGCTGCTCACCACCAGCTTCCTACACCTTCTGAGCGATCACTTCACCTCGATACAACACTACCACCACCTGTAGCATCTGGCACTGTCTCCGCACCTGGTTATCCTGGTTACAACCGTTCTCCTCGCTCTGGTCCTATGTCTATAGAGGCACAAAGAGTCCATTCTCCAAGTTATGCAATTAAAGCAAATTTGCCTGGACAGACAGACCCGCGGTTGATGTCTCCTCGGTCTCAAAAACAACCAGGATCCAACAACGAAAACCGGGCGTCTCCAAGACAACCTATCACACCCAATCAATCCCATCTGCCGCCACCTCAAGGGCATGAGGCTCCAGCAACAGGTGCAACCGTGCCCAGCATCGTGACATTTATGAACGGGCCTGCTACTTCACCTTACTCAAAATTAAACGGCAGCCCAAGTTCTCTACGAGTGGAAGGGCCCAAAGATATTCCTAGCGACAAGATTGGATTCGGTGGAGAAGATATGCGCGCTCTTCGACAGTTGGATCGGGTATTCACAGCCTAGTCGGTTTATCCGATCAAGTTACGATCTCAAAAGCAGTCATGTATTTGTTTCTTGTTTGTTTCGCAGCTGGGTTGAACTAGCCTAAGGGCTCATGGAATGGCGTTTATGTTTCTGGGACATGGCGGGGAATCTATCTTGCATTGGCGGTCTGGTTTTTAAGGATTAAAGGGGTTTTCCTTCTATTGATACAGGGGCATTTGACATGTATCATCATCGGGCGGGTATTTGATTGTTTCGTCTGAGTTATTATTACGTTTTAACATCAGTCAGTTTGTGCTGTGTGTATGTGGGCACGATTCACCTGTCTTATTATTTTGATTCACTATGATGATGATCAGGTTAGATAGATGACTGAATTCTATGATCGACTGCATGGTCATAAACACAACTACATGAAAAATACATGCTTGTACGTAACTATGAAGCCAAAATCAGCAAGGGGTATCGTATAACAATTCATCTGGATACATAAACTAACGGCGCATATCCAACATTCATGTGGCACGGCAGGCGTACGTATACTCAATATGATATGCTGCGCCATGTACGCCCATAACACATCCCATGACGGTACGTCTATATGTAAGCATAATCAATCACACACGTTACGCACTCATACGTGTTGGTTGGTTGGTGTCATTTTACCTTTCCGGCTCTCTCTCTCTACGGAGTACACTGAAATTGTTGGGTTGGTTGGATTGATATGCGATTTGTATGACTCGTTTCGTATGTTGGTTACCAACGAACGAGAATTTCGTCTCGGTTAGTGCTTACCTATTACAGTATGGAAGTATCGAAGTATCTTACAACAACAAACATGCATATGTAACTTTGACTGGAAATAACTGAGCAGGTATTATTTCACCGATAAGCATATAGATAAAAATGTACATTGCATATGCAGGGTCACTCGTTTGCGTGTTCGTTTGGGGAGGGGAGGCTGGGACAGTGGCTGGCCATCCCTGTCTGTTTAATTACAATAACTACGTGGGTGTATGGGCTAGGCGAGTATTGTTTGCTATATATGTATATATCCATGTAGGTAGGTAGTATCTTGGATTGTAATTGAGACTGGCTGGCTGCAACGTATAAGATGAAAGTAGCAAATACATTCCTCAACGATGTAATAAGGTAGCACAGATTCATTAAATGTACATATGAATTGTATTACGACTATTACAATTGGTCGAATTAGCTGAATTACTGTCTAGTTTACTGGTGGATCTTGGGTTTCTCCAAGCTTGACTACTCTGTAGTCACAAGTTGCTGATTTAATAGATGGCGCAGGAAATTACCTGAAAAGAATATGCTTCTATGATACAACTCGCGTTTTTTTTTGTGGCCGTTTCTTGAACTTTTGGAAGGAATACAAGTGTAAGATTCCAGATACCACACAACGTTTTGTACAACCTTTGCATGAAGTAATCGATCGACACTTACCAAGAATTCAGACAGTCCGAAGAATCAAAAAGAAATTTCAAGAACGACTATGAACGAGCACGACAGTCCTCCACCTTCTCGAATCTTAGCTGAACAGTGGGGCGGGCTAGAAAAGGAAGGGAAATGCACAGACTCCCAGAGGCTAGCACCATGCAACCTATCTTGAGAAAACAAAGAAATCACCATTTTAGCTCTTACTGTCGCATAAGACCGGCGGACTTTTTCTATTTTCTGTTTCTAGAATTAGACTACTTCGCGGCGTTCGCGGGTCGATTCGGGACAACTCATATCAAGCAAATCTTGTGGCCTAATAAGGGCGAGTCATGGTTTAGGACTCAAAATGGGCCAGGAAACGCACGAACCAGTATTTTTTGGAGATACGTACGGACGTGCTTCTATGAACAAAGAAAAGAAGATTAAGGTATTTCCTGAAACAGTCTAGAGTACGAAGCTGGATCTTAAATCTGGCATAGACAGCGGTTGCTTTATGCTTAATTTCCGAGTATATTTTGAGTCATACCTGCACCCGCTTGTGATCACTTTTCTTGTATGGTTAAAGCAAAGACCAGAATAGAAGCTTTTTATCGCGTCCAAGTATTGATTACTTTTCTGAGTCCTTCTTGGGCCTCTATCATCTATCACGTGGTTAACATTAGTGAGGAAGGATTAGAAACATGGCAAACAAGCTATTCATGAACTATCGAGGGCTAGGAACACAGGATGAAAAGCCAATAATAATGTTTACAACTTTACAAGACTCAGATTACGACAAAGGAGAGATTTCTGTGTGTTTGACGTCATTGTGTAGCTAAGCAAGTCTGTTCTAGATCTTCTACATGATTAGTAGTACAGTGTATTGTGTGTACTGTCACTCTATATCACGACTAAAGGAAAAGGCGTTGGTTTTTAGCTGCTTCAAAGGATCAAGGGACCATTGCTAAAGATCCGAGCTTGCTCCTTTGTTTGTCTAGCACGATCTGATTCGAAAATGCAGGATCATGGGAATCTTTCGCAGCTCGGGCTTTGAACTCTGTACGTGATTATGTGCGTAGAAGTACGGAATAAGCGATGCCAAATCTTGAGTAAGCAGCGCGAGATATAGAAATAAGCATACGCTAGCATACGTGATTGCTCCTTCCATGAAGTAAGTCACAGTCGGGGCAGGTTATGTCTGGTACTTTCTACAGATACTAGATAGAAATTACATACTAATTCACGCTGATCCAGGATTGGTGATCGCCTCAACATAGAACTTACCTATCAACGTAATTATAGTGCTTTTCAGATACTACACGCGTATAGAACTGGTACCTTTACGATATTCTTATAAAGAAACCAAACCCTACAGAGTAATCGTACTTATTACTCTAAACGGTACCACGAAACAGTATCTCAGATATAACATTTCTATCGTCCTCCAGCACCGAGCTCGGTTCCGCTTTCCCTTCTCCAAGCTCGCAAAATGCAAATTTTAGTCCTATACCGGTAAGCCCTTAAGACGCGCGGCGAGCAGCATCCGTCAACCCTTGTAGAGGAACCAATACTATACGCATTGCATTGCACCAATTCTTATGTAGCTAGTATCCCGATCTGTTACTGTGCGACGGCGCCGACATATTACTACTTGTCTGGGTATAGTCTGGTCAAATGTCGAACGGTATCAAAAGTAAATCCCTGTCAAGACTTTAATATCATAATTAGGAGCTGGTCCGCTTGCGCCGCATTCAGTTCGGACAGTTCAGCTAGTAATCTATTGGCACATCGTACATACATGTACGTATTTAGTACTTACTACGCAGTGGCACCTTATTTCCGGGGTTCTAGATGTAGCATATTTTCCGACGTTACACATAATATGGTAAACTATGGAGTGTGCCAAGTACTTATCCACTCGTAATAAGATTCCTAAAGTGGAAGTGTCTAGGGGATGTGGGTACATGGGCTGGTATGATGATTAAATATTGGGTAATGAAACACCTGTAAGGTTATAAGTTGCTCACTGCTGTAGGCGATCTCATACTAAGTGGTTATCGCATAGTCCGGTCTTAGATCAACGGGGAGATGTCCTGTAGTTTGGCGAGCGTTCAAAAAGCTGCAATAGAGGGCTATCTTAAGCCGACGAAAGCAACAGTCTCGAGCACCGTCCATTCTAGGAAGTTGATTAGCAAACGGAGAAGTGCGGCCGTTCAAGGCCTCCCAATGCTTACCAAGACCCTCACAAATATAGAAGCGTTGACTTCGTAGCTGTGTTCTTACAAATACGCGGAGCACAAAGTCCGCACTTCCATCACCAACTCCACCTGGATAACCCTCTTCTTGTCAAGGTTCAGCGTACCTACCGTTTCAACCTCGCCTGTCCATTCATGGTTTGAAAAGTCGGAAATTAACACACACGACATGCACCTTAGCGGTATTCCCGATTTAGTAATTATCTTTGCGAACCCTGAATTACGTCAATCACGGAGTTTCTCGTCAATTTATTGGGGCGGGTAAAGAAGATCTCCTAGACTGTATGCAACGTTAAATGCATGGCTGATTACTAGTCTCAGCTAAGCACTAGACCCAGATCCTAGTCGCTTACGCCGCGATGAGCGCCGTTCACGCTTGCACAGTAAGCTCGACCTGAGACCTCAAGGGATGCAATAGCTGAACTTTTTGAGCATCTCTGACACATGCCTTGTTACTCAAAAATTAACAGCCTGTTGTCGCTGAAACCTTTGACGAGGTTAAAAAAAATCAGCTTCCACCAAAACCCTAGTCACTTCGAAGGGCGTAGCGGTGGATCTACGGACCCGCGGCCGTCTGATATCCTCCGTTCGGACTCCGTCGCATTCGGGTCATTTCTTACTATATCCAAGCTTCCAAGGTCTGGATTTATTTCCTTATCCTTAGTGTGAGTCTCTTTATGATTGGGCCTTCGGAGTTGCAAAGAAAAAGAAAACTCCGAATACGTGTCAGAGTCGGGATATGTCAGAACTTTGGGCTCACACGTTCAAACGTTCTACCAACGTAACTAGATAACCAAGTAATATCCACGCCCGTATGTCTAATCCAATTACATTTAATGAGAATTAACTTAATTAAGGAAGCTTCTGCTGACTCAGCTTACTCATGGACATAATCCGCTAAGTCAAACACCATAAAATCTCTTAGGGTTAGGTTCAAACTGTAATTTAAGCTTAAACTGAGCATTCGTTGTGCACAATTCATACACCCATACCTGTTGAGTGGTTATTTATTACGACCTGATTTAATGCTGTCGTAGAACGATTATATTTCAAGCGACATTACACACTGCTGTATGACTAACAGTCAATTTTACATTCAGGACAGATGGTGGATACATTGCAAATCTGACTCGCAGACGTTATGCAGAGAAGATCAAAATGGAGAAGAAAGCATCATCAGCCCCTCGGTTGCATTCAGCCGCAGTATTCATAACCCTATATGAATATGCATATCTAATTCTGGCCCCCAAGTCAGCTGATTGTGTAAAGTACATAGAGCCGGTATCTTGAGCAGTCTACAAAAGTAGCTTTCATAATTTTTGTCCTGACGATCTTCAAATGATCTTCATTGTTGGCAATACTAGATAGTACTGTCATGCATACAATTAGCGCGTTACATGCTGTGGATTTTGACACTTTGATACGGTTCGACACACATAATTGCGCACGTAAGAAGGATGCGAAATGTTTGGTCAGGTGTTTACAGCGGTGGGCGCCAAATGACAGAAAGCAGACTTGATTCGGAGTATTTGGCTCTTTTTGTTTCATTCATGAACATAGTAAATACAACCTTTGAGTCAATTTTTGGGTAAACAGTAAGCTCTGATGAGTTCCTGGCTTTCAACTTCCAGGTCATGTGATATCTCAAACCCTACTCTGGACAACGAGTCCTAAAGGCCTTAAGATACACAGAATGATAGACTTCGCCTATGATCTGCGGTTCTAATCTCAATTTGTGAACAGTGTCTTGCTTATATATGTGGGGTCTCAAATGATGATGGTCATCAACATGTCATTGAAACCTGGCCAAAAAATGCTATATTGACCATTGTTATTCTGACGGAGACAAGTTGGCTGTTCTGTAGCATCAATTTAGGCTCTAATTCATCGTTATCAAGAAGTGCGAGGTCTGACTTAACATCCATTTGAGGCTTTATTCAAACCACAGATTCCTGCCTTAACTCCGCGTCTTGCCAAATAGCTCGGCGAATTTTCTCGTCGCCAGCGCCGTGGAGCCTCTCCCTCGGTCCGGCTTCTGGTAAGATATCTCAGCGGTGAAATTTAGAACAGAATTGATGGATCATCAGACCTAAATAGAGAAGTGAAGCTCCTTCGGCCATCCGACCACCAGATGATGAGGCAAGGTGTGATACGCCTCTAAAATAGTATTTATTGCCTTGTTATTTTTTGATATCACTGCACTAACGGCCTAGTCGAATGATGAGTAGACATGACTTATTGCAAGGAAGTTTTTCCGTGTTGCATGAAAAGCTATCGTTGATAATCCAAGCAGCCAGTGGAGCAGGAAGTTCCTCTTTCGCCGCCTGTCTCCAGAATTCATAGATCGTTTCCGAAACAGTGTTTAGTCCTACACTAAATTTCAGGCCATTTCTACTGGCGAGAGTTGATATCGTTTGGAAGTTACACGTAGGAAAAGACTTAGCTCAATCCAGTCCCCAACGTCATGTTCATTCACCATCAAGGTTTCGCGTGACAGCTATGATGACGGTAATTTGGCGGATGCCTCGCTGTCAGTCGCTCCACTGTAATACTTGGATCATTATTTTTGGCCGTATTGGCATGGTCTACTATTTTGGCGACACAAATCGATTCAGAGTAGTCAGAGATCCAGCTCCGTCTAGTATTGTATCCATTGTATCGTCGAGAGACGTTGACTTTCTTTCGAACCGTACCACTATATCTAGGATATAATCCAACCTAACTCAATGAATATACTTCTCAGGAAATTTGCTCCGTACGAAGTGCCTTTCCAGAAAACCCTTGCGCTTAGTATTATCTGCGCTAATTTCCGGTGTTATGGCGAGCTTTTGAAAGATTTCAAAAACTCTCTCCCTTCTTACCAGGGCATCTTTCTTGCTGGATATGACTGATTGCGGCACTTCAGATTTATGTTTGGCTATATTTTTTTTTGGCTGCGTCGCGAAGGTCGGTAGAAGGCCCAGAGAGTTCGTGAATGTAACGTGAGATATTGAACCGACCCAGTCGACGACAAACCATAAAAATTCTTTGTACTTGAAGTACAACCGCACACATGCTCATTATTGAGGCTCATGTTGAAGCAATTGATACACGAGATGCGGTATATTCTGCGATCCACGAGAATCAGACAGGCCTTGTTGATTGTTGATTGTCGCATTGGGTGAAACTAGTGCAATAAGTCCCGCACGTTCTGAGTACATACTCTCTCCTTCCTTGGTGTAATGGTCGACAGAAGAATCAACTAAAGTAATCCATTCATTGTCGGCATCATACTGAACTAGCTCGAAGCGTAGAAGTATCTCTACAGGCGGGCCTGGTCCATCCTTAGTAGTGGCTAAACGGCGCAGTGCGGAATGTAAATCCACCCGACGCGCCAGAAACCCAGAAACCACAATGCGCAAACCCTTCGAGAAACTGACAAGCAATCTGTTTCGATAATTGGCTTCAGTGAGTGAAGGGCGGCGACAATAAGGCGGCACACGCTAACCAGACCAGCGTCTTCCGTATTCAGGCCCCAATCAAGAAGCACTCAGGAGGCGTTAGCGCAGACGTGGATGGCTGCTCTAACTTCGCGGGAAAGAAAAATGCTGACCGTTCAGGCACCATGTATATGCCACTTAACCTAGCAATGGTCAGCCCAGTTGTTGACTATAATACATAAATTAAAGCGGCACCGGGAAGAACACTCAGGAAACAAAAAAAGAAAGAGAATTACATTCAACAGTTGGGATTCGCTGGTGGTCACCCACCCAACTACTAACCAACCGGCATGTGGCTTAAGTACGGCTGAGCGGACGGGAAGCCCTGTTTTCCACATCCTATGGTCGAATGTGCCTATGGAGCTAAGGCAATGGATAATATTGAGCAAAGCGATCAATCGTTAGGGCTTTGGATGCTTAGACTCAACGAACTTCTCCTGTAGAGCCCTATTCATGTTCAAGGCATGGACTCCTCTTTTTAGACATTATGCCTATGTTAGAACTTGCCTTGAATCAGCGGTTGAGTCCACTTGCGTCTCTTAGATGATTCCTTCAGGGAGTGGTAAGTGTCTGTTCTATTTCCATCATTCCATGTCAAAGGTAATTATATATCTCAAAGTTTCGGGGCATTTCAGTCTAAGACAACACACCGATATATAGGTCAAACCCACATGCGGTATTAATGGAGGTCAAGGTTGGGAAAACTGCCCCAAGCACAGTGCATAACAAACCTCGAGGAATCGATCCTATAAATACATAGATACCTTGGTAAGGAAACGTCCCAGAGAGTCTTGTTGCGGGTTATGTATCGAGACATGCTTCGGATATCGATGCAGAATCCGCAAAGTCAAGGGATCTTTGAGAAAGGGTTGAGAAGCAAGTTGAGTCTAGATTCAAAGCGGAGACCATGGAGTTTTTCTTGAACTTTATTGAACTTTATTGCTGTTCCCGACGGGATAAAGGGGTAGCCATCCGTACCTAGCTACGTGCACTTCATATGCTAAAAGAGATCCACAATACATGTTGATTGTGAACGTTAAAGAATAGCATCCCTACTCACGAGTCATTCGGTGCTCTTGCTAATCACATCAGACCATACTAGTCATGAACACTTGACCGGTATACAAAGTACTGACTCAAGGTCATACCGTGTCCGGGATCGTAGCAAGGAAAGTCCCTGCCTCACCCCCTAGGCTTAAATTCAACGTATCCATCGTACCTTACGATAAGTTGATTAGTACACAAATCACACAATTGACGGAGGGAATTTATCGGATATGTCGGATCAACTTCATACTTAAAGCCCGTCTGCACTGTAATTGAGGCATTGACCTCGGAGTAAAGGGTTATCACATTCCTTACTGATGTCACACTGCTTCCTATTGGGCAGCAAAGCCAAGTTCTGTGCAATTAAAGGCTTATAAGAGGCCATCAAATATTTTCTACTCGTTCTTTCACATTCTGCCCTAGTCGAGAAATTCTGATTTATATGGCCTTGCATAAGAATGTTGCTAACGTCAGATGTATACTGTACTCTCAGAATCTTCTACTGGCTCTGGGAGCTCTCAAGATCCACCCAACTATGTCATTTTGACGAAAAATAGGGCTTTCTTCAAAAATACATGTGTTTACAAGTCATGTGTTCCGAAGAAAGAGAAATTTGTGGCTTGAATGTTAGTATTTATAGTGACAAGGAGGGATAAATCTCTCTCTACAGTGGAGAGACAAGGGTCAAACTTTCAATCTCAATTGCATAGAAGCTTTATTTATCAAGTAATGATTTGATAGGGATAAAGGAGCCATCCAGTAATAACATTCTACGAGAACCATGCGCAATGAAGCTGTTTTTGGTGTATTTCAAGTTTGTGCCTCTTCTTTCTTATATATACATGTATAGCTCCACTCGCTAAACTTAAGTTGATTATTACTCCTTTCATCGATTGAGGTTCAAAAAGAAGCAAAGCTCGGAGACATCACGATAGTGTTTTTTTTTATGCATATATATGGACAGGGGGAAAACGTAACTATTTCAAACATAAATGCGGTGCTGATTCGGTAAGCTCAGGGCGAACGATTTTTGCTGCCTATTGTTTTGATTTAAACGCTTGCTGACTTGATTTCTAGATGGTGACAGGCTCGATGTTATTTTAATATCTTACTTTTATTGATCGACGTGAAATGAATTTCCCCGGTGTTGAATACTTCGATTCCTCAATACCTAAGTTCACCCCAGTACTGATCAACACATTGCCTGGGGGAAACCTTGTCACTTGAGTGGCCTGACCACCGAACTGTGCCTGTTGTTCTCAACAGCAAGACAATCGTTATTACAATTAAAACTCACAAAACCAACTACAACTTGAGACGGCACCTGAAACCATTCAGATACTGAACAGGGCATAAATCCGTGACCTGCCATGGAAATATCTGGTAAGATGTATAGCTCCAATGATTCAATAATTACTGACCAAACTAGTTGACCAGGATGCACCTCCGCCTCGAAAGCGTCGAAAGACCGAGGGAGACATTCCCAAGTCTCTCTTCTGGTTTGGGCAAGGACCCGGCGTGACGCAATTTGGAGTAGGACTTCTGCAACCATTTTCTCAAGCAACTAACCCTCATATTGATTACACTAGTCTGCATCTGCCAGCAATAATATTGTCTCCTGCAAAGACAACAATGAGCCAATCCCTTCCAGATGGAAGTAACGGGCCTCAGTTCCAGGGTCTGCAGATGATGCACACGGACCCGCATTCGGTAGCTCGATTTGCGAGCCAGCAAAAGACGCATGAACCCCTGAAAACAGAGCAATATCAGAATCCGGGAGAATATCCTTACAATGATGATATTGCAGCAAAGAAGAGCCTGGCCTTTGGTTCAGCATGCAGCTTACTTCCACCTCCCCGAGTACACGTCCGAAGTAGCTCTGCATTTCCCGAATTGAATGACATTCATGTGGAGTCCATTTCTGCTGCCGCTCTGTTCGACAAAAGACGGCGCGTGAATTCTCAACCTACTTTGACAAGTGGCACCAAAGAATCGCCTCACGAGTATGCATCTCTGCACAGTGCAGGAGGAGTCTGGGATCGATGTCAGAGGCCGAGTGAAGACTACTCTTCCGAGGGTTCTAGTGAACGAGCTCCTCTTCTATCACGATCTCGACAGCTTGATCTGGGAATGGCTGCCTCTCATTCTCGAAAACATCGGTCTCTCGGTCTATCCACGGACGATGGAGTCAACGAAACCCTTCAGCACATTGGCAAACGCAAAGGACTTTGGTTCGTGGTTATAGCCATTTTGGTGGGCATATTCTTGATTCTTTTCTTGTATGCCTTTCACATATTACGATGATATCACGAGGTTGCATGTAAGGGAACCGTTTGACATAGATATCTTCAAGGCGATGTTTGCATAAAAATTGGATGTTTGGATGCATGTATTTGGAGCAGGATTCGAACTCATTATGGTCATATATAGAAGCCTAGAAACACATCAAGGTTATAGAAGAGCCACATCGCTTGAGTGATAGTATAAGAAGTAGAGTTGAGAGTGTTGTACTATGATTTGCTATCCCAACACATCCTAACACTTGAAAGGGACGGTTATAAATGCACGTTTTTTAAGGGTCATACCGAGTGCTGTATGTGGGGGACCACTTCATACTAACGTTCTATAAAATGGTGGCCCTCATTAGGGTTCCAAAGCCACGTGGCCCAGGGCGCCCTGCGGAAGAGCCTTCCTTAGAACACTATGTATTGAAAAGGTAAATCCACAATGTTGTCTCAGCACCAAAGAAATTACGATCGAACACGATGTATGTGACAAATTCACTACACAGGCATAGTTTTAGATAGGATAAATTGTTTGACGAGGGGCGGATCTCCGGGTATAAAATGCGGGTGCCATTGGAGATTCTACGCCAAATCCTTCAGAATGTTGTTGACATTCTTCCGATCACAGATATATTCAGAGCAAGACTTGTCAACTGTGAGATATACCTTCTGACGCATAAAGGAAGAAGCCTCGCTAACCATATTCACAGCACTTTTCGCCGACGAGATATCGGGTCTTGCTCTAGAGAAATTTTGTATTCGAAGGTGGGACTGCGGCTTTCAGGACCCAGATAAGAATACAGAAAAATGCTGGAATGGACTTCCAATAGGATTGAAACGCTCTTACATTCAGAGCAGAATAGATCAGTACCCATATCAGCCATGTATTCTATCATCTAATGTGTATCGCATGCTACAGCCGGGAGCGGACAAAATCGCTAATGAAGACCAAAAAGCCATACTGACTGAAAAACTCATGGATGGTATCCTGAGTGGAAAATTCGACCCTGACGTTATGTTTTCTACTGTTCACTACCAAAAACGTGTCCAAGCCAAAATTTTCCTTGAACCCGAGAGTGCAGTTTGTTTTAACGGTGTCCATAATATGCTGCAGCTTGCCCTCGCGATTAGTGCTATCAAAAGGGGCGATTGCGCCGAGCTCCAAGGACTTTTTGACCAAGGTCTTCGACCAGACCTGTGGACTGAGGAGCTGATATTACGTCCATTGGATGTTGCGGCGAGTGTTGGCAACGAAGCAATCCACAAAGTCCTAATCGCGAATAAGAGCCCAGTGAGCAACTCACGCGGTTTCTTTGAGCCATGGTCTAATATCTTGACTACAGCTGCACGGTGCGGCAATGTGGAGGCTGTTGAGGAGTGGACTAGAGCAATACAAAGCATGAATTATAGTTACAGAGATTGGATGGGAAATGCCATTTGTTTGAATAAGCCCTATGATACGAGCATGGCTCTGATAGAAGCACATCACAGTGCGGCAAGAGGAGGACACGTGGAAATCCTGAAGCTGTTGGGCGGGAGAATCAAGCATATGAGTGCGGAGAATCGTTTTCACTCATTTGTAGAGGCTATCAAAGTTGGACAATGCGACGTGGTAGAATGGTTTCTCAGTCAGGGTTCGGTTGACCTACAGATGAGAACGATGTACGAAAAGAAAGGACCGATGTCTGCCGCAGTATTTGACACCAACCGGAGAAGGAGGCCACAAATGGTTAAACTGCTGTTGGAACATGGAGCTAGTCCGAATGAGATCTTTTCGCCTACGGGTAGAACACTCTTGCAGAGGGCATTAGAGCAAGATGACTCGGAAACTGCGAGATTGTTAGTGAAGTATGGCGCTGATGTGAGCTGCTGTGGTCATGGGCCAACTTGTCAGAAGAAACCGCCTTTATATATTGCTATCAAGCGCAAGAATGCTCCGATGGTCATGCTTTTACTAAGAAAAGGGGCCGATCGAATGTATGGAGGATTGTGCGAAAAAAAGAATCTCAAAGAACGAGATATAGGTCACGTTGAGAAGAACTTGATATCATTGGGTTGGAATGACAAAGAGCTACGAGACAAAGTGCTCGAATGCTTTGCCCTGAACTTTGAGGGCATACGAAACAGCAAATGAGGTGATAGCTATCTCGCCTTTGACGATGGTAGATATGGTGACATCTGAGCGATATAGTAATCCATACCACTGAAAGATGGTATACATAATCGTACCATCTTTGAGGGCAAATAGCATGAGATCAATCTGAACATTTAATTTCAAAATAATTTATTCTGTAACTTGTAAAAAGTTTTGTATAAAATCATGGGCAGAACCAAAGACGACCAAGAAGGCGTGATGCAAACAATGCAAACACACGTCCGACAAAGAAGCACGCGGTTTCGGAGAAGCTGCAATGTTGCGGGCTAACTTGTCCATCTCTATTTCGATTCACTGTACCTTTACTGGCGAGTTCATTTGCGAATCTCTTTCGACCATGAACTGAAATCTAATTTCTAGTCGCTGTATCCTTATAATCAGACACTGCAATTAGTGCTGATCGCGTGGACGACCCTTTCGAAGTCGGCGCCATCAGGTGGCCGTCTTCAAAATGTTTACATTCACGCCCCTTCTGGGGGCGCAGTTCTCTTCATCAAGAGCGTCGCAATCGATTCTTGAGCTGGAAGGAGGAATCAAGATTCTTGTCGATGTCGGATGGGACGAGACTTTTGATGTCTTGGAGCTTGCAGAGTTAGAAAAGTGAGCACGACTCTATACTAATCGCGGGAATATTTCTTGAACTGACGTGATTTCCCATCTAGGCATATTCCCACGCTCTCTCTAGTACTTTTGACTCATGCTACGATTTCGCACATCGGCGCTTTTGCGCACTGCTGCAAGATGTTTCCGCTATTCACACAGATTCCGGTTTACGCTACGGGTCCGGTCATATCTCTCGGTCGAACGCTGCTCCAAGATATGTATACATCGGCTCCTCTCGCCGCTACCTTTCTACCTAAAGCATCGATATCTGAACCGGGAGCATCCATATCCGCAGCAGCAGCAACCGCCGCAACAGCTTCCGCAGAAGGAGACGACCGAAGCAGCAAAAAGCTAGCTACATCAGGGAGAATACTGCTTCAACCGCCAACCGGTGAGGAAATTGCTCGATATTTCTCACTGATCCATCCGCTCAAATATTCACAACCTCATTCACCTCTTTGCTCGCCCTTCTCGCCTCCGCTGGACGGGTTAATGTTGACTGCCTACAGCGCCGGACACACTGTTGGAGGAACAATATGGCACATTCAGCATGGCATGGAATCTATAGTCTATGCGGTGGACTGGAATCAAGCGAGGGAGAATGTAGTTGCCGGTGCTGCTTGGTTTGGAGGTTCCGGTACCAGTGGCACTGAGGTCATTGAACAATTGCGCAAACCTACTGCACTGATTTGTAGTAGCAAAGGTGGCGATAAATTTGCACCACCCGGTGGTCTACACAAAAGAGATGCTCTGCTGCTAGATATGATTCGCAGTAGTCTGGCAAAGGGGGGTTCTGTTTTGATACCTACGGATACTAGTGCGCGAGTGTTAGAACTATCATACGCACTAGAACATGCTTGGCGGGATGCAGCCGATAGCGCAGATGGCGATGATGTGTTCAAAAAGACTGAGATATACCTTGCTGGGAAAAAGGCGCATAGCACCATGCGACTGGCTAGGAGTATGTTAGAATGGATGGACGAAGGTATAGTCAGAGAGTTTGAAGCTGTAGAAGGTGGTGATGCAGCGACAGCTCGAGGTCATAAACGAAGCGACAGCCAGAGTCGCAATGCCGGTGCTAAACCAGGGACAAAACTTGGTCCGTTTACTTTGAAGCACTTGAAGATCGTCGAGCAAAAAAGGAAATTAGAAAAGATTCTAGCGGATGGCATTCCCAAAGTTATTATCGCCTCGGATACCTCACTGGACTGGGGTTACTCGAAGGAAGCATTCCGCACTCTTGCACAGGGCTCACAAAACTTGATCATCCTGACTGAGACTCTTCCGATTCGCTACCAGACCGATGACCCCGAGCAGCCTGATAAGATGACTCTTGGGCGAATGATATGGCATTGGTACGAGGAGCGAAGGGATGGTGTGGCTATGGAGACAGCTTCAAGTGGAGAACTACTTGAGCAGATACATTCGGGCGGGCGAGAGATTTCGGTCGTCGACGTAGAGCGAACCGCGCTTGATGCTGATGAGCAGGTGCTTTATCAGCAATATCTCGCAACACAGAGACAAATACAAAATACATCACAGGGGCGAGGCGATGCGAATATAGACAGCACAGCTGATGCCCTGGATGATGGGGCTAGTTCGACATCTTCCGAGGATTCTGAATCTGAACAGCAGGGAAGAATTCTCAATTTTTCAACATCGCTGGCACATACTAATAGAAACAAGATTGGAGTGAGGGATGAGGACCTTGGCGTCAACATACTTCTCCGACGCAAGAATGTTTTTGATTATGATGTTCGCGGAAAGAAAGGGCGTGAGCGCATGTTCCCTTATGTTGCTCCTAAAAAGCGCGGAGATGAATATGGAGAGTTCATTCGTCCCGAAGAGTATTTGAGGGCTGAAGAACGTGAAGAAGCGGATGCTCAACAGCAGGAATCTGGGCCACAAAGCGAGATGAAGCTTGGGCAGAAGCGCAGGTGGGACGAAACCGGGCCAAATGGTCGGCGACAATCCGGCGGTGCACACAAACGTCAAGCTATGTCTCCAGATGGTGGTCTAGGAGGTGATATTGGAGGTATACGTGAAGACTTGGCAGCGGGCAGTGATGGACCCGATTCTGAGTCTGAAAATGAGGTCGATGAACAACCATTTGAAGGCCCGGCTAAAACAGTATATCGACATTCCACTGTCACTGTCTATGCGCGTATCGCATTCGTTGATTATATGGGCCTGCATGATAAGCGAAGTCTGGAGATGCTGATTCCTCTCATTCAACCTCGCAAGCTTATTCTCGTGGGCGGGATGAAAGAGGAAACAACAAGTCTTGCGGCTGAATGTCGGAATTTGCTCGCTGGAAAGGATGTAGGAGACCGATCTGCTGTTGTTGATATTTTCACCCCTAAGAATGGCGAGTCGGTTGATGCTAGTGTGGATACTAATGCCTGGGTTGTGAAATTAAGCAATAACCTGGTTAGACGACTCAAGTGGCAGCATGTGAGAAGTCTTGGTGTCGTAGCTCTCACTGCTCAGCTCAAGCCGCCGGAGATCGTCTCGGCTGAGGACGAGGTCATCGAGTCAACAAACAAGAAACAAAAACTCCTGGAAACCGACCCAGGCACCGTCTCAACTCCTGTTGGCGGGGTGAACGATTCATCAATTTCGAAGGCAGATGCATATCCTATATTAGATGTGCTTCCAGCTAGCATTGCAGCTGGAACACGCTCCATGGCTCGCCCGCTCCATGTAGGCGATCTTCGACTCGCCGACTTGAGAAAACTCATGATAGCTGCAGGACACAGAGCTGAATTCCGTGGCGAGGGAACGCTGCTTATTGACGGCATGGTTGCGGTTCGTAAATCGAGTACGGGCACCATCGAAGTTGAGGCTTCAGCACAATCCTCCGCATCAGACCGCAGGGGACAGGCTGGAAGTTTCCTTGCCGTGAAACGCAAAATCTATGAAGGTCTTGCGGTTGTTGCTGGTGGCTGATTATGTATAATAACGGTTGTACAATATCATATAAAAATCTATTCCATGAACTTACGAACCGAAACAAAGAACTACTATTGATTTTGTATTTCAGACAATGTTAAGGAAGGTTATTGAATTGATGCATTGTCATCCGATTCTTCAACGTCACAATCGCACCTAAAGAATAAAGAACTCGAATGTATTGAGACTATAACGCCATCGATATGAGCAAGATTAGATAGTGTCGACTCGTCCAATCTTGGAAGTCAAGTCACACGGCGACGAGCTGAGCCTCCCTAGACCCCTCTAAGTATGACTGGTTTAGCATGTACACTTTTCTGAAGTTCTGAGTCTCTACTCAATTATTCAGTTAATCATACTCTTGCTATACGCACCATACCTGATTGTGATCGAAACTCTATAGGAACATCTCATACAATCCAAACATGCCTACGTATCACTACAAGTATGTCTACAAATATATCAAATCAACCGTCATTGATGAAAAGCCCAAATACCATGACGATGACTCAAGCCGGAGACGAAAGAAACGTCACAGTAGCTCTTCTGCTCGTATGGAGGAGTCTGGATCAAGAGATAACGAGTCTCTTCGTCCATTGTGGGTGACGGTCAACAAGATCGATAACCATTTTGGCGTGAGTCATGCATGCTCAAACTGTTTTCCTGTTGTGACTTCATTGAAGATATGCTGATTGATAGCGTTGTATCTGCAGTCAGGGAGCAAGAGATATCGGCACCGAGACGATGAAAGAGACCACGACCGCCATCACAGTCATGGAGACAGGTCTTGTTCTTCTTGTTACTTGAGACGCAGTGATAGTAAGCCTGAAAACCCATGGACTCAACAGAATGATTCAGGTCCTCCGTCTCCGTCACCATCACGACCACGCCCAACACAGTCATCACCATCAACGCCATCGTCACCAAGACCCAAGCCACACTCTTCGGTAGGGCTGGATATGACGTCCTCTGTGTCTAGCTACGTCGATGCAGGAACCAACGCACGGGACTACTGGTACTACCCTCCACAGACCGTTCTCTGCCCGACACCGGTTGCACCGCCGCATCCTTATACAAGTACCGAGTCGTGGTATGGACAAGGATCCTCGATGTTCAATGCTCCTGCGTATGGTTTCACGTACTGCAGCAATCAGGTTGTGAATTTGGGACGTGGCCAATGCGCTTGTGACACAGTTCCTATGGTTATGTGTAGTACATGCTATCAATCTTTGAGTCATCAGGGGTATCCATGTTTGGCAAGGCTGCACATATGATATATGACTATGATGCCTAACCTTTCTGTATCGAGATAGCCAGCTCATTATCAAGCATGCCTGACAGAGGGTGGGTGATAATGACTATCTAAGCCTTTACCTGTTCATGCTATATTTCTCATACCCTAATATCCGTGTGCGTATGACATCTGGATACTCTTAAACCATGGAAATTACTGTTGACTAGACAGCTGACAATTTCAATTGATTTGTCCTTTTCTGATGATTTACCTTTCGTAATTACGCGACGGATGTAAGTGACTATTGGTAATTCGTCGGACATCTTTGTGTCCCATAAGTTGCAAATCATGCTATAGAAACGCTGGTGTAAACCCGTACGAGGATGATCAAATGTTCGTACTGAAAATATAAAGGAAAAATTGAAATAAAAAAAAAGCTAGATCAAACTCCATTTGAAGGTGCCGTTGTGCAATGCGATACTCTTCGTGCAGTCCGTGCCATTTCATCTTTTCTTTTCATGTTTATTCTGACGTTCCATGAGCGGAACAGCTTCAACTCCGTCCTCATCTTCGTCAAAGTCGTCACCAATATCAAACACCTCTGCATCCGCGATATCTTCCAAGTCTTCTTTCGGGATCGCATGTGCACGTTGCTGGGACTGGCGACGCTGATGCCGTAATAACACGTAGCCGTAGCCGGCGATCTCGACGCACCAAATCACGAACCAAGTGAACAAGCCGGCAGACGACCAGTGGCGATAGTACATACCGAGACCGACGTTCATGGTACCAACCAACAGGATTCCGCGACCTAGCCAGCGATGCACGAGCGTGAAGATTGTTTGTCGGCGGATCCTGACAAAGTCAATGTGGTGTTTGTAGCCTGCAGCAGCCTGGATGGTCAGGGAGCAGAGGATGATGAGACCGATGATCTTGTGTGGCCCGAAATGTTTGGAACGTAAGAACATGTACAAGCCATTGCCGAGGGCGAGGACCGACGCGCCGGCTTGGACCATCCAGTGATACTTAAAAGCGCGGATGAGCGGGGAGCGGATGGCCACGCTGCCTGCAAAGTACAATCCCATAAAAGAGAAGGTCATGATGGTGCCGTGAACTCGGACCGCAGTAAAGAACCCTTCAGGCTTCTTTGTCTCTGGTTCCGGCGACTTTTCGGTGATTCCGATGGTTTCTTCGCCTTGAATGTCTGGGGCTGAGGTCTCTGTGGTATCCTTCGCAGTGACACTCATGTCACCCCATACCTTACCCTTGAAGTCATGGTACATCAAGCTCGAATACTTGTCGGCGCCATTGAAAGCTTGTTCTTTATTTCCAGCAAAAATATAGGGCGATAGTCCGTCAATTTCCACATCTGACGACCAGCATGAATAGCAGACAAATTGTGCGAGATATTTGTCATCCGAGACAGTTGCTTGCAATACCTTGACCCGTTGGTCGGCATCTTCTACAACCTTGGGCATGACATGGCCGCTTGCCGATCGAATGCTGGTGATAAGCGATTTACTTTCTTGATCCTCATAGATGATGAACATCACAGCACCTTTCATTTCACGACCGAGACCAACACCCGTCCAACCGCCTTTCTTGGATGGTGTTGCAGAAATGGTCAAGTAAACATTATGGCTTTCAGTTGAAATGTTTTGTTGAGTAGTTGCGGCGAAACAAAAATCGGCGCCGGTGTGACAGTACTGGATTCCTGCAACGAGTGTTGATGATAAAAGGAGAAGTGCGGTGTAGACCAGCGCTGTGGATTTGTTGAAGAGGCCCATTTTGGCTGATACCTTTGCCTTGTTCACGCGCTGTTGACACCTTTCCCCGCAAACTGTTCCGAATGCTGAAATACTTAATCTGAGCTTTGTTCAATCATTCGAACAGACACGTAGAATATGCCGATTCTTGATCTTCCAATCTCGTTGCAGGTGCAACGGAAGCCAAAAAGTCGTAAAATAAATGACAACTGTTCGGAAGACGATAAGAAACCCGATTATATAAACTTCAACCGATTAATTTCTTAAAGAATAAGCTGAATTCGTAAGCCTGTCGTGTGGCCCCCAACCAATCACGATTTACTCGCAAGTCACGGGCTTTCTAAAATGCTGGAGCTGATTGGGTTCTCCAGCTTATCAGATTCAGCATGTCCGGTTTCCGAAGACACTAAGATAGAAGATTAAAGCTGATCCGCACGGCATTGGACGGATCAGAAGATGTCGGTCTTCGCTTTTCCCCTTCCGATTTGCGACGCCATCCCCCGAGCCTAAGACATGATCTTTTCAAATGCTTCGATATGATAGGCTGGTATAATCTTGCAATATATCGAATAGCTGGAGCTTGTTTACTCGACATCGTAGACTTACCTCTAGAATCTACTTAGTACCTTTTTGCTTTCGAAGACTAGATTGAAGAGAAAACTCGCGTGCCGAAACGGCGCCCTGTGACATTAGATAACCCTAAAATGCAGCCAATCAAAGTCACTACTTGGTTGTTTTCACTCAGTGCCGATAGGCTACCACTCAAAAGGTTTTTCTTTTCACTGTATACAAAAAAGGTCTGCTACAAGAACAACTTGAACACTGTAAATACATCAAGACCTGATCAGAGACATACTTGGGTAGCACCTCGACGCAACAATGGCAGACATCGCATTGTCAGATATACCGGTAACCAGAACAAGCACATCAAAAGTACATTATCAGAATGCAGTTTCCGAAAGCGCATACCAAAGCGACAGAGACACCAATTTATTGAGTACAGATCGCCCAACCACAGCAGCATCTTTGTCTTCTTTGTCCAGTGATGCCGATATCTCAGTCTGGCAGTTGGCCAACATAGTGTTGGCCGTTTCTGGAATCAGTTTTCTCGGCAGCTTTACTACTGGACTTCTCACTATTGGTCTTCCGCAGACTGCAGCGGATGTTGGGCTTTCGGAAGACTTGATTTTATGGTATGATCTACTTCCCTCTCTATGATAAGTTACTCAAGCTAATTCATACTTGGCAGGCCGTCCTCAGTCTACGCGTAAGTGCACTGTCAACTCATATCAAGTATCATACTGACCAGCCAGACTGGCGAGCGGCTCTTGCCTTCTCCTAGCAGGCTCCATCGCCGACGTAGTAGGCAACCGCATCATCAACCTGATCGGCTGTTTCCTAGTCGGCTGCTTCGTCACAGCATGCGGCCTATCTCAAACGGGTGTCCAATTGATCATGTTCCGTACCATGCAAGGTGTCGCTGTTTCTCTGTGTTTACCAACATCAGTTGCTATTGTTTCTCAATCTGTGCCCGCAGGTCGGAAACGGAATATAAGTTTCTCGGTTCTAGGGTTTGTTCAACCGGCTGGATTCTCTGCTGGATTGGTGCTGGGTGGTGTCATGGTCAATACCATCGGATGGCGATATGGGTATTATATCTCTGGTGGATTGACTTTGGCGTTATTTGTGGTTAGCATCTGGTCTCTACCGGCGGATCGTCCGGGGGCTGCTGGAAAAATTAGTTGGGCTAGACTTGGGAAAGAGGTCGATTGGGTTGGGGGGATTGTATCGTGTGCTTGTTTGGCGATGTTATCGTACATCCTTGCGTGAGTTCACGTTGAAAAATGGCTTAGGAATCGATGCTAACGGTCCATGGGTCAGGGCATTGACAAATGACGTTGAAAATATCAAAACCCCGGGCAATATCGTCATGCTCGTGATTTGTGTGATTCTCGTCCCAGTCTTTATCTTCTGGGAACAACGTCAAGAACGACTCGGAAAACCCGCACTCATCCCCAACTCATTATGGCGCAACTCCGTCTTTACAAATGTGTGTTTGATGGTCATGTTTTCATGGGCAGTCATCAACGTCATGGAACTATACTGCAGCTTGTTGTAAGTCTCCCCCTTGATTGCGCTGAATATTAAGGGTGCTGATGATGGATAGTTTTCAAAAAATTCAAGGCCTTTCTGCACTCCAAGCCTCCCTCCGCATCTTACCCAACGTCGTGACCGGGTCCATTTGCCAATTGACTACAGGACTTCTAGTCCATCGCGTATCCGCTTTCTATTTAGTAGTCGGATCAACTCTCCTCACTGCTGGATCCCCCTTGTTGATGGCCCTAATCAACGTCGAATGGCCATACTGGTACGACGCATTCTTCGCTCAGGCACTGTCCCCAATCAGCGCCGATATCCTCTTCACCGTGGCTCTACTGGTCATATCCGACGTATTTCCGCCTCGCATGCAAGCTCTCGCTGGCGCGGTGTTCAACACCGTCTCCCAGTTTGGGAATTCGCTTGGTCTAACAATCATGGCTGTAATATCGTCTGTTGCTACAAAGCATGCTGCTGCTTCGCCGGCAGATGATCAATCTACAGGACCGCTTATGGTGGGATATAGGGCTGGGTTTTGGGCTGCATTTGCGTGGATGATGTGTGCTTTTTTTATTGGGGGATATGGGCTGCGGAAAATTGGAAAGGTTGGATTGAAGACGGATTAACTTTCCTTTACGTTAGCTGTCTCGCGGGACACATAGACTTAGACCCTTATTTAACAAAGCTCATTCGTATTTAACATAAAGATTAGAAAGGCTATATTGATCGTCGCTTGATGATTGCACTCTCTTCCAATACATGCAAAAATCAGCCCCAAGCCTCGGCGCATATTCACCGCTACAATCCTTCAAGCATACTGCAAGGATTAAGAACTCATGTATGTAAATTTGGCCCACCAGATTCTCGACTTTACTCATCTTCTATTTCATCCAAAAGTATAACAGACTCGCCGATGCAATCGGAATGCCTTCCTAGATGGTCAATAGCATGACAAACCCTAAGCACCATGAATCATCACCCAGCCATTTCAAATAGGATTAAATTATGCAATACGCAGGCAGCAGCCCAATCACTCGGGTACCGGAGGTATTATATACGAGAATCGATCCCCATGACTAGCATCGTTTCGCAGGGATATCCATTTAGGGTAGTTCGTCGTCCCTCCGCAGGAGGGAAAGGAAGTTCAAAGAAGGGCGAAATGTGGGGACCCCGCTTTTTGTACCACCAACAAATCTTACATACATACATACATACAATACACGCCTCGTAAGTACATTAAGTACGATATGTGTGTAACGATAATATTACCTACTCGAGTAATAAATCACGGGCGTATATCCATCCAGCCTTCTTATTCCGCATAATCTCGGGGCTGTATTTACGTATATCCTATTGTAGGTAAACGGGAATACAACATAAATTTGATACGACTATTACCGTACATTAATTCTAGACCTCTCTTAGACGGTGAACCCCGGATTCTTGCAGAGCTGGGGGTACATGTACATATGTGCCTAGGTACTTATTTGGGCAAGTACATATAGCCCACTAATTAAACTAACTATAACTGGGTTACGTCGTACGTACAGCTCAGCTCAGCTTTGGATTTCTTTATTAGAGGTTCAGGGAAGTTTTTGGGGGTTGTAGCTACACCGTTCAGCTTTATGGGGTTAGGAATACAGGTCATATGTACGTTAACGATTTCATCCCGCGTCTGTACCTACCTACCTAGGTAGGTGTATGTTTTGCCTTGCCTCGCCTTGTCTTGCCTTGCCTGCCAAGGAGGTCGATGAGCAAATGGGAGGGAGACTAGACCCAAGACCCTACTCGAGCTAGTAACGTGTGAGCCAATGACTCGGATACTGCGTGGTTACATAGGTCGGTATGACTGTGACCAGGTGCCACCGGAAGAGTCGGGTCATCATTAGACATTATTGTACAAATCAGGTTGGTTCATTATTCTGAAATCTAATCCCGAGGAAGACATGAAGGCTCGCTCGAATAGGTATATGCAAACATATCAGGTAGTCATGAGAAAAAATTATACAATAAACAATAATATAATGACAGAAGATGGAAAAAATGGATACATAGAGCAGAAGTATATGTACGTTAATATATGTACGAAGAATCAAATGCGTAAATTCAGTGGCACTTGGGCTTCACCGATGTGTAACCCTCTCAAGCTGGCTGGTAACAGCTCAATCAACGAGGCGAAGGCATGCCCCTTTAGGTCTCCCGACGATTGGCAACCCGTAAAACTCCTGTCATAATAAACTTCCCTCCCCAAATATCCACAGATGAAAGAGTAACTGTTTTTGTCCCCTTTTGATGTTTCCATCCACAATATCTCCCGATTTTTTTCCACCTGTTGGGTGCAAGAAATGAAGAAATGAAAAGCGCCCATCCAGTTCCAGACAAAGTTATAAGCAAACAATTTGGCCGCTTGGTCATACAACACAAGTGCATATAGTGTGACATTAGAAATAGAATGAAAATCGCACCCACGAATGCTATGCAACGCAACAAAAGCAGATAGCCCCGATCATAATAAAGAATAAGCAAAAACGTAACCGTATCCCGTACAAATCATAAACAAGTAAACGAATAAAAAAAGCGAATTTTTTGTGATGTTCTTTTTGTCAAGTCGAGTCGAGTAGCCCCATCAAGTGATCAGAAAGTCCATCTGCATCTCCTCGATGATCTTCTCCCAGTCCCAGCTTTCCTCCATCTTCGTATCCATTACTTCCCAGACCCGTTCGACGACTCTAAGAGCTGGCTCGATGTTCCGTAGACTAGAATACTCTTTCATTGCTTCAAAGCCCTTTTTGATCCTGTCGCGTTGACGGGGCAAGAATGCAGAGCATCCTATGAGGAACAACGGCATGAGCATGATACTATACGCACCTGCATCCTGAGGCAACAGATCCAGATATTTCAAGGCATCGTCGACAACCTGAGAGATCTTATCGCTGGGACGGGATGGGCGGATGGTTCGGTACAAATATACCCATGTGGACTGTCGGTACAATTGTGAGGCGTACCAATTTGGCGTTTCGGGAGTATATGATGGCTCCCAGATCCGCAGCGCCGAATCAATGGTGACTGCTTCGCTAAGAATCTGATAGTCCACAGCTGGTTCGTACCCTTCGCTGTGGCGTACCCGAATGCGATCCCTTAGCCGAGTGATTTCAGAGATATAGTTAAACAAGCCATCAAAAATGCCGAGAAATGTTCCGGCCTGGGCATGAGGTACAAAGTCCGGGAGCCGGAGGTCGCCAGTAAGCTGTACTGGCCGTCTGTCCAGAGAGGTCAACGAGTTCGAAACGTCATGATATTGGAAGAATTCAATGATGAATTGTCGAAACTTTTCGTTCTTGGGCTTCTGATTGAGTAAGAGATAGCGGGCAGCGTCCATATGAGATCTATATTCTCCAGCGGTTTCTCCTTCGCAGATGGTGTTCAAGCATAATGCCAGCGTAGATGCGATGATTGGATCCTCCACTAACAAAGACGGCTCCTGGGCATCTTCCGCCAAGGGAGCGGCATTAATACTATCCCGGAGGTCGGTGATGGCTCGATCGAAATGGTAGTGCTTTCTTTCCTTGAAACGTGGTTCGGGGTCACGCGCAGATAGATGGGAGCCTGACAAACACATCAAAGAATGCATCAAACCTCTGTGTTGAGTTGCCATAGGAAGCAGAATCTCCTTGAATGGATTAGAGTCATCGTTGATCAGTGTGAGTACTCGACTGAAATCGAAGACGAAATGATCGAGGAAACGCCGGTCAACGTCCGTTTCGATTCCATCAATTAGAATAGGTAGACCTCGTGGTAATATTGAAATAGAAGTTCGCCGAACCGCTGGAAGAGTTAGACCAGTTTATCCTAATATACCAGGTCTTAAAGCACTTACCATCTGCCATTTTCTGTTTCCCGCTTTTCCAGATTTCTTTCGGAGGATAACCTTCGCAAACAACGGCATTTTTCTGACAGTTGAGACCTGTAGTTTCGGATGTTAGCGCCTGTTAATATTCCGAATCTCCGCAAGCTCCTTACAGGCAGGTTTAGTCTCGTCGCATTTCTTCTTCCTCCTCCGACAGGTAATACAGCCCGTCTTTGAGCGACCCTTGGCAACCTTCATCTGACCACCGGGCATGGGCAAGGGGTGTTTGCGTGGCCGACCTCGCTTTCGTGGTAGACTAGCAATCGCATTGGAAACATCGTCGGCGGGACGGTCGTCACCCGGCTTGAGATCCATCAAAACCTCTCCATCGTCATCTAACTCCTCAATCTTTGGAGCGAGCGCATCAGGCGAATTGGGATCGATCGCATCGGAAACATTATTAGATTGGGGATCAGCAAAGGTTGCGGATGTGGCAGACGAGGGGGAGGTTTGGTCGGATTCGCGGCGCATTCTGTAGGCATTTGCGGACGAAAGGTGGTGCTCGTCCTGATGATGCCAGTCGTTCAGAAGCTCGTCGGAGGTATCATCGTTCAGACTGTGCGACTGACTGTCGTCGGACGAGGACGGACTCTCGATGGCACTCCCCGACTGAGCGGCATGGACGTGAGAGTGAAAAAGCGACGACGATGTTGGCGCGCAACGGAACGGACCGGCTCCACTTGTGACAGAAGTAGCAGCAACAGAAGGCTTGTTTACAACGGGCGATGGATTTTGCACCGAGGACTGATGACTGTGCATGGCCAACATTGGGATGTCGACATATGAGGTGTAATACTGGAGTCGATCCAGTAGGAGACTGGGTTGGGAGCGAGCCAGGTGGTAGATACTATGCTATTATAACGGGAGTGGATAATAGCTAGAGGGAGGGGAAGGGTAGTCTAGGCGGGCACTAAGAGAGGAGCCTGGCGGGAATAGCGAGAGTAAAATCAGAGGTGGACTGGACCGGGCAGTCAGTTCATATACTGTCAAGTCGTTGAGAGTAGTCGCAGTGGCAGGAATGGCAGGATTACAACTCATCCAATTATCGCTGGCAGGTGACAAGCGGGGAAGAGTCGAAGATGGTTGAACAGACACGAGGCTCACTCGTAACTTTAGTAATCCAGGCAGGCAGAGAGCTATTCACAGGGCGCTATTCTATTCCGAACAGAATTCACAGAAGAGGAACCACAGCGGGTTCAGACGGGCACTGCCCTGTATTTAATATCGTGGGTTAAGAATTTGCGAGAAATGGCTGCAACGTTACTATGGCCGGAGATTCTACTCCGTACTGTAAGTGTATGTACGCACTATGTACGTTCCCAAGAAAAAAGGGAGAGCAAAGAAAAAGCAAGCAGCAGTCCGATCGTTGCTTTAGTATGCGGGAAATAGTCGAGCAGAGAGTACATGAATAACCAACACGTAATAGTAATGGTCATGGCAATAGTAATGGGAAAGTAAGTCAGATGAGACGGGCTACATAAAGCGACACAGAGGTCCAAGCAGAGCGTAGCGCTATGTAGAGAGGCCAGTGTGCGGTGTCGAGTGACCAGTGGACGAGTACATAGTCCGGTAGGGGGATAGTGTATACAGCCATACACCATACATACAACGGTACTCCATACTTGGGCACTCCGTATTGACAGGTTCGTACAGTTTTTGGGTTTAGCCTACTACGTAGTACATAGCAAGTCCAACTTCCGGATGCATACTCTGTGTACAGAGTTTGCGACGCGCCACAAATGAGATGCGCCGTCTAGGCTGCTGCATATGCACTAATCTGGTATGCGGGGATTTTTCATTACAAATTCTGTGGCCGTACGGGTACAATACAGAACGTTTTACGTGTGATTCATACGCGCGAGGTACGACAGAACAGTTTAGCCTTAGCCGGGTGTGTAGATTGTACTATCGATCGATTGCCAGCTCAATCACCTACCACCATAGAAGTCAGTCGAAATACCTGCGATGAAGAGCACTGAGCAGTCTCGCCAAGGCAAGAACGACTGGAGAGTTACTCCGTTGTCGCACTCGTACTTCCGCTCCGTAGAGGAAAAAGCAACGACGGACAAATGAGCATGGACTTCGCGTGGACTCCCTTGCATGAAACGATAGGATTTGCAGAGAGAATCCGGAGGGACGAGTATGGGGTAAGTTAAGACTTTAGGTGAGCGTCAGAGGTTGTGCTCGGATCCACTTGCTCTGATCTTGGCTGGGGCCAACTGTGTGTACGTACGTACTGTACGTGTGTACTCCATACAATACGTACAATACGTACAATACGATCTGGTATATGTAATCCCACCATTGTAATTGGGCAGACAGCAAAAATTCAATCATCCTGCCAGCCAACGCTCCTTGTATGGCCAAGGGATCTGCCTCTGCTGTAGTTGGATCTGTGGATTCGGTCAGTTGCTAGAGGCTCTTTTGCGTTATTCTCCCTCTTGGCTATTTCAGGACGTAGCATCAGCCATCAGCCAGAGCTGACTACGGCAACTCAGCCGACGAGTTCCTATTCTGTAAGTAACCTAATATGGATTGATGAAGTAATCTTAATTCGTCGCATTCTTGGGTTGAATAGTTCAACCCAAACATATTCTCAGCATTTTACGCGGCAAGAATCTCGAAGATCTCGCCAACAAAAAACTTACAGTGTGTACTACGTATGTTTCAAAATTAACCGCAAGCAAGGACCACCAGCCGGGGCGAACAATGACAATGACAGACAGTAAATCCAACCCCAGAAACAGCCTAGTCAAATTCTCAATTACAGTTCACAGTAAAAGGGGGATGTCTCCACCAGGACAACCTTTTTTCTAGCATTTTGTACATATTTGCACGATATATCTGAAGTGACAGCAGGAATTTCAGTTCCTAGGAATATAGTTGGGCAAAAGCTGTGCCTGGGTATAATAATTGAAGGGTTATATTGCATATTTCCTTTTCTGCCCTATCAGTTCTCCATATAATGACAGCGCATGTAGGGAGTGTACTTCCGTACGTAAGACTAGCGAAACCTAGTGACTATCGAGAAGAAAAAGGACAGGATCGCCATACCTACCGAAGAGAAATTCGAGATTCTTCACCATGAAACGTTGGTTTTGAGCCGAATTGATCGATCTGAATGGGCATGACGACGGTCACATTTTATTCGCTGTCTGCTTCGGCACAGTATGTATGTACGACGCGCTTGTATTCAGTGTGTTCGATGGTACCCGCTCGCGTATTGAGGTATTTAAACTTGAGATCTGGGCTGGAGCAGGAAAACCTCTTCATCTGCGTTCCGAATACGTACTTACTACTCAGCCACAGGGGAGCAGCCACCTGGTCTGAGATGGAGCATCGCATGTTGCTGTGTCTAGTACTGTCCATTCAAGGTACTTTTTTTTCGTAGTATCGTAATATCGTAGTATGACTCTAATGGATACATGCGTATTGTGGTTGTGGTGGAGTGAGTGGGGGTTTGGTTACGGGCCGTCTAGCCGCTTCGTTCCGTACCTTACTTACTGTCAACGATGAGATGAATCCGAGGCCCTGTTAATCTATTTAGGAACTGGATCATCATGATGGAATGATAAAAGCATATATTGAAGCTGTTCCAAAGATATGTATCAAACTATAGGTCCATTGTACCTGAAGGACGGACCTGTGCAAGCAGCGGTAGTATCGAGTTCTGTTCCGGCCGAACTTTGACCTCGCAAGCCTTGCTCATTAGTGACTTAGAATACTTGTAATACTACGTAGTAGTCATGTAGTGCTACGTAGCTGCGCATTTGAAACCTGTCTTAACGCACGAGACTCGACACGAGTTCAAACGCATCGTATGTTCTAGATTTACTTATCTCCTTCATTTACTCACTGTCTGAACGTCAACTGCGCGCATCACGAGAAAATTTTCCTGTGTGTTTTGGTTTTCTTTTTCTTTTCAACCCTGCCCAAACAACTGGACCCTGACAGACTGACATGGTATTCAGTACAAAGTGCATGTTACATACATGACTTAGAAACTACGGAATACTTTTCTTACTATTCTATTTTTAATACGGCTCCATACGCGCCTTCCGGATTAGGAAAGAGGCACTAACGATGAAAATTTTTCATTCGTTAATTGCTCGGCTTTAATTCGTTCTTGACATGCATACAGAGCGACACTTGTAGCTTGTCGAATTCTCCACTGGGCAGAAAATTTTATTTGTGGCCAGCCACTGGCAGCCACCGGCAGCCAAACCAGCAAAGAAGTATGGGGAAATAATCACCTACATATAATTAGTTACGTAGCTACGGAGTACTTACTATATAGTATCATCGCTATTCACTCTTATGTATTCGTTGGCATTCACGGTCTGTACTTACATATACATGGCAGAACCATCGAATCAACCATTTGATCTTCCTCCGTCTTCTATGTAGGTACAATTGATGAATCAGCCCGAAAAACATTAACACGCGGCAAAAGAGGAAAAGCAGAATAATTATCCTGATGGTAATTAAACGAGCTGAACGTGCTTACGTACTGGATCATAGGCCCACGGTCCAATCCCAGCCTAGAGAGCGTATGTAGTTGCCTCACTTTGCTTTGCGAGTGTCTCCTCAGATTTACGGAATACTTCGACAATGACATCCCTTCAAACTTCGAAACAGAGTTGAGTACTTCCGCGGGAATCAAATGGGACACATGACCTATTTCCCAGTTTGAGGTTGTCCCCTTTTCCCCTTTGCCAGGGATTTGTTAGCATACCAAATTGTAGACATTATGGTTGGTTGGGAGCCTTTAAACTCGATGTAATTTTACGTAGGCCGTACTCTGACTAAAGAGCCATGACTCGATGAAGTTCGTTAGTTCCTCAGTCGCACTCAATTTGAGTTTACCCTCGAGTCGATCAGCGACGATGTCAGATCAGTCAGTTACCAACGATGTGGTTCACTGCGTTCAAATTTTCTTTTTTCGGCAGCTGGGATGGGACATCGGAGAACAGTACACCGGGAGCCTAGGACTGAAGTCTTGTCTTCTTTTGACCGTGTGTATGGTTGCTCAATTTCGCTCATTGTAGCGTAGGTAGGAGTGGAATTCTTTTAGGACTGTTAACGCCATGTCTACGGTTTCTCCTCGGAAGTGCTTGATTACTAGTTAGCCGGCTCTCTGGATGTTCTAACCACACAACGCTGATCGCTTTGTTTTCGTCACTATCGACTTTTATAGTCTCTCTCTCTATCCATGTATCTATCGATCTATCGATTCCTATATAATGTCGATATTTCTTTTTCTTCATTACGATGGCGTGATCACACCCGACAGTAGGGAAACATTCGACAGCCCGGTAGATTAGATTAGGGCATATGTACCCCATACGGAAGCGTCAGAGGATCCCCCACGCCTCGCTGTACTTGTACCACCTGCCTTGTTGGTAACTACTGACTACGGGCGATGTCGGATGCTCAATTGCTCATGGAAGTAACAAGCGCTAGCTCATGGTGTGTTACTTGCCGCTTACCTAGTCACCTTACTGGCATGAAGGCAGATTTCCCGCAATGTCGCCAAACTTAACATTGAAATATCCGACCGGTACCTTGAAAAAGAAAACACAGAGAAAGGGATCGGACCGATGTATCCTTGTCCATATGATTTCTTTTTGGACTTGTGGATAGCTACGGAGGGCCATTAAGGCAAGTCTGGGCTTTACCATTATATAATGGAAATCCGGATCTTGGGGCACCTGGCAAGGAATATTTCAATGTGGCTTTGCAATAGATCCAAGTTTTAGAGTACGTCTTTGGGTACCTACAAGTACTTAGATACCTACCAAGTGACCACGGGGAAAGTACTCCGTGGAAGATTTGAGCGCATCTCTGTCCTCCGTAGAATCGGTAACTGCCTTGCCCATATGATTCGACAGATGATGTTGGATACCTAGGTATGGTGTACAGTGAAGACATGGAAGATCATGAGATCAACTGCATCATATAGAATATCCCCAAACCTTTGTACTCCGTGACCAGCGTTAGACTCTATTTAACCTCAATACATTATTACACTGAGCGTTAGTTAAGGTTCAAACTAAAACGTGCCCTCGTCTGTTTATACTTTATTCGATCAGAACTCATTGAAGCCATATAGGTAACATACCACCAATAAAAACAAAGTAGCATGATGCACCGGAATCACCTATTCAGGCAATCCGTAATGACAGCATTAGTTGCAATGAACTAAAAGTCTAGTTTAATGAAAATATATTAAAGTTACTAGTCAGTAGGCCAACAGGTCAAGGGCCTGGTAAGGGCTTGAGCCACTGGGAACGCACCCATCAACCAGGATATACTTTTCACTACCTTTTCAGATTGTCTGATCCTGGCCACACAGTTGAACTAAGGCTTAGGGTGAGCCTCACTGCTTGTTCAAAAATGGCAAGTTTGGTCCGAATCCGAATTCGTCAATGTACGTACGTGACGATGAAGGTGTTAAGGGTCTGAACCCGCTTATACTCTCCCAATAGAGAAAAGTCTAGGATCAGACCTGATGCTAGCTACTGTAGGTAACCCACGTACGTTCAGGTCCTCCAGGCTGAAATCAAGAATTGCTTGTGCGGGGAGATAAATTTGAAACAAGCTAGAATGATCCATACCATCGTTATGATGTATGTAAGTCACTAAAGGGTCGGAGTCCGCCGAGCCAGCACCGCAAAGCGCCATTTTTCTTCGTTCAGCGTCTGCTGAAGAGAAGGATTTTGCCTCCATTGTGGCAACTCAGATTTGTGAATGCTCGCTAACTAGATTTATCGAGATGAGAATATATTCTACCGAAGAAAAATTTGTCGAGATGCAAAGTACAGCACGAGGAAAAAAAGAAAATGGAAAAAGACAAGACCCTTGTATTAATTACGGTAATATTTATCCACTACGGTCGCTAATGCTTTCCTTCCCGCGCTGGGGAGGGGGCTGATCGCTTGGCGTATTTTGCATGATACCTGCTGTAATTACTATACCACATACCATAACCGTACAAGCCTACTACTACGTAGTAAGTGTGTCGACTGGCCTGTTAACTGTCTGATGCCGGCTATATCGAGAAGATCTTATTTTGGACATATTGAGTTGAAAAAGTACGTATCTTGCAACCTTGGAGGAGTATGAAGATCATCAGCATATTCAGGGTCAATCTACTCAGGTTATATGCAAGATCGAAAAGCGAGATTCGCCTACTTGGCACTTGTCTTTCGGGTATATATTAGTCGGTTGGCCAGGTCGTATGTGCTTCGTAACTACCTAACCTGCGTCAGATGTATTATGATCCACAGACTAGAATAGTCATGCATCTCGATGTGGATTACTCCACTCACAAGACTAGGGGGTACGTAGTGGACTAGGATGGATTGAGTATGTCGGCTTGGGGTTTGCTCCGACATCCGTAGGGATTCATTGTGTGTTGTGAAAAATGAGATCTGATTATAGTGAAGAAAGATGTTATGAAGAATTATATTCAGTACGATAGATCATGCGTCACATGGAATTTTAATCGAGTCCACCACATCGTACACGCAGCATGGCAAATCTTTCAAATACACCAACTCGTCGACTGTAGGGGCCAGACGGTCGCATCGAGAGGGTTAATTGTAAATGAAGCAGCAGAGAACTAGACAATATCATATCCAGCTTCTTAATCATTGAAAGTACCTCGGTTCATCAAAAACATGGTAACGGTGACCACGAACACCCTCACCACGGAACAACGCAGGGAAGCGTTGACCTTCAGGAACCATCTCCTCTGGGATGCGAACCTCCTCCTCGGATTCCGGTTGACCGATGACAAATTTGCCAACCTATTAACCACGATTAGCATGTCCCAGTCCCATCAATGCCTTGTTAATGCTTACCTGAAGTTCAGTATCGGTGATCGTGCTCCTGGAAATTCTGGCATAACCAGTACGCTTCAATTTCTTGTACAGAATGTACTCGCACCATCTGTCCCAATCCGTGGAATCGATATCTTTCATTCCACTGACATCACTCACATACGTGTTGTAGTTGCCTTCAAGTGGTTTGGTGACTAGATAACTCAAAAGAATCAATGGACGAGGTGAAGAGCCCATGAGTTTCGAGAGGTATTCGGTTTGTAGCCGTCGGTCCTCGGGGTCTTCTTCCTGACCGGAGTGAAACACGACGACGTCTACCATCTCACCGTACATGTTGAGGGTTGCATGAATGGCGGGAGCCAATTCACCAACAGGAGATGGCAACAAATGATGAGTCGAGTTGACAATGGGGAACTTCGACAGTAGTGCAGCTCCCCAGGTGTGTTTGTTAGGTCCTGGGCCATAGTCCACGTACATACCGAGCTCCTCAGCGAGGACCGCGGTAAAATCACGGTTGCCCATGATAATGCGCTGGGTATCGGACTCTAGCAGACCGACTATGTCGAGTTCGGCCTCACGGATAAGATTGATCATGCGCTGCTCGGAAGACCACATGTCATTATCAAGAGAGAAGTGGATAGTCCAGATACCAGCCGTAGCAACCTTGTCTTCCTTGTGGTAGGGAGCGTAGTCATTCGTAGGGAATCGGAGGTAAGCGATGGCCACCGCCAGAAGCTGAAGGACTGCAAGGGCATAAACATAGTATGAGCGCTGCCTACGACCGTTGGGGTTGACAAAGTTCTTCTTGGAAGGGCCAGAGTTGGTCACGGAGCCGGAAAAGACACCAGCACCCACACACAGCATGGTTATGGTCATCAACCAATCGGTGCGCTCACGAACCAAAGGACCACCAGGGACAAAGGCGTACGCCACAACCCAGACGTGGAAAAGAGTTAGGAAGACCCAGACACAGAATCCTGTACCAAAAGTGGATGCGGGGGAGTGATGGACAGCAGAGGCAAAGAGCACAGGGGTTACAGCCATCAAGTAGAAAGCAATAGTAAGGCCACCGTAGAAGCCAAACCAGTGGCTGTAGCAGGTAAGCACTGCAGCACCGAGAGATCCAACGCCAAATGCTGTCCATGACCCGGCTAGACGTGGGTTGTACAAGCCGAACAGATAACCCGCACCCATGACGAATATTGTCAACGCACCATGAGGAACTTGGATAGGTCCCCGAATGGGGAAACCTTCCCAAACCCAACTAATCATTGTGCTGGAATCGGACAAGAGTGAATGAACACCAAAGAGAACTCCTCCAATACCAACACCGGCAAGAATGGCTGAGCCTTTCTTACCTGATGGTGGATAATAGTCGCCTCCGCTTACAGATGGCTGTCTTGCAGAGCGAATAGCAGCGAGAACACCAAGGAAAAGTCCAAATTTGTTCCATCCACCATTCTCGGCGTTCATGGTCGGCCAGACAGGGTTATTTGTTTGGAAGGCAAACTTGGCCACATTCGACATGACAAGACCAATGGCAAAGGCAGAAATGCGAGACTCTAGTCGTACGTTCAATGCCCGTTCGCCGTAGAATGTCGCTGACCATACGAGGCAACCCATAGCGACTGAGAATCCAGTGATAAAGAGACGGTAGACAGGGTCATGGACGAGGAAAGCCATCAATCCAGTCAAAGGTAAGAATTGAAACAAAGCCCTGTTACGCACCACCAAGGATCGAACAGATGGAATGGCCAGGATTAATGGAGAGATGGTGGTAACAATGATAACCTCATAGCCCGAGATGCCCATATGCCATAGAGGGAAGTCTGCGAAAGTTAGATAGATTTCAACAGATTTCGACAGGAGAAGGAATCACGTACACCACACGAGAAGAGGCATCGCAGTGTAGTTAGACCAGAAAACAAACTGTATATCGTCAGCACGAAGACCTCATATGATCTTGGACATTGGAGCATACCCCATTGTAAACGTCAGCAGCGACATCAAAGGCTTCAGGCCATGAGAAACCGGTACCAAAAGTGTTTCCAACGGGCTTATCCTTTCTATAAAGCTGTTATTATAATGCATCTTAAAAGCGCGTGTAGAGATAGACAACGTACTCTTTCTCGATTACATTGTCTGCGGTTGTTTTGAGTTGTCTGTAGTTGCTTCGTTAACCCACTCATTCCACCCAACACCGAACACTATGCACTGTACATTTAAAATGTCTATTTCGGAAGCCGCTGCACATACCCTCTGCTAACTCCTTTTACATCCCTCACCACCAGTTCAAAAGCGTCAAAATCCAGAGCTGTTACCGCGTCGAATCCGACGTCAAAGATGATCAGAGACCATTCAAAGAAGGCATACTTGGTGTAAGCTAGCCAAAGTCAGTGTATGTCATTAGTCACAGATAATGGTTCCTTACCTCCGGCAACCTTGTGCACCTTGTGCTGGATAAAGTAGTAGACCAAGGGAACCAAGGTTCCGAAAAAGAGGCTGGCAAGGACCTTGCGGTATTTGACCGCACGGCGGTTTGCGGGGCTGAGAGCTAGACAGCCCAATGTCCATGGAAGAGTCGCAACCAAATACGAAATCATGAAGATGTCGTGCCAGTCATGATCGTCCGTTGATGTCACATAAGTCCATCCACCACATGTCAATGTTCGAAATACACCAGTGAAAGCGACGACTTTGGGCAACGTCGAACCGGGCCGTGCGGTCATCAGATACCAGAGAAAAACGAGAGCGAAACGGGGGCCAGAAGTGATGGCAATGAATACTTGAAAGACTGATCGTTCGGGATACCGGTCACCGATTGTCGCGGAGACAGAGGGGAACCATTCATCCGGGTAGCCGAAGTGCTCGTTTTGCACGATTTTATGAAAGTGCAATTGAACGCCAACGACGAAGGCGCCGATGAAAGCGAAGGCCGCAAAGAGGGTGTGAGCGTAAGAAATCCATTTTCCATTAAGCTATGCAAATCAATGTCAGTATTAGAAGCCATGGAAGTGGATGCGATCAATCGAGGGGCAGCGTACGGTCACGACGGCATCCCCATCCCTGAATTTAGGTGCCATGGTGGCAGAACGGGAAGGAAAACAAAGCGAGAGGCGGTCCACGAGGGGACAATCGATTGATTAAAACTAAGATCGAGAAGACTAAAAATATGAATAAATGAAAGGAAGTCAAGAAAAATGATAGATGAAAAAGAGCTGTAATCCTGAAGAAGGGAGACTCAGCGGGATCCCTGAGACATTCGCAGTCGTGAGGTGGAAGGAGCGTGAGGACGATGCTTCCCTACGGACCTCGGCGGACGACTAGTCCATATCAAGGTTGGCGCATCACCGAGCTTGCTTTCTACGCACGGACCACATTCTATCAAAATTATTTTTTATCAGTTCGGATTAATTCCTAGCAGATTAAAACACCACCTCGAAAAATATATCCCACACCATGGCAGCAGAGAAGGCTCGATTCTATTTGGAAAAGGCTGTGCCTGAGCTCAAGGAGTACGAACAAAAAGGCATTTTCAACAAGGTATGGATGCGCTGGACAGCACACTAGACTTCAATGCTAATCTATCATCGATTTTTACAGGATGAAATTCGATCAATTGCTAAGAAGCGCTCCGACTTTGAGCACAAAGTCAACACTCCCGGAGTAACAGAATCAGACTTTGTCCGTTACATCGAATATGAAATGAACTTGGAGGCCCTACGGAAGAAACGTACGAAAAGATTCGGCATCAAAGCCACACCACAACATGCCGGACGCCGTGTTTTATTTATACTCGATCGTGCCACGCGCAAATTACCTGGAAGCTTGGGACTCTGGATACAGTACATCGAGTACTGCCGACGACAAAAGATGTACCGAAGACTGTCCGATGTCTTTTCCGATGCGTTGCGACTCCATCCTGCCAACGCTGATTTGTGGGTTTATGCTGCCAAATACGCAATGGAAGACCATGCCGATATGACCCAGGCGCGAAGCTATTTCCAGCGTGGTCTCCGATTTTGTAAGAGCCAAAGGAATATCTGGGTTCAATATGGACGGTTGGAATGCATTTACATTGCCAAGCTCTTCGCTCGTCGACGGATATTGGGACTGGATGAATCTGGGAAGAATGCCGAGGTGGCTGGTACAGCAGCGGATGATGATACAGATATGATTGCTCTGCCGGCAATCACCGAAGAGGACATCAACCCTACGGGCAAGAAGGACGGCGAAATAGACGAAGGAGCATTGGAAACACTGAACTCGACACCAGCTTTGACCGGTGCTATTCCAATCGCGATTTATGATGCAGCCATGAAAGAGTCGGGCCACAACATCATTTTGTCCCACGAATTCTTCAATATGGTATTTGAATTTGAGGATCTTCCGTGCTTGCGCAAGATCCTAGACCATATCGTGACGCAGCAAACCACGAAATCGCCTCTCCATTATCGCACAGCTATTTGCCATATCAAAGCACCGGTAGCAGGACTGAAGGTCACCTCGCCAGAGTTCCCACAAGCACTTGGCATATCTCTTAGCAACATGAAGAAGTATCAACTGGATCCCAACCTAGCACAAGAACTGATCAAGTGGCTCGAGCCATTGTCGGAGAAAGAAGAGTTGGATCCTGCACTCCACAAAGTGCTTGAAATAACGTTGGCTCGCGCACGAAAGACTCCCATCTAAGGACGAGTAGATACTTTTTCATCGTTTAGATAGCATGGCGTTGACGAGTTTGGTGCTGACATGAGAGATATCCAAATTGATTCATCAATCATCGTATTTACTACTTCGACGATTGCTCTTCTTTGCGCTATGCATCTTCTTCGTTTTGATTCGTGCCTCAGTTTCGGCTTTTTTCCTTTAGCGTTGTTAGCCATAACGATGTGGATTGACAAGCGTAGATAAAAACATACAAATCCCTTACACGATCCCTCTGCTCTACAGACGTTTCGCCAGGAATAACATTCCGGGCTGATTCTTCAACAGCCCTGAATAACTTCTCGTAACATGACTCCACGTTTGCTGATTGCTTTCTGGCTTCATCGGATTGAATCACGAGTGCATCGGTCCTGTCGGCTACATAGCGGGATGAACGTAAATCTTGATGTAGTAGTGATGGAACCAATGGCAACAATGCACTCAAAGGAACCTTGAGCGTTGCTTTTGAGTTGACCCTATTCTTTGTCTTAGGAAAGTTCACACTTCAACTGCACCTGAACAATTGATGACATACTTGTTGACATTTTGCCCTCCAGGGCCACTAGAACGGCTGAAAGATATGGCACATATGCTCCGAGGAATTGAGTTGATATTAAATTTCGAGAGCCAATCTCTGGCCTTACTCAATTCGGCTTCGTCCCATACGCCTTGCGTGGTATTCCCCTTTGATGCAAATTGCCTTGATAGCGTCAAGACAAGTCGAGCATTGCTGCGGTAGAGTTGAGACTGGAAATGGGCGAGTTGCATTTTTGTCATGCTATACGCTTCTTCAAGGTTGTCATTCACATATCCTTATACTTTCTAAAGAAGTGAAGTATCTCTACGGTTGTTGATGTGGGCCGGTTGAGTGACATAAGAAGGCGTCTGCTCTAGCCAATCACAGCCACGGATCTCTTACCTCACCATCAGCCCTCGACGATCTCGTATTCGCATCATGAACATTCTTCTCACCTACATATCTGAATCGGACTATACAGTCACATGCTACTGCGCCTAACGACTGTTTTCCTTCTTAACAATACTCATACAGTCAACATCCATCTACCTTAAACCAGAGCACATTCCGATTGTCTGACAAATCGCATCCCGCACGGTAATCTTTCCAACGGTGATGCCCTCACGTCAACCTTAGGGTTTGGGACCGGACATCCTAGTCAAACAATCCATCTTGCACTTGTATATAATGAAAATGGTCTCAGACAAAAACACATCCGCAGAGAGAGACACCGGGCCCAAGAGACATGCTGCTTGCGACGAGTGCCGTACGGATTCCTATACTTCTTGACTCAACACCAGTGATTGACAATGCTGACAATTTTTCCCCAGGTAATCGGAAACTAAAATGCTCAGGCGATCAAGCAGGCTGTCGGCGATGCATCACTCAGGGTCTACACTGCCACTACTCAATACAAAAACAAATGGGCCGGCCGCGAAAGAAACAAAAACTGGACGGCGATATCAACGATAACCCGGATGGAACAGAGCGAAACCTGGGCGCAATTTCGGAGATAGAAAAGGATTGGTTCTCGGCTGATTTGCCGACTGATCTTCCGACTATATGCCCACAAGTATATCTCAGCCATTACAATGGTGTTGTTCCTGCCAAAGATCCGCCTTTCTCTAGTGGTTCTACTTTMCCGCATCCGCCGCAACTTCTAGAACCGATTGCTGCGACGTTAGATCCCTGGCCGGATTTCTCGACTACATCAGCTGCGGGATCCATGTTGTCGAATGTGCCGTCGTCTGCTGCAACGGGCGATGATGCCCCTACTTGCCCATGTCTATCCTACCTCTACCTCTGTTTGAGCACTTTATCAAGTCTCAATTCATTCTCCATCACCCGCGAAACCACCACGTCACTCTACACAGCAGCTCGAACCGCACAGTCCGTCATTCGTTGCGAGATATGCCCCCTGCGATTCGCTACGGGGATGCAAAACGTTATGATGCTAGGAACACTGCTGAGCGTAATGGCAGACGCCTGGTACAAAATCTCACTCGTCGACGCTGGCAGTCTAGGCCGCGAACTCGCATCACCCGAATTCAAACAGCTTGTCATCAACAATAACAAAAGCCTGCACGCCGACGAGGAATTGACATGGGATCACTGGCTACGGCGATTTCTGCGCCGCGCTATTATAGGTACACCCATGCCTCCGAATTTGTGTCCGTCATCAGTGGCATGTAGTATCACGCCGGACCTGTATTCGCTCATTCGGGAACTGGAGAATCGTCAACGATATTGGCATTCGATCCGCATTTCGCATCCTCTAGATCCATTCGATACTTCTAGAGCTGAGTATGGCTCTTTGCCTACCCCGCCATTATCAACGAGGACATGTGCATCAGAAAAGGAGTGCAATGCAGATACAATCTCGACGTCCTGTTCAACGATGGCGAACAAAACATTAGGAGAAGCAGCGTCAGTATCAGCGACGTCGTCGCCGCCTGATCCGGCTGAATTGCAGCAAAATGCTCAGGAACATGACTTTTTATGTCTGAAAATTGTTGGTGCGGCCAAACGTGTTATAAGGAAGTTTGGATTTAAGCCTGACGAGTATCCGGAAGACGTGCCGCCGATTCCGCTTTCAGAGTAATTATTTTGCATTGGTAATGAGACATGATTGATGATGGATGGCTTGCATAACTTGTATTGTATATAGGTCTATGCCGATGGGCTTTACTGGGAATTCCGTGATTATGCTACAACAATGTCATTATTTAGGTGAGTACCATATGCCTATGCTCTATAACGCAAACCATCCAAGAAAAAATAGACCTCCCTCGTCATGAATTGAGATATTACTCTTCTTCGTCATCATCTTCAACACGATAACGATTCCTCTTTCTCGTAGGCGGCGACCCGGAACCGCCTTCAGCAGCCACTTCTCTCCTTTTAGGTGACGGTGCAGGTCTTTCTATCTCCTGGTCATCATCCTCACCCTCCGCGTCCATCTCGTCATCAATCAGAGATTCTTCATCTTCTACTTCTTCCAACTCTTCGTCGTCATCAGCGACGAAATCGTCAACTTCGTAGGAATCCTGTCGACGACGACCGTGCTCTTCTTCATCATCCGAGTAAATTTCGCCATGACGATTGGTACGATGACGTCTCTTGGCGGGTCGTGTCGCGAACATGCCATCGTCATCTTCCAAGCCGGCAGCAGTGAGGCCTCCGCGGGATGGGCGGTACGTTCCACGGCGTGCAGTGCGGTTCTGCTCGCGGTCCGCGTATTGTTGTCTTTTCCGATCTTCTCTTTGTTTCAACCTTTCGGCAGCTTCAGCCCTCTTTCCGGCTAATTCGGGGTCTTCCTTGATATCGATGATGGCGATTCCGTTGCCGTTGGCGTTGGCTTTGCCGCCACGTCCAGCGGCGATAAGGTTCTCTTGTAGGCGTTGAATAGCATCGTCGGTCTCTGCATTGGTTGGTAATGGTTTCAAATGGTGTGTCAGATGCGACGTGATCTTGAAAACCGAGGCAGTCTCGGCAGCAGCTGCCAGGTATGTATGTGTGTCCAGAGTGGGATCATAGTTTCCTGCCTTGTTAAGCGGTGCTAGCGGTTTTGAGGAGATCCTGTATTGTTCTTTGGGGTTGGAAGCAAGCTGTAATGTGAGAGAGCCGTCTTCCCATTGGATAATTCGGGCGTTTGATTGGAGACTCGTCTGGTCATTGGGATCGTATCGCCAGCATAGAGAGGTCGCAGCTGTAGAGTATGGTGGTGCCACATATGTCTCGGGTCTGAACTCTTCCGTTTCGAGGGAGAGGAAGTTCGGCATTTCCATTGTGTACACCTGTAGGCTCGTACGTTAGGAAGTGCAAGACAAAGCAGCCATGAATTGACCTACATCTGCATTCGTGGATCGCGGCTCCGGCGCCCTTCCAAGACTGAGGTCCATTACTTTCACCTCGCCAAACCCTTCCTCCTCGTCTTCACCCAAGTCCATGCGGTCCTCCTTTCTGTCATAGCGTCCTTCGTCGTCGCCAGAGTCAAGGTCCGAGTCGTCGAGAGAGCGATGTGGGCGTCTGCGACTATATTAGCAAGTGTTTCTCTAACGCTAGAAGCTAGACTGAGCGCACTCGTCCAGGTCAGGCTCTGAACCAGAACCAAAAAGATCCTTGTCGTCATTGTCGTCTGCCTGGTCGTTCTCTGGTGCTGAGATGTTGACGTTGTCGTCGTCGCTCACATCGCCATTGTAAGCTCTTCCGCCGCGACCTGGGCGTCGGACAGCTTCATCCTCGGAAGAGGACATATTGTATTTCGTAGAGAAGGTTGAGGATATAGATAGGTGCTGAGTAGATGCGCGCAAAAGGGGATGATTTGAAGACAGTCAAGTTGAATGGAGAGAGCTATCCAACCATCAAACAATAACTAGAGCAGGCGTAGTCTTGGCAGCGAGGGAACTTTCGTTGGCGCTATCCCACATCAGGCTAAGCGCGGCCGGGAGTGGATTGTGCTCCACGCTGAAACGAACAACAAGAGGAAGGAGAAGGCCAGAGCGAACGAACAGCTCAGAGTCTCGTCTATCTCTCTCCCTCCGCTTCTTCGTCCCCTTTTGCTTCTCTTCGTGCTTGCTATTGTGGCAGCCMCCCGCCATTGACTTGATTCTTTTCGCTTTGTTTGTTAAGCTGGGCTTTCTTTTCACTTATTCAAGATGGCTACTTTCTTCCAGAGCGTGTAAGTGCTTCCCCGCATCAACATCGGCTGTTCTGTACTCCCAACCCCTTGGCCCCTCGTTCTAACGTTGTATATGCTGATGTCGACCTTGTCCCTTGATCTGAGATCCCCTCACTATCATTACTCATTCACGAGCTAATATTTGATATTCTATAGTCGTCAAGGCTTTGGCCGCGGAGGGAACAACAAGAACGCCAACCAACCCAAAATGAACGCTGGCCAGGGCCAACAAGTCGCACAAGCGCAACAGACTGTGCCTGGTGCACAGGGTCTTCACAACTCGCCTTCGATTGCATCGAACCTGTCTGCCGACATCGTATCCAATAATGAAGACGCTCCCAAGTACTTCTTTCAGGAGAAGTACGCTCCGTTGAACGTGAAGGGAAACTTTTTGACGCTCTGCGCTTGTCCGAAGAATGTCGAATTGGGAGAATGGCTTGCTCACCAAAGTAAGCTCGCAACTTAGACTTCACTGCGATAATGCTAATATTTCTTTGCAGTCGTTGAGCAATATCGACTACTACACGGCATGCTGCAAGTCATTCAGGAGGTCAACACAGTGAACGGATATCCAATTTGCAATGAAAGCACATGTCCAACGATGTCCGCTGGTCGGTATGTACTATTTCAAGTCTTCCCTGGAAGATGTTTTACTAAACAATGTAGATTGACCTATACCTGGCTTGTCGACGGCCGGGCAGCAAAAATCTCCGCACCCAAGTTCATCAACCGAGTTGAAAAATGGATAGTGAGCAAGATTCACGACCCGGTCATGTTCCCTACGGATCCCGTTCAAGGAGCCCCTCATACATTTGCATCTGGGGATGTCTCAACCCCCCCTGCAACTACACCGATCGCGGCAGGTCCCACCAACTTGAATGCATCCTTGACTACCCTTGCTGGTCAGGATTGGATTGGCAAATCCAGCGGGTTTCCTCCTACCTTCTACAAGGATTGTCAAGGGATTATGAAGCAGATGTTCCGTTGCTACGCTCACCTGTACCATGGACACTGGCTTGATCCTTTCTGGCATATCAACCGCCACGAAATGCTGAACATGTGTTTCGTGCACTTCGTCACCGTTGCCAAATACTACAAGCTGGTGGCCGACAAGGAAATGGAGCCGATGCAGCCTCTTATCGATCTCTATATGAAACAGGAGAAAATTCCTCCCGAAGCTATTGCTGGCCACTGGGCGTCTCAAGAAGCCGCTGCTGCTGGCACGCCGGCTCCTGCAGCCAATGCACCTCCTTCTTAGATTCATCCCCCATTGAGGTTTATCAGATGCAATCAGCCAAGCAACATGGGCGCTAGCGTCCAGTACATGTGTCTGATCCAGTTGATGTCTAAAAACCATTATTGCATTTTCCTTTTTCTTTTGTCTCACATAAATTCGTCATATCAGGCCAAACAATTTGTCTCGCCTTGAAATATGCATACTATTTGATGTTGTCAATTGATTGTTACATAACTATCGCTTTGACAGAATGAGCGACGATGATTTTGAACGTTCTCTCATGTTGCTCTCTTTTGGCTCACTTCTGTTAATGAGTGTCTTGTCATAAGAATAGGAAGTTTGGAGGTGTTGCAATCATACTCAAGATACACCGATATGCAGGATTGGCATATATATTGAAGACAGAAAAGTTATAGAGAATAAATATGCATGAAAAGAATGGTCTGGGTATCAAATTTCACTTATCTTAATGTACTAATCAATGATTCGCTTTTTACAAGTAAATACCTTCATCGTCGTCGTCCTCATTCCGCCGCTCTTGGTCGCCATTTTGCGGGTTCGACGGATTCGTCAGCCCATTAACGCGTGGCACAACATGTCCATTTGTATCACCATTCGTTTCATGCGACTGTACTCCATTGACCAGCGGCGGATTCTCGCTCTCTATTATCTCCCCATCAAAATATTCCCCCTCCTCCTCACCATCCTCCAAAACCTCCTCCATCCACCGCTGCCCTCTCCCTTCCACCTCAGCCTTGAGTAATCTTATCCTCTCCGCCATGGCCTGCATAACCTCCTCGTTCTCAAGCACATATGTCTCCAACTCCTTGTTGTCTGGCGAATCGGGCCCTTCGTCGGACTCGATTATGTATGTTCGCAGCTGTTCATTGGAGCGCGTGAGGTGTGATATGGAGTTGCGGAGTTCGGAGACTTTGGCGTACAGGGAGGAGAGAGGGAGCTCCTGGATGGCTTCGGCGAAGGCACTTGGGGAGATGGGTTGGGCTTCGGAGGACATTGTAGGTTCGAGCGGGGTGAGCTTCGAGATAAAGTCGGTCGGAGGTCTTGATTGTGTGAGAGCTTCGGTGCGATATATCGTGCGTTCTGTTCGAATTGTCTGCAGTATTTTTTGGGTATTTTGACTTGTGAAGTCGTGGTAAGACGCAGCCGAGCTGCTCGTTGGATTGATGTCGAGAGGAGGAATGGAGCTTGATGATGATCCCACTTCGATTGCTTATCGCATGCGTATCATCACGTGAAAACAGCGAGCTTGGCTTGGAGGCTCGGCATTCACATAGATATCAATATTTTTATGTAATCTAGCTGTGGGTATCGTTAGAAACGAATCAATTTTAGATTCATTTCTGTAACTGACGTAGATGGGCGTCCTCTAATTGATTATCTCGTAGATCAGCCAACTACATAGTAAGCTCCGCCGGAAACTTCTCGGCGTCTCCATTGCCGCCGCCCTCTCTTCCATTCTTACTCTGAAGCAACACCACAGCTATCAATTACCAGCTCTCAGCGTGTAACACAACACACGTGGAGATGAGACATGTGCCCTCGGTAGCATGGCATGGTTCATGCCTTGTTGGCATACGGACATTGTGCAAGCCGTCTTGCACCGTGCAATCACCGGCCCATTTATTTTCGAATAGTTTACGGCGATGTTGGAATCAGCGACAGCTCTCATATAGCTCGGGAGGAGTTCTGCGATATCAACAAACATGGAAAACGACTCGACACACCTCACATCTTACTCCTGCTTCAGTGACCCATTCAATATTCATCAGACACGCAACAAATTCCGCCGCCAAACCACCGGAAGAAACTGAACATGGCATCCCCCTCGACTCGCAGCCACTGTCGGCTGCCGAAATCAAGGCAATTTTCCGCTCGCCAGGCGTCACACCCGAGATGGGCAATCGGATCTTGTCTATCCTCCACGGCCGTCGATTACAAGGCACCCTCGACCTAAATCTCCCCGCGGACATCAAACGTACAGTCCGCCCGCGTTTAATCGAGCATGGCCTACAATGGCTTCGCGCAAACCACCCCATCGACGAAGACGCCGCTATTCTAGCTCGTATTGAGCGTGAAGAGAAGGAAGAGGAAGAACGACTACTCCGATATGTTCAGGAGCTAGGTCCCCAAAGCGGGCATTGGAATGCGCAACTAGGTGAAGGGGGAGATATATATGGCCGAAGCACATTTCAAGAGACGAGGAAAGTGAATGAGGCGAGGTTACTTGCTGAGGAAAAGAAGAAGAGGAAGGAATGGTTGGAGGGGGAAATGAAAGATCGCGAGAAGATTGAGAAGCAGATGAAGGAAAATACAGAGTTGCAGAAGTATAATCCTTCTGCGGTTGTGGAAGGTATGCATTTTCAACCCGTCTCGTCATATATGGAAGAGATATGAAAGTTGACCTGGTTGATAGCTCGACCACGAGCTGACCCGCAGGAACGGCCGTTCCTCGCATGGGCTCAGAAGCATTACATTCGAGCCGAGAACACAGACTCTGATTTCAGCACGTTGACAACTGTAAGCTTTGTGTCCTGTATACTACTGAATAAAACTAACAACACCAGGCTCGCCGTATATTACCAGCCCTGGGCGTAACCCTTCTCGTCCTAGGACTATGCTACTACTATGCAGAAACATACCAACCACCAGTATACTATAAGCGAATGTGGAAAGATCTTCCCCCAGCAGCTGCAACGATCATGGGCCTCATGGCCGCAAATGTGGGTGTATGGTTATTATGGAAGCTACCTCCTGCTTGGCGAATGTTGAATCGGTACTTTATCAGCGTGCCATTGTACCCTTATGCAATGAGTGTCGTGGGTAGTGTCTTCAGTCATCAGCAGTTTAAACATTTACTTACCAACACGGTGATTCTGTGGTTGATTGGACTGAGACGTGAGTTCCTTTTCCCTTTTTCTTTGCACAGTTGACTGATTACTTGATATATATAGTCCACGACGAAATCGGCCGCGGCAATTTTCTATCACTATATCTCTCCTCCGGCGTCATTGGCTCACTCATATCCCTGACATCCCATGTCCTCCTCCAAAGGTTGACTGTGACCTCCCTCGGCGCCAGCGGCGCAATCGCCGGCCTAGTCGCTGCTTGGTGCATGCTGCACTCCGAGTACGCTCCCCCCTTTACCCACAAGTATTACTTCCACATGCTAACGAAAAGGAATACAGTGACAAGCTCGTCCCCAGCTTCCTGCCCCATGACTGGCGCGATTCCATTTCCGCCAACGGCTCCACCGTGCTCGCAGCCATAGTCGCCTTTGAAGTTTTCAACCTCGTCTCTCCATTCAAAGTAGTCGGGAAGCTAGATAACTATGCTCATCTAGGCGGCTATTTCGCGGGTTTCGTGTGGGCGATTTTGTATAAATCGAAGCGCGAGAAGGAGAGGCAAAGGAGGAGAAATGAGAGGGGGTTTTTGGATCGGTTTGGTTCTGTATAGCGGGATTTGACTAGAAATATGTTTTATGTATTATATAGGAAGATAACTATGTACAATTATGGGATATTCGCGACTTGAGATAATCATACAATATATACGACGAGCTAAATGGCTTAAAACACCTCATGAATGTTCATATTCCATACAGGTTAATATGATTAGTATGGTTTCAATATAGTGGTATACCCAGCTTGCAATATCGCAGTCATAACGCTCAAAGTCCATCAGACGCGGGAGGGCCCTTATATGCTAAACACAAAGTCAGCATTTGTATAACCAACTCAAAAAGGACGGTACTTACTTTTCCTAGCATAAATGCCATACCAAACCGCCGAAATAGCCATAAATCCCACAAACACAACAGCCGCATAATTCATCGAAACAGCCGTAACTGGCAGGACCGTCGGCATGCAAAACAGCACCAGCTCGAACGCAATCCACAGCAGGGCAATGATGTTGACCACTAGCCCCACGACGGGCCCGCAGTTGAATTTGGCGTTGTTGACTTCTTGGCGTCTGTGGAAGACGCTGGCACCGATGGGAATGGCGTAGCTGATTGCTAGAGCGACGACGCCAACGGAGACAAATGCCGTGAAGGCGCTGGAGCTGCCGAGGTTGATTAAGCCTAAAAGCATCTGGACAACTGTCACGAGGACAAGAGACCAGACAGGTACGCCGAGGCGAGAGTTGACTTTGGCCCAGAGTTTGGATAGAGGCAGTGCCTCGTCGCGGGCAAATGCGTATGTTGTTCGGGATGCTGCCACTGTGATACTGATGGAGCAGAAGAGGGTGATGGCCAGAACCAGGAAAATAAGTCCCAGACCACCACCGGGCGATCCCATGACTTGCTGGAAGATATACGGCAATGCTTGTCCGGCAGGGGCTAGGATGATATCTTCCAAGGGTGGCAGAGTGACGCAGATGGGGATGATGAAGAACAAGCCTGCGATTCCACCGACGGGGACACATAGCGAAATGGCTTGGGGAACTTTGACGACGGCATTTGCGCATTCTTCTGCCATAGATGAGATCATACCAACAGCTGAGAAGCAGTATGCCGCTGGCAAAAGTCCGATGAAGAACGTAAAACCTCCCCATCCGGATAGACTGGTATCGTAATGACCGAGAGCGTAGGATGCATCATGACGACCCACATCAGCCTTAACAGAAAGCGCAATCATGATGATGAGGATACTGATCGCAGTCCATGCAGCACAGATGGTGTCAATCATAGGCAAAAAACTATTTCCGAAAGTGCAAATGACAAAGGACGCTAGGCAAATCGCGTAAAAGATAAGAAGCAGTTGCCAATCATTCGCAGACCAGTCGGGATGGTACATTGAGATGGTCCCCGAGAGTAAAGACGCAAATCCAAAGTTCACGGAGAGGGTGATTGTCCAATTACCAATGAGCCAGACCCAGCCGTTGATGAAGGATAGAACAACTTTGGCTCGCTGAGGCACGATTTGAAAGGACCAGTAGTATGGACCTGCGGAGGTAGGCCAGCGCGAAGCCAATTCAGCAAGCGACAAAGCGACACATTCATCTAGGATGCAGACAACAATCCAGCCCACGAATATGGAGAGTGGCCCACCACCGTAGATGGCGCTCATCAGGGGACCCCCTTCGCCATAGGGAATGGCGGCAATGGCGAGTGTCTGGAAGAGGAGGGTGAAGAGGGATCGATTGCGGGTTAGTTCCTGTACGTATCCCAACTTGTCAAGGCCTTCAGCTTGACCGGTGCCATTTGTGTCCTTTGCGATGAGACTTTCAGATGCTGGTGCTGGTTCCTGGACTTTTTCGGTGGACATTTCGTGTGGTTATTTAGGACTGATGACGAAATTTGGACAGTTGCTTAGGAAATGTTGATCTCTTGAATCCGAATATTTAATCTAGTCCACTGTAGCAATTCGATTGTGAAGCGCGGTCGCGCAGGAACGTTCGTGTCAGTCAGAGTGAATATAAATTATATCCAGTGAACTCGACTGTGGACAGTCAATGGGTTCAATCTGAATGCGAGCTAAGTTGAGTCAGTCCTTGGGGCGAATATAGCAAGGTGAATGGAAAATAAAGATTATTGTTGTAGATGTTGAGGCAAGGGAGCTCATGTGACACAGACTGGTCGTATAGGGAAGGAGGCTGCTCATCACCACGAAAACACCTCCTAACATACCCCAGGACCACGAGCCCGGAGGACCCTCGCTCTTATATCTACGTACATCTTTATCCAATTGATGATAGTATAAACTACTATGGTATCAGGCAAAGAATTAGCCTCACATTATCGCTGCGGCACCTGCATGACCGAGCATTGACCAGTAGATAGACTAGCCAGGAGCTATGGTCTCTCGACGCCATCTATTATCCTTCTTATTTTATTGCCCGGGTAGGTAGTTAATTGAGCCATCGTATATTTAGCCATAGTTCATTCGCTGATAAGAATGGTGCCAAGTTTATGGGCTCAGCTTGAAAGTCGTGACCTGATTATCTACCACCCAGGTACGTTCAGTTGGAGCTACACATGTGAGAATAGAGTCAATTGGGTAAGGGCATCCGGGTTTATGATTGCAGTACTTTTCCTTTCTTCTTTGAGGCCCTACTTTGTTTATTATTCCTCTCTTTCTTCAATGCCATATTCCGACATCTTTGCATTGCTTGTTTACCTAGATATCTGATAGCTTATCAGGTATCCAATATATGTTCTCCGCACCTAAACTATCAACCGAATCTACTGTGGTCTCGAGTCTCCTCAGCGCAGGCAGTAATATATATTCTCCGCACATATGCACTCACGGGATCTGCAAGAAGAAACAAATCAAACAACACACTACGCGCGAAGAGTCGTAGACTAGAAAGCGATCCAATGTCGATTCGCGGATTCGGGGGTTTGCGCTAGACTGGTTTGGGTAGCTAGATAGGCCAGACTAAGGGTTTCATGTTTTAGTAGATAGCTCAGATTCAGCTACGTTAGTAGGACGTGTAGGGATGACGTCTAGTCTTTTTCTTTCGGCGATCAACTTTGGTTGATTTTTAAATCTGGGAATTATCAATCAACATGCCACATGGCTGGCAGACTTGACATGGTAGTACCATGTTCTGGACTTCCCCGCCAAAGTACACAAACACACATACACCGACCCATGTCTAGACTTACAAACTCCAAAATCTAGCACAGTCGAACAGAGCCCGGCTTCTCAAAGCAACACAACTTTCTAACTGCCGAAGCACAATGAATTCATCGGGTCTAATTCATCCTGCAAGTACCCGTAGCCGTCCTCGTATCTTTGCTCGCTGATTATGTTATTGTCTCTTGTAATCTGGTTCGGCTTTTCAAAGTTTCCACTTGAGATTCTCTGTATAAGGAAAGGCTTTCCTCTGTTTTTCGTTTCTTCTTCTGGACTTTGGCTCTCTCGTTCTCTGGCTATGGTGGTGAAGGGTAGGACTACTTGAAGAGGAAGGTGGAAATACTTCCCTCATCGAGTTTAGTTCCGTACGGTATGGTAAGTATTGGAGATACGGGATTGTAGTTTTGCTATCGTTGCGGAGTTGGTTGTTGTATTGATACATCTTTTTGATTTGGTTTATTAATTCTGTTTATTTTTTCATAGTATCGAGGAAGAAAAATATGCCTACTTCGTCAAATATAAGAACTCCTAGCATTTAAGACAACTCGAAGCGGCGCAAAAAATCGGTTATAAAAGAAAAAGAAGATTGTAATATACTTCTATCTTTACTAGCATACTCATCACTATTCGATTTCGGGGGGTTGGAGATAGAATGAGCGCATCATAATCAGTTGCAACAGATCTTTTTATCTATATTGGGTAGCCACCGCCAAAATCAATAAGATACGCATCATCTTGCGAATCAATTAGGACATTATCCGGTTTAGCATCTCCCCAAACAACACCACAGGTATGAAGTCCCTCTATAGAACGAGTAATCTGGTCCAACCATTTCCGCCTCATCGAGACATATTGAGGGTCTTTTCCTGTGCATAATAAGGTCCTGTTGTCGCAGTCTATGTATGAGAGAAGAAGGCCAACAATGCGACTCGACGAAAGAATTTGGACAATTCCGAGAAGGCTGCATGTGTTGAGAGCTTCAGAAAATGAGGTTGACTGCATTTTTGCGTATGCTTTAAGCTCTCTGCAGGTGCTATCCACATCTCCAGCACCCACCGATTTTAAGAAAGCAAGCTGTTGCCCATTGATGTATACCTTACGCGGGACGGCTGGTAAAGCACAGCTCTCCATTGAGATTGGAACCTCAATTTCGTCAGGACGATAAATAGGTATTGCGGAATACTCTGCTTGTTTCGACTCTGGAAGGAGAGCACCCAATAATCGCACCCAATAATCGCACCCGACCAACATTATCTAGAAATATTGGTATCAAATTATGCTCATCGGCCTCCAGTGAGTAGTGCAAAACTTCCGGGAACAAGCAATCTTGGAGAGAATATTTTTGATGTTGATTCAAAGGGGGAATTTGTTGAAAAATTGTCATAAAAGATTGCATTGCCCAGTCGGCCAATTCTTCGAGAGGATCCTCAAAATCATCCTCTGACTCGGGCAAATAATCGGGTTTTAGACGCTCGAGATGTCGGAGATAGTCTGCCAGAAGTACCGGTGACTTCTTGAAGCCGTGAGCTTTTAACTCGATCTGAAATTGTTTATCAGAGACGAAGACATTCAGTTGAGAGTCCTTGTTGAGTTCGCTGGACCAAAATGGTCCTAGTGTATATCGAGGATATGTTTCCATCGTTGAAAATGGGGTCGGAAGCCTGTTTGTAAGCGCAGTCAAGGCGGAGGGCTGAGATCTGCTGCCTGCACAACCATTTGTCCAATTCTAGTGTATTCAGTCTTTCGGATAGCGTTCCCCTCCTGGTTTGTTATTCAATTACCCCATTGGGAAACCATAGCCACTGACCCACGCTAATTGGCCACTCATGTATAACCTCACTTCATAGCTAGTCAGTAGTCTCTAGTCGCATGCAGGTAATTCTTTGATACCTGACACGTCTCACACGACCGAGTAGTTGGTTGCATTAACATAAGTAGTTTCATTAATCGTAAAGAAGACTATAGCCCTAGGTAATATATATAAGAAAAGAAAGACTCCCTGATCCGGACATAACAAGCCTTCTACCTACTTGGGTAGATAGTGTTCCCTACCTAGGTATCAAGGAACGCCTTCACAAGAGATCCCATGATTCACACAAAATAAAAATAAAAACAAAGACCAACCCGAAAAGAAAGCATGTCTAAAAGAGAAATGTCTTCTCAGCTATAGGCTTAAAACACCCCCACCACGACTCAGACTCCCCTTCCTCCTCGTATGACGACGGATTCCGCGCCCACAAGCCTTGCAAGAAAGTCTCCATAACCCTTAAGGAGCCAAAATTCAAGAATGCAGCTGTTGATCGCATCGCCAACAGATTCGCCTTTTGTTGTGGCGTCGTTCGACAATGGGCGCCGATCACGAGGGCCGGGAATAAAAGACAATGTGCTAGTTTGCCCTTGAGACGTGACTCACAGATAGCTCTCAGGCCATAGGATGTGGTTTGTTGGACCAAGGGGTGCGACGCATCGAGGCGATGGAAGACGCGGTATATATATATGAGTCCAGCGAGGCGGTACGCATTGCAAAAGACGGTCCAAGATTCGTCAGAGTCAAGTTGGGGTGCGCAGGAGTTCATGGGGACTAAAAGGTGAGGTGCGAGGGGGGCTTGCGTGTTTCGGGAGCTTTTGATGGCAAAGAATTCGTTTTGTTGGGTCATGAATAATGGTTCTAATCCATCTGTGAGAGTTGTATAGCCCTTCAGAGCCATGGTAAGGGCCTCCAACTCATCGCTGAAGGGTGCAACTTCACCACCGCGATGCAAGACATGTCCCAGGTGCGCAAGACGAGACAAATTTCGCATGATATCCAGGAATGGATCGTACGGCGGAAGCACACCCCACCAGCCATCGCTGCCCGCGAAATGAGCCCACGTGGTATCGCGAAAGTACTGCTCCTCGCCAGTAAGGAGCGAATACGTCAAATCCATAGTCGCAAAACACGACAACATCAGCGCCGGAAGACCTCGTTTATGTCGCTGAAGAAGCTGTTGATGAAGTTTCCACTGGCTCAGAATGGCTCTTCCGCCGCGGTAATGCACATGACACGCGGCACTCTCGTCGTTGGGATCAATCACGCCGTCTAGTATACAGAGAAGCACATTGGCAATAAACAGATCCAGCGGGAGGAGGCGACGTGATTTTTTGTGGTGCGTTGGATTTTCCAATTGTGTGCGGAAATTGTAGATTGCCTTGTGACGAGCGGACCTCTTGGATAGGAATGCATCATGATGTCCGGGACAGGTGCTCAGTTGTTGGTGAGCTTTGGCGACTGCAGTGACCGAGTACCGGAGGGCTGGATAGTTGTTAACTGCGACCAGATCTACCAGGACCGGTTCGGTGGAGAGATTGAAGCGATCGATGACGATGTGCTCAAAGTAGAGCATCAAGTCATCGGCTGTTACGCGTGATGGTGCTTCAAAAAATTGGCAAGCTTTCTTGTAATCTGGAAATTGGTTTGCTTGCTCCTCATCTCCATCATCAGATTTCACAAGATCTAGACTTGTTTCTCGCGGCGAGAATAGTGGTGGCGATGATAATGACAGCGACGGCGATGGCGATGGCGGTGTCAACGCTGACGGCGACACCTGCCCATTCACAGACGATTTGCGAAATTCATCTCGTTGCATCGACTTCTCCTCATTAAAGTCGACGTCAGTTGGCGATACCGGCACGTTCTGACCCGCAAAACGACCTCGAGCAGCAACGCCATTACACCATCTGAGCCGCAACTTACCGTACTCGCAGGCCTGGTCTTCAGATGTACAGCGCGAGCATTGCGGTCGTTGCAAGTCGCATATGACGCGACGGTCCTTGCAAGCCCAGCATGAGCCTTCGACTGTTCTCACTCGTTTGGGCGTCATGGGTGCGAGTTGAGGTGTTGATAGGAGGCATCAGAGTGGAGTAGGTCCGATAAGGTTGTTCTGAGCCTTGATGTCGTTGTCCGTCTTGTCCGTGACACAACTTCTGTTCCTCGAATATGATAGATGTTTCCTCTTCATCTCTCGTCCAAGCACCTCTTTAAATACACTGGCCATCAGTGAATATGTGAGAGAGCATCAACAGAAAGATAGCGAGATAGTCGTCCAAACTAACTCGGCCATCAATCGGATAGCGGAAGCGCTAACCCTCTACAGGAATGGCGCGTTGTTTTATTACCGCTACGCACGTAAGTATCCCTTCTTATACAGGCATTTACCCTTTGTTGATTCTACTTTCTGTCGCACAAACTCTGCCCATGCGACTACCTTGTGCTCCTTCATTACATTCCGCCATGAAACTCAGCAAACAATCAAAAGTGAGACGCGGTCTATGTGTAACATACTGAGGAGGTCTCGCGAAAGATTTGATTGATAACCTATCCCGCAGAAGCCTCGTGTCACGCTCTCAAATGCGATGGCACTGTCCTTTCGTCCGGGAGGTACGGACCTTTTACTCGCACCAGTTGTCACTGCCCGGGAATAGCAATTTACAATTGATACTGTGCTCGACCTGCATGGCGAAGGCAGTTAGGTATATCGTTCGAGTCATGGCTCATGCCAATGACAGGCCGGAAAAGTTCTCCTCTGTCGATCAATCGCAAAAAGCGTGCAGCGAAAGATAAGGCAGGCAAGTAACTCGAAGTAAGCGCGCTACAAGAGGTATGGATGCCGATGTGCCATGTAGTCCATTATTCAATCAGACGAACTGCGCATAACTCCTAATTAAGTAAATATCTATTGATGTAATGACTAGAAACGGAATAGACGCCGTAGAAAGAAGAAAGAAAGAAAAGTCTTCATTCGAAGAGCAGAGAAAGAAATCTAGATTCCTCCAAGACTGGGGGTTTTCGGGTGAGTATTTACTATATTCATCACTCACCTCATTCATTCAGCGGTCTGGAGCTGTAAACTGTAGATCACGTTCACACCGGATTCTGCAGACCGACTTCGCTCCCTCTCTTCACCACTCAGTAATGAACTTGATATGCTGCGGCGCATACAATAACTAAATTACACAGCGTTCATGGATGTTGATATAGTCGGCGACGTCATTGCGATGACAACTTTGCATCGAGCTGCATTCTTGAGTCAAACGTTTTACTCATGATCGAGATCGCATATACGTATATTCGATCCATGCTGAATCTCACGATTATTATAGACGCGACAAGCGGGGGAGCTCTTTGTTCGGTCCGGAACAAGGGACAAGGCTGGGTAACGTAATCATCATTGGTTATATTTGAGATACTGATGTAGCACGATGCAATACAAATACCAGCACCCCTCCTCAAATGTTGTTGATAATCATCAAGTAAAATATAGAAATGGAAATAACACGAGGGTATTGGTTAGGTATACATCAAATGAATAAAGAAATTGGGTAGACACGGCATAGAGAATTATACAGCAACAGAAAGTTGTGGAACTACCGTCAGGTTAGCTTGTCATTCCGAATACAATCACACACAAAAACTTACTGCTCAATCCATAACCCTGCGCGTTACCATCACGGTTACCTTGCTCAATCTCAACCCGAATCGCCACGTCCAGTCCACCAGCCAGTTGACTGGTGTTACTATATCCATCTGCAGCTGGATGGCTTGTTCCAGTGCCTTCTTCACCTAAGTGTAGCGGCGAATGACCATCCTTGGGTGCGGTGCTGGGCGCCAATGAGGGCGGCTGCGCGGTAGACCCGTTTGTGGCAGGKGTCTCAATTTCGGTGATACAGGCGTAATTGCGCGATGGCATCGTGACCTTGTTCCAGGCTGCGCTCTTTTCTACACCACCCGGTTGGCTGTCAAAGAGTGTCATAAGTGTCTCATCTGTTTCATGGTCAAGGTGGTGGATCTTGTTCCTTCGTGCAAGAAGATTGGCCACAGTCTTGGGAGGCGGCTTGTTGGTGATTGCACTACTGACAATGTTTGGCATGAACCTAAAGTCATTCTCAACGGGAATGTTCAGGTCCAGTTTTGAATAGAACCGACCAAGTGCCGCTAGATGGACGTCACCGCCGAGAATCGTGACCCGCACTGAATGGTCCTTTGAGAATTGCTGTAGGCGATGGATCAGTTCTCGGCGCTCAACCTTATGATGTCGAGCTGTGTAGTGATCATCAAGATCGTCCAAAAGATCTACTTGGCCATCAAACTTGTTGAAAAGGCCGCCGGCAACTCCAAATCGTTTGTTCAGTAGACGAACGGGTGCGATCAATGGAGACGTAATGATATTCTCCAGCCAGGCAAGGCGAGGATATGCAATGGGGACGCCGAGCAGCAGGATCAAATGTTTGATTTCTCCGTTGGCCTGAGACAGCTCTTGGTGCAGACGCTGAAAGATCAAATCATAAGTCTCGGGATAGTTGATTTGCATACGTGTACGTTCTGTACGCGCGTCAATACCAGCAAATGCGATGCGCCGACCCAGGCGCATGTATAAGCTGCGGCTTCTCTCTTCGACATATGGACCAGGCGTTTTGCCCATGATCCATCGTGGGTCAGGAGTCGGCTCATCGAGAACGAATGTATCCACCAGTTGACGGGGGTCGATAGGCTCTGTCGAATCCGTGGTGAAGGTGGATTTGGGTGGCGCAACGTGGTGCTGGAAGAGACAATAATACTTAAAGGCCACTCCTCCGATACCTCTAAACACTGCACATCTCATGAAGTGGTCAGTGTACGATCCAAAGCCATCAATGATGTCATGGTCATCCCAAATATTGATTTGCGGAATTTGTCCATTGGCGGTTTTGAAAGGCTCGTGATTATACCACCGTACATAGTTTTTGTAGTAGAATTCATCACACTCAGCCCTCAATTTCTCGGAAAAGTCGTGCGCCTGTCTCTTGATGGGATTTTTGATATTAGTCCAGTCATTAAGAGGTCCATCAACACGGATGCCGTCATTGTAAATTTGATCTCCACCACCAATCATGACATGGAATGCTCGCTTTTCATGCACTCGCAGGACATCATTCCATAGCGCAGGGCCAGCCCAACTATCTGTATCTGTACCGACTGAAAAGCCATTGCACGAATGGAACATGATACGCATAGACTGGTTCCAGGCAGGAACTGTGAACGTCCACTCAGATGCATTAGACGCAGATTCATTGACATACTTGAACCCAGGAATGGCGTATGCCCATCGCGCTTCATATTCGGTCAGGGGGAACGAAAATTGAAATCTCCAAAAGGCCTTGACTGGATCTTCATATAACTTGTCCACTTCGTACGAGCTAGGTACCTGCGATCCGAATTGTCCATTTGCGGAGGCTTGCGACACGGGTCCGACGTGACGTAGGGATAAATGCGGCTGGGCTTGGCCGGGGGTTGTGACGATCAGGATGCTGCCGTAGTATGTTGCGGATGTGTCATTGACGTCCATGCGACGATAGTTGAGCAATGGGCCGGCTATCACGTCTACAGATCCGGCACTGACAGTACCGTTCGTCTCTGTGATGAGCTGTCAGCGCAATCAACTGTGAGTAGACGTCAAAACAAGCATACCATAATTTTGCGCAGGCGGCGCAAATTGGCCCTGCGCTTGTTCGTTGTAGGATGCCATAGATGTGGTATCTGCCAATGCAAACTTTTTTTACTATGACTGCGACTAATTCGTTCACGGATTTCTTAAGGTGCTCGATCGAACTCAGTACGCGAGAAATCCTGAACAGCAAGAGGGGTAATGAGAGAGGTCCGAGGAAGAGAGGTTGGGAAATGTCGAAATTAAAGCTGGAAAGGAGCTGAGCTGAGAAAGGAATGACTGGCAGCTTCTTTCCTGACGAACCGCCCCAGTTGACTAATTGACACTGAATCGCAAGTTCGTAACTTATCAAACAGTCTTATGACCAATGGTAGTGAATCAATTGATCAGACAAGGATAACTGACTAGTAGGCAGTCCAGCAATAGCTTCCGTGTCCTCCGAACGCCAGGTGTATGTACACTCCTTGGTGATTCTCAGTTCGCGGAATTCCAATTGAGTCTTGACGAAGCCAAGCCCCCCCAGTACAAAACACAGCCCGATCAGCCAATCAGGAGGAGTTTCTCGTTGCACTAAAACGGCTGATACACCACTCAAGTCACTAGATCGACAAAAGAGGAATAGCGCCACCAGCCTCTCAAATAGATCAATCTAATCTGTATCATTCATCCAACCATGGGTCAGCAAAAGAGAGTATCAGCCACAGTGCCAAGCGCGCCAAGCGCTGTTACCTAGGTCGACTCTTCGGCAGTGGACCACGACAAAACCAGGAAAACCAATGAGCAGGCTACAATTGGCGATCGAAATCTCTCTGAAGCTAAGAATCTGAGACAGCGTCATGGTGTGGCTGTGCTGATGTTGTTGGGGAGCTACTGCATATGCGGGCTTAGCCACACTGATGACATTCCGGTCTTTCCTCAACATTCATACACTTTACATAGGTAGACGGTGAAATGTCCAGTTTGGGAGTCTACGAAATGCGAAATGTTGAGATGAGAGTGCAAACCTCCGGCTGGCGTCGGCGAGAAATATACTCACTGATTCAGATTGTTCCATCCATGTCATATTGGCTTTTATGAGCTTACATGAGTCAGGTCTGAAATATAAATGAGATCTGGAGCGTAGACCCAATCACGCATAATCTGCAAGGAGTCATCCAGTAGATGTACATGTCCAGCACTAATCCACACAATCATGCCCGATCGACCTCCGCTTCCGTGGAACCCCCTCATTCGCTCCATGTCGATAATGCGGAACAACAACTGGCTGCTGACTGACATCACTGCGTCGCCGGCGCCGCCGAACCATCTGATAACACCGATCCAGCTCAATCTCAATCGCGCACCTTACCCTCAAAGCGCTGACGGCGGGCCACACACCCCGCTCGCCTTTGCGCACCCAGTAGTCCAGCCCGGCTTTGGAAGGGGCTTGGAAAAGTCTCAGAAAATCGCTCGAGGTTAGGTCTGGAATGAGGGTTAAGCTTGGGCCGGGAATGTTCTCGTCCATGAGCAGGCGGCGGAGACCCATGGGGAGAAAGCCTAGGTAGTCTAGTTGTTTTAATCTGTGTCTGATTTCGAGCATGATCAATCGCATAAGAGGTTGGTCGAGGCTTGCGTGGTTGCTGAGTCGTTGGCCGGGGKGCGTGTCCGGGTACAGAAATGGAACGATATATGGCCGTGTCTGGGATACGATGAAGTGGTTGACGTTAAACAATTCGGCGAGTCGGGCAAGCGGCAATTCTCGGCCACTGAGATTAACCTGCCGCCAGGATTGGAATGTGACGTCTTGAGTATGAGGCCAGGGCACAATTGCACCTGTCTCGTCTTTGCAATAGATTGTCCCTGAAGATGCGTTTGAAGCTAGGGCAGCGGACCGAATAAGCTATGTACGTTAGCAATCATATTGAAACGTAAGAATCATATAGACTCACCACATTAGGCGCCGTTAGATAATTCAACAAGTTTGGAAACGCTCCCTTCCCTGATGCCGCTACGGTTATATTCAATATTCTCTTCGTCTTTGCATACGCCTCCTCAAAGGTCATATCGCCCACGTATGTTCGTACACAATCCTCCAAAACAGACTCGTCGAGAAAGTTTCCCTCCGTAAAATATCGTCGTAGCCATCCAAAGCCTATTCGCGGTCGTTCATACTGTGTCTTACCCGCTATCAGCTTCTCTTTCGATGCCCCCTTGGCGGCTTCACCATTAAATGCGCAGAATTCAAGAATATCGCTGTCCAGAAAGTCTAAAAGTTCGTCTTCTGTACGGACACCGACGAGGGCAGCCACTAAGGCTCCCGTGGCGGTTCCAGTAATAATACGAGGTAAAAGACCTCGGAGATGCAATGCCTTGACTACACCCAAGTGGCATAGCCCAAAGACGGTGCCTCCTTGTAAAACGAGAGATGTTCTGCCAAACGCCTGTCGAGTATCATGTAGTAATTCTAGTTTCGCCTGCGACGTGAAACCGCTCACGTGCATGGGGATGGTTTGTAACGATGTCACATATTGGATGGACAGCGCCACATGTGTAATATAGTCGTCAATTAACAGTTTCGTACCGGCATAGGCGTGGTTGAATAATTTCATGGAGGTGATATTACCGAGATTGCGAACCAGGCCGGAGCGGAGAATGCTGACCAGTGTCAGGATGTCCTCCGACTCGCGGGCTCCAAGAATTGACTCTAGTCGCTGAAGAATGAGTCTGTAATCATAATGTTTGCTTGTTGGGTTTTGGCGCCTATATATATCAAAGAAAAAGTCATTCGATGATATTGACTATGAGGTCTGGGGAAGAATACCATAAATCAGCACTAAGCAACTCATCGAGTCGGAAGGCATTTTCTTCCCATTCTTCAAACGTATCGGCTCTGCTTAACGCATAAGATAATTGATCTTTGGGAGATCTTGATCTCAGCCATAACATCCATCTCTGTAGTCAAAATGTTAGCATATCAAGAGAATCATAAGACGAGAATGATGACATCACATACATAATTCCAGAATTGCACTACATCTAAAATCATGCCAGCGACTGCTGCTATGAAGTCCCATGATTTGGCACCGAGTATAAGCAGCGGCATGCTGTCAGAAACTTGAAATTTACCCGGACTAAAGATGGAGTTGCGTAGCCCGTGATCATAACAACCGGTCAGACTGCCGACATGAGATGGACGTTATGAGACGAGGCTCTTGTTCAAACACCCATCGACATCATGGGAAGGGTTGGTGCGCTCGCATACTGTAGGAGAGAAAATTTTCAAAGAAATAAACAGAGGTTGGAGGTGTAACACTAACCTCGTGAGCGACATCTTGATGACTTACATGTGATCGTGGTCATCTCCAAGAGGTGACCCATCCTCCAGCCAATGGGGTTGCCTTGCGCTTCCCCGCATTTGTAGAGTAAGTAACTAGTCCACTTTCGGACGAGGGCTTAGGGCTTGATGTACTGTCTACGAATAGTATGAACTAGATAAGGATATCCAGTGTATAAAAATGATAGTCATTCAACTAGAAAGCATGCATGATGGTAGTCTTTTATATCCATTTGCTCGCCGACTATACAGGGCGGATGGTGACCGAGAGGCGGGAAAGAGGCGAGAATATTCCAATTGTACACCTGGTACATACAGTACAATGTATCTCTTGTGAAAGTTGAACTTTATTGGTTTTTGAAATTCCGCGACAGACTCCCTAAATCAGATGCTGTTCCTCTTTTCTTTGACTCGAGGAAAAAGATAAGAATTTTATGCGAAACCAAGAGGAAGACAAGGAAGAAAAAATTGGAATAGTAATTTTCTTTGCCTTCAGGTATATCTCCCATTTTTAAAGAGAAAAGAAGAAACTCGGCTCATTCACACCACCCCGGTTCACCGTACAAACAAGAAGAAATTACATCATTATCGTCAATGCTTTTTTTCAACTTTACTCGACAACGATGTTGGTTCGCTCCGACACGTAGAGACCGTCAAGGAACTGTAAGAATTTTAGTAAGCAAGTCCAGCTAGATAGGATACTCACTTGAAGAAAACAGCGGCTCACCTTTCGGATATCCTTGTTGCGGACTCTGCAGATCTGCTGAATGTCGGCGGCGCTCTGGGAGACGGCCTCGAGGGAGTTTCCGGACAATTGAAGCTCGTCCTTGACGTTGGCGGAGGTGATAACCTCAACACCAGGCTGGGCAGTGATGCGGCGAACGATCTTCTCGCCAAGGAAGTTTCTGCGTAACACATCTAGTCAGACAAAACCCTTCATCCTTTCCTTCACCTCTGTATTTGCACATACCGGATCTCAACCTCGAAGTTGCCAGTCTCGCCGTTCTTCTCAATGTTCACGTTGATGGGAAAGTGAGCATAGACGTAACGCATCTTGTACAAGAAACCGCGGGTGACACCGATGATCAAGTTGTTGATGAGGGTACGGACAGTTCGGAGAGTAGCAACGCCCTTGCGAGCACCGTGGTGCAACTCGATCGAGATGGTGTTCTTGTCGGGGCGACCGAAGCTCACAGAGATGTGGGAAAGGTCCTTAGTGAGTTTGCCCCTGGGTCCCTCGACGGTGACAATCCGTGAGCGAATGTTCACGGTAACTGCAGAAAATCAAATCAGTTCTCGATTCCTTATATAGACCAAAAATTTGCGATGTGTCTGTTAAATCGAGGGCAGGTGCATGTCGCATTAAGTGTCTGCGGATTCGATCGAATTGTTCTCCATTCCATATCTCTGGTTTTTCTTCTTGTTCAAAAATCTTTCTTCGGTTACAATTCGTGAAGTCGGTAACCACACCGTATTCCTGATCGTCTCGTATKTCGTCCTTCCGTCCTAGCATCCTGACTGTCGACGAAACCTCACCCTCACAGACACATCCGTCAAAACCAAAGAAAAGAAATCGTAGCTTACCATTCTCAGGGATTGGCAGCGTCTCCTCAGAGTGAATGTACCTCATTTTGTCTCTCTGTTACGGTTGTCGTGGGTTGAGGGAGAGAAGAGTTGGGCGCGGGTCGTCGACAAACACAATCACAAATTGAAGGGTTTCGCACACACGGTCGGTAAAGCCGCTTTTGCTTGGTGGAGCGAATTTTCGAGGTTGTGCGTCGCTTAGCCGCACCTTTGCGGTTAGCGTGAGGGGATCACGTGACTATCTGACTAACGTCGCCCAACTCCACGATCTACAACTGGACGTCTACCATATCGACTTTCTCACATATATAGTATTTATTGAGATTTAACTATCTCACATGTTGACATCATGCTACTGGACTCCTGTATCAGTGGTACATTTTAAATATACTAACCAATGTTCCGTACAGTTTTAAAGCTTTCTGTGCTGAATTCCACTTACATTTACACTCCAGTTTATTACATATACAGAAGATTCAATTGAAATACTGCCTAGGAGACATTCTCTTCCCATCATACAATAAAACCAAACCCGAGATCCAACGCCGCCGCATGCAAATAAAATCCCCATACACACCACGTACGTCAATACATAGAAACCATATACATACACCTCAAGAGGAACTTCGACTGAATCAAACATTTCAAATTTCATGTTCGTTCTCATGCTCTTCCGCCACTGGCAAGCGCTCAATCTCCATAATACTCTTGCCTGCAATTGACTTGATTTTAGAGATGAGTTCGTCGTCTCGGTCGAGAGCTTCGACATCATCACCTCCACCGATACTGACTCCATTCACCAGAACGTTGGGCACAGTACGACGACCTGTAATTTTACCCAGAAGCTTTTGGAGATGAGGGCCGAGCACGTGTTTGTCGAGTTCGACAATGTAGGGGGCTGGCACGATGTTGTATTGGCTCAAGATTGACTTGGCCTTTTTGCTGAAAGGGCAGTAGGATTTGGAGAATACGATTACTGCGAAATGATTAGCTAGATGCCCATTGTACGTAGAAACGGCTGTAGATCTGGACAAACGTACTTGGAGACCGCTTCAAGATCGAGTCAAGTTCAGCGCTTGCCTCCGCTTCCTCTTCTTCCTCCTTTGAAATTTCATGCTCATGTGCGGTTGCGATGTCGCTTTTAGACCCAGCTGGTTTGTCAACGACCTCGGGCTTTTTCTCAGACAATTGACTTTGATCCTCCTTTGACTTTGGAACGGACATTTTCGTTCTTCCAGCGACAGAGATTTCCTCCGAATCTTCAATCTTGCCGTGACTTGCACCAATCGGTTTCTCCTGATTTTCATTGTAGCTACTCGGCGGAGAGTTGGTCGTTTTCCGCGTGCCACCATTATTGTTGTTATTATTATTCTCAAGATCGAGTCGTTGTATATGCGATCGATCCTTGGCTTCCTTGGCTTCATTGTTCTTCTTGGTGGTTGCGGTGTGCGCATTGTCGATGGCTGTGACTGTTTTCTTATAAAAGCGGTGGCTCTGTATTCCGCCGCCAGTATCGGTCTGCGTACAAGTTGTTCATATTAGTGCATGGCTCAAATGATTGTGATAATGCAGTATATTGTACCGTGAAGTAAGTGAAGGCTACTAGAAAAACCACGACGACAACCACATAGAGTCTCAGCCGGCGTTGAGACCTCATTTTGCCCGGATATAGGCGATCGTATCGATAATAACTAACTGAAAGGTATATTTTGTACTCAAGTGAGTTGACTAAATGCGAACACTGGAAGAGAGGGTGCGGTAAGTCGAATGTATATGTCTCGTATGGTTGAGCGCAGTCGATAGGGGGGTGGTCCAGACAGTGTCAGAGATGATCATAGAGGAATGAAAGAGCGGCGGGCAATGAACTCCAATGTTCAGCGATTCGATCGCGGGGTTTGAAATGAAACGAGCGTGGATGATAATAAGTCAATTGAGCAGAATCTCGTGGAGAGAATTGTTAAGAGGAGTAAGATACTGAGACAAGCGAGTTCATGGGCTGATGCGACTCTTGACTAGTTTCATAAGATAGGAAGGCGCTGGCTGTAACACTTTTGGGCGACCGCGGTCTAGGCTATCTCCGCCCCACCTTTTACGAGCTGACTCTTTGTACTTACTACTCAGTACTTGGGGCACAACTCGATGGTTATTCGTAGATTTTTGGTAGAACAGAATAAACGATATATACATGATTGCATAGTCACATGAGAGTTCATTGAATCAAGAAAAGAAAGCGCTTAATTGCGAAAAATCGAAGATACATCACGTCTCATAGATGAGAGAGCGTATGTATACTACAAATACACTAGACCGTCGATTGCTGGCGGCTACGTCCTGGATCTGTTGCACCGAACAGCACAAGGACTATTTCATCCAGGATTGTAAAGACCAGGTGAGCATTCAGGCGCCGGTTGTTGAGAATATCATAGATTTTTCGTGATGCTGCTTGGGCATTAGCCCTGCCGACAACATTGCCGGCTAAATCGGGTATTAGAGCAGCCAGCATAAAGCTAGCCTCGTTCTTGGACTTGGATTTCTGTGACGACGTGCGGACTACAGGTTTTCTCATCACACCGCCAGGCCACATGGTATCCTTGGCAAGGGTCAGGTACCGTAACAAATTGTCGTCTTGAATAAGCGATTTCGCACTGTCGCGGACTTTTCGTTCTATAGTCCCACCAAGTAGTTGATGGAGAACCACGACGACTGCACGGCCACGGAGCCAGTTGTTCCCGCGATTAAGCTCAAATGCTTCCAAGAAAAGATCGCAGATGGGCTTGATAAATGGTTCGAGTTCACGGTCCTCAAAAGCATTCAACTCAGCCTCTGCCTCGGCTGCAGTCATTGCATCTTCGGTAGCAAGCGCGGGTTCTGGTCCGGTGAGTTGGCTTGTGGCGGCAGAGATAAGATTTTGCCCAGCAGTTGAGAGCTGGTCCAGCATTGTGATATTGCCCAAAAAGTCATCCATGCCGTCGGCAACTGAATTGTAGATTCGCGATACAATGTCCTTGGTATCTCCATCAGAAGCTGGTGCGCTATGAGGTAAAAGAGCTTGTTGTGACAAGAAGGCCCGTAGATCTCGACTTCGACATACTTCAGGTAGTAGAAGTAGCTGTTGTAAGTACGTTTCTAGTGCCACGCGCCTTTTCTGAAGGAAGTCTTTCTGCAACTTCATCATCATTCGTCGACGCGGAAACTCTAGTTGTCGTACAGATGGATAGCGCATGCGCAGTTTCTGATGAAGCTCATGAAACTCGCTGTATCGACGTGGTACTGCCCAAGAAGCTGCAGGCATCTGTTCTCCAGCATTTCGGCGTACTTCAATCACGTCTGAATTCGATGTTAGCATAGCTAGATATATTGTTACATGGAGAGTTGAGACTTACAGATTGCGAATTCATTCCCATCCTCCTCCTTGCCAACCATTATCGACGGAATGTGAATTGTAGAGCGACCATAGAGACTATTGTCGCTCTCCTGGATAACGTATTGCTGTCGCTGCATCTCTTTGCGGCGAATTTCTCGTTGAATACTTGCTTTAGACTTGCCTAAGATTCGCAACTCCGCCGTGTTGTTGGTGAGTTCCGCTTTACGCGTCAATGTATCCAACACCGATTCCTGTGCGTTCAGTTTCTCAATCTCCTCGGTCAATGCTACAATAGCTTCTGTCAAACCAAGGTCGCCCGGAGCTGCTTGATGAATTTCATCTTCCGGATCCTTTTCTTCTCCTTCTGGGTCAGCATACTCATCCTCGATGAACTTTTTCTCATCGGGAAAGAGTTCGTCTTCAAACACGCCCGTCCTAGAAGAGTTCCCAATCAACCCTAGAGAAGAGATGCTTGGCTTATTCTTTTCCCCCAGCCTCACCTCATTCCGGAAATTTTCCAAAGAACCTCTTGCTGAACTTTGTTCTGCATCCGGGAATAGTGATGATGAAGACATTGGACTGAACAATCTCGAATCCTCTGGCTTTCCGTTATTCGGTTGATCCACAATGATCTCATTAAGCGCTTGTTCCATATTTTCAATGACTTCTGTGTTCTTCGCTTCAGCATCTCCATTCTGTGAGCTCATACTGAAGCTATGCGAAAGGGGATCCGTGTCATAGTCATCATCGAATAACCGCGCTGATCTGTCCGAGTCTACAGACCGCCTAGGGGAAGACTCAACATCGTCAAACAACTTGCCGTTGCTCTGCACATCATTTGATACCGCCGCTCGGCGAAGGTCCTTTGGCTTTTGCATGCTAGGCTGCGACTGAGTGCGAGTCATAAGTGGTGGAAGTGGTCGACGCTCCCGCTGCTGAGGTTCCGGGGTCGAAGCACGGAGCGGAGTCTCTTGTTCTGTTGGCGCAAGTGAGGTTTCGTCAGATGCGAGATATTTGAAGAATAAATCCGAGTCCCTGAACTTCGGATAGTATTTGCTTTCCATCTCTTCCAGTATGGTAGACTGAGTCGTCAATATGGCAGTCCTGGCTTTCAGATATTGTTCCGGGCTTGCTCTTTTCCCGGCTCTCAGGAAGGCCTTGACTGCATCTCGAGATTCTCCTAGAACATTCAATTCGGGCTTTGACAGATAGTTTTCATTAATGAGAATCATGTCACTAACATCAGCAGATGTCCAGGCCGCTGAGGCGGCAGTACTCTCGTCACCAAAGTCGTCCTCTAAGGGATTGCGAAATCCATCTACCACTATCCAGAATTGCACGAGACTCATTTTGTTCTGGCGATCCATAAATTCCATGAAATACGAGAGGCCCGAGGCATCGTGCATCAAATCAACCAGTGAGACATCCTTGTGGTTTGGCACGCTATCACGTCGGACTTCCGGTTTCAATGATGCGGGAGGACGACGAATACTCGCATTAGCTGCCAGTTTCGAGACTTTTTGGTCCAGAACTCGTTTCCCAGTTTCAAGACGCCTAAGGTAGACTTGGTCTTGTCCTTCGACCATGCTCTCCCGCTTCAACTGACTTGCAACTTGAGCACGAAACTGCCTGGCGTCGGAGAGATTATTACAACGCCTGATAGCCCTGACAAATCGTTCAAAAGCTCGCTCAGAGTCATTTGGACTAAGTCGAGGAAAGGAAGGGGCGCCCTTTGGTTTGGAAGGTGATGCATGTTTGTCAAGAGCAGCGCGAAGTTTTCTCACTGTCTTCCGGTCATTCAACGCAGTTCGACCGTAAGTCTCAAGTATTTGATTCCATGTGTCCGGGTCGGATAGAAGAGTTATGACGGGAAGGAGCACGGCGCACGCGACAATTTCTCGAATCAAAATAGACACCGAGCGACTTGTCAGTAGGTTATCGGGAAGAAGTTGTGGCAGCAATCCCATAACCAGCTTGCGAACGTAGTCTTGCTGAGTCGCTTTCTGGTCGGCGAGAGACACCGCAACCGCTGGGTGAAGCCTCCCATCGCGGTATTTGTTGGCAATCGCGAGTCCTAGTTCTTCCGCCTCCGTTACACTCCGAGCCAAATTCCTCCCTCTGACAGCTCTCTCGGCGCGGTCGAAATCTTTAATGTGGGCAGTCAAAATCGGTACTATCCGTGACACAGCAATGGACGTCACATCCTCACTCAAGAGTCGGTCGCGAATGTTTTCAAGGGCTATGCGCAGAGCCCTATCTATTTCATTGATAAATGTGCTGTTTTTGCTGATGTGCCCGTACCAGGACCTGATAAAGTCTCGAGAGGCGAGTTGTAGAAGCTCATCAATAGCTTCTGACACCACGAATGATTGGGGATATAACGATTTGGCTTCGTATTCGGTTGCTTTCCGGTAGACACCGATTTCTTCGGACCAGGTGTCGGCAGCGAGAAACCGTAGATTGGGTACCGTTGTGCGTCTGTCGATAAACTCGGATTTCGTTTTGACTGTCAGTAGTATTGCGCTGCAAATGCATACACAAGTAACGAGAACACCGGCGACAAACGCATACCCTAGATAGCGCGCAACGGGGACCCAGTTGACAACCAAGCCCCAGGAGACAAAACCACTGAAGCCAGCGAGCAGAAGCTGTCGTCGGCTAAGGGCCATTGTCCTCTCAGTGATGGGCAGGCACCGGAAGACCCATGGCGGGTTGCTTGGATAATCCAAGACTTCTTGTTGTATTAGTTGCAAGTTTAACTGGAGAACAAACATCTCAGGAAGGCACTCCACAGACCCGCCAAACCCGTGACCCGGCACATTCACGTCATCGGGCCAGCTAGCTAACATGTGAACGAAAACAAAAAAGACACCAATAAACTTTACTTGATTGAACCTCACTCCTTTTTAACCAGTACACTATTTCGAACCTCGCATCCTCTATCGGCATCTGCACAATGTCTTCCATCACTGACTATATAGACCTTTCCCAGCCCAGCTTGCAGAGTAAGTTGAAAGCCCGCTATTATTTACATGATCGCGACCATTCGGATTACTTCCGAGGAAAGCGAAGGATTCGGCTCTGACGTTCTTGACATAATTAGTCTCTGCACTGGCCATTGCTTTTAACCCGATTTTCTGGAAGTACGTCTCCTCAATTGCAAATCAGCTATTGTCACTGACATACTAATCCTTTTGATTGTAGCATTGTCGCGCGACAAGGTATGTACCGAGATGCGCACTGCTATGTTGCGCTGAACTCGAACTAATCCGGAAAACTTGTAGAATACAAAAACCACTTCCTTACACGCATCTTCGGCAGCCCTTACTATGGCTGCTACTTCCTCGCTGTCGCCATATTCTCTCTAGGCATCTTCCGTGACCATCTCTACCTCAAAGCCCTCGAGGACCAGCCATTCTACGAACCCGTCCACCAGCCCTACATCGCCTATGGCCTGTTCGCTACTGGCAATGTCCTTGTTATCTCCAGCATGTGGGCACTCGGCGTTACGGGTACCTACCTAGGAGACTACTTTGGCATCTTGATGGATGCCCCCGTTACTGGATTCCCGTTCAATGTGACTGGTTCCCCCATGTACTGGGGTAGCACGTTGAGCTTCTTGGGTACTTCTTTGTACTATGGAAAGGTTGCTGGTCTGCTTTTGACGCTTGAGGTGTTTGTTCTCTATTGGTTTGCGTTGCAATGGGAGGAGTGAGTCTACCGTCTTAGTCTATACGGATGCCCTAAGGAATGCTAATTCTACGCAGCCCATTCACTGCCGAGATCTACGCCAAACGCGAGCGCGAGAGGGCTAAAGTTGCCAAGAGCTCCTGAATGAACGATACATACTGAAGATGCCCAAGTCTTACACTTACGAGTGAACATGCTCTTGCGCAATCCTCGTCAAAGACGGAAATATTGCAGTACGGATTGACTCGTGATGGTGGTCGTGAATTGAACATCATCCGCTGGAAAATCTTGCATTTTCAGTACTATCGCTTCGAACACACCCAAAACTCTACCGCTGAAAGTGTCGCGTGATCTCTCCATGTGACTCTTGACACCAGCGGTTGGAAGTTCAACCTATCCGTCAAAAAATTGCATGTTTGAGGAGAAACGAGGAGTAGGGGATTGAGGGGCGGAGGGTGGAAGGAGGAAAAAAATAACAAATGACTAGCTATTTTCAATCATTTCACGACCTGATGTTGTTTCGGTTTCAAGTATATAGATTTCAACAATTCTTTCAAGAAAAAATGATATTAAACTATCAAGACAAGAAAAAAACACCTGAGCTCCCGCATCCAAATTCCTGATCGCCGTATATGATACACATATTCAAAGCCAATAAAAGTAAAAAAGGGTATGTAGTTTATGCCTCGCGTCCAATTCTGATCGCAAGTGAGAGTGATGGCTGTGCAATGAAATAAAGTAAAAAGTAGAAACCGTTTACTGACGTCTACGACCTCTCTTCCCTGTCGTCCGTTCTTCAACAACAGCAGTCTCAACCTCATCATCATCAGCACCTTTCTTCAAATCCTCGCCTTCCGCCAATCCCCATTTCTCTCTGTCATACCAATCTTCACCATCACTCATCTCGCCGATATGTCCCTCCGCCTTGCACCATTCGAAAACGTCTTCTTTGAGATGGTCGGCTCTGAGTAAGGAGTTTAGCATGTATGTGAAGTTGCGGACTGTTTCTTCTTGTTTTTGGATGTATGACCATAGGAGGCGGCGGGTATCTTCTGCTTCGTTGGAAGGGAGGCCGAAGTCTTTATCTGGTCGGATCTCGTCGGAGGTGAGGAACATGGGATGGGCTGTTGAGAGTTGTGTGGCTGCGTCAGGGGAGGGGTATCGTGAGCTGCTGCTCGTGGCTCCGTTCTCGTTTGATGTAGATGCGTTTGCTTGTGCGCGTGTGGTCATTCGTCTTGGAGGTTCGGGGGATGAGGTGCCTTCGTTGCTTTTTGATTCTGATGCATCTTGCATGGCGGTATCGCCTCCCTCCGCTCCCAGTGCGTGTGGAGATGATTGTGTTGTATCGGGTCCTTGATCTTTGTTATTGAGATTGCCGTTGTCGGACGAATTGTTCTCCCTGGCTGTTGAATCTGCTTCTGCCCCCTCGCTATGTCGTGATACGTCTCTCAATGAAGAAGGAACGTCCTCCTGTTTAAGTTCCCCATTCTCCGCAATTTTATCCTGTTCGGATACGGGAGCTTCTACCATCTCAACATCATCGCCTCCATTTTTATCACTCGATTGAGCACCTGGTTGGGTGGTGTCGTCAGCATCAACATGTTCCCCATGACTCCTTGCTATTTGCGATCCATTGTCTCTATGCTGCTGATGCGAAGCCTCTGCATCGCGCGTTCTGAATATAAACGGATCCTCTTTCGACTCCACAGCACCACAAGACATCCAAACTGAATCTCCCAAGAACAGCCGGTGTAAATTATGCGCGCGAGCGAGAAGTGCGCGTTCTCTTCTAAGTTTTTCGTCAATTGCTTTGATCATTGTTGGCAGGGCTTTTGATCGGTAAGGCTGGGATAGGGTGGGATGGTCGGGGAGCTCCGAAGCTTGTTTGAGAGGGCAGAGAATATCTATAAAAAAAATTAGCCATATAAAGACGTAGAAGGTTGAGTGCGACGTACGTTCGAGAGCGATCCCTGCAAAAGGATTGTCTTCTGCCGCCTCTGCCTCGGCCTCTGTGTCTGGTTCTTCATCGCCGTCAATCTCTTCACCTTCGGAATCAAATCGCGGCGGGTTTCGGTGTAGAATATAGCGGGTGTATCCAGCATGATCGATTTTCTGATGATTGGAGATTTGAGTCAGTCGGACGGTTCTCGCAGGATCTTGCAAAACGCTCGTGGTTGGGACGAGCGGGGTCAGAATCATGAAAACGCACCTGTTTATAGAAATCGCGCGGATTCGAAAACCCAAGAGAACCTTCATGAACATATTTTGCATTCGCTCGTAACTTGTTTCCTCGGTTCGTAGGCTGAGTAATAGCTTCGTCTGGTCCTGAATCTGTTGTCGAGAGAAAATCAGCGAATGGTACAGACAAGGGCCTAATGAGGATTTCCTTCAGCGCAAGACTCACTCTCATTCTCTCGTCGCAATGCTTTTTTCAAGCCAATAATGGTTTCTTCGATCAAAGCTGCCTGTGCCGCCATTTTGACGAGACCAATCCGTGAAGGATGTACGAGTAATTTGCCTGACGGTAGACACAAGAACAAAAATCAAACAGAGTCCGACGTGTAGGGTGGTAAGGAAATCAACTAAACATCCTGCAAGTACTTGAAACCCGACAATCTGAAACTGCGACGTAATTTGGAATTGAAGGGCTATTCAGTAATTGTTTGCAAGAAGAAAGGTCTCTCCAGCAATCATTGTCCTCGATAAGTGATTATCGCTGCACGCGTTCACCGCCTTCGGAGGCTGACTGGTTCGCCGATCTGTGACGTTACTCCGCTACCCAAGAAGGGTTAAAGTTTACGATATCACTACATTCTTTCAATCTATTATTATTTACAGACTGAAGCATTCTTGCATATATCCAAATATACATGAAATCAAGGTCTATATTCGGTTGTCATATACACATGCCGAAGCTACGAACACTCCGCAAAGCCACTCATAGACATCACTCATTAGGAGTCATAAGCATCAACCCACACCAATATGCCCTTCTTATCAGCTCGCATACCATCCGTTGGCAATACGCGCAGAGTTTTGTTAAAGTAAGTATCGATCACAACAAGATGGGGCTGAATCCACATGCCAGATTTGAATGCGAATATGTTATATCGTACTCTGTGCCTGCTGAGAGGGACCAATTGAAGGGCTCTAGTCTTAGAACCGCTGAAAGCAAAATGCTCGCTCGCATCCATGGTGAGAGAGAATGTCAGAGTATGCATTGATGGATTCTCGAGTGTGTAATCCAGATATATCAGGCCTGGGGTTTCTTTGGAAGGTGATGCGGAGGCAAGAACACGTGGTTCGCCCATGGGGATCATGAATCGCGGCATGGCTAGAGATGTCACTGTAGTCGTGTTTTCATCTTGATCCGGCGACGACAGTCTCCGCCATTCTATATCAAGTGACAGGTCTAGTGTCACGGACCTTCGGTCGTCTAGACTAGTCTTTTGCACATTGAGAATGAATTCAGAAGCTCGGAGTTCTTCAGGCAGTATTTGCGCTGCCTCTGGAGTTGTCAGTCTTTCAGGACCGATCTCGCATAACGCCCCACCGTGTGCCTCCAAGAGACCAACCCTGACACCCTCAATGACAAGAGGCTCGGATGCAAAGGAGACAATCTTTGGACTGACACACCATCTCTGTTGCAAGCCATCAGGCCTGTCGGTTTGGTCGCCGTCAGAATCGATATCTACCTGGAATAGATTGGGCCAGGCATCGGGATGGATGCGGGGCACTAAGTCGTAATTCGCTTCGAATGGTCTGACGAAGACAAGGTTTGCTGAGATTGATTTGGATATTGGTGTCTCCGGGTCGGACACCAGGTAGTAATTGACTGATATCTCAACCTCGTATTCCAATGCATCTACTGTATTAGACAGTATGACCGGAATTTCAGAAATAGCGGCTTGAGACAGAGTCCCAACAGATCGCGATTTCAAGTGGTTTGTAGTCTCGACGCTCACACCACCAAACTCGGTAGTGTCACCAGCGTCATCAGACCACGATATCTTGATCGGCGAGTCAGGCTGTCCAAGGACCCTGATCTGCATGGCTACCTCCGCCGCGTCGTCTTCATTGTTCTGTATGGCCACGGTCAGACTGACGCGTTCGTTGGTATAATAGTGCTGTTTGATATTTGGTAGTTGTATTTGTATGTTCGGGGGCTTCGGAAGGATCTTGCAGCTAGCGGTGTCACGACCTTTGCCTATTCTTTTCTTGTACGAACCTCGAGGGCCGTCCCTCCACCAGAAAGACCTGTCTCTCTCATGGTTCGTTATCACATATAAGAAATTGAAGTTTTCTTCTTCGATTGCTAATGTTATCGAAGCAATCCGTGATTCACCCGGTTCACGGGGAATTGCAGTCATGTTGAACACTCTGGTCTCTGAAGGGTTGAAGGTCAAGTCGGCCTGGCCTATCATTGACGCCATGTGGCCGGTTGGAGATAGCAGTGTCGAAGATTCGGTGGAGGTGGCTGAATCTCGTAACTTAAGGTTATGGATTTGTGATGATGGATCGTTGGTAGTCTCCGTGACATCCTTTGCGTGTAATGTAATGGGGCGTAGACCGCCTTCGAAGACAATTTTGACTTCAGACAGCTTGAGAGGCGCGGCATGTTGATGCGCATGAGAAGTGATAGCTAATTGCAGCTGTAGCGCTTGGCCAACATTGCCTTCACCCTTTTGAAAGACCATTGCGGTGGACACTAGTATTGTTAGGCATAGTCAACCAGGTTGAAGGAGAATTTGTAATACATACGGCATGTTACAACATCCTCGGCTTTGAGGACTATGGTGGGTTTCGGGCTGCCAACTGACAAACCATCGAGACATTGATGGAAATTGTAATCCCACGTGGCTCGTGATGGTAAAGCTAACAAACTGAAATTAGCAGGTTAGTCAAATGGCAAGAAAAATATGAACAAACCTTTACTCATGAGCTCCCAATGAACCCATATCAATATGTCAATGTCGTGTAGCTCAAGCGCGCAGGATCTCAATGTCCAGGCGAATTCACTCATTAGATCCCACCACTGGCCTTTTCGCCATGTCAGATGACGCCAAAGTGGCTTCAGAATATCATATGCCTCTTGCCATTGCTTTGCATTAATATGAAATTGTGCAATTTCAAGACTCAAACTTTCAACTTTTCTTACTTGATCCCTTGCAGCAAAATGTTGTAGAGATGCTTTGAGCGTTTGTAGTATCAAACTGTTATGATCAAATCCGGAACCATCGGGATTCGGAGCTTCTGCTGCTGGCTCAGGTGCCAAGTATGTATCGTAGAACTGCGACTGAGCGACTGCTTGCGATGCGGGTGCTTGATCTGCCGCAACTCTGTGCTCTTCTGGAATTTGCTCTGCAAGCTCACGGCGCCGAACAGTATGTCTAGCGGATCGGTCAAGCCAATATCCTTGATGATGAAGATACTCCCAAGCAAGTAGGTTTTCGTCACTCGAGAAGCCTTTTTCAGGGGGGTGGAAGATTGAATCGTAGAGTCGTTCAGGATTCTGGAGGAATTCTGCGGAAAATGCGGGAAGCTCAGCCCGTGAAATGAGTTGAGCCATCACCGCGGACCACCGTGCAACCCAAGCTTCCCAACCGTAATTCTTGGTTCCCTTGCCCCTGCGACTGACAATATCCTCTGTATTAGTCTTGTGGCAGAGCCAGAATCGAACGGCTGCAGTGGGCTGACTGGTCCAAAGTAAACAACGAATTATACGAATTGCCAGAACATCGCCTAGAAGCCGTGCCTCATTGAACCTCGGATTCCACCCAGCAATTGATTCAAAAACCTCTTGTCCAAACAATGTCTCGTATGCAGCCTCAAAATTCCGTTGAGCAGCTTCCATTTCCTGACGAAACTCAGCAAATACCCCGAGCTTGAATTCGTAGCGAACATTCCATCCTTGCATTGATAAGGTTTGTGATGTCCCTTGTGTAGGTGGAATTGTTGGCGGAGGTATAGTCCCTCTATTACGCTTTCGCCGTGCATGCTTCGATAAATCTCGATAATAATCTACAAGCGAAGCTTGGATAGACGACAGGAATGATCGCACGAAATCCCTTACTTCCACAGGTGATAGATCGGGGTTTAGGACGTGCAAAGACCTCGGGTCTAGATTTGTAGCCCTGCGAATATTTGCAAGTCGGTCTTCAACTTCCTGTGCGGAGATGCCATCTTCTGCCACAAGGATCACAACAAAGCGCGAACGATAACCAGAAGCGTTCCACGAATCCTTCAAATCTCTCAATTCTATTTTCAATTGGTTATCCCTCAACGTGGTCATACTCGGGTCGGAGGTTAATGGGAAGACATTAATTGTGGCGGCTGGTATTAGGTCTTGATGCTTGAGCATCCATAAGGGTGTCAATATTCCATCGGGGAAAGTTGGGGAGCCTGGTGTCAATGGCGAGATTGGAGAATGTACGACCGGCACGACGGAGGAAGAGGAGAAGTCCACATCGGAGGGGAACTCTGCTTTCTGCGGGGGAAGACGATAAGACTAGCATAAACACGTATTAGTATCGACAGACATATAAGTACTCTTTGAAATATGCCTCTAGATCAATCCTACCCTTTTGATAGTCTTTACCCTTAAGGGAATCCCATTTGACCTTCCAGCATCATAAGACGGCCTCCATGGTGCATCGGAAGCATCATGATCAATAAAGGCGGTGCGCAAACTCTCCACCAGTGGTCCCGTTAATAGAGGAAAATCTGACTCAATTGTCGTACCCCTTTCTTGAAGTGATGGGTATTGGGAGTTGGGAATTGACTCGTCATCCTCGTGCGCGATGCCGGATAGCAGTACTAATGGTAGATTATGCACAATATAGTCATCTGGATAGGCATCCATTACGAGACAGGATGCGGGTTCCTCTGCGCGAGTCGATTCAAGGCATATTTCGTTATAGCTGGTGTCCACCTGAGGTATTCTAGACCATGCAGATTCAAAATACAGCTGTTCACAAAAGTAAAGATGGATTGTTGCCAATGCCATCACAAGCTTATGTTGTTGGTGCTGTAGTAGGCTAGTACGCAAATGGCTAGCTTCATAATGAATCCGAGCCTTAGACTTGATTGGTTCAACCGATTGTCCAATCAAATTCTTTAGATCATCCATGGTCATCTGATGTTCCTAGCCCTAAGTCCTCTGATCTCTAAAGAAGCGCCCTGATCAGTCAAGAAACCGACAATGTTATTACAAAGGCTAGCAAAAAAACCTGTTTATCTCAACTGCCAAATATCCATTCACATCAGTCTCACAGCTGGAAAATTCCATTGGTCCTGCTTCATGGCAGTGGCATATGTCCTTGTCTAGGACCGCAGAGATGACCTACCCCATCTGCGCAGTGAGAGTACCATCGGCTTCATTGCCTAAAATATCAGGCCAATTTTTACTGCCACGGCGAATTCTTGCGGTGGAATTCCCACAATCAAATCAGTAAGGGCAAAGAGAAAGTCTACTGAACATTCGGGGACATAGAGGCCTGAAGTCCTCCAAATAGCGTGCTGGTCTTGATTACGGTGAAGATGCTGTACCTTCTTGATGGGATCGATGGAAACTACCTGAGTCACGTTGAGCTAGGAGGAGCCTTCTTCTTCATCGTAAAGAGTATGTACAGGCATCCGCTCTAAATATTTCAAACCATAGATCATGTATCAATTCATCCTCTACGAACTTAAGGTGGAGAAATTTCCTGTGTACAAGAAGACTCGCACACTTGCGAGATGCTGAATTTTTATGCATCGGAATCTATAAATCTATATCTATACATAAGCAGGTATAATTGATCTTTTCCACGTGGTTGTCACTTTATTTGTAGATGTTCAGGATGCCAGTAAGTCATCATAATGTCTGTGGGCCCTAATTCCAATTGATGACAGTAGCTCCTAACATTTGAACTATGAAAATCCCTCAGTCGAGTACCCCATTGTGAGGAACAAAACACGTAGGCACTGTGAAATCGACGGCGACGACGGCAATGACTTTGTCCATGCCTCGAGGTTTCCCAACTTGGAAGGATCTATTCCCACTACTTAATATACTTTAGTCATCTTCTCAATAGATAGGATCAAAATGGTACTCTAAATCAGGGCTAGGCGCGCTTGTTTTTGTTTTCGGCTACTGTTTAGAAATTGTTGAAGTATTTATCAGTAGCTAGGTGCAACTCGTATTGTTATTATTGCTCAATGTTGAATGATGAAGAGCGAGTGTTACTGAACTATGCTTAGATACCTATACGAACTGTATTTCCCCTGCAAGGTGTGGACTTCCTTTGTCAGCTGCGGCCGCTTTTGTGAGCGTCCTCAAAGTTTGGCTCACTATGCAGATGTAGTCCAAATTTACGCTCACAAAGCTGCTCAGCGTCATCACATTTCAAACATTAGAGATTGTGTTGTCGCTAAGTGAGCACTCATCGAGCATAAATAGCTTCTGACTATTCAATTAACTAGCCACACGAGTCTGGTACTGCTACCCGAGCTTTTGCTACGCTCTCGCTATCTAGTGTATATTACGAAGAAGAAAGTAGTCTCATATACTACGTAGCCACTGTTGAGGGTCGACTTTATTAGTTTTACTCCCAAGCACAAATCTACGGTCTGATTACAGCCTTCTCTCATACTCGAGAAGGCTCCTTTCAGCTGCCCTTACTGGTACTTCTTTACGATTCGGATACTGCGTTCGGGATTTGGGTTCCAGTCATGCTCGTAAAAGATAATCATGATTTCGGTCTTAGATTTCACCGCGGCTTGACAGTCGGCGTCCTCGTAATGCCGTGTTACATAGGTAAAATGCTTCAGTAAGACATTAATCACCGATGCGTGTCACGCTTAAATAACCAATGGACGCTTCTCATCTGACTAATTGTTACCAGGAGCTACTCAGCCTCACTTGTAGGATGACTTTCCTTTGCTATGAAAGAGTTCCCCTTAATATATTAATGCGGTCAAGGTTGTACTGGAAAATGTATCGCGGGCTATGCCATAGAGTTTTACCACTTAAAAGCGGGAGAAAAATACGAGTCCATGCGCATCCTCCACCCGTCTTACAACTCACCTCATTTAGGGATAGACCCCTCCTGGGAGTTATGGCGGCTGCAAATGGTTACAGGTGCAGTCATTTTCAGCGCCAAATTCACACTGCGTGTATGTACATAATGCCAGAATTTTTGGTGTGACATATCTGCTCTCAGAATTACACTGGAGCATTGGCGCCTACTACTGAGTCTGTGGTCCCAAGAAAACTATGGTCATTTCTTAATTCTTAGAATTGCGGTGGCAGTGTAAAAAGTGGGCACGCTAGATTCGTATTTTGTAGATCTAAATGAGCCAGTCAGGTCTCTTAAATTGTACACTTTCTGGCGTAAGTTTGAATGAGCCGCAACGAACGACTTGGCAAGTGCTATATCAGGGACGGCATGCGCGAATATATAATATTTCGATCTGCCAAATGATTGATGAGGCTGATGTGGTCTCTCTACATATATATCTTTCAATTGGGTTTCAACTGCAGCTGATATCTTCTCTTTTGTCGGTGTAAACAAAACGAAACTCAAGGAACGATCCGCTTTATTCACCGTCCACATCTATATGCATACTTACCTGGAGAGCATTGGCTCCTTCTAGTTCACACAACCATGTCAGCCAAGTCTGTGGCTTCAGAGAGCGGGCGATCAACGCATACTTTCTCTACTTATTATGTGTATCATGAGGGCGAGGAGCACTTCCTCCTCTCGCCAGTAAGAAAGCCCCCGAAAGTGAAGAAGAAGAAAAACAAGGCCGATCAGGACGATAATGCCGACCCAGAGAAAGGAAAAGCTGAGGCTGAATGCAAGGAGGTGGTCGCGGATGAGGACTGCTATTTTGTTCACCAGCCCTATGTCTCCTTTCACAGCCCTCCCCGTACACTTCGAAGGGGAAACTCGAAACATGGAATTCCGATCTGTCTGATGCAAAACTCCTGGTGCTGGAAGCGGTGGAAATTGCAATTCGGTGAACGACTCGCTGATGTCATTGACGCGAGAGGGGTTGTCAGCTGGGAGTATAACGGCAATGACACCGAAGAGGATAAGGCGCTCCAGGGATACAAAGTCCGTTCGTGGAGACTGTGGGGAGAATCAGGCAAAGAATATCACAGAGAGGTGAATGAAATGAGGAAGCGGGAGGCCCTCGGAAAGGAATCACATTCACCGTCATTATCAAATGCCTGTATACCAACTCACCCTGTCGTAGAGGAAGTCCATTATCTCGACTGGCTATCACCTATGTCAAAAGATGTCCGCTGTTACCGGTTCCAGTATGCCGGTCTTGACTTTTACTGGAAAGGGACTCATCTGGAGAGCGACGGGGCATTCAAAGCAGTCTTTTTAAGACACAATCATTTGAAACTAGTAGTGCGACTGCCCAACCAAACGCTGCTCCAACAAGAGTCAAACTCAGAGGAAAGTTCGGAGCTCTGTCTAGCAAAATTTACGAGCTCCATAGATCCTGAAATGACAGGGACGCTGGAGCTCTTTGAATCTGTCATTACTGGCCGCTTACAACACCATCTACTTTCGGTCGGCCATACAACTCCGATTGATACACATGATGTGCTGATAGCAACAGCAATGTGCATGATTATCGGGGAATGGCAGAAGCGAAAGTGGGTGAAAGGTGTCGCTTGGGGACTTATTGGCGCTGGGGTGGAATCGGCCGATCCCTAGACTTTAGAGTGCGTAGTTGTCCTTGACCAATACTCCTCACAGTACATCATCTGATACTCCTGCGGTCTATTGCAAACTGATCTATACACAAAGTCCTCTATGCCAATGCACAAACCACACTTCTTTCAAAATGATCAACGCGAAAAGATACTCGCCCGATCTGGCGAGTACCTAGTCCTCCGAATTCTTGAGCTGTTTGCGGAAGAATTGATTACTACATAAAACGAGATTACCATCTCAGAATAGTGATGGCACAACTTGATTGGTTTTCTCCTCAGAATGAGAGCGTGAGAACTCTTTGAACCTCCTAGAACATACAGAAGAATATATGACATTGCCACGCTCCCATCTGCCCTTAACCCTTACTCCTTCTGTGCTGACTCTCAATAATTGCAAATGCGGTTAAGCAAACCATGATTTCCCATTTCTTAGCGTCTCTATCAAGATGTGCATTGTCATCTTGGCTGCTCTTTGCCATGTTGGCAATGAATAAGCTGCCGGCCTTCATCGTCCAAGAACTGCTTCCTACCCATTTAGCCAGGAGCTCTCCATCCTCTTTACCAATGCCTCCAGAGCGTAGTTCCATGCTTTTCAGCCTCCCTAGTACACCATATGTTTTTCGGTATGTGTACGTCATCCTATGTGCGCTAGTTCCGAAATCAAAATGGTATACTTTGTGGCGGTACTTCTCTAGCCGTTCCAATCTCTCCCATATCATCGGCTTKCCCTCTATCTCTCTGGCTGGATCTCCAAGCCCAATAGTGAAGCCTTGGAGATGCATTTTGCCGACCCCAAGGACTTCTCCGTCCTTGGAGTGTCCTTCGTGAAGTACGAGGTCAAACTTGTTCTTTTTGAGAGTCTCATGGGTCTCAATGTAGTATATAGAGGTGGCCTGAGGACCGGGCCTTATGATGTGGTAGGCCTGAAACTTTGCTTTTGACACAAGCTCGTAGGAAAGCCCTTGGTCAAGGTTTTTGGCTGCTGTAATATCTGGCGCGATGGTATCAGAGTCCCTCGGTGATGTAATTGACATTTTGAAAGCGTAGCTTGAGTTAGGGGAGTACGGACGCTAGACTGCTATTTCCGTAATTATGGTAAATATGGTGCATGGAGAGAAGGAATAGAGAGTATCTGTGGTTTCTCCATTATATACTTACTACTCTAGAGGACTACTTACCACAAGGGCGTTGCAGGTAGACAAAGCGATGTGCTAGACTACATATAGTCAGAACCTGCGAATACGGCCACGCTAGGCAGAATCTAGCGTAGTAGGCTAACCTAAATTCCATACCCGTCTCTAGTACGAAACCAATTCACATAACCCTAAGTTGGGGCCTTCGATAATAGGGGTTATAATTATAAGTTAATATTAAGCCGACTGATCTGATATTTGGGTTCTAGCTCAAGGTTGTGCTTAGTTCTACTTAGTGTGTAGAAGCGGCGAGGAGGGAAGCCCTAAAACGGAAATGTAAAGCCCCGGCGCGTCAGGGAAATCCAGTACGCAGGTGACTGCTTCGTATACGAACCTTCCCTGCTAGGTGGGGCTAGCCTATAACAGTCAGCTCACAACATTTTACAGATCTATTGAGTGATACGTAGTATGATTGTAAGTTTCTATGGTGTTTTATTTCCTACTATAATTTTTCATAGTTACTATCTCTGATCGAAGTACTCAATTTATGAGCGAAGTGTGGACTCATATCTACCAATAGGCCTCAGCATGACCTTCGCGAGCGCCCGGGATTCGCCCTGACAAACCGGTAAAGAAGCTGGACTAACTACCGACACGCTAAGTATATAGTTTTGGAGAAGATTGGTACGCGTGCTTATTGGTTGTATGTGAACGGCAAGATATCTAATATCTTCTTTACAGCGCTCCTACGGCCCGTATCCGAGAATCCTTTCCCATAGCAGGCAGGAATTGTCAGATTATCAGCAGCCACTAGGAACGTTGATCGATGGAGAAGTAGAGCACGTGATTAAGGGAATCGAGGGTGAACGGACTATCAAGCGAGGGCGCAGGCAGATGTGCCATCATTCAGTCAAATGGTTAGATTATAAGAAGCGAGATTGGCTACTGGTATGGACCTTCGAAGACTCCGTCGCTCTTAACGATTGGGGAGAGTTTAAGAGGGAGATAATGTGTGCTGTGGCTATGTAATTTTTGAATAAAATATACGTATTTTGTCGCTTATTTAGCCATAGTATGCGGTCTGGCAGTTTGGCCCACTGTACTAGGGGAATCACTGGGATCGGCGACCGTGGTGCCCTGGCGGGGGCGCACAGAGCCTAAGTGGGTATTAACCCGAGGTCTCCGCTTTTTTATACAATTTTGAGTGTGTATGAGAGAGCTTGTTTGTTTCTTCCCCTTTTCTATCCCCATCTTCTGATTTCCTTTTGAACAGCGAGTACAAGGCGCGGCTAGTATTGAGTTGGAGAAAACCTAGCTATCTAGACAGCTTAGTGATTACAAGATAATATCTTTACCATTTTTGGTGTATTATTCAAGATGCTAGACAGCACTAGCTCAACAGCACTGTGGAAAGACTTTTACAGCCCTACTCCACTCAAGGAGATCCGTGCACTATTGTGTGCAGCAACGCACAACATCGCAATGCCAAATGCCTTTGCTGACTCCATACAAGCGGTACATAGCCGCGATTACGTATTGTCAGAAGTGTGATGATGAAAAGGCAGCGTACCGCTAGTGGTACGGGTGAGTTACTTTTGCCACGTTATTATTTCAACGTCACGTTCTATAACCTATCACTGAGCGCGTAACACGTGGGAGTGGGAATATTCTAATGCTTGGGTCAAGGGAGGATGGCGGAAAGAACTCCTATATATCTTATCTTTGTCAATTACTTCGTATACACAATTGATAATGTGTTTAATTATATACGTAATCTTTTATAAATTAGACCTCATGGTGGGGAAAAGACTGAAACTGATGAGGTGGGATATTCCGCTTCCTAGGCTTTGGACGCGGTTGAGACAGGCAGTTCTACAAATAGTGCAATCAGAGGAATACTATGATATGAATATTTCACGTAGAGTTTAGCTGTATATTTGAGTTTACCTGTTTACCGCCTGAGTCGAAGAACTAGGAGATACCTACTATAGGATAACTTTAAAAGACATTCAGTGTTATAAGCTCAGCTCATGAGCATGTTCGGGCGATAACCTCGCGGATATTGACAACAGCGCTCTTCACAGTCTATACGACAAGTCAAACCGGCAGTCAAAATGACATGTAGAATTTTGCTAGATTGTTGTTCGGCAATCCGGGACATGAAACTACTCCAGATCACGAGCAGACCCTTGACAGCATAGCTCTATGCCGATGTTGTCGAGATAAGTATACTTGACCGGAGCCACATGAGAGCGCCTATTCAATCAGAGTTTATCCTAAGTTAGGGTGTGTGGGTGTGGATTCAATCATAGACTCGGTTTTTGATAAAACTTGACAAAGGGAACGTGGAGACATGTAAGTACAGACTCATAGGCTGTGCCTTCCACAAGACAAAAATAATCATTAACAATAGTAAAAAATCTAGAATGTGTCAGCATGTTCTGCATCCCAGAAAGGAAATTTAAGAAAAATAAGGTATCGGCGATTCTATGTGGTCGTCTGAACCGCACGGTGCCGTCCGTGGATCCATTTCCTCTTTAGTATAACAAATGCAAAAAAGCTTCCACTAATCCTAGCAAGAAAACCGTAAGACCCAATCCTCCCATATTCAGGAGTAATGTAAATTCAGAGCTTAAGAAGTTGTTCAAATACCCTTTACCTGAAAGTTAAAAACAGAAAAAAAAAGAAAAGGCATGAACCCATTCTCAGGATCCTGCCCGAATCTTCTGTACTCATATAAGCGCCATGTCCGCCTTTATACGAGCCATCCACCTCCTTCAGACAACCGCCATCGAACATACCTCAGAGTCGCCCTCCGGCCTGCTCATCTCTAGACAGAATGCTGACACTGAACCCCTCAGCAGCTCAACAAAGGCCGGCTTCATTGCTGTTGGTATATGCGGCCTTCTATCCTTCATTGCGGCTCTAGGGCTCCTTCTCTTCCTAACATATCGCTTCATCTTCTGGAAACGATACTACAAGCAGCCCCTCGCACACAATCAATACGTTGTTCTGATCTATAACCTGCTCCTCGCTGATATCCAACAAGCCAGTGCATTTCTCCTATGTCTGCACTGGGTTAGCCAGAATGAGGTTTACTATCCGAGTGCTGCCTGTGCACTTCAAGGATGGTGGATTCAGACCGCTGACCCAGGTAGTGGAATCTTCGTTATGGCGATCGCGATGCACACTGGTGCAGTTGTTCTCCGAGGGCGACAATTACCCTTTTCCGTGTTTGTGTACGGTGTCATCGGTATATGGGGTTTTATAATTATACTGGGAATCATTCCGGTTTCCTTGTATAAATCCGAGACTTTTGTCATATCCGAAGCTGGATGGGTGCGTTTATACCCTCTTCTCCTAGTTACTATCCTCTTCCCACACGCTAGATAACTAACGTACCTTAATGTGAAATTTAGTGCTGGCTGAGCCCCGAACACGAAACCGAACGCCTCTGGGGCCACTACTTCTGGATCTTCCTCGCTGAATTCGGCACCATCATTCTCTACGGCATCATGTTCTTCTACCTCCGCCGCCGCATGTTCCAGGCCGCAATACTGCACCAAAACCACCAAAAGAACCTGAAACGTCTTAACCGCGTCGTTATTTACATGGTTATATACCCCTTTACATACATTCTTCTTTCTCTTCCTCTCGCGGCAGGCCGAATGTCGAGTGCGCGGCACATTGTTCCGAGTCGAGCGTATTTCGCCGTCGCTGGATCACTCATGGCGTTATCTGGTCTGTTTGATACGGCTATCTACACGCTTACAAGACGGCAGTTGCTCGTGGACACGAATGGGAGTGCGTCGGAAGGGCAGTATAATGCGTATTCTGGGTCGCATGTGTATGAGACACATATTAGTACGGTTGCTGGAGGGGGTAAACAGAAGCGAACGAACGCTCGGTCGAAGCTCAAGAGGGGATTACAGACGCTTAATGATACGGTTAATGATTATCGGAATGAAAGTTCGGAGGAGATTGTTCGACCCGATGAATGGGAGATGAGGAATATTGACGGAGGGGTGTATCAGGAGACGACGATTGAGATTACGCATGAGAGAGCAGATCAGGAGGAAGATCTTCATAATCATAAACAGGGAGAGTATCGTGGGTGATGGAATATTGATAGGTATGGTAGCGCATAACTTTGCTATTACGAAGTAAACACCTGCATACGCTATGTGATATAAGAAATAATAATTAAATAATGAAGAAAATATAATGAGATAGAAGAAGTAGTCATAATTAGAGTTGTCCAATCACTCCAAGTTTGGCGCGCTTTTCCTATCGCACCATACAAGACAAGCAATCTTGAATCTGATTAAACGACTGCCATGCTGTCTTTAGCCCAAATAAAGCGATAGTTGATATAATACTGATTAGTAGCGTAACGTGATGAGTCAGTTTCGCCAGTCAATATGGCATTTCTGACTTCATTTTAAGGCATTCTTCCTATTCTCATGTTTTTAGTTCCAATCACGCCATCAGTTTACCCCTTTTTGTGGTATGGAACGATATCATGGCCTTTGGAAATTTCTATCATTGGTCAGTCGCACTCCAAGACTCCATATGTAATGGATCTGAAGCTTTTACCATCGTCAGACTTCAAGAGATTCGTTCGATCTGAAATCGGTATCTCCTGGTTATTCATGTCTCGCAATCCGGGTCACAAATGCAGTCGGCAGCAAGATCTCGGCCATCAGCCAGCTTAACCGATGGTGAGGATAACAATTCTACACTGAGAAGTTTATACAAGCATATTGACTCTAGCTGAATTGTACTGCAATTCCTGCACATCGCACGGGTTAGAATGTGGATATGGTGCTGTTGATCTTCGGAAAGCCCAGCATAGAGTTCAGTGCTCTCACAGAGCGTATTGAATATCTGGAGGATCGGCTGTAGGGACTGAACGATTCTCTGCCTAGAGCTGAAATTCCTTCAACCGGAATATTATCGTCATTGGATGAAGAGAATCTTTGAAGAAGCCGACAAATGAGTTATCGAGTTCCAAGGGGGCAGACATCAATAGTACGGAGCAAGACTTGAGCGCTTTAGCTACCAAATTAGCTATTATACAAAAAGATATCCGAAGTGGAGAGACTTTTTATGTTCGCCCTACGAGCAACCGCCATCTTATACAGAGGCCTCCAGAATCGTTCCCTCCTCGGCTCACTCCTTCGTCTCCTAAGATGACCGACATCGATGCTAAAGTGTCTATAATTCTATACAAGGGGCAGAAAATTCTTCTCCTATTCCGAGCATTTCTACCTGAAAGCAAAATATCGATATAAATGTAATGCATCAGATATATCAAATGGTATATGTGAGTAAGAAAGTATGAAGATAAAAAATGCAACTATCAAATGTGGAACGTTTGTATCTTGAAATCAGCTCGATAGAAAAGAAAATGTAATTTCGAGGCTAGGCCCAGCCTATTTACCTAAAAACCTTTCAAACCTTTCAAACACCGTTGGAAACCTTGAAAAACTTGTATTCAACGGCTCGTTTCCCTTCACCAGCATACCAGCGACCTTGTCCAACAAGGAAGGTAGTTGTGAGCGACTTGTACTTTTCAGCTAAGATAACAAAATGAATGTCGTTAGTCATGGCATATCTATCAAAACCCATGGCAAAATCAGAGCAACCTTGGAAACTTACAACCAGTTTCAATAACAGCGTGAGTCCACCAGTAGTGGTCCCCATAATTCGTCGACTCAACTTCAGCAGACCAATCCCCCAAGAACTTTTGACCGATTTCCTCGCCCTGCAAATAACCGGAATAACGGATATAAAACCCATCACCAGCGCCATCTGTGCCGTGAGTGCGAACATCGACATGTGCTATATTGGTCGACGGGTCGTAGGAAATCCAGTCACTGCCTCCCTCAGTCAACTCGACTGACAGGCCTTCGGTTTCTGTGCCGTCAACGCCTCGAAGAAAGCCTCCATTTAGCGGATGGCAGGTTCGAAGAGGGCCGTCCCTGACTTTTCCTGCTGGGACAGCAATCGGCACTCCGTATGCTCGGAGAGTAAGGACATGGTCTAGCTTTGGGGTTGCCATTGTGTGTGTATATGTGTGTGTGGCTTATGAGACGATTTGAGAAGGTTGGAGGATATGATTAGAAGCTACAATGAAATGAACCTGTCCTTGGAGAGACTATCTTATAAACAAAACCAAATGCGGGGTATTGGGGCTACGTAGAGTCGCAAAGTACGGAGTAAGAGCTAAACAATATCTCCAACCTTGGGGGCGAAAGATCGCGGGGATGTACATAATCTGAGTATGGAGTATGCAGTAGTGTGCATAATATCTAGAGCTGCTTAGTAGCTAGATCTGCCATGAGTTACCCGCACCACTGAAACGCAGCTGGGATAGATCTGATCACCAAGCTCTTGAGATTGGAGAACACTAGTGCATACCGAGGCACACTCGAGATTCTCTGCAATCAGGGTAGGGAATCGAGGACACCGTTGATTGTAGGTCTTCATAACACTGAACGCTGTATGACTGCTTATAATGGCTAGCCAGGCACAGTGTGAGTATACCTGATTACACATACTGTAGTAGATGTAGTGTGCGAAATTCTGATATGTTGCTTTCTTCCATGACCCTACAGCGTCTCGTTACTTTATTAGACTTTGTTCTGATTAGTAGAGACCATGTCAGTTGCTTAGTCTATAAATACATAGCTAAACAATAGGGGCCGTATTGACGTCGTACCGGTAATTTCAAGTCTAGATTGCTGCGACTCTGATATTTCTTCAAAACGGAGCGCAATATTCATAATAATTTCAATATGGCATGAAGTGATTTGTCGAATTTTAGAGAAATAAAAAGACTGTAAGATCATATTTCATAATTTGAAATCCTCTGTTAAGATCCAATTAAAATACAGAGCGTGAATCTTGTAATTTCAAATACGCAACGACTAAGCAGTCTGAGTAAGCTGAGTCAACAAAAGCTTGATTAAGTTATGAATAACTAACTAGGCCTAGAGCGCGCACAATTCCTAGTAATGAACAAAATCACGACTTAGATTCATTGGGAATGTTTCCAAGTCTCCGACTCTCTGCAGGATTGATGTTTAACAGGGTTCAAGACTTAAAGGGGGGCATCTGGCTCGGTGGAAATTATCATGAGGATGGTTCTGACTGCAGATCGTGAGTTTGAAGACAGATTTTCGTGAGAGCTTTTGGATAAGCATTTTGAGGTATTCGCTTATCCATAGCTTGCTGGATCAGGCGTCTAGATTGTAGGCCTGTAACGTACATAGGAGAATGATATTGAAAAGGATCAATGTTGAAGGTTCATACAGGTCTTGGGACATTCAAAAAACTGTCTAACAGGTGTTAGATACACGAACTCAAGATAATCGATAACGAGCCAAATACTTATGAGAATAAGGGCGGCTGCTCGTGCGTTGCCGATTCCTCTGGCATAGCTCCTGCTCCCGAGGCAATGGCCATTTTTGCTTGCACAGATCACGTTGGCCTCGTATGAGACTTATCGGGTTCAGCCGAAGATGACATTACTCAGACGTTGGAACGATCGATCTGATGAGTTGATCCCGAAAAGGGAATGGTTTTAGGGCGAAGGTCGTTCGTGGACATCTAGATGATGGTAGTCACAAATACCAACAGCGGCTTCTTTCGTGCAGCTTTCTTCCTCTTTGGACCTCAGATCAACCTAGGTATCTCACAGATTTCACGGATACACAGCATATAGTATAAGCGGGAAACCAAGGCCTACATTTATCCGAATCACGCCGAACACTCGGCGTACTTTGGGCTCTTTCCCGACACGTATCATTCCAGATACTTAGGGCTTGGGATCCAAGATTATGATGCTCGCTATGATCAGGTTTTCGACAATTGATATAAAAAATATGAACGGTGCTCCCATAAAGAGGTGATAATTAAATCGACTAGGATACATCAATATTATATACAAGCTTGGTTCAAGTAGCACTTGACTCTGAAGGTATCTTCGAGCACCATATTGCTCAGTTAAAAAGGGGCACCTTCAAGGTATCATGGATCGTTAGACAAAGCTGTCACTGATGTACAGATGTCGCTGCAACATATAAAACACAAAGATGAAACTTGGCAAAATTCATGCGTCGACCATTTCAACAAAAGAAGACTGATCGATCCAGTCTACTGTAAAACTGATCGTGTGAGATGCAGTACGGAGTACATGACGGTTTTGTTATCTTCTGTATTTATGAGATCTGATTGGACGCAGAGGATAAGCTATTACCAGAGTTCGGCAAGGTGGGCTGCACAGTGGGACGTGTCAGCCAATCCAGCTGCACATTGACGGCATTACTGAGCAAGCAGCCAATCAGAATACGCTGGAAGGCCCCCCTGGCGGGGTCGGAGTAGTAGGCTGAAGTAGGGCCATCTTAGTCTTTTGCATACTATCGCTCCTAACTTATTCTAGCCTGCTCATTGGCCGGGTAGCCATATAGTCCGATACGCTAAACCTAATAAAGACTAGTCAGGCAGACTGCTCTTTCTCCCAAGAAAGGTGATCGTTCGTCTCCCTCACAGGATACATCATTTTCGTTTTTTGACGTTTGTCATTATTTTCTCCCATGCATGTTTCAGTGATTGCTATTCTGCCCGCCCTGTGCTTTGTGTACTCCTGACATTCTCGTCGTCAAGTGATGCTTTGCAAATCGGACTGGCACTAGCTAATCTAGCAGTGCGACTCCGCTGATACCCCTGGAAAGGACTTCGCGGAAAGGGGTAGTAACAGGCCTGTCCGGATTGAGGGGAACGAGGAGGTACGAAATCGATCACACAGGCGACAATCACACTATCAGAACGTGCTGCATAATTTAGTCGCACGAGTCAACTACTCGACTTGACTTCCTTCCCTTTTTTTTTTTATAACTCGCTCGATTCCTCGGTACGATTCTGCGGGGTGGCATTCGATTGACAGATGAGAATACGAACAATGGCTCCGAACGAGGATACCGTGCCGCCTGAGTTACCGCGCACTGTCGGAAGCCAGGATGCGAATACATCCAGACGTCGCAGGTCACTCCCTGGTCGATCGACTAGTGTACCGCGACAACGACCGGCTACCCATGCGCCTCCTATGCCTCCCGCATCGCCCGAAATTATTTCGTCGCTGATATCGTCCCTTTCCAGCATTTCAACACCCGCTCGAAGCCATTTTGAAAATTTACCGCATATTGGCGCACAAACGGCTCCTTCCTCCCCAGGGTTCCACCAGACGGAGTTTTCACAACCCCAGGGGCCCGGACAAGGCTTCGGCGTAGACTATGGAGCATACAAACCTCCAAGCGATGCCTTTAAAAGTCCATTTTTGCATCCCGATGATGCTGCCTTGTCGCCTGTCGTTCGTATGGCCCCCGCGCCCACGCCTAGTTCCCCGCGGTCGCCGCGATCTCCCAAATTCAAGACAAGCTTCGGACGCGATCGCTCTCCGTTGAGGCCGAGGTCGACAAGTTCATTCTCATCCTCACAAGCTGCTATGGATGAGCAATCGCTATCGGGATTTGGAATAATTACGACGGAACCAGGTACTCGCGTATCCCGTACCGGAAGTGTCGCGTCGACAAGCTCCGATGGCCGAAAGAGTCTAAGAAGTCCTCTAAGCATGTTGAGAAGGGGGTCTAAAGACTCATGGCAGGATAAGGAAGCTGAACGAAGTGTCAAATCTACTGCGCATAGTGATAACCTGAAACCGAATTTCGCTCGCAGTCGCGCTAGCCTTCAATCGAAGAACTCAATGGCAGATGTTGCTGAAGAGGGGGGAACCTTGAATCCCGCTGAAGATCTTAGTTTCAAGAGTGGGAAGGTCACTACAGATACAAACGCATTGACACAAACGACACCGAATACACCACTACCTAGTCCTGGAGGTATTGGTAGCGGGCGTATAATACCCACGCGCGAGTCATCACTACGACATAGCATGAACAATAAACCCAACCGAAAGAGCCGGCACAGTAGACCACCAGAAGAGCGATCCGTCAAGGAGCGCAGTCATGTTGAGTCTAAAACATCCGAGGCACGGGCTGCAACCGAACAAACAACGAAAAGGATACAGCAAGTCAAGGAGCAACAAAAGCGAATCAAGAACGAATTGGCAAAGGCTCAAGAGGTCCCCGCTGGTCGAACGTCGATCGAGACATTCAACTCACGAGCCAAGACACAACCTGTGGCCGAACCAGCATCTGCCCGACAGTCTCAAGACGACGCGCTCATTTCTCGATATCTCATTCATGCGGAAACAGATCTATTCGAAGAAAGCGCGCCGTCTCCGGCAATACAGACCCGGAGGACAAGGGAAGCAAAGGACAAAAAGCGGCAATCGCTCGACAAGTCGGACATTCCGCTCAGCCCGTCCGTGTCCAAAGCTCACAAGCGTCATTCTTCCGGAGCATTTACGATGGCCACTCGTCCGTCGATAGCAGAAGAACGGCCTTCTAGCGCTGATTCTATAGATTTTGCTGTCGAGTCATACATTGCCTCGCCAAGATTGACGCAAAAGGTGCCTCATCCACGCTCTGGAAGAATGATAGCATTCTCGGAGGTCGGCGATCCTCAGGGACACGTTATTTTCTGTTGTCTCGGTATGGGGCTAACTAGATATTTGATGGCGTTCTATGACGAATTAGCGCGCACATTGAAACTGCGCCTGGTGACACTCGATCGGCCGGGTGTTGGTGAAAGTGATCCTTCAGGGGAGGGCGAGGGAACTCCTTTGACATGGCCTGGTGAGTATCTGTTGAAGTAATGGAGTAATGGCAAAACTAATATGAAGCATAGACGACGTCGCGATTGTGTGCAATCATTTGAAAATCACCAAATTTTCTATCCTGGCGCACTCTGCAGGTGCCATATATGCATTGGCCACTGCGCTCAGAATACCACAACACATTAGGGGTCGTATCCATCTTTTGGCGCCTTGGATTCCGCCATCGCAAATGACGAATCTAGGCACACACAAAGAACCTTTACCTAATAACGCAGTGCCATACTCTCAGAGGATATTGCGAGCCCTTCCTACGCCTATCTTGAAGGTGGCAAACTCAAGCTTCATGAGTGCCACAAGCAGCAGCATAACGACCAGTCTGCCGAAGTCGCCACGAAGGAATAAAAGAAAGAGCTTCGGACGAGATACAGCAGCTCCGACAGTGACAGAACTTACCTCACCCACCCCTAACACAACGGCGAATCAAGCCAAATTCGACCGCAATTCAACTCTAACCACAGCAACCAACGCCACATCAACACCATTAATCTCCCACGATCAACGAAATTCGACAATGTCTCAGGCATCAGCACTCAACCGCCCCAGTGCGGCCGAGGAAGCCGCAATCCTCGCATCTCAGCAAAAAGAACGACAAACCGAGTACGATACGCGCCTGACGTATCGAATTTGGGAACTAGCAACCACCAACGCCAATCCCGCTGTCGATCTTTTGATTTGCCTCGAACGCCGCCAGACAATCGGCTTCAGATACGTAGACATCAATCGCGAAGTAGTCATCCACCACGGCACCAAGGACACGCGCGTACCCGTCGACAATGTGCGATGGCTCGGCAAGACGATGCGCAGATGCGAAGTCCGTGTCCTCGAGGGCGAAGGTCACGGCCTCATGGCCTCGGCCGTGGTGATGAGCAACGTTCTGACCGAAATGGCCAAGGAATGGGAAGACTGGACGACTGTCGTCCAGGGCCGGGGTAGGGGGCGACGAACGACTGTCTCGCATCATTATCCTTCTTCGCGGTCTGGAGTTGTCGCCGTCTAACCTTCTTTTCGTTCTCATCTACTTCATTTTATACCCCTTTTCTTCTTCTTGATGTTGTCTGCATTATTTATTATTTTATTTATTCCTTATTTCTCCTTCTTTTCTTTCCATATTATCTTACTTGTCAGCATCATTGGGCAGCATAGCATGTATCATCTATATCCTTCTTACTTAGGTAGTTTACTTCATTGTCGGCGCATTAGCATATCCACGAGATATGAATCAAGACTTTTATCTTCTAGCCACATACTCCATCAAGTATTATCGATTCATTGATAAAGCGATAGCTAGGGTACTTCCGCACGAAAAGAGTGACAGACGTTGGTCATGGGTAGAGCAGTACGTCGGTAGAACATAAGATGACTAGAAGAGATGATACATAATGGAAGAGCCCCTTTTCGTCCTATTCAAATAATCAGCTCTATTTAGGTAGATGATTGATTTGCTGCTCGATGAACACGCAAACAAAACAGATTCTACTAGTAGCTCTGTATGATTCATAGATCCATAGATAGGTAACAGAGAGATGGATAGGGTCAATTCCAAACTACGCTATGCGCGTATTACGCAGGGGGTTACTGCTCAGCCTCGGCCTTGTCCTTTTTCTTGGACTTCTTGCTTGTGGTAGCGGGCGCACCGGCTTTCTTCTGGTGGACGATCAGTCTCGTCCATGATTCTTCAGGATCCCATTCGAAGCCAGCAAGGTAGGGGTTTTCGCCTAATTCGTCGTCGGCCTGCCATCAATCATCAGCACTGCACTTATTGACATAGGCAGATGAAGGGATTAAGGGGGAATAACCTTCTTCTTGAATTGTTTGTGGATCGCATCTAGAGCGTCTTTGATGGTTACACCTTTCAGATTTCGGGCTGTGACTTCTAGGCCTAGCGGGAAGTGGAGGTCGATTTTCTTGACGGGAGGAGTGACGAGGAATTCTTTAAGAATGTCCTTGTCATCGATTGTGGAGGGAGATGTGTTTAGTTTCCTGATCAATTAGTATCATTGTACCCTACTAGGGGAGAAAAGGTACGTACCAGCCAGTCTTTTGCGTCTCAATGGCAATTTCAATGGGGATTTGGTCCTTCTCTAGATTCATAGAACGGTTAATAGAACGGTTGCACGGATGATGGATACTAGGCAAAGACTGACCCAGGTCTTTGATGTTCCTCACGCCTTCTACCGTCGAGCCGGCACGCTTGTGCTTCTTTTCCTTTTCTACGGTCTTAGTCTTGGTCTTGGTCTGCGTCTTCTCGTCCTTGGGGGATATCGAGAGACCGGCAACGGCGGAGTCGATACGGGTGAGTTCTTCCGTCATGATGTTGGTGTGACTAGACTGTACCTCTCAGTATAGATGATACAGGCAGTGAAGGAAGGGGAGGTATACCTGATAGCTAGTGACAGCGATGAGCGATGATTAGCAGTGATTGGTGATAGTGATGATGAGCAATGGATTGATGGAGGTGTAGAAAGAGAGAGGAGAGCAAGAGGAGAGGTATAAGAGGAAGGTGGTCAGGGTCACGGGGGCAGGACAAGAGAGGGGAAGGTGCGCACCTTCCACCCTTGGACCATTGGCCATTGACCATGTCCATCGCACCTTCCATCGCCAACCGGCTGGGCTACGAGGGAAGGCATGAGACGACCCATGTCCGACTGGGCTCTTACTCTAAATTGGGTGTTCCCTATTGGCCCTCCCAGCTATTCCAGCGCAGTCCAGCCAATGTGAGTTTGCCAGACAGGCGAATCAGTGCGAGCTTACAGGAATGCAGCCAGCTCAGCCCCAGAACCGGCTCAATTGGCTGGTCACCCTCCCATGCCCTTTTACATGCTCGACTCCTCTTTTGTATGCTACTTACTATGTGTCGCATGTCTGTTACTTCACACACGCATTATGCCTTCCACCTACGCACTGCCATCTAACGAACTTCGTGTGTCTCGTCATTTCTTTCAACCTCTGGCTACGTACTGCTTACTTGCTACCGGAACGAACGGATCGCGGCCAAACTTTCCCGACAAAGGAATGATCTCTCGCTACCTGGGTCATGATGTTTGGTGAGAGAATGGCTGCGTCATATGTCGCATCACGTTATCTCTAGCCAACGACGTACGTCTCAGCACTCCATCGATGATAAAAAAGGCTAAGCAAGACTAGTGCTGCACCCCGCATTCTCAGCGACCCCATTATTTGCCTGTTCTGCTCCACTTCTTAATTCTTATCCGTGATTCCGTGCTGCTAGTGCCCCGTGTGGGGTATGCCTTGATGACTCCATGACTTTGCGACGAGATTGTCACTCACATCCTGTAGTATTATTCCTCGAACGTGTGGGATATTCTGAGTTGGAGTACATTGGCAAATACATGGGTAAGAAGTACCATGTATACTGGGCTAGGTACTTTCTCTCAGCCTTCACTCAACTTGTATGATGTACATCTGTCTTTCACCGCAGCACCTCACGTGAGGTCATCGGTTTGCAGCAGCCTTGGCTGAACTCGCATCACTCTACCCTTCTATTGGTTGGAAGAATGCATGTCGTACGATGTGAGACGCGTCTCAGGAGACGTGTCTCAGCAATGTAGACCTCATGCAAGACCGAAGTACTATACGATCATGTAATTGTCAAGCGGACTTCACTATCGATAGAGGTGAGAAGTAGTAGTGTTGGTACACCAGCAGATGCTGGACATCGTGTTGTTGGGCTATTGACGCGGCTAGATGACTGGATGAATCACCAGGTCATCATGTGATTCTCCGGATGAGTTGACAGACCCAGCATCTCGTGCTCTGTCGTAACCCAAGTCACCTGACAAGACGTCTAATCTGGTCTCATGTTTCATCCAGTCTTGCTTAGCGCCACGCTCAAATGAGCCTATGTACTGAGTACGTAAGGAAATACACGTTGCTCATGGTTTATGCCTGAGGCATCACACGAACCATTTATCAGGCAATATGTCGTCTTAGTCTGTACAACAACATACATAGCAATCAGTTACTAAGCTCTGCAGTGTTTCCGCTGGTTAATATCTCGCCTATTCTATCTTGATCTTCATGAATCGACAAATACACGATGAGCTGAGAGAAGTTGGAGCATCGTTAAAGAATCGTTCCAACATTTAACGAGACATTGTAGATCGTGTGGTTAAACATGAAAGGGAATATCCACAGAAATACAAGCTTTTGACTAATAGGCTGTTTGTCTTTAGTGACATACGCACCTTGGAATACAGTGTGATTGTTGTAGGTAGATGTGTCGCCAGAGAGCCTAAATAGGAAAGCTCCTTGTTTGCACTGTTTGCATTGACGCGCCCCACCAGTCAAGCTAGTGTTTTGCTGAACTCTCAAGAACTTCAACCAGCGCGCTTATTTAACACCAAAAACCTCCACATCGTCCTTTGGATCTACCAATAACTACTTCTGCTTCATTCCTACAAACTTTGGAATCTGTAAAGAAGACATAAAAAACAGACAGAGCACGACTTGAATGTCGGGCCTCTTTGGAAATGTCGGCACGGCTGCCGCAACAACAGCCGCAACCAACACAACTGGCGATATTTCAAAAGACGTCGCTTTGAACTCGCCGCCTGAAGACAGCATCTCAGACCTTGCCTTTTCGCCTGTTAGCAACCATCTCGCCGTCGCGTCGTGGGATAAGAAAGTCCGGATCTACGAAATCAACGATCAAGGGCAGAGCGAAGGAAAGGCCTTGTTTGAACATGAAGCTCCTGTCCTGAACTGTTGCTGGTCTCCAGTGAGTGCTTCCCATGATGTCTTGCAAAACAAAGCTAATGACTGCAGGATGGAACAAAAGTCGTCGGTGTCGGAGCAGATAAAGCTGCGCGCTTACTGGACCTAGGAGCAAATGCCACCACCCCCGTCCAAGTCGCTGCTCACGACGCACCTATTCGATGCTGCGAAATGATACCCAACCCTACCAACTCATCACAACCACTCCTGATAACAGGTTCATGGGACAAGAAAGTGAAATACTGGGATCTACGACAACAGACCCCTATCGCGCAGGTGGAATGTCAAGAACGTGTTTACACCATGGACGTCAAGAACAAATTGCTCGTGATCGGCACCGCAGATCGCTACATCAACATCATCAACCTGGACAACCCCACCACCTTCTACAAAACCATGCAGTCCCCCCTCAAGTGGCAGACGCGGGTCGTTAGCTGTTTCGCAGACGCCACCGGTTTCGCCGTCGGCAGTATCGAAGGTCGCTGCGCCATTCAGTACGTCGAAGAAAAGGACTCGAGCTCAAACTTCAGCTTCAAGTGCCACCGTGAGACACCCCCCGGCAGCCGCGATGTCAGCAACATCTATTCCGTCAACGCCATATCGTTCCACCCGGTGCACGGCACTTTCAGCACTGCTGGCAGCGACGGCACCTTCCATTTCTGGGACAAGGACGCAAAGCACCGGTTAAAAGGGTATCCGAACGTTGGTGGAACCATACCCTGCACGACGTTCAACCGGGATGGTAGTATCTTTGCATACGCTGTTAGTTATGATTGGAGCAAGGGTTATACGGGCAATACGCAGCAGACAGTCAACAAAGTCATGTTGCATCCGGTTACTCAGGAGGAGGTCAAACCTCGACCAAATACACGCAAACCTAGGTAAACGCCTTGAATTTTGGTGGGATAGAGATAGCTACAATCACGAATACCTAATCAGATACAGTCTTGCTTCTAAGTAAAACTATTACGTAGTTGTACCTGTATTTATTAGTCGTATCCATTAATATCATGCATGTGACGAGGGGTCCAATCCGCCCGGCAGAAAAGCATCAAAATTATCAACTCCACATCTTCCCCTCACAACCATCCTTCAACACATCAGCATATAGCCTACGTTCTTCGCGAGGAAAGGAATCAAAATGGACACAGATATCCTCGACAATATTCTCTCTCTAGAAGAACAATTCTACAAGGAAGGCTACGACCTGGGTGTCATCGACGGTGCTCGCGCCGGATACACGGAAGGAAGCGTCTTTGCAGTTGAAAAGTCATTTGAGAAGCTACTGCAGCTAGGACGCTTGTATGGCAGAGCGCTAGTTTGGAATCAGCGGTTAATCAACTCAGGTGTGAGCGAGGAATCGAAGACTCCGAAAGTGGAAGAACGGGAGCATGCAATCACCACCGACATAGTCACCTCGATGCCGCCTCTCCATCAAGGCTCACGACTCGCGAAAAACATACAGACTCTACTCGCACTAGTCGATCCGGCCACGCTAGTATTGCAAAACACAGAAGATGCGGTATCAGAGATTGAGGAGAGGCTCAAGGGCGCCGCGTTGAAGGTGAAGTTGATTCAGAGGGCGTTGGGAGAGACGGCTTTTGGTGATGGGACCGCGGCGGATGCCTCTGCGGTTGGGGAGGGCAGGGGCGGAGGAGATGGGTCGGGGAGTATCGAGGATATTAGTTCATTGCATGTGAGGCATTGATCGAAGTTTTGACCTAAGGTCTATCGCATTTATTGTGCGGAAGATGTTTTTCGGCATGCCGGATATGAACTCGGGCAGAGTATACGATGCCGACTCTACGCTCCATTCTGCTCGTCACTAAACGCCGAGCAGCTCAGGCCGTATGTCTACATCGTCGATGAGGATATGATGACATGATATTCGACAGAGGACAATCTCGCCCGGCGGGGTCCAAGTCAAGGATTTGGCTACATGTCGCAGTCCCTTCCTGGCGCACGACATGTAGGAGCTTCATCGAATCTTCTAGCTGAGAATAGTCTAGAACTATTCAACAAGAAGCGGGTGCTTACGACCTACAATATATCAGCAAGCGTGCCTGACTAGTATTCCGATACATGCGGAATTTCGGTCAATGTGCTAGAGATCTGATCAACATCCCACACTATATTTACAGTCGAGGTTACACTATCTGCAGAATTTGTTCACTGACCGCTTCGTGGGAAATGGTTCGTGCAGATGTGGATCGACTAATGGTGGTCGACTTGTCCAGATCCAGCAAGATTAGTATGGTTTTAAGCGATGATAGATTAGACAATACACCGCTTATATGATCCTATTGGCAAATATTTTCTTTTTGTATCAGAAGAGAAAAATAGCATCATTCTAGCTCTCTGCAAGAATATAAGGAATATTGTCAGAGTTCTCATTGTGGTACGTCGATAAGAGATCTGGCACGTGAAGATACAAGATCGCGTGCTTTTTTGGTTAAACTTATCAACATCCGCCTAGAACTTTCCCTAGTGTCAAGCACGTCCCTGCCTACACCAGAAACTTTGTGTCTTCTTTGACTTCAGTTTCCTTCATACTTACAGTGGATGACTACTCTCCTGAGTCTGGTCAGAATAAATCAAATAGTCCTCCCTGCTAGGCAGGGGTTATTGCTCTTGTTGACAATCTCTAGCCTGTTCTAACTGTCTGTCACCCTTTTCTATTCCCTACGAACAACAAACCCCCCGCAACGACAACAACTGACCCCTCTCACTACTTAGGTCAAGACAGAAAGAACATCATGTGGATTCTCCGTGTCTTTTCCTCTGCGACATACCTGACCGCGATCGTCCTCTCGATCCCCCTCGCCTTTGATGTCGGCGGCAAAACCTGCGGTCTGGCCTACTCGCTCTCTCTCGCCAGCTTTTACTTTCTATTTTCTCTGCTGAAACTCGCAACGCCCGACACGTCGCGTTTTCGAAGATTACTGGTCATTCTCGTGGGCTCGACGCAATGGCTCATCGTTCCAGCGTTGTTGATCTGGTCGCTGAATCTGTTTTCCGTGGATTCGAAGAGTCGCAGTAACGCTAATCGATGGGTGGACAAGTACACCACTCATAGTAGCTATGCGAAAGAGGTCAATAACGGTGTATGGAGCGGTGTTTCGACGTGGATCTTTGGTCCGGGCGGTTTGGTTGAATCTTTCGCTATTGGGAGCTGGGATAAGCTTTTGCGATGGTCATCTCCGTTCTTTCAATTGGTCGAGGGCTTTTGCAGTCTGCTTGTTATTCAGGCTGCTGGGCAAATAACACGTTGGCTCGTCAACAGGAGTGGTGGTGGTGATACATGGATGGTACGTCCCTGGTTCATGTAGAATTTGGTCCGCTTGCTGACACTTCACAGATCAGTCTTCTTGTCGTCTCTGCTTCCATCATCTCGAGCTCGGTCTACTTTCTCTGGCGCGTTCTTCAGTTCCCTGAAATCTCCAATGTCGACGCGGCTTTGATTGGTGTCGCTATTACCAGCGCTGTCATTCTATGCGCCTGGGGAATTGGCAGCGGTCGTGGCAATGCAGTCGAGAGCTCGCTGCTCTTTGCTTATATTGTTCTTTGTGTCTACCAAATCTTCACTGATTACCAACCCTCCGCGCCTGTCGAGCAAGCGACCCCCGCGCAAGCAGCCGACTTTCCTCCTCTGCCACCTATCATAATGGCATCGTATAGCACGCTGATAAATCTGCTCTCGCTCTTACCATCTATTCTACACGCCGCGTTTAACGTCATTGCCGCCGCTTTCAGTGCCGTTACGCCCTCGATTTTGATCACCCTTGCCTACCGCCTTTTCGTGTTTTACGCCTCAACGCGAATTATACCCGCAGTCCGTGAATCTGGTGCTCGAGCTTTGTCGCAAGAAGCATCTCTCGACGACGATGACGGCGCCAACAAACTGTTGGGCTTGCTCAGCTGGTTTTCGCCCAGTATACTTGTCGCAGTCTACACCAGTCTGCTAATGCAACATTTTGCCGCAAACTCTCCAGGCATCGCTGGAGGAGTCGCTGCCGGACAATGGTGGTTGAGTCAAGGAGATGTTGGCTCAAATTTTTGGCGATGGATCAATTTGGCTTGCACAATGGCGCTTTATGCCTTTGAGTTGTGGATTGGTCAGGAAGACGATATTGATTCGGGATTGACGGGCCACTGGAAGACGGATTGATTGTGTCCTGAGCTCGTTTTCTACATTCAGTGCTCTTGAGTACGCCTTGAGACTGGGGATAAAATACTGCCTATGGTACACTCTAGCCCTGTGTCTCACCCCATATCGGCTCCGCAGCTTGAGTTTGTGCGCACTCATCAAAGAAAACTCGCCAAACCTTGTCTAGCCGCCGACCAAACAAACCAATAAACTGGACAACTTGGGCTCATATTTGGACGCTCGCCGATCCAGCCCTGTTTCTTTCATGCGATTGCTATGTTTGTCAATATCACCCAACAAGCCTCGCAACAAGCCACGCTTTTCACTTCGCTCCATTCTTGTTCATCTTATTATCCTCCCTTTCGTCTCCTTTGTCATGATGATACCCACCCAAGACAGTCGCGTTTTCATCTTTTTATTGTATCCCCATTGCTATCAAATTCGTGATGTCCTCCATGACCTTTTTGCCACCCAATACAACACTCCTAGATGATCGTGCAATTGGCACATGCCACACATAGCCCTTCTACTTCGACGCACCTAGCTAGCTAAAGACTGAACACCAGAACAAGATACCTTTTTCCCTTCCCCTTCAGAGTTTCGTCTCCCTTAACCATCTTTCTGGCTCGGCTTTTCCTCTGTATTTAAGTTTCTTATCAGGATACCCTTTCTCTTTTCTTCCATCCTTCTGCTTCTCCAATGGAATAGGTATAGCAGGTGTATCACAACCTCCTTCTCTTCTTTGGGTTCAATCAATCAGAAACAGGAATAGTGACATTCTATGCTTGCATGTATTACTTCGCTTTAACCCCCCTTTTTTTTTGACCAACGTATGTGTGTACTGCTTCACATCTTTTTTCACTATTCTAGCTTAGACTCTTTGGGATGTTTGCGATAGAATCAGCTATGATTGGGGATGGGGACTACCTAACCTACCTATGTTTCTTACAATTATCAGGAGCGAGTCCGGACCAGCTAGCCGTCTGGCAATCGTATAAAAAAGTTGTACGTGTAGTAAATGTTCCAGAAAATCAAGCAATTATGTTACATAGGTACTATTTCATCTATTTATCCGTGAAGGTTGGATTTCGCTCCATTTCCAATATCGTTATCTTCATCCTCGTCTTCTTCGCCGATGACGTAGTGGTCTCTATCTAGATCAGGGGTCAACGAGTCCAACTCCGCTTCGTCAAAGTCTCTCGCTTCGAGGTCACGGCTGCCGCCGTTACTGGACTGGTTGCGGAATCGGCTCAGAAGGCCTGCGCCGTCGGAAGATGAGTTATTATCAACGCCGCCCCGATACACAGATCGGTATCCCTTCTTGGTCGGTGATGTGCCATCCCTAGCAGCGCGTTGACGAGCGCGCCAGATGAAGAATCCCCAGACTGAGACGCCGATGATGACTACTATCAACGCCGCTTCTCCGGATTTGGTGTAGGCTTTCCATTCGGCGTCTTTGAGTTTTGCGTCGTCGATTTGGTCGGTTTCGGAGGTGGAGGATGATGTGTTGCCGACTGATGTTTGAGGGAGTTTCTCGCCGTCGAGACGTGAATCTGCGGGCGTCCCTCCGATATTGGCAATATCAACATTAATAAATCGATCGACCATATCCCGCGTACGCCGCGGCCAATCGTATGGTACCATATGGCTGGCATTGTAGAATAGGACATAAGTCAGGTTGCGCGCTTGTTGGTAGTATCCCGCTGCATCACCCTCAAAAGTCCAATCACGGCGAGGTGCCCATACACCTGGTTTGGTCTCGAATCCTGTTCCATCACTCCATTTCATGTTATGGATCAATGCCTCCGTTCCGAGATGGTTGCAGATCAAGTCTCGATCTCCACTGAAGAGCAACACCTTAACGCCTGATTCGATCAATCCCGGGAGAATCTGAATCGAAGGAATACCACTGTGTCCCACGCGAAAGTTCGCAGTCACTTGGTTGTTACATTCCGTCCACCCATTGGCTTTCCCGTGGTCCAGGTTAAGTGCTATTCCTACTTCCGTCCTTCGCAGATACCGTGTCATCTGATCCAAGTCCGGGGGCCATGTATTTCCACACGAGGCATCTTTCAACCTAATGTCGTACACGTTGACACATTGATCGTCTGAGGTTCTAGTCAAATCCAACAGCCTGTTCAATATGCCTTCGCACTGTCTGATATCGACCAAGTCGCCCGCACCGGGAGCATTCAACTGCTCGTTACAGCTCTTCTCTGTCTCGTCAAGTTGATTCGCCATGGCGCTTCCTTCTTTGACCAAACCTTCGGCATATGCATATTGCAAGTTTGCAGGGTACTGGTCACGGGGTGATATCCATCCATTACCGATCAAGAGTCCTTTAATGGCCCAATGTTGCTGTCTCGGTTGAATGCTTTTGTTCCGCTCGACGATGGCTCGAGCAATGTGTGGAATGTATTGACCTGCGTATGACTCTCCCGCAATGTACAACTTCAAGCTTAATTAGTCAAGTGTCGAAAGTATGATATTCGAGTACTCACATCATCGCTTTCATATTCCGGAAACATAGCAAACCATTTCTCCAAAAAGGTAATCATATGAGCGGCGACATGATCGAGATCATGCAGGAAACTATTGGTATTGACATAACTGAAGCCCGTGCCAACTGGCTGGTCGACAAAAAGGAGGTTCGCAAATTCGTCCCAAGATCCATTGTTATATATCAGTGTGTGGTCGTCTTTTACACGGTATGGTCCAATCTCCATTAACGCTCCGTCCATTGAACTGCATCCCGGTCCTCCGTTGAGCCATAAGATGGTGCGTTGTCGATTAGCGATGTGACGGTTCTGAAAGTGCCAAAAGAATAGGTGGCCGTTTGTTTCGGGGTCCACTTCGACATGACTATCAAGAGTATATCAGCATATGACCGCCATAGAAAATGCGAGGTAACTAAGTGATATACCCAGCATGCATCTTAAGTAGAGGTCCGTCCGGCTGTCCCGGTATCGACTTGACATAGTAGTCTGCTGCTGACTGCGCCAACGCACATATTGGGCTGCTCAGCAGCAGTAGTAAAGCTTTGCCGAGCATTCTGTGTGTATTAGTTTGGTAGAAAGAGCTGCGCCGTTTAGTCAAAGGAGGATAGACCTCCGGATATCGAAGGTCCCTCGTAGATATGCGATGTCGCAGTTGTCATCAATTCGGCGGCTCGAGCTTTACCATCCGAGGCTTCGGTTGAGCCGTAGAGTATGGTATTTACAAGGGTCTTCGCGATCTAGACGACAATTCGAACTTGTTGCTGTAGTATTTGTTGTGATCAGTGAAACAGATATGATTACGCGGAATTCAGACGGAGAAGCGTGGCCTTTGCCCTTTTCGGAAAGAGCCTACTGCCAGAGTGGGTCCTGCCGCCAGGCCGCGGATCTCGCTTGGCAAGTTTGCATTGTTTGTTTGTATCTACTCTATCATTATTAACCCTTTTCTCCTCGCTTTCTTTGTATTATGTGAACTCTCAAAACATATCATCCAAAGACTTGTCGGCATCCTTCTTAATCAGCTCGACCATGCCCTGGAATTGTTAGTATCACATACCCCAGCTTGGACTCCAAAGACATACATCAGGCATAATGGGCTTCCCCTGGCTATCCCGAACATATCGGAATGGCATTTCTGTACTTTCATGTTCGTTGATGCGCAATTCAGGGTGATCCACGTAGGGGATCTTGTCCAGTGGAACTGTCGTGCTTGTTAGCTACGTCTTGGTGAGATGGTTGGGGACGTACTTCGATCTAGTGAAATCATACGAGTCACTCTCACGGCGGTATCTGTGGTCATCTGCACAGGGCCAAGTCGTCGTCCGGTGTAGCCCTTTTTTCGTAGCTCAGATGTGCGGTCTATCTCATAAGTCAGGATTCGAAGATGCATATATAATGATGGTCATACCTCTTGGAGGGTCATCGCCTACATAACTCAACAGTCAGGGACGCATGTAGATATCACATTCAAACAGAAGACTAACCGAGTATACCACCAAACAGAAACACGTCAAAATCATCTCCATCCGCTGGGCTCAACTCTGTCTTTGCAGCCGGATCGAGCAGACACACTCTCGACTTGCGATCCGCAAAAATTTCCTCCACACTGCGTCGCTCAACCTTGAGTTCCTCCATACGCGCCAGATTGTCTGGCATCTGTAGCTCCTCGGGGACGGAAGTCAACAGAAACTGAGCGCCAGATTCTTTGGATTCGCGTGCGATACATGCATATTCCAGAGCGGACCAGGGTCCTAGTTCAGGGTCGAGATGTTCAACCACAAAGGTCAATGTCCTTGTGGACGGAGTCTGTGCCATTTTGCGGGTAGATTTCCGCTTCGTACTCAAGTTGCAATTTAATTTGATCAAATTCGTCAGCTCAATCCCTGTTTTGGCGATGTTTTTTGTGGTTGCTGGACGTTGGAAAAAGTTTTGCGGCGGAGTCGAGGACGTCACAAACTATTTTCTGCGGAAAATATCCGGGCCACTTTCAGATTTATGGACGAACTGTATTCAATAATAAAATGGAAATTGACATACAATGGGAAGATTACGGTTCATATTGTACTTAAACAACTTCTACAAAATTAGTATTCTGTGTATGAATCTGCATAGTGCGGGGCCATTATATGAACATGATCAACATCTAAATCGCCAAGAAAAATACAGAAAAGCACATGAAAATCTGATAGGCAGATAAAGCTAATTGCAATTCTGTCTGGCACTAACGGCTAACCACTGTTTGTGACGCCCAATAGTCAGGACGTCGAGCTGATTGAACGAGACTTAATTCCGCAGGGATTCTGACGTAAGCCTTGACGGAAGTTGTGAGGGGACAGAGCAGATGGTTCGCCTCTGAGACGGCCGAATATTTGGTCGACAGAAGATCATCTGATAGACTGGCAATACGAGCAGTAGACCACAATACTCTTTATTCCTAGAGGATGTAGATTGAAGAGTAGATAGGAGAATGTAGAAAGCTAAGAAGATACCCCACTTCCGATTAGACTGATTGTTTCAGCACCCAACCACTCTTACTTTCTCCTCCTCCTACTTCTCTCACTATCTTTCATCCCTGTCACTGTCTACACTCTAGAGCCTACTACGAAATATTCTCTCCTTCCTGGTCTCACGTCTTCTTCCTTCATTATCGCCTGTCAGAACAACGCTCCCTCGAACCGAAACTATCTCGAACCGAAACTATCGACTGCCGACTTCCCCGCAACTAGGCTATCCTTCTAACGTACATCTACAACTTCGAACAAGGACCCGTTACAACGAGCACGGAGTCCCTTAGTTGAGGAAATAGTCAATCACAAACAGTCCGCCCGTATCAAAGCGCCGTCGAGTCGATCGAGTAGCTGCCAATCTCAACAAACAAGAACAACACTACAATTCATCTGCTGTGCATGAGCACAGCAATCAACAAAATGAACCCACACCAAGCCAACAAAGTCGATATCAGCGTAGGCTCTTCGCTATATAACTCTATATTTCGTTATGCTAACGAATTCATCCAACAGTCACTCAGCCCCGATGAGCAACGACTCCTCCGTCTCTACGGCAAAGTGCCAACCAAGAAAGACCTCCTCCAGAACAAACTCAAGGTACGCCCGCCCAACACCTCCACCAACTTTCAAATCTCGAAAATTAATAATCTTTAGGAACGCAAATACTTCGACTCCGGTGACTACGCCCTTAGCAAAGCCGGCAAAGCCTCAGACGTCGGCGTCACAAGCATCGGCTCACGACACCCTGTGCCCGAAAACATCCCTCATCTAACCGCTACATCGCCCAGCGCCAACAACCCTTCCAACGGCAACAATGGCCATATTGGTGGGCCGGGCGCAGCAAGTGTTACTTCTCAGTCTATCCCCGGTAGTATTAGTGGGCATCCCGGGTCGATTGGGTTTCCCCAGAATCGCGGCAGCCCCGTCAAGGAAGGATCGTTTGTGCAACGTAAGTCGAGTTTGAATCATGATTCGCAGAATGATGAGAATGCCGACGAGCCTGCTGAAGAGGATCGGGGACGACAGGTGGAGAAGGATGATCAGTAATAGTTACTTTTTCTCTTTCGTTTCATTTGGTTGATTTCTACATCATGTTAAGCGGCGTTCATGTACTGCGATGGATATGGTCTCTTTTCTTTTCGTCTATTAAAACGATTTTTCCTTTTCATGACTACTTCTGACGGCAGATGAAATTGTGTATGGCGCGATTTTTCATCTTGTGATCCGTTCGGTTCTTCATATACCTGGTACTTTACATGCCCAATCAGAATAAAAATATCCGTATTTCCATTATATCTTCGTATAGGGTTATTTACTCCCTCTCTATCGACCAAACCTTGACACTCCCATCATCTCCCGTACTAATCAATATCTCCTCGTCCCTTTGACCGCCCCGTCTATCACCCCGTTTCGCCCATGCAATGTGATTAATCTCATAAATATCATGCGCCGCTTCGATAGTGGCTATCACTTTCCAGTCTGTCTTGAATTTTGTGTCTTCGGATGTATCCATCTCGTCACTTCCTCCTTCTTTTGGTGCATTCTCGACGAAGAACTCGGCATAAATGACAATCCGTCCATCAGCGCCTGTCGACGCCACAAGTCCACTGCGTTTACTCCACGCAACAGCATAGACTGCCAGATCATGCGCGGCCGGCAAGAGTGCATCTTCGTGCCACGTCTCATCCAGTCCCGTGGGACGAATGATACTCGGTATACCGGTATTCGAAGCCGAGAAGGCGCTGCGTTCGCTCTGGGGTTTGGATTCTCGACGCCATATGCGGACTGTCTTATCTGCCGAGCAGGAAGCTATCCTAGGTCCAGAGAGGGCGAAGGAATCTCTATACTCTTCTTTGATCTTCGCTTGCTTGTCTGCTGGTAACGATACAGAAGGAAAAGGCGAGAAATCAACACCCTCCCAATCCACGCTCCACACCGTACCCTTATGACCTTTCAAACAGGCTACTTGCCCCCAATCATCAATATCCTCCCTCCAAATCCGGATAGTGTCATCATAACTGCCCGACGCGAGGCATTCCTCCGTCGGATGCCACGCCACGCACTTGACGTCCGCGGAATGCTCCTGCAGCACGGCGACGGTCTCAAAGTTGTTATCGCCGTCGTCCAAATCTTCCCATATCCAGATTGATTTGTCGCGCGAGCAGGTTGCGAGTAGTGAGCCGGAGGCGGACCAGGAGAGGGATTTTACCTCGCTGTCGTGCCCGTCGAGGAGGACTGCGAATCGCCATTCTTCTTCATCTTCTTGTCTTTCATCATGATCGTGGTCGTGATCGTGATCGTGGTGGTCGTGCACATGGTCATGGTTCTCGTTATTGTTGTAATCGTCCCACCTCCTCCAAATCCCCACCGTAGCATCAAAACTACCCGTCGCCAAAACGCTTTCTCCTTTTGTCACGCCAGCGGAAGCGGTGGGTTTCCAGGCCGAGCTTCTGATACTGCGTTTGTGTCCGCCCGAAACGACAGATAACAGTTTATAATTGACGAGGGAGTAGATTCGAACGGTCTTGTCGGCGCTGCTGGTTGCGACGAGTGGTAGGGAAGGGTGAGGGGTTGATTGCCATGCTCTTTCAAGAGAGGGAGGAGTCAGGTCTGATATCAGGGAGGTTTTCCACATCTTGCGGAAGATGTTGGTCTTGTAGGTTGAGGGGTTTAGATGGTAGTGTATGTCATGCGGGTCGTTGTTTCTTCGATGTTACGCACTTTGATAGGTCGATTATGATTTCTTATTCTCGATTCAATATTCCGAATGACTGTAAGTATCGTAAATATCTCGTGTCTTACTGTAACTAAGTGAGAGAGGTGGGATGCTCGTCATAGCGCAGAATAAAAAATTGGAGATGGTTGCGGGGCTGATGTATGATTACATATTACCCTAACCCTATTGCGTCTACGATGTCTAAGGTATGGAATTCATAACGCAGGTGATTTCATTCTAGTCTCGTATAATGCACCAAATATGGCATAAATAGATCATAATCCAAAAAAAAAAAAAAAAAAAAAAAAAAAAAAAACTCGAATGCAATGCATTGCCAATTTCGGAGGTCAAGCTACATCTAGCTACAACACTCACTAATAACCCTCTCATATACCATTCCATGACACGTCCAATCCACATCCCGCACTTTGCCCAACTCGTCGACCAGTTTTCCGATTTCATTGACGAATTCCGGCATGCCCGCTGCGGCGAGGGATTGACTTGCGGTTGTCGTTGCGCGGACGCGCTCGCTAGCACTTGCTGCGCTGAGACGAGATAGAACATGTGCGCGGAGACGCGAGAGGATGAGTCGGGCTACTGGGTCTGTGAAGGATGAGGATGTTGCAGAGCTATCGGTTGCTGTAGACGTGGAGGCGGAGGATGTGGACGCAGATGAGGAGATTGGTCCCGAGACGTATTCGACTGATGGCATTTGAGAGCTCGTCGTGGTGTCAACCGATGTAGTGGCTGTCGCAACCGGGCTCAATACACGTCTCATAGTCGACAGTAGCTGCGACCGAGCAGCAGCAGGCATCGGCCGAGTACATTCTATGATCGATTGGATTCGCTCCGGCTTGATTTCGGTAAAATCAAGCGACAGGATGCGGTCCGCTTCTGCTTTCCATTGTGATCGTGAATCTCGTTTCAGAAGATTCTTTGCAGTAAGGAGGATAGCTGCAGTCGCTGCAATCTTGAATGCGGTCATGTGAAGCGTCTCAAGTCGCGCATTGTCCAATTCGAGGGTTTCAGGAACAAGATCCGATGGTACGGGAGCGTTATTGAGTACAAGATCAACCAGACCTTGCGCATACACTTTGCCTGCCGGCGGTTGAACTTGACGCCGATCTGCGATTTCCAGATTTCGGCGTAGCATGTCATCAACAACAAGATTGTGGTTCTTTTGCCAGAACCGCTTTGTTTTTTCAAGACTGATGGTACCGTCATCTAAACCCTTTTGAAACGTCCTCTGCTCATAGCCTGGAGCTTCTTGAATGAGCTGGGGAGCAGCCACCTGGATCATGAAATTGGTATGATCCAAAGACAATAAATCAATAATACCCATCAAACTAGACAATCGTTCAATGGGATCTCCCGACTTGTTTTCAGCAAAAGCTTTGACTTCTGGGTCTCGGAAAGGTGCGCAAAGTTGAGGGAGGATGCGGCACATGAAGTCAAAAAATGAATCATATGAAAATGTGCCGGCATCGCATTGATTCTCAATCAACTTTGGGTCAAGTGCCTCACTGATCAAGACATGCAAGGAATTTCCAGGTCGCAAAGACCGTAAAAGTCGATCTTGAATAACAGTAGCCATTGCTACTATCCACTTCGTTCCGAGGCCTGCATCGACATCACTTCTCATCATGTCGGTCATATGTTTCATGATTTGCTGACGGGGTTCGGTATATTGGGTCTGCTCTATTCTAAACTCTCGGTTGATCAATAGTTCATGAACTAGGACGCGATTCTCAGGTAACGCTGTCAAAGCTTTCGTGAAGCTTTCATGAGGGGACAATCTTTGCTTGTCCAACTCGTGCAGCACGGCACTTTCGACATTGTTGAATGTCTCACTAATCGGAGTCGAAACACTGTCAGCATGAGCATCAGCACTAGTCGAGACCGCTGCAGACCGAGGAATCGATTGTTTAGACGAGTTCGAGCGCTTCTTCTCCCGCTTAGCCTTTCTTAAAGCTTGCTTGACCATATCTAGAGCCTTATCAGGACCGGCAAGTCGTTTCAATCTGGCCAACAGTAGAATCTGGTTGTGTCTAATGCCTTGGTAGTATTCATCGGCGGCGCCTCCTGCTCGATCTTCTTTTACAGTTTGCCAAATAAGCTCCAACTCGACGAACTGAGCCAGCATGATCTCGATTAGCACGGTAGAGTCGTGAGTCTTCCAAGCATGAAAAGCCGAGAAGAAGACGCTGTATGCTTCTCCTAGAACCTGAAGCTCACTAGACATGGAAGTGATGGACTGGTGTTTCAAAAGTCGTTTAGTAATCTGTTCAAAGGACACGACCAAGTCGCGCGCTTTCTCAATCAGATCCTGTTCCTGTTCACCATCGCTGCTCATCACCGAAGACGGATGAGACAAAATCAGATAGCTGCTCAAGAACGTCCGCACAGCACCTCGCTCGCCCAATGCGCCACCTTCCATATCCCGCAGTCCACAGAGGCGGAGTACTCGAGCCATTGTCTCCAAAACAGTCTCTTCTGAAAGAAGAGCACTCACATCATCAAAAGACATGCTGCCGATTTTCTGCCGAGACAGATTTAAAGACTGAAACGTACTCATTACTCGTCGCGCTACATAATTCTTCCAAGCCTTTTGCACAATTCTCGCCGCAGCATCCCGGGTCAACGAATTAAGCACCGTTTTCACCATCTTGCTCTCCTCTCCAGCGGGTAAACTAGCCGTCCGCGGCCTCCGGTGCATCTGCTGATACTGTAATCGTCGCTTCTCGGCATCTGCAAACTTCTCCGCCATTTCCAATCGAAGACGAGCGTACTTGGCAGCTTTCAATTCACGAGTCTCTTCCGCTTTCTTCTTGGCTCGGCGCACTTCATCTTCACATTTGGCGGTGATTTCGGCCAGAAGCCGTTCGCGAGCTTGTTGTGCAGCAAGCGCTCTTTCCTCTCGCTGCAGGTTTCGTGTAGCGGCTTTCGCAACGGCTGCCCGAAGTCTTACTTTCTCAGCGTGAGCGGCGCGGTCGGCCAGGCGTGCTTTGCGAGACTCCAAGATAGAGGCTCGACGAAGATGCTGCGCGAGGTGGTCGCTTTGGGGGCCGCCGTGCGCAGAAGTAGTCGAGTGGTGCGAGTGAATCGACGAGACTGAGCTGCGGCGTGAGAGCTTATCGGATGCGCGACGTGCGCTGGCAGACCGTCGGTAGAATCGAGCTGCGATATGAGGGGGTAGGGCGAGGATTTGCTTCTCGTCGTCGGATGTGAGCATTTCTATATCTGCCGGGTCGATGATGTTTGCGGATGACGGCGCATCTGCGTCTGGCAGGTGGATTTCTAGATCGGAGTTGCGTCGAATCATGGTAACATAGTACGAGCGCATGTAGTGTGTATGCTCAGCTGTATAATATGCGACGCGATAACGAAGATCATAAAGAGTGGGAGAATGAGCTGCTGAGTATAAAGACTGGTGACATTTGTTTTTGGTGTCAGTCCGTGCTTGTTTCAGATGCAAACGTGACGAGTAATCAAGAGATTAGCTCAGACGATAGTGGAACGTGAAAGAAGCCGAGTGGCGCGGGTCAATAGTTACTGTCGGGTGAGCCGAGTGATACTGCAAGTTTGACTTGTTCAAAGCTAGTACATCTTGACAGACCGGCTGATACGATCCGTTTCAGCGGGAGAAAAGAATGAAGTGTTCTGAATGAAAGAAAGAAGAAAGGTGAAGTTGAAGAAGAGGGGAGTGACCTTGATTACTCACTTATCGGCCAAACGTCAGTTGGAAGGCCGCTTGCATCTTACGCTAGTCCCTATTTAGTCTAGATTGCCAGATCTATACATCGACGAGTATCTTAATATTTATATGCAATACTTTCCAAAGCTGAATAGACAAAATCAATTGACAACGCCTGCCCGACAAACAGAACGTGTGCATACCATCTCGAACGAAACTCCACATCTTGGGCGTGTAACGTCGTAACTACAGCAGAAAGAATCAAGCCGAAAACACAGACATAAATCATGAACCCTCGCTACCAAACTGCGTTGTCCACTCGGCATTCCGATCTAGATCTTCTTTGCTGACGGTAGGTCGTGAATTTCGAATAGCTTTGATAAAGTCTTTCAGCACAAGGGGTGGCTCTAAGAGTTTCTCCGACTCGACTTCCATCCAGTTCATTTCCATGGCGCCGTTATCGCCGGGTGAGCAGGGGGTGAATTTTTCCTCTCCGTCAACGAGGACCTGGATTGTTAGTCACGTTGCATAGACTAGGTAGAATGACGAGAGCATACCTTTTTGTAATGCGTAGCAGTCTGGATTTTCCGGATAGGCTGCATCAACGCATCCTGCACCGCGATACTAATATCACTACCAGAATACTCCGCACTAATCTCCGCCAAATGTCGGTAATCAGCCTGCGTCAACTGACACGGCGTCGAGCCCACGGCCAGCATGAACATCTTCATTCGTGCGTTGATATCTGGTAGACTGATGTGAATTCTTCGTTGGAATCGTCGTCGAATGGCAGCGTCTAGCTGCCAGGGGATATTCGTTGCGCCCAGTATCAGCACGCCGCGTGAATCCTTGCCAACACCATCCATTTGCACGAGCAATTCAGTCTTGATACGTCGAGATGCTTCGGATTCGCCCTCTCCACGCGGTCCGCAGAGCGCATCGACTTCATCGATGAAGATGATGGCCGGTTTGTTCTCTCGAGCCATATTGAACAATTGCTTGACGAGACTAACCAGTCAGCCAGCAGTCACAAATTAAGGCGCATGCAGGACCTACCGTTCACTCTCACCCATCCATTTCGAAACCAAATCACTACTACTAACACTGAAAAATGTACTGTTCGCTTCTGTCGCAACGGCCTTTGCAAGATACGACTTTCCCGTTCCAGGAGGTCCATACATCAATATGCCTTTCCACGGCTGTCGCTTGCCCGTAAATAAATGAGGGAACTTTATCGGTAATATAACAGCCTCCTTCAAGGCCTCCTTTGCATTCTCCAAACCGGCGACATCCTCCCATCGCACGTTAGGTTTTTCGGACAGAATGGCTCCTTGTAACGCGCCTCGCAGCTTTTTGGCCTCTGCATCTTCGCCGTCTTCATCTTCTTTCCTAAACCCAAGCATCAGTCAGCAATATTCCGCCCATTGTGGATAGAGAAACGCACCCCTTCCCACCCCCATTTGCCACTTTCCCATTCGCGCCCACCGCACTCGGTTTCTTTTTGTTATCTGCATTCGCCAAATGATTCTTAAGCTTCTCTGCGCGATCCATATACTCCCCCGTCTTGGCGCGAATCATCTCCTTCGATTTGGGATTCTTCTCCCATTTAAGGGCGAGCATGAACAACTCGAGCGCGGCATAGTAGCCCTGATAGGCCTTTTCGTATTCGCCGGCATTGTCGTGTTCGATGGCTTTTTTGACGGTGTCGATGGCTCGGCCGAGGAAGTCGGTGTTACTCATCTTGTGGTATCAGGTCGTTTTGGTTGATTTGAATTGGGGAGAGCGTGTTAGAGAGTTGGAGATGAGATGGATGGTCCGCTTGGAGTGGGGTTGCCAACTCCAAACGCACGCGAGTTTTCAAACAACAGCGCTGTGAAAGGGCAAGAATAGGAGAGCAATTAAAAGAAAGCCCTTGAGTGTAAATAACTCGATAATATCGTAGAGAGTAGAGATCAACAGGCAGAGACAGCAAGAAGAGTGTTTGTTTGGAAACTTGCATGCCTGCCGCCATTCGGGACGGACCCGACTTAGCCTGGCCGCTTGACGTAGATACTCTCCTAACGCTTTTTTACCCCCGCTAATCCTCGACAGTCAACATCCAGCATATAAATCAACATGGAGCAAGCACAGAAAGCGCTACAGGCGCTGTCAGAAGAATACCAGAATCTTCAAGCTGGTATTCATTACCCGCCATTTTCATTGCATGAAAATTAATTGAAAAGATGCTAAGACAGAGCTACAGAACTAGAAACAATCATCCTTGCTCGACAAAAGCTCGAATCACAGCAGCAAGAAAACCAGGCCGTACAGCAAGTAAGTCAATCCCTCTATTATTCGAAGTTGGAGAACAGGCTGCTAACGAACGAAAGGAATTCGCATCCCTAGACGACGACTCAAACATCTACAAACTCGTCGGACCTGTGCTTCTAAAGCAGGAAAAGTCCGAGGCCGTGATGGCTGTTGATGGTCGCTTAGAGTTCATTGAGAAGGAGATGTTTGTCCCCCTGTTCCCCTTTGACTGATTAGTTTTGAACGTTATTGACTCTATATAGAAAACGGATAGAGGGCCAGATACAGGAGATTAATAATAAGAGTGATAAGAAAAGGACGGAGGTGAGTTTTGCTTTTTATATCATGTTTTTTTCGCTGGGTTAACCTGGCTGACTTGTTGCTTGAAGATTATTCAGCTGCAGTCACAGATTCAGCAGCAACAGGCTGCTGCTGGCGCTATTGCTGCTTAAGCTGTTGGGTAAGGAGGCAGATGGCATTTTCCAGCTAGGAATAAAAGCAGAATCAGTGAATCATATACTTTCTACCTTCATAATATATGTATTACCAGTAAACTGGACCTGATTCCTGTGTAGATCAAAATAGTCTTCGAGCACGCTATTTCTTAGGTACCTAAGTAACTTAGTGGGAAAGAGAACATGAAGGCAATTGCAGAAGAAATATATGTATCTATTTTATCGGCTTKTATAGAGATCTTATCATCATATCATATCAAACAAGAAAGAGAAAGAGACAGCACTCCAATGCACATCCATAATTAGCGGTCTGTCTACGACTTGACCAAAAGACTGCGGCAGGTCATCTCCTCAGGCTGCTCAATGCCCATAGCAGCTAGAATCGTAGGTGCAACGTCTCCAAGAACGCCATCTTCCTTTTTCAAGCTCCATCCTTCAGGGGCATTGGCCATGACGAATGGGACTTTGTTGACGGTGTGGGAGGTCTTGGGTTTGCGCTGCTCGTTGAGCATTTCTTCGGCGTTACTGTAACACGTTAGCTCTATTCGTACACAACACCGTACGGTAGACTTACCCATGGTCAGCAGTAATAAAAAGAATGTAACCATGCTTCTTGCACGCTTCATAGATATGGCCAATAGCTCTATCAGTCTCGGCCACACCCTGGATGGCAGCCTCGTATACACCGGTATGACCAACCATATCCGGAGGCGCAAAGTTGTTCATGACGAACTCGAATTTCTCTTCGGCAACACGCTCAGCGACTTTTTCTCCAACAGCCCAAGCACTCATCTTGGGTTCCAAGTCATAGGTTGCAACTCTGGGTGAGGGGATCATGTCACGCTCTTCACCGGGGAATTGCTTCTCGATACCTCCATTGAAGAAGAATGTGACGTGTGCGTATTTTTCGGTTTCGGCAATGTGGCTTTGGCTAATGTTCTTCTTGCCGAGCCATTCGGCGAGGACGTTGCCCATGTGTTGGGGAGGGAAGGCAATGGGGAAGGTGTAGTCGGACTTGTATTGGGTCATGGTGGTGATGTGAATATCCTTGGGGTAGGGGAAGTCGGGCCTGGGAGAGCGGTCGTAACCTCCAAGAAGCTGGGTAACCTCGCGGACACGATCTGATCGGTAGTTGAAGAAGAAGAGTGTGTCGTTGTCTGTCAAAGATTAGTCTGTCGTCTTCGCCATGCTGGGATGAACCTACCCTGAACACGGTTTTCCTTGCCACCAATGATGATAGGCTTCAAGAATTCATCATTCTCGCCCTTGGCGTAGCGCTCTTCAATAGTCTTGACAGGATCGGTGCTATCTTCACCTTCTCCAGTGACAATACCCTTCATACCAATCTCAACGCGCTCCCAGCGCTTATCACGGTCCATAACATAGTAACGACCAACGACAGTGCCGACCTCACCAATACCGAGCTCCTTAGTCTTGTCCAACAACTCCTGCATATATTTTGTGCTGCTCTTGGGGTCGGTATCACGGCCATCACCAAAGAAGTGGATAATAACCTTGGGCACACCGATATCCTTGGCAACCTGAAGGAGACCGTACAAATGCTTGTTTTGCGAGTGCACACCACCATCAGAGACCAATCCCAACAAGTGAAGTCGACCATTGCCATCCTTGGCACGCTGGAATGATTTGCGGATGTTTTCGATTTCGCCCAATTTGCCGTTCTTCAAGGTCTGGTCGATGCGCACGCTGTCCTGCCAGACGACACGACCAGCGCCGATGTTGAGATGACCGACTTCACTGTTTCCCATGAGGCCCTCGGGGAGACCGACGGCCAAAGATGAGGCATCGAGCTCTGTGTATCCCTGCGCAGTCTTGGACTTAGGGTCGGCAAAGGATGACATGACAGGCGTCTCAGCGGCGGCGATCGCATCTCCCTCTGGTGGAGAGTCGGGGCCAGGAATGCCCCAACCGTCAATGACGACTATAAAATGCAATTAGCTCCGACAGTGTCACAGTATGGGTACCTTGGAGAAAGTGAATGGACAACATACTCAATGCGACTTTTTGGTCTACCTTTGCCATGGTGGGGTGGTATGTAAGAAAAGAGACCTAGATCTATATTCTATCTTTTTGGAACTTGACCACGATGATCAAGAAAAGAAGTGCAATTGATATCACTCAATTGACAGCATAAACAAAGTAAACACAGAACGAAAGAAAAAAGAAGTCGCAGAGGGGCGTGGTCGAGGGGTATCCAGACCGAAGCCCGTTTTGGAACCGGTCGACGTCAGTGCTGCCTGATCCGTAAGGCCCGCTTCTTTTTAGCTCCGACTTTTGAGACTGAGCTTTGAGCTACCCTACCCTGTCTTTGTCAAATAGCTTCAATTTATGACACCCGCAACGATTTACGACTCTAATCAGCTGCTGTTAAATCTCCGATTCATTTTCCTTCAAGACTTCTGCCGAACGCGCTCACACTACCAACACAACCACCGTCTCACCTTTTGGTTAGCAGCCAGTCTCGAATAACGACTTACGAAGGCGTTACACAGGGTAAACAGCAACTCCATGAACCGACAACTTACAATCTGGATAATACAATCCCCTACGATCCCTTAATTTTCCGGCTCCCTTCTCGTCCCTCCCAAGGCCTAAAAGCAGCATGGCCTCCAGATCCCCGGTTTCTGCCGTATCGCAACAGCAAAAGATCTCGTCCACACCCGACATAGCTCCGACATCTCCGCAGCCATCAGCAATCCTACCAACAGGACCACAAGCAGCAATCCCATTCCCGTCTCCACAGACCTTTGATTTCATACCACCCTTGCACGCGCTAATACTACGCTTACATTCGTCGACGAATACATCTGCGTCTACTGCGGCGGCAGGTGCGGTTACCAGTCAATCCACCATCGGCGGGAATGCCTCGGTTGAAGGAGTCGTCGCAAGTCAATCGGAAGCAGGCTTACAGACACAACCGCAAACACAAACACAACAAAAACAATCCCAATCTCAACTGAAATCTCAACTACCGCTCGGCGGCGGCGGTGCGACAGACTCCGCAACACCATCCTCATCATCCAACCTGCCCCCCCTCGAAGCAAAAGATCTCTTCACAGCTGCAAGCGCGGTTCGAATACGGATTCAAAAGGCGCGCGCCATTGTGGAGAGTTTGCCGGATGTTGACCGGACGACGGAGGAGCAGGATGATGAGATTGAGGAGTTGGTAGCGCGAATTGCGAGTTTGAGGGGTGTTATTGCTGATTTTGGGCGGAGGGCTGGTATGCAGCAGACCATAGAGGTCGATAAGATGGATGTTGGTGTTTGATATATATCGATCGACCGTATTTACGAATACGGACTCAGAATCGAAGCAACGCAATGGGCTGGGCATAAAGATTGCCGCCACAGAACGAGACTTCATCCTCTCACTTGAGGATACCAGTCGAGTGAAAGAACCCTACCAAAGCGCCCCTCTATCTACGCGATTGTCATAGCGAAACTTTACAGGAAACCGGTTCATTCCTATATCAACAATCTGAACCGTCACCAAAGCCCATCAAACCAAACAAACCAATACGCCGGATGCAATCTAAACTTGTTGAAGTTTCTCACAATGTTGAAGAGAGGTGCCATCCAGCGAATACAAAGCAAATAGAACCAAAGAAATCGAAATACCTAAGACAGAGGTATATAGACAAAAGAAATATCATTATCAGGTTTATCCTTTTCTTTAACCCCAGGACATGAAAATGTTAAATAAGAAGTCAAATAATTCATCAGGTTGAGCTTTTTCTTTCATCAAAACATCACAAACGCTTTATCAAACAAATAATCATCAATAGTAACACAGATCAAAACTTCTCTTCAATTTTAAGAGCTGTTTAAACTGGAAGAGGGAAAGTGCTGGCCCAAGCAGCAATCTCCTTACGCAAGCTCAAAATCTCAGGAATAGACTCGCTGGCAGCCTTGGCCTTGAAGTCCTTGAGCTTGTTAGCCTCCTTGGGCAAACTGGCCTGGACGCTCTTGCTGATCTTGATGGCCTGGTCGATGTATCCGACAACACGCTTGAAGTCCTCCTCTCCGAGACCGCGGGTGGTCATGGCAGGCGCACCGACACGGATACCACCGGGGCTGAGAGCGGATTTGTCACCTGGCACGGCGTTCTTGTTGCATGCAATGTTGATTTGTTCCAAGACGGCTTCGACACGGGCACCGTCAACACCGTTGGGGCGCAGGTCGACGAGGACCATGTGGCTGTCGGTGCCGTCGGCGACGAGCTTGTATCCGTACTCCTTGAAGGCGACTTCAAGAGCCTTAGCGTTCTTGATGGTTTGTTCCTGGTATTGACGGAATTCGGGAGTGGCGGCTTGCTTGAGCGCGACAGCCAAGGCGGKGATGGTGTGGTTGTGGGGACCACCTTGGTGACCGGGGAAGACGGAGAAGTTGATGGGACCTTCGAGATCGTAGAGGATCTCCTTGCCGGTCTTGGGGTCGGTGCTGCGCAAACCCTTGCGGAAGAAGATCATGGCACCACGGGGTCCGCGGAGGGATTTGTGGGTGGTGGTGGTGACGACGTCGGCGTACTCAAAAGGAGAAGGAATGACGCCGGCGGCAATCAGACCGGAAATGTGAGCCATATCGACAACCAAGTAGGCGCCAACGGAGTCGGCAATCTTGCGCATGCGAGCATAGTCGATCAAGCGGCAGTAGGCGGAGGTACCAGCAACGAGGATCTTAGGGCGGTACAATTGGGCGTTAGCCTCGAGGGTGTCGTAGTCGATGATACCGGTCTCGGCGTTGACGCGGTAAGGGAAAGTCTCAAAGTAGGTCGAGACTGCAGAGATCTTGCGCTGGGGGGTCTGGTATCCGTGACTCAAGTGACCGCCGTGAGGCAAGTCGAGACCCATCAAACGGTCATGAGGCTTCATGAGAGCCTGATAAACCTGCAAGTTGGCGGGACTTCCGGAGAGAGTCTGGACATTGACACCCCACTTGTCGGATTCAAGACCAAAAGCCTTCAAGGCACGGGCCTGGCAGGTCAATTCGACAGCGTCGATATGCTGGTTGCCTCCGTAGTAGCGAGCACCGGGGTATCCCTCGGAATATTTGTTGGACATTGGTGTGCCGAGGGCATCGTAGACGGCGCGAGAGGTGACGTTCTCAGAGGCGATGAGAAGGATGGACTCGCGTTGACGTTGAATTTCTTTTTTCTAGTCGAGTCAGTCGGCTTCTTTCGATTGGAGAGCGATTGACTTACGATAATTTCAGCAATTTCAGGATCGAAGTCCGCAAGGTGGACTTCCATCAACTATTCGAATGTTAGTCAATGCCATACCACTCAACCAGCGTTCGATGCAGACATACATCCTTGTGGGACTCGGACAAAGCGTAGGTAGCCATTGCGTCTGAATTTATTCAAGTATAATTTAATAAAAAAAAAGGTGATGCTTGATGGAAGTAAACTGAAGAATAAAAACTACAGGAGGCGAATGAATCACGAGGTCCCCAAAAGCTTAAGTAGCAATTTTTCTCCAAGTCTTAGCATCGCCTCTTGGAAAAGAATTGTTCCTACTGGACGAGAGCACGCAAGAGAAAAAAAAATGGGCGGCCGGTGACTTAGGGCTGTTTTGTAATTACAGTGTTTTGCATGATTTTTTACCGGGGCAGACATGTATGGTCATCGCATATGATTCCCAGTGCGTCGCAATGCGTAATACGTAGATTACATACAGTACATACAGTACATAACGTGGGAGGGAGCTGTTTTCGGAGTCCGACCCGACAGCTTCATTCCGGCAAGTTGCTTGATCGATTCGTAGCCCGTGGACAACTCATTGCGCTTTGTGTGATAATTGTCGTACACTTAGTTTTCCTCGGTATTCGATTGTGTATCATTTTGAGAAACAGTTGTCCACAAACCTTGATTTTAGAAAGGCAATGGAAGTCGCTAGGTTTTCTATGATGCTGGATGTATCGATGGTATTTTATCTGCCCCGCTGGCCGATAAACCCCCGCCGAAGCTCCATATCGGGATTAGTGCAGTTGTGTCTCGACGACATCGGAGCTGGGTTACCCTAACCCTGGAATATCTCCGTTCATTCATGGAAGCAATAAGTGAGCGAAGATATATCAACATGCATTATATCATAACATCATCAGCCAAGCAATAATGAAATCTAATTAGAAATAATGTCCGTTCGTGAGATGGTTATGTTGTATATAGGCGTAAATGCACAGGAAAGGGAGAGCAAGATAAGTAGAGGAAGGGACGAATGTCAACATTATAAGGTAAGCAAGTAGAGTAGAATTTCATAAGTCGTCAATGTTCGATATGAAACAAAAGACTGGTTCATTTGTTTGTGAGCGTTGGTGAAGATGCCGGGGAAGAGGTAAAGTTCTTCTGGTAGAACAAATTCTCGTTCTTGAGCAATTCGGGATCGGCGTAGTCATCCACAAAAGTCCATGATTCTTCGCCTTCCATGTCATCGGCTTCTTCACCCTCGTCAGCAGGTTTGCTTTCTTCTGTTGCTGTAAGTGGTGTGGTGGAAAGAGAAGCGCGTTGGCGGGTTAGGGTTGTTGCGTATTCTAGGTCGCGATAGATTGCTTGAATGGCGGTGGCGACCCCGTTTTCCTGGAAAAAAAGGTTAACAAATGTTCATGAGACTCGTTCTTAGAATGGAGGAACTTACCTTACGGATCTGCTCGCCGAGAAGCTTAGCCTTCAAGATCATTCGCTCACTATGAGTCGCTTCCCAGAGCGCCCGCGAAAACACTCCCACGTTGAGCTTCTTCATGCAGATGCCGACTCCCAAATCCTCAACTCGTGATCCAGAGAAGAACTGGTCTCCAAAAAACGGCTTTATTATAGTAGGAACACCGGCACGAAGGCTGGCTCCTGTGGTACCAGCACCTCCGTGATGCACAGCTGCGTCAATCTGAGTAAAAAGCCAATCATGCGGAGCTGATTGGATCTGATGAATTTCTGAAGGAAGAGGAACCTCAGAACGGGTGCTCTTTGGATCGCCTAGACGATCGGACCAGCCCTTGGACAAGATGCAGCGAATATCCGCTTTCTGGACTGATTCGACAACCGTGCGAGTCAATGCAGCAGGATCCGAAACAACGATAGATCCAAAGCCAATGTAAACAATCTTCTTGCCATCTTCGCGTGCCTTTTTGATGAAATTGGTGAGCTCTGTTGGAGGAGTCCAGGTCGAAGCTTCGTTCAAGAACCAGTAACCCGTAACTCGAATCCAGTCAGGATAATCGAGCGGTGGTGGAACAACCGACGGTGAGTAATTATACAAGAATGGCACTTTGTTCGCTTGCATCTTGTCAAGGGTTGTGCCTCGAAGGCCCAATTCCATCTTTCGCCATCTATTTACCTGGCCGGACATAGCTCGCCAAAACACATTGTCAAACATCACGTACGTTATATAGTTGTAGGCACCGCCCATTTTGTGCTCGGGAACGGCAAAAGCATGTGGATATGCTCGTGTACGTGACCAAGGCATGGTGAAGGCGCGGAAATAAGGGATTCGAAGAGCCTCAGCGATGTGAATTCCAGCCATTGCACTGGGAGATTCGATTAAAACATCACTATCTTGACAGGCATTCCAAGCTGAAGTCAAAAGGTCGTCCATCCACCCTCGAAACTTGGAAGAGGCTTCCTTCAAGAACGAATAAGTGAACATTCCATTTTCCACGCAAATCCTCATCAGCTCTGCCGGATCGCCCCCAATAGGTGCAAAATCAATGCCATGCTGGAGGACCCATGGCCCGAATTCAGCATGCGTTGCAATCTTTGGCCGGTGTCCCTCGGCAAGTAATCCTTTGCAAAGACTAATATAAGGTTGAACATCTCCTCGCGAACCGATAGTCAAGCACGTAATCCGCAATGACTCCGTAGGTTTGAAGTTCACGATTGAAGCGCGCGGGTCATCAAAGATCGGATGTACCTCTTGCGAGTCTTCTACCAAAGTCCCCTGCATTGCTTCTTGTAGTAGTTGCTGCTCAGCCTTTGCAGCGGCCGCCTCGTCCTTATCCTTTTGCATTAATATACTGGATTGTGCAAGAAATCGCMCCGACTCGAGCCGATGATGTAGTGTGACTGCGCAGTCATCGCGAGAGTCTGCTGCATTGAATTCGAAGAAGAGTTCCTCATGACCGCGGATGATAAGGACAAGACCCTGATAACCGAATCGAAACCCTTTCTCCTTCTCGACATTCTCAATATCTTTGATAGGTAGAATCATCTTTGTTCGGGTCCCAGGTAGCAGACTTCTAAAGCAGAATTTGCTGTTTCCTATGTAGATCTTACCGTAAAGAGGTAGAACACGGTGAAGATATCCATAGTATGTGGCTTGAAGCTTCTCAGTAGGTGGGAGCGCAAAGTGCGCACGAAAACGATCACCATAAGTGCCGCTCGTTTCTGCATCCTCGCCATCAAAGTATTGCTCCAGAGCCGGATCTTCACCTTCGGCATAGTGCTTTCCCCCGCCTATCCACATACCGGACACTTTCTCGATGTATCCCATGGACTCGGTTGCCAGAAGGCTGCTCATTTGTCGAGATCGGCTTTTCAAATACTCTGCAAACCCAGCTGCACGTTGTAAAGGATAAGTCCCGGCTTTCACAAGTTCGTGAATCGTCGGAGCTGCAGTTACGTAGGACTTGCGTTCAATCGAAGCGTCTTGTACCGGATCCCTCGAAACTTCTTTACCCGTCTTCTTGATGGGTTCGGTCAACACCTTTCTGGAGGGGCTTTCAAAAGATACGCCGTCAAGCGAAGTATTAGGGCGCAAACTATGAATTGTAGGTGAATTGAAAACATCGTCTCGTGTTAGGATCTGACTAGCCGTGACGATGGTGTCCGGGTGTGACTGCAGGCTAAGCGAAGATTCTGTCTGGCCCATAGACTGTACGAAAGAATCAGATTCCAGATTTTGATCAGAAGTCTCACTCTTTTGAGCTGAACTAGATTCAAGCTTCGCGTCAAGCTTCTCCGAAGCCGATGAATCTGCTCGTTGGCGATGGCTTTCACTGACTACTGAGTTCAGCACCTGTGTAGCATTGGGATCTTGGGCTATCCTTCGTGCTGTTGAGTCGTTGATTAAGCCTTTGAGCACCTCAAATGCATCTTGTCCAAAGTTGAAGAACGAGAAAAAATGTTCATCAATCGCATAGGTCTCGTGTATATCCACCACTCTGATTTTGAATGTCTGAGCCAAGTCCATCATAGGACTCTCTTCTATGTCCATGATGTCCTCCAATGGCAGAGATATCTTCACCCGTCCGCCTTCATTTTGTGAACGGAAAATGACCTTCTGCAAAGCCTTCACCCACTCGTTGGCGCTGGATGCACTGTCTGCCCGGAAGTAATACGACCGCTGATCAGTAGTCACAGTAAAATCTCGAGTGTCTTTACCCTTCTCCTTTTCTGCAAGCGATGCGCTGATCCCATATCGCAAGTCAATGTGACCGCTTGGAAAGTATAATTTCGATGGATCCGCATAGTAGGAAAACACATCGCCTTTCAAGGAAAACCAGTAACGCTTGTATCGGGGGTTATTGCGACCACGCTTACTCAACTGGCCGGACTTGACGGCCACGTTAGATTTTTGCGGAAGATAGGCATAGAAGCAGATATGTCCTTCGGTAATGTACATGTATCCCTGAAGCGCAACATTTTGCATAAGCCAGCAGGGATACTCTCCAATGACCGGCTCAGGCCTTTCAAAACCAAAGATTTCTTTCAGTCGAATAGGCAGGAGAACTTTTGACTTTTGTTCATCACTTTGCTTGTCATCGGTCTCTTTTTCAGCCTGCGCATGTTCCTCAGTCGAGAGCGCTGCGGGATCGAATCGGCTTTGAGCTTCTATCATCCGACTTAGAACGGGCGCGGTCCGAGGAGTCGTAGTTGTTTCTCGAGCCGGTTGCACTTCATTCCGCGGGCTTTGAGCTGCCTCGGCAGCCTCGGCAGCCTGGTCAGATTTGCCTTCTTTGTCTGTTCGCTTAGAACCTATGCTTGGGATTGATCGTAGTAGCCGATTTCCTGAGCCTGTCCTTCGATGACTGCTGACAGAGCTCGTGGATGGTATCTTTGAAGGTCGCGGTTCTTGTCCAGTCTCCTCCGGAATGACCTGCGACGATGAAACTTCTTTGCCGGGTTTGTTCGATAGCCTCCCGACGAGTCGTCTGTGCAACGGATCCTGTCGTTTTTTCTCTTCCGAATCATCACCGTCACTGTCACTAGAATCATCAAATCGAGAATGAAAATCGGATCGCGAGCCGGCGGCTGCAATCAAAGAGAAAACAGATTGGTGCATATATGGTATGTCTCTGGCTGTAAGGATTTTAGGCGGCGCCGTAAAATCTTCTTGTTCATCGTCGTTATTCTTGAGACGGTCCGGTACGTGGTTCGAGGAAAGGCGATGGAGGGATTTGGAGAGCGAGCGAATTCTGTGAGAAACCCGCTTCTTCTCCGGGTCGTCGTGAGAAGCCATCTTTGCGGTGAGTTGAAACGAGTGACTTTCAAGCGAAGTTGTATATGAATTGAATGGTTGAGTATTCCTCGGCTAGATTCGTTCGCGTTATAAAGCAGGCTTTTTGATGCTTTCTTGACTCAACTAAATAATCGAGGATGAATAGATCTGGGGCGACCACATCAAAGATCGAAACCGAGCGCTAATTTGTTCAACGGCTGTCTAAAGCAGGGATGGAATTAGCAATCAATCTTGGAAGTAGAAAAAGCGTACAGACAAGCGCTACCTACAAGGTAACCGTCCCAGGCAATGATCAGGCAAGGACCGTTGACGATCCCGAGCAACAATCAGCCAGCAGCCGTTGTCACGAGTGCGGAAGCCATGATACACGCTATTTCTGTAGTAGCCTGGGCGAAGCGATATACAAGCGCCCTTCTTTGGGAGACAACCACAGAACAACAATAAATTCAGTCGTTGGCGATGCGTTGTCGAGGAGGATGAGCGAACGCCGGATGCACATGACATGCGAGCCTATCAGGCGCTGGCCGGCAGCCAATCAGCTGCATCACATGTGAACCCAGCATCAGCCTTGCCAATCACATGTCACCCTGTTGCTTAGTCATTAATCGATAAGAGGCCCGTTGCCTGAGCACTGACGTAGTTCTTTTTTTTTTTTGTTGTAGAACTACGACATTACTCGTAGTTTATTGCTACCACATTATATGCTACTCATTGATTATGGCGAGTACATCAAATTGTTATTATCAAACAGGGTATAAGATAAGAGTGCTCCTGAGCCATCTTCGATATCATGGCTCTACTAATGTATACCGGTAACTGGCCATCCGTGACACTATTCTGTGCAAGCAGCGACACCTACGAAAAAGCTGATCCCACTACGTCTGGCTACGAACGTGGGGAAGAAGTAAATAAGGAGTCAAAAATCAAATGCATTCAACTTATCGCCATCTCGAGTGGGATCCTAGGCCCCTAAAATCTGTGTCCTCGCACGCTGAGCGATTCTTGGATTTCCCCTCGGGCTAGGCACGTAGCCAACTTGGGATAGACTCCCAAGAGGACAAGGAGACAGTTTACGGTGTATTGCGCAAAATTAGCACTAAAAATATCGTCAGTCTTTTTCTATAATTCCAAGATCAAACATATCTCAAACAGTGTCCGTCCTGCGTGCTACTCCTTCTGATTTGCTTCCCGACCGTGGTTAGAACCCAGCTGCTAGCCTCATTGATACCTCCCGGGATAATCTAACCGGTATCCAAACATCTCTATATCAATCAATACAACGGCCTTTCACGATAGAAGTTGCTTCTCTGGCCTTGTTCATACTGCCAAGCTTCCGCGGCACGGATGTATTGATCGACGGGTGTACAAATTTAGCGTCAAACGTTAATCAGACCGCCCACGCAGAATGTTTGAGATATGCCCTAAGTTGCGCATAGATTATGCCTGACATCGGTTTAATGAACGTCTTTTTGACTGTAAAGTCCAGATATCACTGAAAATGGAGAAGCGTGGCCAGCCCGAGTGCTTCTTGGAGGTCGTTTGGTGGATACCTATAAGTCCAAATTCTTCACCCGGAAATGCCAGAGCTCACAAACATTTATAGGCGAGCCAGCCAGGGAGTGCCGTCATGGTCAAGTCAGGAGCCGGTATGATGCTAGAAGATGGTTGATTTTAATCACTTGAAGCAGCAGTTATTATATTGAATATATGAGCAGATACTAACCACGTAAGATTTCTTTATCAGAAAAAGTCTGATTGTACGATAGCACTCGCTTGCTGCTTTTTCTAACTTATCGAGGGCTTCKCTCTGTATACACCTTCTGTAAGGTATTAATTGATAAGCGAGTACATTGTAATATGGATCCTAGTTGATGAATGAAAGATGCTCCTAAACTTTGACTTGTGCGATTCATATCCTCCGAGACACCTTAGATTGATATCAACAATTTACCGCAATCAGTCATTGGCTGTTTTAGATCGCGTGATAGGATTTTTCATAAAGGCATATTTCTCACAATAAGGTAATATTGAAGTTAAATGCCTTCAATGATATAATTCACCATTTATTAGGGTTAGGTGTATACAAGACTGATGGTTCGGCGCCGCAACTTAGGGCTTAGGGCTAAAGCTGGATCATCATACAATTTAACACAGTCAGCAAAAGCTCATTTTATGGGAATGCTTTAAGATTTATGTTTTTAATTTTCCACAGCAAGTTGGTGGACTTCTTTAGGCTAAATTGACAAGGATATATATGTATACGTGGCTTGTGCCTATTACATACTGAAGAACTTCCGCAGCGAGCCTCCCACGAATGCATATAACTAGGATAGCAGTACTTACCCCCGACCGTCTTAGTCGCTAATTGGATTAATTGGATTAGGAGATTGATATTTCGGATTTCAAGGATACACAATATATTACTCCATATGCTATAAAACAAGTACTTGATCTCTCCCGCGGTGAACTCAGAGATGTTATTGTCAGGGATCGTAAATTTGGTAGTATGCCTACATACCTACCCAAATATCTGGTATATGGCAAGGAAAGCAAGACGACATCCATTGATAAATTGCGTTCCAGTCCTTGTTAGTCGTAGCTGCTTTTGCTGCCTATTGGCCATGTTCCTTGAAAGAAGTCTTTTTTCATGACCTTTGTTAGAACTCGATGTCGAAATTGAAAATTCACGAGGCAAACACATGCTGTTCTCTAAGCGCTGAATGATGTTATACCGAGGAAGGACCTGCAGACAGCTAGATTACTTTTGGAATGAGCGGAGATCTGAATTGAGAAGTGATATGACTGCAGCCGCTCCTCTCAGCTTAGGTAAAAGTAAAGATTCAAGTACATTCCAGCGACAGTCCGCTCTGCACTTGTACACTTTTGCCAGCGGTCCGGGCCGCTCATGTAGGCTCGTAGCATCTGTGTGCTGTAGCGCTAGGACTTGACTATGACCGTCAGATTTGAGCTGTATCCATTCTCACGGCGGATCTTAACAAGATTGCTCTCAAAGACTGCACAAATAAACGAATGCCCTCTAGACTCTAACATTTTTTGCTCTCGTTCTCCCCATTTTAACACTTCTTCATCGTCTACACCAGCAACAAATGGAGTTTATGAGTGGGAGGCTTGTGTGTCAGAGATCTGTACATTGGTGTAGCTTCACAAGAACAACAAATGACGCGATGACAAGCTGAAGTTCGAGCATCGCATGGTGGCGATCCAATCGTCTAGTGAAAATGTCGAATCCAAGCACACGTGTTTGCAGGGACGAGGATACATTTTCAAATGCCAGTCCCCAAAATTGAAAACATTGAAGTACCGAGGATGCTCGTGTTTCAAAATTGATTAATATTGGGAAAATTCATGCACTTCCTCTTCAACCACTATTTACTCCACGAGTAGCGATGGCGCTCTACGTTGCGTTTTGAATTTAGCCCAAAATTTAGCTTAATTAGTGTGCCTATATTACACAATGCATATGTACTCCACCCCCGGATTTCTGTGAAGAATCGTGATAGTCGTCGGTGATGTTTCCTCTGCGAGGAACTTTTGATGAATTCGAGGGAAAGCCACCAACGTGTACCCCTCATGATGGAAGAAGCGTCTATGATGATGTCTTGCTCAGGTGACTACAATGTTAGGCAAGGCGGTTGCTGTAACAATGCAATGCAATGTGATCCTAGGCGTGATATCCAATGAAAAGATCAATTGTTCCCCGTGCTTTGAATCCTACGGGCAGTTCTCGAGATGATGAGATACTCCAAGTTGCGGGGGAGAGAGCAGACTCAGCTATAAAAGCAGTCTTGATTCCCTGGTGGAATCGACGTTTTTCTTTACTGCTCACAGATCTCATTCTTCAAAGCATACTCAAATCATAAATCTCAATCTACATTATCAGATTCCCCAGAGTCTATCACACATACTTCAAAATGTTCGGAAAATCCCTCACCGTCGCTATTCTCCTCAGCCTCAACCTTGTCTCTGCAGGCCCTATCGTCAAGCGCTCAGTCTTGACTGACCTCCAGGCTGTCTACAGCGAAGTCCAAGTTTTCGACTCGGCTATCACCAGCTGGAATGGACAACTCCTTACAGCCCTTCCCTTGCTTAACGATGTCAGCACCCTCGAGACCGACATCAAGACTGCCACCACCGACACAAACAACTCGGCCGCCTTTGATGACGCCGACAGCGCGAGCATCGCGACTGAGACGCAGTCCTTGTCAACTCTCATTACGAAAACGCTTAACGATCTTGTTGCCCAGGTATACTTACCGTATTTATTCCTTTATATTTAGTCCATGCTAATCCGGCATAGGCCACTAAAGTCAAGGCCGTCGGCCTCACAAGCACCGTCGAGTCATCTCTGGAGCAGCTGAAGACCCTCTCTGACGGCCTTATTACTGCTCTAGAGTCCAAGATTGAGTCTTCTTACCTGCCCACAGCAACTTCGATTGCAGCAGCTATTGACTCCTCCTTTGCGACTGCCATTGCTGCGTTCGCTTCTTAAGCACCGCTGGTGGAATGGAGCAGGATGTGGCTACCCACTTATTAATTTATTTGGCTCGAGACTGGCCTCGTCTGCTTCTATCTTTGATCAAGTCCATGTATTTGGCCTTCAAATAGCGTACTAGTGTCTACTGCCTACCAGGTACAAATGTCAATGTGAATGCATTTTTCAATAATCATATATTTGGGAATAAATTAGCCGATCATATATCTCATAGGCCCCATTTGGCATGGATGCTATGTCACATGTGTAGGTGCCCTTAACAACTAGGTAATGTAAACATAATCATCACCAATAAGCCAAGAAACTCGCAAGAGCAAAAAACGCCGGACCATTGAATTAAACAGATCAAAAGACCAGGATTTGGCTATCCCTGAATATATAGTAAGTAGGTACTAAGTCAAAAGTACCTGATAATTGGTCCAGTAAATGGTTCATTGTTGGAAAAAAACTACACTAATAGCACCACGCATAATATACTCTTCGTATGCTGAAAATAAGTACCTGATCAAAATCATAGCACGCAATAAGAATCACAATGTGCAGATGCGGAGACTCGACATTAATTCATTCTGATATATCCCCAGGATTGCCAGTGTATGCATGGCTATTTCCACATTCTCTCAGTCGACCACTCATTACAGATCCTTTTAGCATGGATGACTCAATGTAAAATTAAATACATGGTAAGCCAAGTGTATAGGTAACGACACTAAAATTTAATGGACAGAAAATGTCCGGATTCTCCTCACTCAATTCGCTACGACGCCATTGTTTCTCATAGGATAGTGGATTTATCGACCAGCCTCGATGCGAATCTGTTATATCTAGGATTAGTTTGTTGACCTTGCGTCGGCCTATGTTTAGCTTTAGATCTTACCCCAGACAGAGTCGCAAGAATATTATCATCGGACGGAGCAGTCAGTAGTCAGTCCCATGCTCACCTCCTGCTGGCGCTTCTAGCTAGCAACAACGGACCAAGAAACGAGTCATCCTCATAGAATGTCAGTCAGTATGACTATGCCGCCAATCCATAAGCAGCCGCAAATCCGATGACGCGATGACTGTTGGTGAAATCCTAATTAGGAAATTACCGTGAATCGATGTTGGCTCTTGGACGGTCGACTGATCATTCAGCAACTACGCAAACAACAGGATTCTGTTCTCCTCTTTTCACCTTCTAGCTCAGTAATGTCAATACGAGCAATGCAGAAGCTTCATGCAAAGAGCCAGTCCCTTTCCTAGGCATCGTGAAAATGTCTCAGTTAGTTGTACGCCACATTCACGACAACGGGTAGGATACCTCGGCCATCAGGTAGCATGGGCAACAGTTTGTTAGTGTAAGACGCTTATGAGGCAGCATGTGATGGTGTCTTGGATTAAATGCAAATAATAAACATGGGGTTATTGATTAAACCAAGAGGCTAACGAACCCTGGCTTGCTTTTGTGGGGTTGGCCGGGGTAGTTCAACTTAGTTGTATTGCAACGTTGCAACCCCTGACCGCTTTAGTATATAGGTCAAGGAGCTAAGGAACTATTGGTTGGTCTAGTAATTTATTGTCCTTTGCAGAGAGTATAAGAGTGCAAATGTTTCTCCATCAACAGCGGAGAACATGATTAATCACACGTGGTTCTCCATGGTTGTCAACAGGTCGGGGTTGACTGACTCGCCATAAAGGCGCGAAAGTTCAGACGTAGAACGGCCTCTCCTGTTCGGGCATCTAATCTGTAATAGTATGCGCCTCCTGTTGTAAGATTGGTAGAAACAAATCGAAAGGCCTGGGATATTGAGCACCTCATTTCCGACTAATTATCCCAACAGCCGCCACAATGCCACCATCACAATAACCCTGTACGCTATGCAACCGCGCATTTCTCGCCGCGGCTGCAGATTCTAACTAAATCATTAGACTAGATTAAATTGTACGTGAGCTGGACAGCTCGCAGTATGTGAAATGAGGGGACTATGTACCTATATAATGTCGAAGAGAGACTTACTTCCCCAAATTTCTGGGTTTACACCACGGCGCACGCTTTCCTCGACTCTCGTTAATTTGGATTTTCTACTTTGACATTCGCTTTGTATAAAGTCTTTAATCAGCCGCCAAGATGAAGTTCTCTACTGCCATCTCCATTGCTACCCTTGGCTTCGCCTCTGGCGTTCTCGCAAATCCTACTCCGGTCATCAACGAGCCTTCCCTCGTTAAGCGTGACTTGGCCTCCATCGAGAGTGTTGTCAGTGGCATCACAACGCAGGTGAACCAGCTCGACACAGACATCAAGGCCGGTTCTTTGAACACGGTTCTCTCGGACTCAACAGCTCTAGTCTCCATCATCAACGCCGGTATCACCACAGTGGACGCATCGGCCGATCTTTCTGAAAACGACGCCCTAACGCTCGCAAACTACATTGGTGGTCTCATCAATGCCGTCAATACGACCGTCACCGATCTCATCGGAATCTCATCGGCTGTCCAAGCGGCGGGATTGGTCTCTACAACTTTGACGAATCTCCAGGATCAGTACACTGCATCTCAGGGACTCGCTGATGCTATTACTGCCAAAGTGCCTTCTGATTTGCAATCGCTTTCTGCTCAGCTAGCTGCTTATATCACTACTTCTCTTCAGCAAGGTATTGATTACTACTCGTCCCTGCCTGCGACTTCAACTACTTCCAGCAGCAGTGTTGTCTCGAGTACTAGCGCTACTTCTGCTACTACCAGCCCTACTACTGCCCCTACTACCACACCTACCACTGCCCCTACTACCACACCTACTACTGCCCCTACTACCACACCTACCACTGCCCCTACTTCCACCAGCCCTGCCACAACCACCCCTACCACATCTCCCACCGACACCGTTCCAACATCCACTCCCACCTCTGCCGCGACCAGCACTGCATCTGGCTCATCAACCGTCGTGCCTACATCCACTTCGGCACCCACCACTACATCCTCATTCTCCTCAACCGGCGTCTCAACAACCAAGACCACCACCCCCTCGTCCCGCGCCTCCAGCCAACCCGTCAGCGTATCTTCTTCTTGGTCATCATCCACAGCTGGCCCAGGCGGCAGCAACGGCAGCACCACCACCTCCCAACCCGGTAGCTCACCTTCCGGTACCAACACCGCCCCTGGAGGTGGTGTCGTTCCCGGTGGCTCACCCTCTGGTACCAACACCGCCCCAGGAGGTGGTGTTGTCCCCGGCGCTAGCGGTACGTCGAAGACATCTGGTACAGCGGGCTCGAGCACCAAGACTGGAAGCTCAGTCCCTACATATACCGGTGCCGCTTCTATCAATGGCTTGAACATTCCTGCGCAGGGCTTGGCTATCCTTGCTGCTGTTGCGTTTGCGCTTTAGGTTGTCCGGACTCTACCTAGGTATAGGATCAAAGATAAACGCATGTACCTTTCGTTATATATATTCTTTTAATAAATAATCGATCATTTATAGTAAATGCAGCGTCGTACAGTCAACTGGTAGTATCTGACTATAATGAGCAGAAGGCTTCCTCATATCTACATCTATAACAAGTTTACCTATGTCAATTTAGTAACAAAGAATGCTCTCAGTCATGAACGATCGATTGAATTGGTGAATAGAGCGCTCTCACTTATCAGGTCAAGCGGAAATTTCAGATAGCATTCTAGGTACAAGATGTAGGAATTGCGAGGCTATCTGTTCGCTATAGTCGGAATCTACTGTATAATATTTTAATTCAGCCTTGGAACGCAGGTGGATAAGCATGTTCAATCTAGATGTAAATTATCTAAGAGGAGAAAAAAGAACTACAATTCGTTGTTGCGCTGCTGAGTCCATCCACTCCAACTCACTGGCTTTCCTAGATGGAGTTTGTCATGCCATTCGTTCGTCATAAGCCCAGCGACATTCATGCCCATAAGAGAGCTAGTTTCCATAGTCGAGATGAAGCTTTCAATACCGCCGGTGTACCAGACATTGCTAGCAAGTCTGATTTCTTCGAATTCCATACGCGGGTATTCATAAGGGTAAGAATGCCATGTTTTTTCGTGATACCATGAAATGTCGTTGCGCGAAATATCGCCAATTGTGCCGTTTTGATCAGACGCGGGGATTTCCACGGCAAGGACTGAGGCGAGGAATCCGGCAGTTAGTTTCTCGGGTGAAAAGACTTTGTAGACGTAGTGCTTCTGGCGGGAGTCTTCTGCAGACGCTTCGACTATGCGCAACAGACTGATACTCCAAAACTTTGCCGGACCAACGCCGTCTTCACGATCCCCCAAATTAAATCCACGGGGTAGAGTTGTGAGGATCATCTCTGGTACATCTTTCTGGTCTGACAGGTCGAAGAATTCTGGAGAAAGCTGGTGGGGAGAAGAAAACAATGTCACGAAGAGTCTCACGTACGGGATCTTTTCGGGGCTTCGGTCAAGCGATGGCGAAACCTCGATGTTGCTGTATTGAAAAGGTCCTGCGAGCACGACTTCATCAAAGGTGTGACGTGAAGTGCTGCCACCGTTACTCGAGTGAAAAAGCGTCATACTCCTATCAGAGTTCTGTTTGATGGCTGTCACCGTAGTGTTCAGTCTTAGATCTGCCCGAGAAGAGTCTAGCATTCCAGAAAAGATACGCCAATTACCATCCTCGATCGCGACAGCACCATCGGTGGCCATACAGACCATAGCCTCAAGACCGTGGATAAGACCAAGATTCTGTCCGTAATTCACTCTCGTGCTCGATTGAATAATATCATTCGAAAAGGATTCTGAGATACCATTCGATTCCAAGAACTGCGCACCAGGTACACCAGTGGCTTCGTGAAGATCAAGGGCTTGCACAGTCGCGGATAAGGACGAGAATGGAAAGTACGGCGGTTTGTACATTTGCAGAAACTTGTTGACCGTATTCTTCATTAGCCTTTGCGTGCGAATCGGGGCCAGCCCATATTGCCATAAAAGCTTCGCCATGTCCCACCAGCTCAATGAATGGCCCTGCAGGTAGAGGAAACGAAACCCATCCCAGATACCGAGCATGTTAACACTCTCTGCAGGTCGATCACCGCCGGCACCTGAGATTTTGAGGCCCAACTCTTTTGCTGTGTCCATCAGATTGTAATTTACTGAGACGAATATCGACGCCCCCAACTCGATTGGAAGAGAAGGGTCATCGAAGACATTGACAGTAGTTGACCTGCCCCCAATATAGGCTTCGCGCTCGAAGACTGTGATGTTGACTGGTACTCCTGCTAAGTCGGAAAATTTTCGCAGATAATATGCAGTAGAAGCTCCTGCAGATCCGGCACCTAGAAAGTATTAGCACATGAACCTGGGCTCGAGATCAGTGGAAGATTACCAATGATTGCGACATTTCGAGATGTCGCCTTGTCTTCTGAATTCAACGGTGTCTGGCCAGTTGTATCTACACCAATAATGCAGACGCATTCGAGGAGTAGCAGAAGCATATACATGATACGTCGAAAGAAGTCCATCGTGATGTAATTCTTGTCGATGCGAGATGGTAGATATGACGAGGAGAGAAAGAACTAGGGACGCTGAAGAGAGAATGAGGGTATCTTATGCTAAGAGAATGATCTTAAGTGGTGTCAAGAGATGTAGGAAATATCAGATATAGCTAGAGCTCATGGCCGAAGATATTTATGCATCAATTGATGCTTCAATAAGCTCCGGTCAATAAGCTCTCAATAGACGGTGAATGAACGTTTGCGTTGATTATGATGACGACCTGATATTTGAAGTCAATTAGATTCAGTAAAGCAATTATTGAGTCGTTCAAGCACTGTATTGATAATAAATAACTAGACGATTTTGATGCTTGGTAGAGCTGAGGTTGTTGAAAGAGCTGGAGAGAGTTCGGCGAGAAGACGGAGATACGATAAGATAGCAATGGCACTAAGCCTGATCTGTCGAGTGGGGCCAACTTTCTATCTTTCATCTCAAATCTTTTTTTCTTTTGCTGTCACTGATTATTTGTGAGCAAAACCACACTCTGTCCTTTTTAGTGTGTGCGTGTGTGCTTGGGGACAATAGAAGTGGAACTGGCTTGCAGCTTTCGACAGAATTCTTCGAACACGTTCGCTATGGATCCATACGACAGCGACTCGTCCTTGGAGGATGCGGGGGAGTACACAGAGACCGGTGTATTACTGGGTTATAGCAGTACAGAGCAGACAGATGATACCATTAGCCATCTTGGTGGCTGGCCGGTAAGGAAACATGACATTCTTTGTATATCACTGAAAGGAGCGTTTGGTTAATAATTCTGTTACCTCAGACATGGCTCGACGAGAATACCCCTCCTCCCGGCGACCTGGCCAAATGCAAAGTTTGCAACAACCCAATGCTCTTGCTACTCCAGCTCAATGGCGACCTACCAGAACGATTTCCCAACGACGAACGATGGCTATATATTTTCGGATGTCCACGGAAAGCTTGCAGTCGCAAACCAGGCAGCATTAGAGGTCTACGCGGTCTTCGAAAGGTCAAGGGCCAACCCGAGACACAAAAGAAGGAAGAGAGCAAACCAAAAGATACGCCCCCTGCACCAAAACAAGATATTGGGGCTGCACTGTTTGGAGCCACTTCGCAAGGAGGGTTATCATCCAACGCGAACCCATTTTCTACATCGTCTTCACCTGCGGCGCAAAACAATCCGTTCGCACCACTGCCACCAGTATCTACATTGGCCGCAAAGCCCCCACAAAATCCAGCAAACAATCTTTCAGAAACTTTTGCCGCAAAAGCGCGAATATCAACACCCGAAACCTCCTCGGAACCTGTAGCAGCAGGGCCTGTAGTCCCATGGCCCGACAAGTCGGCTTTTCCACCTCCTTATACGGAATATTACCTCGATGCTGATTATGAAACTCTTTCACGTCCTCCGACTCCTACGATACCAACAAACACCACTGTAGAAAATGTGGAGGAAGACGCAGGAGGCGCGGTTGATGTAAAAGACGCATTCGAGTCATCTATGGATAAAGATTTCCTTCGGTTTTCGACAAGACTGGAACATAACCCAGAACAAGTCTTGCGATATGAATTCGCCGGTACACCGCTCTTATACAGCGGCACGGATGCTGTCGCAAAGGCATTCCCTTCACATCAAACCCAAGGACGGGGATTACAAGTGTCTTCGAACGCCGGTACAAACCGTATTCCACGCTGTCCATCATGTGGTAGAGAGCGTGTATTTGAGGTACAGCTTGTGCCACATACAATCACGGTTCTGGAAGATGGGCGCGAGGGCATTGGTCTCGGTAAGAATGATGCTGGAATGGAATGGGGCACGATTATTCTAGGCGTTTGCGCCGGTAATTGCGGGACCACCAAGGAAGGGGATTTGGGTTGGAAAGAGGAGTGGATTGGTGTACAATGGGAAGAAACAAAGTAGTATGGATTAGGAGGAAACGCCGTCAAATTTTCTGTCTTTCGATGGGCGATTATGGCAAGCTAGACCTTTCGACCCACGATTTCATTCAGTAACTGAAAATGTGTACATATTTCATCGTCATTATACACTCGAGCATCGTCATGAACTAGTCGTACAATTCAGCATAAGGTATGTTGTTATTGCGCAGGCACGGCATACGGGTGTTAGACGGCGAGCCAGCATGGATCTAGGTTTACATAAAAACAAAGCCCTAGCGACTGCCGGCGAGAACTTCATCTTCCAAGGGTATCATCGCCGCAGATTCATTTTATAACTTCTGGATGATTCTAGATGAATTGCGAATAGAATTTCCTAGCAATACTCGGCGACACCGAGACCAGGTTCCTTGATAAAATCGCATTTCACATATATGCTACGACACTCCCTAACTTCATTCATAATACAATAAGCTAGAGGATTAGAAAACTTGTAAGGCCAGTCTCAGACCGTCCTAGACTCGATTGTTGAAGAACCGACAGCTGATTGAAGCGCTGGTTCGCTGCTATTACTGCTGTTGTTCTGTTGCGTTCCTTCATCAGAACGTTTCACCCGCAGCCCAAATTTGCTAGACTGACGAAGCCGAGGGCCAAATATGATGAAAATAAAAGGAACCAAGCCGAGAAAACTACCCAAGATAGCGAGTAGAGTACAGGTCCAATGGATTCCCAGACGATCAAGCATGGCTTCGATTGCCAGCGGCAGTACGGCCCCTGTGATACTTCTTGTCGCAATGCAAGCCGCCATAGCCGACGCGGCATATGTTCTGTATGAATCTGTGACGTAATTCATCATCGAAGTCATTATAATCTGATAGGCGAAGCCGAAGGGAATTGATGCTAACAGGGGTACAACCCAGGGGATATGTGGTCGCGAAAGCCAGCCATACCAGAGCAGAGATGTGATGAATGCAGGTGAACCGAGACATGCCAAAGGCAGCCTCAGATATTCGGCCTGCCTCTCTGGATGTTTTGCGATCAGACAAGGGACCTTGCTATCGTACCATACAAGTAGAGGTAGGGGTATGGCGGCCCCAATGCCGACTTTTTCTGGTTAGTTCCGACTCATTTTGAAGTGAGAAAGAAGATCCTTACTGCTGAGGAACGCTAAACCTGTAATCCCTGGGCTAAGCCCGTATTGACCTATGAAGATGGCTGGGAATATTTCGAGCAGCCTAGGAATAGCCCTGAGTCATCGGTCTTTTCAAGTATAAGTTATACGTACTCACATGTAAAATGCTGCATATACCAAGGCCATGAACAAACACGAAAATGTGATCAGTGGCTCTGTGCAGAATAGCTTTAAAGGACGTACTAGAGTTGTCGTCTGATGCTGTTACTAGATGAATCATCATATGCTGTGTGCAGTATTTCCCCGCTTACTAGATATCGCATTGCGCTTTTTCGCTCAACGTCTTCCGCACACAGATACTTATTCGAATTGGAACTATGATTCAATAATGCAGCCTCGCGCCGGAGTAGAACTAGCTGAAGTGTTTCTGGCATGAAAAAGACCGAAATTAAGGTTATTGATGATAGGATGAGCTCAATCCTATACGAAGAATCAGATCAATACCAATAATCGCCAGAGATGCTCTAAACATGTAATAGAGTCATCCTGACTATAACAATCAGAAGGCCTTTGCGGATCAACATCAATGACATCCAAAGTCGTGTGATCTAGTATTAAAGTCTGCCCCCAATAATAATGATCAAGTCGTTCAGTACTAGAGTGACCGTTTCAAGTGAGAATTCGTGATGTCAAAGTCTAGCAATGGAGCCTTCTGTTCGTTATAGTCAGGTTTCACGGTATACAGCGAGGAACTTACCAGAATGGCCATCGCCATCCGTACGGACCGATGAACCCGGAGACAAGAGGCCCCAATAACGGACCAAGCAATATAGTCAATGACCATACACCTAGTAATCGGCCACGAATCATCCTCTCAGGATAAATATCCGCCAGAATACCACCCACAACACTTAGAGGGGGTGCGCCGAAGGTGCCAGCCAAGAACCGAAAGACCAAGAGTGCCATCCAATTCGGAGAGAGCGCACTGCCCAGGTTCCATGCAACGAATCCGATAGATCCAATAAGAAGAATAGGTTTCCGTCCATATCCCTCACTCAAAGGCGCAAATATGAGCGGACCGAACACGAAGCCGAGTAGGAAAAGGGACGATGCGAGGACTTGTTGAGGTCCGCTTGGTATATTGAATTCCCGTGAAATGTAGGGCATCAGGTTTGCTGTTATACCTGTACCAAAGGCGCTGTTGACACTGGTAATGTGGGTGACAAAGACAATATATAACTTTGTCGCCTAAAAGGAAATGAGAAGGTGATTAGTATTACAGGTATTTGCATCGCGTATGCATTTTATCCAATTGTCTCCGGATTCATCAAGTCACCTTGTCAAAGTTATAAGGTGCCCTAGGATCATTTTTCGCAAATGCTATCACAGTCGAACAATCTGTAATCGGTTCCTGCAGGAGGGCTATACCTGGTGATGATCCTCCACGCCCATGCCTGAAGAATCGCATATTCGCCAGGTTCTTTGAGGATCGATGAATTGATGCGACTCAGCGAAATGTAACTTATTCAAATGCAAAGAACCGTTATATATATTTTTTATTCATCTCTATGACGAGAATATCCCAATAAACCACTCGCTACTGCCTCGGCACTGAACCACATGAACATTCAAGTAACCGAAAGTTGTGAGTCATCATGATCGTTTGCCGCAATTATACCGTTAATGGATCAACAAATCAACCAACAAGGGCTCCGCCGTCTTCCATCTCGATGTTGGTTTTGTCTAGGGTTGATCTGCATTGGCTGTGCGGACTTTTGTACTATATCTTCCGGCCAGCAGCAACCCTACCCCCTTGTCTTCCGCTTTTCGGATCTTACACGTTTGCTGATTTTTGATAGGATAGACTAGAAAAGAGAGTAAATAATAATACATAATAGACGAATCAAGCAAGAATGTACTCCTTGCAACCGGACAACACTCATTCCTATGGTGGAAGGAAGGACATGAAGGGACATGTGCGGAGGGCGGCACGTCGAAAGTCATGAAGAATTTTCATGTAATCACGTCCTTCCTAATAGCCCTTGTTTGGTCAAAGTTTTGGCTGCAATCACAAGCAATCCACCAAACAGACACATAGTACCACTAAACATGGAAACTTCAAAAAAACCTCCATACTTTCCCACAATGGCTCCATTTATCGGCGGCCCTATCAAAGCACCCAGTCCCGAAATTGCCATTCCCATACCCATGTATGTACCAATATCACGGGGATCTCTAGGACAGACCGAAAATGCCGCTGATGCACCTGATATAATGGTACCGGACGCAAACCCAAACGCGACAGAGTACACAATTAGGGCGGCATTACTTGTTGCGCTATTCATGCAGAAAACTACGACACCGCTGACCACGCCTCCAATGGCAAACATGTTGAGACGCCCGTATTTATCCGCAAGGATGCCGACCAGGATACGGCCAAAGGTCGAGGCAGCATTAAGGATTGAGAGGAGATAACCGGACAGAGTTACGCCCATGCCCTGTGAGACTGCGTATGTGGGCAGATAGAACAAAGGAGTCGTCATGCCAATGAACATAAAGAAGAGACTGAGGATGAGCATGAGGAAGTTTGTTTTCTTGTAGGCCGATGTAATCCAGAATTGGGACACGCGTGGCGGCAAACGCGCCTTAACACTCGCGCAGGCAAAGACCATGAATGGTAAAATGATGAAGCCAATGATACGAACTGACCATCCAAATCCTAGAGAGGTGCCGTTGAGCAGTTTGGAAAGAACAATCGGTATGATAATTCCTCCAATACTTGAACCAGATACGGCAAGCCCAAGGGCAGCGGCACGCTTTTTCTGAAAGTATTGAGACACAGCTGCGAAGGCTGGAAATTGTAGGAGGCCCATCAGAATACCCATGAGAACACCCTGAACAATCATGAATTGCCAATATGTCTTGCATAAACTCAGCATCATCATTGCAAAAACGTATGCGATAGTCGCAGGACGGATAATCTACCAAAGACGCAAATCAGGCTATATCTTCACACCAAGCGACGAAGGAATTGAAACATACCTTTTCACCGTATCGATCAAACAGAGGACCAGCCACCATCCCTGCAAAAAATGGCAGGAATGAGCCCAAAGAACCAATCCAGGAGATTTTCGAGGCAGACTCGCCCTGCAATTGATGCGTAATATAATATTCTTCGAATGTACCGAAAGAGTTGGCAAAGCCCAATGTGCAGAAGAAGATTGAAGCAGCGCCTCCAGCAACGAGCCATGCTCTAGTCCCACCTTCAGGGGCGTCGGAGATATTTTGGTCATTTTCGCGTTCAACTTCAGTAATCGGGGACTGTAGGCTATGTTCCTCGGTGTCGAGTGAGGTTCGCATGTGGTCTATTTCTTTCGCCATGTCAATTTTCGAGAAGGATCTCTGGTATTTCCGCGATAACAGAGTGTTATTATGTCGGAAAGTTGATCATGAAGAGCTTCGAGAATCCGTTGCAACAACAGGCCATTTATAACCAAGTCGAGCATTCGAATTAGGGCAAGAACACGTCCGAAAGGGGAAAGGCGTGGCATATCTCGGCAGTCGGGAATCGGATTCGGCTGGCGGACTCGGAGAATGGCGAGCATTACGGCCCAAAAATGCAGTTCTCGGACGTATCTCAACGCAGAATATGTTAATATCTTCTTCCTGTCTTCATTTTGCAACATATGATACGAGTTTTGATATCCACTATAAATCAATTCCGAGATTTTGTCTTTAATCCGACCACTCTGCCGAATGACAAGGGGCGCGTTCGGCCATGACGGGATTGGAAGGCCGGCGCAGACGGCCAGCAGTGTATGATCGTACTCTATGATGGATCAACATATTTTGACCTAACAATTATCTCTAGATCTTGTGTCTTGTGCAGAAGGAGAAAGATAAAATGCAACCGTGAGAACCCGTGCAGCAATTGCGCACGGTCAAGAACTGCGACATGCAATTATGAGAATGTCGAATCTCCAAAGTACCGTATTGGCCAAACGCAGCAGATTGCTCAGAATGGCACACATAGACCAAGAGAGTCACTCTTCTTTGATGGGGAGTCTACCACAAGTGGTTTGACATTTCCCAGCAACCAATCCAGCTCCCGAATCGACGGGTCAGTCGGCCCATCTACGGATGCGACTCATACGAGCCAGCAGCATTCGGCTCGTGATGACGAGTCAGTCAGACTAAAGCTTCGAATCAAAGAACTTGAAGAGCAATTGTCAAAGGCAGCTCTGGGACCAGTGAAACCTCCCGTGGTGCCTCTGCGTTTGAACATCGACACGACTACTTCACATATTGGCGGAACCTATCATATTCAGAATGAAATACTACCCGGGCAGAACGTGAGCATCGCTCGTAGTATTACGCATAAATCGCGCTTGTTTGGACAGAGCCATTGGGAGGTCAATGTTATTCTTATGGTGCGTTCAACTATCATTTTCCCCACTATCTTAGATGCAAGAAAATGAAGCGGCTGATAAAGTGCCAGGTCCGCGACCTCCTCGAGACAATCGAATCTCATCTCCCTCAAGCGGCACTAAAAGTATATCCTGGCATGGAAATGTGCAAATCCTTAGCAAGAACCATCAAAGCCAGACGAGCTCCTCCATGGCCATCACCACCAACGTCGGAACTTCCTCCAAAAGAAGTCTGTGATGCATTACTCGATTGCTATCTCCAATCAAGCGAATCAGTAAACCGGATCTTGCACATCTCAAGTTTTAGACGAGACTACGAAGCATTCTGGGTCTCCGGAAATGCGCCAGATAAGGGCTTCCTAGTTCAGATCAAGCTCGTCCTTGCCATTGGCACCCTCACATACGACGATCGGTTCTCGTTACGCACTTCAGCCATCCGCTGGGTCTACGAAGCTCAAACATGGCTCTCGGAACCAAAATTCAAGTCCAGACTGACCATTCAGTTCCTGCAAACCTATCTTCTGTTGCTAATTGCCCAGGAACAAGTCGGTGCTGGCGGAGACTCAATGTGGATTTCGGTTGGCGGCTTACTTAGAAAAGCAGTTTACATGGGCTTGCATAGAGATCCAATCCACTTACCAAAACGAACAATATTTGCCGCTGAGATGCGTCGCAGATTGTGGAATACGATTCTGGAAATTGCGCTTCAATCTAGTCTATTTTCGGGAGGCCCTCCGCTCATATCTCTGAACGACTTTGATACTGCGCCTCCGGGAAACTTTGATGATGACCAGCTTATTGCCGATGATCCTATACCCAAAGCCGAGGATCAGTTCACACAGGTCTCCATTGCGATTGCGCTTCGAAAAACGTTCCCGGCTCGTCTTGCTGTTGTGAAGTTTCTGAATGATCTTCCTGCTTCCGGCACATACGAAGAAACCCTTCAACTCGACACTCAGTTCCGCACAGTCTATAAAGCTCTGAACCGAACTCTGCAAACCTTCAACCGCTCATCATTACCTCTTCAGCTCTCTGCCTCGTCTCTGCGATTTGAAATACGAGTCGTAGACCTAATCATGCTCCGATACCTATCCTCACTGCACCTCCCATACTTCGGTCCAGCCCTCCACCAAGCCATGTACGCATTCTCGCGGAGAGTTGTGGTTGACTCGTCCCTTAAGATTTGGCGTTTAATCCATCCTTTACCTTCACACATACTGTCAACGACGACAACAGTGGCGGCGGCGGCGAACCTGCATCATCAAGAATCGAACCCTCTAGCACGCCTCTCAAGCTTTAGCTCCGGCTTCTACCCCGTCCTAGCCATCCACGCAGCTGTTCTCATAACCATCGAACTCCAAACCCAGTTACAGCAAGAAGAAAGCCTGGGCCCCGTCTCTGTTCGCCCTGATCTATTATCCGTGCTCGAAGAAGCAAAGACATGGACACGCCGAGCCGTCGAAACAGGCGAGACGAATATTAAGGGATTTCTACTAATGTGCGTCATGACGGCGCATATCAAAGGGCTCATGAATGGTGATAGTGAGAATGAGCGTGCGGAGGCGTTGGTCAAGGCGGCAGAGTATTCGATTGAGACGTGTTTGCCGATGTTGGAAGAGATGGCGGCAGAGCTGAGAAGGGATGCCGGTGGTGGTGATGAGCAGCAACAGGGTTTGATGTTGGCTACGCCGGGTGATATGGAGGATTGGAGTTTTATGGTGAGTCATAATGACTACTCTCATTGTATATGGTGAATGGTTGCTGATACAATGACTAGACACCCGATGCCTTGTTTAGTCTTGGAGACGATGATCCAATGAATTGGATGCTGAAAGATGGTATGGATATGGTGCCATCACTTTGGTAGACTTCTTGTAGAACATGAAGTAGCGGGTATCTTGGATCAGGTAGTTATGTACAATGATGAGCTATATGAGTGAAGCCCTATCCAGGCAATGTATATCAATCCAGCTCGCTATCACTACTGATATAAACCTTCTTCCTCAACCTCCACGTCCCATTCTCCTGTCTACCCTCATTCTGATGCAACGCACTCGCATCTTCAATGACCTTTAGATACGGCATCTTACTTGCCGCTCGCACACGTTCCTGCAATCGCCGCAGCTGCTCGTTTTGTTCTCTTTTCGTCTCGTCGTCTTCCTTGCCGCGGCTCTTTGCTGTACTTTTGTTCGTGGAGGATATTTGAGTGATGAAATCTTGCTCGGCGTTGCGAGCTGCATAGTACTCTTCACTGAAAGCCCAGTCGGGGCTGTCTATCATTCCTCGTACAAGAACGAGGCTTTGTCCTTGATTGATGGCGTCACGAATTGAAGAACCGGGTATTGGACTTATCAGTTCCAGTCTTTGTGCGGAAACATCGATTGAGCGGACAAACGCGAGACCGAGGGAGCGAGAGGCTTTGGGATCTAATGGGGTGCTACTGCCTGCACCCCAAACGAGGTATGGAAGGCCGCTCTTTTGGCAGCGGGTGATACTGTCATTTAGAAAATCTTTCACCCGTTGGTTGCCATTAGCCGACAATTCATCGACATTGGGTTTCTCGTTGTCCTCACTCTGGTCTTCAGCCATTGCGTCGGTTTGCTCTTCTGCACGGCTATCGCCATCCAATTTTGCTTTGATTTCCGAATAATTTGGAATTGCGCTGGCATTTTCAATCGCAACAACGGCCACAATTGACCCGTCTAGAATGTCTCGTAAGACTTGCGGGCTATAATGGTTTCCCAGTACCATGATCCCAGCTATGCCAGGCTGAGGGCCTGAATAATTGACGTGAATAGGTTTGCTGTGTATAAGAGGCGATTCGTTCCAAAAAGAATCTAATAAACCCTCAGACTGTGTCATATGGAAGTATGACTGCATTTGCATTGATCGTAATTGTGCACTCGACCTTGTAACCATATCAACCGGCTGGGAAGGTAGAGTGGTCAAGCTAACACCAGCCTCTAAGGCTGCATGTCGTAATGGCTCAATCACCTCAGTAGGACCTTTTTCGCTCATGTATACAACGTCTGAGAGCCCAGCCGATCGTATAATCCATGTAGCAATCTCTAATCCCAACCCGAAGATCCAACCTGGGAAGTTTATGATAAGAGGGCATCGCGGGTATGTTGCAGTTAACACGCGATACTGATCTAAGAGGTTCATTATGGCCGAGGCGTAGTTATCGGGGTCTTCTTTCGGAGAGGTTGCACCTATATGATGACATCGAATAACTTTCCCGTAACGTGAGTTATTCAAGTTTGGGTGAGAGAACGGTGGTCCGAAGCAAGGTTCGCGTAGATGCGCGAGATATATATTTCCCATAGGCACAAATTCCGGTTGTCCGGGGTCAAGATCGAGGAAGGCAATTCCATTTAGATTGTCAGAGGATCCATCAGGCGCAGGTGTTAGGAGATGGTTGAGCAGGTAGCGTCCGAAAGTCGATTTTCCGGCACCTTTCGGGCCACATATCAAGGCCCTTAGTGAATGTGCACGACGCGATAGAGATTTGATTGTGGTGCTCCATTTCTTTTCCAGGTGAAGCGGACGCAATGGTCGATTCAAAGGATCATCCGATGATGTATATAACTGCGTCATAGTTAGCGGACATGCGGCTTGTCCGCTGAACGACAAACTCACTATAGAAAATGACCGCTGAAACGACCCGCCGAGGGTTGCGCTGTCTCCCACAGTTCTACTACTATTCCAAATTCGCGAATAGTGAGGCGATAGCTCTTTGAGCCCTTGTAAGTCGCTCGAACACGATTGTAGTTCAATCTCCGCAAAGCCTTCCACGCCGGATACACACTTGATGACGGGAAGCGAATGTGTAGATGGCGCGTATACCCGATACGTCTCTGTAGAGGGATGTAATTTCGCACCCATTAAGCTGATAACACCTCTTTTCACCCAGATATCGTAGATGCCAATGAGAACCAGAGTCTATATGTTCGTTAGGCGATGTATTGTAGAGCCAAGCGAGTATATCCAGCCATACCGTCTTTTCTTTCAACCGCACGCATAGCATATGCTCATCACTATAGACAATATCACTCCTTCGCAATTTGTTTCTTGAAAGCGTAAAGTTTTCGGCGGTGGAATGTATTCGTGAGGGAGTTGCGTGGCTGCCGAATGTAAGCTCCTGCCTGGGTTCAAGAGATTATTGTTCTTACTCTGCATTGTTGCGAGCATCTGTATCCTCCTCCTCGTCATCATTCTCATCMCCAGCCACTATCTTTCCATCTTCACTTGTTTCACTCTTCAGTGCTTCTGTGGCATCGATGCTGCTTAACTCGAAAGCTAGATCCGCCGAGACAGCTTTGACCGGAGCAGCTAGGCGGTTCCCGTTTGCTCTAACGACATTTGACGGGGCGGCATGTTTGAGGGATCTATCAGGAGATGGGCGTGCCTTCTTTGCTGGAGGTTCAGCTTCTTTATTATCGATTGGCGCATTACCGTGTGACGAAGCGACTTGTAGTTGGTGCTGACGAGCTCGACGTGCAGCAACAGCACTAACCGCTGAGCGAGGGGCTGCGGTAAGCCGTCAGCAAAGAGTGCAAAATTCGGCGATTCATAATAGCTTACCAGAGCTTTGCTGCTTATCTGCTTTTCTTTTCATTGCATTTGTTCTGTATCCGTTGCAACAAAAAAAGTTAATAGCGGAATTTCTTCTAATCTCCGGTGGAGCATCAGCTGGTCCGTGCGTTTTGCGGATCAAAAAAAGTTGCCCGCAAGAAAAGTCTCCAACTACAATACTTATCGATTGACATATCTAGCAACCAAGCAATACACTCGATTGGCAGAAAGCATATGTGACTTCAATTTAAACGTTTTCAACTGCCCGCAATTGTCACAACATTCAGTAGATTCCCAGCACAATGGGAAAGAAACTGAGCGAGGATGTCATCGTGTCCGACAGCGATGAGTCGATGGAAGATGCACCAGAGACGACCAGTGTGAACACAAAGAATAATGCCAAAGTTTCCTATAATCAAGGCGCATCACACTCAAGCTCCGAAAGCTCAGACGAAGTGAGCTCCGAAATACAAAACACGTATGTGTTGTATTCTGCTTGTCAAGTTGAATTCTATACTAATAGCTTGTTGGTCTCAATAGCGAATTTTCAAAGAAGAGAAGATTCGTACCGCCCTCCGGTTTCAGACCTTCCACAACGAAATCTCGACCTTCAGCAGCTATATCATCTGCCCTTTCGAATCTCGAGGATAAACAAGTTTTCCATATTACAGCACCGTCATCTCTACCCTTATCAGAAATAAAACAAATCGCATTCGGGAAAGCGACGTCGGGAGAACCAATTCTGTCACATCAAGGTGTAGATTACGGTCTCGTGGAAACCACCAGGCAACAGAAGCAGAGCTCCGAGACGTTGCTAGTCTACGACGAAAAATCGAACACATATTTGCGCAAGCCCGAATTGAGGAAAATTGAAAGCTACAGCATTCAAGAAATCGTGCGATTACCTGAAATGGATACGCTAGTGCCGTCGTCACGAGGCACAACTAAGAAGCAACCCGCCGCTCGGCCACAACCCAAACATCTCAAAATGCGCTTTCATCCCGTTGGAAGCACGACCCTTCCTCCAGAGACTGTAGGCTCGAGCTCCGAGTCCGAGGCTGACGAACCTACATTCCGTGCTCCCGTAACAAGCTCGAAGAAGCAAGCTGAGAAAGAACACAAGAGAAAGGCAAATGAGCAAAACAATACCGAGGAAAAAGCGAAGAAGTCCAAAAAGGACAAAACTCATTCGTCTCGGGCAGAATCGCAACCCGAGAGTCGACGGGACAAGGAGAAGAAGTCGTCAAAGCATCGGGATGAGACGAGTCAAGAGCGAAGAGCTCGGAAAGAGGAAAAGAAGAAGCGCAAGGCGGAGAAGGCTAATAAATGATTATGAAGATGGGCACTGTAATGGTTAAGAAAAGTTTCTATACAGTTCATGTGAATAAGTAGGGCGTTGGGTTGCATGTTTTAGGATTGAAGCGTATAAACATCGGATGAGGAAGACTCTAAACTTTGCCATAATGAGATAATCTCACGAGGTCTTCTCGACTTTTGGGGTTTTCAATCTTGTTTCTCCATTCATTACTCGCTGAAATTAGATTTCCCACCACAACGCATTGAATCGGACCAGGTGTATGTATTGATGCGTTCTTTACAGAAGCAAATTCGCCGCATTCAACGAAGTCTTGGCACGACATACGGCTTTTGTCCAACCATTCAGACTCAGTTCCGACATCCATCGGCAACATCTGCAACTACATCATCGTGCAATGAATGAAAAGAAGACCAGGATGAACAAAGATGGAGGGTAAGAGGTACGCCACCTCGCGCAGAAAGGCCTGTCAGCACTGTTCCAGCGCCAAGGCAAAGTGTGACCTAAGAGATGGCGGTTGCACGAGGTGTGCTCGCCGAAATCTCTTTTGCGTTTATCCCAAGGGACTAGGTGCGAAGGGTTCTGCATACAATTTAGACGGTCCTACAGACTTGGAGAACTCGCAGATCCTTGCTTCTACCGACCGAGACTTTGAGTCGGGAACACAAAATTCAATGATCGGCTCGGCTCGGTCTATGGGCGATGTTAATGGCAGCCCAACAAATACCTCTTTGACAGCGTTCAGTGAAGGACATACTCCGACTAACTCCAAATCCAATATCCCCAGACATGTGGAAGAACCTGACTTCACCATTTTGGAGCTCATTTGTCCGATCAATGTTGAGGACATCAGCAACCGCTGGCTGAACTCATACGTCCCCTTTCCTGGTCAAAAACAGAAAGACTATCCCGCCTCCGTCACGGCTTTCATGTATAGAATACTTAAATCATACGCAGCCATCACTGCACACGGACGTGGCCTCCCACCATTCGTCCATCCTTTGCAAGTAACACCTAAATCGACCAAATTACCTTTATCTACATGTCTTAGTCTAGTCCGAGTCTGCGACCAGCCGCGTCCCGGAAGCGAAGACTTTGCAGCAGACATCCTTCGTCGAGAAATGGGTACAATCTACGATCAGCGCAGAAAATACGACGACATGACCCTTCTCGCTGCTTTTCAGGCGTACATGATTTACTGCATGGCGCTATTCTTCACACTCAACCAAACCACTGACCCGTTCCTCCGACAGGCAATGATGAATTTACAAGAACTCGCCTGCGCGACAAGTAGCCAAGGACTCGTTTGTACCGCTGAACGGCAACATACACGCCCCAGATGGGAAGCCTGGGTTGTCGCCGAGGCTAAGAGGCGGACTTTGTACGTAATGTATCTGTTTGATAGCTTGCTATTTGCTCAGGACGGTCTGCCGACTTTTCTGGGCACAGAACTATACGGTTTACCAGCGCCGTCGGCGGGGGTGTTGTGGAAAGCTGGCTCGAGGCAGGAGTGGGAGAGAGAGTATAACGTTCATCTTGCCGATTGGATTGTCGCGGGACTGCATATAAATGAGCTCTGGCCGATGCCTGCGGAGATGGATGAGGCGGGAGTTGTGGAGCAGCGAGCGAGGGTAGATATGTGGTTGGAGGGTGTTGATGAGTTTGGAACAATGATGTATGCTGTTACGAATTGTACGCATGGTGGTTAATCTATTGATTTACAGAAGGTCCAATTCTCCGTCAGGCGAAGATGATCCATTATGCATGGGATACCCTCCGATGCTATATTACAAGTCGAAATGCGCCGTAGTCTGGGGGGGAAAAAGCAATAGTAGAAGCTTGACGTGCTTTTTTGCATAATGAGCTGGTCACCCTCTCTTTACTTTCGCATCAATACCAGCCCCTTTATCCAATAAAAGAGCCACGACCTGTTCATGTCCCGATTTGGCAGCCAAGTGCAGAGGAGTCAATCCAAATTTATCCCTGATATCGAGTCCCAATTGGCCTGGGTCCAACATCTCAATCACATTGTGCCTGCCAAATTCTGCCGCTAGGTGCAGCGGGGTCTTCCCAAAGACATTGGTGGCCAGTAGGTCTGCGCCTCGATCGATTAGGGTTCTTACTACGGTATGCCGGTCGTAGATTACTGCTTCATGCAAAGGCGTGTTTCCTTCGTCGTTACCGAGGAGATTGATAACCTCGTCTGTGATTTCGGGGACACGGTGCTCGAGGCTAAACTGTGTTTGGCATGGAACATGTCTCATCAACGTCAAAACCCAAGGTAACCACGTTACGATCTTGTTTTTAGGGCTAAACTTACTAACAAGTCAGATGTTCCGCCGAGCTGCTTCGATTCAGGACTGAAAATGGACTCGACGCTAGGACCAGTTGTGAATTCGAACATGGCCTGACTCGAAGTGCTCTCACTACTGTTGTGTCTGGGCTCGATTGGCCTCGGATAAGATTCCGTATACGCGTCAAGCTGTACGGGGGTGGAGAGATCTGCGCTTCCTATTAAAAAGATTCAGATTTGAAATCAAGCTTTGGTCTCTTACTCTCCGAGTCAGTAATAAGAAAATCCAATCCGGTAGACTCTATTCCCCTTGTTTCACATTTTGCGTTTTCTCCTATAGAAAGTACGTAGCATGTCAGTTTCAATTAGGCCGTCCAAATCAAAATATGAGGACGTTCGGTATATACGGTGTTTTCTTTGTGATAGTCTGTTCTGCTTCCTTCTTCGGGTTACCTTTGTCTCTTGGAGGCCCTCCGTGGCATAGGTAATTGGCAAAATTGACTGAAAGTTCATGCTGTCTTGTTGAATGTATAGAATTTGCGCCATATGCTTGCTTAACGATGAACGTAAACTTGATTTTCAGAATTTGATGTCTGGCCAAGCAATTATTACTTTCAATCTACCTCATTTCCACTAAACCCCTTCCTTCGTTCCATCGCTAATTAAGTACAAGACTCTCACTGCCAGAACATGGGCCGACGCGACGATAAGACTTGCAGTGATTCAAGCACCTGACTACGCTCACTACGCCCTAGGGTAACTTGATGCTGGCCACGAAAGACTTCACATGTATGTACTCTACTAAGTAAAACCTGGTTTCAACATTCTGAAGATGCGCACATTGTATCACCCCCGCCCGTCCGCCCGGTTTGATAGGTCGAGATTCTTGAGAAAGGTACTAGGTGATCCAGGGGTTATGCATCGTCCGCAAATCTAGAACTATATAAAGGTGGGGGCTAGTCAATTCTCATAAGAAATACAAGAAGAGAGGCAAGATTGGGGTGAAAGTATAAAGACAACATGCAGCCACTTAGTGACGAGTATATTCGCAATTTATGCATAATTAAGGTGCACGAGAAAGTGTATGCAGAAAATTGCGCAAGTTTGCATCCTCGAATCATATTGATATCTTTGCGCCGCACGTTACATCGAGACGCAAGGTGCCGGAACAAATCGTTGACGACTTCCCGACTGTGTACCTGATGGGAACAAGATCTCTGGAATCACAAAATTTGTGATATTAGTTATACGTAGATTCTCGTCTGTAGCAGGAATTGAAATAGTCGGTAGATGTTTTCGCTGAGATATCGACTTTATTATGGCCACTTAAACAGGGCTTTGATGCACAACATTTGTCAATGTAACGGTGCCAGGATATTGTCTTGGAGACAGACTCCACGATGAGGGGGATTCTGAACAGCCAAATACAGGGATCAGAAGCGATTCGTCAGGAATCAACGAGGCTCTTCTATTGCATATCGGGATGTATACTTATGTACACTAAATTGAGTGATCTGTCGAAGCCCCACAGCCAGATTCTAATATACATTGGTGAAGAGAATGGCATGTACATGATCAATTTTTTTCTGACGTTGCATTGTTGGGTGCAGTCTTAACTATATGCACTCGATATTCATTTAACCACTAACTATTAATCCGGCCGTGGACGCAGCTGGCTCATCACGATTCCCGGCAATGCGACTAGAAAGGGTGCGGTAGCTATCAACAGTCTCGTCCATTGTGTGTACTCAAGCTCTCTTGTGCCATTCAAGGCTGCAATGTTACTAGCTCCAACAGAGATAATATGATCTCGACTGTCTGTGTGGATATCAGGGGTTGAAACGAGTGTAGATCTGCGACCTGCTGTTATAAGTTGCTGCTCTAAAAGACTATCCTCAATCCATTTGGCGTATGTGACAGACGGCAATTCAACAATTCTCCAAAAAGAGTGCGCCGCTAACATGATGATCACGGTGACCGACATCCAGCAAAGACCGATGGCACATATATGAATAAGCCAATGCCATGTCTCGGTGGCTTGACGTATACGATTTGTCAACGACCATCCGAAAATTTGCAACAGCGGTTCATGAACGATGTAAAGAGAATATGAAATTCTTCCAAAGTATTGTGGAATTGACATAGATAGCAAAACCTGGATGTGTTGTAGATGAGTTATTGAGCCCACAATCAGAGCAGCGCCGAGAGTGTAGCATAGCCCTAATCTCAAGTCGAACATCCACGATGGATAACCAAGGATACGCGTTGCCGTATTGTGAAATTCTGGGAGAGATGCCGCATATAATCCCAAAACAAGAAGACTGGAAAAGAAGAAAGTTCGCAAAATGGTATTATTCTCCTTTCGATCCCCACAATCGACGTGGGCTCTCGCTAAAGCTGCACCGTATAGCGCGAGAGCAACCCGGTCCATGTCCCAGAGCATGCAAAAGCAGCCCAAGGCCGCCGTGAGCATCATATTCGGCACAAACCGAAAACGACAGAACGCAATTAAGCTCATGAGTCCGATCACCGAGCACTGAAATAATGCCGGTAAGGTCCACAGGTGAGCTCCATAGTTAGATTTGACATATTTTGACCCCCCGGATGCTACCCAAACGTTGGCAAGGTATTTCCATACAAAATCACACCAGTCTATATACTGATCCCACCAAGTTGATCTCTGCAGCGGCCGGAGGGGCTGAACAGGAAACTCCGCAGATACATCCAGAATGTGCAACGATACTGCCAGCATCACAAGGAAAGTAGAAACCAGACCTGGGTAATATAAGCGATGAGCTCTGCGGAATAACGTCGATGATATCGATGAAAAAACACGGTCGTATGATTGAGCCTTTGCATACGTGTATGGCTTCAATGATAACACGTAACCAGATAAAATGAAGAAGATGTTTACCATTGATGTCCCTGCGAAGAAGATGCGGACGATGGGGAGCTGGAGTAGGCTTGTCTCAGAGTCAGAACTGTTGTAACCATATCGTACATATGGGAATAAAATTATTGAAAAATGTTCGACATAGATGCAAAACGCGGCTAGGCCTCGAAGCCCATCTAGATAGGCTGTTGTCGATTTATCCAGCTGTGGTGGCTTATCACGGACCAGAAAAAAGGATAAAGTATTCCTAGACATCTCGGACGCTTTGGATATCCACCTGCGTGCTATTCCTCGCTCATCGATTTGCTTGAAATGAGGTGACCACATTGCGAACACGATAGGTGAAAAATACCGGGGGCTTCACCTAGTCGACTAACTCATAGACATCCCGTTATCGTTATGGAAGACAAAATTATAGATGCTCGGGTCTTATGCAAAATCTCGTCTTTCGTTCAGGCATCTAGACCAAAAATCATCTTGATGCTAATCTACCTGTGATCTATGTCTAGGGCTAATATGCACAGTCAGCAAGTTGCATACCGTCAGTGGGGGATCTGCTGCGCTATGTGTCTACCTTTAGCGCATAGCTCGTAATATTTAATTACAGACAGAGCAGTGCATGTTCAATGAGCTTGAAGGAAACCACGAGCAGATTTTTGTCGTGGGTCTAATGTCTCATCGCCTGTTTTTGATGTACGGGCCATCCAGTCCATTAGTGCCCTCATTACAAACTTCTTGTCCCTATGGATATTTCGAAGCAACATGCTTCGAACGTTTGAAATGACGGTGCCTGGTGTCTTTTGTTACTTTTCTGTATACGATGGTGCGTAATCATAGATCTAGTTCGTTCATGATCAGATTTCAGGGCTATCATTTCAAGACAAATTATGTATCCCTTAAAAACATATGATTTGAGATTAAGGTGACCCTTGGCTAGGTATTCTACTCTACTCGAGGGGAATGCTTAGTCTGTCAAGTCCATGATCATGGAGGAACAGGCAGCTCTATCGCACCGGGTGGTTTACTCAATAGACCCGGCTGGACTTGATGTTCAATTGACCACTGGAGAATATCGTCAAAATTCCGACAAACGTGCTTCGTGTTGAAATTTGGATACGGGTGGTCTCTTCCATGTACCCATTGCGCAGGGATTAGATTGATATCTGTATTGCACATAATCACCTGTCGTAGCATTTCGATACAATGGTCTACAAAAGATTTTATTGAGTCAGTTCGGCTGTAGAGTAGTACCTGCAAGAGACATACCAAGGTGTATCCGTTGAGTTGGTTTGGAGTCTGTAAACTCGACGCTCTTTGTTTCGTAATAGCTCATATACGTCGCCATACGGAGATAATTCTATTTCATTTGGGAGAATATTAGTATGGAACATGCCGCAAAGATGGGCACTGCTCACAACACAGTGAAGTTGGTGTTGAAACTCCAGATTGACATAGAATCCACCACCATTCTCAGGGGGTAATCTGACAGCTGTGGCAGCATCTACGCCGAGGCGTTCAAGCTCATCTGTGCTCAATTGAATGTCTAGTGGTCCCACTAGCGACTTTGCTCAGTCTATCGTCAAATTTCTCCAAGTTAGTGCGATAAGCTTACAGTCAATTACCCGATTCCACGCAGCGTCAAGTTCGGGCCGAGGAGTTCCTCGATAGATTGATGGGAAATCCAAGGTACCATTGAAAATGACATGTTGATCATAATCAGTTGGTAAGAAGTCCAGTTCTGGGTCTATATTTCATACGCTTAGCGTTGGCATTGTTCCTGCAACAAAGACATATAGAACGCCATACGTACGAGCAAAATCCTTCCATGCAGGATTGGGACCAATATTGCAGTGATTCTCCTTTTCGGCGAAGTTGATGAATGTAGCAAATAATCCAACTGAAAGTCCAAGTGAATAGATTGCCAAAATAGTGGTTAGAGGACTCCTCGTGAGAGCTTGTCGTAAAGCCCCAAGTGATATCGTAGCTTCAGTATGCGCTTCGACATGCTTACTTTCAGGATCGAAGTCGACAATTTCGGACTTTTGCTCGCCGTCTGGCAATGGGGTATAACTGTTTGTCTTTGAGGTGAACATCTTTAACGGCCCCTACGAGACAGATGTATCTGTAAAGAACCCGGATATTACTCTTCCGTAGCAGATAAGTATCCTAAAATTTTTAATGTCTTCATAGAGTCTTCAGATACTCAAAGGTTATTGGTCCGTTTGGTTGCTGACCATACATCCAGATAGCAAGTTGCGACCCAATCATAGATTGTTTTATAATGTGGCTTTCTTGTCAATCTTTCAGTGGTCCTGAGTTAGGGTTAATTGATGACAATGCTTGCCATTCAATCTAGAAATTCTACTGTCAGGGCATTCATTAGTGCATGTGATGGAAATACCGTGCATTGTAACACTAGCATCAAACGAATCTCAACTATGTACTACTCCAGCTCTTGGTATCAGTCCAAAGACTGTTTGAACAGTTTGACCCATTTCCCAATCCCACTTCGACAAAGGCTCTTGCTCCGACTGCTCAACCACATCACGGATATATGTGATGTCCTTGCATTTATGCTTATACCCCAGTCCGTCCACGTTGAGAGACACCAAATCGCCGTTTGCGTTATAATGTTCTGTCGGCGGCTCGATTGTATCGTCCCCCGCACATGTCACAGCCTAGTGTTACGATCAGTATGTCACAAGACGTAATTAATTGGGGTATCACACTTGAGCCAAGTAACTCAGACAATGCAATGTATGCTCTGTATCCTGACCATGGTGATGCGAAGGTGGGTTGCTTGTCGTCGCTGAATCAGGGTGGTGTTCAAGTGAGCGTAAAGCATCTCGAATAATCCCGAGACAGTGAAGTGCATGAAAAACGCTGATTCCCCAATTTTCGATAAGAGTCTCGTTTCTGCGGACGCGGAGAAATCCGCCTTTGGGTGTTGACATTTGCGTTGACCACGCGATATCTCCATTTCCTGATAGATCTTCTAGAGCCTGGATACGCTCGAATGTCGACGTAATGGGATTCGGTGCTGGATTGGAAAGACTAGGACAAGATTCTTGACAAAAATCATTGAACCTAAGTCTGAGATAGTCTGTCTGTAGAAGTATGTACGAAAAAAATGCCAGTGGCACGATTGCAGTCAAGACTATTGAAACTTGCATGGTTTTGCTGCATTTTAGTATGGCCATGATACCTCAAGTGCTCGAGATACATGTAGAGTCTGACATAGAAGATTCGTGTGAATCGGAAAGAATCCAGTATACTTATAGGTCACCCTGACTGGAAGTCCACTAATAAATGAACTAAGAAATACCAACTCATACACATACCTAAGCCTATCACTGACATCTCTGTGGTAATAGCTGAAAATAGACACACACATTACGATACAATTACCACTTCCCTGTTGACTCGTATATTTTACCTGTTTATCAACTTTCTTCATTAGGAAAAGTAGCTGTTCTTGTAGTACTATATACTAAACTCGCATCTTGTTACTTTACACAGCTACAGTCTATTTAATGATCACAAACAAATCCTATATATCCGTCGGATCTTCCTTTGCAGTCCAATTCCAATCAGTTCCCTTGAATGATGGACCTAGAAATATCTCGGATCAGTCCTATTCCTCTGGGACCAAAATCTGAGGGGGAAAGTACAACCTAGCTTTGGATGAACTATGAGACTGTAATTGTTAACATCAATTGCTCTTTTTGCAGACCATTCGTCAATACTCTCCCAGCTTCTGCATTCATGCTCCAACTCAAAATTCGGCCATGGCAATTGGTAGTGCTCAATCCAGGAATAAGTGGTGAGTGTTATGTCGCCGCGACACATAATCACTTGTCGAAGCATATCAATGCAGTGATCTGGTTTCTTCTGTTATTATCAAGGTAGTAAACAGAGTAGTGGAATCTATTATTGGAGAAAACTACGCACCAACATGGTCGATATGTGATATCTCGGTAGGCTTCAGATCATAATATTCCTGGTGAACGTATTCTCGGATGTATTTCTGCAGATATATGAGTATCCGCAACAGATCGGATCGGTTCTGATTCTACACGGTCTTACCACACAATGAAGCTGATGATAGACATCTTTTCTCAAATATCTTAGTAGCTGAAGGAAGACCAAATGAGAAGTTACCTACCAAGAGTGCCATAGAAATCTCCCGAGTCATCAGAAATGGGCACTGAAGTTCTACCCAATTGATCTATCTCGTCCGGATGAATTCGAATATTTGCATCTAGAGCACAAGTAAGTGCAAAATTCGTTGCGTACTCAGGAAAGGAAAAGCGGAGCAGTCACTTTTGAACAGGGCGTTCCATGCGACATCGCTCTCCGGATTTGGTTTCCCGTTAAACTTGCTGTGATGTTCGAAATCTGCATGTATTGTTTTCTTCTCCGACTTTACTGCTTCTCTAGCAGGGGCTGCCTTTGTGGTTAGTATGATAACTGAATCGCGAGATTGAGAATCCATCTTACAGTAAATCATCGGTAGTTCGCATGTCGTGGTCCTTGCGGGCGTCCGCAACAAAATGACTAGGAGTAACAAGTTTACCACAAAGAGACACAGGTGAAGCAACAGAAAACGCAAACTAAGATATGAATTTGATTTTCCTATCTTCTCAGAACCCTCATCCGAGTACTCATTTTGCAGCAAAGGGGTTTCAACTCTCTCCTCGTCTGAAGACATATTGGCTTCTTTGGCATGATCTGCAAATAACGATCAATGGATATTCTTATTAGTAAGTGGTCAGTTCTACTCTGATTCTAGGTACGTATGCTCAAAATTCCAGTGAAACAAGCATTGACCAAATACGAATTTTGTGGAGTATGCGGAGTCACCACTGAAGCTGCAAGGTCAGCAACCAGATAGATTATTCATATACATGAACAACTTGCAGATGGATGCATTCTGCATCCTAATCCCGAAGTATGAACTGATTTTAGTTAGTTCAATTGTTCAATTGTCTTAATTTGCTACACTTAGTGCAGCTGAGGAACCTCTGCGTTACAACCATTTACGCTATGGGAAGCGACATTATCAGGATTAACTATATACTCTGCAGGGGCTTGCTTAACGCTACCCAGGTACTGTACTACTCACCCCTCCCAGAAGATTTATTTTGATGAGCAGAACATGGTGTGCACTTCATTTACGCCAGCTCTCGCATATGGTCTAATTTATAAGCTTCAATCTACGACCAGTATCTACTAAAGATCAGGCAATAACAGGATTCGTCTCAATTCAACACTAACTTAAGGAGTGAATAGTATAAATGACGCAAAACCAGGCAAAATTAGCAAATTGAAGTCATTAAATAAGTGTCATATCTCCTACTGCTGCGCTTGCAAAATCAGGTCCATCTTCAAGCCACCATCACTACTCACAATTCCCACACGCACCAGTTCATCACCACTAATGAAGGGGGTCTACAGACAGCTAAGCCACCTAGTCATCATAATACTTGTGGATAACGTAGTTTCCGAGAGCAGCTTCATCGTCGCGTTTGGTCTTCTCGTCGTATGATTTGTGGATGTCATAGTTCCCAAGAGCCGCTTCGTCGTCGCGTTTGGTCTTCTCTTCGTATGATTTATGAATGTCATAGCTTCCAAGAGCAGCTTCATCATCACGTTTCGCGATTGCGTGGTCTTCATACGATTTGTGGATGTCGTAGCTTCCAAGAGCCGCTTCATCATCGCGTTTGGTCTTCTCGTCGTACGATTTGTGGATCTCATAGTTTCCAAGAGCTGCTTCATCGTCACGTTTGGCCTTCTCGTCATAGGATTTGTGGATTTTGTAATCTCCTAGAGCTGCTTCATTGTCACGTTTGGTCTTCTCGTCGTATGATTTATGGATCTCATAGTTTCCAAGAGCTGCTTCATCGTCACGTTTGGCCTTCTCATCGTAGGATTTGTGGATTTTGTAATCTCCTAGAGCTGCTTCATTGTCGCGTTTGGTCTTCTCGTCGTATGATTTGTGGATCTCATAGCTTCCAAGAGCGGCTTCATCGTCACGTTTTGCAATTGCGTGATCTTCATATGATTTGTGGATCTCATAGTTTCCAAGAGCAGCTTCACCGTCGCGTTTACTCTTGCCGTCTCTGACGTTCAATCCTGTATCGATCCCTTCTTCGGTTAGCAGAAGTAGGAGAGAGAGAGAAAGAACACAAGGGGGGTTGGTTTTTAGAGCATACCAGGAATGGCGGCTGCGAAAGCAGTAGTGGTGAAGAGGGAGAGAACGATGAGGGCAGAATGAGCACGCATTTTTGAATGTCTCTTTGAGGTGAAATGCGTGGGATTGACAAGTTACTACTTGAGTTGTCTGAGATTTCCGAACGATGAAGTGAATCAAACCCTGACGTAAGTTGCCATGTCAATGATAACCCAGGCCTCTAAATACGTCGAGGTTGACCTCAAATTTGGGAGTACTAGCAGTCTGACATTGCATATGCATGGATTCAAGTGTTCTTCTAGCAACCAAATACATCGATGTCTGACAATGCATACCATTCTGTCTGCTTCTGGTTGTATTGAGATCCTTCATTGGTTGCCCTGGGTGTCCTACCAAGCAATGTCACATTGTCAAACCCATTAATCTAGAACTCAGCAACATACCCTATATCCGTTTCTGGTACCACTCAGCCAGATTGCAGTAGGCATAAATGACCCCGCTTGAGGAGCTCAGATTCTAGCTCGATTCACGTATTCACATGCAGGTCTATAGCAAAGGGATATCTCAATCGCTTTTCAAGGCATGTGAAGTCTTCTCCTACGTTACGCGACCTTTTCATGCCTGCACAACCCTCCAAAACAAAGCTTAGACCAGTGTGGCCAAAAACAGGGCTAATCAAATAGGGGGTCAAGTTTGAGAGAGAGATGTGTAACAAGAAATTCCGTGATCCGGGAGACAGCCGATCCGTAGAAGAGCTAGAGAAAAAGTGATTTGCCAGTACGAGTACCTAGGATTAGAACCCTAGTCAGATCCCATCTCTATATTTTGTGGGGGGCCCTTCAATACGCTTCAATTCTCAAATTCAAATCTCTACATCAGCTTCTTCATTTGGCGAAAGTTCGTTAAGCCGCACATACCCGTAATTCGTTGAAGATACCACCGCATCTCCAGAAGTGGCCAACTCGGCAACGATGACATTTGGGTTTCGGGAGTAGTGAAAGTAAAAGATTTTATCAGACTTCATACCTTTAAACACCTGTTCTCCTCCATCATTGGCCACAGCAATCGTGCCAGGCTGCATCTAGAGTGATAGCCCACGAGAAGATACAGGAACAGCGAGAAGATCGATACCATATACCGTCTGCAGAAGTATGTCAGTCTTTCGTATAGCCGTATTTGGTACTGGCTGCTGCCAGAAGAGCTGGACTTTCATGGTGATTGTGTTATTGTTGGTTGTAGTAGTAGTAGTCTCGTTCACTGAATTAGGGCTTTGCGGCGGTTGACGGTCGAAGAGCAAAATGTGCTGCGTTCTATATCGAGCGTGCCTTCGCGTCTCAGACAGATCAAATTTAGACACCCGTTCAAATTTCCTTGGGAGCGCTTACTTCCAGCTATCTACACGCTTGTAGTCAAAGAACAGCCTCAGAATATCCCAGAACCTAGAAAGGTTTTAGAAGGTGGGTTGGGCATATGGGGACGACATCGACCGCTGGTTCACCGGATCCTGTCAAGACGCATGAAATACCCGGGTATCCCTTTTGCTAGGTACACTGATGGAAAGAAAGTAAAAAGTCGTTGAGTGATCGCTCAATGGTCAATGCATAAAACAAGAGCAACGAACACCGTAAGCTCGCATATTAGTCAAATTCCGCTGCTTTGGATTCGTAGTATTCCCTCTCTCAATCGGCGCCTTATCTAGCTTTATGATAAAGAGTTGGCCATATTTTCAGTAGGATGGTATACCAATGTAAAAGCAACGCCCACCTTGATAAATAGTTCGCCTGAAGTCATCCATCAGCTCATTCAGAACCTCTATCCACACTTTATTGCAAATATACCTATTCATTTAACTTCGTGATATCGGTGACTCGACAAAAGGCCCAGAATGTCAGAAGCACCTTATTCGCCTGTGTTGGCCTGAACCTGAATTTTATGCGCCGTAAGAGCCAGGTGCGTACTTCTGAGCGCTCATTCCCCTGCTCTTTATCGATGTCGAGATTGATATCGGCGGATCCTGTATTTGATGCCATCATGGGATCTTGACGCTAACGATTCTAAAAAAAAAAAAAGATGATGATAGAGGTAATTATCTGTGTTTCTGAAAATATTTTTCATGAATAAATTTACATACCCATCTGCTCTCTTGAGAGCTGCTTTTAGACAAAGGGTTGGAAATTCTTGTTAAAACTGATGCTAAGATAACGGATAAGCGTCCAGATCATTTAGATAAACGCCTTTTGAGATTGAATTTCCTTGGATCATATAACAGACGACAATAATGGAAGGGTCCTGGATTCTTTGTTTTTCCTTTTTGATATCCAAGGTTGCAGCATACATCGACTTAAGGCCTGAAATTCTAGTATTGGGTCCGAAAATTATGTTCAAACTTGACGATTCCAGATGAAGACTCACTCATATTCCTGCATCTGTATGGCCCAAGTTCGTGAACCGTGACTGTGACTCTTCCAATTGAAAATATGATGTCACAGTATCATTGCAATCATGGCGTGGGAAGGCGACTCCGGCTTGATGAGGATCGAAAGGGGTTTCAAAGAGGGATAATATGACGACGGAGTACTGAGCCTCTATCGTTCACGATCATCACATGTGACTTGGACCAGACATGATGGCGGAGAATGATATGATCCTTCTCTGCAACTCCTTCCAATCCTCATCAAGCCAGACATCTCATTCTCTGGCCACCTTATCGAACAGGTTTCAAAGACCGTTGATGTTCGCAGAAACTTAAGTATCAAAGCTGCATCTGCAGAATATTTGGCACTAGACAGCAATCGTCGAAAGGAAACCGCGAAATGAAGGTGTAAGATTTGCAAGACGAAGAAATGTGACTTGTTTCCAATCCAGCTCAGGACTCGCGAAGAAACCGGGGTGCGGCAGATCGTTGATAGAACACCTTTGACGTTGTAACAATGCAGGGCTTTATAGCAGTTGAACGAAAGTCGGTAGGCTTCTTTGGATATCGTGTTTTCCAATGAGGTCGTCAGAGGAAACTCCACAGTCAATAAATTGCTTTGGGTAATTCATCGTCTCGAAATCAGGCGATTGATCCTGATTCTTTAATTTGTCCACGAGATGGACCATCAAGCTTTTCAGACCTGGGAGCCTGAACTCAGGCGTTGGATATTTCAAGTCCTAAGAGTTATTAGAATTAGGAATCTATTTAGAGACTGGATGGGGGTTCTACGGACCTCTTTTTCAAGTTAGCTTCTTGTTTAACCAGGGGTATGCCTGGACATTCAAAGCTAGGAGGATAACTTCTTGCAATTGGCGCCCTTTGACGTTTCTCAGGTGGTAATTTGTGCTTTTTGTTCTCCTTTGTATGCGGATTTTCGACATGTTGCGTTCTTTTGGGGAATTTGGATTTCCGATGTTGTAAGTCTGTGTAGTTCGGCGCCTTACGCATTTCTCGCCATCTGTCGCTAATAACTTGAAGTTCTTGAAAGTGAGAACCATATAGTTGAATAGCCAGGTCAACGTACGCATAGCTCGTCATGAGCTACAGAGTTTGACATATGCAAGGTAATCATTCGCACTGACACCGGATCGTAAGCCTTGCGTATCGAAACGACTGCCCGAGTCTTAGTGCAAAATATCATAGGCGAGACATAAGGCATGTATCGGTCACTCTAATCCCAGAAATAGTCTTGTTCTCGCTGTGGTCGCAATTTGTGAGCATTTTCGTTCGACTAACGGTCTTGATATCTCGAAAAAGTTATGTTGTCGTGAGGTATCCAAGAAGTATGATGTTGTGGAAATGCGGTAGAAAATGATAGAGAGACTTCTCTGGATTTCAATCTTGCTGGGATTAAAGTCTCATTACGATCCTCTGCGTCGGCTTCCTCAATACTCTCAGCTTCCTCGGAGTCGTTCTTTGAGGTGGCATTTTGTTCATGATTTGTTGAAGTCTGCATTGAAATCCAAAACAGTTTGTTAAGTGTAAAGTGGTCTTGCAAGACTCTTACAGGATTTTCAGTCTGAGTTGACCAACTTGATTCAATATAATCGTTGACTGCACTGAAATTTGCAATCATCTTCGAAACTGGTACATTGGGCTTTGATTTCAGGTGCATTGTGCAACCATCCTTTTGTTGCCGAGACTTTCTGAAGTAAAGATGTATATTGGACGAATGGTGCTGTATCGAAGTCGATAGTGATATTGTTTTAGGCACCGTTGAGTGACTAGTCCATTCCCGCAGGGTCAAGAAGAAATTCGCAACGACTTCCTGGATAGGTGCTTCTGTGAGAAGTGCCTCTGTGCGCTGTCTGTGGTTGAGGCTCTTGTTGGAGCTCCTGTTGGAGCTGAACTCGTGTTCCTCGGTATGTTCCATAGATGGAGATTTTTATCGCCTTTACGAGCTGTAGTCTCCTGAGTTGATGCCATTGAGTTTGGAGCCTTTCCTGTGGTGCACTCATTTTGGCGTAGAGTGCTCCAGGAAGCATAACGACGTGTGAGAATTGATGCGGCGTTCGACGACCATCAATTCGTCTGCCTCACTTCGGTATCCATCGGGAGGCAATGGCTCAGAAATATGGCTTGATGAAGATTGGAAGGAGTTGTGCGGACTTGTTTCTTGTGGCGTTGTCGAACATGAATATATAAGGACTCGAGGTTTGGTAGCCATGATTGTGTTCGAAGCATTGTATATATGAGGTCTTTGATTTCAGTCAGGCGATCAATCTTGAAACCATACTGATTTAGCCAGCATGGCATCATAGATTAAAAAAAGGCATCCTCAAGTTGATCTTGATGGAGAAATGTAGACAGGACGGTGGGAAAACTGATAGGAGAGTATTTGAGGAAGGAGCGAAGTTGCCGTTTATGTAGGCAACTACCACATCTGCCTAGGGCATTCAACTTCCTGATATGGCTGTTAATACCTCTTTGAACCACGAGCATTCTCGCGGGCCAATTGTCAACTGCACCAGAACATGTCATATTTGGGTAAAGGAGTGAATGTTACACTGAAGCGTTTGTCCGGAAATGACATGTCTACTACTATGCGATCGTAACTATGACAAACGATGTTTATTTGATATCAGTTTTCCTAGCAAAGAAGGTCTCTCTACAAAACAAAACCCTTCACAACTGTCATACAACCCCTGTCGTTGTCTGTATGCTGGTCTCAATGTATGCAATAGGTCGTGCGGTTAGGGCAAAGCGTCCGGAGGACGGGAGGAACAAAGTACAAACAACGGCAGCACTCCGCAAGCTTCGTTTGTCCTCATTATTATGAACTTATTTTGAAAGAGACTCTGATCCGAAGACTCATCCATAATCGATGTATCTATTATAGTGCTATTGATATCTAGCTAGTCGTGACTCGAATATTCGCCCCTGACGAGTTAGGGTTCGGTCGATCGGAGCCCCTAAGGCAGCCGTCCATGCCTAAGGCATCGGACTGCACTGCATGTCCCCACCAGAGCTCAATTAAAATGTTCATCCAAAAGGCCGAAAACCGCCCAAAGAAATTTTGTGATCGTCCAGCTCGAACCATTATTCACATTAATAATGGATACCACATTTGTGGTCCATCTTGGATGGGTTCAACGTGTCGAATGGATCCCGGCAGAAGGCCGCACGGATAAGGGATTGCCTTCTACGATGCTTCCATGAGAGCTTCTATGGAGTCAGTCCATCGTTACCAGATTGGGGCACGGTGGATCCCAGATCCCGTTTTTGCTTCTTTTTTTTCTTCCTTCTTTTCGGGTTGCTTCTTTCTGGTAGGCTACCTAATCTGCGAGACCGCTTAAGCTCGGCAGTTAGTTCAAAATTGACACATGGATTGTCTGCTTGTCCTTTAACTAGCGAACCAAGCGTGTTCGCTGCGTTACTCATCAGATTTTACGTAGGAAGACAGAAGAAGTGACGCGCGATGAGTGGGTGGCGCTTGATTCATGGCACTGGACTACTACTTAGTGCAGTAACGCTGCCACGCGACAGACATCAATGAAGACTAGTCGACCAGGACTAATTTCAAAGTTGATTCCATGTAAATTCAAATGCCGAGGGTAAGTAAATCGGCGACCTCGAGTATTGTGCAACCCGACAGCCGATGTACTACGTAGTACGTAGTACTCATATATCCGGGCAGAAATTCGGAAGAAGACAAACAGAGTTCACGAGTGCAAGTGGATGGATCATTGACGCTAGGGAGTGGGCGGGCGGGTCGCTAGTCGGATTGTCGGGATGCAGTCGCATTGGCTGTGCTTCTGTTTGTCCAGAAGAAAAAGAAAAGAGAAGCAAAGGGCGGTAGGAATGAATGATGGAGGAGAATTCTCTGTGACATACTCCGAGATAAGGTCAGCCTACATATGCGAGTACGGTCGCTTTTGTCAGAATCAAAGTCGCCGATGCAAAAACAGAAGGATGGTTACTACTTATTAATAATTAATTATAGTGATGATCAGTAATGATGGACTAGAATATTAAAGGAAATGTCCGTCGGATCTAGACACACTCTCGGACGGGGCGTCCAATGGCAAATGCCGCACATCCTTGCACAGTAATCATTAACTGCATACAAATGTAGAAGGTTCTCCACGCAACGGCTCCGTACGCGAGTCGAATTTCCCAACAGAGTAAGTCTTCTTGTGACTCTCGACCAGATCATGGTGACGGACAAGAGAATCATTCGATAATAGACAGAAGGAGGAATGAGTATAGCGACGATGATTATATACTACGTAATTTACCGAGCATACGCATCAGTAGACAATTACAAAATACTAATATCCCATAAGACTATGCAGGTAAAAATAGACTGAACAACCGCGGAGAAGAGGAGGACGAGGATCTGGAACGGTAACATTCCGTTCCGGTCATTCTGTCATCGACCGGTCAGTCTGCACGGAGGATGAACACTCGATCAGCGTCCCTTTACCGTCTCTCTGGCAGAGTAGACGACATCAACAGTCCACGGCTATCCTATCGATCCCTTAGCCACTTGCCACGTTGGTGTTCGTGTTTCACGTTTCATCTTGATAGATGTAGATGTTATCGATAAAATTAATCATGCCCCCCGATACGAACGCAGCCCCATCGCGCGGGCGGTGATTGGCGCAAGGAAATCCCACCTCGATCCTCCGTAGACCGGCCACTGGACGGCCACTTAATATTAATCGCATTGTCCTTCGGCCCTCATTTTGCTTCTTCTCAATTCTTGTGCTTGTACAGTCCTACCTACTATCCTCATCATCACAACGTGGCGGATCTTCGCCCACCATTTTGCAGGGAACATCGTTTTGCCTCAATATTACCGTATCGCTGTGTGCGCTCAGCTGGATCATCCCTTCCTCCGCCCTCCCCAGACAACTACCCTAGTCCGAGCCAGTGGCACTAGGTTGCTAGGTTGCGAGGTACTATCTGCAACGCCGCGGTTAATATTAGTCTACACTACGTAAGGAATACGAGCTATCACCCGCAAAAAGCAATTCATCGACGGCCACTATTTTACCGCTATTCCCCGTTGGAGATCGACTTTAAAGCATACGGTTCCCAGCGACCCGGGACCGCCACCAGACTCGCCCTTGCCGTGACATCAAGCTCATTACCTCATCTGCCACAATACCCTGACGACGATTTCGAGATTTAATCAGAATATTGGACACCGAAATCATGTCTGGGATCATGGCCAGGCCTTGAAGAACGAGACGAGAGACGAGAGAGACAGTGAATGGTCTCATCATAGACCATGGATTTCATTGTATGTCATCTCCTTCCTTCTACTGTGTTGTTGTGTCTAGTCGCGCGTCGCATCGCATCGCATGTGTCATCGCACGTGAGACTATACAACCTATACGGTGAAGACAGACCAAGGTAGACAGGCACCTCGGCTGACTTTATAGCTCTCTTTGACGCATTTTTGCGAAGTACACGGCCCAACCTCAATCCTCTGCTCCCAAGTTCTACCCTTTTCATGCGAACAATGCCATCCCTCAGACGCCGATGGCTCGATTTCCCCCTCCGCTAGTCCATCCACCTCTCACGAGACCACCTCGTCAGCTTCTTCACACTCGCTTCGAGGCAAACAACGTCGCCGCTTGTCGTCGACACCCGACAACTCCGCACTGTCTTCTTCTTTGACTGCAAGCATCCAATCGAATTCCGCCAACGCCTCCCAAAACATCGAGGACCATCCATATTTCCTGAAAGCACAAAAATCGCAATCCCAAATCCGGGTAGACCCGGTCTCCGAACGGGTGAATCGCGTCGGTGGAGTTAACGGCGATACATGCGCCAGCTGTAGTATTTCGCTCCCCGAAGATGTCAGCAAAAAGCTGCCGACCAGTGTCCCGGGCCAATCCGACGGTGAGAGTGGCAGAGGAGCGAAAAACAACAGCCCCGTTTTGAGGTCTAGAGAAGTCGTGCACTCGTGCGGTGGCGGCAGTAACCGACACTCGGATATCTGTGCTGAAGACGAGTCGCATGAGCACGATGCACAACATGCATCCCTGCCGGACTCTGTACATTCCGTTTCGGTCACTTCCTCATCCTCCGACAGCTCGTGTCACACTCATATCTTGACCTACCTCTCCCTTCACGGGCCCCCCAATCCAAACGACTACGCCTTACTCCGACAGTCATCCATCCGTACCCTGAGCTGCGAGCTCCTCCCGCGCGGTCTGTCGTCTGGGCCCTTGTGTTTTGGTGACCCCGTGGCCGGTTACACAGTCGCCTACGTGTTCCGCCTACCCGACCCAATGGCACGCGGAAAGCGTCGCAGCTATGCACTGATAGCTCTGGCTGGGAAAGATGCTGGACGCGCCTTCCGAGCTTCTCCGATCATCTGGCGCATTTTCCAGCGTATTGCCGCGGGTATTGTGACAGCCGCAGAGAAGCATCAAGAAGAAGAAAAGATGCGTGAAGAGCAGGCTTTTCGTTCGTCGAATGCTTCAGTCGCGACAGGCCGTCATGACTATACTCCTGTTTCCTCTTTTTTAACAGGACGAACGCTAGATGCTAATGGCAATCCGCGCCGTGCGGGTCAGATTCGAGCTAGGAATCTAGCCGAAATCGTGGGCAACGAATACATCTTCGCCGAACTGCACGCTCAATTTGTGACGCTGCTCCAACAATTGGGGAACATGTTTGGTGGTGCCCCGATTTCCGACGATCGCTTTGTCTGCAGTACAGTTTCGTCGACAGAATCAGCCATGCAGTCCCGTCGCACAAGCGTAGCCATGCCTACCAACACTATGAATAACAACAATCAGAAACCCGGCCACAATAGACGACCGAGTGATTTGACACTATCGAGCTTGAATATCTCGTCTGGCCCTCAACCAATACCAATTTCGCCGCGACGACCAATCGTTGCTTAACCACGCACTCTTGACTCATGAGAGTGAGAGGATGTGTGAGAGAAGTTCTGTTATCACAGACCTAATGACTTTTTTTTCTGCTGTACATACATGGACCGGAGATACCCATATAGACCGGCGGTATCTTTTTTGTCGATTTGATCTGTTGTGATGCATATATCCCGGAGTTTGTACGATTATATCTGTTTTGCTTGTTTTTTGTTTCTAGCGCATCATACATGGCGTTTTTTGAAATATGCGAGTCGAGTAATAAAGTTGTTCAGTCCTATTTTTCTTTTAAAGTTCTTAAGTAGTACATGGTAGACAGAGGACAGTAGCCGCGCCGAGGAAAGGTGTGAAGTATGTTCGGAGAAATATACCTGATCGGGACGACGATATTCCGACGCAACAGCCCCACCACTCCGAATTAGCACACACCAAAATTGCCTGATCGAATCAATAATCATCTTGAAGTTTGAGCCCTCATTCAACGATCTACCTCAACTCTCCCCACGGCGACCACCCGTTTTAACACACGTCGAGCAGAAGAGAACAGACAAAATGGTCTCCGCATTCGACAAATGCGATACGCGCCCTGCGCACATCGACGCCATACTCAACGGCCTCGATCGCTACAACCCCGAAACCACGACCGTGTTCCAGGACTACGTTGTGCAGCAATGCGAGGACCGCACTTTTGATTGCTATGCCAATCTGGCTTTATTGAAGCTGTACGTTGCCCCTTTTCACTATCCGGTTGCGAGAAGACGAAATCAATGTGTCAAGTCTATGATGAATATTCTTTTCTTACCACGTTTCCTATTACCTGACATTCCAATGGGAATATGTTGAGTTATATTAGCTCTAGCTGAGACTTCTTTTCTACTTTTCGTTTCCCACTGGCTTCAAAAGAGAGGAAGAGAGGGAAAAGACGCAGACTAATGAGTGATATTGTGTATCAGCTACCAATTCAACCCCCACCTCCTCCAAACCGAAACCACAACCAACATTCTCGCCAAAGCGCTCACCGTCTTCCCATCCCCCGCCTTTTCACTCTCTCTCGCCCTCCTCCCCGCACACACACAACCCTTCGGCAACACCTCAGACGGCAGCACGCAATCGTCGGACTTTGTCGAATCAGTCCAGAAACTCGCGCATCTCAACACTCTGCTCGAATCCGCACAATACGGCTCGTTCTGGTCCACTTTCAACTCTGATGATTTGTACGCCGATCTGGTGGCTGATGTAGCCGGATTCGAGGAGTTGGTGCGCGTGCGTATTGCGGTCGAAGTCGGAAAAACGTTCCGTGAGATCAGTGCAGATGCGCTTGCACAGTGGTTCGATCTTAAGAGTCGTGAGGCTTTGCAGAAGTTCGTCGTGGATGTTTGCGGATGGGAGGTTGAAGGTGCGCTTGTGCGTGTGCCGAAGAACAGAGAGAATGAGGCGAGGTCAGAGATTAAGAGTGAGAGGGTTGGAATGGATATGTTTGGGCGGGTTATTAGACGGGGTTTTGAGCAGCCTGCTTAAATCCTTTCTTCTTTGATATGTTTCTTCTTTATGTGTTATGATGAGGATAGATCTCATGTCGATATGTGTATGTTACCTTGCTGTGGGTGACGAAGAAAAGTGAGGGCAGGGCGTGGGCGTTCTTGTTTTGCATTATTTGATTAATACCATACAGACACACAGTTCAAGTGTAGTCAGACATAACCATAACCCATCTTCATGTCATATATTTTTATCCTCCGATAGATATTAACCGTCTGGCTCCCCCGTGTCATCCTTGCCCTCTCCCTTCTCCTTTCGTCTCTGCACCACGTCCCAATTATACACCCTCGCAGTCGCAACTTCCAGTGTCTACGATCATTAGCATCTCATTCGATAAACCATATCATGAAGAAGCAAAAAAGGGGGGACCGACGGTAATCTGCTCCCTCAAAAACTCCAAATCCTCCTCACAATTCTCCAAACTCAACTCCGCCGCCGCCAACTTCTCGCTCAACATCGTCTCAGCCTCTGTGATTGGGTACGCAAGCATCACATTCGCGCCAAGCCAGAGGTACACCTCCTCCGTATCCTTGGGCGCAATCTTTGCGCGCGCGTAGAGCGTATCATTGAGTTCGAAGTGCGTCTGTATGGCCCCTTTTCCATCTTCTTCTTCGTCGTCCTCACTTTCGACGTCTTCAGCGTTCTCGCGATTCAGTTTCAAGAAACGAACCATGTCAAGCGTCTTTTTTATGTCTGGAATCTTCTCCTTTAGCCCGACGCTGCGTCGCTGAGTGTTCATTTCCATAAACTGGTATTTGGAGATCATTTCTTGGAATGAGCGAAGAGTGGCCTCGACTTCGGTCCGGCTGGAGACGTAGTCGGATACATTGTCGACGAAGGGGGCGTAGGGGATGCCGCGCGGGTTTGTCCTGAGCTGTTAGCATGTTCGAACTGTGTAGAAATATGGGTTGGTTGGGTTGGGTTGGATTACCCCTCGCCGGGTTTTTGGGTGGTTGTCATGGCCTATCAATTGTTGTGACTGTAGGGGAAAGATTGAGAGTAGTAACGCTAGATATTCTGGCTCATGGTTTCGTAACGCCTTCAATAGAGAACAAAAGAGGATTTGAAGCTAGAAGCAATATGCGGAGAAGTCGTGGTCCCCGCGCGGAAAGATTTGGATTTTCTGTGATGTTTGCTTCCCGCGCTGGCTAGCTCCATTGGACAGCTTGCTACATGACGTCTGCCCACCTCAACAAGAACATCTACAAGAACAACATGGAGATCATAGTCACGTTATAATCATCTAACTCAGTCAACATTGAGACAAGAATGGTCCTCCTCACCACAACTCCACTCATAGCCAAAGCTCTCAACGAGCTTTCGGCATCTACGCGACTCGACCTAAACCTCCCAGAACACATACCTCCCACCGGCGCACCAATATCACACGACCAATTGATCTCTTTAGGCAGGCAAAGGAATGGATACACCCTCAACAATCTCCTCAAGGGGACGAAAGTGTATATCCCTCCTCCGCCGCCGAAACCAGAACCGGTCCGTCCCTTTCGTCCTACACTACTGGATTGTGATGCTGACTTGAATAGACACCGGAATATCTCGCTCTCAAAGCACGCCTGCAAGCCCTCGCCGACGAACAAGCATACAACGCCCTGATTGCGCCGAATTCGACGCATTTGAATCCTTACAAACCATCATCCATTTTTGCGGACACTCCTACCGTAATTGAGAACGACGAAAATGTGGAGGACATGGTCACGCCCTCGCTCGTAATCAACATCTTCATGTCCGTCATCCTCTGCGGCTTCGCGACATTTTGGGCTTTGAAGAATTTTCAGACTCCTTCTTTTCTAGGCTGGATTTTACTAAGCCCTACTGGCCGGAGAGATGGAGTGAATACAGGAGGAGGAGGAGCGACAAGGTCGAAAGATCCGGTGTTTGTGTTGATTGCCATGTCGGTTGGATTGCTGGTTGGTGTTGCGGAGACGGTGGTTTATGCGGCGTATGTTAGAAAGGTCAAGTATGCGAAGGCTGCGGAGAGGAAGGTCAAGGAGAGGAAGGAGGTTGTTTCTTCTGTTGAGCTAGGAGGCGAGAAGAATGACACCAAGGTTGTTGATGATAATGCCGATGGTGAAGAAATCATATGGGGAAAAGGCGTTAATGGGGGAGTCCGAAGACGGGTCAGAGAGAGATGGGAAACTCTCAATGATGACTCTCAATGAGTGAGAAATAATTATGTTATGCCGCTAATATGGGAAATATGTACAATATGTTATATACGGCTCGACTACTGAGACCTCTTCTCCAGCAAGAGCTTTCCTGCCGGCACCCGATTAAACCCTTCACTACGCGAATACACTTGTTGTCCACGCAGCCACGTCTCGCGAACCATTCCTTTCAATGTGCGTCCCTGGTATGGCGAACACTTGTTTCGAAACAACATCGTACTCGGCTCAACAACCCACTCCGCCGAATCGTCAAAGATGCAGATGTCAGCATCAAAGCCGACAGCCAGGTCACCCTTTTGTGACGACAGCCCGACTTGCGCGGCGGTGTTTGTGCTACACCAGCGTGCGATATCTTGCAGGTCCTGGTTGATTGTCTTTGTGCCTCCCGCAGCGCCGAGTTTCTTGCGCCGGGAGATTTCAGTCCAGAGAATGGGCAGCCCCAAACCGACGGAGGATATACCGCCCCAGGCAGAAAAGAAGTTGCCGTCGGCGATTTCGTGTTCTTTTGTTTCTTCAAAGTAGTCGCTCACGCTGCTGTTTGAGGATGAGTTGTGCGGGGTTGCAACGGCTGAGGAGTCGCTTGACCCGGCGCTATCGATTGGTTGAGGTTGCATGATGTGTGCAGGGAGGAGTTTGAGGTCTGGTGTACACGGCGAATGGTCCGAGACGACAGTCTTGATAACGCCGTCGTCGGCATAGCGTTCCAGCTCAGCCCAGAGTCCGTCTTGATTCAGTCGTGAGCGGATAGGAGGGCAGCATTTGTGTCGGGTATCGCCTTCGGCAATCTCTTCAGCCGCCAGGGACAAATAATGGAAGCATGTCTCTGCAGTGATTTGCACTCCATTGGCGCGCGCCTCGCGTAGCAGCGGGATTGCCTCTATGGCCGACAAGTGCACGATGTGCAGCGGCAGATTTGGTGCTGCGGAGGCGAGTTGGATGATTTCTGCAATTGCATATGTCTCGAATGATGCGGGTCGAGAGGCCAGGAATGTCGAGTAACTTTGCAGAGGACCCGCGGGAGCAAGCGGTGGCATTGAAGTTTGCACATCGTCACCGACTGAGTCTGTGATTGGGGGAAGCATTTCGGCGTGAAACATCAGCGTCGTTGGCTGGTCTGCGAGTGTTTTCATAGCTAGTTCAATGTCGGGTGCAGACACAGCAGGGAATTCCTGTACCTATTTCGGTCAGTTTTTTAATATTGGTCCAAACAGACGACAAACTTACACCACTGTCGATGAGAAACCCCTTGAAGCCACGCACACCCATCTCAACAAGCGGCTTGAGCTCATCCGCATTCCCAGGGATCACACCGCCATAAAATCCCACATCAACCCAACACTTATTCTGTGCTGCGTGAATCTTCTCCTTGAACCCTGCCACCGTCGTCGTCGGCGGAATAGCATTCAACGGCATATCGACAACGGTGGTCACGCCGCCAAACGCAGCTGCCTGCGTCCCCGTATAGAAACCTTCCCATTCCATTCTCCCGGGCTCGTTGAGATGGACATGTGCATCAACGAGACCGGGTAACAACACCAAGGGTGAATAGTCCTTGTAAGACTCGCAATCTGGGAAGTCGGAGGCGGGTCTAATGCTGTCGTGGACCTGTATGATTTTGCCGGTCGAGTGGCAGATTACGATGGTGGCTGGTGTCAGGCGGCCCGAGACGACGGCTCGGGAGGAGGCTACTACTGTAGTCATTTTCCTTTCCTTGACCCTTTGGGGGGGTGGGCTGAATGAGCTTTGACTGGAAGACAGGAACGAGTGGTCCAGATCAGTGTGGCCTAAGATCAAGAGGCGTTTTAAGAGGCAACGAAAGATAGAGGAGATAAGGCTCAAAACGCGGGGGATAAGCAGAAAAGCAAGGCGATAAGTGAGAAAAAAAGAAAAGAACAAAAGATAGAGGGGAGAAGCGTATCTAATGAATGAAATTGGAATAGCCAAAGCCACCCAGCGAACGGAGGATCGAATAAGCAACGCCGCAGTGACCTTATCGTGGCAAGCCTCTGGCACAGAGATAAGGGGGCTGATAAGACAGAATCCACTCGTGGGTTGTATTGTTACTACTGTACAGCCGGTGTAATATCGAGTTTTCGACTGGACGCTTTGATCGATCTATCGGATATTCTGGTAACTATGTTTTACAGTATGAGTCAATTGATTTGAATCAAATTTTCGTGTTGGCTAATGGTAACGTCAATACGGCAATGAATGAATGGTACGAAAAAAGTCGGTTTTTGGTACGCTCGATACTTTCCGTCCCATCGGTCCATACTCCATACTCCATCACCACATACAGTATGTACAGTACGCAGTAGACGATATCGGCACATACTCAAGATATCCATAGATGTAATTGTATGTATCTGTGTAACTACACGTGTCACCACAATATCAAATACAGCGCACTCTCAATACGCACAACGTAAGAATTGTAATGGTAGGTGGCCGATATACCCGTGTTGTGGTGTACTCTATTACTCGATAGAAACTCTCCTCTGCAAAAATAAGAATCGATCGAGTAATGAGAACTCCAGGCCGGGCTAGAAGATAGATGGCCGCTGCCCGCGGATAGGATCATGCTTGCCTGTTTGGGCTAAGTGGCTGTCTTACTCAGTACAATACGTACGTAGTCTGTATTGGTCAGGAAGAGGAAGATCTGCGACAGATGACAATCTGTATGACTTATGTACATCTAGAATACGCATGTGCTGGGTCGACATACATGTACTGCCTTATCAAGCCAAAAAGAAGAAAAAGTTCCTCGATCGGAACCACATAGCCTTTAGGGCAAAGACTAAGATAAGCTAATTTCGCGTTTGCCTCCGTCGCCCCACTTTCTTCTCAACCGCTCCCGAATAGTTATTCTACTAGTACACGCAGTACACAACCAAATACTTTTGCGATACAGGCGCAATGTACTCACAATGCTGTCAAAATGTTCACCGATGATGGTACATCTAGTCTTCTTGACGATGTTTCAAGCCTGGTAACAACATGTTGGCGCAGCGGTTGTCAGTCTGTCAGTCTGTTAGTCTGTTAGTCAGAAAGGCAATACTTAGGTAATGAAGTTTCAGTTCCACCGTTTCCGCGAAACTTTCCTTTCAATCTACTTGCTCTCTTTCTCTGTGATCGTCCTGTGTCTTTGGAACGTGTCGGCCGGCTCCGGTCGATGCTCCATTCCATATTCTATGGCCATAGAATATGGAATCGTTAAGCTCTATCGTTGATGATGGTTTGAGGGTGTATGAAACATGTTCTATACTCTACTCACGACATAGTCGGCCGAGTTTACACAGGACTGATTTACGTAGAAAGAGAGTAATGATGATGATGAGCATACTCAGGCTACTTGGTGTTCTAAGAAGAGGTTCTATCCCTAATCACTGAGATGTTCAGGAAATGTCCTCCGCAGTCGGCGTTGGCTCGGGGTAGGGTTAGGGCTTTGTGTGGGTCTCGAATCCCCTGGCAGTCAAAATACAAGCCAAGTCTATCTTGATTCTAATATTGACAGTTACTATTCAGTTAGGCTCATTAATAGCTGTCGGAACGTCAATACCAGATCCCGGCATCTAGCAACAACACACCCACCATACATGCCTCGGGCCACATTCATTCCATCCCAAAGCGCGTAACATTTATATGTTACAGGACCGCCGGCAACACTTTTCGTAGCAATCAAGCAGAAATTAAAATCAATACAGATACGTTTTATGCCTCACCTTATGGGCTTGTCGGATTAGCCTGTTCCCAATCCAAATGAGCTAATTTTAGACCGGACGAATCGATCATTTTACTTAGCTATCAATTGATACTATATTATATCTATATCTCTAGTTCTTGGTTGGGGCAAGCTAGAATTAGAGTAATATATGTTATAGTGTGGAGGTTGTCTGAGATGTGGATAAGAACGTATTTTCGCTCTAGCTGGCTGTCGAGAGATAGGCATAAGATTAATAGCTTGACTTCATCTAGATAAGAAATCATGATGTGATGGGTATGTTCGATAAAATTAGTGTATCATGCTATAAGCTAATACTAATAGCCCACTATAATGGAATGTGAAAGGTCAGAACAATGAAAACATATTGACATACATATCAACCAATCTAATGTACATTTTCCTTCATAAGAAAGAGTAATAAAGCCAACTCCGAGTATGAACCAATCCATATCCAACAATGCTAATCGCCATCGCCATCCATACACACTTGTATCGTAGTATTTGTCTCTCCAACCCATCTCCAACCCATCACATCGTAGAAAAACTACCACGACGCCTTCTTAACGCCCGGCAACTCACCCGCCAGCGCCTGTTGACGGAATTGATACTATGAACCCCGAAGTCAGCCCACCATCTCACAAACACCCCTAGCCAATGCGAAAAAAAAAGAAGATGCGAAAAGGGACATACCCGTCCAAGCCTAAAAGCTCTAAATACACCCCTCGCAATCCCACCAGCGACACACCGATTCTTGATTTGTGTTGAGCGAGTATAGGCATGCATCTGCGCGAGTTGTAGCTGGGCCTGGGCGCGCACTCGCTGGGGTAGAGCGGTATTTCGAATTGCGTAGCGGAGAGCTTGTCTGTTCCCACCCATAAGAAGAGTAATTAGTCAATGCGCTTTCATGACGAGAAAAGTATCTTGATAGAGCAGGGAATGGGGGTGTACCTCTCAGGCTCAAATTGCTCGTAGACCTTTCGCTTGGTGTGGTCGCGGATCACGCGGGCATTGATGAAACCTCCGAGATCGAGCCGTTTGGCTCGAAACATGGACATTTTGGATGTGAGTCGCCTGGTGTGGCAATTGCGTTGATCGGGGCTGATAGAAAAGATGTTGGAGTGAAGGTCGGAGAAATGGCGGACGGATATTGATGCGGCTCGATTGGGGATAGCGTGGGATTCAGAGTTTCTGCCTGAGGCATCAATATATATATATATATATATACATAAGTTGGTGAGATGGCTGTGAGCCTTCTGATTTTTCATGATAGAGACTAATCGTTGAAAGCTAGAGTCTCATTATAATTGCCGTCTCATATACAAAGAGGCTCGTTGCTGTTCAATGTACAGTGTATTTTGATCTTCAATTATCTGCAGTCGGGACATCTCGGCAGTAGGCTCCGCGACATGAAAATCATGAAGCACAGAACAGCGACTTCTTAACCTACGCAGTACTCAACCTTGAACACAGAATGTGCAATATTACGCTCTCAAGTAATGGCATGTAAAGCCTGAATAGACTGACGGAACAACATAGGAAAATTGTAATGATAATGGTACAGCTAACTCTTTCTGCCGTCCACGGACAACAAATCAAGTCTATATGCTTTGTACAAATGACACGGAATCAACGGTATAAGCTGGTCGGCCGCAAGAATATTGTCGTCGTGTCGTTCGCTTGTACTACACGATAAAGTCGAACCATTCGTCCAGGTGCTGATTTCATTCCACGTTGATTTTCTCCTCCACATCCTCCACTCTTCAGAGCACAGACATGTCGTCAAAACACCTGCTGACTAGATGCAATCGTTTATTGCTTTCCCTTGGGCTTGGCGTTGGGGTTTCTTGGGTCGTCCTTCCATTCATTGGCTATGTGCAAGTCAGTATCGCGACTCCCATACACTGCTCGAAAAGATGTCTCCGGGTCGAGTTCAACAAACTTACAAGCCATTGAAGCGTTGGCAGCGGCGTTGACACCGTAGAGAACGATGAGACCTGGAATCGTCTATCAGTATTCCATCTCTCAAATGTACTAGTCTATTGGACGAGTCGTTTGCGTTTGCAGCACCAAAAGCATCGAACACGTCATCTGAATGTATCGATCGAGAAAATTAAAACATACCGGCAGCGAAGAAAGGGAACATAGGCTTGGCTATACGAATCATCATTAGTTACCGAACTCTTCACACCCATTGAATTGCCACGACTAGACAAACATACCGACAGGCACCGGCCATTTCTTTCCGAGAAGAGACATTATTGCGGGAGTGATTGGATATCGAATTGAAGAATCCAAAGGCGTGTGTAGAAAGAGGAGGTGTTTGTGACGATGTTGTAATCCTGAGGAGCGGAAGAAGTCGAGATGAGGTCCGGAGCGAAGTTGTTCGCCAAGAGAGGTTAGTACTGATACGGCATAGCGGATTAGCCGCTAGATATCATTGGCAGGCACATGCCCCTCGTCATGTAAACATTAAACAACGACGATATTTAGTCTTTATAAACGTTTGACTGAATTGCGAGTGAAAAAATACAATGGCAGACTCTCTATCTTCATCAGTCGCATCTCTGCGCACTTCCCTCCAGCTCCTCGAAAGCTCAATCGATATCCTCGACTCCGGCGTCAACGATTTTCCACGCTTATCAAAAGTTCTACAAACCACCCGAGTACGCCTTTCTACCCTGTAACCAAGTAAATACAAAATTAATCGCTGATCGATGGTATTAGCATTTCGAACTCCTTCCCGAACCAACCCTGCAAGAAGCGCAACAATCCCTCCTCGACGAAATAACGCCTAGCATCGCACACCTCCTCAGCATAACGACAAACCACGTCGAGCGCCTTGCGCGCCGCGAGGATTCGCTACGCGCAAAATGTCAGCTTCAGGAAGGCAGATTATCGGATAAGCGACAGCTTCCTTCTGCCAACACCACCACCACACAGAAGACTTTAGGAGCGGCGACTCGAGGCTCAGACGCCGGCGCAAAAGCGGCGCAGTTGAGGAGATTGGTGCAGAAGAAGGAGAGGCTCAAGTATGCGGTTGACAGACTTGAGTTGCAGAGTAAACAGAAGGAGAGGGAGTTGAGGAAGAGTATGGCTGCGCAGTGATCTATGGCTGAGTGGTGATGGGTCATATTACGAATGGCGATACCCCTAGCTTGTGATTCGGAAAGAGAATCGGGGCGATGCTCAACGAAGTGGTTCGTCGGATTAAATTCTACCATGAATGGTGACATGGACCAAGCGCCTGAGCTGCTCCAATGCAAGCCTACCAGCGATGCTCAAACCACGGCGCTGCAATGCACAGGACCAATCGCAGAACTTCGCTACTGCACGGCCGAATACTGCTGAATGAAGCACATCTTCAAAGAAATAAATGCATAGACTGGATACTTCGATTTCCAGACGGTCACGATGGCAGCTTGAAGCAAGATACGATGGTCCCGTTGTACATAGGTATGCTCATGATTAGTATCAAGTGAATACATATACTAAACATCTACTAAGTACTAAATGCCAGCCTACTGCTGAGGTTATTCCAGTTTCCAGTTTCTCTTCAGCATAGTGAGCTTATTTATCTTTGTCAGTCCGGTCATATAGCATCCGAATATCAACATCTCCGCAACTGGCGGAAACATTCAATATGGCGATGAGGAGGGTTACAGAGACACGAAAAAGCAAGACAGTACAACGTTAAATTAGATTAATGAACATATGCGATGCTATTTTTATATAACAGAGAATGAATCAGTCAGCAGCATACAAAACGTCTCTATGGTAACACCAAAATTGCAGCCACAAAGCTGACCAAAAGAAGAAGATCTACTTAGATGTAGATGCCGTAGAACCAGTATACTGATACGACTTGACGGGATCAGTACTAGTAGCAATAGCAAAGGCCGGAGAAGAAGAGTATAGTGATAAGAGACGTCGGTTCAAATCTCTGCTTTGGTACCCCGTTCTGAGACAAGCAGCTATCAGCCGTATACCTAGGTACGTGGTATATTGAGCGGTGTAAAAGATACAAAACGCAGCGCAGTGCGACACTCATCATTAGATAGATTGCATTGAGTCGTGTGAGATAATGTACAACGTATGTTACATATTATACAGTATAAAGAGCACTAGATGAACTCCTCTTCCGCCGTATTTGAAGAAGCCTTCCTCACAGCCTGTCGGATCTTCTTCTTATCCGCATGTCTCTTCCAGGTAGGAATGTTATGCCCCTTCTTCCTCCGCTCCAAAGACCTCGCCTGATTCTGGAGCGCATTCGCTAGCGCCGGCGCAGCTGTTCCCTTTCGCTCTTCTACTTCATCCAGTCCGAGATTCAACTCATCGCCAGCTTCTTCATCGCCAGTCATTTGGGCGATCTTGGTAGCTGCGCGACGTTGTAGTCTCTCCTTCTTGCTTTCTGTGCTTGCTGCGCTGCCCAGTTTCAGATTTCGTGGGATTCGGGTCTTGGCCCCCAGAGCCCAGAGATCGCCCCAGCGTGCTTTGCGGGCGTCGTGGTAGGCTTGACGGCTGAATGAGCGTGGGACCGTCCATCGCTCAATCTTGCCCTCGGGTGTGCAGAAGTCGAAGATGACGTGGCCGCGGCGTTTCATTGGTGGTAGTACAGTGCGTGGAAGTGATAGTGGGTTGATGGTAGACGTCTGTGCCGATTCACCATCTTCAGGAGAAAAACTATCTTCGTAACCTTCAAATGCGGCATCGGTAGCGGCTTTGCCTTGGACCATAGATTCCGTCTGTCGCAGGTCAACCCCTCGCTGAACAGCTACGTAGCTGAACTGGACGTCTTCGTGGTTGCGATCTGTGGCTCCGACGATACGCTGCAAGAATGGAGGTCGAATATATCGTTGCTCGAAGTGACAGTAATCGCTTCGACCCTTGGCATGCCCGTGTATATGATACATTGGGCACTTGCCGTGGTTCGTGCAAGGAGCGATAATCATACCAGCTTCCTTCTGAATAGACCCTTGATCGCCGGACTCCGTTAGACTTTCGTATTCGGTTGATCCAGGACTGGCAATATGCTTTTCCAGTAGCATTTCTCTGGCTCCTGCTATAGCCTCAAATCCCTTTTGGCGGCCTTTTTCTAATAGAATCAAAACTCCACCATTAGGGTTCAGCATGGTCCACAAATTTTTCACGTGCTGTTTTCGTAGATAATCCTCGTCAATCTCAAGAAGGGTATGAGGGGCGATAATAACATCAAACTGTTTTCTCTTCGGCGGTGCTCGCTCGTCATCTAAAGTGCTGCTATCACGGACATGAAGGTAATCAGGGAGTCGAGGGAGAAATGTTGTATTGTCTAGTAGTATGCTCGCACGCATTTGTAGAGCATCAGACCCTGCTAGCACAGTAGATTTGCCCGTAGGAATCGGCGCATCTTTCGGATGGTCCGGTACCATAGTCTCGTACTCGGCCCGAAGAACGTCCCTCCATGCTAGAATTCCTGCTCCGGAGCCACCAGCATCCAAAACTCGAGGTCCTGTTTCCTGCATCATCAAATCTCGTAGCCATTTACTGCCAAGACGTTTTCTAACCTCGGCGAGCACGCTAAGTGTAGACGCATAGATGCCAGGGTAGAGAGCGGCAAGGTACGCATTTGCTTCCATATCACTCATTTGGTGTTGAGAAGCGGAGAGCGGAATGGGCGTTTGGGCAATTTGAGCACTGGGTGGCAAGGTGGTCGTAGAATGCGGCAGTCGTTGCCCCCCAAAAACTTTGTGGGCAGCTTCAGCGATGTGTTTGTTGGAATAGTTGGACAGAATGACTGAAATCGGGCCAGTTACTGAATCCTTGGGGATAAATACAGTTCTTGGCTCGGTAGAGTATTTTCCAGCCGCAGTCAGCGGATGTATTCTAGGACCGCTTTCTGATTCTTCCTCTTCGACTTCTGACCCCGGCTCCAGCAAGATGCCACCCAATCGCTCTGCGACTTGTTTCGCACGGTTCATGGGGATTTCTTCATCTGCGTCCAAGATCTCTTGCTCCATTGCGTATGCCACAGGTATCTCCCCTTCGGCGTCGACAGGTGGGACATCAATTTCCTCGTAGCCTCCCTCTCCATCATCTCTCAACAGTATATCCGGCTCTCGTTCGTCAATCACGTCCGATTCGGCCGGTCTAAATAAAGCCTCGCCATACAATCGATTGTAAAGCTCCAATTCTGGCTCGTTCAAGTGGTCTTCCGGTAGGTATTCGCCAAATTGTTGTCTGGCGTTTCGCACTTTATTCTCAAGCGATTCGTAATTCCTATGGCCGATCGTGGCGCTGAACACATCGTCCATGCCCCAACTTCGTGTATCGATGATATGAGAAAATTCATCAAATGGCAGAAAATCTTCAAATAACTCCGCAAGTTCATCTTCATGTTCGTGGATGGTATCAATCAAAGTATAAATCTCCTCTTTCCGACCTGTCAAATCTGGGACCTCTGGAGGTGTATTTGTCGCTAATTCTCGAACTTTACCCTGCCGCCATTTTCTCCCACTTGCTCCTGCGATTATAGCATGCTTAGATTCGCTGTAAATTGTCGAAGGAAGCGCGGGCCGTGAATTTCGAATGAAGGAACCAAATCTTCGAACTCCGGATCGTTGCGACAGCTGGATGATGTGCTGCGATGCGCCGGGGGAGCAAATCCGGCAGGATTTGGCTGCTCGGCATGAAAGGGACATATTGCGCTTACTCCTGGCCAGCACGAGAAGTTAATATGAATTCATGTAGTGAGTTGATGTTTATTTGCTTAGGAAAAAAAAAATATTCTGCCGCCACTGACAGCTCGTCCAAAAGAGAAGGTGCCAAGCAGGGGCTTCTAATATGCGCGATATGATTGGATAGGTAGGTACCCACTTGTTAAAGACTACCTTACCCTAATATGTGATATTCTGATTGGTAGATTGATCTTTTAACAGGGTTAAAGTAGACTATTCCAAGTCACTATCTGCTTCATCATCCCCCATGACAATCTTCAACGACGCTCTGCATTTCAAGACCTCATGCTCCAGCGCACTCAGCTTAGTCATCACAGCAATAAGACTCGGGTCTTGAGTTTCCACTCGAATCTTTTCCTTGACCTTGACCTCCTCGCCTTGCCAAACAAACACATCGTTTTGTTCATCGTGTGATGGCAGTCGAGGGCCAAAAAGTCTGTCTCGAAGCGAGAATCCAATCTCCGATCCAAAAGCCGTCGAAGTTTGATTCGCAGAGTTTGGTTCTAGTGTTCGTAGATGTAGTACCAATGCGGCCTCTACTACCGTGAGATGGAAGGATAGATATGGCGGTGAAGGGGGGTCAAAAACCTGTGACAAGTTAGTATCATCGAATGTACTACCTGTAGAAGCACATACACTAGTATCTGCACTCTGCTCCCACCATTTTGATGTCTCTGCACCTCCTTTGAGAGTTGATTTTGCCTCGGAAATATGTTCGTATAGCAAGCGTAGTTGGCCGGATATAAAGCTGGCATTAAGAGGATCACCAGTAAACGTGCTGACGTCTATCACATCCAGACCTTGGTTTATCAGATCCCGGACTGTAGCAAGCTGATCCAATACAAGCTCAGGCGCCCCTGGTACATTGGAGACATTGAGTCGAGTGCTGCTAGCGCCACGCGGAGGTGGCAGCGATGTTAATCGCAATTGAATGTCCTAGAGATCGTAAGTCGAGGCTCAAGATCAACTCGGACTTTGTGGCACGTACACCTTTGACAATTCTCGTGCCTATCCTAGTCACAAATCCCTTAACACTCTCTGACCGTACTGAAGAAACAACCAGCGTTGATCCTGGTTCTTTTGGCGCCAGTAAACTGGCACATTCCTGTAAGCCATCCCGTAACGAGGCTAGAGACTCTTGAAGTGAAGCCAGTAGCCATTCAAGCTCTCTGGACTGTCAGAATTAGCACGATTGTTCCTGCTTAGAAACGCGGGGAACTTACCAATGCGGTCTCCTCTTCCCGCTTCAACTGGTCTGCAGGTAATGGAGGATATGCCCACGTAGCCATTGGACCGGTAAAACGGGACGATCACTGCGTGGAACGAAGCAACAGAGGTGAGAATCGCGGTGATGCGATTGGGTCTGTGGAGTTGCAATGATCCAATGGCTTAACTTAGTACGGAGGTAGCACTATGGAGACAGTAGCAGTAAATAGTCGGTCGATACGTAGGAACAAACGAGATAATGGAGCAACAGACGAAAGCGTGACGTGCAGCCGGATGACGTTGTCGATGATGCCTGAGGTCGACTGATTGTGGCTTGATCCGAGATCTTTCCTAATACAGTGTAGCGTGTATCTACGGAGCTGAACGAGGACGGACTAGTGGCTGCCCGATCGTGCAGCCAGCCAATCAGAAGCTCAATTCTTCAGAGTTCATTGGCTAGTCCTTTTATAGAATAGCGTCTACTATGCAATGAGCACGACGTCATCACGAGCTCCCAAAAGGGCCCAACTTTTTCCTTTCTCTTAGGCCGATCTTTGACTTCTCCGTCCTTAAAATCCTTGCCAGAATTCCCAGATTTTCTTCGATGCTTCATCTTTGTCTCACCTCTGCACCTCTGCACTCCAATTGAGACCGACTACAGGTTGATTCTCCTTTCCCCCTCCGTCTCTACCTACAAGCTCCTAGCTTGATACCATCTCTACCCGTCAAATCGGAAGGGATACTCGATCACTATTCGCCAATCATGGCAGCTGGACGTACGTTTCAACTTTAGTTGCATCCTCTCATTTGGTGCGACGAAACTAATGATTGATCAGGACCCATTTTCGGCTTTTTGGCCTTGTTCTTCACCGCAGGAGCTCTGGTGTTGATGTTCCTGACATTCCTCGGTGGTGTCAACAACCATGTTCCTCTGAACGACATCTACTTCCTTCAAGCAGACACCTCAAGCATCCCCGGTGCACCCTCTACGTCGCGATGGACATTTTGGAATGTCTGCCCTGTGTCCGATGGAAAGAGTCAATGCGGATCTGTCCACCCTGACTTTCCCTTTGATCCCCCATCGCCTCGCAATTTTGGCACCACCACCAACGTCCCTGGTGCATTTATCGGGTGAGTTCATCATCGGATCTGTGACTTGTTCAGGAGCTAATTCTGACAGAACGCACCACTACTTTTTGCTTTCTCGATTCATGTTTCCTTTTATCCTGATTGCTTTGTTCTTTGCAGTGCTCTCTCTGTTCCTTGGTCTTTTGGCTCTATGCACCCGCATCGGTAGCTATCTCTCCAGTCTTCTTGCCTGGATTGCATGGGTCTTCCAAGTCATCACAGCCTCTCTCATGACGTGAGTTCCTCTTCCCATTGGCAATATATGATGCTAACAGGTGTAGTGCCTGCTACGTCCAAGCACGCGACCAATTCAACAATAACGGTGAATCCGCCAGTCTCGGCCGCAAGGCTTTTGGCTTCATGTGGGCAGCCGTCGCCTGCTTGACTCTTTCGACCGTCCTTTACTGCATGGGAGGCTCAGCAGGCCGCAACAACTCCAGTGGATACACCGGTCGCGAGACGAGACGCCGCGGCTTCTTTGCTTCTCGACGATCCAGCACCAAGTCCCGCGGAAGCTTCAGAAGCAAGCGTGAAGACGTTGTGTAGAGTCCCCCTATCTTAAAGAGGAGCGACTTTCATATTGTCTACATCCGTGTTTGACCGATATCTGCCTTCATCGCACATTTACGAACGAATCGACCTACAGTACAAATTTTATGACCCAATTCTTCGCTATGCGCAGAGAATACTTACGATCTTTTCCTCACACCCAATGACAAACCAACTAATCCGTTACGAGCAAGACTGATCTATTTGATTGTTCAAACAAATCAGAGCTTTACGATGATGATGCCTTTCTTAGATCATTCCGTCGCAGATAAGTGCACGGATGGTGATGTATACAATCGCTTGATAATACCAGTTAATCTTGTAACTAATTCTATTAATACAATCGTGTACCATTACTTCAATCCTAATGCAAAGATCTTCTGTACGCTACATTCGTATCAGGTGACAATCAGGTGATACAATTTAGTGAAGCTATCATGCTATATCGGCCAAAAATAATCCGGTCTCCTCGCAGGCACAACGAATTAATTTTATAATCCTCCCAATCTATACGTAAGAAAAACAGTAAAAAAATTCGTATATACCAAATCTAAACCAATTACCGACAAACTTTACGCTTTTTTCTTTCTATGCTATTGTATGTGAACGAGTTTCAAGCGATATGTGATTCATCAAAACATTGGTCTAAGCAGACCCATTGGCAGTCGCCGCGGGCGCCTCGACAGCAAGTCTCACACCACCCTTAGCACCAACTTCGCGCGCGGTGATTTGCAATCCAAGATCAGAGTTGATGTTGATAGTAACCTCGACTTTACCGCCGGCCTTGACGCCCCTGACGGCGGCTTCGGCGATGGGCTTGGTGGATTTCCAGATGACTTCTCGGGTTTCTTCCTCCTCTTCGTCGTCGGAGTCGAAGTCGGAGTCTTCTTCATCTTCTTCGGTCTTTTCGGCCTTGGGTTTGGGCTCGGGTTTGGTGACTTTGATTTCGCGCTCGCCCTCGCTGATGCGAATGAGAACGTCGCCGCCAGCCTTGGGGACGGCGTATTCAGCGACTCGTCGAAGGGGGAGAACTGTCTCGGTGTTGACGAGAGGCACAAAAGCACCAGACTCATCGGCAGAGATGAGTTGAACGCCGATTGTCTTGCTGAGATGGGGAGTGACTGTGACCATGGGGTGGATCGATTGCTCAATGTCTTCTGTGTCGAATTCTTGAATCAAAGAGGCTTGGTAGGCGGCACCACGAGCGGAGAGKTCGGATGGGTTGATGGCTGAGGGGGCTGTGGATGGGGCCAAGACTTTGGTCTTCTCGGGGAAGATGCTCTCAAGCAGACGGGCAATCTTGGGAGTGTGAGAGGTACCACCGGCAAGAATGACCTATATAAAATTAGCCTTATGCTGAATCTCAATTCGTTTCAGGGGACAAACCTCATCGATGTCTAGAACATCGAGCTCGGCCTTCTTGACGGCCGATTCGATCAATCCAGTGAATTGAGAGAAAATCTTTCCAGCAAGAAGCTCATATCGGGTACGGTTGATAGTTGAGCCATAATCGATACCATTCACGAGACTCTCGATGCTCAAAGTAGCATTGGTACCAATACTCAAGGCCTTCTTTGTAGCCTCACCTTCCAACTTCAATTTGGCCAAACCGCGAGCATCTTCGCGGGGGTCGACCTTGTGCTTTTTGATGAACTCCTTGGCAAAGTGGTCGATAACGACCTGGTCGAGGTTGGAACCGCCCAACTCGTAGTCGTGGACTGTGGCGAGGACAGTGTACATTCCACCGCGGGAGGCGACAACTGCAACATCAGAGCGGATACCACCGAAATCGGCGACGACAACGAGCTTGTCCTCAATGACAGCGTCGGGTCTGGCGTCGTAAGCCAACAGAGCAGCAACCGGCTCGTGGATCAATTGCAGAACCTCGATATCGGCGTTCTTGGCAGCGGCAACAAGAGCCTCGCGTTGTGCGTCGGTAAAGTTTGTTGGAACTGTGATGACTGCTGCGTTGACAGTCTTTCCCAAAAAGTCGGTGGCAGACTGCTTCAAACGACGAAGGTGGCGGGTCGTGATCTCAGAGACGGTGACAGTGCTAGGAGTTTCGGCGTCTGTGTCTTGGATTGTGAAAGCAACAGTGGAGTCGAATTGTTGCGGGTGTGCCGACTGGTGAGCAGGGGTAGGATCTATCGACTTGAAGCTGAGCAGCGGTTAGCATGGTTACATCAAGCCTCGACAGCCTGACTTACTCTTTTCCAAGGTAATCCCTGAAGTATCCGACGGTGTTTTTCGAGTTACGGATCAACTGTGCCTTGGCTTGTGTACCGTGGAATTCTTCGCTTTCAACGTAGGAGAGGATGGTGGGAATTTGACGGTCTGGCATGGATTAGTTTTGCTCGCCTACTGTACGTCGAATTTTGCATACCTCCTTCTTCGTTGGCAATGACCTCGGCTTTTCCGTCCTATTGAAATATATATTAGAACATTTATTTCTCAATCTCGAGTATGTTGGGTATGCGCAAACTCACGGGTCCTGTCCAAGCGATGGAGCTGCTGGAATTTCCAAAGGAAATACCGATGGCGAAGCGCTCGCCAGCGCCAGTTTCTTCACTCATTGTGTGATTCGTAAAAAGTGACTTGAATGCCTCGGAATAATGAAGCTAGTGAAAGCAATAAGCCTTATTGACAACAGGACGAAGAACGAGGGAATGAAGAAATAAAAGAGCGGGGTGGATCCGGCGACTGGTTAGCTTCCGCTGAATTTTTTTATGTTAGGGCCATGCGGTGCTGGCGGGTACTTTGGTTCGTCAGTATATCGTTCTCTGTAGGGCATTTATCTATGTATTTATCTAGACGAAAATACTTAGGAGATATACACTTTGACATTCCGCATCATTCAGTCGCATTATATTTAATTTTAAATTCTGTACATGGTCTAGATGTCTGCCCAGTCATTTGCGATAGTATACAATCGTTATCGGCACGTGATCCTATCGATAAGAGATACTGCCGAAATTTGAAGCTCGAAAGACATCCAGCTTTTTAACTACAGCAAAAATTCCTCAATTACGTTCATAGTCCAACAGTCGCCTCTCAATTTCATTTACCAAATATAGTCGATCTACATAGTCAACTGCGCTGCTATGAGTACAACGTCAATCGTCCTGCCGGGCGACCAAGTCCCCTCGAGCATCCTACCTTCCACAGCATCAACAACTCCCTTACGACTTGGCCCGGGCCTCCGATTACTAGAACAACAGTCACAAGCCAAGACAAAAACCAACTCCTCCTCAGCACCTGTCATCCAAGCCACACAAGCCGGACTACTCTCAATAGACGCCAATCGCAAATCCGTTTCAGTCCAGACATTTCCCAATCGTCGCTATATCCCGACTGTCAATGACCTGATCATTGCCCAGGTCCAGCGCTCGTCGCAGGACTTTTTCCATTGTATAGTCACACCACATGCACCACTCGCGGTTCTAGGCCAGCTAGCCTTCGAAGGCGCATCGAAAAAGACGAGGCCGAACTTGAAACAAGGCGATTTGGTCTACGCGCGGGTACTTTCTACAGGCGTTGGTGCTGGCACAGAGGTCGAGCTCACCTGTGTGAATCCCGCTACGGGAAAAGCAGAGCCTGGCGGTTTGGGATTATTAAGTGGTGGGATGGTCTTTGACATTTCTACAGGACTTGCTGCACGGTTGATGAAGGCGAGCTCATCTTCGTCCTCGGCAGAGGCTGCATCGGTAGTCATACTTGAGGAGCTTGGGAAGAAGTTTGAGAGTAAAGGGGGTTTTGAGATTGCTGTTGGAAGGAATGGAAAAGTCTGGGTGGATTGTTCGGGTAGTGGTGACATCGCTATCAAGATTACTATTGCTATTGGGAGGTGTTTAAAGGAACTAGATCAGCGGCACTTGACTTCGATAGAGCAGCGGAAGTTGGTATCGAGAGTTTTACGAGAATTGAACATTGATGCTTAATCAATTGCAAATAACATGTAAAGACTTATTAAATTGACGATTGACTTATAATGAACTTTTTGCCAGTTGACGGAAAGGGTAAAGTGCGGTACGTAACGCGGCACGCTTAATTTTTTACAGTTGGAGGGTTCTCGCGACAAACTCCTCTACACAATCTGCTCAGCAAGCTGTAGTAGTACCCGAGACCAGACGATAATCCTCTTCATCTGAATGGACGCCTAGCTGCTAGTGCAGGATGGGACAGTCGTCTTCCCAAGTGCAAAAAGAACAAGACATTGACCACGCCTCGACAGACATAACCAGTAAGCTTCCCAATGAATTTACCCTCTACCTTGACAAGCGCTTTCTGTCTACAACAAACTTTACGACAAAGCACCTACTGACCAAGAATTCTCAAGCTTCTTTCGACTCAATTGTAGAAAGAGAGATCACTTCACAAATTGAAAGCGACATTCTGAGGCAAATACCAGCGCATTCACCAACACCACCGACTACCCATCAACCGCCCGATCCTTTTGTCACTCCTAGACTAAAGCGAAGACTTTCCTTTGAGATACGAGTCCCCAGCCCAGCAGACCTCAAGATGGCCCGGAAATCCGACGTCCCCATGTCGGAGCCTGCGAAGCGCACGAAAAGAAAGCGTATCTGGGAAGATAACGATGGTGAAGCTACACCACCACCTTCAGCTCAAAGGGTGAAGATCAAGGACAGACTAAGCATCAATCAGCTCTCAAATGACAAAGGGGAGTCGGAAAATGGCGCATACACACAAGGAAGCACCCCTTCGGAGACTCCTTCTGGCAAGACCAAACGCACCAACAGAGGCAAACACCTTCCACCGGGATTCCGACCTGGACACGTCAGTTCGACCAATGACAAGAGAACCGGTCTTTTCAGTCCTGAAGAAATCGAGGCTCTGGAGCAGTACAAGCTTTGGTTCTGTAACTATTATCACATCACAGCCGATGTATTCGATGCCTCTATACAAAGCGCGAAAAGTAGCAAAAATGGTATATTCCTACAAGACAGACCACCTGTCGATGAAAGGTCATTTTGGCAAGAAATCTACGGACAAATCCCAGATCGTGACAGAAGGTCTATCGCCCGCTTTTGTCGGCGTCATTTTTCGAATGCATACAAACCGCACCAGTGGACTACGGCGGATGATGACGAGCTCGAACGTCTTCATTCAATGTATGGCACTAAATGGGCAATCATTGCTCGTGATATGGAGCGGACGTATGATGATGTTGTACAGCGGTGGAAGAACAAAGTCGAACATCGACATACTATGAAAATGGGGCCATGGGATGACGACGAGATTGATAAACTGATTCAAAACCTCGAAGACACACGCAAGGCGTGGCTCCGGTTAGGGAGAACGAAAGAAGATATTGGCAAGGATATCTATGAGTTGCCTGATGAACTTATTGCCTGGGGAAAAATTAGTGAACGATTCGAACACACGCGCTCGCGCCAGCAAGTTGCTGATAAGTGGCGGAAAATTAAACGAATCGTCTTGGAACGTCGCGCAGATGGGTATGAGGATGCGGTATGGGAATCTTCTCTCCAACCGAAGGGGGGGAAGAGATCGAAGTCTAGACCGGTGTCCGTTGAGAGCGAGAAGCGGGTTTTTATAAGCAATGAAATGGTAGATTCGTCCGATGAGGATGAAGATCAGAATAAGAAGGAAACAGAGGACGGGAAGAAGAAACGATCCGCCAAAGCGAATGGCACATCTCAGCCTAAGGTCAACGAGAAGGTCAACGAGTCCGCCGATGAATCAACTGATGAGTCCTCTGATGCGAGCTCCGAGGATGATAGCGATGATAGTTCCTCTGATGAAAAGAGTAAAGCAGCCAAAAATAGCGACAAGGACGACGAGGATGACGTCGTCGATGAATCAGCTGGCGATGAAACCCCTCTCCCTAAAACGAACGGTTACCATGCGGCCTCAGACAATGAGTCCGTCGTCCCAGAATCCCAAGCCGAGGAATCCGAAGCATCTCCATCCCGCAGCTCCAGTCCCGAAGCAGAGACAAACGGACACACAGCAGCCAAAGGCAGACAGCCCTCCGAAGAACTCGGCCTTGATCCCGTCTCCGCTCCCGAAGCCCCAGAAGTCACGAAAGCCGATAAAGATACCCGAGCTAGCGAAGAAGAAGAAGAAGAAGAAGAAGATGATGATGATGATGATGATGATGAAGAAGGCTCAGAAAGCGCGGACCAAGAGGTCCTCAAACCTCTCACCACATCCTCTCAACCAAAACCCTCACCCGCATCCTCACCCGCAAAACCGACAAAATTGCACCTCATCAAACAAGAAGAAAAACACTCCTCCCGTCCCCATGACAGCGGTAGTGAGAGCGAAAGTGACGACGACGAGTCGCACGGCAGATCATCATCCGGCTCCGGCTCCGACGATGACGATGACGACGACGAGGAGGGCGACGATGAGGAGGAACTCTCGCCTGAAGAGATTGAGAAGAAGATTTTCAAGTTTAAGCAAGAACCTGAGGATGATTAATCATTTCGATCGTCTACTAATTATAGTGAATATCCATAATGGTTGATTGATTCTGACTTTGTTGTTTACCCGATCTCATCATCACGTTGTGGGCTCTGTATAACTATAGGTGACCCTTTTTATTCCTTCTTCCCTCACCTTTGCCGTTTAGCTTGGTGTTTTTCCGTGAGATTATTCCGGTGTTGAATTCTCATTCGAGGTGTTTCAGTATTGTACTGCATTTCCTTGTACTTTCTTACCGAACTGTGATTAATGTGTGATGATGATAACGGCCTTCCTCCCCCTTTTTTTCATCCTTCGTTTTGTCGTCATGTATATAATACTACAAGCTTTACACTATTTATGTAATAGAATGTCAACATTCATTCAATCAAGTACCATCTTATGTATATTCTATGTAAACAACAAGTAGCCACCAGACCTTACAACTCATCTTTCCTCTCATACACCTCCTCCGCTTCAACATCATCTTCATCTTCACCCTCTGTAGAGGTCGAGGCAACCCTCCTCGCCAACGCCGCAATCTCATCATCATACTCCGTCCACTCCGGAACCTGCCTCCTCGCCCTGTCTAACTTCGGCTCTTTCGTTAATGGATTATTACAAAGATCAATCGTCTTAGCCGTCTTGAGCGCCTCATCCGAACACCACGTCTCGCACCACAGCCAGTCTTGGGGAAGACTCTTGATCGGGATGAGCGTCTGCATATTATTGGGTAAGTCTTGGTCTAGATTGGCTAGCGATTCTGGGTCGGCGGATAAAGTGTGGTATTGACCGCGTAAACGGTCGCCGGCAGCGAGTTCACGGAATCGTTGGAGGTCGACGACATATAAGGCGGAGATGTGGTATTTCAGGTCCCGGAGGTAGGATTTCCAGTACCCCTGTTTCCAGAAGCGGAAGCCTTCCATTTCTTCGCGCGAATCGCACATGGGCGTAAAACCATAGGGGGCTCCCTCGAGGTCGAGTATAACGAGGTCGTACATGTCCGTGCGGACGATTTGGTCGGCGTCGACGAATATGACTTTATCCAGAGAGAGCGGGAAGAGAACGTCCAAAAACAAAATCTTGTAGCCCCATATTTCTCGTTGTTTTTCGCGTTGGCCGCGAAGCCAGTGCGGCCATTTGTAGGTTACCATTTCATAAGTGAAGCCGTATTCTTCTGCGAGATGTGGCAAGAGGGACTTGAAGGATGGGGAGAGAAATTGCTCGATGAACCAGAATTTGACGCTGTGGTTGGTATTTTTCATTACCGAGACCATCATGATATTGAGCATGCGTTCGTACAAATGCCCGCTGGCCACGGAGAAGATGTTTATTTCAGCATGTTTCTCGGCGGACTCGCTTTTGCCTGTTTGCTTGACGCCAACGCTCGATAAGACCCCCTGAGCGAAATTGAGGCCCTTGGAGACATAGTCCATTGCTGATCCCGGCTTCGGCCCAGTCTCCAAAACTTCTTCCTGCTCCTGTCCTGGTTTGCGTGATAGGCGAGGAAAGAGTGTCTTGCCCTGGAACGAGAGCAATGCCACCTCGTTAGTACCAGTACTCTTTTGTCCGCCGCCAATAGTATCCAGCTGAAAAATGTCCTGGCTTCGACCTTCTTTGAGCTCAATCTTCCAGAATCCAGGTTGTGCTTTGAATTGGAAATAACCCAGGTTAGCCATGACTAGGGTATCGGCGAAGAAAGATCCTTTTTCAGTTTCCAATAACAGCTGAACACCGCGAGGGGGAGATCTGAGCGTGGTATCTGAAGAGTGTCCTTCTATGAGGATATGCTCCAACTCATAGATTGCGTCGACATCAGAACCGTCTTTAATCACACTGAGCTTTATGTTGTCCAGATCATGGACGGAATACTTGGGCGCAACAAGCCAAGAGGATGGCACGTCCATGCCCAAAGTCAATAGTGCATCTTGAGGCAAACCCGTAAACGACGCTTCCGGACGCTCCAAAGCTCTGCTCTCGTCAAACGTCGGCTCAGACTGCAGGACATGTCGATAGAATCTCTTGATCGGAAGTTCTGACAATTGACCATTTGGTGCGAGGTAAATTCGTACATTAACGCCAGCCAACTTGGATAACGTCTTCAAAATAGGAAGCCATTTCTGTGCCATTTCGGATGTCGGGTCGACCGCTGCTGCAATGTTGATTGATGCCTCTTTGGTATTGGTAGAAGCATCAATAGCTGAGTGCGTACTATTCCATCTCTTCCAAACATTCACTCGGTACTTGGACCGCTGCTCAAAAACGCCTTCGGGGGCATCAGATGACAACATGACAAGGGAAGTGAGCTTGGCGAAGTTCAGAGGACCTTTTATTTTACTTTCAATATCGAGGTCTTTGAGGGCTGCAGAAAGGGGCCCAAGACGTTGCGAGGTCTCGTATGAGAATAGAAGCTCGAAATCTGCCTCAGTGAACTCGACAGATGATGGAAGTGGTCCAACGACTCTTCCATTAATGATGAGGCTGGTAGCTCCAGCTGATAGTCCTATGTCCGTGATCAACTGCTGGACGTTGATCCAGTATGTCTGTTCTTCCTCTTTCTGAACTGCTTGCTGTGAATTGCCAGACTGCAACTGAGCGAGTACATGGTCAAGGTCTATTGGCTCTGGATGGCGCAAAAGATCATAAAGCTTTGACGAATTGTCCCCAACTTTATCTTCTGCATCTGGATTGTGCAGAGGAACTATTTCAACCTCTGGATGTGTCTGACGAAACCTCAAAGCAGATATCAAAAGCGCAAAGCCATGCTCGGTGTTGAAGTCCCCTGTAACAATAAGCTGGACATTGGCAGTCGGATGTTTGGCATCAGCGGGGAAACGAAGAATATTCGCAAAATCATTGTGTGCCTCGGCAGCACTACGGATGTCAGCAATGAGAATGCCACTGTCACGTTCAGGGACAATCCACTCGTTCCGGCTTTGCGCGGCTTGCGAGAGGAAGTAGTCAGGTATATAGTCATCTTCGCTGACCACCCCTTGGATAAGGCCTTGTTGGATGATTTGAAGATCTCTGCTTAGTTGCATGGGGAGTTCTTGCATATAGGTCTCACTGCGAGACATAGGGACACCGTTCACCAATGTTGGTGGTAAGGCTCCTTTGAGATCCAAGCGTTTGAGATAGTTTTCTGTGCGGGCGACAATCAAGTCTAGTGCTTCTGACTGAAGTACTTCTTCAAACGAAAGAGCTTCTTGATCAGGACGCAGAGATCGCTCTGCAATAGCAGCTTCAAAAGACGGCTTGTGAGCGCGAGAAATCTCGGAGGACAAAGACTTGATAAGTTAGAAGTGATGTATGTATTTCGAGACACAAGACTTACTGCCTCAAAGTACTGCAACAGCGAAGCCAGGCCATATGCTTGGTGCAGATAGTGAGCAATCTTTGCTTGAGCCTTGGACTCTTCGGTGTTGGCAGTCAGAACTAGGCCAAACCGAACCGGTATTAGTCGTTTGATGAATGCGTAAAGATACTTTACAACAAATTGAACATCGTCGACGTTTGCAAGATCAACAGGGACAACGACATTTTGAATATCGCGAGCAACAGATGGGAACTGTCCTGGATATGTCGGTTGCAGCAGCTGACAATACTTGTATTAGCAAAATATCGCATCGAGGATTTTGTGACATACCGTTTGTAGAGTTGTAGGAAAATTAGCATATCTCTTATCCTTTTCAAGATCATTCAACCAGACGACAACCTCTCCTCCCTCGATCTCATCACGCCAGTCATAGCGTTGCGCCTCACTGTTGCCCTGTACTTCAGCCAACGCAGGATAAGACAAAAGATCAATGGCCTCCGAACCAGACAGTCCAATCTTTTGAAACTCGGCTATCAACTGTCTTTCCCGTCGTAGATAATCCAGCAATGAATAGGCATCGACTTGTCGAGAATCGATCTGCAAGCCATTAATCCAAATAGCATTGCGMCCCGCCGGTAATCCAGCCTGGCGATTCTTCTTGTATTCTTCCAAAAATTCGTTGGAAGCGTTATATGCCGCAACAGAAGAAGAGTGTTTCGGGAAATCCTGCGAGAGCTTGACCAGTGTCGTGAACGGATCCGAACTATCGAGCACGAAACTCGCTGCACTCATTCCTAGCTTTGCGACTTCGGAAGAAGACAACGGCTTCAAGTCCGGCGGTGCTTCGTCTTCCTCCGTTTCTAGATCCTGGGCACTCGGCGCTTTCGTGTTGCTCTTGGTTGTCTCTCTTTCCTCAGCTTGCCGGTCATCAATCACAATGTAATCCGTCCTCTTCAACGTCAACTCCACACCATAACCCGACACGAACAAAGGCTGAGAAACACCATCATGAGCCGGCCGATACCGCACTCTATATGCAATCTGACCTTCGTCCGCCAGCCCTTTTAGTGTCCGATGATAATCCGCAAATATCGGCGACGCAATATCCGCATATAGAACCGCTGGCGTGGCAGATGCGTCCCCTAAAGTCCGATCGAAGGGTAGCTCTCGAGGGTCTCTATCACCAGAAACATCCTGTTGCGCACGTTCAAGAGTCGAGGAACAATACTGTTTCCCATCCATGTGCACCCACACGGGGCAAGCGGCGTCTTGGGCGGTCCCCAACGTCGACGTTACAGAGGTATTATAATACTGATAATGCGCCTGGATTCGCGGTGCGGCGGAACGAATGGCGAGCGCGAATTTAAAGGAATCTAGGCTTTCCTTGCTTGCGAGATGGTTGTCTTGTATGAGGACTTGAAGGAAAGATTCATAAAGGTCTTTGTCGTTGGTGGCATCTTCGAAAATGCCAGAGGCGATGCGGTCGAGGAGAGGGAAGTATGCGGTAGCGTTTTCTTGGGCGGCTGTTTCTCTGAAATTACGTCAATGTTAGTTGGGCTTCATAGTACTATAGTCTAGACAGACGTACAAGAGTTCCACGAGGTACGGGCCCGCGCCGAACGAAGCTTGCAGGGCAACATTGACGGATGGACTTGCTACAGCCGATCGAGGTTGTAGCAGTACCAGCAGGCATGTAGCCAAGCTGAATAATGATGCCCGCATCATATTCATATGTACCAGAGCTTGTCGTTTTCCTTGATGTAAGCTCCGCGAAGGTTGAGAGTTGGTCTTTTAAAAGTACCTCCGTGATCTAGCTCGAGCTCTTCAAGACATGCGGTACATGAACATGATGCTTGCCAGGGAAATTGCAAGCAGCGAATGGCAGCCAATTATCAATCTATACAGTAGAAAGCGATGACCAAAGAGAAGGTATACAGAGTTTAAAGATGAAGTGGAAGGAGGGTGCAGGACACCTATCGATAAACGCCGCGTTGGAGCACTCTGATTGGCGGAAGCTTACCCCTTGACATCTGCATCACCATCTCATACTAACACTCATCCTACATTAGAATCGATATACGCCTATTTCTGTTAACATCTCATGTATCCATTATCAACTTCCTAGAATACAGCTTCTCGTAGTACAAAATCTCATCCGTTATCTGTTCTCTCTTTTCCTGAAACGTGCAACACCAGAAAACTCCGCCAACAAATCCAGATATACAAGGATCAAAATACAATCAAACAAAACCTGTAGTAAACTCCAAATCCGCCCAATGCTCAAGGCTCAAACGCAATGCAGTAGATGTTCAACCAATCATTCAGGTTTCTGTATCAGGTCTCCGAAGCCCGCAATCTCCTTCAAACTCTTCAGGTTAACAATTCTTTTCCTGTCGGTTTTCTTTCATTAAATCATTTCAAATCATTCAGTCATTCATAAGTTGGTGTTGCAAAGCATGTAGTTGCACAGTCGGATGGTTTTCACACCGCGTAGCCCACCTGCGCAGTTTGCTTTCCGTCTTCAGTAGCTCGAGCAGCTTCGGCTTGAGCTTGGAGCGCCTTCTTTCTCTCCTTGGCTTCCCAAATCATCTTCTGGCGCTTCATTTCATCCACGTCAAAGTTCGTCTCGCTGCTAGAGCTGCTGGCTGATCTTCCGCTAACCAGAGCGGTCAAGGATTTCTTCTTAGACAACGCAGGCTTGGTCTTTGCTGTATCCTTGATATCTGGACGGGAACGGATCTTTCGAAGCTGGTGGCTAATCCTTTCGAGAGTCGATTTACTCGGCTTGCTATCTGGGGTTGGGGACCGGGATTTCTCCGATGGGGTTGCGGCACGGGTGTTGGCAGAAGAAAAGGACTCGTTTGCAGAGGTGAAACTCACTCCGGAGTCGGCACTGCGCTTGTGAGTCTTGCTGCGAAATTCAGCCTCAATGTAGTCGCGATCAACTCGACTACATTCGTGAATCGTGTCATTGGCAAGGTTAAGGTATTTATCCAGAAATCCGCGCACCATAGGCCATGCAGTCTCATCCCCGGGACGAGCTCCAGACTTCAAGAGACTCTCAAGGGCCACCTTGCCATTTCTTTCGAGATTTCTAATGTATTCAAAGAAGTACTGACGCTGACGTGCAGTCTCAACTTTGTCCTCATAGTCCCACTCTGGCTTGGGAACTTTGGAATCATCCACTTGAAAAGCAAACAGGGTGTTCAACATAGACATGCAGGCAACTTTGTTAAATGGCTCCAGCCACAGCTCGTTGATCAGAGTCTAAGGACAACGATTAGTTTGTTTATCAGATCCCGAGGATCGAGTCAGGACTTACCCAACGACGCAGGCTTAGGCACATCTTGATGTAGATAGAAACAGCCTCACGCTCCTTTGATTCGATCATTTCAATCCAGCGCACGACGCCAGGGTATTTCTCGCGCAGGTCTTGTTTGTGAACTTCAGACACTCGAATTGTCTGTGAGGGGGAGATGCTCCATTCCACGCGCAAGCTCTCGAAAGCTGCTATAATTTCCTTCTTGCGGCGAGACTCGAGGTTTTTCAAGTAGTCCAAGGCGGTTAGTGCCTGTGGGAAGTCGACGTACTCCAGGTTGTCAGCAAAGACACGGCGCACAAAAGACATTGTGAATCCCACAGGGAGACTGTATTGGTGGGGACCCTTGGAAATGTGTGAGATCAGCTGTGCTTTGAACTGGGACGCGGCATCAGCGAGGGGCAGGGTCGAATTTTGCATGGGAGGGTTGGCAAAGTTGGACTCTTTGAATTTCTTGGGACCAGCCGTCAGAGGCAGTGTCTGGCAGTTGAGTGCATAGAGACTGCGAAGTGGAATCTCATATGAGGTGGGATTCATCATGTAATGCTCCAAGATGAAGGGCATGGCTGAGCCATCTGACCCAGCAATTCCCTTTGGCCGGGCTTGAGGGGAAGGAGACTGCTCATCCATGGTGTCAAATTAAATTGAAGAATAAGTGTTGTTGTCGGGTAAGAGTGACTTGACAAGCAATTACAACGGCGTGATACAGACAATTCAGAGTTGAAGCGAGGGAGATGAAGATGTGTAACGAAGGTTGAGAAAAGTCTCGCTGGTTGTGGGTGGGAAGAAATATTTCATTCAGTGCGGGGTGGAAGCAGATGGCTTTGTTGTGTTTTGTTTTTTTTGCGAGTGTCGTCGAAGAGACAAAACTTTGTGTTGCTTAGATTTTTTGGTGATAGTCGAAAGAAGCACGGATTGATTGTTCTTTCTCGGTAAGAACGAGTGTGGCAGTAACGTTGTATGCAGAGTCGACTCTTGAACCAAGAATTCTGAATGAAGTTGCTATTGGAGATGGCTGTGGTTTGATAGACGAAGACTGTCACAGCTTTGAGATGGCGAATGCAAAGTCGGGTGTAGTATCTTCAACGAATGAAAAGTGTCCACCAGGGAATGAAGGAATAGAGTCTTCTAAAAATAATTGAATATCTCTGGTCGAAGACCCGATTGAAGACAAAGATGGGGAAAATGTTGAAGAAAGAAGACCGGCCAGGCGGATGAAATAAGTGCTCCAGATGAGAAGTGGAGACTGAATCGGGGATGCTCAAGACGTTGTTGCTCCACCGTACCGATTAACAAGCTGTGAATCTGAAAGAAGAGAGATAAGAAATCGAAACAGAAACAAAAATAGGACGAAGATGTTTGGTGTTTAGAAAATTAGAAATAAAGAGAGTGGACAGCTTAGCTGATGGTGGAGTAGCAAGGTGGAGGATGGACGGAAAGACGTAGGGGGGCAAAATCGTGAATGGTACGATCGATACAGAATAATTACAGAGCACAGTATCAGAAACACGCAAAATATCGTGCATCAGTGTATGCTGGCGTATGTAATACTAACACTTCCAGGTTAACATCAATATTTATGCGTCTTTTTTCGCAAGCTAGACCACAAAGGGCTAACATGTCTTGCTAGCTCCTGGTAAACGATTCCGACAGGCCGGCCAGACGCTTTTAGTGCGCCTGCAAGAGCCTAGATTCAGAGCAAACGCGAACTAGTAAATAGTATATAGTACATAGTACAGTAATCAGCAGCTGGGACATCGACGAGTAGGCAACTCCATTGTGGTGGAACTGCGGAATCGTTTCGGCCACTGAGTCCGTCGTAGTATTTTAAGACCAAACATTACATACATCGTAAAGTAAACAACGCGACCCATGGGGAAGAGAACCCACCCAAGTGTCTGGTTCTGGTTGACAGACGCGTACCAAGGGCCAACTCGTACCTTACAGCCACGTCCCACTGACTATTTTTTCATCATTCAACATGTCGAAGGAAACAACCCTCTCTTATACAAAGTGACTACATTCACATAGTAGTTGAGAATCATATGAAAGAGGCCGGGTAAATGGCGCAGTGCATTTATCCGAAGATAAAGATCGTAATACGCACTCCAATGGACTCAACGTGGCGGTGATTCTATTCTGGCCTGACATTCCTCGTGGGGTAGTACGAATCCCCGTATCGACCACTATCGGACCACATACTGGCTGTGTTCAATGTTGATCTCGCATTGCCGTGGCGTGTCTTTGTACTATATAGTAGAGTCTGTAAGACACAGTCGTAATACACGTCGTACGCCTAGCTCAGCCCCGGTGTGTCGGGACCACGGAAGTTGGCACCGCTGTCCAATCGCATTTTCGCCTCCTGGCGTCCTTGCTTCTTCTGCAACTAAGCTAGCTAAAGTCAGTCACAGCTTGCCGTGTCCAGGTCCCATTCGGCTGCATTTTAATCGCGCCTCTGAACTTTGTTTCCGCGGGACTGGCCGTACGAATTATAAGATCCCGCTGGCCATAAGCAACAAGAATGAGGTCAGAGGCACAATGCGTACGTCGTGCCAGCTGGATGCATCGAGTGCCTTTCCGTTGGAGTAGCCGGTGGAAGAAAAGCCATTATCAAGATTTGTAGTCTTCTACAATATTGTCTATTCATATGTCGTCGTTGTCGTTACCGGCACTGTTCGAACGCAAGATAGTGATTGAACTGGACCAGTTCGCATAGCCATGTTGCTCTGACAACTTCAACACATTCAGTCTGGTGAGGCTTTCTTCTGGTGTGTTTGCTCGTCTGCAGATATCCGCCACAAACAAGAACCCTTAGCGTTGAACGATCTATCTCATTGCAGGCTTGTGGGTTATCTCAATGCTAGATGTGCGTGCGGTTAATCAATGCATTCGCGTGAGAGATGTATCATATATCAGAAATATCAGTCCGTGCCATATCTTTTTCTTTTGTTATCATGGACTATCAGAGTAAGCAAAACTCGGGATCAAACGAGTTGTATCGAATCTCAGACATATCGTCTTTCACCAGCGAACGATGTGGAATTTTAAAGAGACTTTCATCTGATTGATGTCTCGAATTACCCGATTCGGTAATGGATTTCGTTTGTCTGCTTGCCAGAGCGTTTTGTCTTGCAGGCATGGCCATATCTCTTTTCCTGTTACCTTGTCTCATCTCTCATCTTTCCTTGTTTAACTTCCTTTCAGTCAAATCACCTCAGATACGACTGTCCAAAAATCCTCACTCTTCTCTCATCTGCACCCTACTCTCATCTTAGCACACCTCACCTCACTAGCAACCTCAGCACGATGCTCGTCTACAAAAAAAGAGATATCCCTCCTGACCCAGTCTACCCGGTAGATCTGGAGAGGCTAGGGTAGGTCTTCTATCTGTTGTTCACCACAACGTACTAATTTTACGTCTCAGCTTCTTCGTCAACGACGAAGACAAGATCCGTCAAATCGCTAGTCCAGACGAAGGGTTCAAATTCAAGGTGAATGCTAACGAGAGATGGAATACCGTTCGTCGCAATGCTTATCATGGTATGTCTCAACATCGGCTCATGACACGGCACGCTGATTTGACAGAATGCATCCGTCACATCGTCATCTCCCGTCTGGAAGAAGTCGGCTTAGCAACCCTCCGTCTCCCCCTCAACAGCCAACCATCCGACAAACATGTCCCCATCCTCGTCTCAAGCAATCTTCGCACCGCAACGCGCATCACTCTTATCCTGGGCAGCCTCGACCAAGAATTGGGAGTCTGGACATGGCGCAGCATTGCTGAACGCGGCATCAACGCAGGATCAATGGTCGAAATCACCCGGGAAATCCTCAAATCCAAAGCAGACAGTAACACCGCATTGATTATTGCAAACCTGGGCCAGCTGGTATATCACTGTGGTTCGGAACAGGCGATGTCTCAGCGGACTTGGTTTGCGCTTCCGGTTGAGACGGCGGCGCATCCACCGCCGAGACAGACGTGGAGGAATATCATACCGCGGAATGGCAACTGGAGGGAACATGTGAAATGCATATTTGAGGATTTACTAGACCCGGAGAGCGGGATGGTCAATCCTGAAGCGAAGATTGATATCATTGGGGTCGAAGAGGGAGGGTCAGGTGCCGTTGAGTATTTGGCCGAGAACTGTAAGCATATTTACAATTGCTAAAGTTGAACCTAACACAATTGCCAGGGGCTTTGTGGAAAACTTCCATCTCGGGCATCTGCTTCTCCCGTCCGCAGCACCAAAAACACAACCTCACGCTCGACAGCGCAGACGACACCGTCCCTGAAGTAGGCTCCTTTGCGCACTTCATTTCAACCCGTTCTCGCGCCTACGTCCTATCCGACAAACCGCTCGAATGGCCCGTGCCGGGAACGCTGGAGTATGGCTGCAATACGTATTCTGGCAACGAGCCTCTCAACCATGAAGATGTCATTGTCTCTGCGTGGCAAAGTATGTTGCAATGGTTGGACAAGATCTACGCCGACCCGTCATACGAAGAAGTCCAGTTCGTGATCGAAGAGACGGTGGAAGATGACGAGGGCTGGGAGAAGTGGAGGAAGGGGGACGTTGACGCTGTCGATAATATGCGGAAGTTGGCTGTTGTTGATGCGGATTCCTAACTGTCATCGAGAGCACAATATACTTCGAATAAGGTAGACTTGGTGTGGTCAATCAATAGATTCGCGTCGGAGACCTGTATTATATCTTATCTTCATTGCCATTTCAAAGCTCTTCAGCCTGAGTTTCAGCCACCGAACCTCTCACGAGCTCAAGTCTTGCTGGGTTTCGATAACGATAGCAATAAGATCTAGCTATATGCGACATTCCATAACTGGGTAACCAGGGAGAAGGAGTAGATTAGAGGGATGTCAGGTGGCTCCTGCCAATCTGATAATGTTATCTCCGCGAACTTCTTTTCTTTCTTCTTACACTCCACTCTTCTTCTTAATTGCTTCATACAAATGACAATTTATCTTCATAGCACCCGATAACTCCGATATGTCTCTGAATAGATTGAGCCGCTTACGGAAATGGGGCTAATTGCACGCTGATACAATCCTTGAGACTCGCAGGATCTCTAGCGTCTCCGTTCCTCAAGCACTCGGGTACAACTTTGAGGCACTCAGCCGCTCGGTCGGTTACCGGCACGCAAACTCTGAACACGATCAAGGAATCTTTTCATTTGCACTGGCTAATAGGAGTTCACAGGTCAGAAATAGAGCTGCCCCTGTTGAGCCGCAGATGAATGTGGCAGAGCCCAAACCATCATGCGGCAGTCCCTGTTTGACCTCCGCCGAGTCCCAACCACGCGCCTTTCCGCTTTAGGCAATTTAAGTATACACTCTTTCCCCAGAGAGGAATATTGCAATAGGTATCTTGGCGCCTACTCAGACACGGTCTGCTTTGCATTGAGATTACTGTGCCGTTGAGGATCCCACGATCATGATAATCTTATCTATCTCTCGCAGCCAGGCCAAGATGATCCGCTTAATCTGCGACGGTCTCATCCTCAGAATAGTCACCACCTATACACTCCTGGCTGTCAACGTCTTATGCATTGAGAATGCTTGAGGCGTAGGCACTGGCTTGGCACATAAGTAGGGTTCTACTGTCCTGCTTTTGCATTGGGATTTCTTCTTCTCATCATCATCTCATTCACTCTTTGCATTCTCGATCTATTTTCTCGCAAACAGCTGGCTCTGTTGCTGTGTGTTGACTACTCTCTTTTGATCGTATCTGCATACTTTGAAAGTCACTCTTTCTTCTGCTTCATCGTCTTTCGACCCTTTGCATACCCAGTCTCCACGTTGATCGCGGATTCTCAAGCTCATTTCTCGGCATCAGATATACCCTTTCTTAACATTTCCAAAGAACCTATTCAATTCTTCAGCATCATGATTGCTAAGCAATTTCTCTTCGCCTTGGCAGTTTCTGCCAGCTTTCTCGGAAGCGCCACGGCCAAAGGCACCGGCGGTAATACTGGAAGTAATACAGGAAGTACCGGAAACAGTGGAAGCAACACCGGAGGAAACAATGCCGGAAGCAGTTCAAGCTTGACACTAGATTCCAATCTAGTTCAAACTGGAAGTCAGCAAACTGGTGGTAATACCGCCGGAGAAACGGCTTCTGCAACGTCAGTCAATTATTCACATCATACGTTCGCACGCTAATGCTGCTTCAGTGACAATGCCAACTTTATCAACTTTTGTCAGGGAAAGACCCTGACAAACGGACTTCAGGTGACCGCCGGCTCTTGCAATGGCATTGGTATGTTTGTTGATCATACAACTCATTGAATCAACACTGACGATAAATAGTCATGGGAGATATCCCGGCAAAAACCAGCATGGTCTCAACCGTCATCCTGAGTCCCCAGAATTTGCAAGACCTTACTGCGAACCAGAGCTTCAATGTCTCATTGCAGGTCTCTAACCTCCAAGCCGGTGCTTTCACCAATGCTACCAGCACATACTACGCAGCGCCACAGGCTCTTAACTCCGCAGGTCAAATTATTGGCCACGTCCACGTCACCATCCAGGACGTTGGCAGTCTCAACCCTTCCACACCTCCTGATCCAACAACCTTCGCCTTCTTCAAGGGTATTGATGATGCTGGCAATGGAAAGGGTCTTTTGCAGGCAGCTGTCACTGGTGGTTTGGCTGCTGGTACTTACCGTGTCTGTACCATGTCTTCATCTAGTAACCATCAGCCTGTTCTTATGCCAGTAAGTTATCTCCCTGGACTTGATGAGTTGATATTAACGTTGCTAGGTTGCCCAACGAGGTGCACAAGACGATTGCAAGTACTTTACCGTTGGCCAGGGCAACAACAACAACAACGCAAACACTGGCAGCAACACTGGCAGCAATGCCAGTACCGGTAGCAAGGGCAACACTGGCAGCAACGCTAATACCGGTAGCAACACTGGCAGCAATACCAATACCGGTAGCAATGCCAGTACCGGTAGCAAGGGCAACACCGGTAGCAACGCCAACACTGGCAGCAGTTCAAGCAGCACTAGTACAAGCGCAACCGCAAGCACAAGCAGCTCTGGAAGCAATTCCAACACCGGCAGCAAGGGCAACACCGGCGGCAACTCTGGTAGCAAGGGCAACACTGGTAGCAACGCTAGCACCGGCAGCAACACTGGCAGCAATACCAGTACTGGTAGCAAGGGCAACACCGGTAGTAATGCCAACACTGGCACTGGCGCAGGTGGTAAGGGCAAGGTTGTTGCCTCCGCTGCTACCAGCGCTAGTATTGACTGCAGTTCCGTTGCTACTTCGGCTGCCGCATCAGCTACAACATCAACAGCCGCTAGCGCTACTGAAGTCGTAGCTGCTGCCAGTTCCAGCGCCGTTGCTGCTACCAGCAGCGGCAAGAGTGGCAAGAGCGGTAAAAGTGGACAGAGCAGCAAACACAGCAGCAATGGAAAGAGATCCAACGGTCGATTTGTGTCGAGAAAGTTCATTGCCTAGTTGCAACAGTGCTATTTGCAGCGAGAAAAGGTAGCCTTGAGTCTGCTATGTGAGGACTTGAGGAACATATGGGTTTACTTCATGCAGATGTATATCTCATCTGTCTAAGCTGGGAGGAGGTGGTGGAGTGCTATGTATGTTGAGTGGTTAGATTAGGTCTATATCTGCTGGTTGGGTAGTGATCATGATGCATTATGTCTATTTTTTCCAATGAAAAATAACACTAAATTGTTCAATTTTATTTGACCATACAATGAAATCGATGTCTAATTTCAAGTACACAGTAGGCAGGAGGACATCGCGATAAGGATGTAGATAAGATTAGATAGGACGACGACCTCGAATAATTTCCGCGGACCACCAGGTACTCAAACTGTTACGCTTCACGTTACATATATCACACATGCGACAAAACGAGAGACAAGTTACAATCAAAAGCAAAAATAGAAACCGACACAAGTGATCTGTCGGTAGGGATTGAGAATTGTGATTTGATCCGAGGACAGTCGGCTTGTGTCTAGATTGGTCTTTTGTATGACAGTCTGGATCGGAACTTCGTGACGACCATCGACACACGACGATCGCGACGAGCGAGGCATGGTTCACGAGAACTGAATTGAAACCATCAAATCACATTATACTACACACTGATATACGCGCGACACATTACAAGCGGCCAACATGGCATCGATACCACCCCCAACTACCGCCGCACCTCCACCAACAGCAACAACAACCCTCAAAACCCTAACCTTCGAAAAGAAAAACACACACCTCCTCCACATCCCCTCGAAACAAAATGGCGACAGCAACAAAAAAACATACCGCATCGCCAAACGCCCTATTCCGCGCGCGCCCATTGCATCACCTTACGCAGGCAGCCACGTGCCCAAACCCGTGTACATAAGCAGCAAAACGCCGTTCATGAGCGCCGTTAAACGCGTTCAGAAATTGTTGCGGGCTGCTGAGCGCAGGGCTATGGCGCCTCTTCTTGGGATGGGGGGGAGGAGGCGGCATCCCTACCATCACCAGCATGCGGGGAAGGGAGGCCGGGATGTATTGGAGAAGTGTCGTGCGAAATTGAGGGAGGAAAAGGTTCTGATCAAAGCGACGGGCAGGGCGATTGAGAAGGCATTGAGCGTGGGTCGATGGTTTGAGGAAGGGAAGGGAGGAGGGGGCGAGGAGTATGAGGTTGTGGTTAGGACGGGGAGTGTCTGTGTTGTCGATGATATCGTCGAGGAGGATGTGTCTATCTCTGATCATGAAGATGAGGAAGAAGAAGAGGGAGAGGGAGGGGGAAGTGTTGATCCTGATATAACCATGAGCATGACCGCGACCAACTCGACGACAAACACACACGACAAAGACGCCGTAACAGAAGACAAACAGGAGAAAGAAGAATCCAAAAACCAGCGCCGCCGACGCCGGAAACGTGAGCGCATACGAGAACAACGCCTCAAGGCCTTTGTGGACGAAGACGGGGAGACGCCGGAGTCTAGGACGAGGTGGGTTAATACGGTTGAGATTGCTATTAATATTAAATAAATTCCTACTCTCGTTACGTGGTTAGGTAGAGGAAATTCATTATAAGAGCTCAATAATCGAGTCAGCACCTGGAAAGAGTCATGTACATACATACAGAGAATGAGGTAAATAGATACAAATGAAAGGAAGATGGCATTCTTCACATGATTTTCAGTCTCTTGTCTGATAGACCGTAAACGCATGTTATGCAAGGAAATACACGAGGTATGCCAAGGAATAAGAGAGAGAATGTCCACTGGCTCATGGATGTAGAAATGAAATGCTGATAGGAAAAAATCACTAATAAAAGAAATTATGCGAGCAAAAAGCAAAACACCGTACCCCCAGAACGCAGGACAAAAAACCGATTTGAAAAGAAAAATAAAATTCCTTGCGTCCGTATCCCTCATGAAACAAACAGCAAAGACTTTATTGCGCAATGCAGGCAATCATCATAAATAGTAAAAATCGAATGATCTCTAAGTTCTCCATTCGCAGATGCATTGCAACCCATAATTATTCCAAGTCATAGTCAAGTCATTTTTGTACAAGCTGTAGCTAGCTGTGCTCCGGGCGACAAAGATCATCTTTCAATCTTTTGCCAGCCGTTGAGATATGCCATCAATCCGATGCCGATGAGGACGACGCCTACCATTGACGCGTACGGGCCCGAGTTTTCTAGTATGTTGGGTTTTCGTTGTTGCGTCAGTGAGGATACTGCGTTTTCTATTTCCTTGATTTTGTGAGGATCGAGTTTGTGGTTTGGTAGAGATTCCTTCTCGTCGGATTTGCCGATGCCACGGGTATCAGCAACAATAGCTTCGGTGTCATCTGCAAGAGTCTCATTTGCTTTTGCGGCCTGCTCGCGTTCCTGTCGAAATGTTTCAATCATCTCGGCAAGCGATTTGCGGACTTCGATCGTTTCGCCTTCTGCTTTTTCGGCACGTTGCTTGAATGTTTCGACTTGATGTTTCATTTCTGCTAGCTCCGTGACCATGTTATCAAGTTGTTGCTGCAAGCTTTGAGTTTGCGCATCGAGAACGGGATCCTCGAGACTCTTAGGCTCTGCGACTTCGGCCGGCTCAGTGTTTGAAGTTTCAAAAGTTTTGGCGATCTCTTCGACCTCCGGTACATCTGATTCGGCAGTCTCGATCCGTTCAGGAGCAGCCTCTGCTGTAAGATTATCTGCTTCCTGTTTTCGTTCCTCTGCAGTCTCGCGAGCTGATCTTTCTTGTCGAAGAAGCTCTTCCAATTCCTTCACACGACTATTCTGGGCTTCTAGCTCCTTTTTTGTGGTGGATAAAGCCTCGATCAGAGAAAGAATCTGGCTGGACTCTTTGGACACCGGAGAGCTTGTTGGACTATCTTTCAATGGTTTCTCGGTATCCGACCGTTTCAAACCAGCTGCGGGTGGCTCAGTGGCGCGACGAGCGACGTCAGGTTTTTCAGGCAATGGCTGCTGTGGAGGTGGAGCTGGAGGTTCGGAAAATCTGATTGGATCAATACGAGACATCTTCGCTCGTCCATTCATCTGCCTGTGGTTCTCAAGTTTGTGATTGAGCTTATCCTTGTCCGCACCGTCTGACGAGATGAGCGTTTGCAAGAACTCATCGGTTTGGCGAAGGTCCAGAGACTGCTGCTTCGCTTGTTTGATCTCGGTCTAGAAAACGTTAGCAAAGCTCAGTAAGAATAGATAAACTGCTTACAGTAAGCCGCTTGACGACATGTTCGATGGTGATAGGTGAGAGCCAATAGTTCATTTGTCTTTGCTGATGCAAAGCACTCATTTGGCTGCTGGAGGTACTTTGAACGCTCCGGTTACTGAGAGAAGAGCTTGCGCGTCCTCGCAGGTGTACGACAGGTTGACTCAATGGCGACGGTAATAGACCTCCGCCAGAGGTGGGGTCGATATCGCCAAAGTTCAGGTCGAAGATATTCGGTCCAGTATTATATATTCCGGCATGCTCAACCTTTGCCGAGACTTTGTGATGAACAATAGACTTCTGATCCTCGCTAACAATATCGATACCGAGATCAAGCGCGTCGTTTTCTCTCAATTCATGTGGTTCGGATTCTCGACTTTCAGGTGACAGGCGTTGACCATTCACGAAAGTACCATTTGACGATTTGATATCACGGATCCAAATCTTTCCTCTGCGATCGGCCCAAATCTCAGCATGCTGTCGTGACAGCACCTTTGAATCGAAATATCCATTGACAGGCGTAGGGATGGTCTTTGCGTTCGTCTGACGACCAATGCGGAGCACGTCTGGCATGTAAGGCACTGTGATATGTTTCTTCTCGAACGTGCCGTTCAAAGGGATAAGAGTGAGGATAGCAGGCGGGTCCGACGAACCCTGCATGCCTGAGGCAGCAGAAAGGCCATTCTGCTGCGGTGACTGGATCATATGTTGCGATGGCACAGGCGACGGCTGGTGAATAGCGGACATGGCAGACGAAGCCGTGAGACCGCCGTTTGTTGAGGTAGATGCTGAGACTGGCTGAGGCCTCACATTTGTTACGCCAGATACTGGCTCAGATTTTGCGGCAGGCCACAGGCCACGTCCAGCTTTCTTTTTTGATGACCACGTAGCTGATTCCCCGTTCGAGACTATACCATTACTCGCGTGAGCGACGGTGTTTGTCGATGTTGCCGAAGCGTTCGACGATAGCGAGGAAGAAGAATTGGATCTTTGCACACTCTTTCGCGGCATAAACATACGGGACACGTCGTCTGTGTTCATTGAGCCAAGAGCCGCCTGTCCTCCGTTACCAGTAGAATACCATCCTAGACGAGGCCCCGATTGCACGCTAGGTGGTGAAGCAACAGCAGTCATGGAGAAGAAATCGGTGATCGAACGAAGGGTGATGAAAGCGATGCAGCTCGTGTGACGCGCGTAAAATAGTAATAACAATATTATCTGAGGTAAAAAAGTGCAAATGGACGGAGTGGCGCTAATGTGACCAACATTAGGATTGTAGGCGTTATGACTCGAGGTGAAATATGTGACGGGGAAGCGCGAGGTCGTTATCTGCTCGAGAGGAACTGCTGATTTAGCACATAGTCGCGACTAAGTTGCCGACGGATATCATGACTTCAAGAATCCATCCAGCTTGGCAAGAGCAATTACCTGGTTGATGAGATGAGCTGACGTGTGTACAAAGTCTGTAATCAAATTGTAGGTTGGTCAGAGAGATTGTTGCGTTCCCAATCTGGATCGGTAATTGTCTCCGTGAAATACGTAGTGTACTTGACTCAGGAGAGTATCAGTGACGGACGGGCCAGAGACGGTCGGCCACCAGACAGGACGCCGGACACGCCTTCGACCGGCTTTGTGTGAGGAGATCGGGGTTTTGTGTGGTGCAGAAGTCGACTTTTTGCAGGTTCAGAAGGCAGGATAGAGATCCATGGGTCGACAGCGTTGGTGTTTCGCCTAAAGCGAGGAACTCAGTCTGGCAGAAGACCAGAAAAGCGGGATAGTGAATTCACTGGACGGACTGAGTATCTCGCCTCACGTTCCCCATGCTGAGCCCGTTGCATCAGAAGGTCACGTGTACTGCTTTTCCAGCCAATAATAGCCACAGGATTACCGCACAGGCCACCCCTTTATCTGTAAGGGGTATAGCGTCTGCAAAGAGATACTGCCATGATTTGCCGCCCGTGCAATAAAGGCATTGGGACAGCAAGGAAACATCTGATCAGTCGACAATCATTTGCGCCTCAGCCGCTTTGCTTGATTTATCTCTGTTCAAAGTCATTCACTTGAAAGAGCTCGCCAACATGCCTGTCGTCGCTGGTCCGCCCCAGGCCCATGGCCCTTCAACCTTTGAGAAGAGTGAGCATTGAACTATACGCATTCGACAAATTGCGCTCAAGCTAATGGTTTCTTCAGTGAAAATGGGAGCTATGATGGGAACCTGTATGTTGAATACTACGCCTTATGATATGACTTGATGGAGGCTGATACTAGCGGCCATTTCTTAGCTGTCGGCATGATCATGGGTTTCATCGGCGGTACGCAACTATTTACGATAATCACAACATGGATTCATTTTGACTTGATTATTTGGCAGGTGCTGTTTCTATCTTCCAATACGGTGCGGGACCCAATGGAGTTATGCGCACTCTGGGAAAATTCATGCTAGGTTCCGGAGCAACTTTTGGGTATGCTCCAACTTCTTCTGCAGCCATTTGCTTGTTCGATTTAAAGTCAAGGACCTAGAATGCTAACCAATTGTGATTATAGAATGTTCATGTCCATCGGTAGCATCATCCGCACCGAAGGCCCTTACCACGAAGCCTGGCGTCGAGTCCACGCAAACCCTATTATCCTTCCTCGAGAATCCTCGGAGCGACGATAAAAATGGACTGTTGACGGAGCTATGATGGGGGATTTACAGTGGACAAACAATGTACATTATAATATGAGCGAATCGGTCAGACTAGGGCCTAAAGCAGTCGGATTTCTTTTCCATGTGATGTAGCTTATGCAAGCTACTTTTTTTTCTTTCATAATGACAACTTATATCTGTTTTGAGGTGCGGAGAAGGCTGAGCGGGTAGCTTGGAAGATGGGAAATTGTACATATTGTCGGATAAATGGATTTATTGTACGAGCTGCAAGGAGATATAACCTTGGCAAACGCGAAGGACGATTCAGACTGCCGTTGAAGATCCCGGTTGTCAGACTCGAGGGGAAAAGAATGGCGAGCACTAAGCCAGACTCTTACAGAGAGCTTTTAAATGTCAGGGTCGAAGAATGTCTTGAAAAGAAAACGGACCGAGTTGTCAAGTCATCACTCCTCATCCCTATTCTCAGGCAACTCTATATCTTTATTTGTGTCAGTCGCATGCAATAGAACAGGCAACTAGTTGCTTAGGCACCCGAAAGCTATTGAAATTAAAACATATGATGTCAAGTCACGTTTTTTAATATATGGTACTGGTCACGAAGAGGTCATAGCGCTCCTACAGGTGAAAGAACTGCTATTCATAGCCTCAAACATGCTGACAGCGTTCCCAAAAGATGCACCCCGATTGCGCACCCAGCATGTAAATACGTTTTCATGACGCAGTTTCAAAATGCAAGTAGTTCGAAGCCGTCCGGTGGGTGACTGCAAGATCTCTGCGCACAATATTCTGTGGCTTAAGGACTTGGATGGTGTGCTACTACATGGTATGACTGGTATTGTCGATCTGACTGTGATACATCGACATCAGAGATGATGTTGATGATCCGGCAAATCAAACCAAGCCGGATGCCGCCGAGGCAGGTGACAGAAGCAGGCTATTCCTTATTGAGTAGCAAATCGGTGCTTACTAGGCAATACAGGGTACGCGTAAGTAACACCGGTAAAAACAGATAATATCCGTAATGCCGTGTATCTGTTGTATCAGAGCGTCATGTGACAGTAGTCTGGACTAGCGGGAGCCTTAAATGAGCTGGATCAGGAACGCGCCGCGCTAGGGCAGCAATTTCCGCGGGCCGGCCAATTGGAGCGAGCTATGCACCGAGGGCGCCACTAGCCTCTGGATTAAGCGTTTTTCTGTGCAGGCCTGGAACTCATTCCGCAGACTCTCTTGTGCCTGGTTGCCCCTGGCAGACGGAAACAACACACACACAGGGGGGGCCACTATTCGATGATGCAACTGGTGTCGCAAGATTCGTCTTGCATGGCAGCCATGGCTACATGATTACTATGTAATCGTCTACCCGAAACCAATGGGCGCGCCTCGTTTCTTTTCGGACTTCGGAATGGACAGGCAAATTGGGCCAGAAGAGTGAGTCAGGACAACTGGCCACCACGCAGTGATTGGTGTACACCCGACGTGAAGGCGAGATGATGAAAATGAGAAGAGAAGAAAATTTTTCTCATCGCTTCCGTGGCCCAATGAGCTCTGGATACAGTGAATAGCCCTAATTCGATTCGTAGGAAGCGTGATCCACCCCAGAAAACCCACATGGATTTGCCCTGTTTGGATTCGTCTGTTCTCGATTCAGTTGAATCTTTCATGCTTACGCGGGGTGAACCCGAGGGAAGAGCCGAATTGGGACTAACCTGGGCTGAACACTATGTAGTAGTAGTTAATAGGACCGCATCCCCCTGGTCTCCTTCCTGCCTTTCCTTCCCTTCCTCCTTCCGCATCGCTCTTTCACGCTCCTGCAAATAGCATCACCACAATTCCTGCCTTCCGGCACAGTCATTCTTTTAACCAAACAAACAACTCGAGCCGAGCTCACCACGTTCATTACACCTTTCAAGTGAACATATCGAATCTCTTTCAACGGACATATTTGATTGCCGACTACTCGTACTACTACTTGTACCCTCGTCGCAAATCCGAAACTCGTCCAACCCTCGTATCAGCCAACGCCCGCGTCGGTCCCTACACCAATCTCCTTTCTATTTGTGCATCCCTGCCGTCAACTCAGACTGCTGATCGTCTCGCTGAACATATAACGTTATCTTCGATACCCATCTCAATATATACGCGCTTGTCGCTTTCTACATTCAACCATCAACATGAAGTTATCCATCACCGCTGCTGGCCTCTTCTTGGCTGTCTCCTCGTTCGCGAGCGCCCAGTCCACCTCCACCATCACCACCACCCACACCATCACCCAGACCATCATCCACGCCTCCACCGTCACTGCTTCTAGCAGACCGGCCTCGACTCCTGCTGTCTCGCCTTCCTCTACTCCCAAGCCCTCACCCTCCAGCAGCGTGGTTCCTGCTTCAAGCAGCGTTTCTGGTACCACCACCACCACCACGCCTTCCGTTCCTCTCTCAACCAACTCCAACGCCGCCGTGCCCTTGGCAGGCAATGTGCAAGCTGCTCTTGTCGCTGGATCATTCGCTGCTTTGCTCGCTGTTCTCTAAGCTCGCCAAGTAACTTGTTGCGATGGAGTGGGGAGGGACAGGCTGATACCTCACAATCTTCTTTGCTTCTTCAGCCAAAGAAACCTTGATTCTTATACTTTTCTGAAAGTATATCACATGATATGCGAACCGATTAATTGCCTTCGATTCTTCTGGTCATGTTTATCTTGACCATCGGCATTTACTGCCATTTACCTATTCTATTTGATATCACGAGTCCATGCTTACTTTGTCTGTTCAGCCTGGGGCTGCAAGCCTCCGGTGGGATATGACAATGCAATGAAAAACAAGTCAGCAAACGGATCTGGCGTGGGAGTTTCTTTTACCTTTTCATGATGGTGGCTGGCCTTTTATATACCTTGTGTTTTACCTTTTGAGCCATGCCATTGATGGATGAGATTTGGGGTGATATTGATTTATCTGGAATAATACGTTCAGTTCTTATCTATTGTTATGGATGTAGTTGTATGTGCTATTATACCCTACCCTAATATGACGCTTAGCCTTCCTTTAATGTTTCAGCAAATTAAAGATCCCCTATCACTAACGCGAAACTAACCATAAGCTATGACTGCCGGGTTCCTCAACATCCGAAAATGATCTTATGTATCAACTTCTTTTCTTATTCTTCGTGTGAAAAGTCCTCATCGGATCCTTTGACTTCACAATCTGTATCGGTGTAATCCTCCCCATTCTCTTCCTCTTCGTAGTAATCTTCAGAGCCTTCATCTTCGTCTTCTTCTCCATCGTCATCGCCATCGTCATCGCCAGGTTCATCGCCAGGTTCATCACTAGATCCATCCTCATCGCTCTGATCTTCATCGAGACAGACCTCAGAATCATCAGAGCTACCTAACCAATCAGGCGCAACAAAGCTTCCACCACGCGTTACCGTCTTAGTTCTAACCGCCCAATGCTCATCGCTATCCATAAAGAGGGCATTATGATCCCTCGCATACTTACGATACCACTTGAGGAAGCTCTTTGCATCCTCAATCAGATTCTTGACATATTTCGGTATCTCTGTATCTTTGGGAAACGTTATGGCCCTCACATCATCAATTACAATCGCATCCTTCCGCAACTCAGGCCAGTATTTTGGATGCGGCCATGCCACGAGCCGCTTCAGTGACTGCAGATACGGCACAAATTCAGTAAACATCGGGTTCGCAAACATACACTCCGACGGCCTCGGATTTCGCGTCTTCAAACGGCTCAAAGTCCGCGGGATCGCCCTCGATGAGGTGCGCGTTGGACCAGGAGTTGGTCTCGTGATAATATTTCGGCGGTTCTGTGAACAGCGTCGGACTGCCTGAATAGTAATATGCCAGGTTCTCCCAGGAGGAGACCAGATCGCGGAATTCGGCGAACAATCTGGCGTCGTTGGGATACTCTTCCTTCTGGATCTTCAGCCCGATTTTGTAGAAGTAGTCTCCTGTCATGGTCTCGTAGGGGAAGATGAGTTTTTCATGGGCTATGTTAGTAATCACTAGCATATCCGTGGCTGGATTACAACGTACAAGACGACTTCTGACGCCTTGGTTCCATGCCTCCTCATAAACTCTCATGGTTTTTGGATACCGTTTCACAAGGACCAGGCGCGCCTCACGACAGCATAAACTCAGTTTCAACATGCCAAGTGCCGTATGCGCCGTTTCTGGTGCGGGGAACCATATCGTGCTGTAGAAGAAGGCATCACTCATGTTCTGGGAGTACTTTTTTGTTTCGTGGCGTTTAACTTTTGCGGCGCAGTTCTCTCGTTCGCCGCAGAATTCCTTGGACGGGGATGAGAGGCAATAGTGGCATGTTGCGATGCTGTGGTATATGAGAGAGATGTGGATAATGCGTCCGATTGTTGCGTTATCCAGGGCGTGCTGCCATATTAATTGCCTTACTTCTAAGGGGAGAGAAGGAAATTTACGAAAGCTTTGTGGGCCTGATTCTTGAGTTGTGGTCGACATACTGTTTGGAAGTTGAGATGTTTACTTCAGTTCCCGAACACATGAAACTGTGGGTTGACATCGCATACGGATCTTGTATTGATCTTGTATTTCTACCGTATCAATACACCGATACATACTATGTGGTAATGTACGTATGTCAGTAAACTAGCGCTGCATAAAATTGACTATCAACTGACATCATCCCCGCACCTCTTTTTTTTTAATCAATGAGATGAGCAGATACAACCTATCTCACCCATATTCTCTACGCACATGGACAACGCACGTTCATCACCATCATGAGTAATATAATGGCGGAATGAAGATCCTATCAGACAACCTGTCCTCCATCACCACTMCCCCAACGAACAAGCCAATCTTCATCCCTACTGAAATCATCCTCCAAATCGTCTCGCGCCTCGACCGCAGTCTGCGCGGCCACGAGCGCCAACAAACCCTCTACAACATCTGCCTAGTATCACATCAGTGGTACTCAGCCGCTCTATCTTTTCTGTACTCGAGGCCCAGGTTAGAAAAGGGAAATGCATATCGCAAGTTTACGGACGTGCTATGTCCGCCTGCGGGTATGCCGAAGACGAGTTCGATGAGTAAGGATCTGGGAGTGTTTGTGCGCAAGTTGGACTTGAGTCGCTTGGTGCATCATAGTTCGAATAGTATGACGGCGAGGCTGATCGGGAGGGTAAGGGAGAATTTGGAGGTTTTTATTGCGCCGGCCGCGGGGTTTTCGTACGCCAATCTTCCTACCTAATCCTTTGAATATCTACAGACTACTGACGGTGGTGAAGGGTAAACTGTCTCTCCCCACTGTCCAAATGTTCCAAACTGCGCTACCTCGATCTCTCCCTCATCCACGAACCTTTATCCCTGAAAAGCATACTCAAATCAATACGCTCTATGAAACACCTCATCACTTTCCGTTCCCCGCTCTCCATGCGCATCAACACCGACGAGCAGTCATCATCAACAAAATGGCCCTCGAGCCTCAAATCCTTGCAGTTCAGCGGCACAATCGAAACGGCCATGGAGACATTTCACTGGCCCTCAAACATGACCCAACTCTGCCTCAAAAATTGCCAAAACCTGTCTCTCGAAAATATGACAAACCTCGTCAGCAATCCGCAGCTAGATGCCAGACTCAAACGCCTCACTATATCAACGTACAACCGCGGCCTACAGCCGGAATGTGTACGTCTAATACCAGCGTTTTTGCCAAATCTGCTCTTTCTGAGCGTTCCTGGTGATCTGGTGCAGGATACATTCTTCTCTATGCTCGACTACCAGCGTCATGAACTTGCACTCGAGGTCCTGGAGCTGGGGCATACGCATACAGGTGAAAGGCTTCAGTTCCACATGCAATCGCTTATCGATTTGCTGGATTCGAGACTACCGTATCTCAGGGCTGTGGGGTTTCATACTATGTACGGCGAATATCCGGATCTAGATGATGCGCTTCTCGAGCGTGCTGAAGCACTAGGGGAGGAAATGCGGGTTTCGGAGGAGACGGATGAGTTTGACGTTGGGACTTATTACTTTGATTGATGAGCGATATGTCCATGATGATTGTTTTTTTGTATATATTTATCTATAGATAGTTGTTTAGTGATACCGAGTATATATTCTTACTGTCAGAACACCTGGGTTACCTACATGTAAGTACGTAAGTTTTACTACACGTTGAGTCGGTGAAAGGATAAATATATTAGTATCTACAACCCTAATGCAAAAAAGGGGGCACAGGACAAGAATCTACCCCAATCTGGCCAACCATAAAAACAAATTCGTCATCATCAACCAATCCGACACAAAACAAATCCCACTCAATTCCCTTTTCTAGTAGAAAAACAGAATGAAGATGAGAGTAAATGGCTAAAGAAAACATATGCTTTTCTTATAACAAAGGAAAACAGTCTGCTCATCTAACTAACCGACGCGACAATGGCAGCTGCGAATCCTTCCTCTTCCGATCGAATAGACACCTTTGTCGTGACGCCTGTTCGAGCTGAGAAGGCCATCTTGACCAGACCCGCGATGCGACCACCGGATACTGTCTTGCCGTATAGTTTGAGGGTATGTGTGGTGTTGCTGAGGGCGACGTCTGTGCCTTCGAGGGGTTGTAGGGATAGGGCTGTGATGAGTTGTTCGGTTGCATCTATTTAATGTTAGTACAATGAAATCATGAACAGGGCGAGTTGAATAGCAGAAGCTTACCGGAAATGCTCTTGACATTGCTGAGTTGGAATGTCTCGCTGGCCTCTTCGCCGTTGGCGCCAGTCTGTTCCCATACATGATCGAAGCTGCCAGCAAAAGCGGGAATGACATAGTCGCTACCGGTCAGGTCGAGATCTTCGACCTGGTATTCGTCCTCGTAGCCGCTCTTCTCAGGCTCGCCAGTGGTTGGGTCTATCTCCTTGCTGGTGAATTTGAGGTTGTTCGTAAATGACAAGGTAGGGAAACTGTGCTCTCCACCAGTCTTCTTGAATGCCACGTACACGATACCCGGCTCGTTGGTAGGCAGTTTAGGGCATGGTACAATGAAGTCTTCCTCCAGTTCCTCTTCGTCATCCGTTGGCGTTGCTACCACCGACACGTCTTCTAGAACAGTATCGGGTAATGTGTTCTTAAGGTCATATTGCAGGACAATGTGCTCCTTGAAAATATGTTTGACAGCAGAGACGACGTATTCGGTCTCGCTCTCGGTAAGTTCGACCACGTTGGAAGATTTGAGAAGCGTGCCGTACTCCTTGAGCTCCGGGATTTGCATAAGCTGTTCGGCATATTTCTGAGTAGCAGCGGCAGTAGCAGCACCCTCGGCAGCACCATTGGCCTTGGCTTTTGTCGGAGCCGTCGAAGGTGCTTTGAGAGTGGGAGTCGCCGATGTAAGCTTCTTGGTTCTTTCTTCGGCAAGCGCTTGTTCGTGAGAGACTACAGGAATAGACGAGACGTCGAAAGCCACTGAGAAGGTTTCCTTATCCGTAGCTGTGACATACATGACCAACTGGTGCTCGAATGTGGATAGCGAGAACATGGAATCTATCAAAGTCAGTACACATACCCATGACAATTTGTTCAAATACGAACCATTCTTGACAAAGCGATTAGCGACTTCGTCCTCCTCCTTCATCAAACGAAGATTAAGAGCCGCACGATCCCGCACTTCATCATCCGTGTCATCCAAGCATCTGGTGAGCAAAACGGAAACACTACGCTTGACCTCCGGATCTTGCTGACCGACACCAAACTTAGCCAGTGCAGTGACAGCAGCGGCACGAACAACGGCGTTTTCGAGGACTACCCGGTTATAGATATATCGAATGTATTTGGTAGGTTGAGGAGTCTTGGGGCCTTCCACGCCGAGCAGATGGAGGATTCGGACGGAAAGCTTGGTGAACTCGCAATCCTCAATAAACTCGCAAAGATGTGCAAGTGCTATGATTGTCAGTACTTAGCATTATCAAGCCATTCGCACGGAAAAAGCTTACCGTCTTCTTTGCTACCGGGAACAAATTTGATAAGATCAAACATGCTCTCAACAACGCTGCGCTTGAATTCATAACCACCCTCGTCCCGAAGAATTCCGCTAAGGAAAGTAAGCATACTGGCCTGTTTGCTGGGGAACTTCAAGCATAGAGTCCTGATAGCTTCTACAATGGTGATCTTGAACTCGTCGGTGATATCTGCCATGAAACCAGAGATCTGCTTCATCAGACGATCAACACTAGCCTCGTTACCGGTCTTGAGCAACGTAGTAATGGCGAATGTGGCAATGGAACGGTTACTGTTGGAGATGAGTGCTTCGATATCTTGATTGCATTGGTTGACAACATGTGGCTTGAACGAAGCGAAGCTGTGCAAGATTCTGATCGCGGCGAATTTGGTAATGGCGCGCGGAGACGAAAGGAACAATTGCAGGACATGAACAGCTTGCGAAGCCTCTGCATCGGTCACATCCTTCATGTCGCAAATAGCCTTGGCGGCCTCGAAATTAACCATGTCGTGCTTGTGTCGGAGCCAGCCATCAAGCAGTTGCATCATTGGTTTCCTCAGACTTGCGTCTTCCTCTGCAAGTTTCGCCGCCAAACGCACGAGTAGAATGACGGCCGCTGGACTCTTGACTGCGCCGGCCGCAGCATATTGTTGAACCATCTTCACCAGGGCCATCCTGTCGTGAGATCGCATCTGATACAAAAGACCAATGGCATGGTATTGCGTCATATAGTTGGTCTGTGAAATCGCATGGCTTTGGCCAGATGAGAAGCCCAAAAACCCGGTCGACGTCTTGGAAGCAGAAGCAGCTTCTTGTGTTTCGCTCTGCCATCGCCGAACAACGTCACGCGCGATCGGAAGCAAGTGGTATGAGGATACCAAAGCGGCTGAAGAAACTGAAGGCGTTTTGTCGACAATGGCGGTCTTGATCAATCGCTCGATACCTTGAACGGTGGTAGCCTAGAATAAAGTTAGTCTAGGCAATGACAAAACGTCTCGTTCAAGCTCACATCAATGATACGACACAATCCACGGATAGCGTTGGCTCGGTAGACAACATCGCTTCCAACCGCAGTATCCTTCATGATAATACTTGTTGACATGATTACATCTTGGGCTGTGGTAGCGAGTTCTTTAAGGATCAAATAAACCATTTGACGTAGAGAAGGATCTTTGTTTTGGAACAGCTTAGAAATGCCGAAGAAGAGTGTTGTGGCCTCATCAGATGGGAATTTCTCGCCGGTAAATAAGAGGACGGCGAGCTTTGTGAGGAGGGTGCGGCATCTTCGCGGAGAGATTGGTGATGAATTGAATAGTCTTGCTATAATGATTGTCAGATATTTCCACAATGTCTAGCGAACATGACAGTCTGTCAGAGCTAGAAGTCGGCGTCCTGTCTTACCTTCTTGGAAAACAGTGGTGCGATCAAGCTTGATCATGGCCTGATCGGCATCTTCATCCTTCTTCATATAAGCCATTTTGGTTTGCGTATCAGTCCCACCAACGAAATATCGATCGCAAACAGCCCTGTGCAGCTATGTTGAATTTAGGGTCGTATAAAGTCACGAAAGGAGAGTGCTGGTGGAGGGGGCGGTGTAACCAGGCCTACCGCGCCTGCATTCTCCGGGGTAGGTTCGACTGAAGATACGAATGTGCGTGATAGTAAGCCAATTCCAGAAATGGACCCTTGAGTTGGCAGTCAATTGTGGAAATCGTGGGAAATGGCAAGGAGGTAGTTGTTGTTGCTGCAACCCACTAGTAATCGATCTATCTCCAGGTGTCCTTCCGAGTCTCCTTGTGTGGGCACCAAACACGGGACTTGCCAAACAGTGCAAACATGCGGCGTAGTGGCAGGKGCCMTTGACCCAGCGTCAGGCAACTTTTTGAAATTACAATATACAATTTATGTGCTCGATTCCTCAGACGTTCACTTTTCTTTCAATCTAATTAATTCAAAGCTATAATATTCATCATGGATATGCCAGTGAATGTCCCCGTGGACCACCCCGAAGCGGATACAGAGTGGTATGTATATACTTCATGCTTCTCGAGCTTGACAACAGTGACAAGCTAACGTACAACGATCACAGGAATGACATCCTTCGAAAACACGGAGTCATACCGGAAAAGCCCCCATCACCGACACCAATTATCGAAGAAGCTATTCTTGAAGCTCAGCGACGAGCCCACGAAAACCGACTCGAGGACAAGGATTTAGACGAGCTCGATGCGCTCGAAGATGAAGAAGATGAAGACTTCTTGGAGCAATATAGGTGGGTCGACGACCAGCAACTAAGTTGCTTTGTTAAGGAGTCCAGTATTGATTTTCAAATAGAAAAAAACGCATGGCCGAAATATCCACCCTCCAGAAAGCAAGCGTCTACAACCAAGTCTACCCTCTACAAAAAACAGACTACGCCAAAGAAGTCACAGATGCTTCCGCAGAAGCCTTCGTTCTCGTGAATTTGACCTCATCGACAGGTGGAAACACAGAATCCCGCGTACTGAGCGAAATATGGAGACAGCTGGCGCCCAAATATGGAGAAATCAAGTTTTGCGAAATCAGAGGCGACATGTGTATAGAAGGGTATCCAGATCGTAATACGCCTACGATATTAGTTTATAAAGATGGAGAGATCCGGCGACAATATGTGACATTGAGAGAGCTTCAGGGTGTGAGGACGAAGGCCGAAGGTTTGTCCCCTTTTATCACAGATGAAATCATATATTGACAAATAGTGCAGACGTTGAAAAGGTTCTCGTGGACTTGGGGGCGCTTAAGGAGGGCGATATGCGACTTAGAAAACAAGATGACTCCGACGACGAGAGGAACCGGGCTCCTGAAAAGGAAGATGAAGATGACGATGACTGGGATTGAGACTATGCTTCAGCTTCTATCTTTCAGTATGTTGACTGGCCAGGCGGCTTGAGTGTCGAGTGAACCTCGTCAATCCGCGGTGCGCGCGCGCGTCGTGATCGCATTCTGTGGCTTCGGCTTATTCATCGAGACGATATTCCTCGCTCGGCGATGTATCTGATAGCATGGCCTCATAATCTATGTACTATATTGGTGTTTCGATACGCGCTCAACCTAACCAATGTCTGAGTCGCTAACTTCGCCATGATCTTTCCTACTACCTAGGTTACCTTTGTCGGGTCATGTAATAAGCTACAATGGAGAAGTAATCTTAGGATCGATGATGGATCAACTAGAATGTAGGATCGATGAAGCCCAGCAATCGGACTATACGTCCACGGGTGCTTAAAAACAGACCAATATATATTTATAGTGTAGAGCTTTATATTGTTACTCAAGACGTGCACGCAAGCCCTAGCCCTAGCCCTGACTATATACCAGCCTACTATAACCTTGTAGATTAACCAGGAGACTGTAAGCACATCTTTTAATCGATTGAATCAGACTGAAATATTGACAATATAGCTGCTCCTAGAGCTGTAAGCTCCACACTCTCTAGGAAAGCGGCATGGGCCATAGTTTTCAATACCAGCAAAAAGAGATCAGGACCAAGCAATTTCACCGAAACCTTCTCTTGCATGCCAATTAAAGCCGATTAGATTGCACTAACGTGGTTTTTCACCAAGCAGGTGTAATCACTGCTACCATAGTAGACAGTATATCCATCGTTAGGAGACTGCCCACTGCTCAAAGTATCACCCCACTGCCAGAACAAATCTGCGGCAACGGAACTGATAGCCGTTGTTTGCCAGGGAGCCTCGGAGCTGCAGAGACTCTTGGATCCATACTCTTCGAGAAGACATGGTTTGCCGGCGTTCTTGCAGGCTTGGCCGTGGGCTGTGATCCAAGATGAGCCCCAGGAATCCGTCTCGCCCCCTGATTTTGACTTGTTAGCCTTGGTTACTAGTAGAAAGAAAGATATAAAATTTTTGACTAACATTGGCTTGGGTATAAATGAATCGTTCCGAAATCGATGGTCGGGATGGTCAGGGTCTTTTCAAAGTCATTTCCTTCAGAATATCCAAAGGGGTAACTACCATCCGAGTCGACGCTCAATCCCATGCCCTCTATCAAGTAACGTGAGTAAAGTGCACCAGCTGATACTTTCGTGACGTGAGCAAGCACTTACCATCTCCAATACACACCATACGCCCCGGCTCAAGCGACTTGATATACTGGCTTGTTGACTGGGCCCAGTTGTAGATGACATCGGTGCTGCATCCGTTGCAGCGTGGCTCGTTGGCCAACTCCCAAGCAAAAATGGCAGAGGACCCGGTGTACCGGCTGATGACCGCCTTGATGTATGTCTTGTACGCGGTTTGCGCTGCGCTATTCGTGTACCATCCGGTCTGAGTTCCACCGTAATTCTGAACGTATGCATTCATACCACCGTAATCATTCCAGTTGTTCACGAAGTTGATGATCAGCTTAATATCATGAGCCTCAGCAGACTTTACGACATAATCAAGACGCTGTAGCCCATCAGCGCCAGTGTTGATTGTCTGTTGACCATTTGCGAGCAGCTGGAAATAAACCGTGCCAGAACTGGGTACGGTATTGACATCGTTGAATCCCCAGACCCGCAAAATCTTGAGGCCTGACTGCTGCAAATGGCCCATTACCAAGTCAACATCGGCATCGTTCGTGAGAAAGGGAAGCCAGTACGAATTGGTACCGGCAAAGTACCCCTTATTACCGTCAATTACGAAGCTGGTTCCACTAGCACTAGGAAAAGAGCCGGTAGCAGTAGAGCCGCCAGCACTTGTTGTGCTTCTAGTGCTAGTAGTGGATGATGCGACTGTGGATAGAGTTGTCGCGGTTGAAGATGAGCTTGAGCTCGAGCTTGGAAGACACTGGCTATACCACTGGTTCTGATATGAACAGTACCAACCTGGATTGCAGGTGACATCTCCGCTCCAGTTCTGGCCACCACACTGACCCCAATTCGCTGTTTGGGAGGCAGCTAGATGGGACAGGAAAGGAATGATGAGGATTGCGGACTTCATTTTGAAGTAGATTGTGGAACTTATTTTCTCAGTTTGATATCTGCTCGTCTTTCATTTTTTTTTGGACATTTTGAGAGCATGAGAATGGCCCCTTATATAGTTTTCAAACCTCTACTTCATGATCCTTAATTTTGAGCATCTCCCGATATCCCGTTTCATTATGATTAACTACATAATAAAATAAACTATGTTTGCAGAAACATCTTCACCTTCTCGTATCAGCATGGATCGGCAGTTGCAACTACTACCCCAGAAACCCCAGATTCAGACATGGACAGTCTATGGCTGTCTAAATTCCCGAGGTCATACTATGCGGCCAGAATTGTGGTTCGACTCCGCTCTCAATGCGGAAATTGTGGATATCCAATCGCTCAATCCAACACGGACAAGACGGGATGAACCTAAACGGGATGCGTATACCACGGGGCGCCGAACAGTCTTGTGATGTCTCCATATGGCCTCGGGAAATCTTCGTGTTCGAGTGTTTGCTTCCGTGCTGATTCCGGCTTAGCATCTGCTTGTGTTTCTAGACGTGAGTCTTTCAGACGATCATAAGGTCTTTGTTATATCTATAAATCACATGCAGTTCCCCATGGATTCCCCGGATGTCAATCGTGTGTGCCTCCTGAACACTATCACTTGACTTCTTGAAAACATTCTCAAGATACTATCACAATCTCAGAATGGAGAGACCCGAGCAGGTTGAAGAGAAAAAGACCGCTGCGGCGCTGGAGGAGGTAGTGAGTACACAGCACACAAGTGACTGAGATTGTGCTAATAGATTACTGTCACAGGAAAACACCACTCTCCGAGTGGTGACTGGCAGTGGCGCATTCAATGAGGCCCTGATACAGGAGCCCCCTATCCTGAGCCACCCAACCACCATCCTACTGTGCCTCTGCCTACTGGTCGGCTTCTTTTGTCAGACTATGAACGGATTCGACGGTTCGCTATTCAGCGGTCTCCTCGCCAACACCGTCTTCCTCGACCACTTCCACGGCAGCGATTCGGGAATCTGGGCAGGCATCGTCTCTGCCATGTACCAGATCGGCGGTGTCAGTGCACTCCCCTTTGTCGGTCCTGCAATCGACACCTGGGGCCGCCGTGTCGGCATGTTCCTAGGCAGTCTTTTGATTGTCCTCGGTACGATCGTGTGCGGTCTCACCATCACCAATGCCAGCGTCGGTCAATTCATGGGAGGACGCTTCATGCTTGGTTTCGGCGTCTCCATCGCCGCTGCTGCAGGCCCTATCTACGTCGTTGAGACCGTCCACCCAGCTTATCGGGGTATGGTGACTGGTTACTGCAATACTTTCTGGTTTGTCGGTTCGATTCTTTCGTCTGGTGCTGTCCGTGGTGCGATTACTCTTGACACCAACCAATCCTGGCAAATTCCGATCTGGTTGCAGATGGTCTTTGCTGGGCTCGTTATCGTATTTTGCTGGATGATTCCAGAGTCTCCTCGTTGGTTGTATGTTCACGGAAAAAGAGAGAAAGCTATTGAAACTATGACAAAGTGGCATGGATACGGAAACCGTGATTCTCTATGGGTCAAACTCCAAATTTCTGAATATGAGACGCATCTGAACGTCGATGGCTCTGTAAGTTCCTTCAAATGTTCATTCTATCTTCTGATGTAATGGCTAACACTCTTAGGACAAAAAATTCTGGGACTACCGCAGTTTGTTCAACCGCCGAAGCAATTTCTATCGTCTCGCCTGCAACTGTGCCTTTTCTATCTTTGCACAATGGGCTGGTAATGGCGTTCTTACCTATTACCTGGTCCCAGCCCTTAAGGGAGCCGGATTCACCTCCGACGTCACTCAAGCCAACATTAATCTCGGATACTCGTGCTTCCAATTCTTCTTTGCTCTCTGCGGTGCTGCCTTTGTCGACAGACTGGGTCGTCGCCCCATGATGCTGAGCGGTATGGCTGGTTGCTGTCTGGTGTGGGTAGCAGTCCTAGCTGCCTCAAGCCAGGTATACGACTCCAGCGGCGTGCTCAACCACTCTGCATCCAATGCTACGCTTGGCTTTATCTTCATTTTTGGTGGAGTCTTTTCCTTCTGCCTTACTCCACTGCAGGCCTTGTATCCGGTCGAAGTTCTGTCGTACGAAATGCGTGCCAAGGGCATGGCCTTTTCCTCGCTTGCTGTCAATGCTGCCGGTCTTCTCAATCAGTTTGCTTGGCCGGTGGCTCTCGCCAAGATTGGTTGGAAGACTTACATCATCTTCGTGGTTTGGGATGCTATTCAGACGGTCATTATGTATTTTTTCCTTCCAGAAACCAAGAATCGAACAGTATGTTCCCTTTTACTTCTCAATCTTTGAATACGAACTAACACTTGTGATAGCTCGAGGAACTTGACCAGATCTTTGAAGCGCGCAACCCAGTGAAAGCGTCCATTCGGGGTACCGAGATTGCAGTGGATGAGGATAAGCGTGTAGTGGCTATCAAGGATGAAGCCTAGCTCGCTCATCTTCATTGCTTCAAAGGAAGTTGACGGTCTGATTCTTCCTATTGAAAAGCCTAGTCGTTCTGTAGCAGCTTAATTTGTGCATGTCCAAGATATCTTAGCTTAGGAAGACGCATGAACAACGTGGAGTGGTTTATATAGTCAAAATCTGATTTGACCAAGTACACCTAGGTCATCCTCTAGGACTTCAGTTTCCTGCAATGTCAAAATGTCTTGTCTTCAATGTTTGAGACCCAAATCACTAGTAACTTTCAACCTATACTTCCACAAGGTCACCACAACAAACCAACCATCCTTGGATCCGTCACTCATCGATATAACTAGCGATACAAACATAGTTCTGACAGCCTGTCTCCTAGATGACATTACCAACAACCTCCATGTTCAACCGCACACACACGAATCAAACATTGAGGACTCCATGTAATCTCGCCTCAAAGCCAGAATCAAAGCCATAACATGCCGTTTCTTTTCGGATGTGTGAGTTCAACTCACTCCTGTCGTCGATTAGATCCATCTGTATTCCTTTTTCGATTTATTCTTCATCAAAATTGGCGCAGTCACCCGGATAGCATTATTGTCTATAACAGTGTGTGAAGGTACACAAGAGAGCCACACCCATCACCTTCGATGCGACTCTCCGTTCACAGACCTCGGATTGAAGACATTATAATTACATAAAAAGTACCACCGTGCAGTCCTTTAGTTTCGGTTCAAGTTTCAGGTTTCAGATCGCGGCGAAGAAAGACTCCAAATGCCAAAAACGGACCTCCGCCTCTTACCTTCCCGATTAGGCTAACTTAGTGACTGACTACCAAGACTCCGTGACTCTTTCGTTCTAGCAACGCAACACCACAACATCACTCCCTTCATCTCCGCACTAAGTCCGCAGAGATGCGATAATAGGCTGAATCAGTGGATCCACTGATGCGGTACAAGTGTTTAGTGTAAATATATAATTCTGCAGCGTCTGGGAGCTTGCTCGAAACTAATTTCCGTGCATTTAGTCGTCTGAGGGTGAATCAACGGTGAGCATGGCTTTCTACCAGCAACAACTGTCCACTGGATGGACGTTCCGAGACCGAGACAGCGAGCAATCGGACCTGGATACATGGATGCCTGTACCAGCTATTCCTTCAACAGTACAGCAAGATCTCATCGCAAACAATAAGTTGGACACCCACTTCCCACACTTCTCAGGTGCAACGACAGCTAACCTTTGCAACACAGGCTCGAAAACCCTTACATAGGATTCAACGAGCTCAAAGCCCGTTGGGTCAATGAGAAATCATGGGTTTACAGGCATGAATTTCAACGACCAAAAATTCCTACCGGCGCAAAAGTAGCCCTTGGGTTCGATGGTCTGGATACATTCGCATCAGTCACGCTTGACGGGAAAACTATACTCGAAAGTGATAATATGTTCCTGGGCCACCGTGTGGATATCACCGAAGCTCTACTCAAATCCACCGAAGGAAAAAAATATGTCCTAGAAATTGAGTTTGATTGCGCCCAGTCCAGGGCACGCGAGATTCGTGAAAAATATCCTGACCACAAATGGGTCGGCTTCAATGGCGATATTGCGCGGTTAGCTGTACGTAAAGCGCAGTATCACTGGGGTTGGGACTGGGGTCCGATCATCATGACGGCGGGCATTTGGCGTGATGTGCGCCTGGAGGTGTATGCTGCGCGAGTAGCAGATTTGTGGCCAAAGACGACGAACATTGATTTCGATGGCAAGAGGGCGAGTGTCACGGCGATTGCTAAGATCGATGCTTCGAGCTCGACATCAAAGGACCTTAAGGCTTCGTTCCGTGTGAGTCTGAGGGGACATGAAATTGCACGCCAGGATGACATCTCTGTGAATACTACCGATCAAACAGCAAAAGTCAAGTTTGAGATCACCGATCCAGAACTGTGGTGGCCGCACGGCTACGGTTCTCAAACTCTGTACGAAGTCACAGTGTCCCTTTCACACGACGGAACAGAGCTACACAACACCACCAAGAAATTCGGCATACGATCTGCCGAAACAGTCCAACAGCCAGATAAGCATGGAAAATCATTCTTCTTCCGGATCAATGGGGTAGATGTTTTCTGTGGAGGGTCTTGCTGGATTCCCGCGGATAGTCTGTTGCCAAGTATAGATGCAGAGAGGTACAGGAAGTGGATTGAGCTTATGGTTGCCGGTGGGCAGGTGATGATCAGGTATGCGCGAGCTCTAAATATTTCAGTAAACCCTATCTAACAGGCGTGAGCAGAGTCTGGGGCGGCGGAATCTACGAAGATGAAAAGTTCTACGAAGCCTGCGACGAGCTCGGCGTGCTGGTATGGCAGGACTTTATGTTTGGCTGTGGCAATTACCCAGCCTGGCCTGAGATACTTGAATCTATACGCCAGGAAGCTGTGTACAATGTCCAGCGATTACGCCACCACCCTTCTATTGTGATCTATGTCGGCAATAATGAAGACTATCAAGTGCAGGAGCAGGCCAAACTGACCTATGATTATGACGATAAGAACCCAAACAACTGGCTCAAGACAGACTTTCCAGCACGCTATATCTATGAGAAAGTGCTTCCAGAAGTAGTAGCTGAGTACTCACCAGCGACCTTCTACCACCCAGGCAGTCCTTGGGGTGACGGCAAAATCACCTCGGACCCTACAGTCGGGGACATGCATCAGTGGAACGGTCCTTACCCCTTCCCTTTATTTGTCATATTTAACAGTCATCACTAATGAATTCGTATAGTCTGGCACGGCACCCAAGAAAAGTACCAAATCTTCGCCACCCTCGGCGGCCGCTTCAACAGCGAATTCGGCATGGAGGCATTCCCGCACCTGTCTACGATAGACTACTTTGTCGAAAACGATGCAGACAAGTTTCCGCAATCGCATGTGTTGGATTTCCACAATAAGGCGGATGGGCATGAGAGGAGGTTGGCGACGTATTTGGTAGAGAATTTGAGGACGGCTACTGATTTGGAGGTTTGTGCCTCATCTATCTTATGGATTGAGAATGAAGTAAATGCTGATATGTCAAAGACGTACATATACTTGACGCAGGTAGTCCAGGCAGAGACAATGATGTTCGGATACCGCGGCTGGAGGAAGCAATGGGGTGACTCGCGACACTGCGGCGGCGCATTATTGTGGCAATTGAACGACTGCTGGCCTACAATCTCATGGGCCATTGTGGACTACTTCCTTAGACCAAAACCGGCTTATTATACCGTCAAACGAGCCCTCAGACAACTCACCGTTGGCGTGCAGCGTGAACACCATGACTGGAGTGTTACGCACGCTCAACCGCCGGTGAAGAGCGGGTATGAGTTGTGGGTTGCTAGTAGCTATAGGCATGAGGTACTAAATGCGACGGTAGAATTGCGATTTTTATCGGTTGTGTCTGGTAGAGACTTGAGGGCTCCGGTTGTCTATGATAATGTCACGATTACGCCTAACGGAACTACAGATGTGCTCACAAACGGTGTCATAGATCACATCGCTGAGCCAGAGCCACATGTCCTGTCGGCACGGCTTTGGGTTGACGGTCAGGTCGTGGCGAGGGATGTGGACTGGCCGCAGCCATTCAAGTATCTCGATTTGTCAGATCGGGGACTGGAAGTGCGGCCAGAGACTACGCGTTCAGCGGCTGGTGAGAGGCAGCAAATCCTGAGAGTAAGTGCACGGAAACCGGTGAAATGTCTCGTTTTCGAGGAGAGGGATGGTGTGCGGGTTAGTGACAGTGCTATGGATATTGTGCCGGGTGATGAGCAGGTTGTTACCATTACAGGGCTGGCTGAGGGAGATGCTCCATTGAAGTACAGGTATCTAGGCCAGTAGCCTACACTTGTAAGATTGCGTCTTAGAGAAATCAAAAGAAGAAATAGTATACATTTCCAGCAAACTTTTTTAACTAGGGATGAAGAAATTCGCCTGCTCTTGAGGATTCAAACTCGTATACATCTCAGCCCAGAAATCATTATTCTCGCCCCAGCTCAGATATTCCCACATATGCTGCGACGAATAATTCTCAAAAGACGTATTGACAGACCCCGTAGTCGCGGCAGTCGTAGCAGTCCAATCCAGGACTCGTTCGCGGGTGATAGGTTGATACTCCGTCGGAATAGGCGGGCAATTTTGTGTTTGCATCTCACCGTCGTCGTGATTCGTTGCTGGGTCAGTTGTCATCAATCCAGTGTTGTCTGGTGTATGCAGTATAGTCTCAAGGATACTCGAAATCATTCCCAGCGAGCGCTCAGCTGTATGTCCATAGGGCCGCATACGATCCAGCGTCGCGATGGCAGTATGAACCTGCGCTTTACACCTCTCGACATCGTCATCACTATCAGCCGCTCCCGCAGAAGCCGCAGCAGTGGACAGATATATCAACGGCACCATACTAGCCTGAAAGATCAACCACACCGCATTCCAAGCAATCATCTGATTCAATTTCACCGCCGTAGCGGCCGAGATATCCTCAATCGCCATTTCCGCTATTTCGCGACATCGTTGGACGGCGATGCGTTCTTCACCTTTGATTGCAATTAACGGGATGCGCCGCATGGCATAGTTCAGCAGTCGAGGGCGATACAGGAGTATCCGCTGATTGTAGAACCGCCAACGCATGACTGTCCTCACGGCGTATAGAGCGTCGGGGCAAGGGTTGTAGTCCTTTAGGACTGGGGGGAGGTTGTTCCACCATTGGAGCAGCTGGGAGTCTAGATTTAGTAGTTCTGTGTGCGTCAGGCTCGGAAGTGCGGCGAGGGATTCTTGGATTTTGGAGGCGATTTTGATGAATTGTACGTTTTCGGTTAGGGGGAGGGCTTTCATGTAATTTTCCTATTACCTCTCAATATTGTATTCATATATCGAAGGGTAAGGGAAGGGAGAGACCTTATCAAGTAAATGAGGTAGCTTGACCGTAATACTTGGCCCAAAGAAATCCATACTCAGCCTACCTAACGTCTCATGGCCCCATGTCTCCAAACAGCAAAGCGACCACCAAACCCTGCGTTTGAATTCCTGATACCCTGATCTGGCAGTATTTGCACCCATTGAATGGCTGTCGAACGGTGGTTCTCGCTGCAAACCCAGTGTAACAGCCATCCGCAGCGAGGCACCCACCAGCGCGTAGCCCAGATTGGGTTGACTGATGTAGTGGCAGTACCAGCCGCCCATGAGCCCTAGTGTCTGCACAACTTCAAGGCTGGGGTTGCCAAGGGTTTTGATGTTTAGAAAGCTCATTGAGCGCTCAAAGTACGCTCGGTGGTTGTGGTTGTCGACGCCTGCGGCGGTGATGCTTCCCAACGCTAGGATTGTGTTGAGTAGTGCCAGCCATCGATCGTCGTTTCTGCGGCCAGAGATAAAAGTTGAGCGGCATGTTTCTTCGTCTAAAAGTGGTGAGAATGGTTGGAAGTTCTCAAAGTATGCATCAAGCAATTGCAGCTCTGTGCGTGGTGGACCGGCTGAAATTGATGAACGATGATGCGGGTGACGCTGTTCCTTGGGAGATGACAGATGCGAATTCAGTTCCGGATGCAGCCACGCAATGACTTTTAGCGCAGCCTGGATGGACGATACACCCAGGTACGATGTAAGGTTCCGAGCTGGGAGAGACAATGCATTGACATCGTCTGATATATGCTCTTCTGACTCCTCGGAAGCGCTAGCACACTGATTTTCGTCCAATTGTTCGTGTTCTCCTGGTATCGCATGTAGAGACTCCAGGCCCGGTCTTTCCATCGATAGTGCAGAGACATGTGTCTCTACAGACGCGGATGTGGCAATTGTCAATGAATCTTGATGCTGGGAGTGCTGATTGTAGGGGGACCCGTCTGCAGGCTTCGATATCAAAGCTAACAATCTCTCCCTCGATAAATCCACCAGATTCTCGGGTGCAGTTTCGGGAAAGAGCCTTTCCAATGCTCCTCGATAGTCCGGTAATGATGATGTCTCTTCTGAATGACTATTTCGTTGAGTTCATATCTTTTACCTAGTCAAAAATAATATCTCACCTTTCCCTCTCCCGCTCCGGATAACTACATTGCTCGGCCTTCTTGTACCACCGACAAGCTTCACATGGCTTCTCGCCATCGCATCTAATTTTCCGTTGACGGCATGAAGTGCATGCTCGCGGCGTTGAGCGGCGGCGTCGATTGAGCCGCTCGCTTCGTCTTGTCGTTGTCTGTTTTGGGTTGCGGAGACCATTTTTGTTATTGGGCTGAGAGGACTCGAATGTGAGAAACATTCTGCTGATCGAGAGTATGGGCCACAATCAACATTCGATTAAATGGATCTCGAGTGGGCTGCGGTTTGCGTGTCACATTGTATACCCTCCAGGTCTAGACACGTTAAAAGGCGGAGTCAACTGCCGGTAGCGGGGTACATATGTCCGTCCTTCCATAGAATATTCGCGCGGATATACTTTACCTTAGTTGAAATCCTCACCGTTACTGGGGATATGCAGGTGTACGACGAGACTTCCCCAGAAACTGTATAACATTGTCATGTGAAAAAGCAACTGTTTCGGGAACGGAGGTTCCGTGTCGGATTGGGATAGAGACTATGCCTATTCTGGGAGGAACAAGCCTGAAGAAATGTAAAAGAATGTCTAGTATCTAGACGAACTGTACGGACTTCCCGGTAGAGGGTTAGTGCAGGGTGCTTGACTGGGCAATATTAACGTGTGTGTATGTAGTCAAATATATTCATAAAAATCCGACATCATCTGATGATATAAACGCCAACGCTGAAACGCACATTCAAATCTCATGGATGCATACCATATATCCATAGCCCACATAAAAATCTACGCCGATCCTCCATCATTATGCTCATGCTTAGCATTCGCATTCGCCATCTCAACTCGAGACAGTATTATATCAATTCATCATTCCCACACGCCACGCTCTCCTCAATAATCTTCCTAACCCTTCCCTCCTCAAACGCCGGGCCTTGCCCATCACACTTCGTAATCCTTTTCAACCTTTCACAGACATCACCAATATCCACCAATCCCTTCTGAAACAGCGGATGACTCTGTATCAAGTCCCACGTCGCTTTTGTATCCAGTAATCTCTCCCCAGTCTCTGCACTGAGGACAATCCGATGCGGCAGATTCCCTGCCTTGAAGTCCGCTGCATATTTCTTGCGGACGTCTAGCGAAACCCATTTCTTGGGTCCGTTTATCGTTGCTGTTGTTGGCGATGGTTTCTTTTTATCTTCCTCGCCATCCATTCCTCTCGGGGAGTTGTTGCCGTCACTTATATTCTCGCCGCTCGACGATGTGGCACGCAGTATTTCGTTCTCGGTAGCAACCTTTGCTAGTTCTCGTTTGAGGCGCTCGTTGTCGGCGTGCAGGGTCATGGATTGCGCTTGGAGGTCGGTTAGTTTTTGCTCTAGTTCTCGCACGCGGCGTTCTTTGCGTTCTCGGAAGGCTCGTTGGCTGCCCCCCAAATTAGCACCTAGCGTCCAATTGAATCACATTCGGTCGAGGGAACTGGACGTACGCAGCCCTATTCTGAGCCTTCCGCCGGCTCTGCGCCGGCGTTATGGCATCCTTCTCTTCACTGCTACTCCGCGTCGACCGCTGGGCAACGGCCAATGGGTCCTCTAGAAACTCGGAGAATATGTATTGTCCCAGATGATCGTCCCCGGGCACCATTTCGATGGAATTGTGTCGCGGAAACGATGATGTGGGTGGGGTCTGTTGAGGTTGTTGTGTATGAGGCGAAGGGCGGAGGACTGCGGCGCCGCCGGGATTCGGGTAGTAGGATGATCCGTGGAAGGACGGGTAATTGTTGTATTCAAATGATGTCTCCATGATATGTCAGTTGAAAGAGTAAGAGCTGAGGCTCAATTAAAGACTTTGATGGGGTGAATGGTAGAATATCGCCACTCTGGAGATGGATGGAGATGGGACGGGGAGTGGAGTAGATCGGCAATGCACATGAAAATCAACAACTTTATCAACGTACCGGCGTTTGCGACATGGCAGCATCATTCATATCGTCAAGATTCGACGGCGAGGAGGCTATTGCAAAAAGCGGATATGGCTGCTGGGGCGCCACTGGAGTAAAGTAGGAATAATTCATCGCCAACGGAGCAACAGAACGAGGTGTTTAAGTCTAAATGAGGGGTCTTCCGGTTGCTGCTAAATTGCGGACTCAGCGCAAGACATTGGTCTGTGCCAGCGTCACCAAAACTGAGTCATGGTAGGTTCTGAGTGGCAATGGATTTGTTTTCAATGATGATGAAGGCGAAGAAAAGAAGCGGTCGAGAATATATAATGTGTCAAACTTGATAGGCAAGTGAGTAAGTCTACATGAGGAAAAAGGCGGCAAGTCACGACCTCCATGTGATTGTGGTCGCCCATTTATTTCCACTTTGACACTAACGCGGGCCATATCAAGCTTTCCAACAAGTTTCCATATTTCGATTAAGGCAGGTCCTGAAACGGGTTACTCGAGCTGAGTTGTGAGGTGAACACTAGTGCGCTGCCAGACTATGACTGTTTGGGAGACATCCGCAGCAATATGTACGTACATAGTCACTGTTTGGACAGCCAATGATGGTAGCCCCGAATTAATTAGGAGTATTCACCGGACCGACCCGGTATTCTATTCAACTTACGGAACAACTTTACTTTAGCATATGCTTTTGAAAATTGATGATAGCACGATTAAATAGCAGGATAGAAATAGCTAACGCAATTACAGCATGAAATACTCGACGTGAATCCGATACCACCCCGGAAGCGACCCTATCCATCCATCGCCAGTACCACCACCAGTTTGTAAAGCTAACTCCATGTATCGTTGTTGTCAGCTTCTGCCCGTCTAATCGCCATCGGCGACAAGAACAAGCGCTTCGACTGCACATCAATCCAACGTAAGACTAACTTCCCCACAGTAAGCACCCCTGCCTACACCGTCCCCTGTCATAGATCCACGTCGAGATAACAAATCAAATCAATGTACCAATTTGGGGCAACAAAGCATGAAACATCGGGAACATAATAATGAAATAGGGAAGGAACGGGGGATGGCAAATGTGATGTGAAACAACCCGAAAGACAAACATGATGACTGATGTTGATGACGTTTAAAAGCCGTGTATCAACGTTCACGGTCAACTCCCAATCCATCTCAATTCCAACTTCGCATAGCCGTTCATAAAGACAAGAATTGTTTTCTCCGTATGCCTCAGAGCAGAGCAACTAGCCAGGAAGTGGTCGTATGAGAAAGCGCCGACTTTATGTTTCAAATATCGCAAGACAGTCGTTCTTCGAGGTAAAGATCGAAATATGGAAAAGAACCGAGTTGATGATCGTTAGGACGTGTAATCCTCGAAGTCGAAGAGCCAGCTTCAAGTCAGACGAAGAATGGTCCTGAAACCGTGTCCATAACCCGAACATGAAACATGAATGTAAAGTCGAATATCATTCTGGTGCGCATAGTGTATGAATGAAAAGGGGTTGTCCATGAAAAAGAAAAGAGTGGAGATAATGTCAATAGCCTGTGCTTGCAGTCGTCGAAAGTGCGAATGCTTAGACAGCAGCGCGACCAGAGCATCAGCTCAAAAAGATTTAGGTGTGCTCAAGAGCTAACATGCTGCAGTGTATATCAATACCATTGGCCAGTACCATCGTCCCGCTTCGAACGGTGACCAGCAGATCCATAAGCACCTGCAGCAGCACCCTTTGAAGCAGAACGAAGCCTAACGCCGAAGACTATGAGATTAGTCAGAGTCTTGAATTTTTTTTGACATTTAATTATCCTCCACTGCCAGCGTCACTCAATTCCAGCAAACGCATAACGTATAGAGGAGAAGGGAAGAAAAGGGGGCCCCTACAAGGAACCTTGATAGCATAGTACTCACATCCTGTCACTCCCTCCAACTGCACGGTTGGTGTCCGGGGTGTCGACGGTGCCGCGTTCAATGACCTTGCGGCGCTGGCCGGAGATAGCACCGGGCTTGGCGCTGGGAACCTGGTTGGCAAGGGCTGGGGCGGCCTGGGCAGCACGGCGTTGCTGCTCATCAGTCTCCTTGTCCTTCTTGGGGTTGCTGGCGTCGACAATCATGGCGGCGTTCTTCTGGTACTTGTAGACCGTCCAGTCAAAGACATAGTCGTACTGGAAGGACTCACGCACGAACAAGTCGCGGAAGATCTTTCGGAGGTAAGAGTAGTCGGGCTTGTCGTCGAATCGGAGGGAGCGGGTGTAGTTCAAGTAGATGGCGAACTCGTTGGGGAAACCACGGCAAAGAACTTCAGTAGGCGTGGTCATCTTCTTCTCCATAATACGGTCGTATTTCTGCTTCTTGGTAGCAGCCTTCAATCCCTGCCAGGGAAGAGAGCCACGGCAGAAGTAGAGCATGACGTAGCCTAGAGATTCCATGTCGTCACGACGAGACTGCTCAACACCCAAGTGGGTATTGATACTGGCGTAACGAGCAGTACCAGTCAAGTTCTTGTTCTCACGGTAAGGAATGTGGAAGTGAGTCTTGGGGTCACGGTATTTCTTAGCCAGACCAAAATCAATGACATTGACCTGGTTACCGCGCTTTCCAATACCCATGAGGAAGTTGTCGGGTTTGATATCTCGGTGAATGAATGATTTGGCGTGAATGTATTCGATACGAGAAATGAGCTGATCGGCAAGGAGTAACACAGTCTTCAAGGAGAACTTGCGGTTGCAGAAGTTGAAAAGATCCTCCAAACTGGGTCCGAGGAGATCAATGACCATGGCGTTGTAATCACATTCAGTACCGAACCAACGCACAAAGGGGATGCCAACACCACCAGCAAGGGATTTGTAGACGCGTGCTTCATATTCGAGCTGGGGGTGCTTTGCTTTGACGCTCTCGAGCTTGATGGCGATTTCTTCTCCAGAGATGATGTTGGTGCCTGTTCTGATTAGTCTCTGCCGCCAACCAAGGGGACAACGAAGAATGTATCTTACCCAGGTAGATATCACCGAAACTACCACTCCCAATCTTGCGTCCAATACGGTATTTGTTACCGACACGCAGATCCATAGTCGTCATTTTGAAGGTGGAGCAGCCCTAGCTGCAAGTAGATCAAGAAATAGATGTCTGTTGATGAGTAGAGAATGTATGTCAGTAAGAGCAATCAGGACAGGAAGAGTTGGTGGCACGAGAGGAGATAAGACGTGGTTCCAGAATGAAGAAAGGGTGAGACTAAGAAAGTGAAATCACGATAAAAACAATCAAAGGGAGTTTCAGCCAAGGTTGACACAGACAGTCAGCCTCGCGGTGTTTTGTGTTGCTTGTATTAGGAAGGATGATAATGGAAGGAGACGGTGACTGCCTTAGGTGCTTGTTGAAGGGCGCGTCACGCGGGGACTTGCTGGCCCGAGACACCAGCCTGGCCAGCTTTGCAAGGCCGCCCAAGGTGTCCAACAGAATGCACCACCACGACTTGGCTAGTTTCAAGCACAAAGAAAGAACGCACCTGTCTGTCGTCAAAAGACCTCACGAAAGAGAAAAAAGAAGGGCAAGGTGTAAAAGCCCAACGGTGGTTGAAATTGTTGGGTTGTGGTGGCCGAAGTGGACGGACGGTCGGTCGGCGGGTTGCGAGATGGAAAAACCCGTTCGGTGGCTTATCCTTTGGCGACGAGCGAAATTATCTGGGTTGACGAGAAAGAAAAACAATTCTAATGTTTCGAGCAGAAAAGGAAATCAAGGACTGGTGGCCTTGATGTCCGGCGGTGGGATGATGGCTGGGAGGAAGAGGAGAGGGAGACCGAGAGTAAGAAGAGGGAGAATCAGAGTAGAAGCAAGAGATGAGAGTGAGAGTGAGAGATTTTGTTAGTGGTTGGGTTGGGCCGAGTGAATTGGGGGGTCAGCCGGCGCTAAGGGCGAATAACCTGATTAGTCGGTGAGCACTGAGCAACTGCACCATCTCTGGTCTTGCAACGATTATTCTGATTGATCAATAATTAATTATTCTGGCTATTTCAAGCTACGCATCTAATGTTATTACCCGGGTAAATCCTGAACTGTGGCATTTGGAGCGACAATGGAGGAGAATATCAGACTAGCTGTTGGCGAGATGGCCTAAAATTAGATCCGATAAGGTCAATTCATTAAGCCCGATTGGGATCCCTTTCGCCATTCACGACTCGATTAATGCATTGCCACCTCTGAAGAAAATCTTTGCGGTCTGGCCTGATGATGAAACACATGCTTTGATGCTGACCAAGGTGTCCTTTACGGAGTGTACTTGAAACTTGATTGATCCATATTGAAATCGATCGACTAGTCTGACCATTGGGCACCGCCGAGCCGCTTCACAGCCTCTCGTGTTCTTGCCCATCTTTGCAAACGATGTGTTGGCAATGGCACTGGGGTACATTCGGGTGATTCTACGCATGCATGCGTGGTGGACAAATGCAGGATTACATTAGCTGTGATTCGATCAAGATTGGTACGTGGTCAATATATGATGTCGAAGTGTGCTCAGTAGCAGGAACGAAATAAATTACGGAAGACATCTTGTATAAGTGAACGAGTACAACAACAATGTCCCATTGATATGAATGAACTTAGGAAGAAACTCAATGCAATGCCCGTTCCACGTTATTATTAGTTCATCATAGTCCCTAGAAAGACAGATTCGATATCGCCGTACCTCAAAGAAGAAGGATGCTGATTGGAAAGAAAACATGTGGACAATCAAGAGGTAAAATAAATGACGATGAAGATGTGTTACAAAAGACGCAAAGAATGTAGCAAATTCGCAGAGAAAAGAAGCGTAGAAAGACGAAAACACAGAGAATAGGGACAGAAGACATCATCAAATGATGGTMCCTGCCATTAAAGTAAATCAAAAGTAAGACCAACATGCTTAGAGACCAGTCTTGGGGGAAATTTGGGTATAGAAGTACAATCGAGACAACGACGAGAGTGGGAAGAAAAGACAAAGGAAGAAAACAGTGAAAAGAAAAAATTTTCGTCTTCACGACGCTCCAGCTTATATCATGTTGTTGCCAGAATGCCCTGCTGCGCCTGCATGAGTGGCTGCAGTTGGCGTTCTCAATCCGTCAGAGAGATCAACAGCCGGGCTGCTCGCGCGTAATTCCTCCTCCTCCAATCGCCGTCGCCAGCTACTGACACTCTCGCTCAATGTGTTGCCCTCGTGCGTCTCCTTGGTTGGAGTTGCCTCTAAATCAAAGGTAGAGCTCAGACGGTGGCTACGATTGGTGGTTTCCCAGTGACTACGAAGAGCATCCAACTCATTGGCAAGCGAATCCAAGGCCATTGAACTGCGGTTGTCCAGGAACGAATCGTCACGGGACACATTGCTATTGCCACGAGCTCGGCCGCCATCGAATGCGCCGGCCGTCGCTGTCGACGCGTTACTATGAGTCCGTGAAATGGTGCTGAAGCCTTGGCCATGCTGAGATTGACGGCGATGGTTGTCAACAGAGGTGACCATTTGCTCAAGCAGCATTGTAACCCGCTGCTCTGCATGCAATGCTCGAGACTCTAACAGAGAGTTTTCTTCCTTCAACTGCTCGATTTCGGCACGTGACCTGTCTGCCACAGCAAGGAGTTCTTCCTTGGCAGCTTCATGCGCCGATCGAGTCTCGTGGCTGTCAGCTTGTGCTGCAGCAAGGTCCTCCCTGAGCTTGGTGATTTGACTCTCCAAATCGGTGATAGATGTACTCATATTAGTCTGAAGCTCTGAAAGGGATTTCTGCAACTCGGATCGTTCGCTTTCCCAAGACGCCGGAGCTGGAGAGCTCGATGATAGCTCTGCATTCTTCTGCGCCGTCTCCAGCTCGGTCTGCAAAGTAGCAGCGTGTGTCTTATACCTAGCCAGTTCATCCTTCATGCGCTTGAGCATCTTTTCTGTCCCCTTGACATAATGAACGGCGGACTGGTAGTCATTCTCGAGCTGCTCCAATTTCTCCCGGTAAGCACGGTCAGCTTCTTGCTCACGCGATTCAAACGTGATCTTGGTCTCTTCGTGAGCCTTCAAGCTAGCCTGAAGTTGCTGTTCCAAGTCGCGGAGACGTGTTTGTTCGGGGGTACCAAAGCGAGACCCAGGTGAATCTAGCAGAGGGGACCTTCGGCTATCGGAAGCATGGACGCCGCGCTCGCCCAAAAGATCTTTAAGAGCACCATGTTGAATTGCCAGAGCACTTGTGTCGCGCTGCTGACTCTCGAGCTGCGATTTGAGCTCCTTATTCTCCGTAGCCATAGTCTGGCTGTCTTTGATGGCTGTCTGCAATTGACGGCGAAGGTGAAGACCTTCACGGCTGACTTGCTCTTGGTACGCCTCGAGACCCGCGATACGTTCTTCCGCGCGCCTTAATTTGTCCGCAGCTTCGTCGGCGGCTGCCTGGTTGGATCTGGCCAGCTTATTAGCTGCCTCAACTTGGCCTTGCAAAGCTACAACGCGCTGGTCAGTTATCGATCGAATCGAGCTATCAGAATCGATTGATGATGCACGATCAAGGCCGGAAATGAAGGCAAGCTTATGACTCTCTGCCTCCCGAGCATGACTTTCGGCCATTTCTTCGGCCTCTTTCAAACGGCGGTTCGCAGTCTCCAACTCAGCAGTCCTCTCTTCGTGATCGGCCCTCAATTGTAGCAGTTTTCGTTCCAGACCTTCTCGGCGCTCACGTTCCTCTTCAAGATGTTTCTCCATCAAAGCAGCCTTGGCTGCAGAGGCTGCAACGGCTTCACGTAGTGATGCCATATTACCACTATGATCTTTAAGGCGTGTCGTGACATCTTCCAATTTTTGGCTCAACTCTTCCTTATCAATACTGACCTGTTTGTGATTAGCCTCTGCCTCCGAACGGAGCGCGGACTCTTGTCTGGCATGTGCTTGCAGCTGATGGAGTTCGGCTCTCAGACTTTCCAGTTCCAACGTATGATTCTGCAATTCTAATTCTGCTAGCCTCTTTCGTGTGGCCTCGCTTGTCCCTTCTGCCAACTCACGAGCTCTCTTTTCTTGATCGAGATCAACCGTCATAGCTTCTAGCTTCGATTTCATCTCAGCCTGTGCGGCCAAGGCTATGGCCAGTCTTCTACCCAGATCTGTCGCGCGATCGGAGCCGGCATCATCATCACCGCGAGACGGTCCTTCCAACTGTGGTGTGCTACGTTGACTGCCACCATGAGCAGCGAGTTTGGCACGAGCATACGCCGCTTCACTAATCGCAGCATCGCGTTGGTGTTCGACCTCGGCTACTCTCTTGGAGGCGATCGCAGCCTGGCGATCCACCGTGGCTTGCATCTTAGCAAGTTCCGCTCTCATTGCAAGGAACGCCTCAATCAACGGCCGGTCTTCATCGGTAAACGCATCAGGAGGGCGCTCATCAAGAGTCGAGCTACTAGATGGACTGGGGTTATAGCCAGCCTTGCGGGCCAATGCAAGCTCTGAAGCATACCATGCGTTGCGATTTCTCGCCGCTTCAAGCTCCTTGATCAGCGCTTCTTGATGAGGGGTAAGTCTAGGTGATCTGGGTTCGTCACCCAGTATGCGGGAATTCCTATGACTTCGGGACTCAACAGAACCATCCATACTTGTCTGCCTTCCCAGAATGGATTCGTCGGTGCTATCCATAGAGGCTCTTTGTCGTTGCTTTTGCAGTGATCTTTGCCTTGTCGGTCCACTCATAAGAGGGGCTGCTTCTCCGGCCTCCATTTGCCTTGCAGCGGTCCTTGACGGAGGTTGACTATTTGGAGTACGGCGACCACCAGAGATAGGACTTGTGTCTGCTGGGGCCCGATTGCTATCCAAGGGAGAGCCCTTCAAGTTCGGTGATTGCGCATCACGGTCCACCGCGGCAGCACGCACTGTATCAACTTGAGGGCCGAAGTTTCGGTCTTGCTTAGTCGGCGTCTTACTTCTAGACCCCTGTGTAACCTGTCCATTCACTCGAGGAGTAGGCGTTGGCGCTTGGCCTGGTGGGGGTGGCCCTGCGGGTGCTTGAGCAATGGATACCCGTGGTAGTCTTGATCCCGCTGGGCCTTGAGAAGGGTCACTTTGTGGCTTCACACTTGGGCCTATCATGCTTTCTCGGTATGAGGTAGTCATCCGGCGTGGTTGTTCCACCGGAGCATTTTGCGCTTCCCTTGATACCCGACCAGTGGGTGTCACGGACTTTTCACTGCTTGTTTTCCGTCCATCGGGAGCTTTCTCGCCATTAGGAGCAGTCTCGTTTGGATAGCGGATTTTGGATGTGTCCAAAACATAAGCCATGCTAAGTTCTGTTGGATCTCTCGGTGCTGAGCTCGGTTCGCCTGCCAGAACGATAATCTGTCTTCCAAATGCAGTCATGCTATGGCCAGACCTCGGAGAAGGCGCAGGTCCCATGTTGTGAAACGAGAACCACCGTTTGTTGCCGATACGAAATGCAGACAAGTCGCCCAAGTCGATACCATCCTCATTGCGACCACCGAAAACATACATAGTATCACCTATTAGTGCCGCAGCATGTCCTTCACGTGGAGAAGGAACAAAGCCGATGCAGTCAAGTTCTGACCAGCTATTTGTTCTTGGATCGTAACACCAGACGTCATTGAACCAAAGCGAGCCATTTGTACCTCCAAATCTGAGACCCGATCAGCTAAAACCTCCAAGTAAGTGTGTTTACATCAATGTTTACTCACAAATATAACTTGTCGTTAAAACTGATAATTGTGTGATTTGTTCGTGGTGGAGGGATTTGTCCCGCTGGCGGGCCACCGTCGCTCGTATTACGGACTAAGACCTCCCACTTATTGGTAGGGCTTTGAAGAGCATTCAAGTCGAAGGCAACGAGATCGTTGAAGAAGAAACCGTCAACCTGACCTCCGAAGACGTATAATCTGGATCCAAGAATGTTCAGAGTGTGGCCATATCGTCCTGCGGGACGAGGACCGGGGGGAATCGCTCGAGACCATTGACGAGATGCTAAAGCGAAAATGAGTCAACCAGTATTCAACCAGAGCATGTTGCTTGAAACACTCACATGTATTAAGCAAATAGAGGGTATCGTCCAAAACGTCGTTGTCGTTAATTTTTGTGTCACCACCAAATACGATGAATGCATTTCCTACTAGCAGACTCGCGTGACCAACGCGTGGACCTGGACCTTCCGAAACCGTTGGGATCGGGAAACAAGAAAGATTTCCACCACTACTTTCTACCATCCAGAGATCGCCCTTCACTGTAGAACCGTCAATCAGACCACCCATCATGTAGATGTCGCCTTCTTTCGAAGCAATTGAGTTGATTGCGGCGCCGTATCGAGGAAATGGGTTCGCGTTTGAGGAAGTAAAATTCAGGCGTCGCTGGGACCAAGGGTAGAGCGCAGCATTCGAGCCCGTTGTGGGAGAGCCGGTGCCAGCGGATGACTGTGATCGCGGAGCCTAAAAAGAATCAGCAAAGAATGTCATTAAGCATCATATGATCGCATGAAGATTTCTATCCTACTTGTGTTTCCGAGTCTGCTCGCTGTCGCATCCGACTGGGGTCAGGACTGCCGGGAGTGGTGACGGAGTTCAAAGAGTTGTTTATACTTCCGCTGGGCGTTGGGGACACGATTCTGCCCATATCCCGCGGCCTGTCGCCATTCACGAAAGGTTGTTTTTCTTGCATTGAGCCCTCTGATGTATGTATATTCCGGCTGGCGGGCGGAAAGCCCTGTGATCCTGGCTGTTGACCCGGTTGGGCTTTCTTCGATTTGAATAGGAACGCCATGGTATATGATTGTTCCAACTCTACCGTTTTTGTGTTATCTGTAGCAGCAATGACGGCAACGAGGGCCAGTATTTCTGGGGCGAGTTTGTCTAATGCGGCCGTTCGTTGTTGCAAACGCAACCTCGAGTCCGTTACTGGTTGTCGAGGATTCTAGGGGAAAGGCTGCGGGACGGTCGTAAAGGCATCTGACGGCGAGATTTTAATGAACCGGCGTATAACAATGAGGCGATAATCCGTGATCGATTCGAAACTGTAAAGTGCTGTTCCTGAACAATGCGAAAAATGCGATTTTTGACGTCTTGCAGCTGGTCCAGTGCAGTCCTCTTAAGCTCGACCGCACTAAGCGGAAAGCATGGGAAAGGACAATGCTCCGAGAAAGGAAAGAATGGAGTCAAGTCAAACGAGACGAAGGGAGAGGCGGAGACACAAAACGCAGAGAGAGGAAAAGAGAGGTCAACTCTCAAGGACAGTCTGTGGGTATAGACGTTGAATAGGTTTGAGGTTCGAGAAATGAGATGAGCAAGAACAACAATTGAGTCGTACCTAGTGGCCTCGAAAAGTTTCGGGCTGCCTCACTTTTGGCTGGCGGGKGCTGGTGCAGACAAGAGCGGCCGGCCAGGGACAGGACTGGCAGGAACTCACAACGAGAACTGGCAGAATGGGCAGGTTCCCAGCAGCCAGGGGTGGTCTTTCCCACTTTCACACTGGGCCCCCCCACAACGCTACAACCATCCGCCCATGTGAGGACTCTGATTGGCTGTGGACGGACCCTCTCTGGCTCGGATCATGGCAGGKGCGGGCCTATGGGGATGGGCAGAGCAGCAGCGCTAGCATCAACCCGTGCTAGCGCTGAAGCACCACGAGCATCAATTTCCCATTCAACCCTCTGCGTTACCGTATCGTTACCAGGAGCTCGCCCCAGAATACGCGGTAGAGATCCATTCATCTACCCGAATCGTCCTGAGAATCGTGTATGGTATGTATGGCTCGTAACGATGCATTACTTCATCTGTTTTACCTTGAACACCTGGCTATAGTCGAGTCGAATAAGGCATCCTCCTATCTGTGTCCTGCAAGGTACGATTACGGACCTCGGACTAACAGAACTCAATCAAAATTTGCGACGTCAAACAATCTTAGTTCTGGGGTCTATTGATGTCACTGGATCAGGAAGCGAGAAATGGATCTGTCGAATACATCTGCATTCCAATCGGCCATAGAACAGGAGGGGCGAATCAGCTTTTGTTCATTCGCCGGTCGTCGCACAGCACTCCTAACCCTAAAAGTAGTAAGTTGTCTCGAGGTCGTTCTGTTGCCCTTGGATTCCACATGGGGACTTTTATCCTTATCGATGATTGCTCGCCGATATGATACGTACTCGGATAGCAGCATTGCTGCGATCGCCGAGTCATGTGTAGCTGTTTTGGACTGGTCCTTTATTCCATGCCCCGTTTGTTAAACAAATGCATGCTGCATATGCAACATATGCCAGAGAAAATCTTGAAGCAGCGTTCTTTGAGTAGGAAAAGTGTCGGTCACTTCAAGTCAAGTAACAATCCGGAAATCTCGTGTCAATTGAATCTACATGGGTGGTTGACCCGCCTTAGAACCAAAACACATCTCCTTAGTGTGTAATATTGAAGCATCCGAGCACATAGAACCTTGAACAGTACATGTCTATAAAACGTTCCTGACCTCTACTGACCACCGGTCTTACAACATGCCCGTATAAGCTACGACTAGGCCATTGTGTACCTTTTGAGCCGATTCGCAAAAACAATGAAAGTAAATTTGTGGAAGCGAAAAATAGCGGTCAATAATATATGAAAGCATGTACAAAATTGTTTGCTGCCGGATCCATACTTGAAGATCCCGGAAAATCCATAATCCGGTACAGCTCAGTCGCGCCAAGACCTTCCACCACCAGCTCGTATGGCATCTCTTTCCGTCGTCACCAGACCTTGAAAAGCTAACCAGCTTTCTGAAGTCAATATCAATAACGCTTCTGTCATCTTTGTTGTTCGGCGGCCGATTATCGAACCGAAGTAAACATCTTACTGCGGTCGCATCGAAGTGAAGCCTCATCGCCCGCGGCTCTGTCCCCGCGGACTTTCGACCTCAAATGACTTGAACAAGAATGCTAAAGCCAAGCACGAGCCATTCGCAAGCCCGCATTTCTAGAACCTATTGACTGCGTTATTTTATCAAACATTAAACTATTTATTCACAAAGAAGGGCTTGCGACTGTGCCTCGTTCTGTGGAGATAGAATGAACTATTCGTCATGAGAGATCCAAATCTCATCATGGAGCACAGCAACCATAACGGGGACACCCAGTCAGGACCGGCATCCGCTATGAACGGAACTCGAAGGAATCAAAATCGATCGGTTCGAGTCAGTTTTGAACCAACTCCAGACTCCGTTATCTCACCACGCGACCGCTCGCCCACACCATTGAATAGCCATCATCGGTCACTTACCGAAGTAGAGCCTCAGGAATCGCCATCAGCGCAACCAGCTCGATTCGACGGATCATACGACAGCAATGGTGCTACAGTAACAGAAACTCTAGCGCCTCCGAATCGGCCTTCCTTAGGCGGTAGGCCAGGTGCACTCCAACGCGCAAGGAGTGATTATGGACCTAGGTCGGTGCTTAGCAGTCAAGCCACCCCCAATGAGGAGGATGACTTTGCAATGAGGCATGGATGGCAGGAAGAATATACGTCAACTGAATATTTGAAACTACTTCATTCCGTATGATATTCGTGTCGGATGATGATATATGGTACCGCGAAGCTAACGGATTGATAGAACTTTTATATGTACTTTACCGAGAAACGGCATGAAACAAGCGGTCTTCCACGAGAGCCGTCTGGGAGCTGGGCAATACAAGAATGGCGTATGAGGGATCGCTTGAAGACAGTGTCGGCGGCACTAGCAATTTGTTTGAATATCGGCGTCGATCCTCCGGATGTCGTAAAGACCAATCCTTCCGCCAAGCTAGAATGCTGGGTAGACCCTACATCTACGACAGGTGGGCAGAATAAGATGATGGAACAGATTGGGAAGAAATTGCAGGAGCAATATGAGAATCTCAGCTTAAGGACGAGGTACAAACAATACTTGGATCCATCGGTAGATGAGACAAAAAAGTTTTGTATTTCTCTACGCCGAAACGCCAAAGACGAGAGGGTTCTATTCCATTACAACGGCCATGGTGTTCCACTTCCCACTCAATCAGGAGAAATCTGGGTATTCAACAAGAATTACACTCAGTATATTCCAGTCTCGCTATACGATCTTCAGTCTTGGCTCGCAGGACCCAGCTTGTTTGTCTTTGATGTGTCCCATGCAGGAAACATAATACATAATTTTCACGGCTTCGTTGAGAAGCATGAGAGGGAGAATATCGAAGCGAAGAAGAGGGATCCCAATGCACCCATTCAAAACTATGGTGACTGCATCTTGCTGGCGGCTTGCCAGAAGTCTGAAACTCTTCCAACAAATCCTGACCTTCCTGCCGACCTATTCACTTGCTGTCTCACTACGCCTATAGAGATTGCATTGCGATTTTTCATTCTACAGAATCCCCTGAACATTAACCTCAAATTGGAAGAGTTCAAGATTCCCGGACGTTTGCAGGATCGAAGAAGTCCGCTGGGCGAATTGAATTGGATCTTCACCGCTATCACCGATACTATTGCGTGGAATACTCTTCCCCGTCCTCTATTCAAGAAGCTTTTTAGGCAAGATTTGATGGTTGCAGCTCTTTTCAGGAATTTTCTGCTGTCCGAGCGAATTATGCGGACTTATCAATGCCATCCCATGTCGTCTCCCAAGCTGCCGGAAACACATAACCATCCGCTCTGGCAAAGTTGGGATCTTGCCATAGAAATGGTTCTGAGTCAGCTTTCAGCCTTGCTTGACAATGAGGAGGGGCGGAGGCAGTATGAATACCAACATTCTACTTTCTTTGCCGAACAGTTGACAGCATTTGAGGTCTACTTGTCGTCTGGGCCGACGGAGAAAAATCCTCCGGATCAGTTGCCGATAGTTTTACAGGTTTTACTCAGCCAGGCTCATCGATTAAGGGCACTAATTCTGCTGAGTAAATTCCTTGACTTGGGGCCATGGGCTGTTCACTTGGCACTCAGTATCGGTATTTTCCCCTACGTCGTCAAGCTACTACAATCAGCCGCCCAGGAACTAAAGCCTGTTATGGTGTTTATCTGGGCTCGAATAATGGCTGTGGATCACTCTGTGCAGAATGACCTTTTGAAAGACAATGGCATTCACTACTTCATCACTATTCTGAACCCCACATCTCCCATTCCTGTCGGCAATGCAAGCGAGCACCGAGCAATGTGCGCTTTCATAGTCTCAATCTTCTGCAAGAATTATCCTCAAGGCCAGAATGTATGCCTTTCTGCAGAGCTTTTTGACTCTTGTCTGAACCATCTCATGGATGTGGAGAACCCACTGCTCCGACAATGGTCCTGCCTATGCTTGAGTATGCTCTGGGTAGATTTCCCAGATGCGAAATGGATGGGTATTCGCTATGCGGCACCTCAAAGACTGTGTGAGCTGTCTCTTGATCCTGTCCCGGAAGTGCGCGCTGCAATGCTGCATGCACTGACCAATTTCCTGGGCATACCCGACTTGACGGATCAAGTTGCTAAGATTGAGGAGGTTATTGCCATGGCAATTCTTCCTATGTCAACCGATGGCAGTGTTTTGGTAAGGAAGGAACTCTTGGTATTCTTCTCTACCTTTGTCAAGCGATACGAGAACAAGTTCCTAGTTGCTGCTTATGAGGGAATGGTCGAAGAGAAACACTCATTGCTCCGCCGGGCACAAAATGAATCTAACCAGTTTGCACTGCTCGGTGAGACCGATGACTCTGATGACAATTCGCATTCTTTGTCTCACAATACCACTTTTGGAACGATATGGAAACAGCTTTTGATTCTGTCCGTGGATCCTCATCCAGAAATTGCTCAAGATGGCAGTACTGTTGTAGACTACATTCACTTCGCTCTGTTACAGTCCCCGATGGCTACCATGGCTAACAAGGTCCGCGAAGAAATCATGGACATTGCGGCTCGTCTTAATCCGAACAAGCCGCAGCTAGCAGAGCCGGTGGAGTTCAAGGCTGCGCATCCCGCCCCTCCCGCTCAACCTCAACCTAAGAACGAAGGCTATTTCTCCTTGAGTATGAGACGAACAGCCAGTGTTGCAGCATCACTCAAAAATCTTGCCTTTGGTCCAGCCACATCAGCTGACCAAGAGCCATTATCACCGACTTCATCTCAGCACAAAGCCTCGCCTACTAAGAGCAGGCCACCCATCACTCCACGCGGGCGCGCGCCACCAGAATGGACCCGACCCCCTGAGGTGAACGATCAAGTAGCTCCGGCAACAGCTTATCATCAAGCGCCAGCGCCTCTTTCCAGAGGCTTTGAATCGAAAGATCTTAGCGTTCCTCCATCGATACCCTTGAAGAGTCGTTTCTTAGATTGGTCTACAGAGGTAAGCTCCACAAATCCGCCAGGAAACCTGCTCACTAAGATTTGAACAGTATTTCCGTGAACCGCAGATGAAACCTAACGAGCCTGATGAGCCAGGTAGTGCCGACTACAATGAACGCCTTTGGCGTCGCAGTCGGAACGAGAGGATCATAGCCGAAACTCAGCCTCTCAAAGAGAAAGCTGGCAGCAGTCGCTGGCATGTCTCGACAGCATTGCTAACCAACGATAGCCAGCCTATGAAGATGTCATTCCACCAATTCGAAGATCATCTCGCCATTGGCGATGATCGTGATGGAATTTCGTATGTCGATCCTAATTCTCTCATTTGGGAATGCGGGCTAATGGATGTATAGTATATGGGACTGGCAACGGAACATTTGCCTCAATCGATTTTCCAACGGCAATCCTCCGGGATCGAAGATAAACGAGATCCGATATATCAATGAAGACGACCAGGCACTATTGATGACTGGATCTTCGGACGGAGTCTTGAAGGTTTACCGAAATTACGAGAAACGCAAGAAAATCGAAATTGTCACTGCATTCCGGGCTCTACCTGAACTTATACCAAGCAATAGAAATGCCGGTTTGGTATTTGACTGGCAGCAAGGTCAGGGTAAGGCTCTGGTTGCAGGTGATGTCAAAGTCATTAGAGTTTGGAACGCTGCCACGGAAGTCTGCACGAATGTAAGTTCTATCACGTGCTTTGATTATCTTAATGCTAATATTATGAATAGGACATTTCGGCACGTTCCGGATCTTGCATTACCTCTTTGACCTCTGATCAAGTTGCAGGGAACATCTTCATTGCAGGATTTGGAGATGGCGCGGTTCGTGTCTTCGATCAGCGGCTCAAGTCTACGGCAGCCATGGTGAAGGTATGGCGAGAACACAAACAATGGATCACCAACGTTCATATGCAACGTGGGGGTGTGAGGGAGCTGGTCTCTGGAAGCCGAAATGGAGAAATCAGGTTGTGGGATTTGCGTATGAATGATCCAATCAACACAATCCATGCGACCAAAGATACTCTCCGAACGTTGAGCGTTCATGAGCATGCGCCTGTCTTTACAGTGTAGGTTCTCTCCTAGTCGCTAGTCGAGCGAGAAACGTACTGACAAATCTAGTGGAACCAACCGACACGAAGTCAAGACATTCAACGTCGACGGTACTTACCTATCGAACTTTGAGCCTTACTCGAGCTTCCTTCACAACAACCGCTCATCGCCAATCTCAGCGACAGCATTCCATCCACATCGTACCCTTCTTGCCTGCTCTTCCCTGCAAGATAATCACATTAATCTAGTCTCATGCTAAGGCTAAGTATTTGACACTGGCGTGCGATTGCTTCTCGGGGTTGCAGCCTGGCGCTTATGTTCACTTGCCCATGGGCTGCATATTTTTTAATCTCTATTTATCTATTTACGGCGGCGTTTTGCATGGTCCTGGTAGATGGGTGGTATGGCTTGGAAATGAATTTCTTCATGTGTCCTTTTTCCTTTCCGCCAATTCGTCATATGTTTTAATCTTTAATTTTCTTTGGATCCTTCCAGATCAGAAGAAATTGTATACATAGAGCTTTGATATTATTGTACGTTTCCCCCACTTGCATTACAGCTGACGTAAGCTTAATAATGTCAGTTGACTTGTATTCGAGTCAGTTTGCATGAATCACCAACTTACTCACTAGTCGGCTAACGACTATGTATGTATCTTTCCGGATTGGGTAGCACTTACCGCTTAAGGCGAATTAGGGCTAGCTGCATGATTGCTTTTGGCGCTTATGTACTGTACCACTTTGACAGCACGTTTTTTCTTCTTGAGGTGGCATGGTGTACTTTGATGATAGCCGGAAGGAATAGTTGACAAATCTGCATCTTCAAATGATGACACGATAAATGCACTCAATCTACTGATGAAGCTGTAGCGGTTGGGAAAAATCCCGGGTCCTCCAACCAATAAATTCCAAGCCTCAATCCTAAATCTTTATCGCATGCATGCGCATCGATCTAACTCATCACATATCGCATGTTGAGATCAGATCTCATCTCGACCCCACTACATATGTACATACTGCACATGGTACATGTGTAGGGTCCAATTTATAGCGCCTTCTCGATCCCGAGTGGAGCGAATGGAATTGTTTTATTTTGACAGTGGCGCGGTGTTTGGGTTGTCAAATGCAAGTGATATAGTATCAATTGGATGGTGTCTACTCATTTTGCGCAGAAATATGGACAGGTAGTATCCTGCTGCGTTGGAAATGATTTGTTAGTGTCAGCATTTGTATCTAGTGTTGGTTCTTTCAAATGTTGGTGTTTAGCTGCAGTAAAAGAACCAACAGGTCGATACATATTTCAAACAATTCTCCAATTATATTAGAGCTTACTCCGTAGTAAACAAAGATTTTGTTGTTGCTTTGTCGTTGTTGCTTTGTCTCGGAATGTAATACTATCAATAGTTTGCCAGATGTGGTGCTACCTGCAGATTCCTTTTGTTCGGCGATGTCCGAGTCATTCGTGTTTCCTAACTAGCCCTTACTTCCAAGTTCTGTCAGTAGAAGTCAGCTGAGTTACAACGTATTCCAGCTGTGAATCGGTTTGTCACATATAAGTGGTCGAGAATGAAGTAAATTCAAGTTCAAGTGTGGATCTATGCCCTAAAGCGCCAACTATGTACGTAGTTCACACAGCTATCCCGATAGGTAAGCTGAGCCCTGATTTGGATAAAACGTGGAATATATAAAAGGTAAATGGCATGAACAGGGACGTGATGAATTATCCATTAATGCCTACTTAAAACTTTGCGATCCCTATCAGTCATCAGATGAACTGACTGTGCAGATTAGGTGCTCAATACAAGCGTAATGGCATTCTTGGGAATACTTGCTACAGCCAGCTTCGGGGCTTTGACATTCATCACCTATTTCCGCCATGGAGAACACCATCTTTATGGTGCCAGCTATTTCGCTTCTTTCCTCCTGATCTGTACCAGTGCAATAATCTATCTCGTTTCGAAGCAAGGACAGCCCTTCTACGAAGCCCTCGGCACCACAACCAAAACCGCCACCTCCTTTCTCTTTGGAATATACACAACCTGTGTCCTTTACCGAGTCGGTCCTTTCCACTCTTTACACAGATTCTCAGGTCCTTTCAGCGCCCGAATCAGTAATTCCTGGTTATTCTTCCAAGTCACACCCGGCAAACAGGCACATCTCGTCCTCCTCAACGCACACGACAGATACGGCAAGATCGTGCGCGTAGGATCCAACACTTTGTCTATTGTGCACCCCAAGGCTGTCGAGAAGATACATAATACATGCCTCAAAGCACCATTTTACGACCTCAACAGCCCAAGTACCTCTATCCAAACAACCCGCGATAAATCGCTGCATGATCAGCGACGCCGGCCATGGAGTAAGGCATTCTCCGAAACCAGGCTACGTGATTACGAGCCGAGAATTAAGGAGATTCATCGACATCTATTGGCGCGTATTGATCGGGACTCTTCGATGAGCCAAAAGAACGAGAAGAATAGCCCCGTTGATGCAACGCGTATCATCAATCAGTACGCCTTCGATGTCATGGGTGAAGTCGCTTTCGGCTCGCATTTTGATATGCTGAGTACTAGTAAAAACCACAAAGCTGTTGATATGTTGAATGAGTCTATAGGGTTGGTCGGGTTCATGTGTCCGATTTGGTTGATTCGGCTTGCTGTTGCGATTCCGGGCCTGACGCGGAAGTGGTGGCAGTTTGAGCAGTATTGTTTTGAGCAGATGCTGATGTGTAGATCGGTGAGTCCTTTCTTTCTTCTGTTGTTCCCCCTCGCGCTGTTAATAGGTCTGCTCAATGACAGACGAAATCGAGCTCGCCTGTTATCGCGTCCACTCTACTTGAGCCGTACGAGAAGCGAGAACCGACCCCGTTCGAGACGAGGATATTGCGAGGAGAGGCACAGTTGCTTGTAGTAGCTGGAAGGTTAGCTTCTTCCTCTTTCCCTCCGTATACGTGACTAACCTGTCATGCCATGTCGTGCAAATAGCGACACCACATCCGCAGCCCTAACATGCGCCCTCTACGAACTCGCGCGCAACCCTCACATCACAACCCAACTCCAAGACGCAATCTCCGCATCCCTACCCCCCAACGAGAAAGAGGTCGGTGCCCACCACGTCCGGAATATAGAAATTCTGAATGGCATCATAAACGAGACTCTCCGCCTGTATCCGCCTGTGCCTACGACGTTATGGCGACTGACACCTCCTGAGGGATTATGGATTGATGATGAAACGTATATCCCGGGAAATGTGACTGTGTCAACACCTCATTATGTCCTTGGACGACGTCAGCACCCGCTTTACCCTCTTCAATGATGCTATGATCTAACTTCGATGTTGGTTTTGGTAGGCAACGACATCTACGACCGCCCAAACGACTTCCTCCCGGAGCGATGGTCCTCAAACCCGGAATTGGTTAAACAAGAAAAAGCATTTGCGCCTTTCAGTGTTGGTGCGCACACTCTCCCCATTTCCATTTACTCTAGAACTATGTAAGTACTAACTAGAGCGTCGATGTCGGGATAGGCCCGTTCAGTTGCGTCGGCAGACCCCTGGCCATGATGAATCTGCGCATGACGTTGGCACAGCTCATATATACATATGACATTTCATTTCCAGAGTCAATGACGATGGATGAAGCCAAGATTGCGATGGAGGGGAATATGAAGGATAACTTTACGCTTATGCCAGGACAGTTGGATTTGATATTCAAGAGAAGGGTATAGTTGTTGATACAAGTAAGCAGCTATGAATACTGATACTTCGGATGTAAGACTGGCATTTATAAGCAAGTTGTTCGTCAATTTGTATCAAGCAGGTATTCTGACATACGCTTTGTGCAAAATCATCTATCCCCTTTCCAATCTTCGTCCCGATCAGAAAACAGTAATAACAGCCACTGGTACGAAAGAGCATACCCAATAGAGAACATGACTAGCTCAGCAACACTAAGAAAAAGCTAGAATTCAAAAAGCAATCCCAGGTCCAGAAAAGCCTTAGAAATACTATAAACCACCAAAATCTTCAATCATCACCCCTGCCACACAGCGAGCCAAACAACATCAACAGGAAGTGCCAAAACTAAAAGTCACTGCTATCAGCATAATTCACTGGCGAAAATACCCCCGTCAAAAATTTCACTGCCTGGAGCAATATCAAATTCAACACCACGGTATCTTGCACGGTGAGATCTTCTGTTTCTACGGCGATTCCTTTTCGACCCTCGAAAGCCAGTTGCAGCATAAAGCGTAAACTCAACATCACTAAAGTCAAAGCCCCTTCTCTTATTTTCCGTTGTATCAGTGTACGAGATCAATTGCTCCGAAACACGTTTGACCAACTCAGTGACTTGGGCTCCTTTGAGGTTTGTAGGCGGTGGTGGAAGATCCTTGAAAGGGTCCTGGTCATTGAATATTATTGATCGTACCTCATTGAGTTTCCTCTGAAATTGGTTGGAAGATTCTTTCCTCTCCAAGATGCTTTGATGGAACCAATCTTCAGCCGCTAGCACCCGCTCGTAATATGTAGCGGCACGATTACTGGGGTTAGTTTCAGGGTTCCAGTGTACAGAGCGAGGCAATAGTAATGGACCTGGAATTGCAAATCCAGGAGGAGGCACGAGGATCCCAGTGTCCATCGGACGTTGAGCATTTTCACCCAGAAGAGAAAACCGTGGAAGCCCCTTGAAAGGACCTGGCAAATCCTTCACTTCAGGCTTCTGTCGAAACGCCATCCAGGATAGCCCAGTCTCTACTTTGCAGAACTCTTCCAGACGCGATTGCTGTGACGCAAAGACGTTTCGTGCATACTTGTTGACAATTGGCTTGTAAAAGGCCACGGGTGAACGAGGACGAAGCTGAAATGGTGACTGTAGTCTTCTCGGCACAGCCTTTGGCGTGGCTTCACCGATAGAATCATCAGTCTTTTGAGCTACGTGAAATATTCCATCATCCTGGTACATGCTCTTGTCAGGATTTGCGTTATGAGCTTCCTGAACTCGCAACATCTGGTCCGCTGTACTGAGATTGTCCTTCACGGCAGGTCGAGGCATCAATCCTGCTGGCAAGAAAGAAAATGGCCGAACTTTATCGACCATAGAATTCCTATATGTCTTTTGCGTCAAAGGGGAATCCTCCAAAGTAGGTGGCTTTCTTCTTGCTTCAGGGTGCACCTCCATGGCTAACTGGTCGTTGATCCTTTGTGCTCGTACAACATTCGATGGCTCTGTTATGACATATCAGTAATGCTCAATCGTTAGAGTTATCTAGAAAAAAAAGCTGTATATAGACGAACTATCAGAGTCACTCACCCGGTTGCTTTGCACGAGGTGTCGATTGGCCATCTTCTTCCACTTTAGGATCTTTGTCTTTGTGATGATCATTATCACCCTCATGACTGTTGCTTGACTTCACTGGTGACTTTCCAGGGCTGGCTTTACCTTCAGCATTGTCGCTGGATTTTTTCTCTTCTTTTGAAGACGCGATCCTTGCTAGTTCGGCTTTGAAGCGCTTGAGTTCCACCTCCACCTTGAGAGGACTCAAATCATCAGGCGTAAATAAGCTAAGAACCTCCACTGGTGACTTTTCCGAGCTTTTTGTTGCTCTGAGTCTCTTCACTGGGCTCTTTGATGGGCTCCTCGATGTACCCCTGGACGAACCTCTGGACTGACCTCTCGACGAGCCTCTCGGTAGACTCTTTGCTGGGCTTGAAAATCGTGAAGACTTGACAGGAGGTGTAGCAGGAACTTTTACATGCTGGAGCGGCCCAGGTTTTGTTGGCGAAGCACCAGCAGAACGTGAAGTGTTTTGACGCGTCATAGCTACAATCGCTCCACGGTGTAGAGGGCTGGGAGGACGATACCCGCTCATGTGGGTTGAATATATCGGTTGAAAGCTTTGCATGGACTGGTACATTGGCGGATAATAATAATCCGTCGCCACAGGATACGGCGCAGGAACGTACATCGCACGAGGGTCGGTATAATGCGGCGGGGGGKATGCATACACAGGAATAGGTGTAGCAGAGGTAGCGACAGGTGGATAATAACGGTCAACAGGACGATTGGGACGTCTGAAACTTTCGACAGCACCCAGTTCAGCGTTCTTCTTCTGAGACGAGGGGTTATTCGTTTGAGATGATGGAGATTGGCTGGGGATGCTCCTCGGTGCTATAAGAGGGTAAGTACGCGTTGTATCTGTTAGGGACAGTTGGCTGGAGAAACTTACGATTGTCTGGTAGCTCCCAATTGCGGTTACCATTGAGGATTCGAGCTCTGGCTGCTGCTGCTGCATTCAGTTCAGCTGCTCTGGCCTGAGAGGTCATGGACGGGCCTCCGCTTGGAGCCATGTTGATCAGAGATGATAGAGGTGTCGACAATTCTTACGTAGATGGTAAGTTCAAAAGACAATAACCATCTAACACAGCAGATATTTAACAGAAGGAATTCTTCTGGGACCCAAGTTCAAAACACGCAAAGATAAGTAACCAACAGAAGGTAAGGATAATAACAATGCGCAGGGTAAGAGAAGTGATAGATGATAGAAAGAATAACAGGTGAGAGAATAGATGGAGTCGTCCAAGAAATTCAGGGAGGATGAAGAGGGATGAGCTGGATTGTAGCTAGTTGTTTGTTATAACAGACCGATCCCAAAAAGGAAGGAAGCCACTGGGCGCATAACATGGCCAGTTTTTTCAGGCAGACAATGGAAGAAGGAAAGTCTTTTTAGTTTGCTGTGGATAATGGGTTTCAGTTACGACAAACAATATTATGAACAATTCATATTAGAATATACCGAAGCTAACTATCGTACACGTCGTAAAAGTAAACTCATGAAAACCATAAGAGCTCATTATATTAGACCGAATCCAGTTTGATTACACAATTAGTACTGGCGCTGGGTGTTTCCAACGGTACGGCTGCCATCCAAGTCGGAGTCAACACGAGGGTCAAGCTTGTTCAAGACATTAGACTTGTGAGGACCAACGCTGCCTTGAGTTTGACCAGCTCCTGTGGAAGCATAGCTGCTACCTGCAGGGGCACCAGTGGTGCCCATGTGCTGGTGGCGAGCACGGTTGTCCATGTCAGAGTCGATGCGAGGATCCACCTTGTTGGCCATGTTACTATCGTGAGGTCCGGCGTTGGTGCTACGAGTATTGTAGTGGTGACCACCAGTCGTGCTAGTACCGGTCATGCCAGTGCCAGCAGTGGTACCATACTGACCAGTGGTGCCATAGGTCGCTATTAGTGGTTAGTTTATATCAAATCACATATCAGTGAGGGAAACATACAACGATCGCTGTCGACACGAGGATCCATTTTGTTGGCCATGTTGGAGTCATAAGGGCCAGCGGTAGTAGTGGCACCAGCTCCGATGCCGTGGCCGTGGTGACCATGGTGGCCAGTGGTTGAGGTACCCATAGCACCGGCGCCCATACCACCAGCGCCAGCACCCATAGTGGTACCTGTGGTGCCAGTCATTCCGCCGTGGGCAGCCCGGTGGTCTGCAACTGTTAGAAATGTTGTATTAAACGGTCGATAGGTTGTACAAACTTACCGCGGTCACTATCAACACGAGGGTCCAACTTGTTCATGAGATTGGAGTTGTGAGGGCCGTGGTTAGTTGAGCCTGCACCGTGAGCGGTGGTTGAGGTGGGAGTAGACTCAGTCTGGGACTGCTCGAAAGACTTGGTGGTAGTGTCGGCGGAACCATTATGACCAAAAGCGTTTCGTCCATCTAAGCCCTTCGTTAGTATTGACCATGACATGTTGGTTGTTTAAAATGCCTACCACGGTCGCTGTCAACACGAGGATCCAGCTTGTTCATCATCTTGGAGTTGTGAGGACCATTGTTGGCGTAACCAGTAGCACCAGTGCCATATCCGCCAGCGGCAACCCCAGTGGTATTTCCAGTGGTGTTGTAACCAGTGTTGTGGTGAGTAGCACGACCGTCTGTGAATGAATTAGCAAAAATCATGCAAATGTTGATGATCGTCCGTACCGAGATCGCTGTCAACACGAGGGTCCATCTTGTTGGCAACGTTGGAGTTGTGAGGACCGGCATCGGTAGAGCCAGCGGTGCCGTATGTGTTACCCATAGCGCTGCTTCCGGTGTTCATACCGGTAGCAGAATATCCAGTGTTTCCATGAACAGCACGTCCATCTATTGAGGGTCAGCATTTAGCTTATGGAGATGTAGAAGAGAGTTGTTCCTACCAAGGTCGCTGTCGACACGGGGGTCCATCTTGTTGGCAACATTGGAGTTGTGAGGACCGGCGTTGGTAGAGCCAGTGGTGCCATATGTGTTTCCCAAAGTGCTGCTTCCGGTGTTCATACCGGTAGCCGAGTATCCAGTGTTTCCGTGAACAGCACGGCCGTCTGTCGAGGTCAGTATGTCATTTAGGTGCATAAAGGTCGAAGATAATTGTTCTTACCAAGGTCGCTGTCGACACGAGGGTCTATTTTGTTGGCAACGTTGGAGTTGTGAGGGCCGGCGTTAGTAGAGCCAGTACCGTACTCGTTTTGTGCGTAGTTGTTTCCAGTGTTCAATCCAGTAGTACCGGTAGCACCAGTAGTGCCATAGGTGTGCTGAGCACGTCCATCTGAGATCATCGTAAGCCTTATTTGAACAAGCTCGCGTCAAGCTATCACATACCACGATCACTATCGACACGAGGGTCGGCCTTGTTGGCAATGTTGGAGTCATGAGGACCAGCGTTGGTGGAGTGAGAAGGTTTCTCGTGCTTGTCATGAGTGACAGCCTCTTTGACTTTGTTGATGATGCTCGACATGGTGAATGATTGATTGTTTGGATGATTGAGTATGGAAGATGTGAAGTGTGGCTTTCAGAGTTGTTCGCTGTTGAGAGTGTTGCTAGAGTATTGATTGATTGATTGATTGATTGATTGATGAGTCTGAAAAGTGAATTGAGGTTGAGAGAGAGGAGATTAACAACTCTTTATAGAATTGATGTCTGATGTTTGTTTTTGTCCGGGGGGAGCTGTGACGACATCGAGAAGCACATTACGTCCATCTTCTCCACCGCAGACAACGAGCTCATTTCCCAGCTTCGAGTTTTTATTTGATTGAATTTCCACCGTTCCATGGCAATCTGGACCCATTCACGGTTTCATGGCGGGGAGCTCCAGAATTCTCCAGAGCTGTCAAATCAGGGATGCCTCGTGAGACAGATCGGCAATGAGCCACAATGGAGMCCTCACGAGCCACTTGCCGGGGGAGCGACGTCATGCTAGGGCTATTTTTACAAGTTACAAGAGCTTCTATGCGAGATGATATCGATATCGATATCGATCTGCCTGCTGAAATGGACTAGCTACTGCACGTTTGCAGGCTGCTGCTGCTCATTTACCAGCTAGCAGAACGATAACCGTGGAATGGGTCCAGCCACAGATGGGAGTGGAGATGGATGACATCGAGCATTGGCCGTGTCGAGTATAGATCGTGTCTTTCAGTCTGTCTTTCAAGATTGACGAGATCCTGAGATGATGGACGTCATGCCGCTTTAGCAATGACGTTTTGTGTCAAACAGTGCAAATCTGGCCCGAGACCTCACTAGATCTAACGGCGGCTTGGCATTTAGCTTACGTTATCTACTCCGAGGGTTAGCCTAGTAGCCTTATGAGGCTGCAATTGTCTGGCTTTGAAGTTTGAACATCTTACAAAACATGAGCAAGGACAAATGAAGAGTTCGACGGTATTCTCGAGATGTCTCTGCAAAATGATTGCACGTGTTGGCGTCACATGACATCATGCAGTGGAATCTCATGCATGCATCTGTGGCCAAGCGAACGTATATGACACACTCGTGCCATAACAATAATGAGTAAAAGAGACTTCCAAAGTTACGGTCATATGCGCATTGAATCGTACCAGCATCACCTGTTCTCGACCTAAAGAATAATCCGAGTCCACATCACGTGCACTGTCAGCGGCGCTTGGCTGTGGCAGGCTTGGCGAGCGACGCAACGAAACGCAACTTACCGCCTCTGGCGCCCCTCCAGACTGCCTGACTGACGACGACTCTAATCCCTCCGATCCTCTCCAACTACGGAGTAATCGAGCCACATCACAGTGCGCCGTGTCTTTGTTTCCATTTTTGGGCTTTTTTTTTGGTTCTTTCTAGCAACTGTATAGTCTACGCCCGTGTTTCTCGATGATCGACCATCCCTTCCGTTCCGAGAGGCCTATAGTCGTGGTCCGGGAGTCGTAATCCGTCTATTAAACATCCTTTTACCCCAAACGCAATCTACAGAGCCAGCTGCAGTCTGCTCACTATGCGTCCTCCACGACTGTTACTTTTGATCTTTTGTTTCATCTTTTTGCCTATTCTGTTGACCTTCCTTTCTCTTGTCACTGCGGAGCCTCGTCGTGGTGGCGCCGAGGGGGAAGCACCTGTCGGTGATCGATCGAGCCGATTGCGCGCTCTCTTTTCATTCAACACACCGACTTCGTTATTCCCACCGTCCGCCATTATCAGCTTGACCGATGACAACTCGACGTTTTTCCTCGCGCGTCCAGCGGCTTTCGGCCCGCTTCTCCCGTCGAAAGGCCTCAGCGGTCAGATTTGGATAGGCAGCGGCTTCAGCGAGGATACCCTCGGGAAGGGTGTTGGAACTGCGGGCTTTCAGGGAGAGCTTGGCTGCTCGGATGTGCCGGGCTGGGATAAGGATGGGCAGGCAAAACCAGACAAAGCGTTAAAAGAGACCCATACCATCTTGCCAGCCAATCCTGCAACAGACAAGGAAACGATAGATAAGCGCAAGAACGCCGACACCGAGCATACGGCAGCGGATAAAAGCACTGAACCAGCGCCAAATGACGGGACAGATGATCATTTACATCATACTTTCTCAGCGGTCAAAGACGAGAATTCGAGCGATAAACCCTCTACGCATGCGGATATTCAGTCATTGCAAGAGAGCGCGGAGATTGCTGGAAAGGTTGTCTTGCTCAGTCGAGGCGGTTGCGGCTTTTTGGAGAAAGTCAAATGGGTTCAGCGACGAGGCGGCGCAGCACTGATTGTTGGGGATGACACCAGAGGCGGTAGCTTGATTACGATGTATGCGCGTGGCGATACTTCCAACGTCACTATCCCCGCGGTGTTCACCTCGTATACGACTGCGCATTTGCTATCCTCTTTGATTCCCGAAAGATCCGCCTTGGAGGGTCAAAAGGAGATTGACTCTAAGAACGTCTCGGCCGATCAAAAACGACCATCTAAGCCTACAACTACGACAACGAAAATTACCAACCAGCCCACAAACACCAGAGTTCCAAAAAAGGACGCGATTAAGAAGGAAGAGTCCTCAAAATTGAAAGACAACAACTTCTTCTCTGCTATATGGTCACTGTTCGGTTTTGGAAGAGGCGAGTCCTTGGCGGACGATAGTCGTCGCCCGCCAAGCAGTGGCAATATTGATTGGGTTTTAGTGGATGATTATGAAGAGGAAGAGGATGTTAACAAATTGAAATCAGCGCAGTCCAACAAAGATAAAGGGGCTAAGGTCGACAAGTCGAAGAAAGTCGACAACAGTCCCGTGGACGGCGATGGCTTTGAGATTGGTGTACATGACTGGCGGGATCCAGACCTCGTACCAAGCAAGTCTTCAGGAAAATTAATCTCTGATGAGACCGAGTCGAAGAAAAAGGATGAGAAGACCGATAGCAAGGCGGACTCGAATCTCAAAGGTGGTATTATCACGCCTGGAAGCGGAGAGTACTCACACATGGTGAAGGTCCCGGTTGACAAGACGGGCAAGAATGGAGCTGACGACAGGGATGAAACGTCATCAGACTCTGAAAAGAGTTGGTTTGCAAGACACTTTGGCTGGAACGAAGGTCTCGACGACGAACTAGATCAGACACTGAAGAACCGCGTACATTCAACCGGTAACCCAGTAGCATACGTGCGAGAAGGTGAACATACCTCGGATGACCACCCTGGTCTTTGGGTCACCCTCACTCCGACGAGCATGTCAACTAGTCCTTTTTTTGATACCCTTTTGGTTCTTGTCGTCAGTCCATTGATCACGTTGACTGTTGTTTATGCATTACTACTTTTGAGATCTCGAATCCGCCGACGACGCTGGCGTGCGCCCAAATCTGTCGTGGAAAGACTTCCAATCAGGACATACCATACCATCACTCAGTCAACTTCAACAACAAGCAGCCCGCGGTCACCGAGTCCTGGATCCATTACGTCAGTCACGTCAACATCCCCTCTGCTTGGGTCAAGGCCTCGACAAACGCATGGACGCTCTCGACAGCGTTCCCAGACTGTGTCTGGAGCAGGCATTCGAACGCATGATTTGACGCCAGTCAAAGAAGGGACATTTTCTGGATCTGATTTATGGAGACGCAAGTACATTGGACGTCAAGTCGAGTGTGTGGTATGTTTGGAAGAGTATGTTGATGGTCAAAGTCAAGTAATGAGCCTGCCGTGCGGGCACGAATTCCATGCGGAGTGCATGTAAGTTTCTCCATGATTTTTCTTGAAAGCTATAACTAATATACAATCGTAGCACACCATGGCTCACCACACGTCGACGCACATGTCCAATCTGCAAAGGCGACGTTGTTCGATCAATGGCTCTTGCTGAGCCTACAACAGACTCTCAAGAACCTACATCCTTTGTCCGCACAGCCTCTGTGCCAATTATACCCGATATCTCCGACGACTCGAATCTAGAAGAAGGTCGAAGAGCAGATGAACCGTTACTTTCTGACGACGATAACAACGATGACGAGAGCAATGCCAATGCAGCCTCCTCTTCGACTCCTCACCCACCTAATTGGCGCAATCTTTCATCTATAAATTTCTCCGCTCTGAGCGGAGACGCCATGTGGCATTCTTCACGGAATGACCGCAGTAGATAAATCTACGCTCTGTTTTGTTTCAGCGTTTTGGTCCGTTCATTTGATAGTTAGCGATTGGTATTGGTTACTCCGTATTATGTACGGTTGGAATGGCGCATAGGATCGTTTCAGTAGTAGCTGAGGACGAATGGAGGTACATTGATTTTCAAGTCGTCTAAGCGTAAAAGCACTACATACGTAGCAATAGCAGAAATAGCCAAACATGAAGAATTTCCTCTTTCGGATGAATTCTGTCTCGTCTCCTGATTGGCTTAGAGCTTACCTGCAGCTATTCCGCCGACGTCATAACGATGTCTTCAACATTCTTCACAGAAGAAATATTCCATAATTCCCACATCTCTTCTAATTCCGCAAAAAACAAAAAACACCTTCAACGAAACATTCATAGACCAGATCAAGCAAAGAAATGGCAGACCGCGTCAAAACAGTCGCACAATCCGAGATCCAGCGCATCTCCTCTCTCACTTTCCGCGCCCTCAAATCAGGCGCATATCTTTATCCGTTCCAGGTACATCCTCGTTTCCTTATATAACCATCCTCAAATTGTACCTTGAGTAGGTAGCTAACGGTTACGGTAGGGAATAATCTACCTCCTCTCCCATCGCACTCTATGGGCACCCCTCCGATCCCGCCTCATGCCCACTCTCGCCTTGGGCGTAGGCGTAACAACAGCCATGTTCCTGCTGACTTACATCCCACAAATGACTCTACTGGCATTCACATCTGGCCCGCTTGTGGCGCCGGTATCAGCTGCTTTACTGGTCATTAATGAAGCGTCTGCGATAACCAGCTTTTTGGCGTCACGGAACATGTTTTTCGGGCTTGGACAACGACAATCATCATCGACGTCGTCAGTGACGCTAGACGCATTCGATGCCACACTCATCCTAAAAGGGCACGAAACCCTCGTCTCTGGTGGTCGTGAACTCCGGCCCGCACGAGGAGGTAACATCCTCGCACGCCTAGGCGGATTTGTTGGAATGAGTAAACGCACCTCCTTCACCTCAAACAACTCAACAATCGACAACCTCATCCGCTCTTTGTTGTATCTACCACTAAATTTCATCCCCATCATCGGCACAATAGCCTTCTTCGCACTCAAGGGTAAAAGAATAGGCCACAATGCGCTAAACCGATATTTCGAGCTCAAGGGGTTCTCGGCGCGGGAAAGGGAGGAGTGGCTGCAGAGGCATGAGGGGGAGTGCGTCAGTTTTGGGGTTGTGGCGTCAGTGCTGGAAATGGTGCCGTTTGCGTCATTGGGATTTATGTGTACGAATACGGTGGGTGCTGCGTTGTGGGCTTCAAGGGTTGAGACATCAAGTAAGTCGGATACAGCGCCGGGATTGAGGGAGGACAGTAAGAAGGCTGCATAGTTTTTCGATGGGGTTGGGGGTCAGGAAGAATATACAGATACTTCATATCGCTATGTAAGATATATACATACATCAAACAGAAAGTGCCGCCGAGTATGTACCTTATATGTACTGCCAAATATGTATGTAGCCAAAAAGGAAATTAAAGTCCTCAATTTATGGTCATGACTCACCCGAAGTCGGAACGCACCCCCAGCTACATCCCCTGCGCAGGAACGGTAATGGGCGCAACTCCGCACCCGATGCACGTGGAAATTTCAGTCCGTTCTCGTAGGTAGCGCAATCCCACCATTCGATCCATTGTGTGCGCGGAATGACAAAGCTGCGGTGACATACAGAGCAGGTCATGCCACCGGCGTTTCGGACAGAAATCGCTTGTCGCAGTAACCGGATCACGGGCTCTGGGGATTCTGCTGATGTAGCATCATCGGCGAGAAATTGGTCCAGATATGGAGCCTTGTTGCATTCGAGCAGGGCCAATTCGCGTAGTGATGGGGCTCTGCTCGTTTGGTTTTGGGTCGTGGCACTCTGAGACCTGCCGAATGCTTTAGTAGAGACGAGCTTGCCCTCGGCGTCGAAGCGTTGCACACGGCTAGTAGCAATGTGGATGGGTGCCCAAGCTTCCTCTGGTATCGGTCCTTCGTATTCGCACGCTCGAAGATCGCCTTCGGTTCCATTTCCATGGTGCCAATGTTCAACATCCCCTGCCTCCTTTTCAATTGACATGAACGGATTGGGATGGACTGTCAATTGTTTCAAATCCCCTTTTCGGATCAACCACAGTATCTCCCATGGTAAGGTAGTGATCTGGTTCACGGAAAGATTTATCTCTTGAAGATTTGTCAATTTGCGAATGGCCCCTGGAATCTCGGCAAGCTCGTTGTTCCGTACACTGAGAACGTTAAGGTGTTCTAGCTCAAATATTTCAGATGTCAGCTCCTTCAGAGAGTTTCCGGATAGGAAAAGTCGAAGAGATGGTGTTAACGATGTGAATACTTCATCAGTAACTGGACCATCGGATACCGCTGGTTGCTTTGTAAGATGCAATAGGGGTCGGAGCAAGTCTGTCGGGATATTTTTCAAACCAAAGTTGCTATAACTGAGTCAGTTGGGTCATGAATAGCGAGTAGTTAAAACTTTACCTTAAATCAACACTCTCTTGCCCCTTTTCAAGACATTCATTGATCATTGTTCGAGCATCTCTGTGCTCTTGTGATTCGACCAAATTCTGTATGTTTCGGGGAGCAAAGACTGGCCCAGCAATCTGACCATCCTGATCATTGCTTCTCGTATCGATTATCCCAGTCGTAAATTTAGGCTCTACCTGATTCTGTCCAGCCCAAGCGCGCGCCATGAAATCCTCACACGACGACGCCTCCGACGAAAGAAGACAATCCGAAGACGACTCATCACTACCCATCCACACACCACTGTCCATATTCCTCTTTTCCTTGAAATCGGCTCTTTTCCGTTTTACTTCCTTGGCCATTTCGCCCCACCAAGTCCCCCGGTAGCGTCGCTTTCGTGAATGCTCAATTTGCTGTCCATTGTAGTTCTCCAGTGATGATGATGGGATGTCGTCGCTCGAGAAAAGCGCAGGGTCGCTGGATGGTAGGCTGGATTGGCTCAGTCGCGATGAGAGTCTCTTGGGTTTGCGGAATGGATGCTCGGGAGCTTTGGCCGGTGGTCTGTGACGGATGCTCCGTAACGGAGGAAGGGGCAGCTCTTGGTCCATGTTGCCGGTAGATAGCAAGCCGGTCAACTCGTGATGTCGTCGTTACAGTTTCTAGCAGCCCCCAATGCGTTCAATTCTGCGGCGAGTCAGAGAGACTGAATGCTCCAGGATGAATATGCCAGCGCGACAGCTGGATAAGCTCCTGGAAGCGTCCTCGAAAAGTCAGGGAGAGTTGAAGAGAATTGGTCGCTTGACTGTTTACCGTGAAAGGAAGTCGCGACGGACGGCAGTGACGCGTTATGACAAGCCAATCACAACGCTACGATAAGATAATATGTATCGGAGCTATGGCATCTTGCGGCATTCCACGTGACGCCAGCCAAGAACTGAAAAGATATTGAAATATTATGGATTTCGGGACTCTCACCGTGGACATTACATTGAGAGTCATATTCTACCTGGGCAGGATGTTCTGCAACGGCAGGKGACGCAAAGTAGACTCTTTCCTAGTATACTACGATAGCTATCTACACTATTCCAAATTGAGCGATACGAGATGGAGTCGTAATAAGCGAGCACTAGGTTGTAGTATTTACTGTTCAGAGACCATTTCCAAGGAGAATGCTCTTATCTCCGTGTCTCCCTCGGTGAATAACCTTAACTCCTTTGCCCTAGTAACAATCGTATACTATGATGAGCAGTGAGAACTTCATTTGCGCACGTAGTTTAGCAAGATTTGAGGATGAATTGAATGGCGATACACTAGAATGATGACTCGGGAGCGACCGAATGCCGAAATCCGGGTTGATGTTGCAGTATAAAAGGTAGAGTGAATGCCCGGAGGATGTAGCAACAATCAATCGACAATCTCATCCCATCTATCGCAACTTGTTGAATCCATAATTCCCAGAAATCAAACGTTGTTTCTTAAAGACATGGCCTATCCTTCAAAAACCCGCATCTTCATGACCGGCGCCAGTGGGTACATCGGCAGTGTAATCACAGAATTCGCCATTGCACAAGGGTACGAAGTCCATGGCCTGTCTCGCACGGAGACCAACGATGCAAAGCTGAAAGGTCTGGGAGCCGTCCCAATTCGCGGGGACCTCGAGACTCTCGACGTACTACGCCATGAAAGTGCCAATGCGCAAATCGTCATCCATCTCGCCGATGCCATGACCTGGAACCCGGACTATAGCGCAGGACTGCGTATCGATGCAGCTGCAGTCGATGCAATCTGCGAAGCCATACAGGGAACCGACAAACCTCTACTGGTAACCTCCGGCTCCTTGTTGGTTGAGGCTGATCCCAACGGCGAGGAGACTACCGAGACGTCCCCTCTGCAGAAGAATCCAGTAAATCAAAGATGGAAATCCGAGGATCATGCCATACGCTGGGCCAAGGAGAAAGGTGTTCGCGTGATCGCAATGCGCCTGGCGCCATACGTTTATGGACGAGGAGCAAGTGGTATACGCTTGTTCATGCAGATGCATGCCCGCAACGGCGAGGTTACATGCATCGATGACGGCAGTGCAAAAACGTCAACTATCCACGTCGACGATGCGGCACGTATGTACCTCCTGGCGGCCGAAAAGGGGAGCGCCCGAAATGTGTTCAACTGTACATCATCCACGGATGTCACAGCGCTTCAAATTGCAGAGGCAATGGGATCGGTCCTCAACTTGCCCGTGAAGTTCCTCAAGTTCGATGAAGCGGTTGCAAAGTTTGGTCCATTCTTCAGTAAATTCCTCAGCGCAGTGAATCGCGCGTCCAGTGCCAAAGCGGTTCAGACATTGGGATGGGAGCCCAAGGAGGTGGGGATCCTTGATGACATCAAAGGTGGTTCATATCTAGCTGTGGCTAAGGAGTTGCGCAAGGACTGAGTTGATAGGATGCCTATGCGTGGGTGAAAAGATGCCTAAATAAGGCATGACTTTTTGTACATAGGGGAATATGTAGTAGATATGTAGTTCGATTGAGACGAGACAATTGATGAATGATGTTGATGGAGAAGATAAGCCAAGATAAGCTCCGAGGTGGTTAACCATGTGGGGCCCGCATAGTACCTACGTATATCCCGTTATCCATCGTCTCTTCTGACTCAATCTGACGTCGAGAAGTTTCCCATAAACAAACATTGGCTGAAGATGCCCCTGAATCGCATACCACGATCGGCTTTCTTTTCTCAGTCCTGCTACAATGCCAGTTTAAGAATACGTGTCTCTCGGCACGCTCAATATCGCCGTGGCTTCTTGACGTCTGCTACAGAAGCCCCCGAGATCGCTTTCGCTTTCGAGTATGGCCCAATGCTTCTTTGATTTGAACGCTGCTGATTTTACCGTCAACATAGTATTGACGGCGTTCTTCTTCGTTCCTCCAAACCCATCCCTGGTGCTTCAGACGCTCTCCGTACCCTCCAAGAACGCGGCATTCCCTTTATCCTGTTAACAAATGGCGGCGGAAAACACGAGACCGAGAGAGTCGCCGAGATCAGCGAGAAACTGAATATATCTCTGGACCCAAGCGTTATAATCCAGAGCCATTCACCATTCGCCGAACTAGTCAATGGAGCTTTCGGACAGGAGGCATTGGAGAATAAGACTATTTTGGTCGCAGGCGGTGATGGTGATAACTGCCGCCTAGTGGCAGAGAGGTATGTCAAGGTCGTTGACCGCGAAATGGATATACAGGTCTAATACGTTTCCGCAGGTATGGATTCAAGTCGGTTGTGACACCAGGAGATATTCTCAATGCATATCCTGGTATCTGGCCGTTCGCCAAAAATTTCAAAGATTATTACAAGTCATTTGCACGACCTCTACCCAGACCAATCGACCCAGCCAATCCTTTGGAAAGTCTGAAGATTGACGCAATGTTCGTATTCAACGACCCACGAGATTGGGGTCTCGATGCGCAGATTATTATAGATGCTCTTTTATCCAACCAGGGTATCATGGGAACCTTATCTGATAAGAACGGCAAACCAGATTTGCCAAACCGTGGATATCAGCAAGATGGTCAACCTCCATTATATTTCTCGAACCCAGACTTATGGTGGGCAGCAAGCTACCACCTCCCACGACTTGGCCAAGGTGGTTTCCGTGAAGCTTTGGAAGGTACTTGGGCGGCAGTAACTGGAGGACCAACTCAAGGAGTTGAACTAATCAAGACTGTGGTTGGAAAGCCATATACTCTTACATATCAATTCGCGGAGAACCAGTTATTGCGAAATCGGTCGAAAATATTCGACTCTGAAGGTCTACCTCCGTTAAGGAATGTTTTCATGATCGGTGACAATCCAGAATCTGATATCCGTGGAGCCAACACTTATAGAAGTGACCATGGCAGCAAATGGCATTCTATTCTCGTGCGGACCGGCGTGTATAGTGGTGGTACTCCCGCATACCAACCGACAACAATTGTGGATGATGTGAAGCGTGCCGTAGACTGGGCTCTCAAGACTTCAGAATATTAGATTCGTTATTTATTCGGCGCAAATAGACAGCGTCGTGTCGAGCTGATTCTCTACGAATGACTTTGTATATAGGCGTCACCTTGCAGCCTTGATACTGATACCTGCGTAGCTTTATATGTACAATCTATGCAACGCTAGATAGTGCCAGCTCTTATATATCTACTTGTAAAGTTTAATAGATTTTAAATCAATTTAATGAAAAGCAGTATGCTTCAGACTCCCGACGACAAGAGTATTGTCCTAGGCCAACCACCAACGAGAGTCGACTCCAACAATCAAGAACGTAGAACTTGAGTCTATAGTTGGCAGCTCTATATGTTGATTACAGAAGATCATTTATTTCATTCATGTTTTAACAGTGAACAGATGTATCAGATAACGCACGTGATGTATAGAACAGGACTTAGGGCTTAGGGCTGGGTCAAGGAGGGGCCGTCCCGGACAGCGGGGTGGAAAGGGTAAGAAGTTTTGAGCCGGAGATTTATGAATCATAAGACACTGCATTCAACAGTGAGTCACTACCAGCCAATTCAGTTTAATTCTATTTGAATTTTGGGTTTTTATGATACTAATTCACGCCTTGGTACAGCTTTATATTTTCTCGTCTTAGCAAAGCAGCTAAAGATGGCTGACTCAACCCTCCCCCATCGACCGAAGCCCGAGGAGAGCTCAGAGCCTGCTCCAGCGACCGAGAATGCTGCTCCCGCCGCAGAAGGAGGCGCCGCTGCCCCCAGCAAAAGTGCATTGAAGAAAGCCGCCAAGGAGAAAGCCAAAGCCGAAAAAGCTGCAGCTCGCGCAGCCCAGGAACAAGCACAGAAAGCCGCCAGCGCTGCAGCAGATACTGCCGTTGGCCTGTACGGCAAGCTCCCAGAAAACGAAGACCTTGAGCCGGCGATCGACTTTTCGAAGCTAGGAGAGGAACACTATGAGAAGGAGGTAACTGTCGTGGCGCGTGTCGACAACGCCCGATCACAGAGCGCCAAACTTGGTTTCCTCATGCTTAGGCAAAAGGGAAAGAAGCTCCAGACAGTTATTGCAGCACCTGCCGAAGGACCTGTCTCAAGGCAGATGGTGAAATGGACTACTGGTCTTAACGTCAACTCTATCGTCCAGGTCACCGGTGTGGCAAAGAAGCCCGCTGTTCCCATCGCATCTGCGACGCTGACCGAGTTAGAGCTTCAAATCAAGAAGATCTACATAATTGTAGAAGCAGCTCAAGTGCTCCCCATGCAAGTCAAGGATGCTGAACGACCACCACCACTTACCGATGGCATTGAAGGCGAACCCGAAGTCGACGCAGAAGGTACCCCTATCGTCACACTCAAGACGCGTTTGGATAACCGTGTGCTCGACCTACAAACAGAGACCAGCCAAGCTATCACCTGGATCTCTAGTGGAGTTGCGCAATTGTTCACGGAGTTTATGTTGAAGAGCGGTGCGCGCTGGATATTCTCATCGAAATTGAGTGGGTCCTCAACGGAAGGAGGAAGTGAAGTTTTCGAAGTCAAATACTTCAACAAAAAAGGTTATCTTGCTCAGAGTCCTCAATTGATGAAGCAAATGGCCATTGCTGGTGATATGGAGAGCGTTTTTGAGGTTGGCCCTGTGTTCCGTGCTGAAAACAGTAATACGCACCGTCACTTGACCGAGGTAAGCACATGAAAGCCATTTCTTTTCGGTGGGCAAGTTGTTGACAGTTCAAAGTTCACTGGTCTCGATTTCGAAAAAACTTTCAGACACCACTATCACGAGGTTCTTGACTTTGCCGAAGAACTCCTTGTCTTCATCCTCACTGAGCTCAAGGAGCGTTACAAGGACGAGATTGCCGTTATTCAAAAATCATACCCCAAGGCAGGCGACTTCAAGTTGCCCAAAGATGGCAAAGCTCTCCGATTGAACTATATGGATGGTGTCGCATTGTTGAAAGAGGCCGGCGTCGACACTTCTGAACAAGAGGCATTCGAGAATGACTTCACCACCGCCATGGAAAAGAAGTTGGGACAGATCATTCGCGAGAAGTACGACACCGACTTTTACGTCCTTGATAGATTCCCCATGGCAGTTCGCCCGTTTTACACCAAAGCGGACCCCGAAGACCCCACATACTCCCACTCATATGATTTCTTCATGCGTGGTGAAGAGATCATGTCCGGAGCTCAACGTATCAACGACGTTAAGGAGTTGGAAGAGAGCATGATCAAGAAAGGAGTTGACCCCAAGACGGAAGGTTTCGAGGACTACTTGAATGCTTTCCGACAGGGTTGTCCTCCACACGCTGGTGGTGGTCTCGGTTTGAATCGTATTGTCATGTTCTTCTTAGGTCTGCCAAATGTTCGTTTGGCGACTCTGTTCCCCCGTGATCCTCAGCGCTTGCGACCATAAGCATGTTGCTATTGAAAGAATATTTTGCTTGTATGAGATGAAGTAACAAATACAAAAGGAAATATCACTTTTCAAATGTTCAAACATTTGTCTGCTTCTGCTGTAGCTGAAGGCCGATGCCGCTATTCCGCTTTTGGTATCTGAATCGATAACGATAAGAGCACGGAGATTTTGTAGACCTCTGCTAACTTCATACTTTCAAAGTTCTGCGTATAGTTTCAAATACACATCGCACTCGGGTGCCTTTTTTATTTACGACGAACTAAGAATATGCTCTGAAATCTGTCACACTCCAAGACCATCGGTGGTCTAGTTTAACCTCATCTACTCCAAATAGAGCGTCCCGCAAGTTCAATAGAATTCGGCCACTTACTCCGATCATCAGAAGATGCCAGAAAAACGCAAGACCGATTCTGAGCTCAGAGATGGGGATTACACCACCCCTGCGAAACGTGCGCGTCAGCAAATATCCTACGATGACCTAGACGACTCCATGCTTACGCCTCCAGTCGTGCGACCCGAACCGACGAGAAATGAACTTGAAGACGACGTAGGCGACGCGTTCGAGAACGAATCAAATCTGGGACATGATAGCAAAAATAAGACATCAAACAAACACAACAGTCGCCAACGCCATAATCAACAGCCACGGGTAGATCCGGTCTACGGGCAAAGAAGTGCCTTTCCCGGTCTGGACGATGCAGGCTCCGATGAGCTTCTCTATGGTCCTCCAGAAGATGGCTTGGAATATCTGCGTTTAGTTCGGTAAGTTCATGCCCTTTCTTTCTCAAGATTTTCAAAGCAAGGGCTAAGTGCTTGTGTCTTTTCTCCCTTGGTTTCTGTTTAGCTGTGCATGATTTTGATCTTGAGCTAATAAAATTTGTGTTCGTTGTTGTCGCAGATCGGAAGCGAACTCTCTACCTGCACTATTCGTTGCGCCAAAACCCAAGATGGAAAAAAAGGAGACCCAGCAAGCTAATGAAGCACTGGGAAAGCTTGAAACAACGGGAAAAGAACCAGAACAAGTCCAGTCAGAGACCGGTTATGTCCTCATTGACGGTGTAGTGATAGCTACATCCACCGCTAAGGAAACCACCGAACTCGACGTCGAAGAAAAAAGAGACGCGCAATCATCGTACTACAACTTGTTGAAGCATCGCTTCATTCTGCTACGCACAACGTTGCGCTGCTCCCCMCCCGCCAATACAATAACAGATCTGGACGAAAGCCACCCCATCACCCTCCCCTTCCACGTCAGGGCAGCCCGCACAGCATGGACACAACTATTATACACGGCAGAACCGCAGATGGTACAATTAGCTTGTATGGATATGGAATCTGTGCTTGGCGTTCTCCGGCTCTTCGGTGATGTGATGACCAAGTGCATCAAAGATAACGACGCAAACCAGTTACGGCGAATCGGCGCATGGGCATGGGGTTTATTAGGTCGATGTCGAGATGTGGGCGAATTGGGCAGCGAGGAAGTTGGCGAATTAAGAGTTCTCGGGAGAAAAGCGCTTTCACTTCTGAAGAAAATGGATAGAAATAAGACCCTTTCTGGTGATGGTTTTAGTGTGGTGGAGCCTGATCTTGAGGATAAGGAGTCTAGTGATGATGAGGATGAGATGATGGTTACAGTTGAAAGCATGGAGTCAGCTGAAGGGCAGGAAATTGACGAGCTGGAGGCGGCAAAACTCCGGTTACAGTCTCGATTTCTCGGGGAGGAGACCACAGCAGAGCAAGCTAAGAGACAGAGGAGGAATACTTCATCTCCACTTGAMCCAGCCATAGACGACGAGCCAGAGACGACGCCTTCCCCGAAAATCACCCGCACAAAGTCGCTACCAAATATCGCAGTGACTGGAGAGGAGCAATCTCGCATTCTCCTAGATATGATTATTACTATCGTGGGTGAATTTTATGGACAAAGGGATCTTCTACAGGAAAGAGATATATGGAACTAGCGGGTGCCAGATGTACAATAATGAGAATTCTCTCCATGATACCTTCTACTTGAAGTATAACAATGTAAAATGCAAAATCATGAAAAATGTCATCAATCATCAAGACTAAATAATCAGCATCTAAATCACAATATCTCCCCAAACTGTTCCCAAATTGCTCTCCGAGTACAATCATCTTGAACCCATTTCTCAATCCTAGCCGCTGTGTCATTCACCAACCACTCATAGTACAACCCATTCGGTAAGAAAATTGATTGATGAGCGATGACCTCGTCAACATCGGGCATGAAAATGCGTACCCATAGCGGATCGATAGAGCTTTTAGTGGTGTGGGGTGGCAATGCACAAAAGACACGATCTTTGGGTGGTTTTGTGGATGTTGGTGTTGCGGGCGATGAGGATCGGCGTGGCTCTTGTATGTAGGGTGGTGAAATGGTGTTGATCTCGGTTTCGATTTCGGTTGTATCTAATTGTGGTGGTGATGATGATGTGCTTACTTCTTCGGTGGATGCGGAGGTTGGAGCTGGGTGTCTATCTTGTACGTCATCGTGGTTGTCATCTGGAATGATGATGCTGTTGTCGAGGTCCCCTCTGCTTTCTGATCGTAGAGAAATCGATTCGGATTTCTTTCCCTTCTTGCTCCATTTTTGTGCAAGTTTCTCACGCTCTTTGAGTGTTAAGTGGTGCTCTTTTTGAGCTTTCCTATGGAGCTTGACTAGACGTGCATGTTCTTTCTGTGCCTGCTTGAGTATATCTTTGTTGTAAAATTTAGATGGATCAAGGGCCTGTGGTTTGGGGGGAATCATTGGTAAGGGCGGCAGGGATTTGAGCATGATAGTGTAGTCCTTCTCAACTTCATCGATCTTATTGTCTTCAATTGCCGCTGACTGCTCGGATACAGCATCAAACGATTGTCTTGGTGAAGGAGATTGCTCCATGGGTGATGGCTCAACTTCCGTCAAATACTCATCGCTTGAATCGTCAACACGCTCGGTGGATATGATGGGACTAGGAAGTTTGGTCAAATTTTCAACTGATTCCATGGCCAATGTTTGGCTTGGCGGTGATTTGTCCATCAGGCCCTTGCTTTCAATACTTGCCGACGGTGACTTCTTTGGGAACCCTGGACTTGCTGTATAATAGTTCACGAACCTGAGTCGTCGCTGCAATCGACCATGCTTATCTGCCTTCGGTTCTAAATCGTCGATGCCATCCAACTCTTTCAACGATGCATATCGTCTACGAAGTCCCGAATAATCGGCGAGACAGCCTCCGAATTCGAAGTAAGAGTTTGCATACTCTTTGACCGCCGTTCTCAGATTGCCCGAGTTCTTCTTGAGGAAGTTCAGAGCACCATCTAACTGATTACGTTTCACTCGATGGACATCATTCACAAATGGGGGATCAAAATTTGGGTCGGGTTTTTGCTCGTACCACGAAGATGCGGTTGACTCTGTCGAGTATTGAGAGCTTTGATCACTTGACAGAGTTTCTGGTGTCTGCAGAGATGTTGTTTGATTGAGATCTTCCTGAGACGAGTCTTCTACACGCCTTGGGTGAAACAGACTGGAGAGCCCGGTACCCACAACACTCGGATGCATACCAAGGAAGGGTACATCAAAGTTTATCGTCCCGAGCATACGATGTCTATGCCTTATGGGACTGCTTGCATCTTCAGTCTCAGCAAGTGCTACCTCTGCGGCTAGGATCCCACCCAAACTGTGTCCCAACAAGATAATATCAGTCTGATCTGACTCGTGCGGTATGAGCCTGTTATCAGTAATTAGTTCAGCTTTGAACCGATCTTGCAAATTAAGACCAACCATTCACTAAATTCATCTCGAGCAGCGCTCATTGCCCGCCGCGATTTATATCGCGGATATATCTTGGAATATACTACGTGCGAATCTGCCAAAGCGTCGGCGGCCAGATTGTGCACGTGAGCTGGAAATGTTCGAAAGCTATCTTCGGCACCCATGAAGCCGTGGATATAGATTAGTAATAATTTTCTTCTTCCATCTTGAGGGGTCCCTGATGGGCCAAGTGATAAGGTCGAAGAGCTCGCATCTTTTCTGGGGGGAAGCGGAGGCGGTCTTTGAGCTGGGATTGCATGCCCATCATCGGGTTTGCGTTCCGTGAGAGATAAAGTAGATATTGTCATATGCAGTGACGGGTCTCGGTTGCTGGTTGGAGAACCTGGGTCATCAAGTTGCATTGGAGGGGGCATGATCAATTTGATGGACCCCTTCGGTCCTCTGAACGGCTGTCATGTGATGATGCCACTGCACGTTAGCCTGGTACTTTTGTATTACCAGTGCATTCTAGCTGCCTAGTAAGTCGCATAAAAAGCTCGTATTTGCGGAAGGATAGCCCAAACATCTGTGGTGTCCGAGAAGAGGGAAGTGTAAATAAAGATGGACCGCGGCAGTCATTGGCCCATCTAAGCCACTGCGTGCGTCATAGCAAGGTGGGTCGCGCTCCCGATAAGCAGCTCAACTTCGTCGCAGGCAAACTCTAGCTCAACTTCACTCTTCACGTTTACATTTTGCGAGTTATGAAGCTTGCTATCTAATTACTGACCATGCCGTCGAATGTTGAGATCACCATTCCTACAGCCACTCTCACGGGAGATTATACCACGTACAACATAACCGTTAGGCTGCCTCTTCGATCCCTCGTCGTCCAGAAACGTTACTCCGAGTTCTCGACCTTCCACGACGATCTTGTCCACCAAGTCGGCGCTCAACCTCCTGTACCACTGCCGAAGAAGTCATGGTTCCATAACACAAACTCAAATGAGAAGCTGAGGGAAGAACGGCGGGAAGGCCTGGAGAAATACCTACAAGCAATCAACAGTGCAGAAGACCAGCGATGGCGGAACACGAGTGTGTGGCGGTCGTTCTTGAATTTGCCGGTACAAGCATCTGCGGGAGATAATACGTCGTCTGCAAGGTTACATAAAGCAGTTACTAGCCCCGGTGGTCTGGGATCAGCTCCCATAACCGATCCAGTGTTGTGGCTGGATTGCCATCGCGAACTGAAATCTCATTTACACGACGCGCGACTGCATCTGACGAGAAGAGACCAGGCTACGACTCCACAAAAACAACATGAAAGCTCTGCACATGCCAAGTCGAGTTTGTCCAAGGCCGGATCAATGATTATAGCACTTGAAGAAGGGTTGAAGAATCCTGGAAACGATAACTGGGCTGGTAGTGGCCTTGGCGAGGGCGAAATCAGACGGCGGAAGGATCTTCTTGCGAGCGCAAAGAAGGAAAAGGATGGACTGGAGAATTTGCATAATGCGATGCTGCAGAAGAGTAAATTGGATACGGCCGTAGCCTCAATACAAGATAAGGACAAGCTCATGAGCAGCGCAAAGCCTCGCCCAGGCGGTCGGGTTCTTGGAAAGGAAACGGATAAGACGCGCGAATTGGATAACCAGGGAGTCCTACAACTTCAGAAACAGACTATTGATTCTCAAGATAAGAGTGTCGAAGAACTGCTCAAGATTGTCTCTCGACAGAAAGAGTTGGGCATTGCTATAAACAATGAGTTGGAGGTTCAGAACCAGCTTCTGACTATGGCAGATGAAGATGTTGACCGGTTAGTACTATCTTTTCCACATCGATATTTTATGCTGATTCTCACTGATTTTCGTTTGTAGGCTGCAAAACAAACTCGATGTTGGAAACAAACGTGTGGGCAAGATATCATAAACGACATGGTGGATAAGAGATACGTGCATTGAACATGGCAATTTGACATATATGTGCCCAAATTACGGTATACCCTGGTGTAAATAGACTTTCATTTATTTTGACTTCTCTTGTTGCTTGCGACACAGCGATTTCTCGTTTTCTGTTCAGTATGAAGCATAGTATGCAAGTATGTTCGTACACCAAATTTGCTCTGCCTTCAAGGATTATCTGAATTGCACAATTTGATTAGATAACTGCAGTATCACTACGCAGCGCCAGGAACCTGAATCTTCATAAATCCAGAGAAAAACTTTGCCATCTCATCATAGTCATCCATATCTCCCACCCAACTCACATACTGATCTGGCCGGATAATCACACTGGCACCACAACTCGGATCTATGCCATAGTTGACGTATGCCCGACCATGTCCCTCATGATATGATTGATCATCAACAAACACTTTCCAATAATCCCAACCTTCCTTACTATCATATGGATGAAACGCCTCTGGCAAATCAAGTAATTCCAAGCTTGTTCGCGGTCCCGCATGAACGGTCAGCACTTCAATCACGCTGTCGATTGGTTGGCTCGAGGGTGTGTAACTGCGAAGGAAAGAGTCCGAGGCTCCAAGTTTGTCTCCTAGTTTCTGCATACGTTGCATGTTTTCGGGAAGTGTGAGATTGCCGGGGAAGACTATCAGGCGCCAGCGACCGTTGCTCTTGAGTAGCTCTTGTAGATGCCATGGCCGTGCATCGGACTGATTGAGGACTTTGAAACTTGGCATACGCTTTCCGATGTCGATACCTTTTGCTAGTTGGGGCTTGCTAGCGCTGCGAAGAAGATGATTTCCTATTACGTCTGTGCCGTCTCCTTGCTCTAGTGCGTCTCCGTCCTTTGCAACGATCACACTTGCGCCGTAGTTCACCGCTGTTTACACGAATATCAGTACTAATTTTATGGCTTATAAGAGAAATTGTCGGTGTCATACCGATACCGCTAGCAAACTCATTCCCCTTCTCAAATGCCGACTTGAATTCTTCCATGCTGACACCTTCCTCATCCATGACATCCTTGGCCGGACGACCAGAGAAAAGCCGTGAGAAGCGATGGTCAAATTCTATGAGATCCTGCGCAATTCGTCTTCTTTCTGATTGGTATGTCTTCAAAATCGATGCATCACTGTATCCTTTGACTACGTGGGCGAGTTTCCAACCTAGGTTATAGGCTGATATAGATGTCAGTATATGTGAATCCGGTCAGCAGGAAATATTCACTTACTATCTTGCATGCTGACATTCATTCCCTGTCCAGCCTTTGGAGAGTGCGTGTGTACCGCATCACCAGCCAAAAATACACGCTCATTCAGCGAGAAGTTGTCGCCTACCCGCTGCCCAATCTGATACGCCGTCCACCAGTCGCAGTACGAATAATCCAGCTTATATGGATGCATAATTTTTTGCGCAGATTGCAGAATAATATCAGGTGTAATCCAGGACCGATCAACCTTTCCTTTGCTCTGCATATATTCCGTTGCCTGCAGCTGGATATAGAGTCGAACTAGCTTATTCTCGCGAGGGATAATCATGACGCTACCTGAGCTTGAAGAATGAATTGCGCATCGTTGCCGGATATCTGGGAAGTCGGTTATGGGGATTATGTCCAGCACACCCCATACATAGTCAGTTGAGTCACCTTGTAGGCTGAAGCCAAGTTGACGTCGCACCCATGAGTGTGCACCGTCGCAACCGACCATGAATTTTGCCTTGACCGTTTCTATGTGATGGCCGTCGCCATTGTTAGATTTTGCTGCATTAATCAGATCATCCGTGTCATCTGGCGCTAGGTTACTTCGAAACAAACCATCACTGACGGTTGTCTGCTCCCCGTCAGCGGACTTTTGATGCTGATTCCGCTGTTGCGGCGTGGCTTCCTTCTCAGACAAAGCTTGTAGCGTGACCGTTATAGGATAGTCATCAAAATCCCCTGCTTTACTAACATCAAAGTCAAAGGACGTAGGTAACACTCCACGTTCAACCGTGATATCGCTATGTTCCTTGATCGAATCAAGGAAAAACCGCTCAATACGTCCTTGGTGTAACACAACCTGCTGAAACCGACTAATACCGGGTATAGTATCCGGGATTCGACCTGAACGTCGAATTGTGCCGCTCTCGTCTGGATTCCAGAAGCAAATTTCGAGCATGTGATTTGATTCTCGCCAGGCGCGGTGAGCGAAGTCGAAGGAGTCGAAAATTTCGAGAGTACGGCATTGTAGGCCGTCTGCTTGGCCGTTGAAAATCTGTATTCGCATTCATTAGATATGGTACCTACGTACATATGAGGGCCGTTATGACATACCTTGGTACCGCGTTTGTCTACAATGCGAGTCTTGACGCCGCAGCGACTCAACCAGTTGGCCAACATTAGGCCGGCTGGCCCAGCGCCGACGATGAGAACATCGGTTTGGCTGGTCTGGATCTGAGATGCTTGCGTCATGAGTGATAAATCTTCAAATTGGTCTTCTCCTGACAGGTTCCTCTGAAATTATTATTGCCAACGAGATGTGTCGGCTTCTAGTCTATATGGTCGTAATTTATGAGTCGTCAAAGGGCATCTATCGTGATATTGGGTAGATGTGAGTCCTGGAAGGGGTAGGCCACTTGGCACTAGTCTTGTGAAATCTTTTGAGACTTTTTGACCTTATAGAGTCATCTGTTACTCCAATACCTTTCTCTAAGGTCTATATAAGCGTCTTTTATAGATATGTACCTCCGCGCTTTGACTTCAGTATCCGAATCGGTATCAAATCCCGAACTGCGACCAATACCTTACCTTGCCACGATTTACCCCAGTTTCTCCGCACTCTTTGCCTAAAAGGCTATGAAAGACTGCCGTTACGGCATCCGATGGTGTACCTCTTCCGAATTAAATCGGCTTGATGGATCTTCGAGAAGGGTAGGAGCTAGCCCCGCTGGATCTTGACTGGTTATTTCCTAGGGGTTAGTCCGATGACCCCGCTTGTCTATGTAATCTGGCCGATATTATATGCTTTATGACTTCAGTGTTGAGTACGTACGTATAAAGCTGCCCCAGATCCGAAGCAGCAAACCCCGCAACATTAGGGTTTACTCCACTGGTGACTTATATTGTCTCTTCTATGGAAACTAGTTGACCATTTCTCTGATGTAGTCGGCAAACTCATTTGATGTACCCTGTATCGCCCAGCTGCTGGAACTCTGACTTCTCCAACTATATACTATCATGTTGGCCGAGTTTGTTGATATCAAGAGTTCTCGATCAAGTACATATTTCTCTCTATCAGCAGTAGCATCTGCGAAGTAAACCATCAAAAAAAAATAGAGTATGATATTAAGATGGATTTTTTGTCGAGTAATCAGATCAAAAGGATCTAAATGCGTAGGCTTTGGTACGTTTTGTACTCAACGATACCTTCGGAATTGGATGTTTAAGCCCTAATTTCCCCCAACAGGCTAACCTGAAATGGAAACTCTTCATATCAGACAAACAATAGAAACATATCAAACTGTGCAGATACCCTGAATAAAGACAAAAGGACATATCGGCGAGTGTGACAATGTGTTAGTACTACTGAGGCTTTCCACTGTAAGAAAGTAGATATAGCGTTGTAGTAGAAATACCTCTATTCCTTTTACCGAAGCTCATTCAGGCAGCAATAAGTATGAAGAATGCTTTCATCAGATGATTCGAACAAAGAGCAAATACTGTGAACTGTAGATTGTTTGAGACATCGGTGCCTCATACCTCTCGAATCATGGACCTCTTTGTGTAAAACTGTCGAGGATTCACTGCAATCACCCAAGACTAACAATGGATCAAACAATAGGGGCAACATGTTCTCTCTGAGCAGGTTTGGCAATTGTTCACAATGCTTCATCACTCCGGGCACTGGGCACAGTCGATTCACAGTCTATTGAGAGCTCTTGTCTTGAAGGAAGGAGAATCCCATCTGGTACCCCAGTGCCCTGGGTAGGCAATTCGTTTGTGCCATCTATGGACATAAAAAGGGCAGCATCTGCCGCCAAAATTACTCCCCTCTCAGAACAGAAATTACCTGGATACCCAGAAACAATAAATTGTTTTTCAAAACTAGAGGTATCTTACTACAAACCAAACTTGAATATCAGCAAGTAACATTACTTCATCTTGTCAGTTCCCTTTTCAACAAGAGCAAAATACCACAATTCATCATGCTACCCGTATTGATCTTCACGTCGATTATGACGCTTTTCTTCTTTGGCTTTAATGGAGAACGAATTATCGATGCAGCCGCCCTGACAGGTCCACAAATCGCCGTGCGTGCAGGAAAATCTTTCTGTGGATTACTTATGATTTGCGGATCGGCATATGGCCTTCAAAGCCTCCTTGACGGCGAAGTCCCAACCCTTCAATCTGGAGAATTCCACATATTTGCTTCAAATGGGACATCTGCAGCATACTCGCATGATCCTTTCAGGTCGACGATATTGGAGGATCCCGCTACTAAATTCTGGTATTCGACTAGGCAAACGCCAGTGCCTTATTTCAATCCAGATGGCACCCTATGGGGTCATACAGCGCCAGATGCGAGGAAAGTCGAAGAATATAATGCGGTTCAGAATATGATGAACTTTGCATTTTTCGGTTTCTTGATCGGTGTCTTTGTGTACATTTGTATCCAGATATTGAATAAGATTTTCCGGTTGTTCTTTGAAGGGAATTGGTCGCAAATTCATACACAGGAAGCCCTGGGTTTTCACACGTTGAACGTCAACCCAATCAGCCAGACACCGGCAGACCCCTCGATCAAGGATAGTTTAGACAAGATTCTAAACGCCGTGAGAACGACACCAACAAGACCTGAAGTTCGCCTCGGATCTGGAGACCCGGGCAGCGAACATCACGACACTCTCGAAACGATTCGTACGGAAATCACCTCGAACAACACAGCACAATCGCGAGCTAGTGGTCGTTTGTCAACTAGAATGGAAGGTATGGAAGAAAGGATTCGTGAACGACTTCAAGAGAGTGATGCTGAGGCGCGACAATACTTTGGAGATATACGAAGACTAGTTGAGGCTTTTAGTCGACAATATGTAAATGACCAGAACGTGAACAATACAAATGATGAAGATGTCAGAACAAGGCTGCAGAATCTGGACGCCCAGATTCAGGCCCTGAATGCGATTGTTGGAGGGTTCAATCTCAATGATACAAATAGCAGAATCGTCTCCATAGATGCGAAGATTGAACGGCTTATCAATCTTTTCAACACCAGAGACCTCAATGACAGGACCCAAAGCTCAAATGAAACGGTCGAAGAACTGAGCATTGATATGTTCGGAGCCTTGGAACGAAGGATGGAACAAGTCAACGATTCTCTACGGGCCTTAGAAGCTAAGTACGATCAACTAAGCCAACTTGTTCGAGCCAATAATTTGGACAGCAAGATCACGACCTTTGGTGAAAGTCTCGATCAGGTGCATGACCAGACTTCGAAAGCGTTGACTGTTGACAGCCTGGAGTTCAAAACCCTGAACGACCGGGTCAGTACTATTCAGACCCAGGTAACGGGAGTATCACTCGACTTGACAGGTCACAATACCTCGACTGAGGGATTCAATCGGGAAATGAATCAGAAAGTCGAAAATTTGGAGAGAGAGATACAGAAAGTAAGCAACAAGATCGGCAAATATCGAATGTTGGAAGCGAAGATCGACGGATTGCAGACGGAGGTGACAGATAGTTTCAAGCTCACAGCCCGTCAAAGCGACGTTCAGTTAGTGAGTACAAATGTCAAAGACATGCAAAAGGGACTGCAGACAGTCATAGATATACCGGAAAGAGTTCAAAAGATACAAAAAGATATCTCGAAGTTTTCAAATCTCGGAGGTGATGTTCGATCTATGAGTGAGAAACTCGAGGACATGCAAGGGGAATTGCAAAACATCATGCCCGTTACAGGAGAATTTAAGGAGATACGGAAAGAAATATCAAAGTTATCAAACACTGCTGGCCTGAGAATTGGTTACTTGAACGAAGATCTCGGGGAAGATGTTCGATCTTCGAATGAGCGACTCGACAAGATGCAGCAGCAGATCAACAGCATGCCAGGAGAAGTCGAGAAACTAGACAGAAAAACTCAAGACTTGATTCGACAAAATCATGATTCGGTTCTATCCAAATTGGAGGCCAGCCAATGCAACTGTCAAAATACGTTGACTATGACGCAAGAAGAAATGCCAAAGATCAACCAAATGCATGGAACAGTTCATGACTTGCGTCAGGAGGTTGAAGACATACAAGAAGTACAAAAGTTGCATACTTCAGCAGTCTCTAAATTGGAAGCGAACCTTCGAGAACTGGATAGCCGGCTGATCGGTCAAGAGACGCGAGCGGATGAAATCGAAAAATTGCATGAAGAGAGGCTTGACAGGAATGAAGAGAGTCTCAGCACGCATCAAAATAGGTTGAATACGCACGGAGAAACCATGAGCGTTCTACGGATTGATCTCGACAGAATCAAAGAGGAGAATGAGAAGAATCCAGAGGCCCCACGACGGAAAATTGGCAGAGCTGATGTAGAGGACGACAGTGTGGAGGAGCTAGTTCAGATACTTGCCAAGCAGGCAATCGATTTGTATGTGACTAACCATTTTGACGTGTTGAAACCCCAACTTGAGACCGACCTTCGTGATCAAATCAAAGAACTGGATTTGGAGCTCTGGAAAGAACGCTTTGGTTATGTAAAGAAAATGACTGGAACTTTCGAAGAATTCAAGTGCAAATGCAATCTTGGTGGTCTTGAGGATAGAGTTGGAAAATTGGAAGAGGGAATCGAAAGATCCGGGTGCACATGCAACCCTGCTGATTTTGCAGAAAATGCTGCTGATCCCGGACCTGTCAAAGAGCTCATGACTGAGAACTATGCTAAGTTGGAGAAAAAGGTTGAGGATAAACTCAAAACCATGAAGCAGGGATTGGAATCCGTTGAAAGGGCTCTTAAAGCTCAGAATTGCACTGAGTTGGAGAAAAAGATGGAGGATAGACTTACAATCCTCGAGGAGAATTTGGATACTTTTGAAGAGGCGAGAGCAAAGGATGGCGTTCAACTCGAAGATGTAGACGGACGACTCAGAGGAATAGAAGATCAAACTCAGAAGACAAATGACTTTTTCTTCCAAAGGTTTAGCTCGACTATCAGAACCCGTTCAGGCATTAGTCAACCAGAAATTGCCGATCAGAAGATACAGGAGTTGGCAAACTTGATCCAGAAGGAAGGCATTGGTTATACCATCCGCCAAATGATGAACTATGTCGACGGGCTTTCTAAAGGAATGAATTTCTTAAGAAAGACTGTGTGCGGGGACTTGTCCATAGAACCTGTTGGGTCAATATTCGAACAGTTGGATATAATTCGGACGGAGTTAGGTGCTCTCTCATATGTATACAACCTTCCGGCCGTTCAAAAAGTTCTCCAGGAAATCGATCAAGCCGAGACTCAGACTTTAGCGTTCACGCAGTCATATGATCAACAGATCGCTCCTGCTCAAGAGACACCAGCACCATCTCAGTCAGATACTCCAATGGTTCCTCAGTCCAGCTCAGTTTCCCAACCTATTCTAAGACGTCAGGTCTCGGATACAGACGAGGTACCTACTGAAATGCGGGCGATTTTGGCACATGGCCCGCCCCGTGCAGACAGCTCGGTATCTTATGCCTCTCAGTCCAAACAACCAAATACTTCCACGCAAACTGCTCTTCTGCAGCAGTTCTCTCCTGTGCTTCAGACTACTAGGACCCCAGGCTGGGTCAGTGTCAGTCAACAAGCTTCACCACCGTATCAGCCCCATGCTCAAGACAACACAGTATGCCAAACCGACGTTACTTCTGAAGAGCAGATTACCGAACCGCAAGCTAAGCCCGTCAATATTGCTAATCGCAAAATCAAAGTGCCAATGTCTCGAAGGAAGTCACATCAGAAGCAGCAACAGCTGTCGCCAACTACAGATCTCACATTCCAATCTCAACAGCAGTTACAGCAGTCGCCAGCGACAGGTTCCCAATCCCAATCCCAGCCCCAACAACAGCAACGGCATCAGCAGCAACCGGCTCGGCAGGACCAACAGGATGATCAGACTCTGCAGCCGCTCATGTTCGAGGACATAATTGACGAGAGCATGCTCGCCGATCCGACCACGACAGATGCTCCGGAAATTACAGCGCAGCCACCATCACCACCACCACAGGTGGGCCCAGAAGCACAAGCAATGTTAGAAGCAGAAGCAACGGAAAGAGCCCAGCCTCATGGGACCTATGACGAGCTCTTCGACGATTTCTTCGACGATGACGATGATGCAATTAATGCAGCCCTGGATGAAGAAGAGAAAAAACAGGAAGAAGTAGAAGAAGAGGAGAGAAAAAGAAACTATCCACTAAGTCTTCCCGGAGATTTTCAGGCGGCCAATGTGCTCGAAMCCMCCCAGGCTGAGACGAGCCGGGCTGCCACTCAGGAACCTTCGCAAAGTCAAGGAAGATCGTTATCCCAAGGACAAGGGACTGTATCCGGGATACAGAAAGATGTACCTCCACCAGCTGAAAAAAGCAAGCCGGTCAAGACTTCACAAGAGCGAAAGAAAGTAGACGAATCTATCAAGCAACAGAACAAATCATCAAATGTTAGTTCATCGGCTCCAAAACAGACGGATAAAAAGCCACGAAGCAACTCAAAGCCTATTCCTATCAAGGCTCCAGAGGGAAAAAAGGGGGAAGATGATGGATATTGGCAAAAGGCTCTACCTCCTTTACTTCCTTTGGACAAGGACTTCAAACGATTTGCTCCAAAAGAAGCGGGTAACCAGCCACAACGCAACACGACAAGCAATCCGGCTACCACTTCAAGGGAGACGCCTGGGCCTGTTAGGCCTACCAGACCGACCTCTTCGCCCTTCCTGGGGCAATCAAAAAGTCGGAGTCAATTGACTGAAAGGCTGAGAGGCGCAGCACCGAAATCTCAAGGGCCGTCATTGAGCGCGAGTCGATGGGCGAAAGAGGATGATTCGGCGCCAAAAGACAAAGAAGTAAGAAATTCAGCTGAGGCTTCAGAGGAGCAAAAGGAGGTAACTCAAGCAGCCGAACAAGTCTCTTCAGAAGAGGAGGCCGATGAGGGATGGGACGACCCAGGACTCAGACATAACGCTGCATTAGAAGTCTTGTCGAGCTATAAAGGAACACCATTAAGTGCAAGTCGATGGGCCGATGAATCAGAGGGAAATGAGGAGCCAAGTAGAAAAGATGAGCCGCGTGAGGGTGTCGATAAAAAAATCACTGGCCAGAAGAGTTTGGCCACTATAGCGAAACAGAAGGACAAGGCAACAAGTGATGATATATCAAGCACTCCTTCTAAGGGATTGGACGACCAAAATGTCAGACATCGAACAGTCGTCGAAGGCCCGGAGATTTATAAAGGGTCACCATTAGGCACAACTCAATGGGCTGATGAATCAGAGGAACAGATGGAAACAGCACCAACACCAAAAAGTGAAACAAGAGACAGTCCAGCTGTACAAGCCAAAGGAGATGAAGAATTGGCAAACGAAACTTTGCCGGGTACGCCAGATAAATGGAATCAATGGGCCTCATCAACAGGTGGAGTTAAAAGCAGCCCAGCGATGACACCGGGCGAGAGACAAGCGGAACGTCGGGCGGTCAAAGAAGATGAAAAGAAGAATACGGTACGAACACCAAGAAGGGTTTCAGAAGGGAGTCCATATCGGGGACGGGGACTGGGACGGGGATCAGGAGGGAGATATCAGGTATGTGATGCTAATTTGATAGATCGTTTCCCCAAGCCTGAGAAGGAACTTATAATAAATTTTGATAGAATAAAGGGAGAGGGGGAGGACGTGGCGGCAGGAAATAATGCCGCTAGCTCTTCAGCTGAGGAATCAGAGAGCAAATTGAGGTGAGTCAGACTGTCCCAAAAAGCTTTGAATGTGACACTTGCTCATTCCTTAACTCTAGGGCAGCTTTATCGACATAAAACTAAGCATATAGAAAGGAAAGTATGGAGGAAGGCTCTGTGCAAGAGCTCGCTATGGCTCTTTTATATCGCGTAGGCCTTCAAAGCGGTGCCTAATTGGGTAGGCATGATAACAAAGGGATGGTCTGTCACAGATAGCTATTAGGGCTTAGGGCTCAGGGGTCCCGTCAAGGCATCACAAAGGACTGAACCTGGCTCCCAAGACGTATGACCGCCACATTGACTCGTTTGAGAGGCACTACTGACGATTTAATAGCCTATTGCCGAGTATCAGAATGAACCGACAGTAAACGGCGAAGGCGGCTCTTTTGCAGACGTGAATGGGTAGATTCTGTTTCTTGATTAATCTTAAGATCAAGGAGGTCACCGATGCTTCATATGGATGATCTTTGCACAATGCAACGATCGCTGGTTGCAATATAATGCTGCGGGGCATGCTTCGAATATCACATCGAATAGCATGTTGCAGTACCTCTATCAGAATCAGAAGAGAAGTGGAGCCTGTTACTCATAGCAGAGGGCAGGGCTTGAACCAAATAGTAATATCAAGGTAAGTAGTCTGTCCAAAAGCCGATGGGAACGATGATCGGTACTAATTTTGAATTGATGAAAAGACACCTAGAACACCTAGGACACTTAAGAGCTGATGTGTCCTGAGCGACGTCTCATTTGTGCCAGTTGGAAGTATTGAAGATGTGGCTGATGCGTTTCACCTCCGATTTAACAAGATACTGAGCAGACTGATGAAGAATTTTCAGTAATACAAAATAAGGTGCAATCCAGCTCACGCAAAACTGATCTTCGTTAGAAATATCGCGCCACTTCGCCTGGTCCTGTTGACTTGCTATATCATCATCTGTTGAGACATTTTTCCAATCTCACGGCAACCATTGTGATCATCCTCGCTAGCTACTTCATACCATACTAGATCATCTAGTATGCTCGCAGCTTTTTGATCTAGATGGTTTTTCCATCATCATCACTCATACGCACAGCTTTTTTGTAGAGTTGAATTCAAACGTCACGTTGATGTTCAAAAGAGATCTGTGTGTGTGTGCATATAAACACCACGTTGTTTCTGAGGTTGCACTTCTTTGTAATGACTGTCGACTATCCCAGTTGAGGCGTAGCGGATGGCATTGACAGAGTTGCACAAATATTGAGGGTAATCAAGTATTTCAGATTGAAGCAAGGCGCCCTGTGAGTTGACAGTGAGTGAACATGAGGATAGAATATTGAGATCAGATGGCAGGTGCGATGTGTGGCCCATGGCCTGAGGCAGCAAGGTGTCAAGGCATCATGCAGTGTTCTATACTTCCATACATGGAACATTCCACAGTCTCCATGCATGCAAAACATTGTCCGAAACGTGGTTCTCCATAAAATACTCCCCATTTTGCTATTACGAGTACTACTACCCATTAATACCGAGTCTTCCGGTCCCGGAAAACCCATGACGTGTAACTGGCACATACTACTCTTTTCGATCTGTCGCATTACAAGTAGCAAGTAATAGTATCGGAGAGATGGCCGATGGATACTGCACAAATTGCTGACCATTAATACAGCTGTCACAAGACCTTGAACTTGCATATATATGACACATGTCAGCGGCTGAAGATTGCGAGCAACGCCAGGCTACAGAATCATGAAATCCATGCTTTACGAGTCATGACTGCTCTTTGTTCGTGTTACTACTACGTATAAACATAGTACTCCATGCTGGAGTCTTGGCAGCCGCCTGATCCGATTGGGTCCTCTTTTCCATAAGACTAGCCAATCCGTCCTACCGACAAACGGAAACAGCAAGGCTGAATCGTCGAAGGCAGTGGGGTATGTGGAGTGATAGCCCGGCTTTGGCTACTGCATTCCGACTAGCAGCTGGAGGCCTCAACTGGGGTCTGGGGTTACCTGCTTCTCCAGAGGCGGAGGGGTACGCATAATCTCCCGAATTCTGTATTGTTAAACTCTAAGAGGCTGTGCCCAACCTCGAGGTCAGAGCAAAAAATATACCAATATCACACTCAAGAACTCCATGGTATGTACTGTTTTAGACGACAAAGCCAAAGGCAGCCTCTGACGCGGTGGCGTGGCGATCAACGGAAGGCTTGCTTGTGGGCTGAGATAGTGCACGCCAGCTCGGACCCTTCTAGCACTAACCGGTTACATACATAGTACAGAAGAAGGCTGCCCTAAGAGTAAGCCCTAACCAACATGCCAAGATGCCTCAGGCCAATGCCTGTTGGCAGCTTCCTCGAGTTCCTTCAGTCTCCACCGTCCTCTCTCATCTCTATCTCCATCTCCATGTTTTTTGACCGATGCTTGACTGAGCCACTGACGAGTGCCGATGCGCTCCACCCGCAGCCAGTCGAATTACTCCATAGTAATTTCATCCTGATTGTCGGTTTTTTCCGCGCTGGCCGTAAACTCGTTGTTACGCACTACTGTTTGCCCCGTCACGCTGCAGCTGGTCTCTTCCAAAAATTACGCATCCATCTGGTTAGTGTGTCTTGGTTGTGACGTTCCCCATCCACTAAGGAATTCTCCGTCTGCTTCAAGGACTTCAACGACGAATAATGAAACGAACTCCGTGCCTTAGGCCTTTTCAACATGGATAATAGACCCACCCCCAGTCTGGCACTTGAGGGGGCCATTCTGTCTTCCCCGGAGAAGAGAGTACCGTGATTCATCTATTCCTTCTGGGATGCAATTATAAAAAGACGCACCATTCCCGCATGTGACGAACCTGGATTCTCCTTTACGACATATCCAGTCTCCTTTTCGTACTCAGGGTATGGTAAGACCTGCCATTGAAAATTTGTATTGATAGACACTATCATCATTCTCCATACTGTGTCAAGCACGACAAAATGGCGGAGCCGGAGAAGATCGCACGGGGCGAGAAGGTCGTCCGCGAGGACAACTCCGTTGGTAGCGAGCAAGCTGAGAATGTCAAGACTGAAGCTCCAGGCATTCTCGATCCCGAGAACATCCACAACCGCCCAGCAGACAAGCTCAATGTCATGTTTGAGAACCCTCTGGCGAATGTTCCTCGTGATCAGCTGTTGAAGGATGTTACGGAATTCTGTCATAAATACAACCTCACGGAACACATCGACGAGTTCCGCAAGGGAGCATTGGTCTCTCAGAACCCAGCTGCAGCTATGGATCTCACTGAATTGACTGATGAGGAGAAGAACATCCTCCTCCGAGAGCATACCCACAAGTGGCACCAGCCGTGGCAGCTCTACTGGCTCGTCAGTAAGTCCTGACCTTTAATTTTTGAACTTGATAATCTATCAGAGTAGTGTCTAATAGCTCGATTAGTCATGTGTTCGATGGCGGCTGCTGTGCAAGGTATGGATGAAACGGTCAACAACGGTGCTCAGGCTATCTACTTGAAAGTAAGACTGTCCTCGTTGAGATATGTGGAAGATGCTAACAGATGTAGAACTTGGGAATTAGTTCTAAATTCTCCGGAAAACAGTTGGACGACATCACTGGCTTAATCGTTGGTGCACCATATCTTTGCTGTGCTATCCTCGGTTGCTGGCTCACAGAGCCCCTGAATCGGTACTTTGCTCGTCGTGGTACCATTTTTATCGCTTGCTTCTTCGCCGCTGTATGCTCTATCTGGGAAGGCGTTGCCAACACCTGGGTCAACCTCTTCCTTGCTCGTTTTTTCCTGGGTCTTGGTATCGGCCCCAAGTCATCTACCGTGCCAATCTATGCCGCCGAGTGCTCCCCAGCACCCATTCGAGGTGCTTTGGTCATGATGTGGCAGATGTGGACTGCATTTGGTATCATGTTGGGTAATATCATGGGTGTCGCGTTCATGAGTCTCTCCGATGACCTCTCCTGGCGTCTCATGCTTGGCTCTACTGTTGTCCTGCCAATCATTGTTTGTGTACAAGTATACATGTGTCCCGAATCTCCTCGTTGGCTCATTCAACACGGCCAAGTTGAAAAGGCGTTCAAATCATTCCGCAAGCTTCGTAGCCACGATATCCAAGCTGCGCGCGATCTTTACTATGCCTACGTGCTCGTTCAGGTTGAACGTGAAATCAACAAGGGGAAAAATTTTTTCACCATGTTTATGGAACTTTTTACGGTGGGCCGCAACCGTCGTGCAACCATCGGTAGCTGGATTGTCATGTTTATGCAACAATTCTGCGGTGTCAACGTTATTGCTTACTACTCAACCACCATCTTCACCACATCCGGGTACTCCATTCAATCTGCACTGCTTGCCTCCATGGGTACTGGTATCTTGAACTGGGTCTTTGCCCTTCCAGCTACACTCACTATCGACACCTTTGGTCGGCGAAACTTGCTTCTCACCACGTTCCCGTTCTTGGCAATCTGTCTGCTCTGGACTGGTTTCTCATTCTGGATTGAGCCGGATATAGTGGATAGTAAGAAACGTGTTGCGATGGTTACAACGGGCATGTACCTGTTTGAAATATTCTATTCTCCTGGTGAAGGACCTGTTCCATTCACCTATTCTGCTGAGGCTTTCCCACTGCACGTACGAGAAGTGGGCATGTCCTGGGCGACGGCAACATGCTGGTGCTTCAACTTCATCTTGTCGTTTACCTGGCCGTCACTTTTGACGTCGTTCAAGCCTCAGGGTGCTTTTGGATGGTATGCTGCTTGGTGTATTATTGGATGGTTCTTGGTTTTGTTCTTTTTGCCCGAGACAAAAGGTATGCTTTCTTTTTTAACTCTCTTCGTATTTAATATGTCTAACCATTGTTTAGCTCTTACTCTAGAGGAACTCGACCAGGTTTTCTCCGTCCCGACCTGGAAGCACGCCTCGTACCAACTCAAGAATGCTATCTGGCATGTTCGTACCTGGGTCTTCCGCCAGAAATTGGAGCCATTGCCTCCATTCTACCAGGGTATCGACAAGCTCAACGAGTCTTGATTTCAATAAGCATTCATTGTACGAAGAATCGCATTATTATCTGTTAAGACTTTTCACAGTCCAACTTCATGATATGATTGGGTGGATTAGTTTGTATCTTATGCCATCCTTGGCTTGTTTGGTTACGAATGTGTCTTTGAAGGTTTTATACCCTCCTCACTTTGATGACTGTTATGTATTTCAATGAATGAATGAATTTATACTGAGTATTTTTGCAATATAAATTGTCAATTTGTAATATAGCACTATATATAAAACATTCACATTTCGAGCTCTTATGCCATCCTTCGCATATGAATTCCTCCTCAGTAATGCTGTTCTTAGTGTAACCTCCCTCCCAAATAGACCCCATACGCAATCGTCGCAATCAGAGCTCCCATATTCAACAAACTCGACAACCCATGCAACTTGCCAAACCTCTTGTTCAACTCGGTCATCTTCTGTGAATGCGGCGGGGAATCATAGGCCTTCTTCCCATCAATAGATTCTATATCAATTCAGCACCTGTTATCCCTAAAAGAGGTGTGAGGGAAAGGGAAAGACAAACCCTGCTGAAACCTCTCCTTAATAACCCTCCCAACCTTCGGCGTCAAATAAAACATATTAATCAACCCAGCTACCGAAACGCTCACCAAAGGCAATAGCACGGCATATCGATTTTCGTCCGCAAGTACGCCATAGACACTCGATAAATCGCTCGTGCCGAATTTGCCGGGGAATGTGAGCGCGAGGGCGAGCGGGAGTGCGCTTTGTAATGAGAAGTAGATGGGGAAGAGTTTGTTTTGTAAGGCCGAGAATTGGGGACGGGGAAGGGCTTTGTAGGCTGTTGTGCCGCCGATGAAGGATTGGTAGATCTGAGCGCCGAGGAGGGTGCCGTAGCTTTTGAGAAGTAAAGTTAGTGGATGAAGAGGTAGGGGATGGGGGATGGGGAGGGTTTACCTGAGAATGTGGAATGGGCCGAGATAAGACATTTTGATGATATTATTCCTGATCTATGACAGGAGATGGAGTTGGATGAAGATGGTGACGAAGAAAAGAAGAAAGAGGATGACACAGTTGATGTCGGAAACGGAGTCAGATATTGATGAAGCTCGGCTCCAGTCGGTCATTTCATTCCGTGCGGGGAGCTCCTTTTGGCCAATTGGCATGCTCGATCAGTGATTAGGTCTGACGACGTCATATGTGTCACGTGAGTTCGCGTTTTGAAACGGGAGGCAAGGAAGCATCCATTTGCTGACCGTTAGTGTTTGACAATGTGACTTGACAGGGCTGCTATGCTGAGCTCAAATACCGGCCAAAAAATAATTCAAAAATATGGAGCTCCAGTTTTTCTATACAGTAGTGTAGTACCCGAAATCATGCTGCCATCTCAGCCATGATTGACGAGCGATAGGAGTATCATGACCACTCCCTCCAAAAATCGACTTGGGCGGCTTCATAACGTAAAACATTCCGATTTTAGAGCGCAAAGAGAAATATCAAATCAGAAGCCTCCCAGGCTTCGCTGTAATCATGCAGGAACCAAGTCTGCAGAGATGATTGGCCGACAAGGGTTGTGATATGCGCGAAAGCGCCGTACGGTGTCAGCCTCGCCAGACCAGACAGTGCTTCCTCTAAAGAATATTAGAGAGCTATAGAAAGTGGGGTTTCGTTACTCGATGTTACCTTCCACCATTCTCTGAATAAACAACCGTCCAGGTTATGTGGAAAATATAATCTATGGCTATCACCTCTCGATCGCACGATGACTATACCGTCGGATGGATCTGCGCGTTGCCATTAAGGATGGTGGCTGCGAAGGCCATGCTCGATGAAGTCCATGATGACCTACCGGCGTCATCCTCGGATCACAATACGTACGTTTTGGGAAATATCAAAGAGCATAATATTGTGATTGCCTGCTTGCCAATCGGCGATAATGGCCTTGTGTCCGCAAACACAGTAGCAATGCATCTGCTTTCCAGCTTTCCTTCTATTCATTTTGGTCTGTTGGTGGGCATTGGAGGAGGAGTACCCAGTAGTCTCACCGACATTCGACTGGGAGATGTAGTGGTCAGCAAACCTACAGGTATATATGGTGGTGTCGTTCAGTACGATTATGGCAAGGCTTTAAGTGCTGGATTTCAGCGGACCGGCATGCTGAACCGCCCACCCCAGGCGTTGCTAACGGCCCTATCTAAACTGCAAACGTATCACCTGACGGATGGAAGTAGGATATTGGACTTCATTGCCGAGGCTGAACAGAAGATTCCTCAATATGCGTCTAAATTCGCTCGTCCACCACAGGAGGATCTTCTATATTTCTCCGATTATCAACATGCTGATTCTGACTGCACGAGTTGCAAAGCGTGTGATCCTACTCGGGTTGTTCCGCGATCATCTCGAGATAACAACGAGCCTGTGATCCATTACGGACTTATAGCGTCGGCAAATAAACTCGTGAGAGACAGTAAACTCCGTGATCAATTAAGTCGTGACTTGGGGGTTTACTGTGTGGACATGGAGTCAGCAGGATTGTTGAATCACTTTCCGTGTCTTGTGGTTCGCGGAATTTGCGACTATGCTGATTCCCATAGGAACAATAATTGGCAAGGATATGCTTCAGCAGTTGCCGCAGCCTATGCGAAAGAGCTTCTGTTATATACAACAGTCCGCCACTCGAATCAAGTACAGACTGTGCGAGACTCCCCATCGAACGGTATGTATTTGGAACTTTGAAACCAGTTGGGTGCGCATTTGTCCAGGGAAATATTGATCGATACTCGTGCTCTAGCTCCTGAGTACTACGTCCCATTTGATCTTCCTGGAGCACTGGCGGTCGAGGATTTTTTAGGACGACACGATGAACTCGAACGTCTTTGGCAGCACCTACAGCCAGAAAGTAAAGGATATCGAAAAGTCGCCGTACTTCACGGATTGGGTGGTATTGGGAAGACACAATTAGCGATCCGCTTCGCACGGGAGCATAAGGAGGATTTTACTGCTATCTTATGGCTATCCGGCAACAATCGAGAAACATTGCTGCGATCTCTAAGCTCAGCCTTGTCCCGAATACCTGGACAGTGCAGCAAATCTGCCGCGATAACTGACCAGGGATTGAAGCAAAATGCGGAGCAAGTACTGAGATGGCTTTCATCATCGGGAAATTCACGGTGGCTTGTTGTTCTTGATAACATCGATCAGTACTCTCCTGGAACCGATGATGGATATGACATTGGAAATTTTTTCCCTACGGCTGATCATGGATCGATTCTAATTACTTCCCGACTTCAATCAATAACTGAATTGGGACGACCGTTTCCTCTGGGTGGTTTGGATTTCGATGATGCCATTTCGTTACTCTGGCAGAGCAGACACCTACCAATCCCAGGCACTAGCACAAAGCTAGACCCAGGTAACTATCTCTACTTCACATACATTTGTAAAAGCACTGACTAGTGTAGATGTCGTGGACCTACTCAATCGTCTTGGCGGGCTACCATTGGCGATTACTATCGCAGGATCATTCATGCGCGAAACTGGTACCGATATCAGCGAGTATCTAAAATACTACCAGACATCCTGGCACGATCTACAGTCAGATGGTAGGCCGGGGCGGCATTATCAACAGGGCAATATCTTACAAACATGGTCAGCTTCGTATGACGCAGTCCGAAAACGAGATTCAGATATAGCTGAGCTATTCTTGTTGCTTGCTCATTTTGACAACCGCGATATTTGGTATGATTTGCTGAAAAGGGGTCAATACAGTCCTGATCAGCCAACGTGGTTAAGCGATATTCTGTCAGACAGCCTGACATTCAAGAAAAGAATAGCTATTCTCATAGAATTTTCATTGCTCAACGTGAATGAGCAAAGAGGTAGCTACATGATGCATCCGGTTGTACAGGACTGGTGTCTAGATTTGTCTAGGATCGAAGATAAAGAGGGAAATTGGCGGTGGGAAAAATTAGCATTGATTGGTGTTAGGCATACAATACCCGACATAGATGAACCAGCTTATTGGGGGCTTCAGCGGCGGTTGTTGGCTCATGCAGATTACGTATGTCGATCTTGGAGGAGTGAGCGCCTGATGAGAGATGTCGAAATCCCGCATGCGCTTCGTGGTATTGGAAGTCTCTATCTCAACCAGGGAAAATGGAAAGAGGCGGAATTGATTTATCGGGAAGCAGTAAGACGTTTCAAACGGGTGCTAGGTGAAGGTCACACGTCCATCTTGAGTGCATTTAATGATTTGGGGGTAATCTACAGACACCAGGGAAACATTACAGAAGCGAAGGAGATGTATCAACGAGTACTAGCAGGGTACGAGGCAACACTGGGTCTAAAGGACTACCGAACCAAGAAAGTCGCAGAGACCCTGAAGGAATTAGACTAGGAAGCATGGACATCAGGCTGCCAAGTATATAGAGATTCACTCTGTTAGCGGAAAACTTGTAGTGAGAATTATATGTCCAACATGTCATTGTGTGACTGTCCCGTTTCCAGGGCCCGCTATACACCCAAATTACCGTAGATGTCGACTGCAGCTCATCCTCGATCTACATCTTTCTCGTTTCGTGCGAGAAGCTCTATTCAACCAATGAGCACTCGCAATCAATGAGAAGTATATCGCGTCGAGTCACGTGACCCCGCGTTCCTAACGTTTCACGTGTGCCGCTCAAAAAGGAAATATCACGCGTCTGCCTAGACCGCAACGCAAGCCTCAAAGGGAAGAGCCTCACCTTTAATTCTTTCTCCATTCTCCTCTCCTTTCTGCGCATTCAACCCCACACCATTGCCAAACAGCTTCGGAGGTAGCAGCCATGGCGGAAAAAGAAGCCACTGTCTACATCGTCGATGTAGGCAAGTCGATGAAACAGCACAATAATGGCCGAGACATTTCCGATCTTGATTGGGCGATGCGATATGTTTGGGATAAGATTACTACGACAGTATGTCGATTTTTTTCTTGTCCATAATGTTTTGAAATTGTTGGACTAATTATTATGAAAGGTAGCAACTGGTCGCAAAACGGCTACAGTTGGTGTCGTGGGACTCAAGACTGACGGTGATTAATCCAAATAATCTTTAATTCGAGTATGTATAGGGAGATGGTACTGATTATCATTGGTAGGAACGAAGGTACCGTTAGAAGATGAAGAGGGTTATGAGAATATCAGTGTCATGCAGGATCTGGGACAGTGAGTTTGATTCACACTCACGACTAATGGTTTTCGCTACTCACGCTTCGAAGAGTGCTTATGCCGGATATACGGCGACTACGCGAAGAGATTAAACCCAGCGAGACCGATGAAGGAGATGGTGTGTCAAGCATAATTGACGTCTCTATTCGTTTTGTACTAAAATGATCAAGCAATTTCCTCGTTGGTGGTCGCCATACAAATGATAAACGTCTACACCAAGAAATTGAAATACAAACGGAAAATCTATCTAGTCACTAACGGCAAAGGAGCAATGAGCTCAGACGGATTAGAGGATATTGCTTCAAAGCTCAAGGCGGACAATATTGAACTTATTGTGCTGTATGTATAGCCCTCAGATATTGTTCGGTTGTAACTTACAGTTGGTAGGGGCGTCGACTTCGATGATCCTGATTATGGTTTCAAAGAGGAAGACAAGGACGAAGGCAAGGTAAGTTATAGTCACACATTGTTGCTGTATACGCTCATAGGTACTAGGCGGAGAATGAATCCTTGCTTCGTGGCCTTGTAGAAGACTGCGACGGAGTCTACGGGACTCTGGCACAAGCGATAGCAGAACTCGATAACCCCCGCGTCAAAGTCGTGCGCGGCATCCCATCTTTTCGCGGAGATGCCAGATTAGGTGACCCTACGCAATACGACACCGCTCTTCGCATCCAAGTAGAGCGTTATTATCGAACATACGTCGCCAAACCACCCAGCGCTAGCTCCTTTGTCATAAAAACAGGCGGCGATGCGAGCCAACCTCCGACACAGACCTTGGAAGATAAAGACGTGGATGCAAATCTAACGAGCGTTCGAAGTCTGCGAACGTACCATGTGGACGACCCTACAGTTGCTGGTGGTAAGCGAGAACTTGAACGAGACGAGTTGGCCAAGGGCTATGAGTATGGTAGAACAGCAGTCTATATCAGTGAATCGGATGAGAACATCACAAAGTTAGAGACAACAGCTGTTCTAGATTTGATTGGATTTATTCAAGCTGATCATGTTAGTCTCTCAATACCGACTTTGCTATACACAATTGACCGTTGACAGTACGACCGATTTATGAACATGTCGAATAGCAATGTCATCATTGCTCAAAAAACGAATGATAAAGCCGCCTTGGCACTTTCATCACTAATTCATGCTTTGTTTGAGCTAGACTGCTATGCAATTGCAAGGCTGGTTATAAAAGATGGCAAGAGTCCATTGATAGTTCTATTGGCACCATCAATCGAACCAGACTACGAGTGTTTGCTCGATGTGCAACTTCCTTTTTTTGAAGACGTTCGGTCATATAAGTTTCCGCCTTTAGATAAGGTCATTACCATTTCTGGCAAGGAAGTGAAGGAGCATCGAAATCTACCTAGCGAGGACTTGGTCAATGCAATGAGCAAGTATGTCGATAGCATGGAGTTGATCGACAAGGACGAAGAGGGGTATGTCAGTTTTATTTAAAACTTACGCAGTTTACTAACGATTCGTAGCGAAATCGTTGAGACTATACCTATGGAGGATAATTACTCGCCGCTGCTGCATCGAATTGAACAAGCAGTGCGATGGCGGGCAATCCATCCAGATGAACCAGTTCCTCCGCCATCGGAAAGGCTTACTCGACTCTCAAAGCCGCCAAAGGAAGTTCAAGAGCGTGCGCAGAAATATCTGGATCGGATGATCAGCGCGGCAGATGTGAAGAAAGGTGCGCAAATAATTTTTTTTTATCAGTGAATTACAAATGCTAACAGAGATGAAGTGCCACCCAAAGCAAAAGGCCGCAAACGCAACCGCGACGTTGACAAACCTCTGTCTGGACTGGATATTGACGAATTACTCCATCGCGAGAAACGTGCAAAGATCTCACCAAACAACGCCATCCCAGAGTTCAAGCAGATGCTTGCCACTGTTGAGACCGTGGAAGGGATCAAAGATGCTACGAATCAGATGCAGAAAATCATCGAGGATCATATCCGGACAAGCTTCGGAGACTCAAATTACGACCGCGTCGTAGAAGAGCTTGGTGTGCTCCGTGAAGAATTAATTGACTACGAAGAACCAGATCTCTACAACGAGTTTGTGCGACCGCTGAAGGAGAAGATATTGAAGGAAAAGCTAGGTGGTGACAGACAAGAATTATGGTGGCTCATCCGGCGCTCAAAGATTGGATTGATCGACAAGGCAGCGTCAGACCGATCCGAAGTTACTGAAGAAGAGGCCAAACAGGTATGCATCCTGACTTTTTGAGTGACCGTGACCGTGACTAATTTTGATTCTACTAGTTTCTTTCTTCTAAGTAGCTCCATGATGATGTATACTAGATGTGGATAGTTTCTCTGTAACATATATTTCAGATCATCAAACTTCCTATTGGGCTCATACTTGATTCTGCTCGAGGAGCTACTACAAGCAAATAATGCAACAAAGTCGATCGGGGAGATTTAGATCTGTATATTGCTCTATTTCGCATCCGGTTAGTGGCCCACTACAACACATCAACTAATACCATTCTGGCTTGGCAAAATGTGGAGTATCATCTAGCCTAAAGCGGTTAGGCAACCATCACCAAGAGCAAAAAAAGTTCTTCAATCTTCAAGTCTTCTTCAACCACACACCACCACACCTCACAACTTCAACCAAGTACAAAAGGCCGTGATCCTTTGTCGTGAGCCATTGCCATAATGTCCGGAGAACCCAACGCAGGTTAGTTTTTTTCTTTTCTGCTTTTTTGCATGTTTTAATTTCAAGTCGGAAGCTAATTTTGAGAAAATAGCCTGGCCCGTCGCCGACGAAGCCCTCACCCAGAACATCCTCGATGTCGTCCAGCAGGCTTCGCACTACAAGCAGTTGAAGAAAGGTGCGAACGAGGCCACGAAAACATTGAACCGCGGAACATCTGAGATCATCATCCTCGCTGCTGATACCAGCCCTCTGGCTATTTTGTTGCACTTGCCTTTGCTCTGGTACGTCCCTCACTCAATATTACTCCTTCGTCCGCTTTACATTCGGCTAACTGTTTGGTATAGCGAGGACAAGAACGTCCCCTACTGCTACGTTCCCAGCAAACTTGCCCTTGGCCGAGCCACCGGTGTCTCTCGCCCCGTGATCGCTGTCAGCATCACCACCAACGATGCTAGTGACCTCAAGCCTCAGATCCTTGCTATCAAGGACAAGGTTGAGCGTTTGATGATTTAAGGATTGGATAGGGTTGGCACGGGACGAGATGCATTTCCTGATTTCCATCAGAGAAAGTGGGCTTGAATTTCGCAGCTTTCCGTGTCATGATATGAGATACTGAGTCTTTAGCTAGATTTAGGACTGATTCAATCAATGATCCAACTTCTATACTTCAAACTCGTGTCGCTCTCTACACCCAGAACAAACAAAGCTTCTCAGGCAAGTTCAGTAAATTTAGTAAATCAAAAAAGGGTATAATACTCGTACAAAACATAGACACCTCCCAGAAAAAAGACTACCGATCACATACACAGCTGCACTCCGGAACAGGACAGACCCTGTGCCTCGAAAACCACGCCTTGGCATGATTTGCATGGAACCCATGGTTACAATTAATACAAAACACCACGAAGCGACGAATAATCTCGTCTTCGGATGGCCCGGTTCGCTTTCTGGCAGAAGTAACGTCCCCATTAGTGTGCTCTTTGGTTTCGTCATCGTCATCTTCGTGATTGAGTTTCTCCTCTTCTTCGCGTTTTGCGTCAGCTGCGATGGCGGCGCGGGACATGGGGTCTGGAGAACCGAGCCAGAGCGAACAGACGCCGCATCGAGGCATATGCCGAAAACATTTGGGGCAGACGGTGCCGGACATAAGAATTGCGCCCTGTGCACCTAGATATGATTGATTGTTGACCAACATCGCTGGGTTGGAAGTAGCGGTGCTGCTCCCGTTCCCGCCGCTTTGTAGCAAATCGCTTACAGCGGAGGCTGTGGCGGTGGATGTCGATGTAGATAGGCCGCCGGATATGGTCGTTGAGGAGATTGATTCTGCTTGATGGAGTGGTCGGGTGCAGTAGTTGCACGTCAGACTGACTTGCTGAGGTGCCGGGGCGATTAATCGTCGGCCATCCCAGGTTACGGCGAATCTTCTGGAGCCCACATCAAAGCGAGCTCGCTCAATTTGCATTTTCCATGAGTTGATCTGTCGGCGGTATGTTTCGCGCCATGTTCTGAATATCGCTTTGCTGGTCTCGTCATCAATGAATCGGGGTACCGTGTGGCTCATTGCTAGAACGGCGGTCTGCACGTCGTTGAATTTGCGGATATAAGATTGGAATAGGTTAAGTGCTGAATGTCGAAGTCCGGTTAGCAGGATACCTTCAATGTCCCCTTGCCGAATCGCTTCTTCTTTAGTCTCTTGTAAATATGTCGTCAGATCGTCATCGGGTAGCCAGCGCAAAGCCACCTCTACGCGGTACTTCAATGGGAGAGTCGTCTCTGCCAAAACAGACTCCCACTTGCCTTTGCTGACTAGAGCAAGAACCGCTCGGGCATATGGGTCTGTCAGCTCAGTCGCAATCTCGTTACAGGTCTCTTCCCAATCCCTGTCACTTTGCTGTCCCTTAGCTGCACCCACGATAGCCATGGCAAGAAGCTTATGTGCCTGTGTAGGTTCGTTCTGACGGAGAGCATGGAAAGCTATTTTGGCCTCATTCTGGAAAATGGCCAATGCTGCGGCTTTTGTGTGTTGTCTTTTCTTGACGAGATCATCGACAATCTGCTCGAGCTCTTGTTCGGATTCGATGGCACCACAGATATGAAGACAGAGTTGGCGATGTTCCCAAAAGTCTGTCTCGCATCTTTTTCCTTCTGGGAGTTGGAGTTGTTGGACCATGTCTTTTATCATTTGCTCTGGTGCTAGGTCGATTTTGTTTATAGAAGAGTGCTGTCTGAGTTCCTTCGATGTGGCTCCTAGTGAAAGTTAGCTCTGAGCGAGGCCAATCAAATTGAAACCCTACCAATTTCATTAAACCACACGTCACAAACACCAAGGTAACTCATATCAATGCGGTTGACGATTGTCAGCCCATTCGCCGACTCTTCTCGAGAATCTAGATCGCGTTAGGTTGTCTAGCATACGACGAAGTAACCAGCAGTGCTTACGTCGGACCCAATTCCAAAACTCCTGCAAGTCCGCATCATCCGAAACAATCCGAATATTCTTCTCGCAATCGAAAAGATAGCCCTCCCGACAGCGTGCTTGGCTGACACTCAAATAAGTCAGAACATCGACAACTTTGAGCTTCGGCTTGATACGGCCAAGGAAAAGAGCTTGTTCTCTATTTTCCCGACTAGACAGACACTTCTTTTCCTCTTCTTCCGTCAAGCCATTTTGCTTAGCGCATGCCCTTAATGACTGTATGATATTTGATGTCTTTTCGCGCAGTTGCCGAGGACCGATAGTCTTAAAATCTCGTTCACCAGACGGAACTCCTCGCACAAGCACGTTCTGCGAAGATAGTCTTATAGGCGCTGCCGATGACCGCACCGTAACAAACTCCACCTTCCCATTGCCCAGCAATGTAATCGCACTGGGTTCGTTGGAGCGACTCATATTCAAAAAGTCGAATGATACAACCCTATTCGGCTTTTTGTAACCCCTAGTCTGATGACTGTACGGATGCCGAATGTCGCGAATATTCTTGGTATATATTTGCTCGGGATAACTCGAAGACGATCCTTGGCCGAGCGTCTCATCGACGGAGTTGCGGTCACCAGCAGATAGATACTCCTTTGCGATGTCAAACATTTTGAATTGACCGTTGCTCGACAGCACGCCCAAACATCCTCGTTTAGTCCGCGAAAAACGCAAACTCCAGATAGTCGCGTTTTGAACGGTATTTCCCAGGCTGAGACTTGGGCCGACCTGGCCGCCCTCAGGGTTTGCTGGGCCTGTGGTGAGACGTGGGCCCATACGTCTGTCCCAGATGCAGACGGTAGCATCGGCGGAAGAAGAGCAGGATGCAAAGTAATTCTCGTCCATCCAGTCCACCGCTGTGTTGTGGACACACTTTGTAGAAAATGTAAGGAAAGCTTGTGAGGAATTATCTGTCCGACTTAGCATAGCACTTCAATTGCAGAGTCCGTAACGAAACACACCTCTCAGATCAAAAAGCTTCAAGAATTGACCCTTGACACCAGCCACCAAAGTATCCGGCTGCTCTCTGAAGAACTTGATACTCGTAATAGGATCCGAACTCAACTTCCTCAGCGGCTCAGCGCCTTGCCTATCACTCGCGAGCGTGCCCCTCGAGCTACCCGTCATAATACGATGATTGACATCCCAAACATTCAGACATACATCATTCCTCACCTTATCCAAGCCACCGGCCAACAGACCATGCGAACTGAATGCAACAGCATTACAATACCTCTGATTCCTCAGCGGGAACGACCAAGATTCATTCGAATTACCATCCATGCGCAATATGTTGACTTCACCGGAGGATTGCCCAACAGCGATGAGCGATTCATCAGCAGCGGACCAATCAAAGGCTCGGAAGCCGGGGACCCGGATGTGGGTTGAGAGTACATCGTATTCTAGCTCATTGCCCTTGACGGAGGTGACTCTGCAGAGTTTGAAGGATTTGCCTATCACATCGACATAGAGGAAGCGTTGTTCCTTTGTGGTTGAGGAGGGGGACCAGCGGATGGCTGTCTCCATGGTGCTGTATTTTAGGGCTTGAGCTGGAGCTGAGTGCGTTTGCCGTGAGTCATAATTTAGCACATCTCCGAGTTCAGAGACGATTCTTAGTGTAAAAATAAAGAATTAGTCGTCCTTACATGTATAGAAGAGCAAGACCGACTGCCAAATACGGTGATGGTCGTGATGCTGGCTACCGGCCCGTCGTTGATCCGACAGCTCGCCTAAACTTGCCGCGGCTCGTTTCTCTTATCGAGAATATCGACTATCAAATATTTTTTGATCTCGCCTTTCTCTCCAGAAAAGCAATTGACTTCATCCACGCGCAATTGATGAATAGCATACAATATGGCCTCCAAAGAAAAATCCACCCGATTTCATCCCTACGACACAACCAAAAAACCCAAAATCCACCGCTCAGACAACACCACCCCCAAACGCAGACATAACAACAACGATAAAACCACGCAAAAACAACCAACCAACAAAAACTCCACCGGCGACAAAGGCCTCTCCATCAACGACCTCAAGCGACGGATCCGCGATGTAAAGCGGCTGCTCACAAGATCAGAGCATTTATCGCCCGAGGCAAGGATTGTGCAAGAAAGAGCGCTGAAAGGGTATGAGCGCGATCTGGAGCAGGAGCAGGCACGTAGGCAGAGGTCGGAGATGATTCGGAAGTATCACTTTGTTAGGTTTCTAGGTCAGTTTTCCTCTTCTTTCTCAAGCTTGGAAATCACTGGGGGATATAGAGCTGATGGTTGGGTAGATCGCAAAACAGCAACGAAACAACTACGCAGCGCGCAACGACAGTACGAAAAAGCGAAGCAACAACAAGACCAGACGAGCGACAAGCTCGCTGCGCTCCAGGAAAAGATTGACGCTGCGCAGATTGATGTGAATTATACAATCTATTACCCGCTTACGGAGAAGTATCTCTCGCTTTATCCGCAGGAAAAGAAGAGGGAGGTTGTCGATGGTCATAATCAGAAAGTTGCCTCCACGGACGATGGGGAAGAAGAAAGTGGGGATGAGGATACGCAAACATCGGGAGATGATAAGATCGCCGAGAACGAAGTAGAGAAACCGCCAATGTGGGATGTAATCAAGAAATGTATGGCGAACAAGACGCTGGATAAGCTGAGAGATGGAAAGTTGAATATTGGGTTTGATGGAAAGCCGATACAAAACTTGGAGGGTACGGCATTGAGCAACGTTGGCAAGGATACTGGCAAGGAGAAGGCGGAGACGACGACGGCAAACAAGGAGAAGAAGAGGAAGAGGAAAGAAATTGAGGTTGAGCAACCCAAGGAGGAGGAAGGGGATAGTGATGGTGGATTCTTCGAGGAGTGATTTTGTTTCTTTCACCACGTTATACCGTGTCTGTCGAGTGTATACTAGCGATCAACATACCAATACTCTGTGATTTGACTTGACTCCCGGTCATAGATTGTAAGAAATGGATTGACAAGCTATAATCCATAATTACATGCATTCAATGCTCCAGCGATCAACATCAACTTGACATAAACTACCCAATCAACCTGACTCCGCTTCCTGGCGTCTATAAAATGTGCAAGAATCGAATAAACCATGCCATGCCATATCACCAAGCACCAGAACCTTGCTGATGCGAATGCTAACTCTAGCATGATTGAAATTGGATTGTAAGGGGGAAAAAAAGGAGAGAACGAGCCGTTTGGCTCGATACAATCATTTAGATCAACGAATGTCGACCCTTGGGGTAAGAATAGTGAATTACATCACGGTGCATCCGCCACTTCGGGCGCGACGTCTACCTCCAACATACACATCGAGACTCAAATCTTCCTCTTCGTCAAACTGGTACAGCCGCTCGGCTTCACGAGCACGGCGCCTGCGTCGTCTGGCGTTCGCACCTCCAGCGCCGGCTTCTTCTGTGGCCATCATGTAATCTGCCCATTTGCGATCAAGGTTGTTTGCGGATGCGAGAGACCCGCGCAGGACACGTTTTGTATGTTCGTTGGCAGTCATCTGCCAGCCGTGGAAGCATTTGAGTTCGATGATCTCCTTGGGATAATAAGAGACAACTGCTACGGGTGGCAGGCTGGTAGATGATGAGGATGAGGATGACGAGTATGCGCCACCAGCTCTGTTTGTCGACTCTTTGACAGTAACCGTGGTTTGGTTTTTCAATGAGCGGGGAATGTAAGCATTGCTAGATAACACCTCCCGCACGCCAGCCCAGGTCACATTGATGCAGTCGAAAACTACAATGCGCAGTCCAACTTTGGGCAAGTCCGTTCCATAGCCCCTCTTGCGGACAAGTGAACTTGCCTCCATTAGACACAAATCCGAGACTCGGGTATTATCCATTTCGAGGGTTCGCAACTGGCGACAGTGTTTCAACAGCTGAAGCATTCCGATATCTCCGATGCTGTCACAGTAGCTGACATTGAGGTGCTCGAGAACGTCTGAACATGACGATTTGGCCAGCTCAACCAACAAATTATTTGTGACATTGTCAAGGTCCTCCATATCAAAGTGACTCAATTTCGGGGTGGTTTGAATAACATCGACGATGGAGTCATCTGTGAGCTCCGTGCATTGAGAAATCTGAAGGCCTTGTAGAGCGGGCACGTTGTGAGCAAGACTTCGGAAACCCGCGTCCGTTAGGCTTGCACATTGATGGATATCCAAATGTCTTAATACCCGTGGTGGAACAATAGGCCTGTCTGTCAAGACGTCAATTTCAGGGTCTCTGCCCACCATGAGCACTTTCAAGCTCTCGTCTGTGACATCTGTGCGATGAAGAACAAGTCTCTCCAAAGTATTCTTCTCAAAGAGACTTTCCATAATACTTTCATCATCGAAGCCGGAAATCTCTCCAGCACGCAGGTCTCTGAGCTTTGAGCAAGATTCAACAACTCGTTTCAAACCCTTTGTATCGAGGCTCGAGCACCACGACACATTCAACGTCTCCAGTTGAGGACATGTTTGAGCAATGATCTTCATAGCAGAATTGGTAACGGTAGAAAGCCCAGAGACGTTGATATACTTCAGCGAAGCATTTCGCAAGAAGAATCCATTGAGTGAGACCTTATCGATTCGGCAGCCCTCGACCGAGAAATTGACCACATTCCGACAAGCACTAGAAATATGCTCGCCTTCGAACAGCCATTTCTCACGCAATTGAACGCAACCGCGTAGATTGAGATCTCGTACAAACGGTCCGGCCGTTGTGATGATCTTCATCAAAGCACTGCTTGAAATCCGGTTGTAAAACTCCGAGGTATCGATTTGGTACCATAACTGCCCATCAAAACACATGTCATGCCACGCTTTCGACACCAGTGAGCATCTCACAATCTCTTTTGGCGTCAAATAAGCAAGAATCTTCGTCTTGATTTCATTGGGTATTTCGTTCCAGAAGTCCAGCGTTCTTTTCGCATATTGATTCTTCCCTCGAACATTAACCGTAGTTGCGTCGTTCTCCGAAAGCTCAGGCTGCATATTCCGAGGCGCCGACGCTGGTCTCATGTCCACCGGAAGAGGGACAGTTGTCTGCGATACATTTCTTGAACCAATCACTCGAATCCGCGCATTCCCAGACGCAGCAGATGTTGGCGAGGCAGTTTCCAGACCGCCAGACAACGAAGTGGTAGGATCACCCCAGCACTGAGCCGGCGATAACGAGACACACGACAGCGAAGCCTTGCGATCCCTCTGATAACCAGTAGAAAGGGATCTCGTTCGTCGTAACAATGACGGGCTCGAGGACATGCGCTGCAGATTCTGCAACAGCCTTCTCCGGCCCTTCAATTTGGGCGGCTGCTCCATTGGAATCTGGCCGGGTGTTGGAGATGGTGGGGTTACCGGAGAAGCTATGCCAGAGCTGATGGTGTCGTCTGCGAGGGTAGAGGCCATGGTGAACTGGAAGGATTCGGATGTCGCCGGCTCTCTAATAGAAACTCAAACACAGTAAACGGCCAAAATTCAAAAACTCCACGCGCTGTTTACGCCGCAGAAGCGGATTGCTGTAGCATTGGCGATATCTTGTCTCAACAAGTCATAGCGGGAGTATCGAAAGATCTGGCGAAGCAAGAGGTAGGTAGTGTCGAATTGCTATCAGCGAACTGCTGAGTAGAGATGAGACAACACGTCAGTCGGATTGTGCACCACTTGGATAATAAAGATGTCAAATGGATGGAAGAAGACAAACCCGATGAACCCGACGACGAAAGCAACTGGAATAAGAGAGAAAGCGTCAAGTTTCTCAGACAAATGGCTGGACAAGAGATCTGAGTGAACAAGCCCCAGAAAGGCCGACGCAAAGCAAGACTCAAGTTGGCCGCTGAGTGGGCTGAGCAGCGATTCGTCGGCGTGGACCCGTGGTTCGGGGATTATGACTAGGACAGTGGAAAGTTAGGGTGGAAGCAAGCGACGAGGCAGAAACAGAAATCAGTCACGACGTGGTGTCGGCGTAAACTTGTTTGCCTCTTGAGTTGATCATTGAATTGAGAATACAGAGTAGAGTTGAGAAGAAGAAAAAGAAGAAGAAGAGTCGAGAGTTGAAAGTTGAGGAGAGAGAGAGAGAGAGCGAGAAACAGAGAACTGTTGACCGAACAAGCCTAGTCCGATACATCTGATATGACAGAGGGGAAACAGCGTGGTCGAGTGGAGGGAAGGAGGGAAGGAGCGGGGGCGGCACTAACAGATAAGTGGATCGTGTACTCGTAATGTTTCGTACTCGTTACTTGCATTCGTACCTCTCTACACTGCGATGTCGAAGTACACGATACTTGCCCATCGCTTACCAGCGTCGGACCAACGTGCCACCTTCTGACCAGGTCATTCCTTTCTCTCTCGGTGTGCAATGCCTATCAACCAGAGCTCTTAAGAGTACGTCGGTAAAATACATCCCAATCCTCCCCCGCTAATTCGTGCACTAGAACGACACTAACACTTATCGATTATTATCGCGCTATCGATAGCACTTTAGCGCACCGGCTGAAAGTGATTTAGGCATAGTGCCATGTCTAATTTGTTATCGATAAGTTGCACTGTACTAAGAAACTCTACTTTGCACTTACAAAGTTACTAAATTACCGAGGGGGGAAACATTCAGTGGTGGTAAAACGTCCAGGATTCAGAGTAGTCGAGAAAGTACACAAAGCGCTCGGTGGAGTGCTCAGACACTATACTCCATACCAGTTGCCACAAACTTACCACCGTATCATTACACTTACAGTACTGGGTAACCATCGAACGAGGGCCGGGTCCGAGACAAACCGCACGCGAGCATGTCGCCTGAGCCACCTCACCACACCAACTAGTCAGTCGCCAGTTGATTAGATTCTTGAGGCAAAGAGGAAGAAAAAAAAGTTGATAAAAAGATGTTCGCCTGATCTTTGGCATTGCTTGGTATGGTTGATCTCATTTGCTGAAGATAACGATTGGCAATCTTTTCTATTCCGCAATTCCAACTGCTTACAACGCCATATGTCGTGGGAGTCCGGTCGGCACGAGGCAAATTCTTTGTTTTTCTGGATACCTGAGGCATTCAATTGTGCATACAACAACATTACATAATCCATTTTGATATCTGGTAAGAAGTGGGTAGATATGTGTACTATGTATAATAAATAAACTAACTAGCTGAAAGACCGTGAATAGCAGACCAATGGGTATCTTGCGTTTCGATGCTTCTATCCAATGATAAAAAAGCACTATACTCGATCATTTTCGTCAACTTCCTCCGTTCCATTTTAGTGTCTTTGTGTAGGTAATGCCTCTAGTGAAAGCGATGCAAGTGCGACTCGTAACTTATAGGTATGTTGATTGTTCATCACGTCGGATCAGGTCATCACAAAAAAGTAAAGGCAATAAAGAAAGAAAAATATGACAGCAATTGTCGTGAAAGAGCAGGCCTGCTCAAGCTAATCCGTGACCATCCATGGGTGGTCAACCACTTCCGATATAGTGATTCGATTGTCGACGTCGCGGTCGAGCATTCTGCGGATAAGATCGATGCACTCCTCGGAGAATGGCAGAAAGGGGACTCGAAGGGGGTGATCGAGAATCTCGTCGACATTGTAAAATGGATTCTCCTTGTAGACGATAGTGTAGAGCAGAATGCCCAGAGCCCACACGTCTTGTTCTTTGCCGCGGTAGGATTTGCCTTGGAGGACTTCGGGTGCCGCATAATCTACACTAATTAGCAACGATATCGAAAGTCTGAAGGGTTGAAGCTTACCAATGGTTCCCACGAATACATCAAAGGGTCCATTCTTGATGTATGCTGCACTTCCAAAATCAATCAGCTTGATCCGTCCTTCTCCGTCAAGCACAACGTTCTCGTCTTTGATATCGCGGTGAACCACCAAAGCCTTGGTGTGCAAATGATGAATGGCATCCACCACCTGTTTGAAAATGTTGCGACACTCTCCCTCATCCATGGTGGATTTGAGCTCTATATAGTCGAACAGATCCATTCCCGGAAGACCATGCGGGACCATCTCAATATAATAGTTGATTTCGTCTTCAAAAAACCCCTCCATCTCGACAATATTCGGGTGTCGTAAACCGTCTCGGCGAAGGTAGTCTAGAACATGAATCTCTAGTGGCACAGTCCCTAGTCGACGATCGCGCGTCCAGGTATCCACCAGAATTCGCTTCTTAGTGACGTACTTGAGCACCATTTTCTTAGCTGGAATCTTCTTCAGTCGTGCCAGTTTCACCTGCCCATACGCTCCTTGTCCCATCTCCTCGATAATGACATAGTCGGATATTGTTCGCTTCTTGGGTGCTTCTTTGATCAAAGGCGGTGCGCGCACTGGTTCGGGCATAGAGCGGTCGGCTAACGGTGTAGATGCCGCCTCGTTAAGTTTATGACTGAGGAGAGATAGTGGGGTCTTGTTATCCAAAGACGGCGTGTTAGAATGGGATGGCAATGTTGGGGTTGGAGAAGGTGTGCGTTGTCCCGACCGGGTCTGGTGGATTGATGTGGTTGACTTCCTTTCCGTTGTTGCCTGGTCTTCCGAGGAGAGAGCACCGGTTCCAGCGTGTATCTGCCTAGAGTAAGTCACCCACAAGGCATAAACGACTTCAGTTACTGCAATTGTGTCTGCCAATTCATCATCGTCATGATCGCTATTTTCGCTCAGGCGAGTGGGTGACGTTCCATCCTCTCGTTTACTTTGGCTATCCGGGAAAACAGTTTCACTTTTGACAATTCGCATTTGCACGTCGATAGAAAGTCGAGATCCATCGCGATGTTTCGCTGGAAGACCTTCAGATTCAAGAAATATAGAGACCGCATTGGCTCGGTTCTCTCGAAGTAACAACAGATCCCGTGCCCTTCGAAAGCTATGCTCCGGAATCACCATACCGTCCACAAGCGGTACTTTATCTTCCTCAGTCAGAGTCGCAATGAATCTCTCGAATTCTGGAATCAGTTCCGAAATGTGATGACCTTCGGGACGCTCCTGCCCGAAGAGGGCCGACGAAAAGACCGAATTCGAGCTAATAATGTTGAGCGTGGTCGACGAAAGGACCATCATACCGGCAACATGCGGAAAAGTAGACACCCGTAGCGACCTTAAATCGCCGTTCGGGTTCTTAATCACTGTTGTCGGAATGCTACTTTTTCCCGGGCCACGCGCACCGAAGTATTTGAGGTCGAGAAGCTTTTCAGAGTCACTGACGCACTCTGCTGGCATCTCTGGGAAGAGATTCGTGATCGACATCTCGCTCTTCGCGACGTCGCGACCCCAGATCTCATCAGTGTCGCCTTCTACTTTTGTGAGCTGTCCCCTTTCATCATAGGTGAGATATGCCACATTTTCTGTTATCTCCTCAAGAACCCAAATCAACCCTCCACGTTTTTCCATAACCCAGAAACTAGCCGATCCAGTCGTTCCGTTGCGCTTCTGAATAGGCACAACATCACCACACAACAGTACTCCGCGGGACTTAGTTGCTGGATGGTTAGGTTTCCGTGGGTTCCTCTTGCTTGACCCATATCCATCATCTGTCTGAGCCCTACGACCAGTCTTTTGTCGAGAAGACGGTTTGCTCAACAACTGTGCTGTGACACCATTGCCCCTGGGCATATTGAAGCGGGGCTTGACGTTCGAATTAGGGAACTTCGCTGTCGCGTCAGTTGTCGGGTCCTGAAGCTTCGACTCAAGCCACTGTCGACGCTCCTCTTGAACCACCTCAAGTATACTCAATTTTCGAACTTCCGACTGCGTAACTCCAAAGACAAGGCAAGCAAGATCGTTGGCAGAGATGATCGTCCAAGGAGCCTTTGCTTCTGTCCTGAAGACAGCCTGAGATACCGGCGTCCATTTGCTGCTGTGGGTATGGAGCATAGAGCCGATGCCCAGACCGAAGTTGTATCCGGATGAAGACAGAGAGTCGCCAACAGCATACGGCTGCGCTAGTGTTTCCATGAGTTTACTTTGCAAAGACAAAGAACTAAGATCAGTATATGTACGTTTTAGACTAACTCGCCTGGAAGCCGGAGCAGATCTCAGATCTCTCCGGCGTGAGTATACATTGTCGTCATAAAAGGGACTTAAAAGTTGACTATCATCGACAGCCTCGGCGGCATCTCCTGGGTAATTCGGGAACGGGGTTTGATGGCTCGGAAGTGTAGGGCTATGAAAAGACCTCTCAAACACGTTGTCTGCGTCAGCCTCCGGTGGGCTGGTAATAGGTCCATTCAGGCTACCTAGTTGCCGACCATGTGAATCTCGATCCAACACACTGGCCTTGGATAGCAAATCGACCATGCCCTGGAATTCGGAGTCGCCACTTATTCGAGCTTGAGCATTCACGAGACCGGGACTCGTAGCCGCCCAACCCAACCGATCTTTCATAAAATCTATTGACCTCTTGAGAATATTCTGCCGAGTAGCAAGCAATTCCTCAGATCGTTGAGCGAAAGAGAACGAGTGCAAGGATTCCGAAGGAAACCGGTGTAGATCTTCAAAGGGAGGAATCGATCCGCCTGATGGGACGTAAACCGATGCAGCTCTAGACGACGCACTAGATCGATTCGGAGGGGAGTTGTGCTGTCCTATGGACGACGTGGAAGGGTTTGGAAGTGTGAACACTCGAGATAAAGGTTGCTGTCGTATACGATCTAGACCCGATGGACCGAGGCCGTCAGGCTCGAGTAAAGGTGATCTGTGCAAGCCGAGCGTTAGCTCCGGAGTTATTGCAAGGTGAAAATGAGCCCGGAGAGAGACGCTTCGTGCAAAGAAATAGCCTACCGACTAAGCTGATCATAGTCATTCGACGACGCCGCAGTATCCATTGAGAGCCTCAGCGGCTCCCCGGTAGAGGGAATAGACAGATTCCCATCGCTTCGATCTCTGAGATTGAATGTGGTTTGTTCGGGCGAAGACGAGAGTGCACCGAGAGCCGGCGACGACAGAGGGCTGAGATCTCCTTTTTCTATTTTTTTCCACCGATGCATTAGCCTAGACCTCGCACATCGCACGCATACGTTGGAATGCTCGATAAGTCACAAAAGCCAATCAACACTTCTGCCGGTACCCTATCTTATCGCGGCCGTGGACTGAAACATTCGTCCGCCTATCCCTAGCAGTGACTGCACAGAAAACATGCTGACTTGGACATCGACCGAAATCAAAGTTCACTCACCATCGTGCTGTCTCCCGCGTCCAGTCATCCTGGTGGCTTAGTATCAAGCCCACCTCCCCCTAACTGTGACGGGATGCGAAGTAGGTAAGGCTTGGAAAAATTCCCGGAGACAAGTCTCCACAGCGAGAAAGTGTCAAGCCTTGAGTGTTGAAGTTGAGGTATGCATGAGCAATTGATTATCAATATATATCTAGGTCAGAAATCGGTGGAAAATGCTTGAAAGAAGAAAAAATTTCAATCGGCTGCTCGCCCGACGAAAAAAAGGAAGACCGCGTTGGGCGATTGGCAGGCGTTCGGATTAACCCAAGGGGAGTCAAAAAGGGTGTAATTTGGAGTCAAACGCTTCCCCGCTCGGGAGCTCCGACCGAATTGTTCGATGTACGTATAGGCGGACTGGGCTGGGTAGCGACAGATTGGCAGGTTGAGCAATGTTTCGTGCAAGAGTAAACGGAGGTTTAAAAATGTTAAGTATGTGAAGGAAGGAAAAACGAGTATGGACATTGCGGGGGAAGTAGCTACTTGGTTAGTGTACGTACAGTCGCAACTAGTGGTGAAGGTGAACCTGAGGAATTAGGCACCGGAGGGGCTGCCAAGGCGTCGTGGCCAACAGTGGCTGTCTGATAGGCACGATCATCTCTTACTGTATATATGCTCTGTATATATGCTCTGATTATAATCGACCTGAAACGCAATTCATGCTCTTTGACTCAGAAGCCGCTTCGTGCGCTCTTTGATAACGTCTTACAAACACACTTTGGTGACCCCTGCTCCGATGAGTCTTATGCAGCCAAGGCATGTGAATACCAATTCCAAGGTTGTTCTTAGAGCCCACACCATTACTACAACAATACAGTACTCCGACGTATCCTACAAATCCGACAGCAAAAAAACTAACGAAACCCGGTCCACCCTACTATTTCTTGCAAGTTGCAGGGGCCCTGAGGGTCAACCTCTAGCCTGTGATATTCCAGATTAAAAGCAGCTGGCCACATGGGGCGCCCCTCCGTGGACCTATGTATACGAACTATACGTTCTCTACTTACAACAGTCTAGCAATCCGCTCAATCACCTATCAGGTATTGCATGATTCGCTACGAAGAGGTTCGGATATATCGTTTGATTGAAAAAAGCCCACTTTAAGTCCTATGTAGGTGCCGAATACTCCGGTGACTACCGACTACCCATGTTGACTTGCATGTACGGAGTCGTAAGTGTGGCTTTTTGCCGCTGACGATCATTTGACTTGTTTGGTTTGGTTTTGCAACCACGCATACAAATTAGTGATTGTTCACGATCGGAGGTCGTCTCGCAAAGAAAAAAAAAAAAAAAAGTGAGATCTTGAAAAGCCTACACTTGACATGAACAAGATTGGATGCTGGATCGAGAAGAATGCCTCACAAGAGTGGATACCTACATACACCGTCCAATAGTTAGTCTACGATGTATGACGCGGTGGTGCCTGCTGGTTACTCGACCGAGATTGCTTACCCACAATTTTCTGTATATGCGAGATAAGTAGTACGTGGTAACCGGATCGTGGCAAGGAATAGGACTGTGCATAAGGTTGGACAACCTGTGCTAAGTACGATCAAGTCAAGCGATCAAGTCAAATGCTAATCACCACGTCCTGGGCTGCAAAGCAAGAAAACGCATTGATAATGACTGTATAAGGTTATAGTTGCTACATTTGCAAACATAGATGGCGCTTGTGACTATCGTATATATATGGTGACATGTGATGGGTCATGCGACCCTATGTGAAACTATTCAAGGACAGGCTATCTTCATCCCTCGGCGACTGTTCTCGCTTCTCGTCTCGGCCATCTCCAAATAGCGACCCTTGTCGCGACCGTGACTGACTCCGTCTGCTTTGATCTGGTGGTAACGATGCGGAACTGACAAAATGAGATCGGTGTGTGTTGTCGCCTAACATCCATGAGAATTCGGATTGTGCCAAAGGCCGTCTAGGTAATATTGTAGGCGTTGAGCGAGATTGTAGAGGGTCAGATGCACTTGGAGAGGCTGAAGTTGCAACTGGCTCAAAGTCTGTGTCTGCTTTAGATGCTTCTGCCTTCGTGTCAGCTTTCTCTTTCTCATTGACCGCAGCTTTTTCTGTAGGTTTCTCTTGGATCGCCTCTTCTTCTTCTTCTCTTTCGAGTATTTCCGGCTTATCAGAAGCGACCTTCTCATCATTCGTCGTTATTGATGTAGATTTAGTTCTGGTCGATCCACTTGAACCTTGAAGCTCTGTCTGAACAATCTTTATCCTTTCAAACGCTCTGTCGAGTACCTCCGTGGCCTCGAGGCTAAGGCCTACTGTAGACTCCTTGATATGACTCAAATCATGTATCGCTTCTGACAGCAATTCTGCAAGGCTGTTGTCTCGTTTTTTCAAAGAAGCCACCTGCTGCACCAAGTCCACCGGGTCCGAGGTCCTGGAAGGTCCAAGTCTCGGAGTTCCAAATCGAGGGCCACCGCGCCAGGCTCTTGAAGGGATACCTCCAACTTCGGCATTAGCCATATTGCGCTTTGCCTCACTGACAGCACCGCGCACCGCCTTTGCGACCCCCCAGCCTTCTGTGCGGCGCTGCAGTCCTTCCGAAACATCCTGAAATAATGACTCAAGGGTTCGTTGATTAGCCCTAGCGGGGGACTGCCCGGAGGAACTCCCTCCGCTCATATCCCGGGAATGACTTCGACGGTCGACCTTTTTCGGAGATGACTCCCTAGGGGGTTGTTGATGTCGATCTCTTGCAAGCTCTGGAGGTCGACCAGAATATTTAGACACCAGGAACGCTCCTCGAGCGGGACTCAAATTCTGCTCCAAATATAGTCCATCATGGACCAATGTCTGTGGACCATGATCCTGAAGGGCAGGATAGCGTAATAATAGCGTTAAAGCAGAGGAATAATCTACCTCCAGCACTAAGAAAGAATCAGCTTGATTCCACGCGCTTTCTTTGAATGCGAAAAGAGCTTACGCTTCCATCTAATGCGAAGCAGCATTGCAACACAAATATGGTCAATTAAGGAGGCTCTCAAGCCATTTGCAAATAATAAGTCCCAAATCAGCAATGTGTCGTCAAACGAGAATTCTCGACCAAAAAGTAAACGAATCCAACGACTACGATATGCGTTAGTTTGAGGGTTACTGGTATGGTTAGGATAGTACGTACGTCAAAAATATTTGGGGCAGAATCTCAATAGCGTTTAAATGTGTGGCTAGCTCATGATCTGCAGCCACGAGTAATTCATTATGAATGAATTGAGATCTTGCTACTATCGGAGCCATTTCGGCTTGACCATTAACTGGCTTGTCATCGGTGTGCTCGTAAAATGACCGCGCAACCTGCATAACACTGCAAAAGAGGTTGAAAGAGTCGCTTTCAATGTAATTGGCGTCTAGTAGGTGTAGCATGACACTTTCATCGTCCGTTGCGTTGACTGGGATCGTTTTCGTAGACTGAGCAACTGCGTCGCGCTCCACTACCCACAGTATTGGCGCAAGCAGTTCATGCATTCCTTGTCTGTATCCGAGGTCGGGATTAAGTTTTGAATAAACGAACAATATATCTAGCATCATTGACTTTGTTGATGGTTCGCGGAAAAAGAAGTTGTCCTGCAAACATCTTTCCACGTCTTGATAGATTTCAGCCCTGGTCGCTTCATCGTGGCGCAAAGCCTGCCAAGGAGACTGCATTTCAAGTATTAGTATGAGTACGACATGGTGCCAGATCACAATTATACCTCTTCATCTTCGGCGAGCGGATCAACTGTGGATTGCAGATCGTTTGGATTCTTTATGTATTTAAGAAAATGATCTTTGAGAGAATCATAAGCGCTGCGTGTATCTGCAAGTCGATCTGTCCACTTTGACCGATCGAGGTCGTCGCATAACAAGAATATCTAGAGACTGCCAGTCACCTTCATATGATCTCATAAAAAAGGGCAATTGATTATTTACCTTCCAGCACACTGATCGAAGACCATTTTCGCATGGATTTTCACCGTCTTCGGATATGATTGCCTGTTTTAGTTCATATGTATCCCTGCCATAACCGAGAAGGGTCTCCCATCTCCGTCTGATTATAACCAGCGATAAGCATAGATTCACGTGGATTGGCTGGGTATCATACCTGGCTTCTGCAACAGTTTTCATGGCATCATTCAAGCAGAAAAAACAATTTGTAACATTCAAGAAAGTAGTTGAGTGTTCAAGGCAGGTCAGATTTAGAGTCGACAGTTGAGATAAAGAGGGAACCAGGAACCCGAATGACGTGGGGAAAGGTACTAAATTACAATACGAAGTAACAGCAATACCAATTATTACTCATCTGGACTAGCGGTACGTAAAGTATCTTTCCGCCGCTTCCTCTCACAATAGTTAAATCACTATCAACAACTACAAAAGCTTGGGATATCAAGCACATTGCTGTCATGCTGCTTCAGTATTGAGCGAGTGTCAACCCTCTCTCTGTATCTTTCAGCCATACAGTTTTTTTGTATACGATTTCTAACGAGAAAATTCTATATTATGATACCCCACCACGCAACATATCCTTTTTGAGAGTCCGTTTGCATTTATATACATAGCATCGTTTCTACACAAAGCGATCTTTAGCCTGCAATGTCTGCTGACTTGCTCGCTGAATTTGGGACCAATACAAGCCATGCTGGCTATGCAGTAAATGCACAGGGACCCTCACAGTCACAAACGAACGATTTATTCTTCGACGATGATTTTGATTCTTTTGTGTCCCCGGAACCTACAGACACCGGTGCATTAGGAAATCAAGAAAATATTTCAAGCCCTGAAACAAATCATGACAGACAACGATATACCCTGGATGTAGCTACGTTACCTCCGGTCTCTGAAGGCGCTGAAGTATTATTCGATGCATCTGCAGAAGTGAGATCAGACGAAGCTGATGAGGACGATTGGGGAACATTCGAAACGKCCAAACCTGCAACTAGTCCTGCCCAAAGTGGTCAGTTACTTGATATTGAAGATGATCATCAACCATTATCGACGCCTAAATACAATTTAGATCCAACATTATCCTATGTTTCGGCGCCTGTTGATCTCATTTCCCTCGAAGACAAGCCGCAATCACCTCAAAGCATTGCCTCACAAATAACTCCTAGCTCAAGACATCTCCAAACGCTCAAAACACCTGCATTCACAAAGAAGGCTCCGATAAAAAGCAAAAGTCCGCCTAAACCCTCCGAGGATGACTTCTTCAACGAATGGGATGATTTTGAGGATGGGACTAAAGAGAAGTCTCAAGTTAAATCTAATGTTTCAGTGCCTACGAAAGGGACGAAGGCCAATGATGCTATCAAATCTACAAAATCACGACAATCCACACAGTCACAATCAATTGTTCGCCCGACTAATATCCCTCCGCCCTCCGTCTTGCTTCAGATCATTCCCTCCCTTTTAGAGGAATTCCGTGTACAGCTTGATAGTACAAAGCGAGGATCTCCAACCACCACATCTGATTTTGTCACGAACCTTGTCCAGACCCTTAGAGTAGCTTCCCGGATTATTGCAGGTCGCACTCTACGTTGGAAGAGGGATACGATATTAAGCCAAAGCATGAAAATTGGTCCAGCACAATCGGGGAAGAGTAGTGGGATGAAACTAAGCTCTGTCAGCAAAGGCGAATCTATCAAAGAGGAACAAGAAGCTGTTGGCGTCCTTGAAGTCTGGCGCCACCATACATCCGCATTCAATTTGGCTATTCAATCATCTGGTGAACGACCCGTGCCCGTTATAACAGATAAAACTCGAGTCATTACTGCGAATGCGGCGCAAGGCGCGCTCAGAGCTTCTCATGCTTGTGCCTTGTGTGGTCTGAAACGAGATGAGAGGCTACCCAAGCTAGACGACGATGTGCAAGACAGTTTTGGAGACTGGTGGGTTGAACACTGGGGCCATACAGACTGCAAGTGGTTTTGGGAAGAAAATTCAAACAAACTTCATCAACGTTGAAATCATGAATACCATCTTGAGCGCAACAAACCAACTTTAAATTCCATCACCTGGAACGGTCTATATCTAAGAAGGCAATGCCGAAGACATTGCATTGCCTACGGCATATACTATGTACACCAGTCAAGACAGTCCTGAAGTAGATAATCCTTCCCTGTCGTAAAGTTCATGTGTATGACTAATGGCATATCAAGTCTGCCGTCAGATCGTGAGCTTCGTTCCGAGGCGTACAATGTCCCTTGTCCTATATCCAGACGCCATGGAATGCTAAAGCTATGGATGTATACCAATCCCATACAATCGGACTTTGAGCCGAGGTCTTCCTGTCGCTTCCCTTATACCCACACCCCACTTCACCCCGTTTCTCCCGAAACGAGGGGAATGAAACATGAACCTTCAAAGTCTATGGTCTTGTCTGTTATGCTTTGCTGTTTTACAATATCAAGAATTGTGACCCAGACGTGTCAGACTAAATAAATTGGACTGTCCAGATCGAAAATACCCTGCGAAGATGGGACTTCCAGAGAGAATGAAAGCGGTCGTTTTCCACGGACCATACAAAGTCGCCGTAGAAGAGCGGCCTGTACCCCAGATTCAAGCTTCGACAGACGTTATCGTCAAAGTTAGATATACCGCTCTTTGTGGAAGGTAAGTCTCTATCCTACACCATACATATAAGGGGTGCTAGTAACTGGGGCTGATTCGTTTATAGTGAGCTCCATGTATTCCGTGGCCATCAAGCTTCCAAAACCGGCTTTATCATGGGCCATGAGTTTACAGGCACTGTCGTTGAGAAGGGAGATGATGTGAAGACCTTGGCAGTCGGAGATGTTATTGTTAGTCCGTTTACTACTTCATGGTATGTGAGACTTAGCAGACAGCGTGGGTGATGCATACTGATTATTGGGTGAAGTGGCACATGCTTTTATTGCAAGCAAGGGTTCTCCTCTCGCTGTGCGAATTCTCTGCTCTTTGGCTGCCCTATTCTAGACGGTGGTCAAGCTGAATATGTATGTGCTAGACCTTTTCCATATATTCAAGACGAGGAACTGAAAGACATCGCAGGCTAGGATCCCTTACGCAGATACCACAGTCTCCAAAGCCCCCGAAGGCATTGACGAGAAACTTCTTGTCTTGATGGCCGATATCTACCCCACTGGCTTTTTTGCAGCCAGCAACGGATTCAAAGACTACACCAGAGAACAAGCCACAGAGTTGACCGTGGTCGTCATTGGTTGCGGCCCGGTCGGTTTACTTGCCATTATCAATGCTCTAGAGTATAAACCAAAACACCTTTTGGCGGTAGACTCTGTGGAACCTCGTCTTGAGCTTGCTAAAAGCCTAGGTGCAGAGCCGTGGAACTTCGTGAAGGATCGCGAGGGGTTGGATAAGCGGGTTAAGGAATTGACGGACGGCCGGGGAGCTGATGTGGTTATTGAAGTAGTGGGACTGAGTCCGGCTTTGCGAACGGCTTTTGATCTTCTGCGTCCATGGGGGACTATCAGTAGTGTTGGAGTGCACAATGCAGAGGTGAGTCTTTTTTCCTTCAAAATTGTGAAAATAAGCAGAGTCTAATGTTTGTATAGATTCCATGGTCTGGCAATGAAGCATATGGCAAGAATTTGAAACTTCAGATGGGCCGATGCCCTGTACGCTCAGTATTCCCTCAAGCTTTGGAAGCATTGAAGAGAAATCAGCATCTTTTAGGGTCAGTAAACGTGTCCACTCTGTCGTCACAAGCTAAAAAGTATTCGCAGATTCATGGCGGATAAGATAATGCCGCTCTCCGAAGCAGTCGAGGGGTACGACTTGTTCGACAAGATGAAGGCGCAAAAAGTGATCTTTGAAGCATGAGAAGACGAGACAGAATGTACCTAGCGGGGCTCCTGTGTACTGGCCAATCAGGAGCCTGCCTGAGCCTAGCTTTCCCCAGAGAAAGCCCAGATTGGGATTAGTGCGTCTGTATCAAAAAATGTAATTGTTCATACATGTACCTGTGTAGAACATAAATCAGCGTCGCAAAACTGCTAGCTTATCATAGATGATCAAATTAAGTTCACTCTGAGCATGTCTCACAATGAGAACAGCTCAGTACTGAATGTATATAGCTTCTTGGCGGTGTCAATCCCTGATTGGCCCATTACCACCCTGTATTACTGTTACCGTGTGTAATGTTGTCTCCTCCCGCTCTGCGAGTAAGTTTGCTAGCAAGCCCGCCCACCACTAAATATTGCTCCTCACTTTCTTCCTCTCCACTGCTCAAACGATTAATTCTCCTCTCTCCATCCTCACCTTTCCTCATATCACTCCACCTCTTCATCTACAACCCTCTCTCTCTCGTCCCTCCTCTTCTCCCTTTCTTTCGACTCGTGTCTTCCGTTCGACCCTTTTCCTCTATCCTCCTTTCATCCTTTCATCCTTTCATCTTTTCTCTCTTCCCGTCTCTCTACCCCTCCGTCGCCCGTCCTACACCCCAAACCACCTCTCCCCGCGTCATCCTCAGCCATAGTATCCTCTATTTGCTGCCCATACATAATCTTGTGTAAGTCTGTCCTGGAATTTTCAATCGCCTTCCAATTCCTTGTGTTGCTTCATGTTCTAATTGTTCCCCCGTCTAGCCGGCATTCTCTTTGCTCATTTCACGTGGACGATATTTCGAAAATCGATTTATTCACGCTTCTCTGAACCTACTTCGCAGCTATATTTCCAACCGAACTTCGCAAGAATCTCTCAAAAATGGCAGCAACCACCGAAAACCACGACACATCTGTCCCCAACGACGAAGTCATGAACGACGCTTACGGCCGTGGCAACATTGGCGAGTCAGGCGAACTCGAGGATCAGCCCAAGACCGAGGAAGAATATGCTCAGGCCATTCTCACTCTGCGCGCTATCGTTTCCTCCAAGGAGGCTGGTGTTATTATCGGCAAGGCTGGCAAGAATGTTGCGGATTTGCGCGATGAGACTGGTGTCAAAGCTGGTGTTAGCAAGGTTGTCCAGGGAGTTCATGATCGTGTTCTCACTGTTACTGGTGGTCTACAAGGATGTGCCCGCGCCTACTCGATTGTCGCAAAGGGACTGCTTGAGGGTGCTCCGCAGGTCGGAATGGGTGGTGTCGTCCAGAACAACGGTACTCATCGTAAGTAGTCTGCACTGTTGAATCTCTACCACATACTCACATCCCTTTTAGCCATTCGCTTGTTGATTTCACACAACCAGATGGGCACCATCATTGGTCGCCAAGGCCTCAAGATCAAGCACATCCAGGATGCCTCCGGTGTTCGCATGGTCGCGCAGAAGGAGATGCTACCACAATCCACAGAGCGAATCGTGGAGGTGCAAGGCACCCCCGAGGGAATCGAGAAAGCTGTCTGGGAGATCGGAAAATGCCTCATTGACGACTGGCAACGAGGAACAGGCACAGTGCTATACAACCCCGCTGTGCGTGTCTCCGTCGGCGGCTCTGGCCAACTCAATCACAACGGCGACCGACCTAGCGGCAGCTACGGTAGTGGACGCTCTTACAACCGAACCGGCAACGGCGCTGACTTTAGCGAACCCAGCAGCGGCTATAACCGTCGTGGCAGCGGCGACAACGCTAACCGCAGTATTCCAATGGTCACTGACGATGGGGAAGAAGTCCAGACTCAGAACATTAGCATCCCTGCAGACATGGTTGGATGCATTATCGGTCGGGGCGGCAGTAAGATCAGTGAAATCAGACGCAGCTCTGGAGCGAGAATCTCAATCGCCAAGGCACCCCATGATGAAACTGGGGAGCGCATGTTTACGATCATGGGAAGCGCACAGGCTAACGAGAAGGCTCTGTATCTTTTGTACGAGAACCTCGAAGCCGAGAAGATGCGTCGTAGCCAGCAGTCTCCCGAGTAATGGATGGGCTTCCTGCTAAAATCTCAATGGCTGTCATTGATCTTCTCCCTCTTACCTTTTGACCTCCTCTCGTTCAGAGGTGAAATTTTCCTTTATTTATCAGGTTCTTCATCTTTACGATATCGTCTCTTCGCGTATCACTTCACTTTGTCTCCTACTCTGGTCTCCTTACTCTACTACAACATCGCCTGTATTTCTCAAGACGATGGGTTCTCTCACCGGATTACGAATTAATGATGTCCTCAAAACAGAAAAAAATTCCACTCGATGGTCTAATGTCAGACCCGAATTATCAAACTATTTCCTCTCCCTTGACTAAACTTTCTTATCAAACACTACTCATTCGATCCGGTTCTTCTCGCGTACCGACCTTCCATTACTCACTACTCATATCCTAAATTCCATGTCTGTAATCGATAACTTGTTTTCCGACGAACTATTCGTTGATATACCACCTCTCAAATCTGATACTCTTGCAGCTCCACCGATAACCTTATCGTTTGTTCTCTTTTCTATGTCGTCTAATGCACCGTCAACTTGGTATGTTTAAAATTGTTTAAATACCCAGACATTAGTTCACGTCATCAAGGCAAACAGTGTTATCCATGGATGGACCGATCAATATTTAAAGATTAAATCAAATAGCAGGTGTAGGCAATGAAGAGGAAAAAGATTACCTACCGAGCACTTTCTCCAGTTAATAATGTATAAATATGTATCGACACAACCCATAACTACATAAATTTCATAAAATACAAGAAGCGGCTGATCAGAAGCGAAGAACCGACCTCAGTATTAGGGCAGAGTGAAACTCTGTCATCCATACATACATATCGTCCAGAGCCTCTGTTCTAGCAAATGCTATTTCTTTCAACGTCCAGTTATCTCTAGAGCAAACCACGTTCTTAAAACATATAGGGCAGATTTAATTGACAGCTAGGTACATGTACCCCTGCTTGAGATTTTCGGGCATGATGGACAAGACAAATGGCTGGGTCAGTACAGTGACAGTCTCGTATTTATGCTGATATTCAAGGTCAGCCCGGGCACCATCTGGTGAGTTGTTACCGCTCCTCCAACAGATATACAAATACGAATCATACACGGGATGATTCGATGCTTTTCATAGGAAATAAAAGCATGACTGATTCATTTTGACACACAACGGGGGGAATCGCCTCGTTTGTCTCGCGAGTGATGAGTTTGTATAGTATTTGCACCAATGATGCTTTCCAAAATCAGATTGCTCGAGTCATTGCGGCGCGACCTTGCAAAATGAGCCAAATGAGATTGAGAGAGGACGTTGTATGAAGCCTGCTATCAGATATACATCGGGCATAGTGGGGTAGCTTCGGTGGGGGATAAGATATCAAAAAAAAAATACTGACTTTAATGTTTTTCCATTCACATCTATAAATACTGTCGGTCGCATGAGCTGGTCTTTGCACCATACTTCTGATCGCAGATTTTTATCGTCTTTTTCTACGTCTGCACTATCAATAAATTGACCCGTCGAAGGGTAACAACATATTTTGGAGATCGAAGAGAAACAGCACGATGGAAACTCAACATCCGCAGTACCTCGAACCCAGTGAATTGGGGACGAAGGAGTAGTAAGTACTCCTATTGCACACTCTCTTAACCATTGCGAAAGACCTAATCGTCCGATGTAGCTGGGAAACATATTACGAACGATCCTTAGAACACATCGCATCAAAGACAAGAACAAAACCCGAGAACAGCACCACTACCACCAATACTACAGAAGGGGATGATAACGAACATGACGAAGAAGAAGACGATGACGATGACCCAGGTACATCCTGGTTCTCCGAGCACGACGCGCCCCAGAAGATCCTTCGCTTTTTGACGTCGCGCAAATTCCCACTGTCGCCGAGAAACGTTCACCGGAAAAAGGGTGCAGAGCCAAGTATATTAGATTTGGGGACTGGGAATGGGAGTATGTTGGCTCTGTTACGGAAGCGTGGAGGATTTGGGGGGATGATGGTTGGTGTTGATTATTCGGAGCAGAGTGTTAGGTTGGCGAGAGAGTTGCAGCGGTTGAGGTTGCATAGTGCTTATGAGTCTGGTGATGATTCTGATGATGATGATGACGACTATGATGAGGAGGATGATGAAGAAGAAGCAGCCGAAGAAGAAGAGGTGGAGGAGGAGAGTGTCGTCGTGGCGTCTTCTGCAGGTAATGCGGCCGATGATACCGTACAATGCGAAGAAGGCATCCCGCTGAAAAACCAAGACATCCAATTCGAAGAATGGGACATTCTCGACCCCGCCAACGAGACGATACTCGAAATCAACACTACAAAGAAATTGTCCTGGTTCCCATACGAATCGCAAGGCTTCGATATTGTCCTTGACAAAGGCACCTTTGACGCCATCTCCCTATCCGACGAAACCACTGCATCAGCCAACACGCACATATGCCATCAATACCCCGTCGTTGCGAGCAAACTCATTCGGCCAGGCGGATACCTGATTGTGACGAGCTGTAACTGGACTGAAGATGAATTGGTGCATTGGTTCACCACCGCCACGAAAACGACGGAGTTGGAGGTGTGGCATAGACTGGAGTATCCGCGGTTCAGGTTTGGTGGTATGGAAGGGCAGGGTGTTTGTACGGTGTGTTTTAGGAGAAAAGAATGAATAGAAAGAAGAATAAAAATGGTAAATTCCCTGAGAGATAATGCAGTCTTGACCGCTCTGCCGTGAAGAATATATTGGGGAAAAAAAAAAATTTGACAACCAGTGTCTCGCAAAAGTAAACTCCCATCCGAGTAGTTAACGCCGTGCCAAAGTCCCATACCCTAAAAAGTTCATGAAGCCAAAAATGTCGATGTCCGTGAAAGAGATCACTTCTGGTCCACCAAACACAACAACGCCTCCTCCAGGATGTATTTTCCTTCCTTGTACTTCTCCGCCGGCTCGTATGCCTTGTCGTACTTCCATCCGACGACCACCCGACACGTACGACACGAGATGTCGCGCACGATATGGCGGCCTGTAGTCATGTTGCGTTCGACGGGATCTCCTTCCGTGACGTTGACGACTCGTTCGAATAAGAAGGCTTTGCCGTGTTGGCCGCGGAAGTTCTATTTCTGTCAGCAAATTCAATCTTTCTGAGAGAAGAAAGGGGGGAGACGAACACGGCTGACTATGTCATTGTAGTCTGCGAGGTGGGCTTTGCACTCTCTGCAGCCGAATATCTTGTCGGCGTTGAGGTAGACGTTGTATGTGAGGCCCATTTTGTGTCTCTCTTCTTCTCGTGGAAGACTGATGTCTTTGCAACAGATTCTCGACTTGCTCTCCACCTAATCCCTCGCAATAAGAAAAGAAAACAAGTCTTGAAGTGATATGTCAGATGCAATCCTTATCGTAGACAGGCGTCGAGATAAGCCTTGGAGAGATGCGGGGAACAAAGAAGCCCGAGCCGGGTCCGCCGCTCGGTGATTAGAGGGCCGATTATCGTATGATATTCACTTGAAAGTTTGAAATTAAAAACCCAAGATTTTTGAAGCAAGTAGAAAGAGAGATATTGGAACTTGATTCATTCAGCCTTATTCGCTGTACAGCTAGGAAATGTAGGTAGGCCTGATGTTGCAGGTGAGCGAATGGAGTCAAAGTACGCTAAGCTGGGATGGGTTACGGTAGTGTGGGCTCATCTGATCTCAGAATCCGCTGACCTGCCAGTTGGATCAGATCGTCTTCTTTTCATCCATCTAAAAATTGTCTAGTGACTTGTCGAGACCAGATCTTAGTTGCTCACTGTGTTTGTACACCCACCATGTCTTTGTAGAATGTCTTAATCTGGTTGATGATGCAGCTGATACGATAACACAAACAAATAATGCAAACATCATATTTTACGCTTGAAACCATCCTCATGTCAATAAGTAACAACTCTGGTCGACTATCCAATGGCTGGAAAGTCTCCTCATGCTATGATAAGACCAATGAGCGTCAAGACAAGTACAACTCTGGTCCTTGCCGCCGGTTCAGCTTCTTGAAACATCCGCCTTCAGATCTGTTTCAGCACTATGCAGGCTGCTTTAACTATGCATTTTAGTCCGCCTCACCTCTGCCAGACTTTGGACCTAGGAATTAGCTCCGCATCATGATTCTATTTTCATCACCGTCTCCTTTGTCGGTGGCAGTAATCAAGCGGCAAGGCATATCGCGCGCGCCAGTCAAGTGCGAACCCGTGTGTACTACGCCACAATGCACATAACAAGGGGTTCGGCGCTAAGACTACAATGTCCAATCGAATCATCCTTGCTGTGAGGGAATTGCTGTACTTATCGGCTTGAAATTGTCTACTTTATTGACGACTAAGTGGCCCTGATTTAGTAAATACAATATTCCAACATACACACAAGAGATATAGCATGATCTTTACTCCTACATGCGACAGAAAGACTCACGAGGTCATTTCCTGTCTAATAGCTTCGAAGAAATTGGAAAAGCGTCAGAATCATGACGGCGCCAACTGAAAACAAAGACTACCGGCATAGACTATTCCATCGATTTGACCGATTCCGAAATAGGTCATCCAGTCGCCAGAATGAAGCCAGCGCTCAATCGATCCCTGGCCCGAAAACCAAGCCAGGTCTTCAAACCAGGTAGGAGATACAAACCTCAATTGAAACAATAGTGTTGACCTTGTGAAAAGTTCAGCTCCAATAGTGCAGTCTACAATATCCACCATCGACCCGGCACCACCTGATCAGGCGACTAAGGTTACGGTTCCTGACGTCGGAACCAAGGTCAAAAAGACTGAAAGTCAGCCAAGCCAAAGCACCTCCCTACCCAAGAAGATTGAAAGTAGTGTTGCTGCTACTAAGCCGACTAAGGTTAAACTTGATGACATTGACGGCGGCATTGTTGGTTCGGATCTTTGGAGTGCGGCTTATCGCGAAGCAGTCGAAAGTATGCAAGATGAGATGGACATCACTATTCTCAAGGGAAGCAGTGTCGCTCAATTATTCGAAAAACTTGAAGAGATCGACAAAGACGTCAATCAAAAATCGGCTTTTGTGAGGGGTATGGAAGTTTTAAAGAAAGCGAAAAAGCCTCTCGAGAATTTCAAACTAGCATTAGATTTGGCAAGTCCGTTGGCGGAGCTCGAGCCGGTTGCAACGACGGTTGTTGGCGTGCTCAAGGGTGTGACTGCAGTAAGCCATAATCTATTTGATTTCCTAAATGTGTCGAATTGAATTTGACAGAGATCATGACATGGCAATACTAACTTGCCGCGCAGATCGCTATCAGCGTTGCAAGTGCCGATGTGAAATTTGAAGATCAGATTGTCGAAATGTTACAGCATATCTCGTACATCGATGATTGTGACACGCTCGGCCAGAAAGCGGATGACAAAGATATCCACAAAGTAATGAATCTCTGGGTCGCACAATTTTCATGGGAGTATTTTCTGACAGTTGCAGGCGCTCGTTGTGGTATACAAGAAAATTTTGGAATTCTACAAAGTTGCATTCGACATTCTTACTAGGAAAGGAGTAAAACTGATCATGAAAATGGTCATGGAGAATGACCGCTTGCCAAGTATCGTCCAAGATTTTCTGAAATGTGCCGACATCCTCCATAAACTTATTGAGAAATCGGTACTTAGGATTACGCAAGATATACAAGCCATGCTCTACCACTCGGAAAGTGAGTTGCCATGCATCTCAGTGTGTGACATAAATCCTTACTTACTCCATCTCAGTTACTCAATGGCTAGGTACTGACAAGATCCGCGGCCAGAGCACATACCACTCAGAATTGCAGAGTCTTAGAGCTGACCGGGCCTGTGAGTTCTTGTTGAAAACGCCCCAATTTGAAAGCTGGTTTCATGCTTCCGAATCCCGACAACTGGTAGTTCTGGGTGATAAGGGCCACGGAAAGACTGTTGCTATGGCATATCTCGTTGACCAACTCAATGGAAGGAACACGTCTCAAATACCTCAGCCAAAATTATGTTACTACTACTGCCGGGACGATGAGACAGGCGAGGCTATCCAAATTCTTTCGGCTTTGATTCTCTCGCTCCTTGAACAGCTTCCTGGCCTGCAAAAACCTTTTTTCGAGATGTATAAGCAGGCTCAGGCATCCGGAAATATCGATCCCGCAACAAATATCAAAACCATGGAAGAGTTTCTGCAAAAGTTGCTGAAAGCTGTTGATCGCCCAATGTTTGTCCTTATTGACGGTCTGGATGAGTGCAGTACAGAATCTCGTAATGATCTTCTAAAGATACTGAAAACTCTATCACAAGAGGTACCAGTATTGAAAATTATATTGTCTTCCCGGCCCCAGGAAGAAATATTGGAGCAGTTGGACAAAATACCACGGATTGACCTAATTTCCGACATACAGCGAGACCGCATCATTGCCGAAGCAACAGTTGAGAGGCAGCTGACAAACCGATCGACAGACGTAAAGGAGCTCGTCATAGACGAGTTATCGAAGCTGGCGGAAGGGAGCGCAATCTGGACAAAGATGACAGTCAATTTGATTAAAATACGCAAAATAAGGATGAAAGTACCGATGAAACGCTTCCTGGAAACTATTTTGTTACCACCAAAGCTTTCGGGTTTATATGTTGAAATTTTTTCACGCTGCACCTCAGATGACCATGAAAATGAGGGCCTCGCCCGTACAGCTCTAAAGCTTCTCGCCGTTTCTCGCAGGCCCCTAAGTATAGTGGAACTCGCCTGGGCGGTGACATTGGGTGTGAGTCACGGTATCACCAATGTCACCGCTCTTACTGAGGAAGTAGATCATCAAAGGCTTATGAGTCTTATTGACCCTTTCATCTCTCGCACTGATTTCAGTGATATCAAGAAGCGTCAAGTTCGGCTCGTACACCAGTCAGTGAAGGAGTTCATTATAGAGAAATGGACTTCTGGTTATCGTCCGGCCTTAGCAGGGGATAGAGCCAATTCGGAGGAAAGAATCGTTGAGGACCTGGAAGCGTGTATGCTGGATATTTGTGTCAGGTATCTCCTACTGGATGATATTGGTAACAGAGATCTGTTCCCCGAGGAGTTCGTCGCAATCTCAGAGCTGCCACAGGGATCCGACTTGTTCGATGAGGACAAAGAATCAGTCCAGTATGATCCATATTGTACGTGGGATACCTGGGAAGACGATATGATTCGGTACGATCCAACTGAACGTGGCTTTGGCGAGTTCTTCGTTTACGCATCGTGCCACTGGACGGGTCATTTTGGCGCGATTAGTGCTAATTCAGCACTTTTCCCCAGCCTCGAACATTTAGAGAGTGTTTGTAAACGGGGATCGACCCGACTCAAGAATTGGATTGAACAAAACCGCCGCCCAATTTGCGCGATCAACCCTAGAGAAGAATTCGACTATACTCTGTATGACCCCCTCAGCATAACTTCACTCTTTGGTTCGAAAGCAATGTTATGTTACATGCTGGAGAACTCAAATTTCGATGAGGAGAAGTATCTTCCGAACCCTCTGATAGGCGCCGCCGATCAGGTCCTCCAATGGGGCGACATATCGCGGCTCAGGATATTATTTCTAAATTACAAAGGTGATCATCAGCTGCAAAATCTCGAGTCTTTTCGTCTCGTCATCAAAAATTGGTTCTACCCTAGAAAAAGACACAACAATTGGGAAGTTGTGTATGACCTCGTCGACTCTCTGACCGATAAAATGGTCCGGGAACACTGGGGTAACGAACTTCTGTGCATTGCTGCCCGCGCAGGATGTATGCCGATAATACGGCGGCTGGTTACGAACGCTCAGCAGAACGTAGAGCTCAGGAGTGAATTGCTGCGCGAGTCCCGCGGTGAACAACAACCACCAGCATTTGCTGAGCCGACGCGTCAATCAATCGAGGAGGCTGTGCTAGGGAATCATGTTGACGCAGTAGAGTGTCTTCTGACAATGAAAGACATTGAAGTTCACCTTCAATACCAAAACTGCTGCGGTGAGAACGTCTTCCACCTGGCATCCACGATTTGCAACCCGGCAATGTTTCGCGTTCTTGTTCCCCGTTATCGCGAGGGCGTTCATCAAGTTGATCATCAGGGCAGTACAGCACTCGTGCGGGTTATTACGAACGCCTTGGCCTCGGAACATCGATATGAAATCGCAAAAATAATTATCTCCGAGAGTAGCCCCGACTGGACTAGCCATTATCACGATGGACAACAAAATCCTTTGCGAGCGGCCGTGCAGCTTGGCGATTTGGAAATGTGTTCACTCTTAATTCGCGACGGCGGCATGAGTCCAGTTTCAGCCCTCAGTTATGATAAAGAAGGTCGGGCAGGATTGAAAGACAGAAATTCCACGAACGAGGATAAGGCGGGGGAAATTCTGCAACTGTTGAGCAAACATGCCGATTTACATCCAACCTAGTAACTTTCCGGCATCGGGTTCACCGAATGCAGGGGATGGCTACCAAAATGCAGTTTTCATGGAAAGCTTGTGGCCATGGCGGTAGCCATGGCGTAGTCTATTCCTCAACGTCATCGCAGGGAACGCGAGAAGTAGAGGTGGTGTGCTATAGCTGTGCTGAAGATAGCGAAATGGTGATGTCTCTACTAGAAAGTCAGAAAGAGAAGTCGATGCTAAGCTTTTATTGCCTTGACTATTGAGGCAGGCACTATTACCTATTCGGGTAAACGGTCACACTATTGTGGCTTTGTCTCTTTGAGATCAGACGAAACGAGCCGAGGTGCGCTATTGACTTACGTATCAATAAGTAAAAGTTCAAAGCGTACATAGAAAGAAGATTCTTCGGAGTCCGATACGAAACACCCAATAAATCTGTATGGAACAAACAGCAGCCTCACCCCAACCCCGATCACCCTTCTAGAAAGTAACGACAAATAACCGTATCAACAACCAAAATTTCCAAGATCTAACCGACTCAACCCATTTTATTTTCCCTGTCAGATCAACTCATCGAATATATGACGTCAAAGCGCATCCACAAGCCCTTCATGAATCGTTCGCGACGAATTTGCGGGTTTGCTTCAAAGATGCACGGAGTAGAATGTTTTAGTTTCATCCACTGCCGTGTATCCGTACGAAACAGCTCCATACGCTTCCTTGTTTGGGGAGGATCATTCTCAACTTTTCTTTTCTTTCAATTTTTTTCTTTCCAAGGACAAAAAAATAAAAATAAATAATTATTGTTGACACGTACGTCATCTAGGAGAATCTCGGCCCGCAAGCCGGTGAAACCGACTCAGGTCACGAAGAGTAAGGTGTCTGTGAATAGTATGAGGGATTATGTAAAACACGGAATGAGCCCTAACCCCTTCGATTCGCAATCCATTCCAATCAGCGATCAACGTGGATCAGCTGGAACAAACAATGACGTTATTTCCTTTGCAGCATGTTTCGCTTAACTGTACGCAGCACTAACGAGAAATCTAGAATCTGTAGACCGGGCTAAAATCTCCGCTAATTACTGGGTATTAGAATAGCTGCTCGATGTTGTACAGCGAAAAGCGGGTTAAGAAGGTCGAAAAAGGTATGCGGATGGATGATCGGTTCGCATCCTGGCCGAATCAGCTAGGAGAGTAGAGGATCACCAAATACATTACTGTGTATGTTATTGTGTTATGGGATCATCTTCCGAGCAGCAATCTATCGAGTGAGATAGAGTTGTTGATCAATTGTGTATTGTTGGTTGCTCAGCATGTACCTGACGATCGTGTTCCTTCCATAGAGTTCAAACTTAAGAGAGTGAGAACGAAACCGGACGCCTCCGTACATACGACCATTGCTCCGTCCGTACGGAGGACGAATAATACGTACGTCAAGGATACGTGGTGGTAACGTTGATACGGACGAGGTCACGTCATTAGCCGGCCAGCTGATGGCTTACCTAACCCACTCTTGCCAAAGATAAGACAGTCTACCGACTACGTAGTATGTATGGTACATTACGCAGTCAGGTGATAATCGAGCACAATTGAGACTTGAGACGAACTGTATTCAGAATATCTATACGGAATTTTAATTTAATTTAATTTCCTTTTCTTGGAATTGCTATTTGTGTACGGATAAAAAGTACTCTGTATGTTTCAAAATTATTTTTATATTTTTATCGTGTCAGGCAGATCGATCGTTCCTGAAGCAAGGCCGTGGCTGAGCCGCTGACTGGCTGCTGTCCAGGGGCGGTATCATGTGTGTAATGGTAGTACGATACGCAAATCGGACAGCTGTCGGTGGGGCTGATAGGGGTCTGGCCATGCCGGTCATTCTGCGCACGTCCTGCTGCTAGTCAGCTGTCTTTACATAGTACTGGAGTAATGTTGCCAAGTAGATACTTATTTTTGCATGTCGGAATAGAGTACATGCTTGAAATTATTTGCATGAGATCGTGCTGGCGCAGGAATTGTTTCATCCGCGCCCCTAGGATGGTGGTTATGTCTACCATGGATCAGATCAGACAGCAGGCAAGGCTGACGATGATAAGCTATGGAGTCCGCCAGCTTACCGAACCCACCACCATAGATAAGTACGATAGAAACAATTATCAATTGTAAGACCGAAGACAGTGCGTATTGCGAACCCAATCGTACCCTTATCTAACGACGGAAACCACATTAATAAATTTTTTATGATTAGTGAGATAGCACTCCATGCTGTACAGAGTCAGACAGTCTACTATCTGCTCGGTAATACGGTCCAAAAGCAATGACTTATCGCGGCTCCACCAGGCGACGCACCTAGTTTGCCTATGAGGGCGTCGTATTGCCCCCATTCGCCTGTGTTCTCTCCGGTTCCTTGCACTCAGGTACTTTACTCTTAGTATTACTACTTAGTAGTACCTACTTATGTATGTACAACTACTAAGTACGTACAGCTGCACGAACTCGTTTTTGCTTTTTCCAACCTGACCGACTAGGATAATATTATGTAGCATTGATAAATCTGGTACAATTGCAAAAACCAGACCGAGTCAGTCACACGGTGCGCTGCTCGCCATTGGGTGTGTTAGCGCTACTGCCAATAGACATTTCTAATAAATACGTCGTTAATTAACCTTCGTGGATATCAGCTGAATAATAATATTGAAATATACCAATACACAGTCAGATGGACTACAGTACTGTGTAGGTATGCAGAGAAATAGGAAGGCGCAAACGGACGTAAATTACCGTTCTAATACGGCGTACGCAGTACTACATAGTACACTGTATGTATCCCCGCGAAAATGCGTCGATCGTGGTCAGCCATTGGCACGCAAAGCCCACGGCCCAAATTAACKGGATGAAGCCMCTCTCGCTCACTAGCCCTGCCACTAGCCTCTCTCGGACTCATTCTCCTCCCCTCTCGGCCCATCCATCCACGCTCTGCCTCTCACGCCCACGCCCGCGCCCACCTGGCTTGACCTGAATGGAGCTCTCCTCATTCTGCCCTTTCTCACGCCATTACTCACTTTCTTTCTCCTCCCTATACTTTTGAACTTTGGACTTTTTCTCTCCGACCAAACACACTCAAATATTTTTTGCTTCTTGAAACACCTTTGACAGTCCTTCCGCCCCGAGTACGTACTTCTTTCTTCTTTCTACCTACTCAGCCTCTCCCGACACCTTCCACACTCATATCGCCGCCATTGTCACCCACCATTATACCACACCACCACAGCCAACTTTCTTTCGCCTTTCAACTCTCAACGACAAGCCCGACTYCMAAGCCATATCTGACTTGACAGACACTCAACACACGCAATTCACTATATAGGGATCGATCCTATCCATACCTGTATATATATATCGGATCTATATAGCCGCCTGCTGCATTGTCCGGCCTCCTCAGTCAAGCCAGCAACCCGATCTTCGTGTAGGGCTGTGACTGCAGGAATTCGTATATCATGGCCTCGTTTAAGGTACTTCTCCCTCCTATATGCTCCTCAATGTTATGGTATTAAACAAAACAGGAAACCTCCGTCTCCCGCCCCGTCCCGCAAATGGGCACTCCCGTCCGACAACCTCAAGCCCAACGCTCTCACTCGCACTCCATATCCTTGGGTGCCATCAACGCCAACCATCGTGTCACTCGCCGGAAAAGTATGAGCCGCCGGGGAACCGAGTCAACCTCCATTGGCGCCACATCGGGCTTCAGCTCCTACCTCTCCCGCGGAATCCACGCCGCGAGTCCCGACAGCATTGGACGCAAACCCTCGCCTATTTCGATTGATGAGAATGTCGCTGTCGAAGGATCAGGTCATGAGGACAAGCATGTCGCTACCAAGAATCGGAATCGACGAGCCAGCGAAGGCTCGCACCTGGTGCGCGGAGAAGGCAAGCGCGTGTCTACAGAATTACGTTGTGACCAATGTGGCAAGGGATACAAGCACAGCAGTTGTTTGACCAAGCACATGTGCGTATCTCCGACTTCTCTGTCTCCGGTGCTAGTTGGCTGACCTAGTCTCAGGTGGGAACACAATCCGGCGTGGGCTGTTACGTCGAAGCTTTTGATTTCCAAGCACCAGCAAGTGCAGCTGCTCGAGGCTGCTACGGTGTTGGTTGCTATGAACCAAGAAACTGCCGACGCTGCTGCAGAGGTCACAGCGGCGGCGGCGGCGGCGGCAGCGGCATCTATGGAAGCAGAGACTCATGAAATCGAGTCGGACAACTCTTCCGCGTCTCCCGGTGCCTCTTCTGATATCCACGACGGCATCAGCTCTGCAGAGACGACACCGCCGCCAATGGACGAGGACGACATTGAGTTGGAAGACAAGCCATATGGCATTCGCAACTACAACTACAACCTCCCTTCGGCATTCTCCCGATCATACCAGTCTGTTGCATCCAGCTCATATGCTGACAACTCACTGCACTCTCCCGCATTTTCTCATTTCCGCCATTCCAGCATCGACACCCGTCCGTCGACAGCGGAGACTACGGGCATTCACGAGGAAGACAGCGAGGCAAGCGACCTCGCAGCGGCGATCCGACTCTGCAATTTTGGCACTCCTCGCTCGAGTGCCATTGCTGGATCTTCGGACGTCCCACCAGTACCCCCTCTACCCGCTCGGTATCTGAGCCAGCAAAGTGGAATTAGCAACGCTGGCAGCGTGGGCGTGGCCGGATCTACTCCGGCAGTTTTTGGATCGTTTTCACTCGATCCATCGCAATCCTATAAAGTCTCGGATGAGCGAGACGTAAAGATGGGTGACGCAGATCGCGAGTCGAGACACCGTCGCAACAACGACGTCGACTTTGGCAGCCGCCAGATGCACGACGACGATGACGATGGCGTTTTTGGACGTATGGAGGAGTAATCATCCCTCGCTACGATTGAGAGAGGCTGGATTGTTTCAGATCTCTTCCTTTCAAATCGGTCACACCATTTTCTTCTGCTACGACACTGTACGAACCATTTGCTTCCTGTGCCTCTTTGTGCCTGTGCCTTTCTTTTGAATACTTTTTGCGTCATGTTTCTTTTGTCTCTGTGTCTAGCAAAGCATCATCATCATTATCATTGACTAGTGTACTAGTGTCTGTATACGTGTATGTATGGGGATACGAACGTCGTCTTACGACCGACTTGGTTTTACTTTTAGGTAATCGAGTCCTTTTTTTTTCTTTTTGTGCGATAGGCATTTTCAGCGTTGTATTATGATTATCTTATCTGTATACATTGTCCCTTGCCCTCGGGCGCGACTGTACTGTACTGTCAGTCAATTGAATATTATGTTATATCCTATCACCATGCTACAATTATTATTAGCAATATTATCTCCGGACCGAGGCCAGGCTCCAGGGTTCTCAACTCTTACACGTACGTGGATAATCCACGCACTTGCGAATTGCCACTGCCTTGATCCGACTAAATCCGACCAATTTCCTGTTTCATGCATTCAGACAGAACAACAATTTTTCTTTTCTGTCTGTCCACACAAATTATTTTTTTGGGTCAGCAGCTTTCGTCTGGTCTGGGTTTCTTTTCTTTGTGCGAACTGAGAAGTGTGGAGTACAGGAAACAGGTAATGGCTGCTACTCCACAATCCACCACAAAAAGCGTACGAGTGAATAATGGTCACATGGGGCCAGCGCCTAGGAACTGAACTGGACTGGACTGGGGGCTGTGGACAAGTCACGAGTATCCATTTGCTGCTTTGGATCGGTGATAAAGTCATACGGTTGTTTTTTTTTTTTTTTTTTTTTCTGGTTGATTTGACTGGAATGAGGGATAATTAATTGAATGAATGAACGAACGAACAATGGGATTTTGTGGATTTATTATCCTGTCTGTTCGTCTACTCAATTCGTTCCAATTGTCATTCTTTGGTCAGTCCAGACTGAGAGTTGGGGGTCACAAGGCGGAGTTTGCGTGTTTGTGCTCTTACTTTACAGCGGAGAAATTATTCCCCCACAGTTCTGTACACTTTGCTGTACACTCCGTAGTGTATGGGACTGTATTAAAGCACGCAAGGGATGGCTCTTTTACGTACCAGTATTTTGAGAGGGACCCTTTGAAATTCTTAATTTCTTTCTGTGAATTGATTGACCGGATTAGGAATCCTCAACCGAAATGTAACGACAAATCTGGGGAACTCTCAAGTCCGGGGAAATTTCTCAAAGCAGACGCCCAGCCTTTACATGCTGACCGGACCAGGGAAATGGGGTTTTTTTCTGCGTTGGATTTTTTTGTAATTTGACAATGAGTTGGCGATGAGTTGACAATGAGGGGATTAGATACCCTGTACGTACGCAGTAATAACGATACAGGCAATAAAAACATGTACGGGTAAACATGCAGCCAAGTACGCCGTACCAAGCAGTCAAAATACACGTGGGTATCTCCCCGAACATCATCACAAGCATACATGGAACGTCACTTGTCGAAGAACGACTCGTCACCCTGTTGTGAGGACTGCTGTATAGCTTCGCACCCACGATTCTCGCGCATCTCACGCAGTCTGCGTCGTTGTCGTTGACCCATCCGATTCTTTCGACGACGACCGCTTGGCTGCTCTGTCTGCGGTGACTCTGTCGGACTTTGAGGGGAGGCTTGCACCTCGACCCTTGTTGTTGCTGTTGCTGTTGCTGCAGACGGCGTCCTTGGAGCTAGGATTGTTGGTTGAATGGATGTCGAAATGTCATATCCATCGTTTTGACCTGACTCGACAATTGGTGGCTCAGGCTGACTCCCCGCGCCGGTAAATTTGGCGACAGGGGCGCCCTCGGCGTGGATATCTACCATGGCTGAGGGCTCGGCTGTCTTCTTGATAGAGACGGATGGCATAGATTCTGACGGGATGGAGGCCTGCGGCTCGCCGAGATCACGATCTGAGGCGCCCTCGACGCGGATATCTACCGTAGTCGAGGGATATATGACATGCTCTCGTCGCCCTAGATTCGTATCTGAAGGATCCCCGGCGTGGATATCTACCATGGGCGGTGTTCTGATTATGCCAAGGACGGCGGGTCTCGATGGAAGGCGTTGCGGACGTGGATGTCTAGCTGACTTCGGGATGGATCGCCTTTTACGCTCTGAAGGCCTCTCGACGTGGAGATTCGGTACCACGGTCAAGCTATGATCAGAAACACGTATGACTGTCGAGCGGCCACCGCTGTCTGATTGTCGAGTCAGAAAATGAACATTTCTTGGCACTGCAGGACCCTTGTCGTCGTTCCCGTTTCCAGAATCGGAATCCGACCTCTTCCTTTTCGAAGATTCATCGATTGGCAATTGTGGCACCACAATCGAGCGCTCAGCGGAAGAAGCGCGCGGAATAGCGCCGTACGTTGATTCGAATTCCGATTTTGGCATCGTCCACCGCTTGAACGAGAATAGGGTTGGCGCTGCCGCAGATGGAGAGTCCTCCAATACGTAGAGATGCTCTAGGATTTGGATCTGTGCCTCGCTGCTACTGCTGCTTCTTATCTCAGATTGCTTCGATGTCGATTCGAGACCACCCAGAACCCCCTTCAGATACAAATCCTCCGTCTTGTCGAGCACGATCTTGGCCTTGCTGAGATCCTCCAAGGAATTCAATGCCCTCGCCTTCGCCTCATCCGCTCGTCGATTGAGTTTTGCCAATTTCCTTTCCCACAAAAGATAAATCACTAAATGGTACGCCGCAAGCACCGAAAGCACCAGCCCAAGAAACAAGGGTAAACCATCATTGGAATTAGTCAGTTCCTCCGTATCAAATGCCTCACCCGCATCATTATAAACCGCGCTTCCACTTTCATGATCTGGAAATGGAGGAGGAAAACGAGGAGGATGGACCTTGAACGGAGTCAATAGACTAAGTGAATTCTCAAGCTGGTTTATGGTCGCTAGTGACGAGTCACTTGGAATTACGATGAATTCCTTTGTCCCGTTCCAGATGTTGCTGTTGCTGCTGCTCGGCGTAGGAAGATATACGACCAGAGGAAGCGAGGAAAAGGAACGACTGAGGACGCGTCCAGCATCTTTTGTCGAAAGTTGAAGCCAGTCGCTGAAATCCTTGAAGTAGTCTTGCGAGATTGCACTAGCAGAGTAGAAGAGTGCGATGGACGGCTCTTGGAGTGCTTCTATCCAGGGGAAAAAGAGACCGGTTAGTGCGATGGCACAGATGCCATAGAGAGGGAAGATCAGCATGTTGACGAATTTGGCTTTCCTAAGGCAGAGAAGCAGATGAATAAAAGGTTTGACTTGATGACGAGCTCGATAGTCAATATTTCGCTTTCGCTGGAAAGATGTGCCTGATGAGGAATGTGGTGGGAGATAGATGGAGACGAAAAAGAAGAAAAGAGCCAGGAGGAAAAGATATAGAGGGGTTGGTATACCCCGAGGACACTCCTTACAAACGGTAGGAAGATTTTATTAATCCATACTACGCCCAGCAAGGTTGCCCAGTGGCTTGTGATTTTGAGGTTGGCGGACTTTCCCAGTGATACTGAGGTAGAGCGGAAGGKAAATGGGGGTCAGTCCAGAGGTGCTGAATGTTTGCGGTTCCCTTTATGTGTGTCAAGTAACAAAGGAGGATATGTTTTGAGTGACGTAGAAAGCAAATGAACGGATGGGTAGGTGTGAAGCTATCCATTGTCTCGACACTTCCGCTTAGGAACGCCGACGACTATCTTCATTCAGACGCCATATTGTTTGTAGCCACCAATGCAGAGATCCTCCTCGGTGGCCTCTAGATGCAAATTCGACGATGTCTTATACCCTATGACAAACGTCGACTACTCAAAAAATCATTGACTTGAGAAATAACATTTTGAAACGGACGTCAAGCCCATCGTCAGTCTATGTTCAAGGAAACAAAATAAATTGAAAGCTTTTAACCATCAAGTAAAACACAAAAGAAACCCATAACGCCATGCCGTCGTCAAATAAGAGACAGTAACAGAGAATGACCGTTCATACACTCTATTCCGTCGTATATCAGTCCACGTCCATCTCCTCCTCCACGCCTCCATCCACCAACACTCTGGCCTTCTTCTTCTGTCTTGGTCTCTCCTCTCCAAACACCGTACCAACAGCCTTCTCTTTCTCCGCTGATGTAGCACCCAACGGCACGTTCTGTTCCTGCATTTCCCGCAATTCCTTGCGGATAAGGTGCTCTCCCTGTGCAACCACTCTGCGATCTTCCTCGCGTTGACGTTCGCGCGCCAATTTGCCAGCCAATCTCTTCTTTGTGAATACGCGCTCGCGGCGTTGGCGGATCTCTTCGACTCTTTCCATCGCCTTGATGGTGGCGGCGACCAGGTTGCGGTCGTATTTGACGGGAACGTTGCGCTTTTGAGCGAATTGAGACAGAAGGAGCGAGGAGTCGACGATCATTTCCTTGCCGCGGAGGGCACGGTGAGTCTTGGTCCATTTCACCTTTCTGGGCTGGCGTTTCATTTTGAAGTTCTACCTAGCCGTTAGACAGAACGTTTCAGCTAGAATGTAGAAGAGACTAACCTTCTCGCACTTGCTTCGACAGAAGCGGAAAGCCCGGGCGTCATTTCGGACAAATGTGATTCCTTTGGAAGGATATACGCTGTGCTGCGATTAGTGAAAAATTGCGAACGTGGATATATTGTGGTGTCGACGTACGGACGAGAACAAAAACTGCACACTTCCACCCTGTATTATTTGTAAGTAAGTATTTCTCATTTCGTAACTCAGCGGATTGACATACCTCATCTTGAATGATTTCTCTTGGTATGAGTTCTTAAAACGACTGTAATCGTTAATGTTTGGAGTCGTCGAGGAAGCAAATTCGACTTTAGAAAATTATGTGGGGCGGCATACGCTAAGCTGTATTAGGTATGGTGGGAGTATATCGCCGCTAGTGCCAAGACCGACTTGATCAATTTTACATCTCCCTGGCGATTCTCTCCGATATCGAGGTTTCGAGCATCAACATCTTCATCAGTTGTCGCGGGGTTTCATTCAGAGAATTAAAGAAAATGGCGTCTGCTTTTCTTGTTGGTCTTGGATTGGCCACTTCCGCTTTTCTGGTGAGTGAGCGCAACTTCGCTGCTATCGGTTGCGTCAAGTACTGACATGCAATCAGGGCCGTGCCGGATATGTCGCGCTACAACGTTATCGAGGAGGTGTGAATAAGGTTGGCCGCGCTTTTTACAAGGGGTATGTTACAGAAATAAACTGCCGTGGTTGAACCGGAGACTGACTCTTATGTTGCAGTGGCTTCGAACCCAAAATGACTCGTCGCGAGGCTTCGTTGATCCTGGAACTATCGTATGGCCTTCACTTCAAGTCATTCCAAGTACATAGACTAACGGGATATTTTATAGAGAGCGAACATTGACCAAGGACAAGGTGCGCAAGAATCATCGACAGCTCATGCTCCTCAACCACCCCGATCGAGGCGGAAGCCCTTATCTAGCCACGAAGATCAACGAGGCGAAGGAACTGCTCGACAAGACTCTCTGAGAGAACGGATTTGCGACATTTGGATCTATGCGCAATATACTCGGCCGGCAGATACAACACGGCTCAACGAAAGCCTCGTCGTTTGGCATTGTCTTTCGTAATATATACTTGATTGTACATTGGATTGCATAGCATGGCGTTTTTTCTTTGTTTGATGATATATCAGATGTATGATATTTGGTGACAGTCTCGCCGCTCTTCTACTCAAGTACTATGTATATTGTTCAAGTGGTCTGTAATTGTCGATCTATCACGATATCGTTCGAGCTTCACAGACGCACGATGACATGGCCGTTCGAATCTGGCCATATATATTTCTTACCGAGACAGTAGTTACACGTGATAGGCACTCATAGTGGCTCATATGGCACCCTCGTATTCACGGACTGTTCAGAGTAAAGGATCGGCCAAAAAGGAACTTTTCAAGCCCGGGTCGTCCGTAGAACCCGAGACCTTATCGATTACCGCGCCAAGATGCAATGACTAATATGGATCGCCCAATCAGTGGGCTGCGCGTACGACATCGTGATTTCGGCGGACGAAAACACCGCGAATTCCGCCTGCGCCACAGTTTTAACCTTCTTTTCTGGTCGCTTTCTCCATGAAGAAAGCGAGAGAATTAGGCATCGCTGAGCTGAGCTGAGCAAACCTAGGCTTCCGAATTTTCTCTGTGCAACTAGCAGTACTACGTACCATTCCCTTCATGGCCTGTCGATCCACACCAAGCGTTCTTTGGGCATTGGTCATCCTGCTGCTCCCCCGCTAAAGCCTTAGTCACTCACAATTGCAACCGCCTCGAACTTCAGATAGGGACCTCCCTGTAACCACCTCTTCTGATCGAACTGACAGTGCTGCTCTCCTACCTCCCATTCGTCCACGTCTGCTGATGTGAGCACCTCCCGTTACATGTCTCGCAGAGAGGTCGAGTTTCGTTCCGAAAGTGGCGTTGAAATTTTGAACTTCCTGTGATACTCGACGTCATCTGACAGGTCGACCTACGTACCGAAATAACACCCCCTTATTTTGATATTCGCGCAACATGGAGAGCTTCGCAGACGATTCACAAGATGGGCTAGGATACGAGATGCCGCCGCAGATATATCCCAACTATGGGATGGCGGGCGGGAGTCCGTTCAATGCCAGCCACGCAGGTCAAGCGATTCAGGATGACGAGAGAGACGGGGACCCAAAAAGGAGGAGGATAGCAAGGGTGCGTTTATCGATGATGTCCAGGTTCTAGGGCATCAGACTGATGACGAGGTTTATACAGGCTTGCGATATGTGTCGCAAGAAAAAGATCAAATGCGATGGCAAGATGCCCAAATGCTCCCATTGCATCAATTACAAGACGGAATGCATATTCACACAGGTTGAAAAGAAGAGGAATCCTCCCAAAGGGTATGTCTACCTTGCAACAATATTTTCAAAATCGCATGGCGACTGACGAGTGCAGCGCCAAATATATCGAAGGATTAGAAAATCGAATGAGGAGATTAGAGGGGCTGTTGAAGATGGCAGGTATAGCGGACAGCGAGACTGATATCCCTTCAATTGAGCGCCGCCTGCAACAGGCCCAACACAATGATCTCAATGGGTTTTCTGGTGCTACTGCCGCCGCTCGCTCATCGATTGAAAATGCCGGCAAATCACGCACAGGCTCATTACAATCTACTCCGCCACAAGACTCAAATTCAAGTCCTAGGGTGGCCGACTCACCTGTTTCACAAGAGGACAAGGAGCACGACGTCGAGGCATTGTCGGATATGATGTGTTCCCTTGTTACCAACAATTGCGGAGAAACCAGGTATATCGGTAAGTTTTGCATATCTTACGATGTTCTTTTTCACATTGTACCAACACTGATAATTGGCAGGCTCCTCCTCCGGCTTTTCAATATTCTCACCCCGCGGCATTCAATGGGTTAATGAAAAGACGGGTGACACATCATTCCACGATATGATACAGGCCGCCTATGTTGACGACAATAAATGGCTATATTGGAAACCGGAGATATTTAGTGATATCTTTGCCCGACGAGTTTTCAAGCCATTGCCTCCAAAGGAAGAGGCCATGTCGTTATTCCGAGACTTTTTCGATAACTTCAATGCTCTCCTTCCTCTGTTTCACGAACCCACTTTCATGCATCTTGTTGAACGACAATATTCACGAGATCCTTACGAAGGTTCAGGGTGGTGGGCTAGTATCAATATTGTACTAGCTATCTCACACAGACTTCGTGTGATGAGTCACCTTGTTCCTCAAGAAGAGGATAAGAAGGCCTGGCTTTACCTTAAAAACGCAATGGGTGTCTTGACAGAGCTTACAATGCGTAATACGGATCTCCTAAGTGTCCAAGCTCTCCTGGGAATGGTGCGTTTCTACATTCAGCATATGTATTCCTTGCTAACCACTCTGTAGTCTCTGTTCTTGCAAGGCACTCCCAATCCACAGCCATCATTTTTCCTGGTGGCAGCTGCCATCAGACTCTCACACAGTATTGGGTTGCACAAACGAGGCTCACTATTCAACCTGAACCCAGTAGAAGTGGAGCAGCGTAAAAGAGTCTTTTGGATCGCTTACTTATTGGACAAAGAGTGCGTATAACCACGCAGCCACCGTTAAACACGTTCTAATGTATGTCATATAGTATCTGCCTCCGATCTGGGAGACCTCCGGTACAAGACGATGACGACATGAACGTTGAGCTTCCCAGTGAAATACCTCCTGATAACGTTGGCCTCATTCCCCTGGTGACTGGCGAAGGCCAATTCAACATCTTCAGGGTAATGTGTCGATTCGCCATCATCCAAAGCAGAGTGTACAAAAGACTATACTCAACCAAGGCCGCTAAACAGTCTGACGGCGAGATTCTGAATACAATTGGCGAACTTGACAAGGAACTAGAAGAGTGGAAGGATAGTATACCGCTCGACTATCGCCCTGAAAATGAGATCAAGACAACACACACACCCCTGATACTGCATGTGATGATCTTACACTTTGCATACTACAACTGCCTGACTACGATACATAGAATGGCAGTGCACCACGGCTACTGGACTAGCCGCTTGTCCAACTATGCTATACAAGGATTGAATGCAAGGCCATTAAATCCCAGAGTCTTCTCTTCTGCCAATATCTGCGTTTCCGCTGCAAGAGCATCAATCAATTTGATAAAATATATTCCCCAAGGCGATTTCGCCTGCGTATGGTAAGCGACATCACACTACTGTCTTATACACTTGTACTGACTTTACCAAGGCTCGTCCTATATTACCCAGTCTCTGCTCTTGTTACGCTGTTTGCGAATATCTTGCAAAACCCACAGGATGCCCGTGCTCGTTCAGATATCAAATCAATGAATGTTGTGGTCAACTTTCTTTCAATGTTGGGCTCAGACGAATCTAATGGCAGCGTCAGACGGATGCTGAGTGTCTGCGCGGAATTCGAGAGAATTACCAGAGTGGTGGTCGACAGGGCCGAGAAAGAAGCGCTCTCAAGACGAAAACGCAAAGTTGCCACGGAGGATATGAACGTGAACAACACCCAGAGAGCCGACACGTCGAATAGATCAGGCCCTACAGCTAGCTCAGAAAATTTCATGGATGCCACTGCATTCTCACCTGGAGAACAGCAACAACAACAAGGCACTCCATCAGGCACGCTACCTACGACCCAACCCTCAATAGGGGTCGAATCGCGCAACCCTAGCGATATGATGTCTAGCACCTTTGGCGATCTGAATGCGAACATGCCAGTATTCAACCCCGAAGTTTCCTTTGCAGATCAGCCGAATTTGCACTCTAGCGCCACAGCAACCACCACTTCACCTTCTGATAACCAGTTCTATCCTTTCCAGCCATCATTCGTACCTCAAGATCTGTGGCAGATGCCAATGACGCTAGAATGGGATTGGGCAGACTTCTCTACGATGAATTTACCAAATATGGATCAACCGGATATGTTCCAAGCTACTATGCATAATGGGATGTAATCAATATCTTTTCCCGACATGTGAAACGGTTCTGCTCGCTAGATGAGAAGGAAGGAGTTTGGCGTTTGGAAAGAAGATGATATCAACTGTTTTCTGCGGATGTTTTATACTCGTCTAGCGGTAGACTTTATTCTTGTATTATTGTTGCTTTGTACATTATTTCAAATCTCCTATGGATACTTTGGTGGTATCTCCCCTCTTGAGGCCCCTATCTGATGGATTCCTGTCCTACAATGCCCTCAACCTATAATTTTCGAATACATGGCTTTCCACTCTAGGGCGATTTACATGCCTAGGTATATATTGAATAATCAAGCAGTACATGTATGATTCTAAACAAGATATATACTGCTTGGCTTATAGAGATCTCGGCCCGCGTTTGGCCGGAAAGATGACTAAGCGGCCGAAATAGGCCTGGAAAAAAGCATTATTAAGGCTAGCCGATTTGTGGCTGTCACCATACCTGGGGAGATCCACGACGACCTCATCACATTCTACCCGACACTCTATCACGAAAGAAGCTTTGCAAGGAGACCAATCATCCGGTGGTCCATCCTGAAGCTTTGCTTCAACATCATTCGCTCGACAAGATCTGACATATCGCCTCCGATAGCTTCTCCCCTCATCTGATTGCTAGAAGGCGAACGATCCTGCGTCGGCCATTTCAGGCTCCGCGATATTCCATCAAGATGGCCACTCTTTTACGACGGCCTGCAAATATCGCACGGTATTCCCGGAGTGCCGCAGAACTCTTCACGACCTCGAGATCGACATATTCGCACCACACAAGACCGCAATTATGGTCATTAATAAGCGCTCGTCAGGCACGATCGTACGCCTCCATCAACCCCGGGGACCCGAAACGGCCAGATGATGACAAGGATAAGAACAAGAAGAAGATTCAGAAGAGTAAGGATGAGGAGTTGGCGGAGTTCTTCGAGTCACTTAAGAAGAATGGACCTCAGGCCAAGAAGACGTTCAACAGCGCAGCCGATGAGCAGGAATTCCTTCAACAATCCGTCCAGTTTATCAACAAGTTGATTTCGGAGAGCGGGCTGCCACAGCGAGAGGCGGAGCTTCTTCGTCTTGTCCAGACTTTGTTGAAAGAAGCCAAGTATATGCCACCTGAGATGGAGGAGTTTTTCAGAAAACATGTGGATCAGAAGCAACCCATGACGCTGGAAGATTGGGACAAGTTCTCCAAGTTTTGGCTACAGCATATCGGCGAGGAGAATGTACGCGCTGCCGAATTCGCGAAGCTCTCGCCCGACGAAATCAAAGCTTTGTTCAAGAAACTGTCCGAAGAGAAACCCGAGGGAGCATTTACATGGGGTGCACAGCAGCAGAAAAAGACCAATGGCCAGCAGGGCCAGAAGCCGAAAGATGACAAAGACCAAAAGGGCGGGCCTAAAGTATACGAGTTCAAATTCGACCCCAGCAGCTTTCTTGTGACTTCCATTATTTCCTATATGCTATACACCACTCTCTTTCCCGGCGAGGCTAGCAGAGATATCACATGGCAGGAATTCCGATCGAATTTCTTTGACAAGGGTCTGGTCGAGAAATTGACTGTCATGAATCGCTCTCGAGTGCGAGTTGACCTGAACCGAGAAGCTGTCTCAGGCGACTCGCCGGATTCGCAGAATTCACAGCGCCACGTCCACTACTACTTCAATATCGGCTCSGTTGATTCCTTTGAGCGCAAGTTGGAGGAAGCTCACAACGAATTGGGCATTCCTAGCTCACAGCGTGTGCCAGTGGCCTATGTTGATGAGGTTCCATGGCTCGCCACTGCTTTGTCCTTTGGACCTACTCTATTGTTGATCGGATTTGTCTTTTACTTTTCGAGGAGAGCAGGTGGTGGCGCCGGTGGTCAGAGCAGCATTTTTGGAATTGGCAAGAGTCGAGCAAGACGGTTCAACCACGAGACTGACGTCAAGATTAAATTTGCTGATGTCGCGGGTATGGACGAGGCTAAGATGGAGATCATGGAGTTTGTTAGCTTCTTGAAGGAAGCAGAGAAGTTCCAGAGACTTGGTGCAAAAATCCCTCGTGGTGCCATTTTGTCTGGACCGCCAGGTACTGGTAAGACATTGCTCGCCAAGGCCACCGCTGGTGAATCTGGTGTACCTTTCTTCAGTGTCAGTGGATCTGAGTTCGTTGAGATGTTTGTCGGCGTTGGTCCCTCTCGAGTGCGCGACTTATTCGCCAATGCTCGAAAGAATACACCGTGCATTATCTTCATCGATGAAATCGATGCCATCGGTAAATCACGATCCAAGCAGAACTTTGGCGGTGGCAACGACGAGCGTGAGAGCACACTAAATCAAATCCTGACCGAGATGGACGGTTTCAACACTTCTGAGCAAGTCGTCGTTTTAGCTGGTACCAACAGGCCTGATGTCCTCGATAAGGCTCTGATGCGTCCGGGCCGCTTCGACAGACATATCGCTATCGACCGACCAACAATGAAGGGAAGAGAGCAGATTTTCCGAGTCCATTTGAAGAAGATTCTTACAAAGGAGGATATGGACTATCTTTGCGGACGTCTTGCTGCTTTGACACCGGGATTCGCCGGTGCTGATATTGCCAACTGTGTCAATGAGGCTGCTTTGGTTGGTACGTGTTCCTTGACTTTGATTTCAGTTTTGTCTACTTCGCAAGCTAACTTGTTACAGCTGCTCGTGAACAAGCCGAGAGTGTCAAGATGAAGCATTTTGAACAAGCCATTGAGCGTGTGATTGGAGGTTTAGAGAAAAAGTCTCTCGTCCTCTCTCCCGACGAGAAGCGCACAGTAGCCTACCATGAAGCCGGCCACGCGATCTGCGGCTGGTACCTGAAATGGGCCGACCCTCTACTCAAGGTCTCCATCATTCCCCGTGGACAAGGCGCGTTGGGATACGCGCAATATCTCCCATCCAGTGAAAACTACTTGATGTCCGTCAATCAACTCATGGACCGCATGGCCATGACCCTCGGCGGTCGTGTCAGCGAAGAACTCCACTTTGACACCGTCACCAGCGGTGCATCTGACGACTTCAATAAAGTAACCCGCATGGCCAGCGCTATGGTCACCAAATTCGGCATGTCTAAGGCCATTGGCCCCTTGCATTTCGAGGAAGATCAACAACAGCTTCACAAACCCTTCTCCGAGGAAACAGCACGAAACATCGACCTCGAGATCCGCCGTATAGTCGACGAGGCTTACAAACGCTGCACAGATCTGTTGACGGAGAAGAAGAAGGAAGTCGGTCTTGTGGCGGAGGAACTGTTGTCCAAGGAAGTCCTATCTCGCGACGATATGGTTCGTCTGCTCGGTCCGCGACCGTTCCCGGATACCGGCGAATTCACGAAGTATTTCGGTGGAGGTACAATCGCACCACCTGAGCCTCCTGTATCCGATGAGGGTATCACAGGCAAAGATGGCCGTGATGAGACCCCTCTCCCTACCTAGGAAGCTCTTATTTCTCTGAATGTAAATCCTCTCATGTCTCTTTTCTTCCCCTTCTCATGTACAATAAGATCTTGACCCTTCCCTTCACTTTGTGTGTGCCTCCATTCCCCTTCCTCAAGACTCTTACAAATCGATTCACATGGTTCACATGGCGCGGTGTTAATTTCTCAGAAAAATCAAAAAACTGTCCAAGGTTTTTTCGTTTCTCTTGTTATTGTTGATCTCCCCTCTAACACCCATCCATGTCCGTTATCAAACTTCCATCTCTACTTTTGTTTCTGATTTACCGGAACTATAACCTTCTGCATACGATTTGTTATACTCTATGCACTGGAATTGATGCTGAGTACGGTGTTCTCATCTGTTGTATGTACATTGTATGATAGTCAACATAGAGCAAAAAATCCTCAAAGGATGTGACCATTACTTTGATAATTTCGAGATCTGCTCGTCCAGAGGGCGTCGTCCATCTTGTGTGACTACTCAGGATGAAACGAACTATGTATGCATGTTAGTTGTATAACTAGTAACTAGTCAATATCATTACCAATACAGTAAATGAATAATGATGTCATTATCCAGGCCGCGTAGTACTTCGGATGCCCTAACTCCGTCCTCTCCATTACTCGACAGGAAAATAAATTGCACTATTACGAGTACTACGTACAAGCTTTGTTCGGCATAGCCTACAGGATCGGCTCAGGAACTGATTCAGCGCTTTCGAGCAATCACAAACCAGCACAATGCCTTCTCGAGATCTCATTTGTCTGGCCCTCTTCCGGGCCTTGCCAGGGGTTCCCACTTAACAACACGTAAAGTACCCACCAAACGACTCCATCGTGCGAATTAGTTGTATACGATGCGCGAATCAAGGAGAGATGTTCATCTCTGTCTTTTCGATTGACATCAATTCGTGGTCATTAAAATAGATTATGGCCGCTCGGAGTGATGGTGATGTTTTACTGCCGCTTCCCTGAGCCGCGAGCCATCCGGTGTATCATCTTGTTTACATCCATGGTCAATTGAGATGGGTCTTTAGGACTTCTCTCGCTTTTTGGACTTACGTCACGCTGTCTTATCTTCTATTATACCAGATGAGTTCTTTTTGATTTGCTTTCTAGCTCGCCTTAATCTCTTACCTTCTAAAACTAGTTGTCAACATTGATTGCATCACAGTAGAAGTCAGAACATAGCCATGGATGACTCACAAACTTCACATCCGCAATCAGAGGTAAGTATATCCTGAGCTTTTGTGGTACGGGGGAGAGGATCATAACTAAGCGAATATACAGCCCTCGGTGCCTGCTCCAACTACAATTGAGACCGAAAATGTACGATCTCCCATGTCGCCCACTCGTGGCAGGCGGAGAGCAACAACAGCTGTATCACCCACAGGAGGAACATCGGCTATGAGAGAGTTATTTTCAGACAGGGCAAGCCTGCGTCAGCGAAAGTCGACAGCTACTCGGCGTACCGGCGATCCTATACCCAGTCTCACCCGTCGGACAACTCTCGCTGAAAGAACGCAGGGAAACTTTACGATGGCCGGACCAGACGAGACATCCCAGTTGCACCTGACGCATCAACCGTTCGTTCAGCCTGGTTATGCTGAACTCAATCCTTCTTATGAACAGCCTGCCAATACAAAACCGGTTTGGAGTCTGGCAAAGCCTCTTCCGCGTGTGGTCCGACCTGGCATGGTGCCTACGACAGAAGAATTACTGCAGAATCGTGCGAGTCCACAGCTCCCGGCAGAAAATTCGCAAAGAATTGGACTAGATGTTGATCCCAATGATCTCGAAAAGGGTCAAATACCCAAAACGGCCGACCCGCGCAAGATGGCCGCGCAGGTCACAGACGCCCGCGCACAGCGAGAGACCAACTTCATAAACACCGTTTTGAACGGCGATACAACCTCTGTAGGTGGATCACGTATATCACGTCAATCATCTCGTGCAAGGCGTCCTTCGCGATGGGAAGGCCCCGTTGAAGAGCTGCCCATAGTCGAGGAGCGCGAGTCTCAAAAATATTCATCAGAAAGCCGTACGGAGAATGTAAGTGTTGATTCTCTGCATTCCTTGCCACCTCCTTTACCGGAAGAGTCCGGACTGGAACCTCATCTAGATGATGATGTCAAACCAGGCGATGAGACTGCCGGGATCAACAACATCCCAGCCCTCGAAGAAGCAGCGTACCCAGAGGACCTCCACCCATTATTGCAGAACCTGGTGGAAGAAGAAATCCACAACAACCACACGGTCTGGTCAGTGATCCGCACCCACCACCGCGAAGCACTAGCGGAATCCTTGGGGGTGTTTGTGCAGCTTACCCTCGGGTTCTGCGGTGATCTCGGGGTCACACTGGCTGCAGCTGGTAATCCCAACACGACCGACTGGGTATGGGGTTTCGCCACAATGGCGGCCATTTATGTCTGTGGTGGTATTTCAGGTGCCCATCTTAATCCCAGCATTACGATCATGCTGTGGTTCTACCGTGGATTCCCGAAGCGGAAGATGCCAGAGTACTTTCTGGCGCAGTTCGTGGGCGCGTTTTGTGCTGCGCTCGCTGCTTACGGAGTGTATTACCATTCGATTCGAAATTATATAGACAACGGCACCGGTGTTGAGGTAGATGTCGTGAACAGTTTCGTGACTAGCCAGCGCGAAAGTTTTATCGGACCCGCGACAGCCTTTTTCAACGAGTTTCTGGGCATGGTCATTCTATCCGTCATCATCCTCGCGCTGGGTGACGATCAAAACGCACCACCAGGCGGAGGCATGAATTCCCTCATCATTGGCCTAGTAATTACCTGTCTAAGCATGTGCTTCGCTTACCAAACGGGCGCAGCATTCAACCCAAGCCGCGACTTTGGTCCTCGACTAGCACTTCTCGCTTTAGGGTATGGCAAGCAACTCTTCACGAATCCCTACTGGTTTTACGGACCGTTTGCAGCGTCCTTGACGGGAAGTTTTATTGGAGGCTTCCTGTATGATTTTATGATCTTTACGGGTGGAGAGTCCCCGGTTAATTATCCGCTGGATCGGACGAAGAGGTCTTTGAAGAAGAGTCGAGCTAAGTGGTCGCGTAGGCTTCATCTAACGCCTAGAGAAGTGAAGGATAAGATGGTTCAGTAGGCGCTATACGAAGTACCAGACGGATGAGACCCAGGTCTTCTAAGTTTTATGGAAGCACAAGCTGTCAAGCCTCGCTCACCTTGCTGCAAAAGACTGTGTATGTAACTGGCGGCCCCTACAGCTGTTTATGTCAAATCTGCAAAAGGACCTTAATCGGTCATAAGAAGGATAGCAGGTTAGCTATCCCGAGTCTATTTCTCATCCCGCAGCATTTCTATAGTCTTTTAGGAAGTCCCTTCTGATATCATTTCGCCAGCCTCTTTTTTCAAATTTGGAGATATCGACCAGTGCTGTAGCACCGAATCAAGCCTTGTTATATACCGCGGTCATTGTCGACACGAGGTTCGACCTTGTTGGCCTTGTTTATCGTCAAGCATTGTCTTTCGAACTCTAAAGTCTCTATCTCTTCACATCCTTAACTCGCTGTTTGTCCAAAAGTCCACGGAGTGTGTCGAGATGTAGTTGGGGCGGTTCTGTCGAAGGATGTGGCTGGKCAGGTAGAATACTATCCCACGTAAGTTGTATAGTGTCAGAGTTGCAATTGTCAATAGGGTAGATGTGTCGAGGTGTAATCCCGGTATAAGTAAATTAGCCCTAAGTGCTGACCAGTTCCAAACCTTGGAGGTTGGACGATGCTTTAGAGCTTTATGTGCCATGTTAATAGCGCATGTATAGATCACCATGGATCTCTCTCACTATTTTTACATAAGAATGGAATCGTTTCTTGTCATGTGGGATAACATCGAAGCATATTTAAGTGCCTGAGGCAGCAACTCAATCCTCCAAGCATAGCTTGGACTTGCAGCCTGGGGCAGCCGCCGAGGGGCTAAAGCGGCGTCCCGGTGATGCTACCGCATGTTTCACGCGTTGCAAATACAACAGAATCACATCTGACCAAATACAAATCCATAATCATGGCTCAATCATACTCTCCTAAACCATCAGCCCGCTGGAGTAGCTCCTCTTTCCAACTACCCGTCGACTCCGAAACTCCACCTCCTCCTCCCCCGAAGCCGGATAGCCACGAAGCAAGCCGACGCGGGACTCCGTTGGCTGGAAGTCTACCGACTCCGCCCAGTCAGTCTCAGGGATTTCAGAGCCCGAGGAATTTTGCAAATGATCACACTCCTCCGGCAAAGCCTGCTGCTCAGGGATTTGGGGCAGAACAACACCAAGCGTTCGCCGAACCGCCGCGTTTGGAGGATGAATGGTTGCCGGATATAGTTAAGAATAAAACGTTTGTTCTCTGAAACTATAGCTCTGAAACTTTGCTAACAAAGTATTTTCATTGATAACAGAACGCCAGAACTACAATCAATTCTCTCAAACCCCTCCCTCCTCTCCGCTCTATCCACCTTACATCCATCCTATCCAGCATCGCAACAAGTCCTCCAATCGCATCTCGACTCCAACAAAGCCCTAGCCCAACACGTCCTCGACCTAGAATCGCGAGTCGCCAATCTCCGCTCAACCACCGAATCCCTCTTACTCAACCATCAATCCCTCGAAGTGTCATGGCGCAAGAAACAGACCGAAATGGATGCGGCGCTGGAACCTTGGTCCCCGAAAGCGTTGTATCAAAGACTCGCTGCGGCAGTTGCAGAGCAGGAAGCTATATGTCATGCGGTTGAGGAGAGTTTTCTGGAAGGTGATCATCATATGGGCCGTGCTACAGATAAAGAGGTTGCGGATTGGGTGAGGCGGATTAGGACGGAGGGTGCGAAGCTGGAGTCTAGGAAGGAAGCTAGAGCGAGGTGGGATGAGGGTAGAGTGGGTGGATGGCGTTGATGCTGTGTCATCGTGAAGTTACAATCTTAACTCGATTGTTGCCCTTACACACTCAACGGTTTGTCTCGTTATCGAGAAATCTTCAAGAGACCAAGTCACCGCTCCATGAGACACCGCAGACCGACATCAAACTCTGGAGCAATGCCTAGTTCTTGCTAATGCAGGACAGAAAGAAACAGTGCCATATTTGCACTCCAACAACTCGGTCGTTGTCAGGCTTCGCGCCGCATGTCTAAATAGCATACAATGACGAGGTACGACCACCGTTGGCTAAATATGACAACAATATGCTGCGACATGGTGCCAAAGCTTATCCCACTTGGCTAATCTTCCATGTCTATTATCCAAGACGGTCAAAGAAGTGGTCTGCATACATACAGGATCCCAAGTTATAGTAAATCAGTATTGAACATCAACCCATTTCGTTTCATTACTATCTATCTTAAAACATCGTTTTCGAGACTTGCATAACAGGCTTGCAAATCAAATGGAACCTTTACCCTCTAGATCCTCGAAGAACTCCATGCCAAAGTCAGCACTGCTATCATTGAAGCGCAATTTCTTATTAATGCTCTGGATCTTCTTCATATCCTCATCACTGAGCTTAAAGTCGCCCTGCAAATTATCCTGAATACGCTTTGGTGTCTTGGATTTTGGTAAGACGGAATGGCCGAGAGTAATACCCCAAGCTGCAACAGTTAGCCATCACATACCTGAATTTACGAAGAACATGTACACACCTAAAGCAACCTGAGCACCGCTCTTGCCATACTTCTTCCCAATTTCAACAAGCTCGGGAGTCTCGATCAATTTACCCAAATGCTTGGCCCCGTAAATTTCATTCTGGTTGCCAAAGGGCGAATAATGAGTGATATGAATACCCTTTTCGCGATGCCAGTTTGCAAAGTCTGTCTGCTGCAGCCATGGATGACACTCGATTTGGTGCACAGCGGGGACCACGGAGGTGTTTTTGAGCAGATGCTCCATTTGAGCCTTGGAGAAGTTGGACACGCCGATTGCTTTGACTTTGCCGGTTTCAAGGAGTTTCTCCATCGCTTTGTATGTCTGGTCATTACGTAGTCAGTGACTTGTCGTGAAATATGGGACGGCAATAACGTACGTCCACGAAATCGATGTTTACCACAGCCGGCTTGCCATTCTCCTTTGGAAACAGATCTTTGCCAGACTTCCAAGCCACAGGCCAATGTATTAAAAACAGATCAACATAGTCCATTTTCAAATCGTTGAGTGAATCCTCAAGAGCTTTCGGAACATCCTTTGGGTCGTGCTGATGGTTCCAGAGCTTGGTGGTGACGAACAGTTCGTGTCTGGGGATGCCGCTCTCGCGAATGGCTCGTCCAACGGCTTCTTCGGTGCCGTATCTGTAGCAATACCGAGTTAGCACGTGCCATCTGTAAGAGTAAGAGATTCCTGGATTTCCGTGCATACACTCTTGCAGTATCGATGTGTCGATAGCCGGCCTTGATGGCTTCCTTGACGGCATCTACCTGCGCCTCTGCGTCTTGCCAGGTACCGAATCCGAGAGCTGGGATCTCGGCTCCGGTGTTGAGCTTTTGTCTTGTGCCAGGCATGGTTATTATGATAATATATTCCTTAGTTCCGAGTAAGAGTGGTGCTTTTGACGACGTATTCTGCTACGGAAAAAAAACTTAAAGTGATTGCTCGGGTCTCGAGAGTTTATATACACACGAAATAGCTGCTGGTTATTTACGTCAACCTGACGCAGCGAGAAGTGTTTAAGCCTCTCATGAGATGACGTCGAAGTGAATACATTCCATATCCCACATAGTCTAGACCTGAGCCTCCCATCGAGTGGCTCAAGAAGTGTGGTTCAAGAGGTGTGGTGACGTTTGGTGGATATCTTGAAGCTCCAAAGTGACGTCTTCCAGGGCTTAAGGGTCTGGACCACGTGGGTGTTCCCCTATCTTGGCCCTCGTAAATACTCAGCGGAAACGGTCGGATGTTATACGTGCATCTCCAATGACTCTAAGACCGTTAGATCCCAGTGATCGTGTTTTTTTTATAGATTTTCTCGTGGTGGGTGAGGGTTCTTGATGTGGTCGACGCGATTTTTTGATGTGATTGGACAATCGGTGTCCATCAAGTCTCGAACCGCTAGTTCTGAAAACAGCTTAGCACTATCTAAAAATCACGTGATTGTTAATTTGGCGCTAAGGATTTTTTTGTTTTTAGCGGGAAAGCACAGCTTCGTTTTCTTTTCCTTCAATAATCACCTCGCACTTCCTGCGAGTAAATTCTCGACAATGGCTCTCATTAATGCTTGATCAGTCATGTAGCATCTTTGCATGCCTTGAACTATGCCGCTAGCCGGTATTTCTCACTCACTTTCGCTATATAAAAGGTTCGTTGCAGAATTTTCTTCATACACTTTTTCCCCCAGCTGTTTGGTGATGACTACGTGACACGCTAAGGCATTCCTCAAACTTAATGAATACATGTGGAATCTGTCAATTTACAAGTTTCAGCCTTGTCTGATTTTCCTTCCCAATTACATCAATTCTCCGTTTTTTGCTGGTTTTGCATTAAGCTAACTGTCATTCGGATAGGTAAACAACATTTCCTTCTCCCACACATGAGTTTTCTTGCTGCGCATGAGGAAAGTTTGAACGAACGGGCGGACAAAACGCCTCCGTCTGCCCTTCATCATCAAAAGCAGAGCGTACAAACTCTGCTGGTGCTGGGCTGCGGATTGCTTGTTGAGAACTCGTCAGCTGATTTGTCGTCCTCAATACATATGAAATATTTGCATGATTGATGTACCGAAAATTAACATCATTTCTGCAGGTACATTTTATTTCCCTTCATACTCTGCACCGAGTTTTTTATCCCCAAGGATGTCATCCATTAGATGATGAACACGTTATTCACACTGTTTGACCGAGCGCACAACTGCGTTTCGGAATGAACATTTTACACTGAAAATTCTGATTTAATGAGGTATGTCAAACCATTTTCGATCATGGTGAGAACTTTGCTAACATGGGTTAGCCTGATACAGATGACATCCATCATTATACTCTTGTTGATTACTCGATATTATATGAAGTCATATACTGATGCAACTGTTGGCTTTAGATTTTTCCGACATCCTTGATTGGTGCTGTCCTTACTTGGTAAGTTGTAATTGTCTTTTTACTTTTCTCCCTTTACCTGATGAACAACAAATATTTCGCTGTGTTCTTACCGAGTTTCGGCATTGACGAAAAACTATTTTCACCTTGGAGAACTGATCATAACATCTATACTGTCTTTCTTTCACGCGTTGATGATGGTCAGGCGCTAACATGTGCCAATAGGGATCCAGTATATGCTTGGACTCGAGTCTGCATTCACTTTCATAGCTATACTATAGACAAATAAATATTTACTTCCATCTCATTCATAGTAGAGATTATGCTTCTTGTGCCACTCCTCCAAACTCTCATTGCCGTATAGCTTGTGAACCGTCTTCTTCCCCTCCGGCCATCGTACATAAGCCGGCTTAGACGAATCCATAATACAAACCATCTCATCCGGCACCGGCAACTCGGTATCAATCGCGGGCGCAAAAGGATGAATCAATTCAGGCCAGTGATGATCCCACAGCCACAACATAGTACTACAATTTGAGCAGAAATTTCTCTCCGATGAGCATGTCTCCTCATCTGGTTTGCCGCGGTTTTTAATGGCGTTGTATTTCCTTCACCCCATTTCTGTTAGCCTCATATATATGAACCTGAGTGCTGACAAGGTGTACAAACTTGATGAGTTCCTTCCCCTTCTTAATCTTGAGCGTGTCAGCCAATCCACCCAGGTTGACGCTGCCGTTGTAGCCAGCGACTTTGCGACAGATGCTGCATGCGCAGAGTTGGTAGGGGACCGGAGTGTTGGATTGGAGTTCGAATTGTACGCCGCCGCACTGGCAGCTTCCTTCCAGATTCCTGCTGTTCCTTTAGCACATGTCCCGCGGGTATCGGGTGGTCTCTGGGTGTCACTTACATGGGCATATTGACGGTTAAAATTCAATGACTCTTTTAAGGTTTACTGTGATTTAGAGGAGTAGAGATTGTACATGTGTAGCGGGACGAAGTATGATATTTATATTCCGACGTCATCAGTGCATAATGATATCTACAGGGAGTTGAATCACCCGATATGTCTCAAAATCAGCTGGTTGTCTAGATTATCTACTCCACCATCTACATGCTATGCGTCCGTGTACTCAATTAAATGCTCCGATTGGCAATCATTCACTTGGAGATCGAAGTTGAAGCAGAAACGAACCAATTGACGCTCTAGTCGCAGAATGCGGAGACAGCATCGTGTTTGCTTGGTTTGCACTGTTTGTCCCGGTTCGACGCATGATTTTGGCTTCAACATATCGCATATTCTATCTCATCAAAGCATTGCTTGAAACCGATCAATTGAAGCCACGCCGACACGAAATACACAACCATGAGTTTCGGAGCCCCAGGCGGTGCCGCTGCTAACTTCAAACCTACTCCGTACGCACCCTCTCGCAAGAAATGTTGCGTTGATTGAGCTGACAAACAACTTTCAGACCGGAGCGAGGAAGTTTCCCACTTGACCATGACGGTACGCAACTCTTTCCCTAGTCGCTCTTGACTGAAACGAGATCTGATTTAGCTGTGTATAGGCGAATGCAAACACCTGATACAAAACTACTTGAGATGTCTCAAATCGCAAGGAGGTGTGAATAACGAGGATTGCCGGAAGCTTGCCAAGGGCTATTTGGGTTGTCGCATGGATAAGTGAGTGGCCTCTCTTTTCTACTTATGGGTACTTTTGCAAGCTCTATCTCGCAGCTTGCTGACTTCGCGTGTCTCCGTTTGATAGAAATCTCATGGCACCCGACGAATTCAAAAATCTTGGCCTTGAGTTCAAAGATAAATCTACTGGGGACGATCCGACAGCGAAGAAAACGTGATATCACATGAAACATTGAGAGGATGCGACAGCTTACGCACGATATGTACGTATCTCTCTACAGTCGGTCGCAGATGAATAATCCGATCGAATCATGGCATTTTTGGCGTTTTGATTTGATGGCCGCGGTAGCTCATTGTCGGACTCATTTATTGTATATATCTTGGAGGACTAAAAGATCACATGAATTGTATATTAGTGGAACTAGGAATGGAAATCTCCTACAATCAATCTGATTTTGTGCTTGTGATTGTAGTAACTGAGCAAAGCCGGAGCTTAGCGCGGTTAGCTTATCACCGATAAGCAGCTTGAACATCAATTCTCACTCTACATCAACTCAGTTACAGTGCATTATGACTCTCATAATGCCACCTATTTATCATACCCATGTCTTCAATCTCACGCCCTCCTGAACCATGGCTAGTCGCCATCATCCTAATCGTCAGATCGCGGGGAGGACCACGATACGTCTTCCACACCCCCGCCAACCCCGACCTTGAGAAGCTCCTCGGTCCCAACTTTCGTCGCGGAAGAGGCGCCAACGATTTCGGATCCGATGAAGAAAGCCAATCCAGCTCCGATGAAGAAGACGAAGAACCCATTGGTCCCGGAGGTGGAGGAAGTGGCGGAGGCGGCACTGCTGGTGGTAGCTCTGCAGGCGGAGGAGCAGGTCGAACGAGCGCCGCGAATGTCGACGATGGTACCTCTACGACTGCCTCATCCGCGGGTGGTGAATCGCAGCGTCCGCCGTCACTCAACTCGGGCAAAGTGAGGAAGAAAGCGGATTTGGAGGATAGTACTGATTTGACGGCTCTTGGCAGAGGGTCGATGTCTACAAGTTATAGTGCGGTGTTTGATTCCGTGTTTGGAGTACCGTCGGAAGTATGGGAGAAGCTGCTTAGTCCGACTCGTGCGTGGCACAAGAGGCGGTTTGAGATTGGGATTAATGATCTTGCATTTGTGGGATGGCCTGTTTTTGTGCGCGACGATGGTCATTGGCGGAAGAAGAGTAGGAGGAGGAAACGCCAGAAGCCGAAGAACAGTCAAGAGACGAAAAATGGCCAGGAGTGCGACGATGCGAATCCGACATCTGATAATGACATTCCTGACGGCACTCAGTCCTCTAGAGACGAGGATAATGCAGACAAGACCGACGTTGAAGATAACGCCGATAGTCAGACTGGCAGCCCGGAAAGTGATAAAGATACCATGTCCATGTTCAACGTGGTCTTTGTTATGGCTCCTCCAGTTCTTGAGTATTCGATGCATCTGAAAGAGATGTATGAACATGTCATCAAGAAGTTCAGCAAAGCTTTAAAGTACGAACAGGATCATTCGGATTACGTGTGGAAGGAAGCGCAGCATATTCTGCAAATCAAGGAACGGGCACGCGAGCGAGGTAAGTCTCTCATATTGGAGTCTAAATGATTGTAGAAAGAAAGAAGACTGACTAGAATAGATGTCTCTGGAGAGAACCTGCACGACGAACTCGTGTCAAAGTCGTCTCTAGCCGCAGCTATACATTCGGTATTTGACAAAATATCCAAGTCAGATATTGCGTTCGTCTCTCTCAAATCACGTTCCGCCGACTTCCAGATACCGCCGACGACATCAATTGCAGAATTACCTTCAAGCAGCGACACGTCACTAGCTGGTATGTGGCTCACCACAGCAAATACAGTCAATGCAGACCACGGCGCGGAAATTGAAGTTCCCAACCAAGTACTGGCCAAGCATTTTGCATTGCTTCTCCTTGAAAGCGAGGCGAGTATCATGGAAGCATTAAAAGGCAGCGAACTAGCTCCAGCGCTTTCACATTATATTCGAAGCTCACGACCCAACAAATCCTTTGCACAGATATCAGCATTATCGGGTATTCCACTTGACACCATTCACGACCTCGCGCAGCACCTGGTGTATTGGAGACGAGCTCGAGCCATCCCACCGTTACATCAGAGAGATACTTATATCGTGTCGCCGAACTGCGATCTCAGTCAGTTGAAAAAAGCCACTCAGTCCTATGCTGCTACCTTTCCGACTCTTCCCAGTCTACCTAAGATGCTATCAGCATTAAGCGGCACCCCGCGGCCGTATGCGACTTTTATCCCAAGTAAAGACCATAAAGAAACGTATTTTGCGATTCTTGCTTGGCTTCTGAGAGGCGGGKGGGTGACTCAGTTGAGAACTTTTTCGCGCGTCAAAGTCACTCCCGAAATCAAGTTTGTGGTCGAGCAAAAAATGCGCAAGGAACAGCTAGAGAAGTACATCGCTTCTGGAGGACATGCAAGCTCACCACAATCGGATAGAGCTTACGGCGATAATGCAGGTGGTCGGTACCATGACGATGCAGCAAGCACCAGATCCTCATCTTCCGTGACCAGTCAAACCAGTGGCCAACTCACGCCCCTCGCGCCTCGCCGCGGGTCGGACGAAGACCATTCCCAGCTGTCAGACTCCTACATGGAGCGCAATGCACATCTAAACATGTCGTCTCTAATCATGTTTCCTCATCGAGCCTCCCCACTCGAATCCCGATGGCTGGACGAGATCATGTCTCGTTTCCCCGACGCAATACCACAGCCCAAACTAGCTCCGAAGACACAGCAGAACGAGACCGAAGACTCGGCAGCGACGGATTCCTTGAAGGTGCACTGGCCGAAATTCGTCAAGTATTTCAATGGCACCGATGCTTTGGAGAAGATAGCTGTACGTGAAGGGATGAGACGGAAGGTTGTATGGCAGCTTCTGCAGCGATGGGGGCTGGGTCAGTCGGCTGTGCCGGGGCTGGATGTGAGGGAGCAAGTCCTCGTCACCGTCCGGCACTGGTAATGTACTTATTTTATACATGAATACTATGATATTCTAATGATCATCCTAACTTGATATGAAATACTGAGGATATGATTGGCGGACGTGGTCTCGGAGCGATTACCGGCAGCACCCGAGGTCAAACGGTTGCAAAGCGTGAAACGTGAAACAAAAGCCTAAGCCTAAGCCCTAATTCTCCGGCCCGATTAGTCGCTTCACATCCCACGCCAGAAGAAAATAACATAAGTAAAAGAAATTTATGGACCACCTATGTCATTGGTGGAGCTGTAATTTAAGCGTCTGATATCATATGATTTTATGATTTTTATATCGATATTTCTCGCTTGAGGCTTCGGGATGGTTGCCGCAGTGTCGCAATGAAATATGTACAAATGACTAAGGGTCAGGCACATGTGCAATTTCTAGGTGAGCTCACTAGGAAGTAAGTACTTTCACCTAGGCAGGGTGTTGTCTAGTATTTGTTACATTTGCCAGGACGCCACATCTTAGGATGAGAGGCCACAATGTGACAGAATCAGGAGAACTTTCATTGTGCAAACGGAACCAAGAAGACTTACAACTAGAGGGACACGGGACTAGATAGCAAACATACATAGTGTATCTATGAGCAAACTTGCCTTTGACTGTTACTATAAGGCCAGGCCAGGCTTCACCCCTCATTCTTGGTGCTTCTGTGTATGCACGTATGTAATATTACACTTGCCACGTATGGAGTGTGTATGCGGAACGACGGAAAACGGCGGTATTCGACTTACGTACTGTACGGAGTATGTATGTATGTGTGTCATAAACATAAGGCATGAGCAATATCGAAGTAGCTGCGGGGTTGTTTATGCAGAAAATAATATATAGCTCATACATTCAGGTAGAGCAGCGCTAGACGTTACTAGGGCTTGGTCATGTTGTACGATCAAGATCAATTCAGTATACGTACGACGATCATGTTTCAAGGTACCAGATGCCTTAGGGTTACGGAGTACAATACATAAAGACATCGAAGTATGTCCCGATAGCAGGCACTGGATAATTCGCAGGCAGTCATTCAATGCATTCCATGAAACTTGATTCTATACTATACCTATATTTGGCTATATAAACGCCTAATTGCTGATATACTGGGCATTTTCACGTGGTAGGTTTCCTGGATACAGTACATAACTCAGGATCATTCCCCCACCGATAGATAATACATGTACACAAATCGTACAGTGTAATCTCAGGCTGCCAGGCGCATATCAAAGCCTCCATTCCATAAATCTGTACGGAGTAACGAGGGAATACGTCGCTTTAATTACTCATATGAAAGTAATAAAATACCCTATTATGTACTGATTACAGTGATTAGTACTGAATAATGTGTCCACTTACCAAGGCAGTTTACCTTAGTTACCAATACCCACAGGAAACACACTGAGGATTATTTTGGCCGCGGGCGTCCGGCAATCCTAGGGTCGTAATGCTACTAAATGCTCAAGACCAGAGGGGAAAAATAATAAAATTGCAATTATCCAAAGACCGAGCCGAGTCGCTACTTTACTCATCCTCTCAGTCAGTTCCGGTTGAAGAGCCCGTCAGGAACTTTTTTCTTACCCTCAAGAGATTCCACACTTTGGCAACCCACTCTAACCATTTCCAACCTTCCTTCCTCTCCACACGTCCTTAATTCTTTTTTTTTTCTCATATTCTCCAAATCCTTCATTGTCTTCCCTTTCGCATCCCCTTCTCTGCACTTATTTCTTTCTTAAGTGTGGGCTTTTGTTTTTGTATGCTGGCCACGATCCTTTTTTTTTTTACTTAGAAAAAGGCGTCTGAAACAGCTGTGTGATCTCAATTGTCCAGCTTGGATCTTTTTTATCCCTCATCGTCGTTTCTTTGGGACCTTCCCACACTCAACACACGACGCCCTCTTTTCTTCACCAGTCAGCTCTCTTCTTTCTGGCCAACTTGACAAAGTAGAGATCTCTCTGTTGCCGTCGTTATTTGTGCTGCATCCAGGGCAGATCAAAGGAATTATCTGGAGACGCACTTTACTTTTTCTGGAGTCCGAGATTCCATCGATATTGTTTGACCAGTCAAATTCCGCGTCTTTTGTTCGAGACTTTATCCAAGGGGGATTCATTCACCTCGACTTGGAAGAGAACAACAGAAAGAAAGGTATACCATTGTCTAACTCTTACCTCAACTGTCAAGCTTTGGCATTATATTCTATCGCGAGCAACAACTTTCAGTCTTTCGATCGTGCTTATACGACGAGTGCCATTCCTCCATCTTGTTTTGGTTTCCACCCTCTTTCGTTTGCAAATCACATTTTCCACTCGACGAAACATTACTCAACGTCTTACGCAATTATTCAGTTCTCTGTTCGCTAACATATCCATCGCTTTTTCTCAGCCACGAACGAACGATTCAGCTGCCGGTCGAAAATAACGAAACGTCCTTCCTGCATTAGATTCCAGGTCTGCCTAAATTTCTACTGCCGAACGCCGATGCAACCCGAGCATTAGTACTCCCATCCGACACGGTACGGTAGTTTGACTAGCTGTCGGTAGAACATACCTTTGATCGATATTAAATTTTCGACGTTCGCATATCTTCGTTGAGTTGATACTCGCCACGTTTACAAAAGTATCCAACAAACAATCGGACAAGACACCATCAAGGCGAGGTCCGATTTCGACCAACTCTAGGTGCTGCTGGTAGCTTGGTGGGGTCCCTAGGGCCATAAAATATCACTGAGCACTTCATCACCACTACCTGCCAGTGCGCGATCCTGTTGCTCTTGGAGGAATTCCACATCACAATGGCGACCACAGCCACAAAGGCAGAGGTGCCTACCTTTTCTTATGCACAGGCTGCCAAAGGGCTGGCTGCACCAGCTACTTCACAACCAATCACCAAGCCTACAGAACAGTCTGGACAGACTGGTCAGGATAATGAGGCGATCAAGGGTTTGGCTGCGGAACAGATCTCGACTTCTGTATCTGCAGAATCTGAAAAAGCGGAATCTATTGCGGATCACGAGTCCAAGTCTGCTACTACTGGCTCAACCAAGAATGCAGTCTCCGGTGCATCATCTCCCTCTTTCGGAACCTCTTCGACGTCGACGTTAGCGAAAGAAGACGAAATCCCTCCCATCACAAATGGGGACTCTCATTGGGACAACAAGTCACAGACATCAGCCCCTGCTGAAAAGTCGAATAAGAAAAAGGAAAAAGAAGGAAAGAAGGATGAGTCCGGCAAATCATCAGACAAGACTCCTCCTGTCAAGGAGCTCAAGGCAGCCCCTCCTCCAGCCGTCAACATATGGCAACAAAGGAAGGAAGCGCAAGAGGCCAAGGCCAAGGCCAGTGCTGCAGTTCTGAAATCAGTGAATGGCGCAACTAAGCCCACTGCTTCCAAGTCCGCATCGCTAGCTACAGCAAATGCTCCAGACTCGGCCAAMCCCGCCAACAAGAAGAAGGCGGCTAACGATMCCCAAGCCGATGCATCAGGATCAATTAACAAAGATCGAAAGCGAGTCGAGAATGGCAAGCCTCGTGATGAAGGTAAGATGGACTGCATCGTTCGTCTGATACATGAATCACATACTAAAATTACGCTTCTTAGGACCCAAGAAGTCTACAAACCGCATACCTCGCGAAGAGTCAACAGACATCGCACCCCCACCAGTCGCAGATGCAACTGCATGGCCCACCCCGCAGATCGCACTCGGTGAAGAAAAGCGCAAAGCACAAGAGAAGAGCGACAAGTCCGATAAGGTCGAGAAAAGCCCCTCAACGCGTGGCAAGGAGAAATGGACTCCAGTGCATTATGTTCCCACTGCTGTTTTCAACACTCCACTTCCAACAGGTGCTCGTCGCGGGGGCCGACCAGCCCGTGGTGGCCGCGAGGGAGGACGTGGCGCTCACAGCTCCAATAGCACTACGAACAGTACGGCAACTCCGGTTGACGCCAGACCAGCCCCTGCTGCCCAGCCCAATCAGGCACAGCCCAAACAAAATGCAAACTTGCCAGAGCGAGGACGCAACGACGGTGGTCTTGCTCGCGCGAACTCCCTGCCTGCTCAGGCCCGAAAGCCTGTCGCTGCCGATGGTAACACACAGCAACAGGAACAGCGACGCTTTCAGGCAAACTCTGAACGCCCACGTGTCGACACTCGTTCAAAGGCCACAGAGGAAAACAATGCCGCCATAAATGGTACATCTTATCCTTCTGCGGACACTGCTACGAAGACTTTCCGTGAGCCGCGCTCCGCAAAAGCTCCAGAATTTGTTCCCGCCCACAAGGCATCTGAGCGCAGCCCACGTTCAGGAACATCTCCTGCAGATGCCCAAGCCAACGGACGCTTTGTTCCCAACCATGAGCGACGATTCGATAATGGAACAAAGTCTGAGACTCCTCGTGAGATGAATGGCTTCGTTCCTCGGGAGCGTGAATTCAAAGATTACAACCGCGAGAAGGGCGAGTTCCAGCGTGATCGCGAGCACCAAAAGGAGCGTGGTGAATCACGACCCGAGCGAGGTCGCGGTGGATACCGTGGACGAGGCGGTCATTCATACAACAGCCCTCATAACCAGCATTTCCAGAACTCACAAGTGTCTCAACATCAGTTCGTGCCAAAGCAGTTCAATGCCGGTGATCGCCAGCGCTCGCAGCAGCAGAACTTCCAGAACGGGACACAACCCCAGCATGTCAACCACCGACTATCATTGCGTTCGCCCTCAATGCCAAATTCTGCTGGTTTGTATTCTACTTACCCTGTACCGGAGATCAACACCGTGTATCAGGGCTATCAAACTATTGCGCCGGGCCCAATGAGCGCAGTCCCATACCAGCCTTATATGGAGCAATACACCGTCTTCACTCTGATTCAAATGCAGCTGTAAGTATTGAAGCCGCGCATCCGATGATCGATTTTACTGATTCGAGACAGTGAATATTACTTCTCCGTTGACAACCTCTGCAAGGACTTGTATCTTCGCAAGCATATGGATTCGCAGGGTTTCGTTCGCTTGGCATTCATAGCTGGCTTCAAAAGGATCAGACATCTCACTGAAGAATACGAGATGCTTCGCCACTGCGGTCGTCAGTTGCGCAACGCCGAGTACATCATTGGCGAAGATGGACAAGATCGCCTGCGCCCACGCGACAAGTGGGAGCAATGGGTGCTTCCCGTTGACCAGCGTGATGCTTCTGCTCAAAATGACGGCCACCACGCCGCAGCAGCTGTTCAGCATTTTAGCGAGCAAAATAATTTCGCTGTTCCCATGACCAACGGCGTTGATAACAATGGCTACCAGGCTACTCCAAATGGGTTGCCAAATGGCGGACAACATGAACAAACCGCGCTATCTTCAGCCGCCCCCGAATTTACACCGTATGTGGCGGTTGGTGATCACAATGAGGTTCCTAATGTAGGTTAATAATGAACGCACGAACACAAGGGAGTCCAGTCTCTGTCGTGCTTGTCTAGTTACTTGAGAATCACGGCAGGTCGGCTCCCATAGCTTTCGCTTTTGATGGATTCGCTAATGTTCTTTATAGGGAGGCATCTGAATGTCAAATAAGTAAACTTCAGCTGGATACTCTCTGTTTACCCCTGTCGTTTGGTGGTGATGAATGGACACAAAACCGAGTGCCGGCACTCTTGACTTGATTATGGAAGACTGTTCTCGATTGAACAAGTTTCTCAATGGCACCGTTTACGATTCTCATAAGAATGTTTACACTGTTTGATTTCCTTCTGAGCTACGATACACGACCGATACCGCAACTTACTTTATCATTTCTTTTCACAATATTGGAGTCAACCTCTACCGCCAATGAAGCATACTCGCAGTTTCCCTTTGATGTTCAGTGTCATGTAATCACGGACGACAAGGCTTCTGTTCATCGACAATTTTTTTTTTTTTCGCAGTTTATAGTCTCTTTCATTGATAACAGAAGCATGTCCTATGAAAGAGATTAGGCGAAAATGGTAGAAAGCACTACGATATTTCGGCGGCTGGGTTCAGCTCTTCTTTCTTTCTTGATTACTTTTCGTTTATCATTACATGTCCGCAAGCTGGTGTTGACTCCCGGCGGGCTATGCTTCATTTCTATTTTCCGGTTTTCGGCTATTTCATAACGATCGCATGGCTCAGTGGGCTCAAAAGTTTCCATCTCGATAGAGTTCCAGTTCTCAGCAATGCTTCGATATCTCTTCTTATTTCCTAATTACCTCGGATCTTAGCGAGCATCGAAGGAAAAAAAAGTGCCCCAGAGGGAATTTAATATTGCGAAAAAAATCTTACGAACCCGCCTTCTTTCCAATTTCGGGTTTACGCTACTGATGGGAGTATCATTCTTGCTTGGGAGGTAGCGTATCCTGCTGCCTTTAAGATCTTCCTGTTGGTTTGCGTTCACTCTCTTTTATGATGTACTTGTTCTTTCTTACTTATCATCTCGTTTCCCATTGTTCTATGATTTCCAAGTTTCTGCATGGCATAAGTATTGTGTGAGTTGTTTCTCTTTCTTTTTGTTGCACCTTTTCTACTTTTCCCACCATTTTATCATGGAAGTTTTTTAAAATCATCAGGGTATGTCTGCATTTGTGGCAGGAGGAGKTCTTCGAGCAGATTCTGCAGCAGTGATACCAATCTCGTGCCTTGATGCTCATTTTCTTTCACAGCCGGTGGGCGGCTTGAAAGTTATTCAGCACGAGCATAAATGGATATCATTGTATTTGGCATCTGGTTTTCTTCTTTATCCTTCGATATTTTTCTTCTTCTCATTTCCTTGCTCTCTGCTTCAGTCTGCGCTGGCCGATCCACGCAACATGTGACTTGTAAGATTTCGGAAACGGTTGCATTAGTAATAGTTATTAAGGAACAGACAAGACTCATCTCCTTGATAAGCATCCCTGGGTAAAAGAAGTGACTTGTAAGTGATACTGTGGCTTCGATATCGTACGGAATCGGGAGTATAATATTCCGTGGATGAGATCAGCGCCAAGGCTCGGTGTTCTTTGTCTCTGTAAGCAGAGGAACAAGTCAAGTGATTCTGATCATTCAACATTCCAACTACCTTCAACAGACAAGCTCGAATCCTTTTAGCTGTTCACAATGGAGATGACCTCCAGGTCAGCTTCGAGGCTCATCCAGAGCTCGAATCGAGGCTCTACCCGGCTTCTACTCCGAGCTGGAGCGGTCAATTCCACATACAATGCACTCACACTCTCACGGCGAAACCTGAGCAACGCAGCTCCTTCCCTCGCCCCAACCGAAACATCCCTTCTCGGCTTCGCAACCGGCTCTCCATCATCATCTGCTCCTCAAACCTACTTCTCGAATCGGAACACGCTCCCTGCAAACACTGTCATTCGCTTCGTACCCCAACAGACGGCATGGATTGTCGAACGGATGGGCAAGTTCCATCGGATTCTGGAACCGGGATTGGCGATTCTGATACCGTTTATTGATCGCATTGCATATGTTAAGAGCTTGAAGGAATCTGCTATTGAGATACCCAGTCAGAACGCGATCACAGCGGACAATGTGACGCTAGAGCTTGATGGGGTTCTCTACACGAGGGTTTTTGATGCATATAAAGCTAGGTGTGTATGATACTTTGCTTGGTACTCATTGTGACTAACGCCTTTTTTTCAGCTACGGTGTTGAGGACGCCGAGTATGCGATTTCTCAACTCGCCCAGACGACGATGCGATCCGAAATCGGCCAGCTTACACTCGATCACGTCCTCAAAGAGCGGGCTACTTTGAACACCAACATCACACAAGCCATCAACGAGGCAGCACAGGATTGGGGCGTTGTCTGTCTCCGTTACGAAATCAGAGACATTCATGCACCAGAAGGTGTCGTGGCCGCCATGCACCGTCAAGTCACCGCCGAACGATCCAAGCGAGCCGAAATTCTCGACTCTGAGGGTCAACGACAGAGCGCCATCAACATCGCTGAGGGTCGTAAACAATCTGTCATTCTTGCCTCTGAGGCTTTGCGTGCCGAGCAAATCAACAGAGCGTCTGGTGAGGCCGAAGCTATTATGTTGCGCGCGGAGGCTACTGCGAAGGGTATCGATGCCGTTGCCAAGGCGATCCGGGATGGGAAGGAGAATGCCCAAAGCGCTGTTAGTCTGAGCGTTGCGGAGAAATACGTTGAGGCATTCGGTAACCTTGCCAAGGAGGGCACTGCTGTGGTTGTTCCAGGCAACGTCGGAGATATTGGCGGCATGATTGCAAGTGCCCTTTCAGTCTACGGTAAGGTCACCGAAGGCCAGACCAGGGCACTGGCCGCTAAGGCATTGGGAGTTCCCGAGTCGAAAGAGGCCAGTCACGCGCATTCTACAAACAAGGATACAGAGGCAGGGATCGAGAAGGCCGAGCAGACTGCTGAACCAAGCGGGCGCAACTCGGTTGCTGAGAGCGTCCTTGACAGTTTCGACCAGACTACTCAGCAGAAGCGATAGTTCTCTGGACAGCAGATTCCTTCAATCACTTTACGATACCACTCTCTGCTTGTCAAGTTTCCACGACACATGTAATCTACCTACCCATCACTCAACTGCACATTGAATAGCATTTTGCGGGAGTTGGGATCCTGTACTAACAATAGTGAAAAAATGTTCCTATGTTTATGATATGCAATTATCTTTGATCAGTAGTCTAGCAGCAGCTGTAAATATACAATATAAGCAAAGATCAAATGTCAAATGATCGAGATAATTTAGCCCGAAACGGCAAGGCGCGATATCTGGCTCTTGGTTTCTCGTCCTGAGCTCCTGATTGGCCGCCGACAACCGCTCTTCAACGGTCCAAACTTGGGCCAGAAACGCATACAAACAGGACAAAGCTTGGGCCTCCCGAAACCTCTTTTGCCTTGCCTTTCTTTAGTTACCTTAACTCAACGTGGAGCAACCGCGACTTTTTCGACCATCGCCAGATCCGCGCCGCGCTTTCGTTCCTTCCATTTCGATATCATCGCGATTACCATCTGTTGATGCAGCCTTGTGCTGTTCTCTGATCGAGACGATACTGCTTTCTTTCGTTCTGTGATCATTACGCGACGGCCAGAGACGAGGACGACTCCCTCCCCTGGCTTGGATGGTAGCTCGTCTATACCCTAGCTAAGGAAGCTGCGATGCTTGATCCGTGACGCTCGAATACGCTACTGAAGTGTTTCGTTGGCAGGGCAATTTACGTTTAATTGAAAAGAGAGGAAGCAACCGAAACAGTAGCTTGGCTTTCGTACAATTGTCTTGACAAGTGATTGATTGAGCGCAATATGCATATAATCAAGCCTGTATGGCTGACACACGGAGGTATAGCGTGCCCTTACATCGAAGACTTTGTGATTCATTATACTTGAATTGGTACTAATAGTTTTATCTGTGTACAGGCGAACGGAAAGATTTCGAAGTATACAGTTGCGACGTCTCGCCGGATGGAAAGCGCCTGGTAACGGCTGCAGGAGGTTAGTAGAATATCATCCGCGATTATATGACGCTGGAAAAATTGCTCAAACTTGATCGTTTCTCCTCAGATGGATATGTACGAATATGGTCGACCGAAGCTATCTATAACGCAGCTGACCCTGCTTATGCCGACAAACCGAAACAGCTTGCTTCAATGAGCAATCACTCCGGAACCATACATACCGTCCGATTCTCGCCCAATGGCAAATATCTGGCATCTGGCGCAGATGATAAGATAGTCTGTGTCTACTCGTTGGACGCGAATCCGCCGTCTCACGCTACTACATTCGGTATGTTGCGCAGGTTTTAGAAGGGGCTCATTGAGGAGGCTTGTTTGGATATAGGCCGCGATTACTGATTCGATGGATAGGCTCGGATGAGGCACCACCGGTCGAGAACTGGCGAACAATTCGGAGATTGATCGGGCATGACAACGATGTGCAGGACTTGGGCTGGTCGTACGATTCATCTATCCTGGTATCAGTGGGATTAGACTCCAAGGTTGTCGTTTGGTCGGGCCATACGTTCGAGAAATTGAAAACGCTTTCGGTGCATCAAAGTCATGTCAAGGGCATTACCTTTGATCCTGCAAACAAATACTTTGCTACGGCTAGTGATGATAGGACGGTCAAAATCTTTCGGTTCAACTCGCCAGCACCAAACTCCACCGCGCATGACCAACTTAACAATTTCGTCTTGGAGACTAACATCGTCACACCATTTCAAAGCTCGCCATTGACGGCATATTTCAGGCGCTGCTCGTGGTCACCCGATGGATTGCATATTGCAGCTGCGAATGCCGTGAATGGGCCCGTGAGTTCGGTAGCCATTATCAACCGTGGATCGTGGGATAGTGATATCAACCTTATCGGACACGAGGCGCCTGTAGAGGTATGCGCGTTCTCTCCGAGGTTGTATTCTGCATATCCCATCAAATCCGGCAGTGAGCATCACAACTTGGTCACGGTTATTGCTTGCGCTGGCGGAGACAAGTCACTCAGTGTCTGGATTACAAGTAATCCGCGGCCGATAGTGGTTGCGCAGGATATTTCTGCGAAATCGCTGTCGGATCTAGCGTGGAGTCCGGATGGGACATGTTTGTTCGCAACCGCCTTGGATGGAACTATCCTCGCCGTTCGATTTGAGCAGGCAGAGCTTGGGTATCCCATGTCGTTGGAGGAGAATGAGAGGTCTTTGACGAAATTTGGGACGAATCGAAGAGGCGCGGGTATAGCCGAGACCACTGATGGTTTGCTGCTTGAGGAGAAGAGCAAGGCCGGAGAAATAAAAGGTGTCGAAGGCCGAATGGGCGCTTTAATGGGTGATGGGCATGCAGCTGAGGGTACAAGTAATGGAACGACGACAATTACTTCCACCGCAGCGGTGGTCACAAATGGAACGTCTGAGAAACAAAAGACTCAAACGAATGGGACAGCACCGAACACTGTATCCGAGCAGGAAAAAGAGCTGGAAAAGGAAAAGGAAAAGGAAAAGGAAAAAGAAAAAGAAAAACCTGATCCATACCAGGCGAAACTAGAAAGATTAAAACAGCGTCCAACGTACACCAAAGATGGGAAAAAGAGAATTGCCCCTTTACTTGTGTCAAGCGCTGGTGTTTCTGAATCATCGTTACCGCAATCCAGACTCGTGGCGTCTTCGACTGTGAGCCAGGTTGGAGCTGATGCTCCTCAGTCAGTTATTGACCTCTCAAAGCCATTTGATGGGCTGCCTAAAGGCGGCCTATCGGCACTGCTCTTTGGTAACAAGCGCAAACTAGCACAAATCGAAGGTGATGAGGATAATCAGGTGGAGAAACGAGTGGCCTCTATCAGCCAAAACGGCTCAACGCCAATAATGTCAAATACAACTGCAGGACTCATGCCGGCATCGACACAGGCAGCGACTGCAGGCCAGCAAACTACGCCAGAATTCATTCGGCCGGCCGTTGTGAATCCCTGCATGGCTATCAGTCAACTTAGGTTGGCGGTACCCAAAATCAGATCACAGATATTGCAGGCTCTCGACAAGAATGGAAACCCAACAGAACCGTCTGGTGATTCGAAACAGTCACGGATAGACCTCGTGTTTGAAGCCCGCAATCCACCTCCGGGCACGTTGACTGGTCGTTCCACAGATCGTGAACCGGTGCGAATCAGCCTGAGTCGTGGTGACCAACCACTGTGGCAAGACTTTCTCCCCAAGTCTGTGCTATTGGCAACCGGTAATACTGGTTTCTGGTCTGTTGCCTGCGAGGATGGATCAATATACATATGGACCCCTGCGGGACGCCGACTTATTAGCACGCTGGTCCTAGAAGCCCAAGCAGTCATTCTTGAGAGTAAAGGGCCGTGGCTCTTGTGCATTACTGCAGTTGGAATGTGCTATGTGTGGAACGTCAAGACTATTTCATCGCCTCATCCTCCTGTATCTCTGCAGCCGGTCCTGGACGCTGCTACGCATGCTCAAACCGGCCAGGCCATCCTTGCGCCTGCCATCACGGGGGCACGAATCAACTCCGAAGGTCGTATCGTAGTTGGCTTGACTAATGGTGAGGGATACATCTATTCGTCTGCGATGTACACATGGCAACGTGTCTCAGAGCCATGGTGGGCTGTCGGCAGTCAGTACTGGAACACAACAGACGCCTCTGTAAGCAATCTACAAGCTATGGGCAGTCAAAATGGTGAAGAGAGTAAGAAGAAGAAAATCTCAGCGGGCATTATCCCATTCCTTGAACGAAATACCACCACTGAAACTCTCCTCCGTGGACGAGCCTATTTCCTCCAACGCCTGATCAAAGTTTTATTATCTCGAGAAGGGTACGAGAGCTTCGAGTCTAGCGTTTCCATAGCCCACCTCGAAAACCGGATGGCAGCCGCCCTGTCTCTGGGGGCCAAAGAGGAATTCCGTCTCTATTTGTCCATGTACGCGAAACGTATCGGAGCTGAGGGGCTGCGCGGCAAAGTGGAAGAACTTCTGAAAGCTCTCGTGGGTGGTATTTTCGACTATGACGATGACGAAAGTGGTGGTAGCTCTGTTGAAGCAGCGGCACAACGAAATCTCACAGAAGCCGAGAAAGATGGGCGGAATTGGTCTGAGAGCTTGGATAGGCTTTGTGGTTGGCCGCGGGATGTGCTACTTAAAGAAGTCATTATTGCTCTTGGTATGTTATACTATCTCTTGGGAACATTATAGTTACTAACAAGGCATCAAACAGGTAAACATCGAGATTTGCAACGAGTCACCGTGCCCTATGCGAAATTACTAGGTGTTGTGGACGGAGAAGAACCTGATTCCGAAGCCATGGAGACAAACTGACCTTACTTTCTCCTTTAATTGACACAACTGTATTTTGAATATTCGGGCGTTTTGAGCAAGGCAGGGGTCTTCATTCATGTATCCGGGTTATTTTCTTTTGCCATGGAGGCTATGATATCTTGAACATTTTAAAACTCATAGGTACTATAAGTTCGGTCTTTAGGTTCTTTTCGCTTTATATTTTTTGTTCTTCCTTGTCGTTGCTACATATCACATCTGCGTGGGATGGCTTTTTTCACTATGAACAATGCATGAAGCGTTCTCATTCTGTTTTTATCTAAATATCTGACTTAGTGCTCGACTCCTCATCGTCGCGACTACCGACCGACTAGGCTGAGTGAACTCGAGGCCTGCGAGAGAGATTGACACTACTGATAAGCAGAAAAGACAGTAAAAACATTCCCGAAGCCGCGAGAAACGGAAGGCCCAACCACGTATCCCCCAATTTCATGCCCCAGCGAAATGTGTTGGCAAGTAGCGGCCCGGCAATTAATATACCCACGGACTGCACAACGGCTAGCGAAGTATACAAAACACCGACCTGGTTGGGTAGGACGAGCGAGGTAATCAGACTTCGCGCAGTGAGAGGAAGTGGTGAGCCAAGAGCGACGGCCACAAGACCTATAATCAGGATGGCTGGGCTTGGGGCAGAAAACATTAGTAGCGTGCCGATTGTGAGTAGCAATGCGGTGCCGCGCGAGAGCCAGAGATCTTTTCTTGGGGCGTCTAGTTTCGCTCGCTGGAGTAGAAGGCGGGAAAGGAAGGGTAGGATGACGAGGACGGCTGCAAGATTGACCGCTCCTCGGACTGAGACTAGAATAGTGGCCTGGTTGACACGTCAGACTTTGTCTGAGAGTTAATAGGAGGGGATGTATTACCTTGCTATACGACCAGTGATACTTTTTCGTGGCATATTGTAATAGAAGCGCCATTGCTTGCCGACTCAAAGTAGCGACGAAGAAGACCAGGAGAAGAAGACTGACGTTCAAGTTAGTCGAAAGGAAATGAGTCGATTCTTTAATGAGAGTTAAGCTGTTCGAGATCCTGGCTACGACGGTCCTGACGAACGACATTTCTTCCTTGTTTGACGGAGTGTCTTCGTTCTCCACGTTTATTGATGAAAGCGGTGCTTTGGTAGAAGGCAGCGTTTCAGGAGCAAAGATAAGGGCAATAATGACCGCTAAAAACTCCACGCCTGAACTGAGCAGAAATGGAAGCCATGGATTTTCGGTCATTGTGAGTCCACTTATAGGAGTCGCTACGATCTCTGCCGTGAGAACAACGGCGGAGAAATAGAAAAATGATGTGGCTCTGTCTCCAATCATTAGCTCTTTCGCTCCAGATACGTTTGTATGAGAACATGCCTTTCTTCTTCAGAATAAGAATCTGCAAGCATTACATAGAACATTGATGAAGCAACCTGTGCTCCACCACCGAAAATGAGAATAGGCGCGGACAAGTACACCATCTTCAGAGGAATAAGCTCAGGGAGCCAGCAGACTACTTTCACCCACAGCCCACCCAACGCCAAACCTAGAATTCCGCAAAGAAGAATCGGTCTGCGACCAAATCTGTCAGCAAGAAGACCATAGGCAACACCAAATACGATTCCAGGTAAATGGTCAAATGTATCCTTCCATGCCTGTATAATGGCCAATTCGCTCTGTACAGGCTCAATCTTGCAGCGCTCGTTGACCGGAAGAGTGTCTATCTGACTTGGTTGATGAGTATAGTAGTTCTGGCAGATTATATCTTCAAATATTTGCATCTGTGGTGCCATTCCGAGAAATCCAGCGATGTCAAGGAGCATTAAAAGTGTACAGACTAAAGTGAGGACGCGTGTCGACTGTTGAAACGTCCCTGGGTTGGATTTGACATTTCTGAGGTGATCATCCTGTCTTTGTGGACTATCTTCCTGCTGAGTCGAGAGAAGCGGGGTTGTTTCATGCGCGTTGACAGTTGCATCAGTATTATGTTCGGAATTATATATTGCAGCCATGATATGCGTATAGTATAGGCAAATGACCAGGGCGGAGGTTTCCAATTCAGCCAAAGGCGATGTCAAGTAGAGAAGACAAGAAGAACTCGCCAAACGAGGATGAACAAAGGAGCTAGCGGGAGACAGGGATATAGATTACGCGTAGCTGCCTGCTAGAGGTACCACAAACCTGGATACACTACAGTATTCAGCTGTGACTTCAAAGATCTAGCAGAGAAGTCATGCATGATCTTTACTTTGCTATATTATTCTATGCTTGTTAAATAACAACGTTAAATGTTGTATTGTATGGTAATATATTACACATGATGAAAAATTGTGCCACGAATTCCATACATTTTCCCCGGTATTGTATACCCCCGAAATGTAATCTGCCGTAATATTGCGTATTTTATGGGATAAAACCAATAAACAGTCAAACAAGTTGAAGATTCAAGACAGGTCGTAACAATCATATGACCGTGATCCAGTCCTATCAATTAATTTTGGATAAACTTCTGATCTTTACCATTCCTTAAAGATGATCAATTAAGCCTCCCGACTCTTGGTTTATACCTATCCAATCCGCTAGCGTGGCGCAGCATGCATTGCCATGGCGTTCAGCCGCACGTCCTATAAAAACCCAGTCAAATACATAGTCATCCACGGCATTATTGAGCAGACTACACTACTGAGCAGGGATTGAGAGCGATGCTTCACGCCTCCCAAGCTTGTCACTCCTGTCGAGATCGAAAGAAACGATGCGACAGGACACTACCGGAGTGTTCTGACTGTAGGAGGTAATTATAGGCTCCGGTAAATCAAGTATTTGATTGGCTGACTTCTCGATTAGGCGACAGGTGCAATGCCAATACCGTCAGAAAGTAGAGGAGCGTGGAATGGTAGAGTCGCTGGAGCAGAAACTGATGTCCCTTGAACGATCGATCCAACTCACCGAGAGTGCTTTCACTGATCAACAAAATCAGCTGTTGCCTGATCCCAAGCTTGACCGTGGGATTCAGTATCAAGTATCATATCCGGTCTCGAAGCGATGGTATTTTCCAATGCTACTACATTTTAGTCAGTCCTCTTCTACAACCCCCGCTTGTGAAGCTTTCTTTAACAGTGGCAAAAAAAGGATTCAACTCTATGGTCCCAGCCACCAAAAATCTGAGCTCAGAGAGTGCTGCATACAAGTTGCGCACCGCATGGGTGACTGGATACCTCAGTAACCCAGCCATGTTTCATGGAGTCATGTACGCTGCTTCTGCGAATCTAGATCTGATCAATGAAGAGCACGACAACCCGGTGACCAATTTTCATCGTGCAGAGGCAATTCGACTCGTGCACGAAACCATTTCGGTTCTAGGACCGCATAATAATCTGCCTCTCGGAGTGCTTGCTGCGACCTGGGCACTGGCACATGTTGCTGTACGACATACCCTGCTCTTCAAGACCTTGTTAGCGCAAACTCACTCAATATAGAGACTCAATGGGTTAACTTCCGAGGCACGTCTTCACGAGGTTGGACTTGCGCAAATGATACGTTGTCGGGGCCAGAAGGCTGATATGGGGTTTGACGGAGCGCTATCATTCCTAATTATGCTGTAAGAACATCTACAATGTCTTGAATTCCTTGTCGTACGGTTACTGACCATGACACGTCTGTAGAAGCGACATCTGGAATGCTGTCATCAATGAAGAAGATGTCACTCTCGATTTCGTCAATGAGCTCCAACCTCCGTATATTGCTCAACCGAGAAGATCGCTTCTCTCGAATGCTCTGCGATATACTCCACAAGAGGGATTGCTATCAAAAGATATCATCTTAATTCTTCATATGATTGATGACTCGCGGGATAAACTTTCTACCGACGATACAATAAATTTCACAGAAGAGTCACCATGTCAACCTTTATCATCTCTATCATCTCAATCCTCTCCGGGCCAGCCACTCAGTGACCTTACATACCTTCTCATACCCCTCTTACAAGCAGAACGGCTTGCCTCCGTACAAAGACAAGACTATATATCCGAATGCTGCTGTCTCGCCGCGATGATCTATTGCCAAGTCTTGTTCACTGATCTCCCATTCCTTTCGCCTGGAAACGAATCTATTGCCGACCGACTCTTCGCCGCACTTCAGCATAGTGATATGGAGCAATGGATGGACAAGGCACCCGAACTGCACCTCTGGGTCTGTTACGTGGGTGCATTGGCATCACGAAGTCGAGTGCAGCGAGTATCATTTCTGGCTAGGTCAAAAACTTCTGTTGTTGTTCTTGGTGCGGATCGCATTCTAGGTTTCCAGGATGGAGTTTCGCATCTTTTATGTCTTTCGAGGCATATGAAACAGCGACAGCATACTATTTGATGTTGCTACTCTCTGATGTCATATAAACTTTTCTCTTCTTATATATTGTAATGTAGATTTACAAATCAAAATCTCCAATTTCATACAGCTGACAAAGGCTTTACGCACATGTGTAACTAGCAGCACAATCTGCATTTCCACCTATGTAGGTCGCAACCTGAGGATAAGAGCAGATAATCCTCTCCGCTTGAGTCCCATCGTTTATTGTCGCCGGGATCATATTCGGGGCGTCTCCCTGTTCGACCCAGTCAACCAATGCCTCGAAGGGGTCGTTTGGGATTGCCCCAATAGTCGTTCCCGCAGCACAATGGTCGACACCAGGCGCGAGAAACAACCTAAAGAAATCATTGGTCCTGTTCTCTCCTCCCATGAGACGTTCCACGCGATTACGGTAGTCGATCGTTCCGCCAGGAAAGATCAGCTGATCGGATAAACCCTGCCACATGAGCAATTTACCACCATGGTGGTGGAATGAGGACAAGTCAGCATCATCAGTACCAATGATACTATCATATTCCGTGTAGGATTGCCAGAAAAGATCAAGAAAAGTATTGTAATTGATCTGTTCGGTGTTGTAATCAGGGTCACGAGCCAGGAAGTATTTGATCCATTGATCATTCACGAAAAAAGGGTTTCCAGTCCGTGTACCATTGATCTCTGTTGTTGTATTTACCAGGTTGTCTAACGGAGCACCGGCGTTGAGACCATACCAGAGTGGTCGTCCATATGGGTCCAAGGGTCCCTGGAGAGTCTTTTTCACGATCGTGGCAGTGGAATTGGTGATTGTGATTTTCTGACCCTCACATTCAATTACTTGTCCAACAGACTCCAATGGATCATAGAGACAGTTCTCCGGATCAGTAATAATGCCATCCTTCACACCATCCATCTCGTCACATTCCTTGATTGCAGCGTCAGAAAAGAACTTCAGCTCACATGTCGAAGGGAATGTTAGCTCTTGCTGCATGACAGTTTGTGGCCATTGTTCTGCGACGACATACTTCGCCCAGTTGATTGCCGGCGCTCCAGCAAGGATGCCATCAAATAAGTCCGGGTATCTCTGAGCAGCAGCCATTCCCTGTCGTCCGCCCGTTGAGCAGCCGTTCCAGTATGAATATTTAGGCTTGGTACCATAGAATTGTCTTGTGAGCTCTTTGCCCACAATAGCCATGTCGTGTACGGAGCGATACGAAAAGTCAATCAAAGCGTCAAAGTTGACAGATCCATCTGTGTTGAGCGCCCATGAACCGGGACTTAAAGCATTGAGCCCGACGCCAGCATCAGTGGATACCGCAGAGTATCCGTTCTTGACCGTTGGGCCAAGTGTAAGATCGAATTCGCCAGCAGCATAACCTGATCCACCAGTTGCTTGAAACCTTCCATTCCAATCTTGGAGTGGTAGCCAAACTTTCACTGTGACCTGATTCTCGGCGCCAGCATGCGTGAGCGACACAGTCACGTCGCAGATGTTAAGGTTCTGGACAGGGGAGAGGAGAAACGGAGGGGTTGCTGGTACTGAATAATTCCATCGTTCGGTGGCATTGATCGAAAGCACTGTGGCTCCTGGGACGTGCGGAGCACTAAGGTGCGAGCAGTCGATTTGATGAGACATTGGCATAGCTGCTAAGGTAGCAGAAATCAAGATGCTGATAACAAAAGGCTTCATCTTTGGTCCTTCAGCAATAGAGGCTTCTGATGGTTGAAGGTTCTCCTACAGTAACAGGTGGGAGAGACTAGCACGAGTATTTATAGACAGATGCGATAAGACCGAGTTTCTGATCAGTCCAGCTTCATTTTCGATAGCAAATTTTGAGATCTGTGAGTAACTGCTACTCTTCCCACTTCTTGGATCCTGCTGCTAGATTGAAGCAGCTGAAATCTGCTTTATGAAATTTCCATAAGAAACTAACCTCGTATATGTCGAATTTTAATGAACCTTCCACCTTTAAGGCAAATGCTCCTCTAAGCATTCTTGCACTGCCCCTTTGTTTTTTCAGCTGAACGTCATGTAGATCCCAAGTGAAAAGCAGAAAATGACTCCGTAGACTGAAATCGATATACGTACTGACATAGAGGTAGTCGGGAATACGAAGTAGGGCTAAATTTCAATTTCGGGGTGGGGCCGACACTATACTAACTATGTATGTGATGAAGATGAAGCAACGTGCTCAGCGTCTGAGTAAGAGTCATTTCATTTAATCTAAAAAAAAGTCATCTTTTCAAATGCGTAGTGAGCATTGCGACAGGATGCGCATAATGATCTTGTCGAAGATGACCCCAGTCGTTCCTATAAAATTGCCCGTTCTCCCGACCTGACTGCCTACTCACTGACAGCCAATCTTTGAAGATGCGTTTTCTTTCCTTAATCTCTTTGCCTTTTTGGCTTGTTTCAGCTCTACCAGCTATAGCAACAGCCAATGATGCGTCACCGTCGCACCTTACACCTTTAAAATTTGCAACTACATCCACTCTGCTCAACGTTGCCTACTACGAGGCCGGACCATCCAATGGCTCCGCCATCATTCTCGTCCATGGATTCCCGTACTCAATCGACGCTTTTGCCTCTGTCGTACCCATTCTGACGGAACAAGGATACCGGGTCATTGTGCCCTACCTCCGCGGCTACGGCGAAACATCCTTCCTGCACCCTAACACACCCCGCAGCGCCGAACAAGCAGCCCTAGGATCAGATATCATCGCCCTAATGGACGCAATACATATCGAGAAGGCAATCTTCGCAGGATACGACTGGGGCACAGTATCCGTCAATGTCGCAGCCGCACTATGGCCGGAACGCTGCAACGGTCATGTCGCCGCAAATAGCTATCTAATCCAGAACCGAAGCACCGCCTGGGTTCCTCTTGACCCGGACTCCGAAGCACTTCGATGGTATTACTACGTTTTTCTGACTGCCCGCGGCGCGGCCGGTCTCGCATCAAATCCCAAAGCGTGGGCACGTAGTCTGTGGCAGAAGAATTCCATCGGATGGAGCTTTCCTGAGGAATATCTCGACCTCACCGCGACAGCGTTTGAGAATCCTGATTATGTTGATATTGTGCTCAATTTTTATCGTAATCGCTTGCTGTATGCGCCTGGTGATCCGAAATATGTGGATCTCGCTGCCCAGTTAGATGAACAGCCGGCTATTTCTGTACGTTCGGTTACGTTCGATCCTCAGGACAGTGTTGTTTTTCCGCCGACGAATGGGACGGCGACGGCGAAGTATTTTACGGGACCAAGGTGTCATTATGTTCTTCCTGGGGTTGCTGAGAATGTGCCGTATCAGGCGCCGGAGACGTTTGCGAATGCGATATTTGCTGTGGATGGTCTGCCCTTAAACGGAGGAAGCTACGCTTGTCCGCATTCATTGTAAGTTGGCGATGGCAGCTATTGTTGGCGGGGCTCTATCCAGAGGGTGACTTGTAGTCTAATGTTGGACTAAAGGATTCAAATGTAAATTTGAGTCTATCTTATGATCTAGTAAAGTGAAAAAGAAAGTAAACAACGACAACTAGACAGACGAAGAATCGACTAAGCCAATCTAAACCTCCTCAATATGCTCCTTATCATCTCTCTTCTCATCAGCAGTAGCCAACACATCAAGCTGAAATGGCAACTCCTTTGCAACCCGCACTGTATCAAAGGGACTCTTCGACCGGATAAAGATCTCATCAATCTCCTCCAACGAACGACCCTTTGTCTCCGGGTAAAAAAGGTAGAAGATGACAAAACCTGCGGCGTTGATGCAGAAATAGATAATATAGTATTTCCAACCAATGTTATCGAATCCCGTGGGTGTCACTTCAGCAATCAGGAAATTGAACAGCCAATTCGCTGAAGCGCTCATGGCAGTTACTTTTCCTCTCGTATTTAACGGGGAGATTTCAGCGGCATACATAAAGGGTACGAGGAAGAGACCGATTGGAAAGAAAGTAAATGCGAGGAAGTAAAAAAGTAGCGATGCAGATGCGGCTGATTTGTTGGTGGAGATAACAGATGTAAGACCAGCCAAGCAGGCTTGAGAGACGGCCATCCCTAGAGCTGCAGAGAGCAAAAGACGACGACGTCCAACGCGGTCGATCAGATACACTGCGACTCCGGCACAGATGAATTGCCAGATTTGCAGGCATCCGGAAATTATACGCGCAATGGTCCCGGAGTAGCCAAGGTCCGATTCGAAAATGGTGTCGGAGTAGAAGGTGATAATATTGATACCGGACATTTGAGCGATCACGTTGACACCAATGGCAAGACAAGTACGATGGAAGTTCCGGGTATCGTTGAAAGCGAATGGGTTGCGAGATCTTTCGCTGCCATTCTCGTCTTGAAGAGAACGTCGGATGGTATCTAGTCCTATAGCGACAGCTTCTGAGTCGCCGTTTGTGTCCTCTAAACGGCCCAGGACTGCGGCTGCTTCTTCCACTCGGTCTTTGCTAACAAGCCAACGGGCCGATTCGGGGAGGGACAAGATACAGGAAGTCACGATGATAGCGAATATAAGTTGAAAGGCGATGGGGAAGCGCCAGCTCACATCATTTGTTTGTACGTAGTACAAGCCGAATTCGATCCATGACGCGAGAGCAATGCCACCAATAGCGAAGAAACCTTCTAATAGAACCATTCGTCCACGATTTTCGGCTCGGCTGGATTCTGAGATGTACATTGGGATGACGGCAGTGAAGCCGCCGACTCCAAGCCCTGACAAAGGCATTAGTACCGTGTTGTTCTCGGTTGATACCGCAAGGGAAAGAACTAACCTGTAATGACACGGGCTACGATAAGCTGTGCCAAGGTAAAAGGCGAAGCTTGAATGATGATTCCAACACTAGCAATACACCCGGCTAGGAAAATGGTTCGGCGACGACCTAATTTGTCCCCGAGATAGGCACACGACAGTGCTCCAATAGCGCAACCGACTTCGTAGATTGCGACAGTAGTTCCTAGTAACAAGATAAGATTCTGAAATACGACATTACTGGGCAATGCTGTCAACATACCCTGAATAGTAGATTTGTGACTCTTCTCCGCACCCGTTGCATGTATAGCATCAATGGCAGGAAAGGTCTTCACGAACGAATCCAGAGTGAGCAAACCATTGGCAACGGCTTGATCATAACCTTGAAGCATGAAGCCCATGGCGCCAACGAGACCAACGATCAACGAGAGGCGACGGCCTCGGAGTTCGTCGAATACCATTTTGTTTGTAGCAATATAAAGTATAGATAAAATATGAAATATAAGCACAAAGTATACCACAAGGTGTAAGGTTTCAGAGAAGGCCAAGCTTTCAGCCAAGAGCGCCTTTCCCGCAGCCAAGTATCGAAGCTCAAGATTACTTTACGACGATACAATTTCCGGGTTAATGGCAAGTACTTAAGAAAGAGGGGGGAGTTGAAGGAGAACATTCTTGCGTTTTGTGTGCTCCACTGCCTCGCTTTCGTTGGATGACGAGCAGTAGACACGCGAGACAAAATGACTAAATTCTACATGGCAACGTAATGTACCCCAGATAGACCGGAAAATTCGGATATATGGAGTACAGACTAGACTGAAAAGGAGAGGAGGTTGTGATGATCATGATTAATATCTCCGCGTCATACTGTACGGCCAATCAAAATAGGTTTGCCCCGTGGAGATGGGGGTTGGCTTCCATCCAAGAAGATGTTATGAAATCCCTATGAAGCCGCTCAATTCGACTTGATGAAAGTGAATATCGAATCAGATAAACATGCTGATAGAGTCTGATTATCTTTCCTACTGTTTCACATAGAGATGTCCAAGATGAGGGAATCACAAAAAGCAGATGACAGAGCGCGGGTCATAACAGAACAAAGACTAGCAAGTCTCCACATACACGAAGCTAAAGAGGAGTGGTAAGATAACCATACAACCAACCAACTAAAATTGAACCAACCAGCCAACCAAAAAATAATATACACACTCGTACATACATATTTTATCGGTAAAATAGTCATCTCCGAGTTCCACCACCGAGTCTCACAAATCATATGTTCTAAATCGTGGAACTAGAATTGATGCGGCGCATTGAAGCACTTGCTTAGGGCCTAACAGGCATTTCCCTAGGGTTCACTAGGGTGCTCACTTACCGAAATCTCACTAAAATGCTCTCTTAAGGCTCGCTGGAGTCCTCAGGTAGAGCTCCCCGGAGCGCTTACCTGACTAAAGCTCAATTCCTAACCAGCTATAGACGCGGCGCCGCCATTACCATAATATAGCTTACCAATGTATGAGTCCCCAAGCGAGCCCTTCTTGCCTACATATGTAAGCACTCAAGCGAGCCGGAGAGGGGACAAAATAGGATTCATGACTATACTGCATGCAGAAATAATCAATGGAAGCACGCGGGGTGCCCTATTGAGCTCTGCGTAAGCGCTTGAAGGACTCCCCAAGCAAACATTCTAGTAATTCTTTAAGTAAACATTCTGGTGAGCATAGAAGCTTGCCAGCGTTATTGATATCTTGAAAGAGTTTGTGAATAGGTGAGGGGTAGAACTTTAGACAACGCGTTTTTCAATAAAATACGTGCGTACGAGTTTGTGATTAGCTTTCTAGCACTGTTAACATAGTAAATTCGGATATCAGCGCCCAAGATGAATGAGGACTCCACATCAATCTAAATATCATTTCTGACATCAGGCCAACCTAGAAGTACCGGACCCGATCCCATTGAGTCAGGGCTTGCTTGTAGTTAGATCTGTCCTTTTTCAACCTCTCTCGCATACGAGTAACAGATTCATCTTCTCCGGCAATCCTCTGCAGATCCTCGTCACTCAGACTCGCCAAAAGCTTCATGTTGACGGTAAGTAAGGGACATTTTGAACCTAAAACATGTCTTTCGATCACCTGCATTGCCACGTTGTCGATGAAGCGGTTGATGGCAATATCATAATATAACTCTAGTCGTTTTGAAACGTGAAATATCTGGTTTAATTCCAAAGATAACTGAGATGGGCTGTCGTCAAGGCTACTTCCATCCTCTGTGTCCTCTGCTCTCGTCCCAAGCTTGGATTGCTCTGGGGTATTCTTTGCCTTTTTATGCCTCCTGATCCATTCAATTTGCTTCCGTAGTTCAAGATCAAATCTCCGAGACTCGCTCGTAAAATAAGGATGAAGTGTCTTCGGAGGTCTTCTTTGATGATCATCAATCAGTTCTTCTAGTGCAGCATCAATCTCTACTTCCCAGGCTTCGTTGGTCTTGGACGTCATCGCAATCACTTCGCCTCTGGTTCTGCTATCTGGTATTGCTAGACTCAGAAAGATATCGTGGCATTCTTTCACCTGGTTTTTAATGTCATTGACCAGATCAAACGCGATATCTCTCCAGTGAGCTGATTGTTTCTGAAAAATCTTTCCTTCAACTTCGGGACTAATGGATCCAGGCAGGTTCGTTCCCTGGCATATCTTTGATTCTTTGATGATCTCGGAGAAGATATTTCCATATTCAGCAATCGAGATATACTCCACCCATTGCTCAGGATTGACGTTTGATTTTTCAGCTAAATAATTCAGGGCGTCTTGAACTGGCCTGAACTGCAAACCATCTTTGATCTTGTCGAGGGCTGCAATCTCCTTTTGAAAACTTTCTAGTCGGTTATTGACTCGAAATCGAAGCTTGACCCTAGGATCAATTGATGGAATATCCTGATATCGAGCGTATAGAGCTGAATCCGCCATTTTCTGTAAGTCGGTGCAGAATTGCAGTGCGTAAAATCGCTGTGCAGCCGTAGAATCACGTTGTTCACCAAGTTTCTCAATCTCGAATTCGCATTTACGTAAGTTGTCTCGTATTTCCGCAATAATCTTAGGCATACTCTCCTGGATACGACGGCGACGTTCTTTGTCGATGTGATCCATTAGTGCTTTTATGCCGGTCTGTTCTTTGCGAATTCCAGCCCATTCGGGTTTCTCAAATAGGTCACTCTCATTCTGGTCTCTTTCTTGATCACTTATATGCGCTTCTTTGGGTTTCCTGTTTCGGAGACCAAACCAACCTTGGTCGAGGTGGTGTTTGGTCGATGGTTCGTTTCGAAGCAGTTTTACCATCTGTAAACCAGCCAGTCAGTCATGCATGTCTTATTTCCTCTCACAGGATAAACTATCATGTTTGGAAGCTCACCCAGTCATCAGATGTTTCTTGCTTGCGATCGCACTTAGTTAAAACCCCTATGGTCCGGCTTTGCAAACCGGGAATCTCATCAAACAACTCTAAGGTTTTGTGTCTCTCAATATCCGTGTCATCCACTACCCATCTTCAAATGGTCAGTTCGACATTCTCTCCTAAGTACCGAGAGTCCACCAAAAAGAAACTTACAGGACAATATTCCGCTCATTTTCAAGAAAAGACCGTACCAAGTCCTTCGCTATTTTGGCGTTATTTGTATGACTACTTTCGCCGCCGTTTGCCACGATTTTTTTCGAGGCTGATAATTTTCCTCGATTCTGAACCAGCCCTGGGAGATCTACGATGGTCCAGTGCATTTCGTTGGGGCCAGATCGTTCAATTCGAAGTATCGCATCGCTCAAAGTTTGGTCTGTTTTGCCTTCTTCGCCAAAAATTCGCTCCGTTGCCTGTCCAGTAATACTGACACGTTATTATAATACTAATAATGAAACCTGGAATGGAGAAGATGACCTCTTGAATGATCTCTCCCATGACGCTGGCACTAAGTTCGTTACTCGTAAACCGGAAGTCCTTGGTTCTCTCTATGAATTCCTCGTCATCCTGCGTCGTCTTGCCAGGGATAATCTCCGCTTGAACCGAGGTCGATGATCCCGGAGTTTGTCGAAAGGAGATTTTGATTGGAAAACGAGTGCACAAGGCTGACTCAACGGGGAACGAGATTTCAGTGATGGCCTGGAGAACGGAGCTTTTGCCAGTATTTTGGTCGCCTACAACGATAAGCTTGAAAAGTCAACATCCTATTCTATCGTGTGAGTGGTCACATATATGGTAATTAACACACCTCAGGTAGATCGACCGTACGACTGAGGCCCAGTCTGTGGAGATCATCAATAAAGGCAAGCTGTTTGGAACTTTCGACGCCAACAAAGTGACGGATTCTCTTTCCTGCGGTCGAATCGGACGTTGAAACGCTCATTGTTGTAATCGTGTATGTCTATGGTTATGTTCTAAGGTCGCTTTGGTTATGTGAAACTGATGGAGAATAAAGTGAGGATGAGATTGCAAAACCACAGGAAGAGACCCAGCTTATTTATAAACTGCCCACTTAGGCACTTACAAGGATTGGAGGCAAGTCTGCACTGCTCCATCTACTCAGTAATTGCGTGTTGCCAGTTCAGGAAGTATCTAATATTTGGCGCGATGCTGAACCAAAGCAATAGGGAAACTAGGGCTGTGACTGCATGTGGCACAGCTACCCAGTGGTTCCTGACAGGGATGGTCAGCCAATCCAACCACTCACCAAGAATTAGTCTCAAGATAGCAGTTCACTTGAGGCAAAATGTTCTCGACTAATGCACCAGGGTTTCACATCCATCTAATTCCCTTCTTGTTGGCTTGATCCTAGAGCATTGGAAATTTTGTAACTACCAGATCCGAGATCGTCCAGCGCTTAGGGTCTGGCTATTAGCGTCCAACGGAAATACGGCACAGGTATTGACAATGCGACGACCTTGGGCTAAATATACTTGCAACAAGGCATATTCAGGGATATGTATCACAGCTACATGGATGTCTGCTCCTCTCATGCAGTCGTTTAGGGCAGGTGCTCCCACGTGACCCCTTCGAATCTGAAACGGCGACACACACCAAGGCAACAAGGCACCAAAGGTATCAGCCCTTAACTTAGCGACAATCAGGCGATGCTTATGTCAGCAAGGAGCTAAGCTTTGATTTTATTCGCCGAAATTTTTCTCTTTCTTTCTTCAATTTCTCTTCAATTGCCTCTTCTCTGTCTTTTATTCCCCAGCGTTGACTGATAAATTCATCTTTAGATAGGTGCTCAGTCAATTGCCTACACGCTCGTTTAATTGCACTCCTTTGGAAATCCAAGCAAGCAGTTTGTTGTGGTGAAAACCTGAGCTTCGTTGCTGGATTCCCACCCAAAACAAACAGAAGAAGTTTCCCCCTAAGAAAAAACCCGTAAGAAATTTCTGCGGCCCGCCGGCCACCCTCCGTCACCACGTCGTCTCTCACCTGCCCCGCGACTACTTTCTTTTCTCTTCTCCCCCTCCGTCTTCCACCATCTGCAGCTGGTTCTGCCTTTTCCACCCCCCACTTCTTCTTAGCAAGACGACAAGTCACTACTGTCTCGACTTTTTTCTGTCGCACTTACGCTACTAAAAAGAAGGGCAAAAAAATGGCTCCCAAGAAGGAACAGGCGCCCGAGAAGATCCCTCTGGGACGACCGGGAAACAACTTGAAGAGTGGTATCGTATGTGAGCACAACAGCACCCCATCAACAACCATTTATATCTGTTTCATCCAATGATCATTTACTAATCGTTACGTCTAGGTTGGTCTTGCTAATGTCGGCAAGTCGACTCTCTTTCAAGCCATCACCAAGTCCTCCCTTGGTAACCCTGCCAACTTCCCCTACGCTACCATCGACCCTGAGGAAGCTCGCGTAATTGTCCCAGATGCTCGCTATGACTGGCTATGCGAACAATATAAACCCAAATCGCGTGTCCCTGCTAACTTGACCGTGTACGATATTGCTGGTCTGACACGAGGCGCCTCCACTGGTGCTGGTCTCGGAAATGCTTTCTTGTCTCACATTCGCGCTGTCGATGCCATCTTCCAGGTGGTCCGATGCTTCGACGATGCTGAGATCATCCACGTCGAGGGTGATGTCGACCCTGTCCGTGATTTGAACATTATCAGCGAGGAACTCCGTCTTAAGGATATCGAGTTCACCGAAAAGGCTTTAGAGAACCTTGCCAAGCAAACCAGGAGAGGAGGTCAGTCTCTGGAAATGAAGAAACTGAAAGAAGAAGAAGCCACTGTCGCCAAAGTCCTTCAATGGCTCAAGGACGGAAAGGACGTCCGTAAGAACGACTGGACACCAAAAGAGGTTCGTACCTAAGCTCCCTTTCGCTTTTCGCTTCCTTGCTTTGCATTATATGATGAATAAGAGCATTTGCTCGAATATAACCCAGCTCGTCGAACACCTCGTTTTTAATTATCACGTTGAGGTTGTTTTGAGATAAAAAATCGTCTGAAATTATTTGCACCCTTGATCCTTGTTGATATTCATTCACTGTGATCAGCCATGATGCTAACTGTCACTATTATCAGGTTGAGGTCATTAACCCTCTCTTCCTTTTGACGGCGAAGCCCGTCGTCTACCTGGTCAATCTCAGCGAGAAAGACTACCTCCGCCAGAAGAACAAGCACTTGCCCAAGATTGCCGAATGGGTCAAGGAGCATGCCACTGGTGACCCTATCATTCCTCTTTCCATCTGCTTCGAGGAGCGATTAACGCGATTTGAGACCGAGGCTGAGGCCGATGAAGAATGCAAGAAGCTCGGCACCAAGTCGGCGCTGCCCAAGATCATTATGACCATGCGCAACGCTCTCCAACTTGGCAGTTTCTTCACTTGCGGCTCTGATGAAGTCCGCCAATGGACCATCCGCAAAGGCACCAAGGCTCCCCAGGCCGCCGGTGTCATTCACACAGGTATGCCTTGCCATGAAACTATCCAAGTGGTCTTGAAGCTAATATTCCGTCAGATTTTGAGAAAACTTTCATTCAAGCGATTGTTTTCAACTACAATACCCTCAAGGAGCTTGGTGACGAAGCGGCTGTAAAGGCTGCTGGAAAGGTCATGACCAAGGGCAAGGAATACGTTGTTGAGGATGGTGATATCCTCCTCATCAAGGCAGGTGCTGCCAAGTCCTAAACAAGACAATGTGTTTGCTCGATTATTTCCCCGAGTAGCTTCGGGTTGCCATCATCCATTGCTCAAGCAGTCTCATACGACTTTCGAGTTTTGGTGATAGTAAATATAATATATGCCATAATGAATCCTGTGCATCTGAAAACACATCCAAATACTTGTAGTACCTGTGTATATATAATGTACACTAGTAGGTATTCTGGCAATTAATATAGCCAATTTGAGACTTTGAGCTGTACCTTTCCCCGCGTGCAAAAACGTCGTCATATGCGGCCCGGACCCCTCCATAAACAACTCTTCACAGACCCAAGCTACCTACAATACGCCAGCAGTTTATACAGTAAGTTGCCTGTAAGATCCAAATTTGATTCGAGTCTTTTTTTCTGGGAGAATTTCAATCCTGTTTTGGTCTGTAACATTGACTTGAGCTATAGATCTCCTACCCCGCGCGTCTAATCCAGATCAGCAAAATCTCTACCTTCGAACCTCCTTCAGACGAACTACAACCAGACGAGCACACAATATCCAGAGCAGTGACTATTCACGATACTTGAGCCTTCATAAAGCTCATATATACGAAACGCATACCCTAAAGAGATATATAAAGCAGAGAAAGAGCTATACACAATGTTTAAAAAAGAGTGCGAACTACCCTTCCCTTCATCTTGTGCACTCCGTGAGCACAAACAAATTACTAACTCGCTGTGCAAATAGCTTCCAAGCTGGATCGCGCTCAAAAGTCAAATCTTCTGTACAAAGAGGCCTGCGCTCCAAACTCATCGAGACCTMCCCCGGTTTCGAGCCGTACATTGATGAAATAATGCCCAAGAAGGCTTCGTTGGAAGCCGTGAAACTGTACGCCCACCCTATTAACCACTCTATCAATTTCTGAAATACTGACGAGAGGAAAAAAAAGCCCCGACCGAACAACTCTCTACACAATCGACTCATCCCCGCTCTTCTACCAACCCTTCGACGGCCCTCCAATCCCTCACCTGAAACTAATCCACGCCTTCCCGGACGTCGTACCTAAAATCCAAATCGATCGTGGCGCAATCCGATTTGTGCTTTCGGGGGCTGCGCTGATGGCGCCTGGGTTGACGTCGGCGGGCGGTCGGTTACCAGATAAAGAGAATGCGTTGGAGGCCGGGGATATTGTAGCTGTGACTGCAGAGGGGAAGGAAGAAGTTTGTCTTGTGGGACCGTTGAAGATGGGGACGGAGGAGATGAAGGAGAAGGGCAAAGGGGTGGTTATGGATGCGGGTCATTATTTGGGGGATGGCCTTTGGAAGTTGAATCTGGATTAGATATAAACCCGTCAGAGATGAATGGACTTTCTCACACCCTATGGTAAGGTGTTGAGCTGAATTATTTTCCGTACGCTAAATATAAATCCTAAGTATCATTGTATATACAATAGGGAAATTAAGGAATATGATAGGACTCATCGAGCCCACTGCTTCCTCCCTCGGAAACAGAGGTGCCTTCGTCATCCGTCTTGGACGTGATCGGTGAAAGGTTGGATGTTGTACCGTCGCTAGCGATCGATGACATATCACTACCCTTTCGACGACGGTGCTCTGTACGCCGTGGAGAAAGTGGTGATGGTACTGCAGGAATGCCCAGAGTCAAACCCAATCCACGCATATTCCGTTTACCAGTCTCTGAAGGGTTTCCGCCTTTTTGTGGTGTCATAGAACGTCGAATGCCGACTCGATCAATCGTGCGCCGTAGCATTTCTCCAGATCCATCAAGTGCAATCAAGAATCTTGCCAGCTCGGCACAGAGATCCCAGTCGCTTTTGTGAGCTGCAAGTCCAAGTAACCGTACCGCAGAATCTTCGGTTCTGGCCTTGCTGATCTCTTCGTCTTCCTCGTCATCGAGAGCTTGGAGGACTAGTAAGTAACCAGCTGCGGTCTTGAGTGACCTGAGTTTCAATGCTTGCTCAAACAGATCCTTCGGTGGTGGAAGGTGCGCAAAAAGAGTGCGCCATGACCGGATTTCATTCTTTCGCGTGCACTGCACTACGATATCAAGATAGACATCTGCTGGAAGCGAGGCCTGTAAAAATGAAATGACAGACGGCAGTAGTGGCTGTCGAGTTTCATTTTGTGATTCGTCTCGACTATGCCCATCAACAGCGTCGTCTAGAACGTGGTGGAGGAGTATTTCAAGGGCATGGGGGAAATATGATAGGTGAGAATAGTAGTGGGATAGTGAAAGAGCAGAAGGCATGTCAACACTGGCTAGACTATACCGGAGGAAGTATGGAAGGAAGAGATGTGTCTGTTACGTCTTGTGAGCGGTAGTCTAATTGACTTTGAAAGAAAGACTCACTCGGATAGCATATTTTAAAATAGAAAAGGTTATGTCACGCCGTTGAATCATCTCTGACTCTACTCCAAGTATGATCCCTTTATTCAGTAAAACTGATAAAGGATAAAAGTCGACAGGAACGGGGAGTGGCTTCGGAACGTCTTCACGTTGTAGAATCTCTTGGACATCGCTCCATGCAACGAGGTCCCGTCCGCAGAACATCCACAAGGAATCTCTCAGGGACAGATTGCTTTGAGCCGCTTTCAAAACAACTTCAGCCGAAGGACTGCTTGGCGCTGGCTCTTCTGCCGGTGGAGCGAAATTGAAGGATAGTTGATCTCGCATCAAGACATAGTATTCCACATCTTGGGCAACTATGCGCATGTCGTATTTTAGATCTCCACTGTCAGATACGGAAGGCTGCAAGAGAACAAGGTTGCCATCTACAAGCAACAAGACTGATGCTACCTTGACATCCTGCGAAGGATCTCCATTTCCTATAAGTCACAATAAGCATCCCAGATTGCAAAAGTCGATTGACTCAGAACATACGCATCTGCTCCTCCGGCAGGATCCAACTAATAGAACGAACCCTTGTAGGAGCCCGCACTATTCCGTAAAATGCAATCTGCCCTACAGGAACCAAAGAGACACTGCCGTAAGTCGAATTAATCACATAGTGATAGAGTATATTGTCGTAAGTGTATACGAGGAGTGAGTCTTCCCCTGAAGGGCCGATGAAAACGGCAGGCGACGGCAGGKATTCAGTATGTAAGATGTTGTGATTGGTCAGAGGCAATTCTCTGGAGTACAAACGAAGCTGTGTACGTTAATATCCGAAATCATTGAGCATGGAGAACAAGAAACATACCTCATAGGAGCCGTTGCTTTCGACAGCTGCAATCAAAATATGACCATACCAGCACATACCACCTCTGACAGCGAATGAATTCTCCACATTTGAGTCGTCGAATGTCTTCCAGCGACCACTACTGACGCTATAATGAGCGAGGCCCCTTCGCCCTGCAATAGACACATATCGACCGTCTTGTGACACAACACAAGCACGAATGGGCCACTGCGCATGAAGGTATGCAGGCGGATATTGTGCATGGTGCCACAAGGAGTCCTTTCCGGAAATCGTCATGAGATCTGGCAAGTCGTGACCTCGATATAATATAATCTCGGTGCCGGTCTGCAAAAGTGCCCTGGATAAATTTGCTGGTGAATAACAACCCGTCAAGGCGCTGCGTGCCGTTTCTAGCAACCAAAGTCGGCGGTCATTTTGAGCTGATAATATGATATCAGAGCCACCTCCAATCCAGCATCCCATCGACACCCCAGTCAACCAGTCTTCAGAGTTGTTCTCGGTTATAGAGCGATCAGCCGTGAAGCTGCTACCTCCAGGTTTTCCAAAGACACTCCAATTAGCCCAGCCATTCTGGTAGCCTGCGAAGAGGCAGTAGCCGTCCGGTGAATAGCTCATAAAAGTCAAGTCTCCTGTTGCTTTGACCGAGGCAGGTGGTTGGAGTCTGTGTGAGAGAACCACGTTTCCGATATAATCCTTTGCCGTATATACTAGAATATCGCCATTGCTGCAACTGACTGCAAGCAAAGAAAATCTAGCATTTACAGCAGCTTTGATCGCCTGGTCATCGTCGCTTGTAGGAGTATGGAAACAGTGACCTTTGAAGAGTTTGGCAGATTGCTCTGTTTCGGGCGCATCTGTTTTTCTCTGCACAGTGTACGCATGTCCATCGCTCGTGATCCATATCAATAGACTCATAGCTCGATCATAAACCATTTCAGTCACTGTTATTTTCTTGGGTGTATTGAGAATTCGACTCAGCAGCTCCGAGGTCGTTTGCGTGCCATTTTTGTCCGGAGTCCAGCGAATACACTGAATAGCGGCGGGKTTGAGGGTGGCCACGACGAGTTCGTTATCCAGGGCCAGAGCTCCTACAATACCAGACTCTACTTTTATAGCCATTCTGAAACGTATGCTGACATCTTTGATCCCATTGAACTCTTCACTCCCGAAATGACGCGCAAGTTGTTGACGGCGGTGCGGATTAGAGTGATCGAACTGTTGCTGATAAACTCGGGTATTGGCATCCGAAGCGACGGTGTATGTAAGTAGGTACCCATTCTGGGTTTGCGCGACCAAAATGGTGGAATCGGGATGAAGGAGGAGAGACACATTCGGGCCGTATGCTTTCAACGATGTCTGAGACCGAGCGACAGTAGCTACCACCACAGTAGGCTAAGCTATTGATTAGCGAAGATTCACCGGGACCAGAATGATCGGGCATACCTTTGTTTGCCAGACTGAAATAGAGGAATCTGTCATCGTCGCAAACAATTGCCCATTCCTCGAGTTACAGAGGCCCTTGATGGCCTCCTCGGCCCATGCAGCGGGGGGCTTCTGGTCCTCCGGCACGACCGCGGGCTTCCCACGCTGAATACTTTCATCCTCTGATAGTTCGGTTGTAGGAGGTTCTTGATCGCTTGAGGATGATGTCAGGGGAATGCTGGGCCCGTTGACCGCGTACACCCGAGGAACTCCATTTAGCCAGTACATGGCTCAATAATGCGGAGTTTGTTGACACACAGAGTTGGGGGAATAGAGACCTCGAGTCATCTCCGGCGGAGGAGATCTTACGGAGACGAGCATTGGCTAGCGGAAACGTAATTGGCGGCCATCTCCCGCAGCTCAATTTCAGTGTTGGACTTTTGGCCTGAGCTGTTGTTCAGGACGAATCTAAAGAAGAAGTCGGGAAACATCAGGAGCTGTCGCTGGAATCACGTGTCTGATAGAGGCTAGCGCTCCCCGACCACCGAAGCATCTAGAGTCGGCGTCCCGCCAGCTTAAATAGCCACTCCCCGCATTCCACGCCAAAATATTCTTGACGGCAGCAACACTCGTTCTTTGCAATCTTTCAGCAAAATGGTATTTCCTCGAGACCTTTTGTCATCTTGATGCCTTTACTGATCTACTCTACAGGCTCCTTCTGAATCCAAAAAGCGCTTGGCGCTTGCCATCGTTGACTTCCTCGGATCAAGCTTGAAGGACGGTACCCTGACTGCGGAAGATGCTGATTCCATCGAGATCGCCCAGAACTGTATCGCCGAGACATTCGGTGTTGATCCGACCGATAGTGCCGCTGTGCAGGACGCTCTCGGCGGCCAGTCGCTTTTCAGCATCTACAACGTATACGAGAAGCTCAAGGGCAAGACTGCCGGAGGTGCAGCAAGCGCTGCAGCCGGAGAGGCCAAACCTGCAGCACAGCCCACGTCTAATGCCACCCCCGAGTCGGATAAACTGAAGTCAGAGGGAAATGCCGCCATGGGCCGCAAGGAGTACGACGCAGCCATCGATCTTTACACCAAAGCACTTGCGCTTGCTCCATCAAACCCTATCTATCTGTCTAACCGTGCCGCCGCTTACTCAGCCTCCGGCCAACACACAAAGGCTGCAGCAGATGCTGAGCTTGCTGTCAACGTTGATCCCAAATATGCCAGAGCCTGGAGTCGTCTGGGACTTGCGCGTTACGAACTAGGCGATGCTAAGGGTGCCGTAGAGGCATACGAAAACGGAATTGAGGCCGAGGGAAATGGCGGAAGCGATGCTATGAAGCGCGGTTTGGAGACATCACGAAAGAAGGTCGAGGAGATGAACCGTGCCGAGTCTGCACCTCCCGCTGAAGAAGTCGACAATGCTCCTGGAGCGTCTCGAGGAGGTCCAGGCGGAATGCCGGATTTGTCTTCTTTGGCAAGCATGTTGGGTGGTGGTGCTGGCGGTGCCGGAGGCGCCGGTGGTATGCCTGACCTCGGCTCGCTTATGAGCAACCCCATGTTCGCGAGCGTCGCCCAGAATTTGATGAGCAACCCCGATATGCTTAACAATCTCATGAGCAACCCTCGTCTTCGGCAGATGGCCGAGAGCTTTGGCAATGGAGGAGGTATGCCAGATATGTCATCGATAATGAGCGACCCATCGCTTGCTGATATGTAAGTCTGTTTCTAACACCTCACCAACCAAGTCAACACGAAATAACGATTATTTGAATATAGGGCCCGGAACATGATGGGCGGAGGCGCTGGCCGTGGAGCTGGGGGTCAATAGTTTGTAATAAATCTATCATTTGCACGGGTTCTACCATTGAGATACCACAGAACTTGTTACGAGCTATTTATGATGTTGGTTGATATAGCACTTTTTAATTCCAGAAATCACAGCCACCAAGGAAAATGTGCTTCTATAACATGTCCATCTAATCTCAATCTGTGAAAACACTCAGCCAGACCTCGAGTCCAAGATCTACGTAGCTCACCAAGCACTAAATTTCAATGTTCAAAATTTCATGAGCCTCGGGAATGGTAAAATACAGAGCACAAAGCTGTAGCGAGGCTCAGACTTCAAGCGAATACCTAGTTTTGTAGATAGATGAAGCGTAATGAAGCATGCCTAGAACCGGCAAACATCTCGCTCAGGTCAACCATCAACGGTACTTCTTTTCTTGCACTGCACGTATCGTCTCAAACATTAAAAGAAACAAACATAAATGGCCAATCCCAAGCGCCAATTATGACAGCGACACCTATGAGAGGAGATCAGAGGAATAAATACATGATGAGAAAAGAAAGGGCGAAAAATCGAATGCAATCACGCTGACATCTCATGACATAGACAGAAGATGTATAAAATACATGGAGAAGATTAAAAGGCTGACACCGGTCGAAATAGTGAAGAATGATTCCTCTGAAGCAGGAAAACCCCAACCCGAACCATATCTAGTATGCAAAGACGATATATTACAAACGCATGAGTGAAAACGCAATGGAGAGGTGCTGGTTTTGATAGTGAGACATGACGGCTCTCGAATGTTTGTGTGATCTTTTTTTGGGAAGATGAGGCTGAACAGACTTCTTTAGATATAGTCTCTTGCAGCCTTTTGCAATTCAATCATTCTCCATCCTCGGGTTTCGGGATTGTTGACATCCTCAGGAATTCTTGTAACACCAATGGCATACGTGACGAGCTGAACACGATCTTCCATTCCTGCAGCAAGCTCGTTCGTTTTGGCATTGCGGTAGACATGGACTTCCTGAGTTCTACAAGTGACGACGAAAACAGGAATATCGCCAGGCTCAAGCATACGAGCATTGGCAATATCAACACCTCGGATGTCCAGAATACGACCATCAGACTTCATGCCGAGCGTTGTATATTGTTGTGCTAATGCGGAGTATACCGAAAATTGAGCATCAGACAACCACAGTTTGAGAGTCTCGATATCTCCCTTGACGTATGCATCGAGAACTTCTGGCAAAATGTATTCGCGCATCTCTCGTAGGAATGGTTCGAGCTGAAAGCTCGGGTCCATCTCACGAAACTTCTTGATGACTCTGGCGGTTTCGTTTTCGGCGAAAAAGCCTGCCACACGATCTGAGATGCTGCGGGCTGTGGAAATAAGAGGGTTTTCGGATTCATTGTATGTATCTTTAAGCGAGAATAGTCTTTGCATCACTGGGCTCTTATCGCGGAAGTCCTTCCAGGATTCTTTCCAAGCCGAGTCTTTATGAAGGGTAAGGTTCGTGCCGGCACTATAGGAGTCAATCAGTAAAGTGATGATTTACACAACGATACAGCAATAACTTACTTGGGGTCTTCCTCCATAGGTTCGAGTCGAGACGATTTGCCGGATTTCAATTCGTTCTCCTCACGCAACTGTCTTTGACGACGACGCTCTTCTTTTTCAATCCATCCACCATAACGAGAGCTACTGCCATCGTCGATAGCTTCCTTGACACTCTTATAAGCTTCGGTCTCCCTGACTGGTCGGGTGACCTTCTCAATGCCCTTTCCAGTTGCAGAAACACCTTTACGCAGTCCTTTGACTACCGGAGTCTCCCAAGTCCAAGCTGCTCCTTGTCCAATAGCCCTTCCAGTGGATTTCAAAGCGGTTGATGTGGTGGAGGTTGCGGTAGTCGAAGCAGCCTCGTAAGCAGCACGGGCTCGCTTGACCGACTCACTCTCGGTGAAGGTGTGTGCGGATGATGCAAGGGCTTTGGTACCTTCCTCCCATTCTTTGGATTTTTTGAATTCAGATCGTAGAGTTTCGGTGAAGACTTGCCACGGGGTTTTATCACCGTGTGGTGGAGGAGGAGGAACGTCTTTTTTCTTCTGTTCTTGAGAAGACTCGCCTTCACCTTCTTTATTCTTTTCGCTATCGGATTTGGATTCGGTTTCGGTTTCGGCTTTTTTGTGATTCGTATGCGCTTGTTCCTTTTGTTCCTGGCTTCGGATCGCGGTAGAATGGAGAGCTCGTCGAGATAGTAATACAGAAGATAAAATTGTGGTTTCGAAAGAGGTACTTGACTGTGGCGTCCTCCGGGCGTCGCTCAATAGTGTGCTAAGCCTCCTATACTGATCATTTGATGTCCGCGAAAGGTACGCTCGACCAGGTAAAAGTGTAGCTGTCCGCGCTGCGATCGCCGGACCAAATCTTGTCGGCTGGATCATCCTCGGCGAAGGAAAGAAGTGTTTGGCCGGGACAGTGAAATCCGGCAATGCCTCGTCGAATTAATGCAGACGAAGCGGTTTAATGTACACTGTGTGTTTGAGGAGCTGACTGCGAGAATGGCCGAGGGATGTCTTGATGGAAGACTTTATGGGGTTGTGGCGGAGAAAATATTATTCGTCCTGAAAAGCTAAACCCGATGCTTCAGCGCCAAGACTCACCTCCCGGCTTACGGGACGGATAATTATTGTCTTCTCTCGACAAGTCGTAAATTCTTCAGCAAGCCGTCCAAAATAACTGCACCGTCTCTGCTCTCCTCCCAACCACGAATTGGCTGCAAATTCTACGGCTATAAAGCCGTAATATCGGGCCTTCGTTGTGACCTCACACCAATTGCTTGATTGCCATATCCTCTCCAGAACCCCCATCATGAAGGCTCGACTGTTAAATACCGTTGAACACACCATACCATGGCTCAGTCGTGGTACCCGGTCGCCATTATCGCAAATTGGGGCTTGTCCTCAGTTGTCGACTGCCTCCTCCTCATACGCACCCCTTAATTCAACACGAGACTCTGCTGTCCGTCGCCAGAGAGAAACCGATGCTCTCAAACCAAGCCAGMAAGCCACTATCGAGTCCTCAAAGAGCGATTCCTCAGTTGCTGGCATCATTCGTCTGATGGCCGCCAAGAAACCTACGGTTGGTCAGAAGGCTGGTACCTACGCAGATGGGTTGAGGGTACGACAGGAGGAATCATATCAGGCATACAACAATCGTGCGCCTCCATATAATCTTCACGTTTATGCCCACAAACACAACACGATAATCACACTTACAAGACCGAACGGGAATCCTATTATGTCGCTCGGCTGTGGTAATATCGGATTCCGCAAATCTCATCGCTCGGGCTACGATCCAGCCTATCAACTTTCCTCGCACGTCTTCGCACAAATCCAGGAACGGGGCTTGTTACATGAGATCAAGGGAATCACACTCGTGTTCAAAGGCTTTGGCATGGGCCGCGAAGCTTTCATCAAGGTGCTGCTCGGAAACGAAGGACGAAACGTTCGGCCGTTAGTCACGCGTGTCACGGACAATACCACGATCAAATTTGGTGGTACGAGAAGCAGACATGTGCGCAGACTGGGTTAATGAAGGGGTTCCAGTATCTTTCTCGGAAAATATTGTGTGTGTACTTGGGATACTTTTGGTCTCGGTCAGAGCTGAGAAAACATCAAGCACGGCGTACTAGGAGGAAAGATCAACGGGCTTATACCTATTCAATCTGTACTATACATGTAATATTTCATTCTCTCTTCTGATGGCGAACGCAAAATGTAATTGTATAAGTCTTGCACTTCAACGTAGAGTCAGGGACAAAAGCTCAGGTCATGCCTTCCAAACATGGCTTAGCGCGACATGTGATTCTCAACGAGACATTCGCAGACAAGACAAGGCATCATCATTCACCTGCTGCACCACTCGCTGCCATGGGAATCCTTCACGACTAAGCACTGGAATTCTGTATTCCTCATGACGCCCAAAATATCATTTTAGATTACTTGTCGGCACTTCCGCTGTGCTCAATCCCACCGAGTCGAGACGGGAAACCACCCTCTACTCGCGGCTATCAGGCAACAAACAAAACATTGTCCATTCAAACTGCCTCAGCGCAGCTTGACGCTTCTGTGACACCCTTACGGATTTTCCGATGCTGCTTGAATGCACCCGTTAAATCCATTCCTCCGTGCCTTCTTTCGAAGCACGGTCCCTGGACAGTGTGTCCCGGTCGAAAACCATGTATGCGCGATCGCCCTTACGCACACTTTCAGAGATTCTAATCAGACCTAGGTGCTCTTAGTTCCCACGACAGAGTCCTTATTCGGATCGCGAGACAGAGACTCTAACGCACTATACTCTGATCTCGTCTCCTCCGAAGAGTTTCTTGGAAGCCATGTCCTACGAATACCGAACCCGCCTGGTCCATCGCATAAATCAGACGCTCCCAACGCTCGAGATACGCGGGCCAAGGCTAAGCAAGTAACGACTGTCAACGGCCGTACGGTAATAGTCAAGGAGAACTCGGTCTATAGCAATAAAGGTGGGTGGTTCTAGTGCAGGTCTGTTAACCTTTGGCTAATAAATGCCAGGATTCAAATCACTTTGTCAGGCGCAAATCATATCGGACGTCCTCTATCACACGCCAAATCATAGCTCACAACCATGGCTGATATATTACATATCTAAGCCGCTGATCGGCACCTACGATCCTGGAAAAATAGTCCCGGCCGTACCTTCGAGAAACATTCAAGGAAACGACGGTGAACCCCCCAATCGAAATGCCGGAGATACATCGAGTGTGCAGAAACGGGATATCAAGTCATTTGCAGAGCTCCTGGCGCACTTTCCGATGATCGCGAGACAAATGCAGCCGGGCCTTGACAGATTATTTCGCGAATTTGGCAAAGAGCTGGGGAAGCCTTTACCACCACCTCCGTCGCAATCGCCGTCTTCTCCATCCAAATCCGAACAGTGGGACCCTGAAGGGACCGACCATTCGCAAGCAGATCGACTGCCGTTCAACTCCGACGAATACTTCGCCGATGATGAAGATCTAATGCGCCGTAGTTTGGAAACAGCTGTCACAGCTGCAATTGACCTTTTCCGACTAGTGGACAAGCAGCAGCTCTCGCTTCTTGGAGCTACCACCGACTTAACCGGCCCTTTGGTGGAGCGACTAATCGAGAAATATATCGCGCAACAGGTTCACGAGACGCTGTTGTTCCCTCGACTTTGCAGTTTTCGTCGAACTGAGGATGTCGAACTCGACACAAGGATCCGACAAATTGAGCACATCGATGTTTCTCAGGTCGGTATCGCTATAGAAGGAGGTCTCGCCGGCAAAAAGGAACTAATGAACCGGCTGAGTAGAGGTGTAGAAGCATTTCGAAAAATGAATGATGCGACCTGTCCTCAGGATATGCTTGACGTGCTGTTGGCAACTATCAAGGCCGTCACAGTAGCGGATGAATCGGATCGATCGCTGGACTCATCGGAGAAGCAACCGCCTGTTTTTACAGTGAACGCAGACATTCTGGTATCCATGCTCCTCGTTGTGGTGATCAGGTCTCAAGTTCGTCGACTTCAAGCTCGACTTCTCTATATGCAACATTTCATTTTCGTTGATGATGTTGAAAGTGGAGAGATGGGCTACGCTTTAAGTACTTTGGAGGCTGTGTTGACCTACTTGGTTAGCGATTACGCTCCACTTCGCAAGGCCAGCGCGCGCAACAAGCGACTTTGGCAGGCTACAAAGACTGGCAACACGAGAGATATCAGATCGATTCTAGAGCCAAATGAGGATGAGAATAATGATGATTTTTCTGCATACGATAATATAGACCCTGACCCCGACGCATTGAACAAAAAAGCAATCAGAACGCCACCGCTCGAACAACAATCTATCAGATTTGCACTCGCTAATGGAAACTCGCCTGAACCGCATGCAGACACTGAGGTGGAAGACTCGCCGTTGGAGCCTCCGCCTCTAGCTCATGTGTTTCCATTCCAAACTTGGGCGCATTCAAGCTCAAATAACACTGATAAAAGACCTCGAAAAAGGGTCTCCATGGACGTCAGCAGTATATCAGGCTCATCTATGATCTCTTTACTATCCAGAACAACAACTAATGCGTCGACATTCAGCGGCATTGAAGGCGATACCTCAATTGAAACGCTGAGCCATACGCACGATCCTGCTGGCGATTCAGTGCCAATGATGGCAGTTGAAAGCCATCAACCTGGAGCTCTGAAATATCTGCTTAGTCTGCAAGAATACTATTCGATCGATGTCATTCTTGAGGATACGAATCGTGACGGCACCACACTGCTTAGTGCAGCTGTTCAACATGCGAATAGGAAGGTGGTCGACATCATCACAGAATTTCTATTAACTGAAGCAGATATCCATACAATCAGCAGTTATCTAGAAAAAGAAGATATTCGAGGACGGACAGTTGCACACTACCTGTTCAGTGCTCCTTATCTGATATCTTCGCTAGGAAGTCTTTTACCTTGGCAGAAAAAGGATAAGCATGGGCAGACGCCTCTTTTCGCAATATGCAGGTCATATGATCATATTAATTATCAAGCCATGGTCAATGAGGCCCTGACAGTGGCACAAAGAGCTCAGGATGATGGACAACCTCTGAGGATAGGTGACCACGTTGACTTGAAAGGCAACACTCTTTTGCATATTGTTAGCGATCCTGAGATTATAACACGAATCCTAGCTGAGTGTGATTGCGATCCGAATGCTACGAACGACAGGAAATTTACTCCGTTGATGGTGGCAAGCAAATATGGTCGAGTTGATTTGATGCGAAGACTCTTTGCTGATCCTCGAGTTGATACACACATCACAGAGAGCAGAGGTCTAACAGCTGTTGAACTTGCAAAAGATGATGAAGTACGAAACAGGATTGACGACATGATCTTGTTCTTAAATCCTCCTATGAGTTCTGGAGATATCACTGGCCGAATCACTACAGTTGTGCGTTCTCTTTTTGTTGAAGACGCTACTGTGAGATTTATTTTGAAATCAGGTGCCCAGGCATTTTCTGACACGACATCAATTAACGGCACGACTTACACTATTACCACTTGTCGGCGGTCTTTTGCCGACTTTGAACACCTGGCTAGATGTCTTGCAGTCGAGCATCCGGCGTCTTATATTCCGAGCATAACTGAGTCCCGAAGTCCTTTCCAAATCCATTCAAAGCCATCTCGCGCCATTCTCCATGATATGCAAGGTCGTCTTGATCAGTTTCTAAGAATTCTTTTAACACACCCGACATTTGCTACTCATGAAATGCTCTGGGAATTCTTCCTCATGCCAGAATTGCAACCTGATATGATGATTGATAGATCGCAGCGCAAAGCCTCGGTGCTTTATGAAAGCATCTACGATGACTATCCGCCCATAACTACAGATGGTATTAAGGATACGGAACAATTCGTAGCTCATGCCCAGGAAGTTGTACGTGCCGTCCATGCCAATACACGGAGCGTCATACGGCGGGGACACTCGGCACAACATGCAGCATTTGACTTTGGGGATGCGGCCAGTCTTTGTGCATCAGTTCTGTCAACATTCAAGCCACCATCTAACGCAATCCCCGTCTCACACATTGATGCTTTTTCTCAATACGCCGCTGCTATGAGCACATCTTCTTCAGACTCATCTCCTCTCCTTCAATTCCTCATAGCCATCACATCTATACAAAGCACAACCACGGCAGTGCTGAGTGCACTTTCCCGCCCAGGAAGACTAATCTACACACTTTCATCTACGAATCGCAATTTGTCACGATCACGCTCGTCTTTAGCATCCTCATCGCTACCAAGGAAGTTTAATCTCAACCTTTCCGTTCTTGAGGAATCGAGACAAAAGAACTTACGAGAGCTCGAGCAGAAAATAAATGAATCGGAAGCTCAGGCATCGCGATTATCACGCGAGATATCGTGGAATAAGGATGTGGTGGTTAGTGAGCTCGCTGGCTGGACCTCCTGGAGAGAAAAGGTCGGGCGAGACGCTATTCGAGCATTTGTCAGGGCTACCGTCGTGCAAGAGAAAGAACGAGGGCACCGACTGGAACGCTGTCTACGGAATATCAAGGACTTGCCCCTATTGCCAGGTTCGACAAAATGATGATAATTATACCATAGAAATTGAATGATTACTTCTTCTACAGCTTCTGTCATCACAAGAACCTTTATTTGACATTTTCTCTCGTGGAAAGGGTATCTAGGTATATAAAGGAGGATCGTCTAAAAGGCTAGAAACGAAAATGAAGCAAGAATTCATGAAAACATTCGACGTCTAGCATCGATACAGCCAGCGCATTGTGAACAGGAAGGAACAGAGGAACGAACGTTGAAGCCAAAGCCAAAGCTAACTTCCGGAGTTGTTACTTTAAATCGCGGATGCCATAATTATTCATTCATGGGTCCTGGGGTCGTCCGGGAGTATTTCTTGAAATGCCGACACAACTGAAGCCACTGAAGAGCGATTATCACGCCCCGTCCGTGACATATAATCATGCTGTTGATCTGTGTGCGTATCTTCCAGCGGCGGCGAAACGATAACAGGAATACTAGTCAGCGACGCACGCTCACTACTACGATCCATAGACGACGAGACAATGTCGACTTCGGCCATCTCATTTCCACTCAAAAGTCCCTTTCGCTGCTCAGCTTCCGTCTGATCCACGGGCACATATTTCCCGTCTCGCAATACATAGACCTGCGACGACATTCGACGTTGCGAATGATCCACATCCTCGACCACCGCGAAGTTGAGTGAAGACGCACGACTCCTGCTGAACATGATCGATTCCCGCTCCGAAGCAAATGAAGCGCGTTTCGTGAGCGCTTCTTCGTCGTCTTGTACGTTCAGATGCTGCGATGATCCCTTGCTTATCTTTTTCTCGCGACGACGTTTAAACCATCCGCGGCGTGTGATGCAGTTGTCGTGGCTGACGAGGTATGCGATGAGACAGAGGAGGAGGGCGGTGCCGAAGATGGATCCTATTATGATTCCGGCAAGGGGAACTTTGTTGTTGTCTGTGTTATTGTCGTCGGTTGAATCTCGAGTGTTGATGGTTGATATCAGGGTTGACGGCGCGCGGAGGAATAATGGAACAGCGGAAATGGTAGAAGCTCCGAGGAGCAGTATCGTCGATGCACGCATACTACCGGTATGTTTTATCTAGAGACAAGCAAGTCGAGTGGTTCTCTCAGTTGTTCTGTATAGCAACTATTTCGTCTATGGCGCGGGCCTTGGGTTTGGTATATGCTAAATCGCACCCACAACAATCATATACATGTAGATGTCCAGTATTTCACAAGAACAGTCGATCGAATAGATTTGTCAATGCTATGAAAAGCTTGATCTGCAGGTCCGACAGCCCTTTATGTATTGTCTTCCACAGTTGACTCCGAAACTAAATTTTGACCAAACCTTCTTAGCTACTAGCTGCGAACAAACGCAGTGCATCGAATAACAATGGTACGTAATGAAACGCATAAGAGCTAGTGATTTAGGTACAGTGAGGCTGAGAGCCATCATTCGCGTGGTAGTTACGTCCTGGTGCTTAGCACTGCGTGGAAGTAGGGACAAATAGCTAAGCCGTCAATAGAGTTTAAATTTAGTGTCTTCACCGATCACGTTCCAAGCTAACAATTCCAAATGTGATAGATTTGGCTTGCAAAAGGGCGAAGTTTGTTGGTTACTTTTTTCGATTTGTTGACTTCTGACTTCTAACTTCCAAGCCACTCGCTATTGAATGGTTTAAGTGGAGAGACACGCAGGGCGGAGCTCGTTCGCTCCCTGAAGGCTAAAGCTTACGCCGCGGGATAGTTGGTTAGGCCGTCGACTGGCCTCCACATTAATGATCCCTAGCGAGTGCACCGAGTCAAGGCAAGCTGCTTTTTTATTTGTCGTTTGTGGAACGGAGGAGTTGTCGCTGCTGAAATCGGTGTCAAGACATCCGCTTTCTTGTGATTTTCCCTCATGTTCATCCGCAATAGAACCGAAGAATCACAGCAAAGTTCAAAGCCCAAAAGTCCCCTCCTACCAAGGCTCTCATCGTTAGTTTGGGCTTGATACGTCAAATCAAAAGCCATTGGAGGAGTAAGATGTAGTACTTCGTACCCGCAGTCGTACGAACTCTGATTATTTTGGGCTCAAATGGCAACGGGGCTGGTGCTGAGGTGCTCAGCCTTTGCGGAAGAAATTAGGGCTAAGTCCAGCCGCGGTCTGGTCCAAGCTTGTGCCCTAATGCTTCTATCATTAGATAGCCAATTATATCCAAGTGGTCCTTCTAGCTGGTTTCGATTGCGTGTTTGATATTGATAATTGTTCCGAAGAGAATCGTCTCTGTATGATTTGAAGGTCCAGAGTATGTGCATGGTAAGGCGCAACCACACTCATCGATCTACTACGTACTTCGTAAGCCACGCCACATGGTAACCACCGATCATAGTCCAAATATGTGATGGACCTATGAGCTCATATAATAAGCGCCAGTAGACTCCCTGGCTGAAGCTGACGAGCTCCGTGATCTGCTCGGTAAGCATCATCATCCCATACGAGCTGTAAGGCCTCGCTCGCCCACAGCTTGCTGCGAACGATTGTGTACATTGATGATTGGCAGACCCTACAACTACTTATGTAGAATCCACGAAAAGCATCTTAAATTTTTATTTGAGGGGGGATATAGCGATTCTGAGGTATCGCATGAGGAAGGAGAGATTTGTTTATCCATCGGCTCCTATTAACGGATACGATGCTGCTCTCTACGGCATTGCCTCAAGATATGAATGAAAAAGATACTCAAATCCCATTCCATAAATAGCACTCTTTTTTCGAAATGCTGCTTTTATCAGTGACTCAATATATCGCTTTCTCTGTTTTATGGCATAAGGTGGACGGACCATCTGCCCCGGTCGAGTCATCGTCACTCTGAACCCTCTTCGACAGCCCGATACAATCCAGTGCAAGCGCATCTGTTACCTCCTTATCATTCCCTCTACAGGTGCCCAGGCACCACGCCATTTAGATCTACTCAACAAGACTGACAACGTCAGCTATATGGGTGCCTGTACGGGCTTCGTGTTTCACGAAGATGGGTTCAGCGCTGGACTAGCGGTCGCGAAGTAGGTATCTACGATAATCCCCACACGCTTCCGGTCTGGAGAAGAGCGCAAAGGAGGGGTGTCACGCAATTAAGAATTCTAACACCTTACGCTGTATAGCCGCGAACAATACATGAAATATGTAGGTAGCTGCTTGATGGCAGTGGCATTTTCGACCAAGAGCTCTCATCGTTAGCAAATTATTGCAGTCTGTCTCAAGCAATATTTCAGCCGGTATTGGGAGATTTCCAACAGTCTACTGAGGTCGTTTTTATCAATAATTCGACTTCTTAGGTGTATCAACTATGTTCTATCACAGGTATTATCTAAATAGTCTTGCAGCTAAGCAGGCCGTTATACAGTTTCACAATTGGGAGAAGAAGGGGCTTTGGGGTTTGATAACAGTCTCTGGGACATTGAGTATAGGTGACTTCTCTGGTCAAGCGCTTCATTAATTATTAAGATATAACTCTTGATAGTATGATCGCAAACTGTCAGGATATTTAACAAGATCTTTCTTGACCAATGACAGCCTCTACATGATGCATCCATGAAGCTAGAGGAAGAGCTTTACTACTACGGTAGTAGTGCATTGTCAAGCCCATCAACTCTATGTCACACCACTTCAGACACCCCAAAACCGACATGGCCATTGGTCAGAAATAAATACTCTGTGGCTATGTAGAGGGAACCCCTTTAATTCCCCAGATTGAGTTTTCTTGTAATTGAGCCTCACATCTTCAAAACGGCGCTGATGATCTTTTACGACTCCACACTTGTGTACTCCAACACTTTCTATGCGGAAGTCATCGTGGAATTTCAATCTTCAATCTGGATGCTGATATATGAAAAGTGAAGATATACTGGGTTTTGATCGCAAACATGACACGCCTGCTACGATTTATTGCGCTTGCCGGCATCACCTACATCCCTCTGGCTTACAGTGCGACTACCAACTCGCCCGCTTCTGCCTCAAATACCTCGGGTATAGAGGTAGACATTATCTTTCCTATTCACAATGCAACCTACAACATCACCGAGTCGCTTCCCATCGTATTCGCTCTGCAGAACCTGACAGCAGCCGCTGCCATCGGGCCCTTCACTTTTGAATGGGATATCATGCCCTATGGCAACGTTGGCGAGTTACAGGAGCCCGGCGGCGTTTTAAATGATTTCGCGAGCGTCTACTTCACCACTGGCAATGCCACGACGGAGCCATACATCCTCGTCAACCAAACAGACGTGCAAAAATGGCAGTACGGGCCCTATTATCCACACGGCTCCGTATACGCTCTGCAGTGGAATATACAGTGGGATGTCGATACCGGACCCTGCGATTCCGCTCGGCTAGGCATGCTCGGAACGCTCTTCTTCAATATTAACCTCAACGATCCAGAGCCCAACCTCACGAACGTGACAGGGCAGTGTCCGCAACTAGGCGCTGTATATCAGATCAACACGGCAGCTAAGAACAGTTCCTGCTCGGCGGTGGTGACCAATAATGGTACAGGCGACCCTTGCGCTGTCACCTTGGACCAGGCTAGGGTGGCGAATATCTCGAGTACCTGGAAGGGCCTAGTCGCAGCGTCAACGGCTACCACATCTGCTAGTGCTACGGCCACATCTTCGCCGGCAAAGAAGAACTTTGCTGTTGGTTCTAATGTTCCGTTTTCATATATGTTGGTGGCTACGTTGCTCGGATCTCTTCAGATGATCATGTCTTGATAATTTGCATTATGTCTCAACCGCTGCATTAGTACAAATTTTACGACTCATCTGCACAAGACTTCCCTCATAGACCGGGCCGTTCCGTAAGGACCGTAAGGACCGTAAGGAGACTTGGTTCTTATCCTATGTTAATAACTGCGGTGACTCGCTGTTCTTGATACATGGAGGACATGTGGTAGGGCAAATCCGATGCAGATGGTGGATTAGGGTTAGAGTGACATCACCCCTCCATATGGGGAAAACACCGACGTCATTGACCAGGCAACTCTTTTATCGATAACTATATAATGTTCTATAGTTCGATCGTCTTTTACTTTCGATCAAGTATTTCAACTTAATACATCTCATTTAAATTATCTTTTTAACAGACATAAACAATCATCATGCCTCTCGTCGTACCAGGTATCAACTCCTCCTTGACCGGAGACAAAAAGAATGACTGGCTCGACAAGCTCATGGGCAAGAAGCTGTCCGATTCTACAAGCGATGAAGTGGTGCAGTTTTCTCTCCTGTCTAGCCTTTTACTGCAATTGTTGCTGACGATCGGTTATGTAGTCATTCGCAAAGCGAGACCTGCCTTCCAGCCATCGTGTCATAGGGCCAAATGATATGTCAACGACCGACCATAACCCTGATCGGTATGTACTAGATTTGTGTTAGTTCAACAGTCTCAATGCTGACTCAATTCTACAGACTCAACATTCACGTCGATAATGAGGGGACGGTTCGGGATGTCCGATATGGTTGAATGACTGATATCTCATGTCAGAGCTGATGGGACGAATTGACACGATAACGACATATGATGTTTTTAATAGTAACTTCCGAGCAATGTATTGTTAAAGAGATTGATCCGTCCATAAAATTCCTCAGGAACTGGCTAGGTGTATTCTGTAAACTGTCTCTTGAGAGGGGTTATTGTTAACGTTGAAATGGAGATTACAGTCCTCTTTCAAGCCTTTGTATATCATTTCCTCTAATTCATTCCCAAATTCAACCTGCTGGATGTCACGACAGGATTAAACAGATCCCTAGAAGGTTACTCCAAGGCCGGACACTGGGTCGATCCAAAAATTTAGATTGGCGAAACCACTCCAGAATATCGATCCAGCATGTCTCCCTGTATTCCCAGAATCGAACTTCATATCCAGACCACAATGAGCAACACCTAACTGTGCTAGCCAAGTACGAAAAATGCCTGTGGATACTTGAAGAGTAGAGGAAGGTCTGATACACTAACCTGCTGTGAAGCTCAATTTCGGTTTTCTGTAAGACTCCTTCAAGTCAACTGGAATACTACTTGGCCCGTGGGTGAACAATGGTGAGCCCAATCATTATTGCACATGCATCATTCGGCGATAGGTGCAAGACTGCGATCCCAACTTGGATGGACATATTCCGAACTGCACTTCCAGCATCAGATGTTAACCGGTACGCTGGTAGAGCCTCAACATTGGAATCATACGATCAAGGTCAATCCGGTTTGAAGAATAGATCATGGGCTGGGTGAAAAGGCACTATACCATACCAGCCCAGTAGCCGAGACATCCAGGATCCGGCAAAAGGCCAATGTACGACAGCATCGCTCCTGTGCATGAGAGGAATTTGAAAAAGTTATGAGTCATTTCTTGCTACGTCCTATTACTTACGTGGTTGCTTACCAGCATCTAAGGAAACCATCACGGGTGAAGATAAATATCGTATAATTTCCTGGCTCTACGCTTCATTGTTCCAGTTTCAGGCTGTAACACATTGGAAACCTTACTCATGATGTCATTGTTGATGATTGGTCGATGTATGTGAAACGTCACGTGTGATCTAGCCGTATTCGGAAGAATCCAAACGAACGCGGGCAGGAGCTGCCCCAGCCTCCTTCCACCCTCAACAAGGGACGATACCAGTGACTGCAATTTGTCTCGAAGACAAGAGGCATCGAATGCGCACAACCACGCCCACCACCACTCATTAACGTCAATCATTGCAACAATGCAATTGATCTTCGCAGCCCGTCGGGGCCGCCGTGTTCTGCATCAAGTGAACCTCCGACAGACCGCATCTCTATCGACTCGTGTGCCAATCGCCGTCAGCCATGTCCAACGCGTATTTCGTGTCGCAGACATCCGTCCTGCTGTTCAAAGCGTACCCAGCACTCTAAAACAGCTCGGCGCAGCTTTACCAAAGAATCAATACTCTACAACTACAACTACAACTACGACCTCAGCCGATCCCTCGAAACCCAAACGTCGCGGCCGCCCACCCAAAGACGAAAATGCCAAACCAAAGACAAAGAAGAAAGCCCCCAAGAAGCGCAAGCCCAAGAAGAAGGTCAAGAAAGTGCTCAAGCTCTCTGAAGACGCATTAGAAAAGAGGCGCAAACAAAGACTGGAGCAAAAGGTCAAGGATACGATAAAAACATTGATTGCAGAGTCATTGAAAAAAGAAGAGCCTAAATTGAGGAGCCCGATAGCCTGGAATCTTTTTGTTTCCGAGAAACTCAAGGGTGTTGAAAGAGAGGCCAAGGGCCAAGCTCTCCGTGATATAGGTGCTCAATATCGCGAGCTTCCTGAATCTCAGCGAGAGGTTTGTTTCCCCCCTGTTGAGTGAATCAACAGTATGATTGCGGACTAACCAACGATTCAAACAGACCCTGACCCAGGAAGCGACCAAATTGACCAAAGAGAATGAAATAAAAATGAGGGAATGGGTGCATTCGTACTCTCCTCTACGAATTAAACAGGCCAATGCCGCCCGCAGGTTCCTACCAAAGTACATGGCCAAGCATGAGAAAGCTCCGATCATCAAACTCAGTGCCATCCACGACGACCGCCAGGTGAAGCGACCTGTCTCCGCGTTCCTCTGGTTCTTCAAGGAGCGCGTGGCAACTGGAGAGTACCGCGGTCTTCCCGTCACAGAGATCTCTGAACGTGTCAAGGCTGAGTGGCTCAATACATCGGACAGCGAGAAACAGGTGTGTATTCACCAAATGATTGATTTTTGGCCAAGACGCGATTGCTGACGGTGGCGATAGCTCTACTTGAACAAAGCAGAAGAGGACCGACAACGATACATTACGGAATACCGTGACACCTACGGCGAAGATCCCATTTTCGTCCAAAAAGACGGTAGTAAGTCGAAGGCCAAGGCCGATCTGTAAACCGACCTCGACCCGGCTGTCTTGTATGAATGAGAGCTCGTTCGTTCCTCGCGGAGTGTAGAGTGAGCAAGCGGTGGTGTTTGAGATACCAATATCCCTTCTGTCATGATTCCTGCTGATTGTTTTTCTGCCTCTGTCTATTCATGTATTGATTACTCTGTATCTCTCGGTCGGATCGGTGTCTTGTTTTCTTCCTTCTTTTTGTATTACCGTGAAGGAATGTATTTGTATCCTCGGTTTGTGCTCGGCTCAATTCATTCGCAGTGTCTCGATAGGAAGACTTTCTCACAGAACGTATGGATCAAAACTCAGATTAAATTTTCGATCTGGCAGCCACATCCATATCCACCGTATGCATGCACCAGTTGTCGCATGCTTCCCGATGCACAGATAACAGTAATAGCGGTGAAGCAGGTAACCTGCCTCAAACAGAAACCTACATACTTATCAGCCGAAAAATGCTTAATTGAAGAATCAGAACGTTAGGTAGACATGCATTGGAACGTATCTCTTATCGGAGTTTTTCATATCGTATTTGACGCATGACATACAGCTGATTGCATAGCCAGTGCGCGCTTCTACACAATGCTTTAAAGGAAAGCTCCGGATTAACGATATTCCAAAGTTTCACTGTATCGTATCTTACCGAAAGAATAATTTGACGTAACCTGAAATGTCAATACTGTAATTAAAGTGCATGTTATGTCTCTTGGAATCTTCCATGAAACATAATTATTTTTACCATTAGAGTCAACTGTTAATAGTACAGTATATGTATCCTAGGCACTTTTTAACTATAGTAAGTTGCAAAATCAGCCTGACAATCAAATCAAATATAACTCTTCCCCAAGATACGCTAGTGTCAATAGGGTTTAGCTTAGTAATAATGTTAATCCGAAAGTTACGCTTGACGGCATTGTAGTACATATTAATTTATATTACAGGTAAATAATATACTATTCCACTCCTATATCTGAACACGAGCCGTTGCGTGCCTCCTACCTGGTAATCGGGCAGGTTGTGTGTTCTCGATTCAAAACCAAGATACTGGCTGGCTTTTCGGGCAAGCTCTGTATACGCAAGCCAGCTAGTACTCTCCAAGGAGTACTGGTGGTGGAGACGTGTATCATTCGTGCAGCTACTAGTAATTCTTCTCGGCCTCTTAGCTGTAGCCTTTATGCACCCTAGGCGATGGTTACAGCTAACATCTACAAAATCGCTAATTTTGGGTTTATCGGCAGCATTTTTCGTATCGAGACCATGAGTTGCACTCCTGGCTACGCCGAAAACGAATCGCCTCAGCTCTATATTTCATGGGTTTGACTGTTGGGTCAGCCTTTGGCATTGTTAGTCTTGCATCAACCGGTGACTGGGCCTGGTTTGGGAAGAGCTTTGGTCTCAGTGTTGCTGGAGGAGCAGCGGCTTGGGGAGGGGGCACTGTTGTTGCTTTTATTGGTTCTTTTATGGGTCCTATTGGAACTGCAGTAGGTGCAGCAGCTGGTAGTACAGTATTATCCAGGCCTTCTCTGCATATCGTCCTTTCTGCTATGTTAGACCGCTGTCGCGCTCTTCTTTCATCAGTATGTGGGATATATTCTCCTTCAGGAAGACGGTTGCCGAGGCAGCACCCCAAATACCGAGGCAGCTCACCTAACTAATCACAGATAGCATTTCCCTGGCACCACTGATTAAGCGTCTGGAAACCCCGCCTGCGACCAGTTGCTTCTATTTCAGGTGCAACAATTTCCAGAAGTCTCAATCATACTCTCATTGACCTTTGTAAATCCCAGATCTCTAAAGATTGGTCAAAGTATGCCTTCCCATCATAGGCTACACTTGTCCGTATGGGAGAGGATTTATATTCTACTATCTCTGCCAATTGCAGGTGATTAACCCCCTTTACCCTCTTACTGTCACTTTCCCAAGAATTCCTGGCACCTGTATAGCTGTTGTTTACATGTCCTAAATTAGTTGCCAGACTCTTGATATGGATCACCCGACTATTACCCTTACACAAGTCGGCTCAATGGCCTTTGAAACGCATCATTGGTGTCGCCTATCTGAAAAGCCGCAGCTTGCCACTTAGACTTCAAAATTATCAAAATGAAACAACCGGCGAAACAATTGTGAGATACTGTGGGAAACACAGCCTACCACATATTGGCACAACGCTTCAATGCGAGGGTAATACTCCATCCTTCACTCTGCACGAGATCGAAGGAAACGCTATCTATGAACACTTTTCTGCGGGTCACAGCGGTCCTGTTCTGTTCTATTTCCATGGGGGTGGGTATGTACGCCCAATCAACGGCAAGGGTCAATTGCCTTTCGTCTTTGACTGTGCTAGAACGGCCAATGCGTCAAAGATATGGATTCTAGAATACACTCTTGCTCCAGACCTTCTATACCCTGGCCAGTTGGTTCAAGCAGCAACCGCATTGAGATACCTTGTCAATGAGCGATTGGTCAGCCCCGACCACATCATCCTTGGTGGTGATTCAGCTGGCGGTCACCTCGCTTTGTCTCTGCTTGCACACTTCAAGTCACCGAAGCTGGGAGTACCTTCTGTCAACGACGCTCTTAGAACCCCGGTGCGAGCAGTCTATCTTTTGAGCCCCTGGGTCACGTTAAAATGCTCGACAGAAAGCTTTAGACAGCATTCAAACAAGGATATGATCACTCCCACCCGTGTGCAGGGATTTATAAGTGCATGGAAACCAGTCATAGATGACAAGTGGGCAGAGCTCTTACATGCAGGGACCCCTGATCTTTGGAGCAATCTACCCGCGAAAAGAATACTCGTCACTGCAGGAACATTCGAAGCTTTTAGAGACGACATTGTTGCCATTACACGTACTCTGCAGGCGAACAACATGGATGTGAGCTTATCCCTGGGTGAAAACGAAATCCATGTTCAGAGCGCAGTTGATCTTGCCGTAGGCCTCCCCTTGAGCAGAACCGGCTTGGATGTGCTGCAATGGCTTAAAAACATGTGATATACCATACAAGGGTTTCACCTTTTATACACTACGTGATCAGGATCCAAATTTCGGCGATGGGTCCGAGAGGCTGAAAGAAGGATGTAGATTTTTAGCATCCCCGTGTTTGATACCTTTGTACGAGAATTCCATTGGCTTGTAGAAGAAACTACGGGACTATAATAATGACTCATTGTGGTTGCCAGTGAATACAATACATGTACAGCTCTCTACATGGATTATCAGGGGGAAGAGCTAAATTTAAATCAGCACATTTCCACTTAGGTTCCGGGGATTAAGTCACAATAGTGCGGACTTGACATATTTAGACCATCGCCCACTCCCTCCGGACACATGCGTAGGGCTGCTTATCCATAAAGGGTTTATGCCATGTGGTACTGTATAAGATTGTATTACGAATACGCTAACTGTTATATTTCGAATCACAAATCTTTGCTTACCGTCTCATTACCAACACCTGGGACTCGGAATAATTCACGAATGTGGACTAGCGCTATGTTGGCGACAGGGATTAAAAACAATCAATGTATGTGGAAGCGCGCACCGGTTTTGCAATCAGCTGTACGCGGGCGGATGAGTGACATGTATCAATTGTCCAGGAGGAGATATCAATGATTGATGGTGTACCAATCGACACTTGAGGTTCTATGAAATGGGCTGAGAGTGCTTAGGTCCCTACATGTGTAGTCGTTTGCGGGGTTATTGAATACATTGAGCAGCTTTGTTTGTTTGAGTATGTTTCTTTCATGCGGTTTATGGTAGACGATTATGTCACTATATAATCGGTTATAGATATAAATGCATGTAAAAATTTAGAAGACACATGCAATCATCATGTTTATTGTGCAGTAGACGTACTTAGTGATTTAAAAATGTACAGTTGTACATCCCTCGGGAGATGACACCCTCGACCTGCCGAGGCTACGTACCTTTCATATTTGGCATTCATCGAAAAATCGATATTTTAGTGTAACACCTGTGTGAGTTGATTACTTCCTTAATGGGTTGTGTAGCTAACATATGGATTTTGGATAGAGTTACCAGCAACCAGCGACGAGTAGATAGAGTTGGGCTTCTGGAAGACAATTTCAGAAGACAATTCTTGACTTTGAACAATCTGCATTTATTGTAAGGTGTGTAGCTGTCTCCAATTAGTAGTAGGTATTAACAATTCAGGAACAGCTGGTCAGAGATTGGTCGTTGTCGCCCAATACATTTCAAGCCTTGTAAGGTAGTGAACACCAACTCATCATTTCTGGGGCCGTAAGTAGGTGACTTGTCCAATGGTTGGAGACGATGCAGCGCCAGTCCTTGGAGAGGTCCGTACTCCGGGCGGGCGTAAATCATTTCAATTCGGACGGGTAGATGTGTCTAGATCTGTCTTGGAGTATATTCGCGATGTCGGGTCTCTGTATCCAACCTCCTAGGTCTCAATCGATTTTCTAGGTATAAAGTTTGATGTTATCACGAGAGTCACGAGAGCAGAATCGTGCAAGATCAGAAGATTCAGGCCACAAGGCAGGAATCAACTAAAATGGGCTACACGCGCAAAAGAGGGTCTGAGTCTAACCTGGTTTGTCATTAGCTTCATCAATCCATCCCGAATTGTCGCCCATTGGTTCCTGCCACCACATCGCCTTCGATGCGGTGAAGAGTGAGGAAAAATGGCTGCGTCGATGCGACACAAAAGAGTTATAACTAAGTAACTAGCCACAGTTGGGCATGGAGAAGCAGTACAGTTCTGCAGACGTTGCCATTGGGCGATTAGATATATAGCTATTGTTTTGATGACAAGTGACTCATGCTGTAGAGCAGCCTTAATACTTCAATTTCATCAACTCGTACAATTGATCCAACAATCGATACTTATTTGCTTGAACAACAGTGTAATCAAGATCGTCCAAAGGCTGTTGAAGAGAAGATATTGACAAGAGAGTTGAATTAACTCAAGCCAGTCTTTTCTTTTCTGCGCATCTTGACTTTTGTACACTATTGCTATTGTACACAACTCTCTTCATTCAGCAGTTTGCGACATCGGCTGTTTCGTCCTTCGTTACCAGACGGCGCTTTCGTTCTCGAACAGCTCTTGTACTTTTTCTGACCGACAGGATTGTTGGTAAGGTGGTTGTCAACATCGCTAGATCTTCACGATCTGATACGGAAGGCGCTACCTTGGAAACAGTTCGCGCGGGCCGGTCCTTTCCTTCGTCGCTCCCCGCACCTTCCCTTGGGTCGCGACAGTCCAAAAAGGAAGTCACGGGCATCATCCTATCACTTCGTCCTGTCTCATCCTGTCTGATCCCTTGATTGTTATAGTCGCATTCCACCCAGGCGACATCAGACAACAGAACGACCTTCCTTCTCTGCCGAGTGTTTAGTGTTTGTTTTGCTTCCTTTTCGAGCAGATGCCTCTGGAAGGGATACGGTTTTTCAGCTTGTTCATCTTTTATCGCGATACCCTCGTACAGCGTACGGAGGTACTCTGTCTTGTTCAGTCTTTACCCTGTGCTAGTCCCGGTAAGTCACCATTGATAATTACTTAGCGTTACCCCCCCGATAAGCTTGCACCACCTTCTATCTTAGCTTGCCCCCGAAGATGTTCAAGGATTTCTCATAGGCCGGAACAAAGCTTCTAATGCCATACACTCGAGCAGCGAGTAGCTTGTGCCTGCGCGGTGCCGGGTGCTCGTTCATTCGACTTGCCTTTCGTCCCATCAGAAGACTCGGAAGCTCCCCTCCATCCACATCCCGTCTGTTTGTTGTGGTTGGCTACATCATCCCCCAGCCCCCTCTAACAATATTCTACTGACCACACCACCATCCAATCCACTCAGCAACCATTTGCGCTTCTGTGGCCCCTTACTGGATAGATGGTTTAGTCACATTGACACTAACTATTCATGCCGATCCACTTGCAGGAAACCTTTCAACCCACGAATGAGCTCGGGTTGACGACTCGGACATATTTTCTTTCGAGCCTTTTTCGAAAAAAGGAGCCAAGACAGAACGAACAAAGGACCCGTCTCCCACGATTGAGGATTCCGCATTACGGCGATCCTTGAATTGTGATATATAGATCACATTCCGATTGAATGAAGGTCAACGAAGCTCTACCGGACCTAAGTTTACCCCGAACCTCGTATTTACTAGAAACCCTACCGCCATTTGCCCTTCGGTCACAGGGTCGTCACCATATTACATACTGATCCCGCACGCTTCATCCTTCGGTTGTTATCGCGCAGCATTCACGATATTTGCGCTTCGATACCGCGATACAAATCTGCTTCTCAGACGGGTGGCGCATCTTTATTTATCAGCTGATTCTATAAGTCGCAAACCCGTGGGGCTCTGCACTTAGCCATAGTTGATGTCACGACAATCATCCAAGTCAAAGGTCCGCTGCGCTGAGAAGAGACCTGCCGTCTCCGATATAACATCGCCTTCAATGCTTGTTCATTTACCGTTGACGCACGGTTTGTCGGTCAATATTTCCAAACACCATGGAGGTCCTGGATTCTCGAACTTCGTCCCATTCTGAATTTTCGGCAAAATATAACGGTTTAGATACCCATCTCGGATGCTATGAAAGACAATTAGGTCTCGCAGATACTGGTGATGTTTATGGTGGAGAAAAAGTCAAAGTCTTGGATCAAGGACAGAAGAGCATTGACTGCGAATCTGTAACCTTCCGACTGGCGCTTTTAAACGCATATGCTGTGGTCAACGAATTAATCGCACAGAATACGGAACCCGCTGGCTATGGTACTCCACCACCGCCCTATACCGACGTGCACGATGACCTACCGCCTGAATATTCGGCCTTTCCAGCCTTAGCTGAAGCGAAGCCAGTCGCCAAAAAGTCCACTCCTCCATCGAACGATTATAGCAGATCTCGAAGTTCAAAGTCGAAACCCGTATCATCAATTGACTTTGAGAGCACGCATGGATTCCGTCAGCATGGAAAGAAACAGAAAGCGAAACTAGCAGCCAAAAAGGCTGTGGGTGGTTCATCTGGTGGTGATGGCGGCGACAGTGGAAAAAAAAACGACGAGACGATAGATCCTCCAGGTGGAAGCGGTCTCGGTGGAAGTGCAGGTGGTGATGATGGCGGCGATGGTGGTGACAAAAATGACGACGGCTGGGGCGAAGTCACCAGTAATAGCAAAAAGAAGAAGTCCAAGAAACAGCAAGAAGAGGAGGAAGAGGAAGAACGAAAGAGGAAAGAAGCAGAGGAGGCTGCGGCTGCTGGTACAGCCGGCAATAATCTCAGCTGGGCAGATGATTTGGACAACAACAATGATGACAGTTGGGCCGGCTTTACATCTGTAGGCAAGAAAGATAACAAGAAAAAGAATTCGGTAAGTTGAATTTCCATAAACCATGACGGCCATAGTGTTTATTAATCGTGCGATCAGCTTGACCCGACATCCGCTGCATTCGGAGAACCTGCCGGAAACTCATTTCAGGAAATCAATCTCGACGATTCCGCACCGCAACTGGATCTCAGCTTTGAATCCACTAAAGGGGCATCTGGAGGTGGAGGTTATGGATTCGGAGGTTGGGGAAAAGACTGGAATACTGGCAGTAAGTGGGGATTTGGGTCAATGGGCAATGATACTTCCGCGCCAAAGGATCCACCAGCAAAGACTGAGAGCCCTTGGGGCTTGGGTGACAAGAAAACCAAAAAGGCAGCGGGCTCCCTCGGCTTCGACTTTGGCGACTTGGGTACGTCTACGGCAGATATCGGTGCTTCGAAAGAGGTGAAGGATGACGAAACTTGGGGTGCTTTCAACGCTGTCGGTAAGAATAACAAGAATAAAAAGAACAGCATTTCCGAGGAACCTCCTAGTACCGATGATTGGGGTCCATGGGGTCCCAAGAAAACTGTGAAAAAGGAAGAACCGGTACCTGAGTCGAAGACAGGACAGTCTGAAGATGTGTGGGCAGCTTGGGCGAGCAAAGACAAGAAGAAGGTACCTACTTCAAGCGCAGCTAAAAAGACCGAAACCGATGATATTTGGGCCGCATTCAAGAAAGACAACAAAGCGGATATTATCGACTTGGACTTCCCTAGCGAGAAAGCTCCAGCTCCCGAGCCTGAGCCAGTTATCGACAATGTTTGGGCGGTGCCGGGCAAGAAAGACAAAAAGAAGGCGAGCAAAAAAGGTACTGAGCCAGAGCCAGTACAGTCAAAGACCGAAGATGCCTGGGCTTCCTTCGAGACCGATACGAAGAAAGAACCAGAAGAAGAGTCCGGTTGGGGCTGGGGTATCGCTAGCAAGAAGAAAGACAAATCCAAAGGTCTAATTGAAGACCTAAGCTCCTCATCGCAAGTTGATAGCTCAGCTGCACCACCGGAAAAAGATTGGCTCAGCGCATGGGGCATTGGAGGTAAAAAGAAGGAGGTTGCACCAGAGCCAGAGCTGGAGCCTGCTCCTGAACCTGAAAAGCCAAAAAACCATGAATTCTGGGATGGTTGGGATACTTGGACTCCCTTGCAACGCAGAAAGAAAGAAAAGGAGGCCGTCAAGAAGGGAATACCAGCTCGTATAGAGATACTCGATCCCGTACCTGAGCCGATTATCGAACCAGAACCTGAGCCAGAGCCAACTCCAGAACCACCAAGGAGGAACCATGAATTCTGGGATGGCTGGCAGAGCTGGGGTCCTGTGACGCGAAGGAAGAAGGAGCGAGAAGCTGTAAAACTGGGCATTCCACCATTGATCGAAGATCTCGCACCCGAACCAGAGCCCGAGCCCGAGCCTCAACCTGAGCCAGAACCGGAGCCTGTTATAGAGACACCAAGAAACCACGAATTCTGGAACGGTTGGCAAGATTGGACCCCATTAGCTCGCAAAAAGAAAGAAAGGGAAGCGGCGAAGAAAGGTATTCCTCCACTTATCGAAGATGCTCCTGAGCCCGAGCCCGAGCCTGAACCTGAGCCTCAACCCGAGCCYGAACCAGAACCAGAACCGGAGCGACCCAARAAYCATGAATTYTGGRAYGGYTGGCAAACTTGGACTCCTTCTGCGCGCAGAAAGAAAGAGAAAGAAGCTGTAAAGAAAGGGATCCCTCCACTTATTGAAGATGCTCCCGAGCCTGAGCCTGCACCCGAGCCCGAGCCCGAGCCTGAGCCTGAACCGGAACCGGAACCAGAGCCTGTCCCTGAAACACCCAAGAACCATGAATTCTGGGATGGTTGGCAAGACTGGACTCCTGCAGTCCGCAAAAAGAAAGAAAAGGAAGCAACAAGAAAAGGCATTCCTCCGCTTATTGAAGAGATCTTTGTTCCCGAGCCTGAACCAGAACCTGAACCAGAGCCGGAGCCAGAACCGGAACCAGAGCCAGCGCCGCCGCCCCCACCAGTCAACCACGAGTTCTGGGACGGTTGGCAAGACTGGAGTTCTTCACAGCGCAAGAAGAAAGAAAAGGAAGCAGTTAAGAAGGGCATCCCCCCACTGATTGAGAACATTCCTGAGCCTGTCATCGACCCTGAACCGGAACCAGAACCGGAACCAGAACCAGAACCAGAGCCAGTGCCACTGCCACCACCGAAAAACCATGAGTTTTGGGATGACTGGGATTCATGGTCGCCTTCTCAAAGGAAGAAAAAGGAGAAGGATGCAGCGAAGAAGGGTATCCCACCAAGGCAGGAGATTGTTGAGCCTGAGCCAGAGCCAGAACCAGAACCAGAGCCGGAGGCAGCGCCCGAACTGGAACCTGAGCCCGAGCAACCTAGAAATCATGAATTCTGGACCGGTTGGGAAAATTGGAGCAGTAAAGAACTCAAGAAAAAGGAGAAAGAAGCCAAACTCAACGGCATTCCTGCATTGCAGAAAGATCTACCACCTGCGCTTGAATCCGAACCCGAACCAATACCAGAGGTTATACCGGAACCAGAACCTGAGCCGGAACCAGAACAACCTAGAAACCATGCATTCTGGACTGGATGGGAAAATTGGGGCAGTAAAGAACTCAAGAAAAAGGAGAAAGAAGCCAAACTCAACGGCATTCCTGCATTGCAGAAAGATCTGCCACCTGCGCTTGAGCCCGAACCCGAACCAGAACCGGAGGTCCTACCAGAACCAGAACAGCCCAGAAATCATGCATTTTGGACCGGGTGGGAAAGTTGGGGGCCCAAAGAGCGCCTCAAGAAGAAGAAGGAGGCCAAGTTAAATGGTATTCCAGCATTGCAAGAGGACTTACCGCCTGCTTTAGATCCTGCTGCTGATCCAGAACCTGTAGTGGAACCGGAAGCTGAGCCTGAACCTGAGCCTGAACCGGAACAACCGAGGAATCATGAGTTTTGGACTGGCTGGGAGAAATGGGGCAGCAAGGAACGTAAGAGGAAGGACAAGGAAGCGAAGATGATGGGTATTCCTCCTTTGCAAGAGGATCTACCGCCTGCTCTTGATCCTGCTGCTGAACCTGAACCTGTGTTGGAGCCAGAGCCGGAGCCAGAGCCAGAGCCAGAACCTGAACCTGAACCAAGGAATCATGCATTCTGGAATGGATGGGAGAACTGGGGTAGTAAGGAGCGTAAGAAAAAGGAAAAAGAAGCCAAGGCCAACGGCATACCGCCACTAGATGTCAATCTCAAGCCTGCTCTTGATCCCGAACCTGAGCCTGAGCCCGAACTTGAGCCCGAAACTCAACCCGAACCTGAACCCCAGCCTGAGCTTATACCGGAGCCGCTAAAAAACCATGAGTTCTGGGACGGTTGGGACGACTGGAGTGCTTCACAACGCAAGAAGAAAGAAAAGGAAGCAGTCAAAAAAGGCATTCCACCTCGACAAGATCTCCCTATTATTGACATTCCTCCTGAAGCTCCTGAAGTTCCAGAGATCCCCGCTTTCGAGCCAGCTGTTGTAGAGGAGCATAAGGATGATTACTGGGCCGACCTTAACAACTGGTCACTTAGTGACCGCAAGCAGAAACAGAGGGAAGCCAAAAAGAAAGGAATTCTGATGCTCGACGAGGATCTAGCCCCACCTCCTCCAGCACCTACGCCTCCAGCACAGGGATTGACCCCAGAACCACACTTGGACGATCTCTTAGATGATGATGCATGGGGAGGTTTCGCAAAATCTTCGAAGAAGAAGGCAGCACCGATAGAGGAAACTCCCGCAAAGGCAGTCAGAGGTTTCTGGGCTTCTTTCGGCACATCTGCAGCTACTAAGACCAAGTCAAAGGAAGAAAAGCCAAGAGAGGTTGATGACCTGCTTATCGACGTTGATGAGGGTGCTGAAGCGCTAGCCGCTCCCCTAGTGGACGATATAGCCGCGCCAGCCGCTCCCCCGCCCAAAGCCACGTCAAAGGCAGCCAAGCCAGGAAGACTTTCTGTTGCAGAGCGTATTGAGGCTCTTGAAAGATCGAAGCGAGAAAAAGCAAAGGAGAAGGCGAAAGAAAAAGAAGCGCCAAAGCAAATCATCGACGACTTCCTTATCGACGATGCACCTCCGCCGCCAGCGCCCGACCCATACGAGGAATTACTAACCAAGAAGGGTTCTAGCAAACAAAAACTGACCAAGTCGTCGTCAAGCAAGAAGGCAATTCCAGAAGAGATTCCAAAGCCAGTAGAAGAAGAAATATCGCACGAATCGATACCTGGCAGTTTTCCTGAACCTGAGCCTGAAGAACCCGAAACTCAGCCTGAGCCTGAGCCAGTACCAGAAGCACCAAAAAACCACAAGTTTTGGGACGGGTGGCAAGACTGGAGTCCTTCAGTGCGCAGGAAGAAAGAAAGGGAAGCAGTCAAGAAAGGAATACCTCCGTTGATCGAAGATATCGCCCCTGAGCCCGAGACCGAACCTGAACCCCAAGTGATACCTGAAGCACCGAAAAACCACGAATTCTGGGACGGATGGCAGGACTGGAGCCCTTCAGCACGCAGAAAGAAGGAAAAAGAAGCAGTCAAGAAAGGAATACCTCCGTTGATTGAGGATATTGCTCCTGAGCCTCTTGAACCTGAGCCTGAACCTGAAGCAATACCTGAAGCACCAAAAAATCACGAATTCTGGGACGGATGGCAGGACTGGAGTCCTTCAGCACGTAGAAAGAAGGAGAAAGAAGCAATCAAGAAAGGCATCCCACCGTTGATTGAAGATATCGCTCCTGAGCCTCAGCCTGAGCCTCTTGAACCTGAGCCTGAACCTGAGCCAGAACGAGAGCCCACTCCACCGCCACCACCACCCGAATCTTCCAAAAAGAGCAAGAAGTCTTCTAGCACCAAGAAGTCTTCTACGCCGGTAAAGGTATCAACAAAGGTATCGAAGCGCGAATCTCTGTCCAGATCGATGGAAGAGGAACCCGTGGTAGAGCCTCCTGCGGCTCAGGAGCCAGTCACTGAAGAGTCTATCTCAGAAGAAGCTCCCAGACCTCTAACTCCACCACCTGAACCCTCTACGAAGTCGTCGAAGAAGGAACGGACAAAGGTTGAACGTACAGCAGGTGCATCTTCGTGGGGGTTCTGGGGAGCCGCCCCGCCGCCAAAGAAACCATCAAAGCGCGCTGAACAAGCAGCCCCTGAAAAGGAAGCGCGCCCGAAGGTTTCTAGGACAATGTCTGACGCAACGGCACGTCGCAGGGTACGGGAGTCAGACAACGAAGTCGATATCGAAAGATCATCGACAGACAAAGACAGACGGTCTGACTCCAAACGTCAGAGTCGATCTATGGGCTTCTCCAATTTCATCATGGCGGGAGCGCCGCCTTCTCGAAACAAGTCGATTAGAAGATCTGGTGCTCCATCGCGGCCCACTTCGCGCCGCCCGTCAGTCGATGTGGCTGATGCTGGTCTTCCATCTCCACCTCCTGAGGATAAACCCGAGATCTCAGATAAAGCAGCTAAATTAATGGGTATCAAAGCTTCCTCGTCGAGGAGAGAGGGTGGCGAACGAAGGAAAAGACGTAGTAGGTTATCCCATATTACGACGTACTAAGCTTATAACTAATGATCTTACAGGCGTTCGTGATCCCTACGCACTTGACGGCGATGAAGATATTGTGATGGTGAATGCAGAAGCGGAGGGCGAATTTGCGGAAAAGAGTAGGCGCAGAAAGTCTAAGAATATGGTAAGGCTTCTACAATTTATGATATGTGTTTGGCTCACGGCTGACTCTGGATAATGTAGTCTGAAGCGAGACCGGTCGAGGAGGAACCCGTGATTGTTGAGGCGGAACAAAGCCCTCCAAGTGCAGAAGTCGTTTCTGGTCCAGATGATATTGCTTTTGTGGAAGCCCCCCCTAAGGAATCCAAGGATTCTAAGGAGCGGCGATCTCGAAGATCTATTCCTGCTCCTGCCTCTGCGACAAAAAAGCCTGAAGCTGGAGGCTTGATGGGACTCTTCGGCTCCTTGAGAAAACCAACAAAATCAGATCCACAACGCAGAAAGTCACGACCTCGACGCGACGAAATGACGGAGACTGAGCGAGACGAAAAACGTGCGAAACGTGACCGACGACGGTCTGTCAAGCCGGAGACCGATGCCGAAGGCTTCACCACTGATGCTGGTCCTGTAAATGTTGACACGGAGGTAGATGATATGGAAGCGATGAGGGCCGAGCGTAAAGCGCGTCGGCGTGCAGCTGAGCAGAAAGCGCGCGAAGTGGAACTTCAGGAAGTTGAAGAGCGAAGGGCGCGACGAGAAAGGCAACGTGAGCAAAGAGAGAGAGAACTTCGCGAGGAGATGGAACGCGAGGCTCGACGACGTGAGGAGAAGCAAGCAAAACGTGCAGCTCGTGAAGAAAGACGAGCTCGAGAGGAGCAAGAAGCAAGAGAAGCTCAAATGCTTGCAGAAGCGAAAGCAGCTGAGCGGCGAGAACGGAGGCGAACACGCGAACCCGTGGAAATGAGTGGAGGACTATCCAGGCATGCTTCGAAGGCTGATAGACGTCGTTCCGAGCGACGATCAGAGGATGAATACGCAAGGTATCAAGATGAGCGTCCACGAGTTAGCCGGCGCAAAACTGCCCCAGATCCTGCCGAGCCTCCGCGTGGGTATGGCATGCCTGGGAAAGAGAAGACATCTTCCTGGGTAAATTCGCAGGTGCTCGACCCTCCAGAAGCTCCTCCAATCGTGCCCACAGTTCTGGATATGCCTCCTAGCAACGAAAATGGGCCTTCATTGTCGTCGGATGAGGAGGCGAGGCGTAGAATTCGTCGGCAGGCACGTCGTCGTTCCAAGTATCCCGACATGGCTGATGAAGAGGTTGAAGAGATGCGTTCTAGACGGCGTGATTCTCGAAAAGTTCGTGAGGGAGCAAAGAGCAGCTCTGGAGATGGTGATTTCGAACGAGAGAACGGCATGCGTCGACGCGATAGCGCATATGAACCACCATCTCGTGCACCCAGCACGAAGAGGACAAGCTGGTTCAAGAAGTTGACAAGTCTCTGAGCTGGATCTCAATGCCTCTCTTGTCCCTTATTTGGTACTAATTTTGTCTGCAGGCGGATGTGTTTGTTTATGACTTGAATGACTTGAATTATTGATTTGTCAGTTCGTTGAATGGTGTCATGTATCCTTCTTTCCGTTCGCAACTTGATTATTCTATAATATCGACAGACAGGGAGAGGGCGTTATATGAAATACCCAGTTTTTTGTACGCCTGATTATTGTATGGTGTTTATTTCTTCCGTGCATTCTGATTTCTTGTTTGAAATGAGTTAATGCGCTTCTATGGCCGGACATTCTGATCAACATGTTTGACATACTGAATCAGGCTATATGTGTTTTGCTGCGGTACCCCTGTACTCGATCTTGTTATATAGGAATTAATTATCTGGTACCATATTAAACACATGTATGATACACGGGCGATCTCTGTTTCATAATGCGACACGATTAATATGATATAATATTGACTGGAATGCCAATTTCAACGGCTATTTTCTCTATCTTTGTCCTCTCTCCTCTTCTCAAAGTACATCCTTCCAGTTTCGTAGACACTTAGATATAGGCCCAAACCTAGCGCCGTCCACCCAGCTCTCAAAGAACCTCCTTTGAACAAACCACGGATTCCTTCTTTGTGATAAAGTTCCTTTCCAACAACGAATGCACTTCTTCTCCCCGACAAAGTGGACTTATGCTGCTCCCCATCCCCAGATGCCGCAAGCATAACCCTCGTCTTAACAACATCAATCGGCGTAGTGACAGTCGCCGCAACMCCGCCCGCCAATCCGGCTGACAACGCAGTAATCAGCGCTCTTTCCGAAATACTTTGCTCTTTCTTGTCCTGCTGCTGCTGTCGCCACTTATGTTGTATCCGTTCCCTCAAATACTCAAAAAGTGGGAACTGCATAGCCGTAAACGGCAGATTCCTTGCAACGAGAGTCCCATATCCGCGCCAGAGATGGGTTGGATGAGCTCGGAAGGTTGATAGCACCTGCATTGTCGGGGTTTTTCTTGATGATTGCTTCTTGTAGTCTGTTGAGGTGACCATTTGGGCGTTTTGTTTCAGGACTTCAGCGGGTGTGAGGATGAAGCAGGATACGCATTCTGCGGCTGAGGAGGCGATGCCGTTTATCACTGGTGTTGGGAGAGAGTGTTTGAATGGGAGCAAGTTGGTGGTGGAGGCGTCATTGGAGTTGTGCTTTGTGGCTGATGAGTTGAGGATGTGTTTTATCCCTTCGTATGTGGTGAAGAATGCTCCTGCTAAATGTCGTGTCAATCATTCACTCTTTATATAACGACTTTCACAGGATTAGACCTTACAAGAAGGTATCGTAGCTATAACAACACTCCATATCCCCTGATACAGCCCTCGAAAGAGTAATTTCCGCTGGACAGCTCCCGTCGCAGCATCCGTATACAATTCTTTGTATCGCGGTGACTGAATGCGAGTCTTGAGAGTGTCGAGAGGATAAACGACAAAGTCGACCGTGAAAGCGGCAATTGCGCCGGCCTTTTATGTCCATGGAGGTCAGCCCAGATCGATCTCCATGGCTACATCAAGATTGCGTTATGCATTATTTGATAGTACACATACCAGCCAGATATCAGTGTTGGTGTTATACATTGGTGATTACCATGCTATTGGCCTCTTCATATCATTTTAAGAAATAATAGAATCTGTACCGAAGGGCAAGTTGTAGCAGTATGGAAAGACCGATGAGATCATACCTCACACTCCTCGGCAGGATCCACCCACTTTAATTGATCTGATAAGACAATCCTAAGTACTACATAATTGAACATGCGTATGAGTAATTCCATAGAAATGGATGAACAGCTTTGAAGACGGTTTATATATTTTCATTGATCATTGCCACGGCAGCCCTACTCTAATTCAAGCACGGACAACCACAGATACATGTATTTTTTCCCTTCCGACGCCGGAGAGTCATGCAAAATGCCCACAAGAATCGACATTCGTCATTAGATAAGAAAAAAAAAAGAATAGACACAAAAAAAATGAAGAAAGACAGAAGAAAAATAATCTATCTATTCGGACGCCTCGCCAGGAAGCAAATTGCCCTTGATGGCAAACATCTTTCCAGTTGTCGAGGAAACGAAACCATCGATTTGACGCGAGTATTGCTCGACCTGTCGGGTGTTAAGCATACTCTCCAAACGGCTGGGTTCCTGAGGAAGCTTGAACAAGCGCTGCCACTCATCTTCGGGGAGCGGGGCCTGCTTGAGAGTGGCACGGCTGGCGTTCTCGGCTTTGCGCTTCGCTTGCCAGGCGGCAATTTTCTGTTGTTCACGAGCGAGTGAGCGCTGGTAGTATTGGAAGTTGTTGTTCTCGGAGTGGTGGGTTTCGATAGCATCCAGAAGCAGATCGCAGTTCTTCTCGAGGAAAGGGTCGATGCTCAATGACAGGTTATCGAAGTTGGGAGAGAGGACGTTGGACTGTGCGGCGGCGCCGTTCTTGAGCGCGGAGAGTGAAGGTGGGAGGTCAAGAGGCTCCGATGGCAAGGGAGACGGGAGTTGGTGGAGGAAAGATGTGAGGAGGTGGGAGTTGTGGATTTTGACCGGGAGTTCGACGAGGATATCTTGGTAGCGGAAACCGGACTTTTGGAGTCTACGAGATGGTTAGCGACTTGAATAACGATCCGAATCAAGGCATAGCATACTGCTCAGATGTGAATTTATTCTCCTTGAACGCATTCATGAATTGCGGGGAAAGACGGAAAGCGCGAAGGCTCAAGCTGCCCTGCGCACTGCGGCTGATATCATGGACAAGGGCGACAGTCCGTTCATTGAGTTCCTTCTGATAGAAAAATTGGTTCTCGATAACGTTTAGGTTAATGAAGTTCCCCATGTTCGCGCTGGTGTACCATCCGACATTCTGAGCATCGATATTCACTTCACGGAGCATACGAAGCATCTCAGCCTGGTAGGCAGTGTTTGCCTTGGCGCGAGGTGCAGCGGCGGCAGCATTTGGTGTCGAAGTGTCAAAGTGCGACTCGGGAGGCACTTCCACGACGGGGAACGGGAATGTGTTTGTGATTTCTAGCGTGCCTCCAACATCAAGACCAACGAGAGAGCCGGTAGCAACGGTAGGGAAAGTCTGGGAACTGTGCTTGATGATTTTCATGACAACCTAGCGCCAGAAAAACCGTCAGTATGTTTATCGAGTCGATGCATCGCAGCGGCGACGAGGGGTAGGATTTTTTTCTTCTGGGGAGTTCATACCAGGGCTTCCACCTGGACTGCCGCGAGAGGAGTTTCTTTCCTGCATGAAGTTAGTGACTGTCGTATAATACCAATCTCAATTCAACTCACTCCATCTTGAATAGTCGAAGCACTTATATCGAACAAGGCGTTGTCGGTTGCTGAGACTGTCGCCTTCGTCTTTGCGGGCTCCGTTTTGTGTGGGCAGATCGATTCATACCAAATCGGGATTAGCGCGCCAAGCACCGTTGATTTTCTATTGTCGGATTAAGTACGTTTTCATTCTTCTCAAAATGCGAGAAATACGAAGGAAGATACTAGGGTCGAGAGAGTGACTCATAGACATCTCGAAACTTACAATGTATCAAAAGCACGCTTCTCAAGGGCGTTTTCCTGAATTCTTCAATATACGAAAAACTGTTTCCCCTTTGGGCTAGCGCATATTTCACAGTGGGATAGAGGCCCAGGGTTCTGATAACGGCCTCGTACGTAGTGAACCTCTCTAATATTTGTAATATAGTGCGCTATCCCATGAATTTGGGAGTCATCCAAGTGATTATAATTCTGTATATATACCTCTTTTTTCAAGAAACCAAAGAATCGCAAACATGGCTCAACCAGAGACGTTCTCGTATGGCCCGCATGAACTGCAAAAGATTCATGTCTGGAAGGCCGAGGATAGTCCGAAAGATAAAGACCTACTATGGGTGATGTATGTTTCTTAAACTCTTCTCTCACAAGTCCTGCTCGTCAAACAGCCATGATCACAAATTGACTATCATCGACAGATACATCCATGGTGGGGCGTGGAGAGACAACACCGTCCTCGCAGACTCCTTCTTAACAACCTACTCCCTCCTCACCCAAAATCCCCTCATCCAAACTCACGTAGCGGGCTTTGCGTCTATAGACTACCGCCTTAGCCCTCATCCAAACGCCCCTCAAGACCCCAGCAACACTCCAAGCACTCAGCTGCGCGCAGCCAAACATCCAGAACACATCCATGATATTCAGGCTGCACTGGCATTCCTACACGATAAATACGCCTTTGAAGATCGTTACATTCTATTGGGTCACAGTTGTGGCGCAACACTATCCTTTCAAGTTGTCATGAACAAAGTCCAGGGCGCCGACGTAACCACATTCCCAAAACCGAGAGCCGTGGCTGGTGTTTGCGGAATCTATGATTTGGCGCTGCTTCGAGATGATTTTAAGCAGATCAAGATCTATGAGGATTTTATCAAGGGTGCGTTCGGTGCGGATGAGCGGCTTTGGGAGGGGGTCAGTCCTGCAAAGGTTACTGGTGTGGACGGGGTTGCTGCTGGATGGGAGGGTGGGATGGTCGCGGTACTGGCTAGTTCGACAGGAGACTCGTTGATAAATCAGCCTCAGACAGATGCTATGCTACAGGTCGTCAAGCAGTGGCAGGGTTTGGTGCAGGGGAGGAATGTGATTGAGATATATGATTTGAAGGAGGAGCATGACGATGTCTGGGCGAAAGGCGAGGAGCTTGCTCGTGTGATTATTACTACTGTGCAGACATTAGTTAAGAAMCCCGCCATATGATGAAGTATAAAATACCTAGGTGTACTCTCCAATGGATTGTCTCTGATGTGTTCTACAAATCGTATGATATAAAGGCTATTTTTGTAGTATTTCTGGGTTTAATCCCTTAGCAAGGAAGCGTTCTATTACCACTAAGCAAGACATAAATGTATGGATGCTTTCTCGAAAAAGACCAAAACTCGCTAGCAACGCCACCACTGAACGCCTTCAATATGCATGACCTTCCTGCTCACGACGGAATCTGAGCGATAAAGACCGATTCACTGACATGTCCAAAAGCTAAACACCCGTGTCCATACGTGCAGAAGCATTGTCCACAACTGGTGCTGGTTCTTCTCCAGTCGGCTCCGATTTGTCGTCATCAATGTCATCTTCGAATTCGTCGTTCTCATCTTCGCTATCCTCGATGAATCCAGGATCGATGTTAAGCTTCGCCAACCGCTCTTTCATCTCTTCACGGCGCGCATCCTGCCAACGAGCCAACGCGGCGGTTGCATGCACCTTGAAGCCGTAGATACGGGGCTCATAACGCTGTATGCTCTTTTCCGGTACAAGTGCTGGATAGACTTGGAACAGGATGTTGTGAAAGGAGGTCCCAAAATAAGCCCCGTCGATAGATGCATGGCGAGAGGATTTGGGGTTGTAGATATCTTCGCATTTGGCGCAGTACAATTTCACGGTCTTTTGGTTAGGTAGGTCGGACTGGCCCATGGGGAGCAAAGGGTGTTGATCGCACAAGACACGGGGGCATTTTCCAAAATCGCCTTTCTTGTATTTGTCGAGCTTTAAACAGAATGGGTTAGCAAAAATATACTAATCAGAAGGGTTTAAGCAGGCGCACCATCTTGGCCAATCCACGAGTAGTCACGATGTATCGAGCATGAACCAAGCCATAGAGATGACGTGCCGACTTTTCAATCTGTTCGCGTAGGTCATCATCGGCATCTAGATCAAACACGTCCGTGATGAGGTCGAGTGCGTATTGGTAGTACTGAACCTCGGTGTTGAGTCCAGTCAAGTTGAATCGATCGGTCAAGTATTCCTCGTCTATTTCGCAAAAGTACTCGTTGCCGCGCGAGGATATGAACTGTGGAGAGAAGGGACGACTAATGTTAATCTTGGGCTCTTCATAAGGACGAAATGCGAGAGAAAGATAATGAAGACTCCGAACAATGTGTGGAGGAACATGAATTTCCTGTCGAGGGCGGGGAGGGGGTTCGGGATCATCATCATCATCATCATCATCATCATCATCAACCATGTTGAAAATGCTCATAGGGGGCTGAAAGGGATCCATTGCAACAATGCAACCAAGATACAGCAAATTTGAAGGGGAATAAATGAGGAACACCAATTGATAAGTATAGGATTAAAGACGAGTCGAGGAGTAACTCTGAAGAATGAGAGAATAGTGGTGCTGTCATCTGAAGATTGGAAAAATCCTGAGGTGCCCGACTTGGTGCTTGTGTAGCGCCGTGCCTGCCTTTTTTCCATGCAAAGACGATAGTGTAATGCGCTGCTCTTCAGATATGGCGGTTGTTGAAAGACAGTACAAAAATAAAGAAATATGGGATAGGTCATATACAGCAAGTCTAAGGAGGAAGAATGCAGATACACACAAAGTGGCACAGAACAAAACCTAGTTGCACTTACCCAGTCTCGCCAGTAACTGGTATAGTCACTATCAGTCTCGCTGTTGAAGTCCTCCATGATTTATTTTGGAGTGGATGTGTCCTCAAAATTGTTCAATTGATGGATGAGTATGTCAGTTTTCCTTAAGCCGTCCACTTGTCGAGAGGACCAAGTGCGACAGGCCTCGGGAGGCTGGTGGTTGCAGGTCGTCCAGGGAAGGTTGAAATAGGGCTGGTATCGCGTTGTTTCGTGAGGAGTCGTGACACAAAAACTATGTCTCTGAGGCTGTACAACAATAAATTACAGCGGCAGAGAGCAAGCGTGTAGGCAACGTTAACAGACTGGATGCCTGGTTGTGATGCGGCGATAATACCTCTCACTGCAAAATAATGCGGGGCTAAGTGGATGTTGGTGCCTGGGCGGTGAGGGCCAGTGGCTGATAACATGCTGATAGTGATAGGCGATTGTTCCATGATAACTTGAGGGACGTCCTATATTTTGGTTTATACCGATAATCCCTAAGATGAGCTATCCTATATATGATGAAAGTACTATTAACAGCTATTACATCGATCATACCACATTCTTGAGCCTTCATTTTTTGGCATCTTCAAGCTCTGTTTAGCCGGCATAAATGCAGCGTCTGATTGGCAAGTTCCCTAGATGGTGGGGTGACCGCCTTTGCGCTGCCCTGTGTAAACAACTGGGATCGACTATTTTGTGGAATATAATGAAACTGCTAGATTGGATCATTAAGAGAGGTGATTGTCATTCTAGTAAGCTCAATCTGAACATTGAATTGAGGAAAAGAACCAAGATCATCAAAGTCGATATTGGCTATGTCTTGTGACAGTTTGAACGAAATATCAAAAGCATGAAAGAAAAGAATGAGCTGTGCATATCAGGCTAGCTGAATGAATTTGGTGCAAATGGGTCATAAAAAACAGTAATGGATATCATTAGAGAGAGAAAAAAAAAGAGTAAGAAAAATGCTGTCAAAGCTGGCTAGAACCTTTGACCTGCAGCCAGGTCACATTGTTCCAAAAATTTGTAAATTCCTTGAACTCCTTCGTAATCGGAGTGACTGTCTCCGCCATGAGGGGACAGCTCAGCGAAGAATTCTCGATCACCAAGGTCGCTCACACCAACGCTGGAGAATCCCGATGGTGACGAGACCCATGGGTTATTACCAAACATCTCAACATCCTCGAAGCTGATCTGGTTCGTATCGTTGGACATTCCGGGTGACGTCTGGCCAGACATCATCAAGCGCCAATCCAAGTCATGCTTGGCCGGAAGCCGCGGATTTTCATGGATTGTAAAAAGCTCTGTTTCTGGTGAAGGAGCGATACTGGGAGCAAACGGAAAGAGCAAAGCCAGCTCTGCACCAGTTCGCTGATCAAAGTCTTCATCCTGGAAGATTTGACCGCGCTCGACTCCAACTTCATTACATAGCCGCTCTACTTGCTCAGCATCGCAGCCAGGGAAGCGAACACGGAGAGTAGATTTGTTTTCGAGGGAGACAGGGAGGTCGCCTAATGTTCCAAGACGTTTGAGATCGTTCAAAATTGCTGCAAGATCTTTCAAGGCTCGTGCAAAGTCGACAGAAAGCAGTTCCATCAAGCCTTCCGACTTGAGTGACTCATTCTTGAAGTTTCCAATGGCAGTGATTGTTGGGGAAAGCTGGAAGTGGATATATGAACCAGGTGCGTTACGTGAAATCTCTGCCATTTGACGCTGTGCCTTATCCTGAAGAGGTGTCACGGTCTTGAAGCGCTTCTCGCCTGTATGTGGGTCGATCCCATCGAATCGAGCTCGTTGACCTGAGAGCCAGAAACCACGCATTGCGACGGATACATTCTGAATGACCTGTGCGGGTGCAGCGGGTCCATGTGAGAAATATCTTGCTCCACCGAGTCTTCCTGCTCCAACACTATATCCGCCAGCTGTACGACCAAGAGTTCCGCCGGTCAAATTGGGGCGAAGAGCGGAATTAAAAGGTGAATGCGATGTCATACGGCCGACCATTTGGCGGATTGACGACCTCGGGACGGCATTGCTTGCAGGACGTGAGACTTGACGCAGGTACGAACCGATATAACCACCTGCACGTGTAGAGAAGCGGCGGCTTTGAGCTTGTCGGATAGCTGCGGCTCGACTAATGGGTTGGCGACCGACATGAGCGTACGCTGGTTGAAGCTTTGGTTGCAATTGTTGTGCAGGCTCCGAGAGTTTGGCCTTGAGAGCCCTGGCCGTCTTCTCGTAGGCAAATCTAGTATCTATGAGTCAGCGGGACATGCGGCTACGTGGTGAAGGCCCAAGGTAAATGTGCTTACCTTGCTGCTCTCCATATTTTGGGGAGCAGCAGATGCCCACTCGTTGGCGGCATGGCTGTGAGGCTGATAGGGTTCGTTTTCTATCAAAATTCGATAAGGTTGGTAGATGTAAGATAGAAGAATGATGATTGCGTTGATGCCTGGTTTATGAGGGACGCCAGTACGGCTGTGTGGCGGTGCAGCTATCCTCTTTTTGCCACATCCGACATGCCAAGACACAAGAATGGAATGCCAAGCCGGCCCGAATTTGTTGCTTTCATTGGACACATTGTTTCTTGTACGACCATCGTCGTGACATTTTTCTCCTACAATATTTTTGGCATAATACCAAACCCAATTGATCGTCTCGTTTTTGGAAAAATATATTTATTATCTAGGTACAACTTTTATTTCTTCATCACCGCAAAGAATACCTTCAATGGCAACCAGTCGTCACCACAAACCTTGAACCGGTTCTTGAGGTTTCTGAGTACATTGAGCTCCTCGGGAGTGAGCTCCCAACCATCCAGCTGGAAGTTCTTTTCAATGCGCTCCTTGCTTATAGACTAAGGAATGACACTCCATCCTTTCTGCAGACCCCAAACAAGCAGAAGCTGCTGCGGAGTTTTTCCCTTCTTCTCGGCCATCTTGAGCAGCGTGGGTCTTTGTAGATAGGTGAGTTGTTCGAGCCAAGGCAAGAGTATCCGGTGCAGTGGACCCTCTGGATGCATTGTATTCCACCAGCTTGGGAGAAGGATTTTTGGGAAGGAGCTCGATTTGGTTGACGGCCGGGACGATCTTGATCGTGGGAGCACTGAGCAGATGCTCAAGGTTCTTGATGCCGAAATTGGACACACTAATGTTTCTCACCTTACCGGTGCCTGAAAGCTTTTGCATGCCCTCCCTATAGTTTGCATCAGTATGACTCGATACTCCTGTAATTTTCTGTCTTACCATGTTTTGATGAAATCTCAATCAGGTAGATGCTTCTTCTTGTCATTGGGGTCTGTTGGCGATGGCCAGTGGACAAGATACAGATCGACATAATTAAAACCTAGAGAGGACAACGACGAGTTGATACCATCTTGAGCTCGGTGATGCCATCTGTTGTCGAGCTTGTGGTGTTAATCCAGATTTGTTCACGAGGAACACCGAATTCTTTGATTCCCTAGCCAACCTCGTAATCGTCTCCGTAAGCCAAAGCACTGATCTGTTCATTTACCACAGTTCACGTCAATTAACCAGTTATTGTGGGTTCTTGCGTATCAATGTGACGGTAAACAGCGAGCAAAAGCAGCCTTTACTGCCTCGCGGACCTCATTGGGCTTGGGATGTCATGTGCCGAGACCGACTGCGGGGATCTTGTCCCCTGTGTTAACGATGAATGTCTTGCTGTACGAGGTGCTTATTAGTCCGTTCTTCGAATACTGCTGGTTCCTCTTCAGCTTACTTGGTATGTTCCAAAGCCGACATGTTGCGAGGTTGACAGATAGGGGCGATTGTTCTCAGAAGTTGGTAGTGATAGCTACTTGGCTGACGTGACAAGAAGAAAGTAGATGTTCGACAAGATGAAAACATGATGTCTTTAAGAAATGGAGAACGACTCAATTATCCTTTTAAAGTGGAGGACCGACCATCGACGTAGTTGAGGAATGCCTGATAGCTAGGACCCAGCGTCATCTTGGTCGGACCTTTATTCAATAAGGGGAGATGGCTTGGAAGTATTTTTGTGGAGCAAAATCCCGATGATATCAACTCACACAGCGAGTCTATACAAACGGCTGGCCTATTCAGGTTTAAATCGAGTCCCATCGATCCATACGAGTGGAACACTATTTCTTAAGCTATGCCGTATCGGAAATTAGCTGCCTTATCATGTAAGTGTTCGGGGTCAGGGCTGTAGACGTTCGACATAGCGGTTGATCCCCATTTGGCAATTCGCATCCAATTGACTGAAAACTGACTTACTATACTTCTTTCTGTCTGGACTTTTTTTGGTATTACACAGTTACACAAGTCGAAGTCCAGCGATCTCAGTGTCACTGCGCCGTACATACATGGTAGGTCAGCCACTTCATTGTTGGTCCTTTTCTGAACCAATCGGAATCTCGGACGGGCCGACGAAACAGTTGAATTAGGCAAGACAACCCGAATGGAAGCGGATGTAGTTGTACGTAGCATGTTTTCATCTGCACCTACAGAGTATAACACAAACTTCGGGAATAGGCACAATTAACAGGTGTGTGTAAACAAAAGACCGCTTTAGGAGGTGCCTCGGAATTTACCGCCTTTTTCTGCCGCTCCTTCCCGAAAGTAATTGGTTCGCTTGACACCTGTACTTTTTCGATATCCTTCCTGCTACGTACCAAGCCAAAATCGTAAGCAATCCGGTAAAGGCCGATACCTGCTTTTCAAAGCAAGACTCTTCTCAGTCTAGCGTCGAATTATCTCTGATCAATCGAAGCCCGGTAATTTCTCTCCGTCAAGATGTCATCTGGCTTCGTCTCGGGAGGCACCATCGATGAGCCGACTCAAAGAGATGATGAGTGGCGTCGTGCCCAACAGGAATTAGAGGACGAAAGACGCCGGAAGGCAGAGCTTGGGAAGCAAAATGATGGGAAAAGCCTTTATGAAGTGTTACAGCAAAATAAGATGGCCAAGCAAGAGGCATTTGAAGAATCAATACGCTTAAAAAATCAGTTCCGTTCCCTGGATGAAGATGAGGTCGAATTTCTTGATTCATTGCTAGAGTCAACCCGAGCCAAGGAAGATGCAGTCAAGAAAGAGACCGCCGAGCACCTTGCCGCCTATCAGCGTCAACGTGAAGAGGCCGAGCGAGCTTTGATTGAAGGTCCATCTGGCGGACAAAATGTCTCTGGGAGCGCTACAAATCCGGCCGGTGATGAGGAACTGTGGGCTGTTGCAGGAAAAAAGCGCAAGAGAAACAAAAAGGACTTCTTAGTTCCTCCTAAGATCCGCAAATCATCAACCAACCTTAACGACACTCCAAATGCCCCAGACCCTAAACAAAAACCCGCCACAACGACCTCCAGAGGTGTGACGAAAGAATCGATCCCTCGTGTTTCTCAGTCAGCTTCAGTGCGCACCGAGGGTACTTCGGTTAAGGAGATCAAAAGTAAAAGCAACGAAGCTTTGCCCATAAAAGACAGCACAGAGCAAAAAGCAGCAGTCGGGCCGTCCCTTGGTCTAGTTGCCTATGATTCCGATGAGGATTCTGATTAGGCGGTCCTCTTATTATTGAGAAAAGAGTCCCTCGCGAATGCCAAGAGTTAATTTGCTGCGTATTATCCACCATGCTATAGTCATGCTACTTGGTAGGCACTCAGATCTACCACAAGCTTCTGATATACAGGCTCACGCTCGCAGTATATATAAAAATATCCAATGTTGCTCAAACTCTGTCATAATGAACAGCCAACTCTTTGTCTCGTCCATCACGCTATTCAAATCTCGACCCCATGCGAGTTCCTCGACTCTCACTTCACTCATAGTGTGCCGTGTTCTGTTCAGTCTTTCCTGTTACTTCTTCCAAATGACGCTCAAGATCATGAGACACATAATCTTCCTTTTTCAATCCAACGACAACCCATGGTGCATTTGTGAAGAGGCTGTTCATCTCCTCGAGAGGAAGCTTTGACGTTTCTGGCATGAGGAGCCAGAAGAAAACCGCGTTGGTGAAATTGCAGATGATGAACACGAACCAGTATCGGTATCGCACATTTTGCATAGCAATGGGTGTGACCTGACCAATCATAGTGTTGAATGCGAAAGATGTCATGGTAGCAATAGAGACACCCTTTGCGCGGGTTCGTGTATCAAAGACTTCGGCGGGAATAATCCAAGATAGGGGTCCGCAGGTGGCTGAAAAGGAGAAGTTGTACAGCCAGGTCATGATGATGAAACCCCAGTGCGCGCCCGAGTTGTTGACTTCAGGCGGGAACTGAGCCAACAAGATGCAGGCAATGATAAAAGTCACCATGTTTGCTAGATTACCTATAATGAGAGGCCAGCGACGTCCAAAACGATCGATAAGCATCATACAACTGAATTCACCCAGTAGAGCGATCACAGAGTTGATGGCTTGATACCGAAGTGTTTCGTCACCACTGATACCGATCTGATTGAAAATCTCGACAGAGTAATACCTGATGCGAATCAGCCTATGACCTAGAGTCATCGAACTCGACATATCCGAAAATAACTTACTGGATAGCGGATACACCGGTCATTTGAATGGAGGCCTGCAAGGCACAGCACAAGAACAAGCGGCGGAAAGCAGATCGTGATGTAAACAGCTCAACATATGACTTGGCTTCATTCTCATGCTCGAAAGTAATGCTTTCTTGAATCAGGCTGAATTCGGCACGGACCCATGAATCGTTCTCATCACCATGGCTATGCAATTTAGCAAGGACTTTCAAGCCCTCTGCTTCACGGCCATTGTCTATCAACCAACGCGGCGACTGGATATTTTTGTCAGCGAACATCGGATTTGGTGAAACGCCTCGGACGATCTCCACATACCTCAGGGAATATCATGATAAGACTTCCTAGCAGAACTGCAGGAATAATTTGGATACCCAATGAAACTCGCCATTGGGCACTATCAGATGGCGAAAAGCCAATATAAGTTCCGTAACTGATCCAGGAGGCACAGAGGGCGCCGACACCAAGCATAAACTGTTGCAACGAAGTAACTCTTCCTCGAATATCAGGATGGCATCTATGTTGGTCAGACCCCTGTATATTGAAATCGATCAAGGACACCTACAGTTCGGCTTGGTAGGGKGGGACAATCATTGTCAAGACGCCAGCACTGTTGATTAAAGAGAGATCAGTCACGATGCGCTCAGTCTTCCTGATGCATTTTTGTGACTTACGCGAAACCCGCGAAGAATCGACCACTATAAAGATAGGAAATATTCTGAGCACCAGTTTGCAATCCTCCACCCAAGCAGAAAATCAAGGCACCGATAGCGATGGTCCATCTTCGGCCTAAGTAATCACCAGTCGGTCCGGCCAATGCAGCTCCAAAGAAGGCACCAGTGGTAAACATGGACACTACCAGACCGCTTTTCGTTCGGATTAGGAGCCATTTCTATATAGATTCAATCCGGATCCTTACGACTGGGTTGCATTGACAGCGAATTTGCTTGAGAACGATGGGCATGCAATCACTTCGGCAATCACACCGAGATCATCTGGGAGTGGATGTTAGTGCGTGCCTTGCATCGACAAAGCTGAGTAGCATTCGGGGACCCGAGAGAGGGTTGGTTAGCATACATCCGTAAAGGAAAGATCCGAGTGAAGCAAAAGCGCCGATCAAAAACTGTCACCATACAAACATTAGCATCTTGGAGCGATACACTGTCATAGAAAGAAAGTACGAACCTGATACCAACGTGGTGGTAGAGGCATTGTGGCGTATACTGAGCACTGTGAGTCAAAACTTCAGTCTAGCCACGGGTGAAACGTAAAGATAAGTTTTTTCTGTCTTTTGGAGAATCCCCAGACAGTCCCCATGGGGTGCTATTTGAACCCCATCGCTTGACTCTCGGCCTTGGGTGATCTCTGGATTCTCCAAGCCTGCTATGACTGGGGTAGCGCATAACATCTTGGGTCGGCCAATCGAACATGAAATTAGCAATTTAACCGGCTCSCGAATTCGGCCTCCTAATGATATACTTGTGCCCACTTTACATAGAAATCCTGGTAAATTCTTAGAGTTTGCTCGTTTAAATATGATATCTGGAAGTGAAAGCCCGCCGGAATTATGCCGAATCAACGGAACGGGCTGGTCTAACTTCTACCTCTTGCATGCCGAGGATGCGGGGAATGCTTTGTTGGTTCGAACAGCCTCGTTTGATTCACGGAAAAAATGACCCTGGTAATTGCCGAGATGGGTCCAGACAAGCTTGGACTGATTTGATTGATCTTTTGATGAGGTTAATGGCGGCCAGCATTCGTGGTTGTATGCAAGACTCGACACTTGTGGTTGGCTGTACTCTGCAACTTGATCCATTCAGGCTTCTCACTAGGCGATATGAAACTTTTCAGTATGCTCACATGCGTAACCTTGTCGGGTAATTGTTCGATAGCTTCACAGCTCTCGTAGCGATACGAGAAAGAAACTTTTTGGCAGTTAGCTCTTTCGTCCCCCGTGATTGTCGTTTGAGAACCTGGACTTTGTAAAAAAACATTGATGTCTGCCTTCTACTATTTGTTTTCCTTGATCAATTAGACTAGATTCTTTAATTTGACAAAGCGAGCATTCAATTCGAGATCGATCAAGATGACGACCTTCACAAAAATCGACGATGACTTGATTCCCACCATTTCCGTGAACGCTACGGCGCAATTGTCCAAAATCAATCCAAACATCTATGCTGGCTTTACGGAGTGAGTTTAATTTTTTTTTTAAAATCGTACTTGGAAACAGCACTCCAAGTCTAATCAATTTCTTCAGACACATGGGCAGATGCATCTACGGAGGCATCTACGATCCGGGAAACTCTTTGTCGGACGAGAATGGATTTCGAAAGGATGTGTTGGAGGCCTTGAAGGAATTGAATATCCCTACAGTGCGTTATCCTGGTGGCAATTTTGTTGCTACCTACCACTGGCTGGATGGCGTGGGTCCAAAAGAACAACGACCGGCAAGGTAAGATAAACCATATATCCGTCGTACAATGAGATCTTTATTAACGAGCTTTGATGATCTAGACCGGAGTTGGCCTGGCTAGGAACCGAGACGAACCACTTTGGTACCGATGAATTTTTGAAATGGTGTGAGGTGATAGGAACAGAGCCATACTTTTGCTTGAATTTTGGAACGGGTACCCTTGATGAAGGTATGGACTCTTTCAATTGCGCAAATGAGATGACTGCTAACCCAGTCAGCTATGGCTTGGGTTGAATATTGTAACGGCACCGGAAACACCTATTACGCCAATCTGCGAAGGAAGAATGGCCGGGAAGAGCCCTACAATGTACGCATGGTTTTCATCTGTTTTAGGGCAGCGGTCTAATAAGAAAATAGGTCAGATATTGGGCATTAGGAAACGAGGTCTATGGACCGTGGCAAGTTGAACAAACTACTAAGGAAGCCTATGCCCATAAAGCGTTCCAATGGGCTAAAGGTAATTGATAAACATGGTGGTTATTGAGATGTTGCTAATCATTCTCAAATGAAAACAGCTCTCAAACTCCTTGACCCAAACTTAATCTTGATCCTTTGCGGTGAATCCGGCACATCATCATGGGACTATTACACACTGAAGCAATGCCTCAAGCCTACTAAAGTTACACTGACAAGTAACCCTACTCCGCTGATTGATATGCACAGCATACATATGTACACAGCCTCCAAGGATCACTTGCAAAACGCAACTGCGCCTCTGGCAGCTGAGCGCGCGATCGAAATAGCTTCTTCACTAATAGATCTCGCTCGGATAGAGAATGGTGTTGGCCCTGATGAGCCACGTCCAACTCTCTGCTTTGATGAGTGGAATGTGTGGGACCCTATGCGAGCAGAGGGTAGATTTGGCGCGGAGGAGACATACACCTTGTCCGACGCGTTGGCTGTTGGTGTCTTCCTCAACGTGTTTGTCCGTAAGAGCCGGGATCTCGGCATGGCATGCATCGCCCAGAGTGTCAATGTCATTTCGCCCCTTATGACATCCCCAACAGGCATTACTAAACAGACTACTTGGTGGCCATTGCTACTATTCTCAAAATACATGCGTGGCTGGACCATTGCGGCTCACGTTGCTTGTGGATCTTACAATGGAGACACCTCACCTACATGGCTACGGAGTGTTAAAGACACACCTTGGTTGGATGTCAGCGCTGTATTGAGTGATGATGGCTTCGTCAATTTGGTCACTATCAATGTACATGAGCAGAAAGACTTTGAAGTGAAAGTCGAAGGGGTCAAGGGCCCTGTTGAAGTCTTTACTGTCACTGGGGCTAATGTTACGGTCACTAATATGAAGGGTAAGGAGGAGGTTTTTGTTAAGGAGACTACTTGGGATGGACAAGGTCATTATGTGTTCCCCAAGCACTCGTTGATCCTGATGCGCTGGAAAGCTTGATTGTCATCTGGCCAAGATGGCTTTGAATCAAGATTTCAGAACTTTACATAGATGTTTTATAGAAAATGGAACAATTTTAGTTTAAATCACTGTCCAAGTATTCTCCGGTATTGCTGATTAAATGATCATCAAAAAGGAGTCCTGAAAAGGTCATTCCCTCGAGATGTCCCAAAATGGAAAATTATTTAGTTTACCTTTCTCGGACTAGCTCCAAAATTGATCACATGACTTTATCAACTCTGCTTGCTCTTGCCGCCACCAACGTCTCTAATGTTCTTTGTCGTTCAAATTCTCTTCTGGACAAGATCATATTCACACACACATATCAAGTTTGCACACGATTTGAAAAAGAAAAATAAAACAGCAAGAAGGAATCAAGGCAGACCAAATGGATGTTGATTAAAGAATAGCGGCAACACTTCACAAGTATTTACGGTTGGAGCTTTCACGTAAAACTCACATCTTAGGCCTGCAACAATGGCTCGCCGCGGGGATACGCGCTCACCATCACCTGTAGGCAGCTCATACTCTTCATCCAAACGAAGTCGCAGAGATGAGGATCGATTCGACAGAGATGGTCGGGACGAGGGAAGGTCGCATCGTCGATCACGCAGTCCTGATGTAAGTTTCCAGCGTGGTATCGGTCAAATGTCAGACTGCAACAATCAACTAACACGAGACTTGAAATATCAGAGGCGATATCGAGATCGGGATGGCTACCGGCGGCGAGAGCGGGATCGATCGGTAGACAGACGCGATCGCGATGGTTATCGCGACGAACACAATTACAGACCGTCAAAACGAGACCGGTCGCGCGAACGCCGGCGCTCGCTAGACCGACGCTCTGATCGAGACCATCGGCGGAGGAGTAGGGAGCGAGACAGAAGTCGTGATAGGGACAATCGGAGTAGGCGAGATGACTCCCGCGACCGAGTCCGAAGGCACAGAGACGATTCTACTGACTCGAGGAAAAAAGCCAGAAGAGACAGCAGAGACAGGTTGCTGAACCGAGACTCTGCTGCTGCATCGCGAGAGGTCAGTGCCAGGAAAAGCCGTTACAGTGATGTTTACAAGCGGTCTAACAATGCTGTACAGGCCTCGAAAGCCCCGACTCCAGCCCCGGCTGCTCAGACAGACGAAGAGAAGAAAGCCGAGCGGCTCGCAAAATTGGAAGCGTGGAAGCAAAAACAAGCAGCTGAACGCGAACGAAAGCAGCGCGAGATCGCTGCTGCCGGCGGTCCCCGCAATATCTTGACTGAAATCGACAAGAAATCGGGACTTGCTCCATTATCCCCTGCCCCTACTTCTCCTAGTACACCAACCTCAACAACCGCCCCCTCCGAATATGGTGGTAAATTCGATTTTAAGGCGATTGCAAAGAAAGCCAGTGGTGTTGGATCAGAGTCATCTCTTTTGGGCAAGGACGTTATTGTACCTGATTCTATTAGAGCTGACAGCGTAGTCAAGGCTAACAAAGTTCAAGTTGCCACGAGCAAAGTTTCTGGTGAGTTTTTCCTCAACGAGAGGCCATTTGACGACACGAAAGCTAATGGCGCATGCTCAGCTGCCCCTTTGAAGGCGAGCGGGAATGTTGGAAAATTCGGGCTAGGAAACAAACTCGCCACCGAAACCGAGAAGTCTTCCACCACAAAACGAACCTTGGACTTTGGCGAAGAAGAATCCAAACGTAAAAAGCTCGAGAAATTACCTAGTCCCCCACCCGAAGATGTAGAAGACGATACCAAGGCTGTCGTGGCCGAAGACGACGATTCTGATGTTGACATGGAAAACGGGACAGAAGAAGAAAACGCAGCAGCAGCCCGAGCAGCCGCAGAGAAGCGAGAGGAGCGCCTACAAGGGCAACAGGTGGAGCCTAATGGCGATATAGCAATGGGCGATGCAGTTATAACCAACGGCGAAGCCACTGCAGAGGCCGAAGAAGAGGAAATCGATCCTCTGGATGCCTTTATGTCTGGTTTGACAGAAAAACCTTCTTTCAAGAAGTCTAATATCATCAAGTCGGCTAAAAGCAAGCAGCATCAACCACAGGCTATGTTTGGCGATGAAGATGATGTCGACATGTCAGCTGTCGCTCATGGTGACACTGATGACTTCCTTGCCATAGCCGCCAACAAAGCTAAAAAGAAAAAGGACATTCCTACGGTTGATCATGCAAAGGCGGAGTATGAGCCCTTTCGGAAAAGCTTCTACACTGAGCCTCTTGATTTGGCCCAGATGACAGAGGAGGAGGTAGCTAGCCTCCGACTCGAACTAGACGGCATCAAAGTCCGTGGAATCGATCCCCCAAAGCCAATCCTGAAGTGGTCTCAATGTGGTCTCGGGGTGCAGACACTAGATGTCATCAGTAAGCTTGGTTATGAGAACCCAACATCCATTCAAAGCCAGGCCCTTCCTGCAATCATGTCTGGAAGGGACGTCATTGGTGTCGCTAAAACAGGTTCTGGAAAAACAGTCTCTTTCCTTCTCCCTATGTTCCGTCACATCAAAGATCAACGTCCTTTAGACAATATGGAGGGCCCGATCAGTCTTATCATGACACCGACAAGAGAATTGGCAACGCAAATTCATAAAGATTGCAAGCCTTTCTTGAAGGCGCTAAATCTTCGTGCTGTATGTGCTTACGGTGGTGCACCGATCAAAGACCAGATTGCGGAATTGAAACGAGGAGCCGAAATTGTTGTCTGCACTCCTGGTAGAATGATTGATCTCCTAGCTGCTAACGCCGGTCGAGTTACGAATTTGCGACGAGTTACCTACGTTGTGCTTGATGAAGCCGATCGAATGTTCGATATGGGATTCGAGCCACAGGTGATGAAGATCATGGCGAATATTCGGCCCAACAAGCAAACAGTGCTTTTTTCCGCTACTTTCCCACGCAATATGGAAGCACTTGCACGAAAAGCATTGATCAAGCCTGTAGAGATCATTGTCGGGGGCAGAAGCGTAGTTGCGCCAGAGATCACACAGATCGTTGAGGTTCGGAATGAAAATACCAAGTTCTTGCGCCTCCTAGAACTACTTGGCAACCTTTATTCCGACGAAGCGAACGAAGATGCCCGAACACTAATCTTCGTTGACCGCCAAGAAGCCGCTGATAATTTACTACGTGAGTTGATGCGCAAGGGCTATCCTTGTATGTCCATTCATGGCGGTAAAGACCAGATTGATCGAGACTCTACCATTGAGGACTTTAAGGCGGGTATATTCCCGGTTTTGATCGCGACATCTGTTGCTGCTCGTGGCCTGGATGTGAAACAGTTGAAGCTGGTTGTGAATTACGACGCACCGAATCACTTGGAAGATTATGTTCACCGAGCCGGGCGAACAGGCCGTGCTGGAAATACCGGAACTGCAGTTACCTTCTTAACCGAAGATCAAGAAAGATATTCGGTCGATATTGCAAAGGCACTCAAACAAAGCGGCCAAGAAGTCCCAGAGCCAGTCCAGAAATTGGTTGACACATTTCTTGACAAAGTCAAGGCCGGTAAAGAGAAAGCTTCAGCATCTGGCTTCGGAGGCAAGGGATTGGAACGCTTGGACCAGGAAAGAGATGCAGCCAGGAATCGTGAACGCAAGACATATCGAACCGGTGATGACGGTGAAGAAGAAGAACGGGACGACGCGAAAGAGAAGAAGGGCGAAGAAATATTTGCCAAGGCTGCCTCCGCTATTCAGTCCGCCTCTGCACCTACACCAGGTATACCCAAGGGTATTGATCTGGACGGCAAGATCACGGTTCATAAAACGGAGAAGCCAGCCGCCGGAAAATCAAATGATCCTTTGGATAAGGTTGGTTCGGCTGTTGCAGACATTCATGCACGACTCAACCGCGCCGGAGTAATGAGAAGCGGCGTTCCGATTGATAACAAGGGTCCCGATGCAGGAGCATTCCACGCGACTCTTGAAATAAACGACTTTCCCCGTAAGTTATTGTTCTCTCCTGACTTGGCACCTGAAAACATGCTAACAAAAGTCTATCTACAGAAAAAGCACGTTGGGCTGTCACCAATCGTACCAATGTCGCCAAAATTCTCGAAGCGACAGGCACCTCAATCACAACCAAAGGCAACTATTATCCAACGGGCAAAGAACCCGGTCCTAGCGATATTCCGAAGTTGTACATCCTTGTCGAGGGCGACACAGAGCTGGTTGTTACGAATGCTATGCGAGAATTGATGCGGTTGCTCAAAGATGCTACAATCGCGGCGGCGGATAGTGAGGCTCGGGCGCCGACTAGTGGGCGATATAATGTTGTGTGACGACTTTCAACTTCTTACATGGCCTACTATTATTCGTCTAGACATTACAATATCATCCTGGTCTAAATTCGCTCATCCATTGAACGGGTACTTACATTTTCATCTGCTAGAATCTCCTGTAAAGAACACAAGACTTTCCAAAACTCAAGTATTGTATGCTCGGGCTCCTAGTAACTTGACTTGGTATGAGTCTGATTCTAAATCATCTAGTAGATATGGAAAGGTCTTCCCTTCTATGACCAGCTTCGACCAAAATTACGCTAAGACGTATTGAGACTAGCGTACATAATTCAGTTCTTTCCTTTCCAAATCTAGATCACGGGTGCCCTCCTCCCTTACATAAACAATACACATCTATCGAATTCGACCTTCTGCTAAACTCCAGTGCTCATGACTTACAAAGACACACATCAAATGCGCGGATACTGGCTCTTTTGGACGAAAAAATATGGCCCATAGACCCCGGAAACGTACCAGAACGTCTAAAGCTTGTATGTACATCTGCTTCCCAGGCACGGTGGTCTCTCCTGACTACAATACTTTTCGGCTAATGACCTTGCAAAGGCGATTTCTGCCATAAGCGCAGCATAAAATGTAGCATAGAGCCGGATGATCCTTTAAAGCGGTGTCAGAACTGTGTCGATTTTGATATTCCTTGCACATTTAACCGGCCCTCTAAAAGGCGAGGTGGTGCCAGGGCTTCAGGCAGAGGTCAATCTGCCGAGGAGGGCCCCCAGCAAGACCAATCTTTAAATCTACCAATTACAGGATCAGGGGTCACCCCGCCTCAGACTATGCAACAGCACATTAGTGCTTGGGGAAGTCTCAACGCGCAATGTCCTGAATTCGAAGAATCTTCAGTACGAAGGTCCTGGGGTGCGTTTGCCATTGCCGCTCAAAGCACAATCCGTAAGCTTCTTGATGTCTATTTTGAGATTGTTTATCCTATGTATGTGCCTGTTTGATGATCACCGGATCACTGGGCTAATTGGTTGCAGATTTCCATTATTTCATCGACCTTCATTTGAGGAGAAGTTGAATCAAAATGAACACCTGAAAGACACTGGCCTTTTTGCGTCCACAATGGCAGCATGTGCGCTTGCATCAGCCAGGGTTCGCGACGGGGCTCTTTTTTCCGCTCGTTGGCAGTCGACTGATCTCTCCCAACCGCCATCTGAGATGTTCTTCAACGCCGCAAAAGATCTCATTCCAAAGGATTTGGGCAATGCAAACCGCACAAGCTTTATGAGAGCGTGCGCTCTCTTAGCCATCACAAGCATTCAGAATGGCCAGATCCGGAGTATGCAGCAATATATAGGATATTATCACACTTTGATGGCTATGGATGGTCGGCATGATGAAAAGCTATGGCCGAAAGATTTGAATCCTATAGAGAAAGAAGAACGACGCCGACTGGTAAGTCGATAGCCTCATGACGGGACCACTCACTTATACCTTCACGTAGTTTTGGTCTATCTACACCCTTGATGTCTATTCTTCCATAGTCTGGGGCGGAATCATCCGGCATCGCGAGGCCCAATGCATGGTTCATTACCCGACAGAGCTAGATGATGAGCACGTTACGGCTACGGGATACGATATGTCGAGCAATTCAGCAGTCAATTGGCTTCAGGGATGGAACTTTACTACGGATCTGTATCGAATCCTAGAGCATGCGGTGGATGCAGTTCGTGGCCGATCCTCTCTCAGTACTGGAATTGTCCAATCTCTATGCGGAGTCAATCCAAGGCCGACAGAAGCGACTGTTATGAAGGGCGTTCTTGACACATACTTGTCATTGCCGCCGCAATTTCATGAGTGCAGAGAAATTACAGGAGAAGCTGATAAGGACCTTTTTGGCTTTCAGTCAGCCAACATTCAAGCTACTCTTCAGCTACTTCGGACAGTCTTACTATCAGCCGAAGACGATGTCAGCGTCTCACGGAAATGTGATGTTGCAGGAGAGCTCCTTCGCGTCTTTTCTATCGTACCTGTTGAATATCTCCGAGCAATTAGTTCGCCCCTGGTATGAAACTGAACTTCATTTGCTTCATTTCAAGCTGATCAACTAACTTTTTTTATTGTATCCAGCTCCATCATTTGGCAGGCATTGGCAATATCCTTGGGTCGGTCATTGAGGGAAGTCTATCAGAGTCTTCTTATCAGAGAATAAGAAAGCTCTTGTAAGTGGTTATTCCTAATCTCTATTTTGAAATCGATTGACAAGCGATAGATTGGATTTGGCAGATTTGCTCCATCGTCTGGAATCAAGGCTTTATCGAGCCGCTGGTGCTAGCGAACGACTACGTATGCAAGTGGATAAAATTGACGAGTACATGCGCAACCAACGCGCAAACGATCGACAGAGCCGTCAGAATACACACAATATTCTAATTCAATCGAATATTGGTGGACCCCAGGAGCATGCACCTTTGAATATCAGTAACGTCAACGAAGATTCTTTGCTCTATCATGAAGGTACTAATCCTGGCGATGCGGAACTTTCACCTTTCCAGCTCCCTCCCGAGTTACTTATGGATTGGCCATGGCCATTCGATTTCAGTGGCGCAGATAGTCTGTTCACAATTCCTGCTGCGGAATGATGATCTCGAATTATGAAAAACTTCTATTGTTACATGTATCATCGGAAGGAAACTATGTGTACATGGCTCTATTTTCATGTCCAACCAAGGAAAACAGGCCGGCGTGTTTGGGGATTCAAACAATGCTTGTAGGCAGATGAGGTCCGTCACACATCATGAGGCAGCCTTTCGCTATGTTCCATTGTGGAAGCGTCGTCCTTTTCATAACCTCGTTCGGCAAGGACGTTGCCATGCATGTTGTACGCTTTCTCCATTTCCCAAGAAAATGGGCTGCTCGTCGCGAAGAGCGCCTCTATAGACTCCAGAGATCTATTCGAAGTTTCGGGGTACAACAGATAAACGATGGGAATCCATATTAGGTTCAGGCCAAAGAAAAGGAAATAAGTCCGGTTCTTCCGAAAACCAACCAGTCAGCAAAATACGCGCGAAATAGACGATGGAGCCACAATCTCAAAACTTACTTGCAGAGTTGCAAACATGATCGGGTTAACCAAAGTTGTCATTCCCACTCCAATAGCCCAGCCAGTGATACCGAATCCATTACCTTGTGCTCGAAGGTCGGAAGGGAAAATTTCGGTGGGTATCAGAAAGGCGACGGTGCCCCAGGTAGCTGCGTACGCGAGGTTGAACAGGAATAACATGCATACTGCGGCCTGTCAAATGTCAGTATTTATGCTACATAAGCAGTGTAGAGTGAAAGTACCGGTGCAAATTTACTAGCTTTATCGGGATGCTGACGGGCACCTTCATACAAAGCCCCGGCCTGCCAAAACCTCCTTAGCAATTGTCTCTTTTTAATTTTTCCTGAGTACGTACCAACAAATTTACTGCGGCCAGTGCGCCTGCGCCCCCCATTAGACACGTTCGCCGTCCTAGACGATCAACGATATGCGCGCTGATGATAGTTCCAATAATACCGATGGTATTAATTCCACCGGCCAAGCCGTTTTGTGTCAACTCCGAATAACCTGCTGACTTGAGCAACGTGGGAGAATATGCAGTGACAGCGGTGATACCGGTCCAGGAACCCATGATCTGAAGCCAGACACATAACCAAGCACGACGACCGAGGTTTGACCCAGGTCGACCTCCCTTGCCCATCAAGATTTTCGCGAATTGTATTGGAGAGGATGGTTTGCTCTCTTCGGCTGTAGCCACAATCTCGAGGTATTCACGATCAATAGCTTCTTGTGAAGCGTGACCATGGCGGACTTGGAGAAGTATCTCACGTGCTTCTTCTTTGCGGCCAATAGATGCCAGATACCGAGGGCTGTCAGGCAGCATTTTGATGAAGACGACAAGAAATAATGCAGGAATGCATTGGAAGCCAAGCAAAAACCGCCAACGTACGACCGAGTACCCGTTGTTGATGAAAGCAAGGCCAAACGACAGCCAGTAAGCGATGGATATGCCTAGGTCTATACATTTCTGATATCAGTGAATGATTTCACCTGTTTGGAATATACTTGATCGGAACTTACAGTTCGCTATGAAGACATATCCTAGGAATCCACCACGGTGAGCAGCCGACGATGTCTCAGATACCAGAACCGGTGTGATGCCAGTTAGGGCTTTTCATTATCAGTATGCAACGACGTGGCCAATAAGAATTTGCGAGATAATACTGACCTCCAGTGCCCGTACCAGTGACGACTCTTGCCACCAAGATGAAGTTGGAACTTTGCGAGGCACACTGCAGGGCACCACCGACAAGAGCAAAGAGAGATCCTATGAACAGCCCATTTATACGGCCGATGCGATCTGCCAGCCAGCCGCCTGCGAAACAGCCAAAGATGGCTCCAAGATAGTACACACTGACGATGCCGCCTTCATGCGTGGTATCAGTCACCGTGCCATCTGGGAGGCCAATGCCCATTGTTTCGACATAGCGAGGGGATGAGTTGACTCCTCCCATAACTCCTTGGTCATAACCTTCGAAGAAGATCGAAATCAACGAGAAGACCTGGATGGCAACATTGAGCTGCGTCGGAGACAGTGTCTTCCACAACGTTCGATAACCCATTTCAAATTATGCAGTGCTGAAACTCCTTAGTATTGTGTTGCTCTGTCATCAAGAGACCTCAAACCGATCGGAGAAAGCACTAGTACCCCGGCTAAGGGGCATGTATGTTATATAAATATAGGTAAGAAGTCCTGTCCAAATTCGATATCTATATCAATTCATGTCTCGGCTTTCGCGACGGACAAAAGGGACTTTGAAATGCGGGGCGAACCACGCCAAAGAATCTAGTTTGGAGAGATTGATTAAATCCATTACTCCGTACTTGCCAAAATTCTGCGCCCACAATTTTACCTTGATTCCAGAAAATTTCATGGGGGGTTGGAGAATATGTGGAGAAGTTTCGTCCACAACTGCGAGAAGTTGCCGGTTCGCCGATTAGGCGGTTACACGTTTAGCCATCCAAACGACCAAGCGCGAATTTGCTGAGGCAAACTGTGAACAGCCAATCATCACTACTCAATCATTTCTTATCTCTTGAAGAGGCATGGGACTGTGTCTATTCTAGCTGATAGTCTACGCTGTGATTGGCTGCTGACGATGTTTCCAACGCCGGCTTAATGCCGATATGTTCAGTGTATATAAATCTGTAAAGATTTCAAAATTGGCTCAATCAACTCTTACATCCAAATTCGTATATGAAATTACCGCTTACTATCCAGATATCAGAAGCAATCATGGGTTCAATCTCGAATGGTGCTGATCATGCAACAGGCGAAGTTGGCGCTGCCCTGGATATTACCGTTTTGGGACTGAACAGCGGAACTTCAATGGTATACACTCCATATTTTGTCCTTCCCTTACTATCAAGATATACTAACACCCGTAGGATGGAATCGATTGTGCCTTGTGTCATTTCCACCAGGAGACACCCGAGTCTCCCATGGAGTTTGAGCTTCTGAAATACGGAGAGATTCCACTGGAGCAGACGATCAAGAAGCGTGTGATGAATGTCATCCTGCACAACAAGACTTCTCCTTCAGAGCTTTCTGAAATCAACGTCATTCTGGGCGAAACTTTTGCTGCCGCTGTGCATCAGTTCTGTAAAGACTCCAATGTAGATATCAACACCATCGATGCACTCGGATCACATGGACAGACTATCTGGCTACTCTCCATGCCGGAAGAAGGCGAAGTGAAATCCGCCCTGACTATGGCCGAGGGCGCATTTCTCGCATCGCGGACAGGTATCACATCAGTCACCGATTTCCGGGTCAGTGATCAAGCCGCTGGCCGGCAAGGGGCGCCGCTAATTGCCTTTTTTGATGCCCTTGTCCTGCATCACCCTACAAAACTTCGTGCCTGTCAGAATATTGGTGGTATTGCGAACGTCTGTTTCATACCCCCCGACAACAAAGGCGGTATTGCCGAGTGCTACGACTTTGACACTGGCCCAGGCAACGTCTTCATTGACGCCGTCGTACGCCATTATACAAATGGTGAGCTCGAGTATGACCGAGACGGTGAAATGGGTGCCCGGGGACGGGTCGATCAGGAACTTGTGGACGATTTCCTGCAGCACAAATACTTCAAGCTCGATCCACCCAAGACCACAGGCCGGGAAGTATTCCGGGATACCTTGGCTTTCGATCTGATCAGGAAGGCTGAGGCTAAGGGCTTGACGCCAGATGACGTCGTAGCTACTATCACCCGGGTCACGGCACAAGCGATCGTGGATCATTACCGGCGCTACGCACCTGCAGATATGGAAATTGAGGAGATCTTCATGTGTGGCGGTGGCGCATACAATCCGAATATCACCAAATACATTCAAAAGAACTATCCAAAAGCTAAAATCATGATGCTCGACGAAGCCGGAATCCCGGCCGGCGCAAAGGAAGCGATTACATTTGCCTGGCAGGGTATGGAAGCTATTGTCGGACGCTCGATTCCGGTGCCAACTCGCGTCGAGACTCGTCAGGAGTATGTGTTGGGTAAGGTCAGTCCGGGCAAGAATTATCGCCAGGTTATGCGAAAGGGGGCTTTGTTTGGAGCGGGTCGTGATCACTTGAAGCCCGTTCAGGAGTTGATTAATATCGTTGATGGCAAGGTGTTCGATAATAAATGGTGATCTGTCGGTTTTATAAGGATTGTATCTGAGCTTAATGTGTCGAATGCCTTAAAATGTACGTGTGTGGTCACACTCGAGTGACTAAAACAAGGATCAAAACTTGTAGTTTCGTGTTTGTAAATGATCATATCCCATTAAGTTATTGTACATTAAAATTGAGACTAAATATATGTTCCTCTAGCCTAATACATTACTTCGCCAACGTAAAATTTTTGGGCCTCCTTGAATATATAACGGGGCGGGTATATTCTATCTATGTCCTAAACCGAAAAAACCATTGTCGAGTTACTTCTTCCCATTCTCAACTGGCTACGCCTATCGATGTAGGCATTGAGAGCATTGGATTCATGGCAGGGGCAACATTGTCGAGTTTGTGAGTGGTTTTGAGATGACGTTTGAGCTGATCTAAAATGGAAATAATCCGTCAGCGAAGCACATGATGCAACAGAAGGAAGCCCATACCAGGGCGAGTAAAACTCTTCGTGCAGCCTGGGTGAGTGCACTTATGTCGACGTCCGCTGTGTGTCAATTTATGACTAGACATATTTGATGACTGCAGCAATAAGTCAGTCGCTCATACAGGCAAAAACAAGTAGGCCGAAAGTAGACATACGTCACCGGTTTGAAAGTCACACCCGGGAAATGTGCACTTGAAAGGCTTTTCCCCAGTATGGGTGCGGGAATGAGTCTTGAGCTCGCTGCTATCTGTGAACGCTTTGCCGCATTGTTTGCATTTGAAAGGTTTCTCGCCACGATGGCTACGCTCATGACGTTCGAGTGTTGCTTGTCTCGCGAATGATTTGCCACATACCGTGCATGCGAAATTCTTGTCTATAGAAAATGTTAGCCGTGGCGCAAAACTATTTTGAGAGCAAGTGACCATACAGTTACTGTGGGTCAAGAAATGTCCTTGAAGTTTGGACTTTTGGGAAAACGGCTCATGCGGCCGGTGACAACCATGCCAGCAGCAGTAGTATCCATGACCTTTTACCCCGTGAATAGGTTGCATATGTTGCGTGATGAGATGTTCCTGGAGCTCTCCACACGAGGTGAAAGTGGCATTGCACATAGATGTCCCATGATTCCAGCGGCAAACATGAGATTCCCCTTCTTCGGTCAATGCCGGAGTCGGGCTCGTCAGAGCCGATGACATAGCCCTATCTAAAGAAGGAGGACTGTCAATAAAGCTGGAAATGGTTTGAGAGCTTATGCTTTTGCGAGAATTGCGAGGGCGTGAGTACTGGGCCACTCTATGATGTGCTTGGCCATGATGATGACGGTGGACGCGACTTTGTGATTGTTGTTTTGAGAATTCCAACAACCTTGTATCCCCGGAATTTCGAAGATAGCATCCTAGATGTTGGAAACCTGCATCCGAGCAGGATGGTTGTCCGTCCTGGAAACAAGGCATCTTGTTGGTATCGCTTTGCTGGTCGAATAATACATTGCTTGGGTCTGTGTAAAACGACGTGTTGTCAAGCAGTAGATTCATGTCTATATGAGACATGTCTATCTGGTTGCTGTTGAATGGAGCACACCACGTATTGCTGCAATCCTTCGAGTATTGCTGACATGTAGCAAGAGACTCTTGGCCCAGGTTGTGGCACTGAAAGTCAGAGAAAGCGTTCCCGGCATTACAATGCTGATGCCTGGAGGTCGGTTGATTCAAAGATTGTGGCTCSGCCACGGGCAAGTCAAAGTGATAGTCAGTCATAGCAGGCAAAAACACTGCAGGATCCCATTGAAAGTCAGTCTGCTGAAGCAGATTCGCTGTCGCATCGTCCGCATCTTGACCGTCCTCAAAGCAATGCTTGTCAAAACAAGCCGGACCGGTGCTTTCGCAATGTTCTTCGTCGCAGTTGGCAGCAGAACACACTGTTGAGACTAGGTCACAGTCCACAAAACCGTCACAAACTGATGAACAGTTGAGCGAGCAAGCGTCATTCTCGCAACAGCTTTCTTCAACTGCACAGGCTGCCTCTCCAGTATGATGAGTATCTCCGCATGGCCATTGGTCTGATGGCAGTATAGGGGATTTGCCAGTAATATCATCAAAGGTATCCCAATGGCAATCCAGGCAAAAGTCGCCTGCTTCCCGTGAGGACATATCGATAGGCACGGGGAGAATCCCACGCTTGAGAAATACTCGGTGAAATGATCTATTAGTGGGGTTAGACGTAACAATATCCGACAGAATCCTGTAGGCATCAAAAAGTCAGTCCAGGCCGACAATAATCTCTTCTGCATAGAGAGGGAAGCATACTTCTTCGGTAACAGCCACTCAATCAGCACTCAGTCTTATTTCCAGGAAATCCAACGACCGGCGATGAAACGTATTTCTGGGGCAGTATGAAAAGATCTCTCGAAGAAGGCGATTTGCGGTACTGTGAGCAGAATAACGCGGAGGGGTCACGATTTGCTGGTCGGAGTTGGGAGCGGTGGTGAGGACCTTGGGGGTGAGTGCGATTTGCTCAGTATTACTCCGTATGTGATTGGCGTCTGGCGGTGTTGGCTGAAGATCTCACGCCACGAGAAGTCCCTCGCCGTTTTGCTTGTATCTTACAAGTCCTATCATCCATTTGGCCGTAGATTGACTGAGGTTGTTGTGTTGATTTCCAAAGATGAATTCGAACGGTCGGAGTTTGCGCTGGGAATGAATCTGATCGATAAAGAACCCACCGATAAATACTGACCAATCATCTGCCGGTCGCAATATGTTATCCGCCATTCAGCGCTGAAGTAACTGGGTGCTCTCAAAGGACACAAATTTCCTTTCTTTGTTTTCACTGATTTCGTTGTTCGAATAAGATATTCTCGACGAGCATATTCCTTGTTTGGGCAATTGCCTGCAATTAATGTACCCATGTACGTTGTTGCTATTTCGTTAGTTGCCGGCCACGTGCCTCCGCGTGGCTTCCCGGCCAAGCTAATCTACGCATCGGTTCCTTCCTCGAGTTCCTTTTACCTTCAACTTCCACCCTCTTAATTATCTCTGCTTTCTTTCTCTTGACTGACCCCCTGGTCATCCTCAAGACAACATCAGCATTCAGGAAGCCAATCTATACCGCTTCTGCTACGCCCTATCAACACTTATTCATTAAGTTGCTGCACGTCATAACATCCAGCAGTAGACTCTCCGCTTCTCAACAACAAACACGCAAGCGCATTCTGATTGAAATATCACGACATCACCAAAAATGGGAAGCGTGTGCTCAAAGTCAGCTAACAAGTCTGACGACACTTTCTCCCAGCCAGGCCGTGTGCTCGGATCCTCGGCCGCTTCAGGAACACCTAACCAACCTGCCCGCGCAGCAGTCCCTGGTAACGTTGTATCACAGGGTCCAGGCAGGACGCTTGGTGGTGCGTCTTCACCACAGGACACTGCTGATGCCAGGGCCAAAGCCGCCGAGGCTGCTCAAGTATACCCTTCTATCACATAATCAATAGCTGTATGGTCCACTGACTTGCTATTACAGAAACGCGCAGAGGCATTGAACGCTTCCAGTAAAGGGAAGCTAGGAAGTCAGTTGGCTGCTCAGAAAGCTCGAACGCAAACACAAACTCTCGGTGCGGCCAGTCAGGCGGAAGTCGCAGCTAGAAATGCGGACAGTGCCGCAGAAACCAGACAATGGAATTGATACTGACATCGGGCAATCACTTCACTCAACTACTGAATGGCATTTTGCTTCATTATATCTGCATTTCTGGAGTTCGACATGGACTTTAACTGTTGGGTTTCATTTAACATAAAGCGCTACTTTCCTACGTCATTGAATAAACAAAACGAGCGAATTCTATCTGCGATCTTTCATTCATCTTCATTGCCAACTACGTTGTCATTTTCATACCGCCGTTAGCATTAACGACACTGCCTGTACACCAAGCTGCATCTTCCGTACATAACATCGCAACCACGCCCGCAATCTCGCTAGTGAAAGCAGGTCGCCGACCGCCCATCTTCTCTTGAATCAGCCGAATTTTCTCCGCATCCAGGCCCTCCAAATCACTTGCGTCGGCGGCTACTTTACTTAAGGGCGTATTGTCTTGCCATCCCTGGATATCCTTCCAAAACTGCTCTCCGGTCAAGAAATACATGTCGCCAATCACAGGTCCGGGGTTAACCGCGTTCACGGTCGCTCGATCTGCCAATTCCCGTGCCCATGTCCTGGTCATGGCTTCCAATGCAGCCTTTGTACCGCCGTATACCGACTGTCCCTCGAAGCCAAGACTGGAAGACACACTGGAAATATTGACAATGCGTCCCGAACGATCGTTGGGCAAGTATGGAATACATGCTTGTGTGAGTAGAAGCGGCGCAAGCACATTGATGTTATAATGCCAATGAAAATAATCGGCATCAATGGGGCCTTTCGCGGAGTCGGCAAGCTTTCGGTCTTGTGAGACACCAGCGTTATTGATCAGAATATCGATGCGGAGGGGTTTGTCGCCAAGGTGCTTCTTGGAGGCGTCTATAATAATCTCGCTGGCTGCCTGGGCGTCGGTAAGATCGGCGCGGACAGTGGTGCACTGAATGCCGAATGACTCTGTAAATGACGATGCCAGCTCCTCGGTTTTGGCTCGTGATGATTCGGAAGTGTAGTTCAAGAGGAGCGAACACCCTTTGCTAGCTAGATTGCGGGCTATTGCTTCGCCAATCCCTATAGAAATTAATGGTCAACGTTTTCTCAAAAAATGTAACAATCCTCTTGTAGTCGTCGCTTACCCCGCGATCCTCCGGTCACGATGCCAAACTTTCCTTCTAGAGGTCGAGCCATGGTATGCAATACTCTGAGTGTGTGGCTATGCTTATGAAAACAAGAGGAGAATAATGCGATCAGTGAATCCGACGGAAGATAGTTCTCTATATACTTCAAAACATTTCACAACAACACCCGTGCCACCTTAAGATACATATTGTCCGGGAATCTAACCGAGTCGGCGGGGCACATGATAGTGCTGGATATCTGGCTTAGCCATTCCCTGTCAGACAGTGTCGTATATTAGCCATTGTCGTCCTACCCACTTTGTCAGGTACAGAAAAGTCAGTATGCCCTGGTGACCTCTATGGAGAACGTCGAAAAAGTGCAATGCAACAATTTAACCGACAAGAGCTACATGGTGGATAAATGTTTAAAGGGCCAGGGTAAATTCAATATTGCGGGTCGGCATTTTTCCGACGCGGGGGCACAGGCACATAAGAGGGTGAGTACATCTACCCCGGTAGGACCTGACATGTTGATGCAAAGAGATATGAAATAAATCTGAAATGTTTAGTTTATCTGTTGTACTTCACCACTATCCTAATAACCCTATACTACGTCACGGTCGAGCACATAATTTTCCATACCACCCTACAGTTCTTCTATTGATTTATTCCCCCGGATCGGGTTGTCGATGTATCCGTCCTATGTGGGTGCGTTTCGGCACGGAAAGACCTTGAAAGTGAAACAATCGAGATCAAATATCATCAATGTAAGATACGGACTGGCCTTGCTGGACAATGACTGCACTAGGCCTTTGGTACCTAGGTGACCTCACCCTGAGATGTAAGGGACCTATCAGAATCACATAGTCGTCCAGCGATCGTAATTCTGCAGATATGTAGAACCAGGTCCAACTCCATCCAATAGGATAGCTCGCCGATCCGATCATCATAGATCAACCGTTCAAATTCCAGATAATATAATTGGCGAACTACTCTATTTATGTAGCCTGTACTCCATCATTGATCGATCGCCTTGCTTGAATGGAAGAAGCCAACAAGTACTACAGCTTTCTATGGGCACGTCCCTGGTTTGTTTGTTTGCAAGTCTAACTTTACGGAACCAACAATGCGTTCGTCTTACCTATGCTGAATTAGGGTTCTTCTCCGCGTGGTTGATCCACGATGCCACGGCTAACTTGATAACAGGACTCCGTGCGAGTGCGCGGACAAATTGGCAGTACATATGCAGTACGTATAACTTACATACCATAGTACGGATGCAGTACGTGTACAAACTGTACGAAGTATTCCGTAGTACGTACGGAGTACAGGACAAAGCAAGTACAGAGTACAAAGTGCAAAACATACAGAGTACAGAGTAAGGCGCTCGTACCACGTGCTCTGGCCAGGTATCCGGTCTGATTCGTCCGAGTTCCGGAGGAAGTGGCTCTCTTGCATTAGCGGCTGCAGCTTTTTATTTTACTGCATGTAATACTGACCGGCCTGCAGGATATTATTAATACGTACATACCAACCATACACGCTGTACCCATACACAACAGAGAGACCATACAAAGGATTCTTCTGCGTATTGGTCTTTATGCTGCATTGTAATATTTGAGACACCTGCATTTAAATTTACCTTTACATCATGCAATCATCAAAACTAGGTCCGTTGTACTACACAATTGTCAAACAAAGTGCTGTCAAACTGTCGGTACGAGCCCGTACCAAACTACTCCGTACTAACGGACGAATCTTGCATGGGGGCCTGTCAGTTTCAGCTAAAGACACATGGGCTAGGCCGGTTACCGCCTGTTTCAGAAGACATGGACCCAGACCGTCGGTTCGTCAGACCGTTTCTTGTTGATGTTTGCATTTTTCGTTCTGTCGGATGAAAATGAATGTTTTCATGTCAACGGCCGCCATCAGACGAATTCGGAGGCCCAAGCATCATCTAGCCAACAGCATTCCTAGGGCCACGCGGGACACGTGCCCCTCCCTTTCCGGATTCATCTTTAATTTGTGTTGGACCGTTTGACTTCGGTCTATGCCGATTCTACAAAAGCCTCCTTCCTTCCTCCTGCTTCCATTCTTTTCAATATCCATTTCACATTTTTGACTGTTGCTTGCATCTACTTCTTGTCGATACCATTCTTTGTCTGCTTCTTTGTCAATATTCCGTCTCTTCTTGTTTACACTCCGTTATCGTCAAAATATGCGACTACAAGACTGGGCTCTCCTCACTTCGTTACTGAATCACCCTTGTCTCTCAGAGGACGTCTGCCCAATTGCCTCGCGCAGCCATCTGTCGATTGCGACTGCATTCCGAGCGACTCAATTCCACTGCGACTCGTTTAATAGATAATTTTGGATTTTCTTCTTGACCACCAAAATGCTGAAATTCGTGAAGCGCCTCGGCTCTCGCCAGGATTTGCGAGGATGGAAAGAAATTTCGAACAAGAATAGCGCGCATAAAGATGTCCCATCAACAGCTTCGTCAGACTCGTCGCCGAGTTTCAGAAACCATAAACCAATGGCCGCTACTTTTGAAATACCTTCGGACGTTGCGTATGACATACCTTCGACGATGAAAGCCCAACAGCTCGACGACTACAACACACCATACGTATTTCGAAACAATGTTCCCGTGCCGACACCCACACATCCTTACGATTTGCTGATCCGGGTCGATGCTGCTGGTTACTGCCATACCGATTATGTATTAGCGAGCGGTCATATGTCGAGTGTCGAGCAACCTGTTTTCCCACACACTGGTTGTCACGAGTTTGCCGGTACGGTAGTCGCTTTGCCCCCGCATTCAGCACAGTCCGACTTCAAAATTGGAGACCGTGTTGGTGTTTCTTGTCGCCCGTACCATGCCTGCGGAGAATGCGCCGAATGTCTTGAGGAGGACACACCCGATAGTGACCCCAGGGGATACTCTGTTTTGTGTCCAACGATAAAAAGCCATGGTATCGGCATACCAGGCGGGTTTCAGGAATACGTGCTGGTAGACTCGCGGCAGTTGACCATCATACCGCCTGGTTTGAGTCAGGTTGAGGCGGCACCGTTGATGTGTGCTGGGGTTACGATCTATGCAGCTATCAAAAAGACGGGTCTCAAACCTGGTCAGCGAATTGGTATTATAGGCTGTGGTGGTGGACTTGGTCATTTGGGCTTGCAATATGCGACTGCGATGGGTTTGAGGGTTTATGGAGTCGATAATGCCGATAAACCGCTCGCTTTGGCGCGGGGATTAAAGAATGTTTCTGGCGCAAGGATTATCGACGCACGCACAACGACTGCAGCAGAAGCAATCGCTCATATCAGTACGGAAGATCGAAGACCGATCCCCGGCCAATTCGGTCTTGATGCAGTCATTATCTTACCGGAGAGTCAAGAGGCTTTCCAGTACGGCGTGGATATGCTCAAGAACCACGGTAAATGTGTGGTTGTCTCGTTTCCTCCCGAAGGATTCCACACGAGTTCCTTGGATCTCATCTTTAGAGACATCACTTACGTCGGCAATGTCTCTGGTACGACCAAGCAGCTACGGGAAATGACAGCCTTCTCCGCCAAACACGGCATCAAGGCTCAGATAAATACCTTCCCACTTGAGCAGCTCAATCGATTGGTGGAAGCATACCTATCCGGCCATGGTGGGAAGTTGGTGGTCGATTACCACTATAAAAATTCAGCGTCATGATAGCCTTTCGGCTGACCTGATTATGAAATTATGTCTTTTCTAGTGTCTTGTACTATTTTCACATCGTGTGGTCGTCTCATTTCTGTCAAATCTGGTTCTTTCAGCGAGGTATTGGGATTGGAGTTTTTTTTGCATAGATCTCAGCATGTTTTACCCCCTGTTCATGTCTGAAGCAATAATGAATGCTATGACTGTAATAATTACTTCAAAATATAAATTCAAGTGATAGTACAACCGCGGCGTCAGGCGTCCCACTGACGGGAGATCTGCAATGAGCCGCAGACTGTTGATGCATGGGGCGTAAAATATCGGATTGTGACAAAGGACCCTGACGTACATCAGGTATACTATGCGTGACATAAGCAGCACCTGCATGAGTGCTACGATTATGTTACACTGCAGTAGTCAGATATTGGTCAGGTGTTTCGACGGGTTTCCAAGCATACATATATCCGCAGGTGAAGTTTTGATGCAGCATTCTTTTGATAATATTGTGTATCTATCATGTCCTATTTGAGAGTTCTTTTCGAAACACAAACGGAAACAAGAAGAGACTACTCATGAGTCGCCATCTCCTCCAGCCTCTCCACCGCACTCTTCAATTCCCTAACCCTCTGGCCAACCCTCTTCTTAACCTCCTCTTTGACATCAACACTGATATACTCCGGATCATAATTCGGCGCAACGCCCACATAACTATCCCGACTCAATGCCTCATTCGTATCTAGGATAGGGGTTGGGTCTGTAGCAGCAGCTGTGGCACCGGCATCTAGACGGTCTGCATTCGCTTGTTGCGCGTTTGGTGCGAGCGCAGCTTCGTTCTCGTGGGGAGGAGATTCGGCGCTGGTGGAAGCCGGGGAGCGTGTCATGTCTGTGTACACGTTGTAGACGTAGAGGAGTTGATCGAGGAGTTCGCGCGCGGATTCGCGGTCGGAGGCGGCGTAGATGGTGGCGCCGTTGGTGCTGTCTGTTGCGATTTCGAGTTCGTCTTTGGCGTTTTCATACCTTTGCATCATTAGCAATTCGGTTACTTTGTCATGGTTATTTGAGGCAGGGAGAAGTACAGTTCCTGCAGCTCCTCGACTATGAGGTCTGCCTCTGTTTTTCCGCCGCTGGCTTTGAGTTCTGCATAGCCTCGGTGTTGAATCTCTGTGACAGATTGTTTGAAGTTTTTTGAAAGACTCGATATCCTTGTTTGAGAAGCTTTTGATCGAGCCCTGAAGCCGCTCAAGCCAGTATTTGTGTAGCAGCGAAGAGCTGCGTTCGCCGATGCTGCCGACTGAACGGAGGTGATGGATATGCGACTAAGTCGCAACTGTAGGGCTACCTGCAACAGTGGTCGGGAAGGAAGTGGTGTCATTGTGGTTATTGCTAGCTAATTGAGTAGCTTCGTCGGGATGCCGCCAAGGGAAGAAGTATTGATGCTAGACGAAAGATGGCTGATGTGTTGGATTTCTCAGCCGAGAGACAATGCTATGACGTTATTGTTGGTATGCTTCTTATCTAATCATCACATGACTGATATCATTCCAAGCATTCAGTTTACAGATTTGAGAAAAGCATTTTGATTCAATAAAGTGATTTGATTTAGTTGAGTAATTCAAATGAATAACAAGTATGTGAATTTGCAAAAACTATTGTATAATAAAACCTTCGTGTATGAGCTTGCAGTATTGAAATTATAAGCCTAAATTCAAAGGAAGAAAAGAATCCGTTTCGGTCGTAAATCATACAGTCATCTCTCATGTCATACAGGTCGTAAATGCCAAAACAAAAAGCTGAGTGTTAAACATCAATCGAAATATCTCCTGCTCCATAAGGGTTTCCGTCATAATAATGCGGTGCGTGGTGTCCATAATCATGTCCATAGTTGTGTCCATAATCACGTCCATAATCATGCCCAGTATTCATGCTCATACTAGCTGCACTGGCCGCCCTGGAGCGAGAACCTTGCGAATTGTTATTGCTTCCGCCAGCACTCTGAGCTCGACGCAGTCGCTTTTCGTGTCGTTCTTCGCATTTGTGGTTGAATTCTTTATGTTCTTTTCGTTGTTCTTGTACTTCCTTCCATTCGCCAATGGCACCCTTAATACCCAAAGCAGCTAAACCGATAGAGGCCAGGTTCTTCAAATCCGCTTTCCTTTGCATTGTTCGCTCCTGCTCTTTACTGATTGCACCCGACTTGACAGCCTCATGTCGTTTCTTCTGAGCTTCAAGGTTTTTCATCACACCGTGTGCAGCATGTATTGTGGCCACTGTCGCAAGTCCTGAGGTAACAAGCTCTCTGCGGAGCATTTTCTTCTTTTCGCGTTTTTCATCGTCACTGTTAATGCTAAGGTCAGAATCACTATCACAATCACTGTGACACTCAATGTTGCCCCTTGAAGATCCGTCTTTTTGGGCAACAGCCCGGGAAGTTGAACCGCTGACACTACTATTTCGCTGGGAACGTACATCGCGAGAAGATCTTCTCCGCCTAGATGACCGGTATGAGCGGTCATCCTCAGAATCTGAATAGTCCGAGGACCGTGTGGAACGGTCTCTTCCTCGGTCACTCTGATTCTTGTCATCGAGTCCTAGGGCCGCCAAACCCTTGTTCAAGGCTCGTGACACACTTGAACCACGCTTCTTGGAATCTCGGCCACCATCGCGACTGTCTCGTGAACCCGATCGGTCGCGACCGCGTGATTGGGAGAATCGGTCGTAGACTTGCTTGCCAGCTGCGGCGAGTATTCCAGCGGCAGCCATGTCTCGGACACCGCCTCGGCTTTGAGAACGTCCTCGAGTGCCGTTTCGAGACCTTGACTTCGAGCGACTACCGTTGACGAGATGATTTGTAGCCATTCCAGCAAGAATAGATTCTAGCACATGGCGGCCGCCGTGTTTGTTGGGATCGCGGTCAATGAGACCATCAACACCACCAGCCGAGACGGCTGCAGTCAGAACACGCCTGCCCTTTTCACCAGTCCAAGGACCGGGTGTACTTCGGACACGGAATGCCTCTGCTGCACCCGCTGCCAAGGCAGCCTTCATAGCCTGAGCGATGCGAGCTTCACTTTTGGCACGATGACCTCGGCTGCGTGAGCGCGAATCTGAATATGAGCGATATTTGCGAGAACGGCCTCGGTCGGAGTCACGGTCACGGTCGCGAGAGCGGTCACGGGCAGCTTTAATTCCAAGAGCTCCTCCAATAGCACCCAGAGCTTCTTCTCCCAAAGACTTGCGTCTACGGGGACGAGGTGAAGGGCTGCGAGAGGAAGAATAAGTCGATCGTTCATAGCGGTCACCTGATATGATGTTAGATTCAACAGAGGCAGCATGATAGAAGTGGTTACTCACGTCGGCCGTCGGAGCGCTTGCTTCGTCGGGGCCGGTAGTCTTCGCGGCGATAGTATTCTTCGTCATAGTAAGGATCGCGACCGGCAGAGCGTGCTCTGCGTACGCCCTCACGAACGGTTGCCGCCCGACGGGGGCCAGGGTAACCATAGTAGGACTCACCGGGCGGGAAATCTCTAGAAACTTCTTCAACAACAGACTCTTCACTGTCTCCACGACGGCGAACAAGACGTGTATCGTAGTCATAGGGATAACCGCCACGGTTGTCTACATAGGTTTCTTCCACATAGCCGCCATCTGGACGGGAATACCTCTCGCGCTTGACCCGGTAGCCCCGACTATCGCGGGAGTCGTAGTATGACATGGCAGGGKAGTTGACAACCAAAGCAACAAGAGTCACTGAAGACCAAACGATAGAATCACAATATTTGGATCAGTGATGGATGGTTGAAAATGGTGATGCTCGATGATGAAGAGGCGAGAGAAGATATTTTATTCAGGCGATAGACGTTGAATACGAGGCGAGTCGAGAGTCGGGCGGGGGGCTCAGGCGGCTTCGATCAGAGAGGGAAGGAGGGGGGCAGTGTTGGGCGTAGCACGGGTCGTGATTGGACGAGGACGGGAGGAAACAGCTGACCCGCTGACGTTGTGTCTGTCTTTTCTGCCTTAGGCTCGTGTTAGCCCTCAGAATGCCTCAAAGCCAAGCTTCAGCTGTGGCTCAAACTCACTCTTTGGGCGAATGAAAAGTAGAAAATATGCCGAGAGATTGATTTTTGGTGTCGATGAGTAGCGGTACTTTGATTCGCGTGGCGTATGTGATATGTGAGTGACTGATTAGGTGATGCTCATACGCTTGGTGCGCACCGCCACTGAGGTTCAGAGTCGATTGCTGAGGGCTCTTCAAAGAGGAGGGTGAGGGAATGGCCTGACCTTTAAGCAAAAAGTCAGAAGGGAAATCTATGACCAGGTTTAAGAGAAATTCGGCCGGGATTGATTGCTTGATCTATGATAAGGTGAAATCAAATCCCCCCAAATGGAACAGTCGAGATTGGGCCGATAGATTCCTAATGACGCAAAGGACGGGGTCGGACACGCAGACTAACGGGCGGTCAAGCACTTTGACACACAGGTGTCTCCGTCAGACATGAATCGAAAGGGGGAGGGGAGCGAGCGAGTTGCCGGCCAGACCAGTGCGACCACTGTGGCTGGCCGCAACGTCATTCTGCAGATCGACACTAACAGACGCTTACACAGGCTTGAATGGGCCCGCCCAGGACGGAGTGTTTTATTCGAAGGAGTTCTTACTTCCTGTATGCGAGATGATGGCACTCTTAGTATTGTTTTCATTGTTTGTTTTCTTTTTAATTGTATGTTCTACATACTGACGTCGTTAAAGATCCCATCCATGGGTTGAAGAGAGCCCACTTCCACCCCGGGCGGGACCACCCAAGGCCCGTTCCGTGGCACGCCTGAATGCTTCTACGTACGTCGTACCACGCACCGCGCGATGCTTGCATTAATTTCATCTATCTTGTTAGTTTATTAAAGCATAGTCAAACAATCTATCATATGTTGCGGCTTATTTCCGCTCAATCTTGAGGTTTTTGAATGCCTGAGCATTCTCCTTGATGGCGATTTCCACTGGCAGTCGCTCCATACTGCTCGCCCCGAAAAACCCATGGACACCTTTAGTGCGGTTGAGAACATACTCGGCATCCTTTGGCTCTGCAATAGGGCCGCCATGACAAAGCACAATAATATCCGGGTTAACTTTAACAGCTGCGTCGCGAATGTCTTGAACAATCTTGACGGCATCGTCTAATGACAAGGCTGTCTCGGCTCCGATACTCCCAGAGGTGGTCAAGCCAACGTGTGCGACGAGGACATCAGCACCGGCACGAACCATACGTTGTGCTTCGTCCACGTTAAAAACGTAGGGTGTAGTAAGGATATCCATTTCGCGTGCAATCCGAACCATTTCAACCTCCTTATCGTAACCCATTCCCGTCTCTTCGAGATTTTGTCGAAACTTGCCATCTATCAAGCCCACTGTAGGAAAATTTTGAATGCCCGAAAATCCGAGCTCTTTCAATTGGCCTAAAAACTCAGGCATGTCTCTGAAAGGGTCTGTTCCGCACACACCAGCCAGTACAGGAGTGTGTTTGACAATGGGTAGAATCTCCTTCGCCTATGAACATAAATGTCAACATAACACTCAATTTTGTGCTGCCGTGGTTATACGGACCATGTCCACCACAACCGCATTCGCATCGCTGTAGGGCATCAAACCCGCCAATGACCCTCTACCAGCCATTCGAAATCTTCCCGAGTTGTAAATAATGATCAAATCACTCCCACCCTGCTCCACCGATTTGGCTGAAAGCCCAATGCCTATTCATTTTTGAGTAATTAGTTTGATCCTTGTAACAAGGCTGGCTGAAGCATACCCGCTCCCGCTCCAACAATGATACCGCCATCTGAGATGACTTTTCGAAGTCGCGCAAGGATTTCAGAACGATCAGTTGGACGAGGCATGATCGATGATCAGATAAGAGATAAATACAGTATTTTTTATATTGTGACTAGGTTGAAGAGAGACGATGCTTGAATGTGGTTAGCTTAAGATTATCGATAGCGATCAGGGTGCGGGGTCGGCCCGCCGCATTCTGGGAAATGGTATACAACGTACGTCACCTTCTCAATTTCGTCCATTCCTCTTTACTTACCACGTCCATCTCGGACTAATTGTTCGAACAAGGAAGCGCAGGACACGTCGAGAAATGTGTTCTGTCATCACACTTGGAACAGGTCTCTCATCAGTCCCTGCCGATAACATGACATTGAGTTCTTAGCCTTGAAGCCCATCAAAACGATCGATGATTCTCTCTGGAACTCCAAAAAAGGTCCAATTTGCTCGTACTGTAGAACATCATGTCTAAACCACGTATCGCCCTTCTGGGAACATGCGATACAAAATTAGAAGAAACCTTATACCTACGAGATCAAATCATCAAGGCTGGAGAAGCCGAAGTACTTTTACTCGATGTCGGCCGGACACCAGTACAAAACAGTGACATAGACATCCTCAGTTCCACACTTGCGCTTCGCAAATCTATTGATGGGCCATCCTCCATGGTTCAAATGTCTCGAGCAGATTACATCAAGTACATGATCGAATGTGCAACACCCTTTGTGGCAGAGTTGTTTCAAAAGGGGGAAATCCACGGTATTGTATCGGCTGCCGGTTCTAGCGGCACATCACTCGTCACCGCAGTGATGCGGAATGCGTTGCCGGTTGGATTCCCGAAATTGATGGTCTCGACAATGGCCAGTGGAGATGTGTCGCATCTCGTCGAGGAGACGGATATCACTCTGATGTATAGCGTTGTAGATATTGCGGGCACGAATTCCGTTCTCAATCAGATACTTACAAATGCTGCTGCGGCAATCGCAGGCGCAGCAACAGCATATTACCGAAGTCAGATTGAGAATGCCTCTAGAAATACAGGCGCAGAGCAGCGAAAGAAGAGGATAGCAGTTACCATGTTTGGAGTCACCACCCCATGTGTCGACGCTATTAGGGAGTATCTAGAGTCGGAATACGCCTACGAGGTATATGTCTTTCATGCCACTGGTGCTGGCGGCAAGGCTATGGAGAGATTGATCCGAGACCGTCAGATAGACGCCGTGCTCGACATGACGACGACTGAGATTGCCGATGAATTGGTTGGAGGCGTCCTATCTGCAGGACCGCAACGATTGTCTGCAGCAGCGGAAGCTGGAATACCGCAAGTCATAAGCGTGGGAGCTTGCGACATGGTGAACTTTGGGCCTAGAGATACGGTGCCTGCAGAATTCGCGTCTGCAGACAACCAGCGTTTATTGTATGAGCACAATCCAGCGGTCACATTGATGCGAACGACACCGCAAGAATGCACCCGTATCGCCGAATTCATAGCGTCCAAGTTACGAGACCGAGCCGTCCGGCCGGACTTGGTGAGGATCCTCCTACCTACTGGTGGTATCAGCATGATTTCTACTCCGTCGCAGCCATTTTATGAGCCAAAATCAGATGCCGCTCTGTTCGACACCATAGAGCGTCAACTAGAAGGAAGCGGCATTGAAGTGAGGCGTGACGACCAAGACATCAATAACAAGGGCTTCGCTCTGTTGGCGGCAGATTTACTGGTAGAAATTATACGCAAGAAAGAGGCCGAAGAGCATAGTGATGGAAGTAGAGATGTGAAGTCACGGAGCGAAATGTCAGCCATTTGAATTCCGTGCCATCCGTATCTAGCATTTCGATGGTTGTTGCTCGGTCATGGAAAGTCGCACGTTGTATGTATTGATTTCGAGTCATATTCAAAATCATCGTCGCAGACGAGTCTATATTAATACACGTATTATGTCAATAAATAGAAGAGAAGAAGTTAAGGGAAACCCCCAAGGAGGCTTATTCTAAACCCCCGAACGCTGAAATGCACGACTTCTATGCCTTTGCCTCCCTGATGAGCAATCATGTGTCATAAAACGCCCCGCCACGAAGAATCTAATAATGTAAATGGAAATATGGAAAAGAAAAGGAATGCAACACCGCCGTCTTTCCCAACATGACATGACATGACACTTATGGGTATATTGAGTTCAAGCATCAAAAGCCCCATTCAAACAGTAATGTAGTAAAGTCGTTGAGACATACAAAAAAGCCACCTTCTTCATGCCGTTATAGCTCTCCTGTTGGAGGAGAGGCAGGTTCATCAGTGGGAGATCGGTGAGTGCGACGATGTTGTTTCATATTGTCCTTCCGCGTAAAGGCTTTGTTGCAAACCGGGCAGTGGACGCTCTTTTCACCGGTATGTTTCTTCCCATGGCGAGCTGCATGACCCGAAGTAGTGAAGGTAGCAGTACAAGCGTGAGAAGCGGCATATGGGCATGGGTATTTGTTCTTTTTCGTCGTTTTGGCCGTCTCTGTTGTTGAAGGAGCATAGAAAGCGGCTGCTGATGGCGATGACATGGATGGGCTAGACAGGTCGCTGTTACTTTGTATCGAGGGTGTGCGATGATGTGAATAAGTGAGACCGTGTTGAGTTTGGTGGTGATGGTGATGGTGATGACTCGAGTATGGAGGAGAACCTGCGGCGGAAGGATAGTAGGCGCTGGAGGATGTTGGATATGATGGTGTTTGTGGTTGATGTGCATGATGGGCTGTCCATGATGGTTGTATGGGCGCATATTCGGCCTTGTAGTATGATGTTTGGTAGGACTCCGAGTCTGCGGTCCTTCGCACCGCGAAGGCGGGATTGTCGTCGTTATTCAGAATCGAAAGCATTTTTGACTGACGCTCGCTCATCGGTCGAAATGCTCGGGTTGCGCTGATTATGGATGAAGAGAAAGAAAACAGGAGGCAAAAGGCAGGCTGCGGCGACTCCGAATCAAGTCACAGTTCAAGAGGTGGTCCACTCTCAAGACTCTTGAGAATATTTATGTCAAGGACGGGGTATATCGTTTCACTCGGCACCGTTTGCTGTAGTTCCAGGACCCCTGAATCTGAAACGAATGTTGAGACTGTTGCTTTGCGAACGCTCTGGTGATGCCGGTTATAGTTGATGCGGGCGAATGATAAGATAGCGGCGGAGTCACTATCTGTTCATGTAGATCGATTATCTCCAAGAAAGTGTGGGAGTTAAAAGAAATAATGGTCTTTTGGCAGCAGAAAGCTATGGAGGACGGCGACGTCGAAAAGGATGAAGGATTCGGTTATATTCGTGTTATGGTAGGTAATCTCTGGACATTAATAGGAGGAATAAGCGGAGGGAAGTCTGGGAGGGCTGAGAGGCGATTATTACAGTAATATATGGGATGGCTGAAGAAACGATTTAAGCTAACCACCAACGACCAACGAGACCACCAGCTCCACGTGCGAGTAAGTTTAACTTGGGACGACGATCATTCCAGTGGTAAGGTAAACGAGTGATAATAGTAGTATAGTGCCTTCAGGCTTCAGCCGTTTCACTCATTTCTTTTGGTGGGCATAATTACTTCTTCTTCCTTCCTTGGTCCACGCCCTAGTAAACATACAGTACCTAGGTTCCGTGGAATATGGAGCATATACTTTCGTCCGGGTCGGTTTGGACGGAATTCTCCGAATTTGAACGGGACTGAAAGCCAGAAACCCTAACAATGTACAATTTCCCCTTCCAGAATCAATGTCTGATTCGGTTTAAAGTTTGTTACAACCCCTTCCCGGTGCCCACATGGCTGCGTTATTTAGGGTAAGTGAGGGGCTCCTCACTGAGTCACTGAGAGGATGAAATGAGGGAGGGCTAACTAGATCGCTTAGCGTAGCCTATGGTGTCGGCTTAAGCATTATCGCCGACTAGGCCAGCCTTACTCGAGGAGCCCTAAATAGGCACCAATGAAGCATATCGTCGTTTCTTCAGGGGCCCTGACAACTGTTTTTAAAATTAATTGCCGATATGCGAGGGATGATCGTGCGTCATTTGAGTGCACGCCACATGCATAACAGCATCCCGTTATTTCGTTGTTTCGTACACGTACGTATAACCTGTAATGTGTAATGAAAGGGATCGAAGATGACGGGAAGTTGACGACCGCCAGCACACTCATCCTCCGTAAGCCCTCTGTAGACTCCGCAGAGTCCGCCGGACCGGACATGTTGGCAGTGAGATCAGATTGGCGGACGCCACAGTGTCAGGCGGACAAGGTTCAGGGTTCATACAAGAAATGCAAATGATAGGATGTATGAGCTGAGGAATGACTAGCTAGAAACCTACTTTGAGTGCGAAAGTGGAGCCCGAGGGACCCTTACGGAGTCTGCTTACATTCCTAGCCTCAGATAGGAATCCCCTACGAAAGCATCTCCATCCTAGGTCCACGGTGGGACAGGCGAAGAGAAGCAAAATCACAGAGTGAATTAGCATTTTCATTCTTGAACACGTGCAGACAGTGTCAGACACAGCTTTGTTATTTACGTACATTTAATGATGCTAAGATGACAATTTAGTTGCATGATAATGAGGGCTACCCCTGTAATACAAATTCGACATATTCGCATACGTACGTACGTACCCGTAATTTTTTTACGGTAATTTGCCCTGATAACGCTCACTGCTTACATGATCTTATTATACATTACCATACTAGTATAGATTTCAAGGCTCTCTATCTATCAGCCAACACCAGAGTTCTGGCGTAGCGTATCTAGCGACTCGCGAGAAGATGAAAACCTCACACATCACGCTTCCTTGCAAAACATACGCTATTTTATTCATCAACAATCTTCTCAATCGTCACCAAGCTGCAATCCACCTTTTGAGTTTCAAATGGGCAAACACGGGGATGTATATCGGTACAGGCTTCCACAATCGTCAGTACCCCGACAAATGACCGTTAACGTTAGCGTGCGCATGAAGCATAATAAATTGAACATTCCAGAGTAGTCCGTTCTGGTATAAGCGGCTTGAAATTCACTTGCTTTTTTGGAAGTTTCTTCAATCCTTCTGACACGCCACCGACCAAATGTCTGGGACGACCGCAGCATCAGGATCAGCATGCTCCTGTCGATTGGTAACGTATTGTAACCACTAACTCCGGATGTACTGGATAGCTACTACGTAGTACTTCAATATCAGGGTCCAATATACAGCTCTCGCCTCGAGGCTCGAGTTTTATGCCCCGTACGAAGCGTATAAAGGGGTAATAAGACCAAATTTGGGTCATTGAACGAGGCCCCTTTAGGTTCCTCCTCCTCGACCAATGTCGAGTCCACGTTAAATGACGATCTCTGCTCCCACGATAGCTTGGCCTCGAAATCTCCTGTTTTTTGGTCAAAAACCGCGTGTCCTCCGTGACTCCGTATAGGGTACGTAGCCTCTCCAACACTAATAAGCTTGAATTTCACCCCTTTTGAATGCCAAGATATATCGTGCCGTGCAATCATCCAATTGACTTGTCTTATGGGCAATAGAGGCTTGACAAACTGGCTGTGAGTGGCTGGCTGCACAAACAAGGTTCGATCCGTCGACCTAGTGTAACGGTACACCCAAACTATCTCGAGGGGTTTATCCGATTATCATTGGATGAAGCGAGTCCCCGAGTCCCCGGTTATCATACCACTTCTTCGTCTCATCTTACACAATTTCAAGTACGGTAATACATAGTACCTAATGTGCATGAGTACGTATTCGTTCCGTATTCGGCCATGAGACACGATCATAGAGCATTGATTCGTATGCATTGGTAAAATAATCTGTTTTCGTACTCTAACCCCGGTATGGTATAGATTTACCGCATCCAAAGTTTTAATCAACTTATCAATCACCGCTTTCCATGTGGCAGACTCCGCAATCAAACCAGCTCCAGTTTTAGCCCAGTAAGGCTCTTCAACGTCTCAACTGACATTTCTGATAGGGGAACGGTAGGAGATGCTCAGCTGTCACGGCTGATTTATCCTAGCAACTTTCTAAATTGTACTATGAATACAACGTATCAGCTTACTATGTGTAACATTCTGCGTAGTATCTAGTGGTTAGCAATCTTTAACCAGATTGAGAAACCAGGAATCCTAGGCGAATGAGATTGTGCCCTCGGCATTCCATCGGCCATTTTTGCCGATGCCGGATTAAAGTGGGACCTTTCGAGAGCCCTTTGTTACTCTGTACATACCTATTACCTAGTCATGCTACATATGCGCTAGTTAGCGGATATTTTTTCAGTTCGCACGAATCATGTTTTTAAACCTGTTTATGAAAAGTATGCCTACTCCGTACACGGTCCAAGTTACTAGACAAGAAGAGGAAATGAATCCTTCATCAGTCATTTTTGACCGGCATCGGAGCAGCCGGCTTTAATATTTCCGCAAAATCAGACCGGTAGACGTTCTATCCGATAAAATACATAAATATGTACGTACAGAATGGGCGTTAGGACGTATAGAATACGTACATACATATGCTTGAGAAATCGAATGATAATCGATAAGATATTCCTCTTAGAGAACGAAGAAAGATTGGACGCATCGGTAAGATGCCGGAAACTCCGTACAGAGTAGTAGTACGGAGTAACTAGACTATATTCGGTCGCATTCAGGGTCCAGGGGCTGTCTGTAGGCTGTAGTTTCTTCAGGTGTTTACCCGGGTTACCCGTAAAGTTACCCGCTCAAACTGCGGCCCGCACGAACAGAGCATTGGGTACCCAGGGTTACCCAGTACATGGCCGTATTCGAATTTGCGCAGCTGAGACATTTCTGAATATTG